CCAAGAAAATATTGCTTATTATCATCAATGATTTCAATTTCGTCTTCGTCTTTTGCCTTTTTAATAGTTAACTTTCTTCCGAAGAAATATACGCCAATAATTGGAAGAATAAGAGCAGTTGTTGTAAGTGCAGCGAAAACTTTCAGCATCTGAAACGCAAAATATTTATAAACCGAGAATAAAGAAAAAACTATGAGTAAACTGAACGCTGAAAAGTTGTCATAATTTAGAATCAAAATTACGGTACCTTCAAAACTGTGCAGCGATATTGCAGATTTGTCTACCGTACCATTTAAAATAATTAAATAGCATTTTTCTTTTCAGAATGGTTGATTAGGAAAAGAGGAATCTGATGATTTCCATCAATAATGAAAAAAATATTAATTTCATTTATTATATACGCATTTCCAAAGCATTGCTAAAAAACATTTTTGTATATTTAAACTATCAACCATTTGATCTTTTCTAACCGCGATTGGGCACCAATGAAGCAGTCCACCAATTAAAATCGCCATTCTTCGTTGAAAAAAAAATGCGATTTATCTATATCTAAATATTTATTACCGAAAGGAAGAGGATGAAATACATATACTCACAGAAATTGAAGAGAAAATATTCAACACTTTAGCTATTCCAAATATGTCTTGACCCAATGTTCCTGACACGTTGTTAAATGCAAAAATAGCAGCAATATAATTAACTCCATCTTCTCTGGCTAAAAAAAAGAATTTTAAGTAGTTCGAGTATTAGCAAAAGTGCCAAATGGCAAATTATGAGCCGAATTGGTTTTGTGAGTCCAATTGGCAACCCGCGCATTTCAAATTTATCAAATTTGTCCGCCCCGACAATATTAAATCTTACAAAATTCATCTCCTTTCAATTCGTTGTTAGCATTCTGTTGATTTCCTTGATTATTTGTTTCTGAACATAATTTTTTACAACATTTTTTTCGTTTTGAGGACGCTAAAATAATTTCTGAAAATTTTTAATTCTCTAGAAAATAGGAAATAGATCCAGAAAAGAGAAAATACGTAGAACGAGATAGCGCTTTTTTTCAATTTTGACTGCCGAAAATATTTTAATATTTTTGAAAAATAAAAAAATTGTGGTCAAAAATTCCATACACAGGTTTCCAATACATTAAGAATGCTATATTTTCATAAATTCTAACCTTCATTCATATCATATCCTTCCTCTTGATATTCCGACAGATCTTCGACAACGGCCTCTTCTGTCATTGACGAATCATTCATCAATTGTTCCTTTTTTTCGCCTAAACTAAACATTAAAATTTTTATATTCTTCTCAAACCTGATGATTCCATGTCGTTTAACTCACACATCTTTGAACTGGTATCTCTTTTCTGAGACTTTTTTTTCGAAATTACCACGAAAATTAGTCAACACGGCGTCTGAATAATTGATATTAATATGCATATATCTATATATTTTTCAACACAATTGGTTACCTATGTGCTGCCCGCTTCTTTTTCGAAGCTTCACTCGCTCATTTCCAAACATGGACGCTGAAATGAAATACTAATTTTTCAAGAAAAATTAAATAAACAGAATTTCTTTGATCCTATTTATTGAAATCTATGAATTTCAAAACGTGGTGTAATCACGGCCGCATGAACTCTGCGGACTTGCATTTTAATCTACGCCTATATATTTCAAAGTCTGCGCAGAAGTTGCGAGGTTTTGCCGAGTGGGTAAGAAATTGAATGGAGGGAATTGGGGGAAATGTTATTACTTTTTCGAAAAAATGCATTTTCAATCGTATGAAATGATTTGTATAAAGACATTATTGCTTAAGACATTTTTTAAATTATGCCGACGCTAACAAGGGAGGTCATTTTGCTGTCCGTCTTAAAATTTTTTTATTTTTTGCATACAGATTCTTTAGAAAATTTCCAATCGAATGAACTATGTCTCTACCTGCGCAAACTTTTAGTTATCGAGATATGGACCTTCAAAGTTTTAGCCCCTCCCCACGTGAATTTTGCATATAAATGTGCAGAAACTCGAAATGAAATAACGTGATGTCTTATCTCGCGCATTTATCCTGTTTCAGCAAGCAGTTGTGGTTCAGTGGTGTGTAGGTTATGTTGTCATGAATGGAGTTGCGGATTCGGTCCCGCTATCCGTAAACTTTTTGCGTATTTTTTTAATTGGTGATACAGTAATTATGACAGTGCAATTTTGCGTTTTTCTATTCAAATTTGCCATTTTCATCATATTGAAAGGTCATGTATAAGAAAAAAATAGTTTAAAAAAAATTTTAAAAAATTGAAAAATTTTTTTATAAGTTATATGGTTGTTGATCATGAAATGCTTGGAGCAGTGGTTGTCACAATAGAAGACTGCATTTCCTGCTCACAAAAACTTCGACGTTCAAAGTTCTACAAAACCGGTGCAACCGGCAGGAATTGTTTCGGTCTTCAACTTGTTGTTTCGAGAACTCTGGAACACAACTTCTTGGGGAAACCTTCTCGTCAAATAATTTGTCATGACAGAATACGGTCAAATATGTCACCCAGAAAAAAGATTCAAAAATTGCTCCAGTACAGTTAGACAGCTAGTAAAAATCTTTTATTGAAGCCTTCTATTGTGACAACCACTGCTCCAAGCATTTCATGATCAGCAACCATATAACTTATAAAAAATTTTTCAATTTTTTAAAATTTTTTTAAAACTATTTTTTTCGTATACATGACCTTTCAATATGATGAAAATGGCAAATTTGAATAGAAAAACGCAAAATTGCACTGTCATAATTACTGTATCACCAATTAAAAAAATACGCAAAAAGTTTACGGATAGCGGGACCGAATCCGCAACTCCATTCATGACAACATAACCTACACACCACTGAACCACAACTGCTTGCTGAAACATGATAAAAGCGCGAGATAAGACATCACGTTATTTCATTTCGAGTTTCCGCACATTTGTGTGCAAAATTCACGTGGGGAGGGGCTAAAACTTTGAAGGTCCATATCTCGATAACTAAAAGTTTGCGCAGGTAGAGACATAGTTCATTCGATTGGAAATTTTCTAAAGAATCTGTATGCAAAAAATAAAAAAATTTTAAGACGGACAGCAAAATGACCTCCCTTGTAAGTTTTCATTCCAACATTAATATTATTTTAATTTTGGCGTATTTTTTGTCATACTCGAATGTTTAAGAAATTTTCTAACACTCTAAAGAAGCATATTTGCAAATTTCCATGTTATGTGACTTTTTGGATTAAAAAACATTTTTAGGCTCTTATAATTTCAATCAATTTTACACACGTTGATAAAATTTTATTTGAGAAAAATAGATAAAACTATTAAAAGCCCTTAAGAGGGCCGTTGGGATTCGAAAGCATTGGATGTGTCTCGGAATACTTCTCACGACTTGCTGGGTCGTAGAGAAGCCGCCTAGTTGAGGAGGAGGAATCCTCCTCGACCTGCGTGATCTTTCTTCACATGATATGCTTCAAACGAGAGGTTTAGCATCACCTGAACCCAACACTGCAGACCACCCACTTAAGGGCTGGATCCGACTAATCGAGTTGGAGGCGAGAATTCCTAACGAGATCAGCAAATCATGATCCGAAGGTTTCGATGATAGACAACTCGCCGTTGTCCGCCATCTGAGCCGAATCCTGCTGCTTTTAAAGTCGATGTGGGCGGAGATATTGAAAAATGGCATGGAATTTCTGTCGATATATACTTAAAATCCAACTATAAATAACTTAAATCCAATTTTGAAAGAATAAACCGCAAAAATTGGTTAAAAAAGAGGAAAAGTGAGCTAATATTTCAAAAATCTAATTTTCACAAATTGCACAGTTAAGCAAATGTTACAGTAACGCTGCACCTTTAAGCTGCCGGCCGTATTATTTTTACTTCCATTTTTGACTTTCTCTAACGTTTTAAATGACTTTTTGCGGTTTATTCTTTCAAAATTGGAAAATTAAATTAATTATAATTTTATTTTAAGTGTATATTTTTGCAAACTGATGGCTATTTAGAACTGAAAATTAATAAATGACTAATATTTTCCCAATTTTTAGGATTGTTTTATTTTTCGTATATTTCGAAGTTTTAATCCACTTTCAACAATATTCCACAAGATTTCTGTGTCTTTCAGGCTGAGTTCGACAGAAATTCCATGCCATTTTTCAATATGTGTTCTTCGATTCGTTGGTTTTTTTTTTGTAATTTTTGGTAAATTTGGTTCATTTAATTGTTCTCCTATCTTTCTTATTTATAATTGTTTTTCTAAAATAAATTTATATTTCTTAAACGTGTTAAATTGTACTAAAAGTTGCCTATTTGGTTGCCAGTATTGTTTTAGGTATTTGATTTGCGCAAGACTTGCAAAGAAGCTTGATATCAAAATGCACAATTGGACACTTGAAAAATATCGACAATTGTTCGAATTGATTCACGATTACGAAATACGAAAGCTATCTGAACCTGCTTTTCCGAGAATAGTTCATTACTTGTTAAAATTTTCTTTTATAAGAATAGTCTACATAGTTTCTGAAAGATCTAATTTATACATTAATTCTTCGAATCTCCTCTTGATAATTTGAGTTATTGCAAATATTAAAAAAGCTAAAAAAAAAACTTCACTGCTAAACATTACTGTTAAAAACTGCAAATTTTGAAGTGCAGTGAAATAGTAGTGGTAAAACCTAAAAATTGGGGGTGACATGGTAGGTGGTGGTTTCTAATAGACCGAAATTTCTATATAGATAAACGAAATTTCAACAAAAAAAAATTATTGAATATATGCCAATGCGTCTCGAGGCAGCTATGTAGACGTGGGCATGTTGCATTATAGCGTACGTGCTTTAAATTTTTACGAAAAAACGAAATGGAAAACTATTTAGTAATCAATTTTTATTATTGCTGACGTCTTTAAAAAAAAAAATAAATACTACTATAAATAATGAGATCTTGAATTGGGTTGAGATCGAAGAGAAGATTATAAGCCTGATGAGGCTATTGTGGTTTTTCGAGGACGAGATGTCTGAAGGCGCTGACATCGACGTCAGCGAGATCATCAGGCACATCAGCGTTGTGCGACATTCGATACAGTTTGGCTTGTGCTTCAAGCGATTCGAGTTGGCGTTCGAGTTCTAGAAGATGAGCAACCGAATCGGTAAGAATCTGAAAAAAAAATAATTTTTTTAAACAAAAAATAAATTTTGAAAATTACCTTATAAGCCACTTGATCGCTTGGAACTTCAGGCATATACTGTTTAAGTCGATCCAAAACCTTTGAAGGCAAATTTAGCGCTCTGAAAATCGTAAATTACTTTAATTCGCCTTTTCTCCTTTTATAGATTACGGTTGAGGGCTAAAATCACAATATTCTGAGCTGGACGAGCTAATCGATGAGCATGATGTTGAACTTCGACGCATTCGATAATCGGACTCCTATGGATTTCACATATAATAGACTTCAAAAATTGACTTACTGGAATATCGAACTTCATGTTAAGATGAGGAAATGAATGAGAAAGAGTAGATGAGCGCGTTGGTCTCTACGTTTTTCTCGGGTCGATCTATCCTCTCTCTTCGTCGGCCGGTGCCAGGAACCGGCCAAGGTCATCGCGACGCCCTCCTTTATTTGGGAACAGATGATTTTGTGTGGCGCACAAAAAAGGGCAATCCCATCAATTAATTTTTTGCTAAGATAGTTGACCTACACTAGAAACGTGCAAAGATATTTGAAGAGATATTTCACATTGAAAATAATTCAGCGAATTATACTCGTCTGATTTTATTTTGGGAAAATTTGATTGGGTTAAAAATATACTTCAAGTATGTTTCAAATATTTTTTAAAAGCAATGTTAAAATAAATTTGAAAAAAAAGACAAATTCCGAGAATTTGACAACTCTCTATGAATCAAAGATTCCATTCGGGTGGCCGAATTATCGGGCTGCCGTGAATAAATCGGTCATGGCACAACTCACGTCCGGTATTGTTTCTAAATTTTTTAAATTTATTCAGCATATTAAATTATATAATTATATTGTATATTATACTAATGTATATTATATTAATATATTAATTATATAATATCAGAATATTAAATTATAATTATAATAAATTGTTCTGAATTTTTTGAAATTTTTATATTAGTTCGTCGATTTTATTTTAAACCCGGATCAATTTTTAGCCACATGGGGCCTTGTTTTGTCAAAATGTCGGCCATTTTTGTTATTTCGGCCCTCTCTGGTCCCGATTTGGCCTTGCCCCAAAATTATATTAAATTACTCGACTTCCCTATTCTTCACAGGTAATGACTACAATTTCTACGATGTCTGATCAAACAACACATAACAACTGCGAAGAGAAACTAAAGATGAGCTCAATACTTGCTGTTCGTCTCTCTTATTTTCCGTATATTTTTCATCGCTTGTTTAGTATTGCGAAACCAACGCTCGTTCTCTTCATTTCTCGATTCCATAGCATCATAAATTGTGTGTTGCAAAATAATCATTTATTTTCAGAAAAAAATCCATTCCCTTCCCCCGAATGGCTTTGATGGGTTCGTTCTTCTAACGCATTTTTTTAATTATTTCTAAAAACACGTCCCATAAATATACCTGTTGCAGCCGCTCGCAGATTTATTTCAACTTCATTCGGCGTCATGTCTGCGTCAGTTTACGAATTCACCGTTAAAAACGCCGACGGGAAAGATGTGACTCTGGAGAAATACAAGTTTGTCGACTAATTTCTCAATTAGAGTAGACTGACGAAATTTTGAATTTCGCCGGTTGCCACTTAAGTGGTCCCGTTGAACAAAATGGTCTCCGTCATTTGACACTTTGTTAATTACTGTAAGTAAAAAATTTTCCGAACAAGCCTTAAAAACTAAAAAAATGACAAATCACACAATCTCTGTATATTCGCGTCAACTCTCATGTGTCGGTGTGTGTGCACCGCAATGTCTACAGTATATCCTGAGGGAAATTTTCTGTTCACTTCTCGTAACCATTACCAAAAATTAACTTAAAATTTATTATAACAATTATGATCTTTCATATTATGAGGGTTAAATTAAACGAAACTCGCTTCTAAGAATTTTTAATACAAAACCTATTATCGTACGACATTTTTTCTTTGTTTAGAGGCAAGGTTCTCATCATCGTCAATGTTGCTTCGCAATGTGGCTTGACAAATTCGAACTACACTCAATTCAAAGAGCTTCTCGATGAGTAAGCAATCATCAGCGATTCACATTAATTTGATTCACCAGATACAAGAGCAGAGGATTGGAGATTGCCGCGTTTCCCTGCAATCAATTCGGCGGACAGGAGCCGTCGTGTGAGCTCGACATCAAATCATTCGTCGCCGACAAATTCAAATTTGAGCCCGACCTTTTCCAGAAGATCGATGTCAACGGCGACAACGCGAGCCCGTTGTTCAAATATTTGAAGAAGGAACAGGGTGGTACACTGGGCGATGGCATCAAGTGGAACTTCACAAAATTCTTGGTCGATCGCGACGGCAACGTCATCAAGCGATTCGGACCGACAACTGAGCCGAAAGATATGAAGAAGCACATCGAAGCGGCTTTGGAGAAACCAGCCGAACAATAACAATTTTTTATTTTATGTAAATATAATATTCGCAAAATGGAGCACCTTGCGCCGGTTCACGATGAGTTTGATTCGCAGGTTATCCCTAGTACAGTATCCGAATTCCCACAGTTTAAATTCGAATTTGAATTGCCGCTCTGAAAAAGTGCGATGGTTCACTAAAGTCCAAGGTGCTCGTTGTTTTATTAATACTTGAAAATGTAAAATAATAAAATTTTTTAAATGATTAAATATGTCATTGGATATGCTATTGGAAAAGAAACAGTTAGAGTTTATGTTTTAATGAGACGAACTAACAAGGGAGTTTTTGTTGTTCGTTTAAAATTTTTTTTGTTGTTTGTCTAAAATTTTTTTTGCATACAGATTCTTTAGAAAATTTCCAATCGAATGAACTTGGTCCCTACCTGCGCAAACTTCTAGTTATCGAGATATGGACCTTCAAAGTTTTAGCCCCTCCCCACGTGAAAAAAAAATTTAAAAAATTTAAGACGGATAGCAAAAAGACCTTGGAAGAATTTGGAAAATTTGGAAAAACTTGGAAAAAGAAAAAAGGAAAATTTTTGATATTAATAACAATTTAGAGATTTTGCACAAATTTTCAAAATATCTGATTTTATTTCAATTTTGATTTTTAATTTTAAAACAGATGGTATAAATAAGTTTTAAAAAAATACAAAACTAGTAATTATTATAAACACTTTCTGTATATATCTTCGACGCAGCAATTTTTGCACGAGTTAGTTTCGTCGAAAAAAGACGCTTCAAATTAGATTTCGATCCGAAAATATACGAGAATTGAATGATAAATGATGTGATTATTATATCGACTATAATCAGACCAAATGTTGCCTGAAAATGTTGATGTATTGCTCCGGAAAATAAAAAAAAAACTAACCACCGAGAAGAAAAACAATTTTCCTGTCGAAGTCTCTTTCGAAAATGCGAGAACTGAGCATAAAACTGGTGGAAATGTTATCTAAAATTTAAAAACTTTTAAAAACTTCTTCGAGATTGACTTACAAGCTTCGATATAATTATAATAATCGTTTGATATATGATATAATTTTCAGGTTTATCTCTCCTTTTGCTAACTATCTTTGAAGTTAATTTAACACTAATTACTATTGCATAATAAATAATGGGAGTTAAATAAACGGAAAAATATGTGGCATAGTATATTGAATAGTAGATCACATCGAATATGTCAAAAGTTTGAATACTATGATCGCTAAATGCGATTTGAACTAAAAAAAAAAGAAGTAATGGCGAGAATACAAACAATAAAAATAGCTTACATTTCATGAAAATATTATATGCAAAAAGGAGTGCATTATACCATAAAAGTGCCCTTTTGACAGCATCCCTGCAGATAAAAATCGGCGATATTTGAATGTCCAGCGATATTCCAAAAAAGGTTGCCTACTTTGAGAAATTCAAAACATCTTGTGTTTTCGGAAAAAAGTAAAGAACAAGTCGTTGAAGGGATAGTAGAAATACGCATGTGTTCTGTGCAATGCATATCACTGGCGCTGACAAAAAAAGACAAATCCCGTAAGCGGCTATTATGACCTTTGCTATCGAATTTTCTAGGGCGTCGAATGCAACACAAGAAATTAAAAGTGGCCACAATATTATCAAACATAATTGATTAAATATCACGATTCTGTACAGATAATGCACCAAAGGATACACCAAACTCTTAATTAATTAAATGGAAATACGACAAGCGCCATTTTCAAATACCTTGCTATCATTTTCCTTATTTTTGTTAAACAGCCACACGTATGTTGGGAATAATATAAATAGCATTACGAGATATGTTGCAGTAACTATTAAAATACATACAATATAACTAAGAAGCAGAGGATTTTCTTTGAACATGTCATTGGTGCCCTCTAAGCCAGTGATCGCGAATGTCGTTCCGAATATTGAAAAATTCGTTCCAATTTGATTAGTTGGACCATCGAAATATATGTTCATGCTTGAATATAATGAGAGACTTGTGAAAAAAAGGCGGCCTAAACTATTCTCTCGAACTGCTGAAACAACTAAGCAATAAACGCCCCGCCTACAAATATTGACAGACATAGGTTGATATACGTCATCAGGATGAAAAATTAATGTTTTAGGCAGGTGGTTTCCTACTAGAAAAAGGGCTAAAATATTTTATAAGAAGTATTGGCCTATTTATGCAAATGTATGCCGACATAATGAGTGTAATTAATTAATTTATTAGGTCGAGAAATTAATTTCCGCGTTTTTTCGCATATTAAACTATAAAAAACTGGACAAACTTTAAAAAAACATTTACTTATTTATTCCATCATAATCGAATTTTTCTGGTTTGGCCGCAGTCCATTCATCCAGCCATTTTTTGACGTCTTGATGATCTAGAAAGTTCTGCTCCGCCAGACCATGAGAAAGGAAAATATGATAATCTGATGGGGCAATGTCCAGAATAAAAAAAATATTTTATTTTAACCTTATGCCATTTAAACAATAATTTAAAAAAGGAAGAGCGGAAAATTCAGGTGAAAAAAGTCCGAACAATTGCGTTACATCTTTAACCCACCCATTGTGTCTTGTTTTTGGATACGGTAGTGATTGATGATGGATTTGATAATGTTCACATTGCCTTTTATAGAAATTAGAAGGTATGGAAAAGGATCCAGAAAAGTGATTTTTTTTCCAGAAAATTGAAATCAAAGTACATCAGACTCCCTGGTACTATACAACTACTAACTAAAAGTCAAAAATACTGTTCAATCACTGATTATTTAGAACGGTTTCTGCGTATATGTTCGACGTGGCAACATTCGCACGGATCAGTTTCGTCGAAAAAAGCCGCTTCAAATTAGATTTCGATCCGAAAATATACGAGAATTGAATGATAAATGATGTGATTATTATATCGACTATAATCAATGCGAATGTCGACTGAAAACGTTTGAATGTTGTTTTGGAAAATTACAAAAAAAAACTGACCACCGAGAAAATAATGAATTTTCCGGTCAAAGAGTCCGTCGAGTATACAAAATATGAACTGAAAACAGCTGGAAATGTTATCTAAAAATCAAAAACTTTTATAAACTTCTTGAGAATTCACTTACAAGCTTCGAAATAATTATAATAATCGTTTGATATATGATATAATTCTCCGGTTTATCTCTTCGCGTTGTCATATGTCTTGCTGTTAATTTGACACTAATTACTATCGCATAATAAATAATTGGTGTTAAATAAACAGAAAAATAGGTGGCATAGTATAATGAATAGTAGATCACATCGAATTTTCCAATGGTTTTAACATTATTAGGTCTAAGTAAAATTTGTACTAAAAAAATCAAAGTTTTCAAATATAAAAATTAGACTACTTTTTGTGAAAATATTATATCCAAAAAGAAGTAAATAATACCATAAAAGTGCTTTCTTAACAGCATTCCTGCAATCTAACTAACTGATGTGACAGTTGAGCCCATATTAATTGAGCCAACGCCGGAACGGTTTTGCAATATGGCCGAACTTGTTTGAGGTTGTTGAGTGATTACTTATTATTTCTTATATTGTGTTGTAGTTATGCTAGTGAAAACGTTATACTTTATATCTATTTTGTTCTGAGTTAAATATTGCCTTTTGAGGACGAATCTATTCGCTCTACGTTCTTGGTTGCTAATCCGATATTCTAGATGAATTCCTGGTTAATTTCATACCTTCACAGTTTCGACCCTTTCAATTCTTACATATTGTCATCGTCAAATGACTGAAGGGAGGCAGGACCTTTAAATTCGCGAAATTAGGGTAGATTTTAGTTTATCGTCAACTGAATATTGAATGCGCGTACACTATAATGCTATGTATCAGAGCTGCACGTAACAAAAATTTTCCAAAAACGGAAGACGGAAGGCCTAACAAAAAATGTTTAACGAAAAATTTTTTAATTTTCTTAATACTTGCAAACAACATTTTTTTGACGAAACACGGAAAACGGAATACGGAACACAAAGTTAATCTAACTCGAATATTTTGAAATTAACTGTGCAGAATTTAAGATTTTCCAAGTGCTGATTCGACAAGGACCTTCTTTTTGTCGAACAAATTTCTCCGGGTGTGGTTTTTAACCTTATTAGATTTGCTAGACGTGCTAGGTATATCATGCGGAACGCGGAATAAGGAACACGGAACAGGAAAATGTCACGGAAAACGGAAGAGTAACTCAGGTAAATCGAATAAAATATTTTGAGATTCATTGAGAAACTAACGTGTCTCTATAATATTTCAGAATTTTCTCAATCAACATTAGAAATTATTAAAAGATTTTAGAATTTATTGAGATAATTTAGAATTTTCTCAATACATTTTAGAAAATCTTATAAGATTTAAAAAAATATTTTTAAGTTTATTGATTCTCAAGAAGTAATATATTTTTCAGTGTTGCGTACTTCTCAATGGTTCGAGACGCAGCCAATCATTTTTTTATTTCATTCGGTCGTTTGACTCCGACAATAATTTGTTTATGTTGGGTGATCCAGTCATATTCCAAAAAAGATAACCTACATTGAAAAATTCAAAAAGCTTTGTTTTTCTGGAAAAAAATAAAGAAGAAGTCGCTGAAGGGATAGCAGAAATATGCATGTGTTTTGTGCCATGCATATCACTGGAGCCGTCAAGAAAAGAAGAATCTCAAAAACGGATATTGTGGTCAGTGATATCGATTTTCGAATTGATAAAATGCAAAAAATCAAAAGAAGCAGCAGTACTGTCAGACATAATTGATTAAATATCACGATTTTGTACAGATAGTGCACCAAAGGATACACCAAACTCTTAATTAATTAGTTGGAAATACGAAAAGCGCCAATTTCAAATACCTTGCTATCATGATTCTTATTTTTTTTAAACAGCCACACGTATGTTGGGAATAATATAAATATCATGACGAGATATATTGCAATAACTATTAAAATACTTGCAATATAACTAAAAACAATTGGATTTTTCTTAATAGCACTATAGGGATCTCTGTTGAAATGTATCCACAAAGAATTTATTTGAGTTGGAGCATTTTCGAAATACATATTTGCCGCATTGGCATCGAATTAAATTAAAAAATATTAGTAGAGTGTTTTAATTGGCGACTAGGTGTGGCTTAGGTTCAGTAGGTTTTCTCTACTGAATGGCATACCACCTGCACACATCGCTCACCAATATATGCAGGTGGTATGCCGAAAGGTTATGTCGGGGACTCTAGGCGTCGTATGATTTCGTTAATAGCGTAATTTTCTGAAAAATATTTCCGATGGCTTAAATTTGTCTTCCAGACATGAGTGATGAAATCTTGACTCATCTCTTTTAAAGGAAGTTTACACTGTATTGATTTGCTGTCGAGCAATGCATCACACTGGAATATGTCGAGAAATTTAATTTCAAGAGAAGGCAATGAATTGATTGAAGATGATTTGAGTCAACCAAAAAACGCCAAAATGAGATCACACTACAAACAATAGAAAACTAAAAGAGACGCAGAGAAACAGATTGTGACCTGCGAGAAACACCTGGAAAAATGGGCGAGAAGCGTAGATAGAGGGAGAGAGTGAGAGGGTGCTCTACGACGAGACATTTCCATAGGGCGCAGTTGTGGACTATTACAAATTCTATCACATAATTTCAATAGGATTACTGTATCTACCGTGATGTCATTTCGGTTTATAGCCCGTATCTGAAAAGTTCTTCTTGAAGTATTCTCCGTGACATTGAAAAGTGTTGGGTCTCGCGGCGATGTGTTGTTCCGAAATGTATACATAATTACTTTCTACTTGTATTATGGACGCACGAGTAACGAAAATCCGCCGCCAAAAACAATAATTAGCACGCAACCCGTTTTTTTTCCTCATTGCTTCACCACTCGTGTGGTTTCTTTTTTTCATCCCACCCCAGCGACCCAATATTTTCGATGGTTTGCGGTTTTTGTTTCGTCGAAGCTGGCTGGATGATGTTTGTCGGCGGGGGATTCCTGAACGAAAATTGCGTATGCGTTTCGCATATGTCCTTTCTCATTGACGCGGAAATTAGCGTTTCGGCCAAAATTTGGTCGTTTCGAACACCTGTTTTCGGCCCCAATCCCTCCTCCTTCCCTTCACTGACGACGTTGGTTGGCCAATCAACACAAAAAACCATTTGCATAATAAATGTGCTTCGATTTATATGTACCTCTTCGAGGTTTTACTCGCAATTTGTCGACCAGATTTTCGCGTTTCGCAATGATTCGAGATCGTGGCGAGACCCGAATATCGCGATTATTTTAATTGATATTCAATGGATCGTTTTGTTTGGCGAGAATCACTTTGAGGATGCGATTCAAATGAGAACGTTTTGAAATTTGAAAGAGGGATGCATTGCGGATATCGGTGTTTGCGGACTTGCCCAATTTGACGAAATTTTTGCGTTTTCTCGCAACAAAAAAAACCCAACTACTCTGTATAGATTGTTTGATTCGCAGGTCATACGGTACCCTGATGGTCACACCGCCTCCGAATTCATCCGTCCCCAATTAGTCAATTTTCTCGTTTATTCTAGTTTTTCAAGAAAAAACCGCTACTAGAATCAGTCGCTGCGAGACTCGACGAAAAAAATTGTTTGCGCCTTTAACTACCGTATCCAAAAAAATTGTTTTTTTTTGGATTTTTGATCTCAATTTTTAGAAATTTGCGGTTTAGAGATCTGAAAGAAACTTCCGTTGGTTTTTTTCTAAGAAAAGCCGAACTCGACTTTTCTTATCTAGTTTCATTCAACTATTGAACCCATAATTACGGCGGATTTTGTCAATTTCAAAAGTGGGACGATTTTCGTGCGATTTTGCCTCTAAATACTATGTATTTTGTGGTTAAAATTGTCGGCAGAACGATTAAATAAGAATAATGAGCGGGGGATTTTTTTTGAAATGAAATATAGATGGAATTATTTTTGGAATCCGGAAATGACTAAAAAAATGAAAAATCGACCCCCTCATCAAAAATTGTCGTATACCAAATTCGAATGCGATCTGTTTCAAATCGCCGGCGCCGCCGCCGCCCAAAAATCTTCTGATTTGACCGAGATTTTCACTCGTCCCGCCACATTTTTATGTGATATCGCGCCGAGAGATTTGCATATTCGTTCACTTTCAATTTCCATCTGATTATTGTTATTATTATTATCAAATTATTGGAGAAGAGGCGGTCCGGCCGATTCGCAAAATCAGGTTTTAATCAATTCGCCGACGCGGCTTCAATTCTCATTGTTTCCGCAACATTCTGACAACTCTCTTTATTTTCGCCTCCCCGCGCTTACTGGTATACCATTCTATGAAGCATGGAGAACGACTATTCCATCAAGGTCCTGTTTTTTTTTCACTCTTTATTTGTTTTCTATGTATTAATATTTAAGACGCTGAAAATAGAGCAACTCAAATATTTTCAGAGATTCCCCGCGTTTCATAGTTCGGCCGTCGACGATTACGTGGAAGACGAGTTTTGGTAAGATTTTTTTATTTTGGAAAATCTCGTGGAATATTGCGTTTGGTACGCAGTACACCGAATTTTCTATTGCCTGCGCGGCAATTCAATTTTTGATTTGCGCAATGGGAATATGTGTACTGTGGATTACCAAGGTACAGTAACCAGGGTGCTCATTTTTGAAAAAAATTTTTTGTGATATAAAAAATCGAAAATTCAAAAAGTTGATTACTGTAATTCGCTTGGTGTATTGCGTACCAAACGCCATATTTTACGACACTCAGTGAAGAATTGAAGCTTTATTTGTAGTTTAAACTCGTCTATTTGCCATTCAAACTGCTCAGTTTTCGATGCTTTCTTATCAGCTTAAACATGGTTTAAAATCTCCATATTTGCTTCATTTCATTTTTCGTGGCGCCTTCTCAAAAAAAGAATTATTCGATCGTTGTTGTTATCCGAACACACGCCACGTTGTTGTCGTCAGCCGACGTAAAACGGCGAATGCCAAAAGCTAAATAAATACGAGCGCGCGCAGGATTTGCGTTGCTCGCGAGAGCCCACGAAAATAGTGTGCGATTTTGAGAGACGCCGACACAAATGGATCTCGTATTATGCGCGATTCGCATGTGATAAGAGTCCACTTGTTTCTCAGCCAAACGATTCTTTTTTGTTGACCACACCGCCAAATTTTTTTGTTGAGCTTACCACGATTTCCGGTCAGAGATCTTCGAGATTTGCTTTTTTTGAGAAATTTGCCATTGTATGCAATATTGCGCCAATTGAAATGCTTTCTGCATTTTTATACTTGACAAAAATGTCCGAGGGCCAATTGAAATATTTTGGCATTTATTATTTGCTTGCTGACTCATTTTAAATTTAATTCTTCTAATTTTTTTCTTGAATGAATCACTTTAAAAATATGAATTTCCCTTATCTATTTCCTTTTGTATTTTTTTCCACATGCTTAGATTTACACGGCTTTGGGTTTTCATTATTTACTTCAAACTTTTGTTTGTTTTCCTATTCGACATTTTTTTGCACAGTAACATGTCAAAATTTGCTCAAGATCATCAAATTTTTAAAATAAACAATGATAGGAACACCTCGGAAAAAAAGTTAAAGGGGTGAGCGCGTTACGAATATGCACTCAAGTGGCGCCATGTCGTGTGCTTCCGTGGCGCAATAGGCAGCGCGTTCGGCTGTTAACCGAAAGGTTGGTGGTTCGAGCCCACCCGGGAGCGAAACATTTTGTACATCAGCTGTCAAAAAAGCAGGAAAAAAAAACAATTTTTCAGCACTTCTGGCGGCCCGAAAATGTTGCGCGGGCCGGGCCAAAAAGCCGCGGACCCGTTTCAATTCGTCTCGACGAAAGCGGCCGACGAGATGGCGGAGCACGCGAAGAGCACCCTCCATTTGGCGCAACAGCAAAAAATGCAGCGCGACAAATTCCTACAAAAGCAGCAAACGACGAAATTCGACGACAGCGAGCCGTGGCAAGCCGATTTGGACACGTGGCGGCGAAAACGCAAAGAGAAAATCATCGAGACGAAAAATGACGAATTGAACGCGTACACACCACGAAAAGTGAGTTCTCCTCAAAAAATAATGTATTGCGCTATTTGCGGGGCCGCCAACCGAAAAAGACTACAGCGACAAACAAAAATGCATTTTGGTTGGGATGGGGGAGCCTCTAAAATACTGTTGACATTTCGGCGAACAAAAAACTGGCTCATACAAGTTGAAAGTGTCGAGTTGAGTTTTTTTTTAGGGAGGGGGGTTTACTCAATTTTGTGCGCGCACAAACGCACACAATTTTCAACCACTTTTCGTTTTGCTACTGAAAATGAGCGCTGATGGTCCTTTAAGCGTTCTGGCGTGCGAAAACCCGCATTGCCCCTATGTTCAGAATATCAATGTTCTGCGAATCAAGATCACTGGCGACTCGGTACGTTTTATTGGGTTTTTTTTTTCATGACAAAAAAATTGCCAACTAAAAAAATTCAGTTTTGGGTTGCAATTAAATCGAAAAAATGAATTGCAAAAAAACTAGAATTGAAAATTTCAATATGCACAACCCAACGCGCCGATTAATCGCCATTAAATCAAATGGATTGAATGGGACAATAAAAAAAAAACAAGGCGGGGTTCATAAATCTGCCATCCCATGCATAATCCGTTATGCCAATTTTCACTTTCACACTAATGAATTGAGATTCTCGTCGATTTAGTTTAAATAAATAGTTATTATTATTATTAGTTCCTATTGAAGTAAGTCATTCTAATCGTACAAGCTGATCTATCTTTGCGTGAAATCTCGGCGATGATTGGAATTTGGTAATATACCAGCGTTTTTGTTGTAATCGGCGACTCGAATCGCCCCACATTCTCTTTTTTTGGTTGTTTATTCCGCACTGTGTTATTGATTTTTACCCTTATTGCATATTTTATAAACAATTTGGTTTGCTTCCCCCTTATTTGGCTTTTTCTTATGTTAGGTTTAGACAGTCGCGCGGCCTGTTAATTTGTCCGCAGCAATTATTTAATAAGGCCTTAGGCATTTAATGAGCCGCTATCGCTTCTCGGCCTTATGGCTAAGATCATTATTTAGTAACAGTTCTTATCGTATTAACCTACGATATGCGGTCGAAAGATCGCTGATTAGGTTGATTGATTTTTGGAACCTTGGAGGGATTCGGCGCTTGCACCGGCCTTCCATGGGTCGACCCGGCAATGCACTGCCGTCGGGATCGGCCCCGTCCCCGAGGGGACAACAAACAACAATAATTTCTTGGGAACCAACTTCGGTTTTGCTGCTTCTTCGTTCAAATAACAATTGCCCCCCGTTTATATTGATTTTCTGTCCAGCCATGGATGATTGGCCTCGGTGGCAGCGGCTCTTCGACGTCCCACCGCCAAGTGTCACCGATCGCTACGTGCACGTCGAGATGAAATACACGAAAAATGGGCCGACCGATATTGAAATGCACAGAAACGCGCCACGACCGAGTTTCGTCGATCTATTCGACGAAGAGGAGCGAAAATCGCGGAAAAGCGTGACATGGAGTGTAAGGAAGTTTGAAGAGTATCCAAATATATTTTTGCATAGTGCAGAATGACTCAGTGCCAAACCAGCGTGTCTAAACCCATCGTCCTCACTATTGTTGTGTTGCCTAAACGGTGGCAACACGCACGGCGCATAAAAAAATATAATAACATAACAATATAATAATAATATAATACATATGGGGGAAAAGCGACGAGAGGCGTGTTAGTCATTTCAATAAATCGGCGAAATACAAAAATGTTGTTTCATGGTGGGGGGAAGAAAAATACGAATTGTTATGGCATTTATTTGCTATACGGTTCCTCTTCGTTTTCCCCCACCCACCACCAAACCCAACCGGTGCCATCGTTGTACGATTGTAATTAATTTGCGATTGTTGCAGGCCAAGGACGAGATCCTTCATATCAATTCGAATTCGTCGCGCGAGCCAGTCAACTCGCCTCGTCAGCATTCCGAGTCGACGTCGTCACCGAGGTCCAGCGACGATTTGAACAACGATAGCGGAATTGACAATCGAACCGTCGGATCGCCGTCGACGTCGGAATTCTCGCCGCGAAGTGAGTGTCATCGATTGCGACAAATTGCGTATTGCATCATAATTGACGACAAATTGCTGATTTTTATTTGCCAATGCGAAAATTATCATGCAATTTCGCGTATTTCAATCATTTGCCGACTCGTTATTGTCCGCAGCTAGATTTTATTAATGATATTCATTTTTTGGAGGCGCCGATTTGTTTGTGTCGCCGAAGAGTGTCGACGACGAGGAGCCGCCGCACCATCCGCCTCCACCGCCGCCTGTTGAAGACGAGAAGCTTGATCAGGTGCTGGTGCCGATCAATTACAAGAAGCCTGACTACTCGACGTCATATACACCGATATACAAGAATCGAGAGCCGAAAGATTACTATGATCGAAGGAGTCTTCTGAGAAGCGACGACGGCGAGCCACAATCGTACATCGAGACGAGCAAGTACATTGAGAAGAGCTCGTATACGCCGATGGCTTCAGCGAGAGTCGAAGCGACGTTCAGACAGCCGACGCGCGAAGGCGTCAAACCGTTTGTGTCGAAAACGGCGATAGAGACGAATAAAGAGAAAAATGGTTGGTTCCCTTTTTTTTGAAGAAGCAAGAGATTTTGGAACATCGAGAATTTCAGAAAATATTGACGTCACCGTTGAGCTGAATCGCGAGCAGAAGGCGACGATCACCGCGACGAAATACCCGCGATCGAATGAGTTCGTTGCTGAGCCGAATGTCGAGCCGACGTTGAGACATCAAAACGCGCCGTCGCGAATTTATCACGCCGTCGACATTCCGTTCGACGAGACCTATTTTCCGCCGTTGAGGCAAACGCATACGGTAACAATCGTTTCGATGAGATGCATGAACTGCGTTTGATTGTTAAGAGCGACGGCATGTTCACGATGAACATCGAGATGGGATCGCAGCCGGTCCACAAGGGTTTGGGATTCGCAGCGACGCGCAAAGACGACGGGCGGCTCGTTGTCGACTCGGTGATTGTTGGCTCGCCGGCCGACAAGGCGGGCCTGCTCGTCGGCGACACGATCGTCTCGATCAACGGCGAGGACATGGTCGATAAGTATCAGTCGGCGATCTCGCGAATCCTTCACGACGCCGCCCGCGTCGGCGAGGCCGACGTTTTGATTTTGAGAGCGCGTGAGTTGTCGCCGAATGATTGCCGTTCGTTGTCCCCAATTTGACCCGTTGCAGCCATAACACGAAAACCTCCCACTCACACCAACACCACCACCACCACCCTTCACCAGAAACCGCCACCAACACCCGCGTCTGGTACGAATTTCGATAAGGCTCGTTCAGTGTTCATCGAGAACAAATCGTTCGACTCGTACGCCGAATTCAAGCGCAAGCATTCGCGAGCATCGCGCGATTCGACTGTGTCGTCGACGCGCTCATCGAGGGATTACAATAGTCTGCCACGTGGCACCGCGCCGATCGTCGAACGAAAACGCGACGCGTCGTTGTCGAGTAAGTTTTTCGGCTGTTTGGCAATTTTTTGTATATAGGCGACTGCTGTACGCGGGTAGATTTACGCGCATGCGCCTTGAAAAGGTCTCACCACTCGTGAATGCTTATTTAGTTGTTTTCACGCGAACTGCTTCATTTTTCTTGATGAGTTTCGCATTTCCTTGAATTTCCAACGTCATTCGATTAAAAAATTATCGAACCGGTCCATAAAAATTGAAATAACCTGTTAGTCCTTGCGAGACCATTTCGAAAGACGCATTCTACCCGCGTACAGTAGTCGCCGGATCAAGCTGCGGACAGACGTCCGGGACATCTCGACATCATAAGACACTAGTTTATTTGTTTTCGTCAGATACAGGCTATCGAACCGCGCGTGAGAGTTTCGCGACGCCGAGAAGCAGCTTCAGAAGCACCGACGACTACAAAGTGACGACGTACCACGAGAAGAGCAATCCTGGAAAATTGGCGGACTTCGTGCCGGAAATCGATCGTCGTCACCGGAATCTCGATGAGAAGAACGTAGACGCGCCGCCGCGCACAATTCGCAACTATCACGTGTCGACGGAAAATGTGGCGGTAGATCAAAACATGGTTTTTTGGGAATCGATTCGATTTTTTTCCAGAAAACCAATATGAACTACGAGGGGCGACGAGACGGCGAACAGGAAAGTGCCAGTGCAATTTTGAAGCGATCCACACTGCCGAGAAGTGTGAGTGTTGGGCGAAATTCGAATTTCCAACAAAACCACGACGCCAACAAAAATTTTCTATTTTTACATTGATATTCTGCGAAAGACGAAAAAAACCACTACAAGTGACTCATATTTTTTCCATATAAAAAGCTGCTGAAAAGGGAGAGGGGAAAAAATTTGATTGTACGATTCGTACACACATTTTCGTGTAAAATGCTGTGCTGTCGTCGGCCGCGACGCTCGAAAAGTAGTACTGTAGGTTCTTTTTGTTTTGCACTCCCCCCCCCTTTGTCGTGTCAAGATCCTAGGTTGCATTGAATTGAATGCCGAGAGACGACATAGAGGGGGCTCGGAATTGTTTCCGGGCGACAAAAACAAATATAAAAGATGCGCCACGCATCATTTTTATTGTATTGAAATATCGACGAATTGTGTTTTTGGCAGGGTGCCAATTGGAGAAATGACTACTCGGACGATGAAGTGCCACCGACGCCCATAGAAAAGGTTCGTTGTCGAGTGTTTTTACCCTTATTTGGCCTCGCCCTATGTTACGCATAGACAGTCGCGCTGGCCTGTTAATTTGTCCGCAGCAATTATTTAATAAGGCCTTAGGCATTTAATGAGCCGCTATCGCTTCTCGGCCTTATGGCTAAGATCATTATTTAGTAACAGTTCTTATCGTATTAACCTACGATATGCGGTCGAAAGATCGCTGATTAGGTTGACTGATTTTTGGAACCTTGGAGGGATTCGGCGCTTGCACCGGCCTTCCATGGGTCGACCCGGCAATGCACTGCCGTCGGGATCGGCCCCGTCCCCGAGGGGACAACAAACAACAATATTTGAAAAGGTTTTTCGAGGGCGCGAATTCTCACAGTCTATTGTTGCATTTTTGAAATGATTTTCTTGTTTCGCAATAAAAGAAATCCACAATTTTTGCTTGCAACTCACAATTTTCTCCTGTTTGAATGTTTCTAACACACTACTAAACATTTGTTATCTAACTTTTCTAGGCTCACACACCTCTACGAAGTGCGCTGAAAAAAACGAATCATCAGGAAACGCGTAGATATCATTCGACGGAATCGCTTATCCGTCGCCAATACCAATATTCGTCGTCTGACGACGAAGAAAACGTTGAGTCGTTCTACGCTTCAATGCGACGCCAACAACGCGGCGACGACGTCAACATGGTCGGCATGTACGACGATACGGCTCGATCAAGAAGTGTGTCGAACACGCGACGCATGCGCGACGCTCGCGCCGACATTAGTCCAGTTACCCATCGATTCTATGATCGAGACGGGAATCACGTTCGAGCTCCACGCGAGCGATCAACGGACATCGCGATTCAGCGGGAGTACGGTCGATCGCAACAAGACCTCAACCGCGAGATTTATCGATATTCGGAGTTGAAAGAGCTCGAGGAGCGAATGCGTCAAGAGCGTCGAGCGTTCATTGAGCAGGTTCGTGTGTAGTTCGTAGTCCGTGTTTCTCGGTGGCGGTTTGTAGCACTTAAATGTGATCGTAGTGGGTCGTCTGAAACTCTAACAATTTCACAAACGGTGATTTTTTGAATAGCGAGAAATGAAAAAAAACGGTTGAGAGCGAGTTTTAAAAAATATTATGGCGTTCAGGAATCGCGCGATTGGCGTGAAATGATCAATCAGCAACGGCAGCCGGCGCCTGGCTATCAGCACGATCGGCGTGGAATCGCAGCGACGTCGGCATCGCTCAGGTACGAATCCAATAGGCGCCTTGAAACGAGCATTACATACAGTAATCTACCAACGTACATCAATCGACGAATGGAGAAGGAGCGGCAAAATGGTGTGACTGAGAAATATGAGCGCGATGAGTATAATCGGGTGGAAGAGGTTCGGAATTTGGAAAAATTCGCCGACTATTGAACAAATGTGGAGTTTTTAGCGGACTTTTCCGGTGCCGAGTGAAAGGAGCACAAAGAAGACCAGCGAAAGGATTGAGACGCAGACGAAAGAGGAGACGGTGGTCGCGGTGAGCGGCAAACACAAATGTGCGCATTGTAACGAGGAGCTTGGTAATTTAATGGAATCGCAATGGAAATTGCAAACGCTGAAAAATTTCTAGGCCGCGGCGCTGCCATGATTGTTGAATCCCTTAATTTGTATTATCATCTTGCCTGCTTCAAATGCTATGTCTGCAAAACTTCCCTAGGTATGCGGACGGGATTTGAGTTTTTTTCACAAATTAATTGCTCATCTAGGATCCGGAGCGACTGGAGCCGACGTTCGAGTTCGCGATGGCCGCCTTCACTGCCAAACATGTTACAGTAACGATCGTGTACAATTGAGCAAAGTGTAATCAAGTGCACAATCTTTAAGCATGTGTGTATTATCCCATTCGAAACTTTCAACCTGTGATATAATTGCATACTATTCAAGAAATTCGAGTTATAGTCATTTTATTAATAAATTCGCATTTTAGGTGTGTTTTTGTTAATTTGTGTAGTACGGTTTCTGTGAAAGTCCGCAGACACGTGACGCATTGGGGAACGTCTTTTTTTTTGCAAATAAAAGTTCCATTTTTAATTCGTTTTGGGTGTCGTTTTCGTAATTTTCAATTTCAGATAGTAGTTAGTGTAGAAATACTGAAATTTCAAAGTTTTTAGCAAGCAAATAAAATAATCGATGATTGAAAAACTAGTAAATTTGCAGAGCGTTTCGATCAAAAATATTGTTGCATTTTTATTTCGAATTTTTTCCGAACAATTCCGATAAATTTGTCATTGAACATCATTGAAGCAATAACATTGATCATTCCGTGCAAGAAACGCTTTTAATGACAAAGCGCGGGGAACGAACGCTCTCGCGGTCGACGGCAATATTCTGCCGGCTTCTCCGGAATTGATGCGTTGTTTCGCTCGCCTGGTAGTACACACGCCTGTCCATCACGAAGGTGGCCAGTCAGCCAATTCATTTTGCAACTTACAACTTTTATTTGAACAAATTCGTTGTATTTTTCAAGGTGCTGAAACAAATTTTCTCATAAACTCAATCGAATTGAATTGCGCGCGAAAATGATTCACAGCGGGTCGCCGCCCGTTGTCTCTCATTATTGTTTTTTTGTTTCTTCTTGGTCTCATATCAATTTTTCTCTTTTCGAAATATTAATCTATTTCCAGATTATTCTATGCATGGATGTGCCGACGCTGTTCCGCAGCCCGAATGGCACGATGTCGAAGAAATTCCGGATTAAAACGATTCGCGGTAAGGCTTGTTGGGCTGAATAAACCGTTCACACCCGAATGCACTAAATAATGATGATGATCGGGTCGAGTCGATTGCGCGTGTCCATTGTGTCCAAATAAGTCCCTTTGTTGTCTCGAGACGATTTTTAATCCATATTCATAATTCTTTTCTTGGTTTTGTTAAGGGAGATTTCCAAAAAGATGGACTGCTTGCAATTTTTTTTAATCCATGGCAGGTACCAATTTTGGAAGAATATTCGTGTGGAAATCGTATGATTTTAAATACTACTACGTTCGTAAGTTTATTTTAATTCTACTCACGTATAATAAAATACTAAACGCAACGCATTTAGCTAATACATATTTGCAACAGAAAATTGATACTGTGTTTTTTTAATTTAAAAAAAAAGGTATGGAGGTTTTTATGTTAGCTCTTAATTTTAAATTAGTTTTCATGGCATCCTCTTAGCTTTTGAAGAATTTTCCAGATGCTGGGAAAATGATAATCGATGACCAAGCGAGTATGAATTTTTCTCGGAATGAAATAACTATTCAACATTTTTCTAAAATCTTCATTTATTGTTTCTAATGAAAAATTAAACTTGTCTTTTTCTGAAAAATGCTCAAAATTATCGAAATCGTGTCTTAAAGTTGTCGTCAATATAAGACAATCTATGTTTTTCGAATCGCATTCTGACTTCCATAAAAGCTTGGGCAAAAATCAGAAAATAGTGCGAAAATTTGGGTGTGCATTAAATGATTGGCGCACCGATTTCCGGCGTGTGCCGTGCGATGACATCCGTTTGACTAACGAGGTCCCATTGTGCCGATGACTCACCCGTTTTTCATTTTTCATCGTTAAAACTTTCCCGAGATGTGTGTCTATGTTCCCAGCACAGTCATTTCGTATTAGCATGATTGGTTGCGACTTGTGTATGTTTTTTTTTTATTCAACCCCTACCCCCTCCCCCATACCTCTCATTACTAATGTATTATAATTGGTGTGACGAGCGAGATCATCCGCCACAGCTGGTGCCATCCTGTTGCGCCAGCCTGCCTACACCAATATGGTGGCTGGGTGGCATCTGATTTCAGCCTAATTAGTGTTGACGTCGAGTTTACTAATGTTTCATGACTTCTCTTTAAGGTCATGACGAATTTTGAACAGAGATTTTTAGAACTATTTTTTTCAATAATTTCTCCCATCCCCCCCCCGCGAAAAAAAAAATTCATGAATTGGGACCCTCAAAATTTGCTGACATATTGATGATGGATTTTGACGTTTTTGTCATTCGTTTTACGAACACATCTTGTTTTAGTCGCTTCGCAAATAAATTAATAATTCTGTCAAGAGAAAATGAAATAATTCTGAGACGAACGAATTGTTTTATTTTTATAATATATATTTTTTGAAAACTAATTTCTCATTTTAAATTTCAAGAAACTGAAATTTCAGTGGGGATACGGTATTAAAGGCGCAAGCATTTACTAGTAATGCTCGCGGTGACGTTTTGTTTCGAACCAGGATGACTGTAGACGAACACGTTGTGATACTGTTGCAATTGTGTGCGATATTTCAAATTTTGTCATTTTTATCACCTCCAATCATCATCACGAGCCGAATTTCATCGGATGCTCTTTGTCTAGTCGGAAACATGTGCTCACAGCTGCTCGTGTTCCGTTGCTCTCCGCAAAATGTTTCTTGTCGTTTTTTTCTTGTCAGCCGGTGGCCGCCAAAAATATCGATTTTCTCCCTCCCGTGATGAATTGTTTTTTTTTTGGCTTTCAGACGAGCTTGAGCCGACCGCCAATGATACGGAACACATGAAGGAGCCGTCGAACGATTCATCGAACACGAATTCGAACACGGACACCAACACAACAAGTCGGTGAGCGCATTTTGAAACGTTTTCGCAATATACCGCATTTTTAGCAAGAAAGTGATTCAGAAATTTCTAAAATAGATTTTTGGGAGATTTTTTGAAGTAAAAATACACTCAATGCGGAGAAAAAAAGGAAAAATAATCATTTTTCTGAGTTGAAATTTTTGTCAATTTATTATTATTAATATTCCTTTTAATTTACGTGAAACCTAAAATGACATGATTAATCAATTCTTTATTAAAATACTTGAACAATTCGGTGAGTTTGAGTTCGATTTTTTTCGTGTCTTAGAAATAATTTTCAGAAGTGATGCCGCAAAAATTCCCGTACTCGCTGTTGGCACATACCATCGCAAAGAGCCGGCGCCGATTCTAGCCGCAGCTGCACTCCAGGTTCCGACGACATCGAAAACGCAAAAAGGTTCCTTCTTTTTTCGTTTTTTTTCTCCCAACCTCTATTGTTTCGCGCACGTTTTTTCTGTTGGTGGTGTCGTGTTGAATTGAATACTAACACCTGCGGTTGAATGGATTCGCGCGCGCGAAGACGCGCGAGTTTCTCGCCGGTTATTCATCAGCGCTATTTTGATAGCGGCCGCCCCACGAGTTTTACAACCGTTTCCGTCCGTATACGGTTGGCAATTTGTCGCGCACCTTGTTTGTCCTTTGTAAACTCTGCCAATTACGGTTAGTAGCCGGGTGCGAGTGGTTTACAGGTGTTCGGTTGGACGAGAATCTTAAAGGCGTTGCCGACCGTCAATAGATGATGGCCCATTGGTCCAGCCGCATTTGGCTTTTGTCAGCGATTTGTTTTGACCCGACGCTGCTGCTTTGTGTTCATATTTATATTTTTTATTGTGCTCTTACATGGCTGTATAGCAAATATGCATACATATTTGGGATTAAGGGGAGCCATCAACCGAAATCTCTCTTGTGGAATTTTTTTTAATTAACCGAATCGCTCGTAAATTGATCCCTCGAGATGATGTATTATAGAATGTGGAAAACATTTAGAATTTTGAAATTTTTGCTGATAAATTGACCTGGAATTGAGAAATTTGTTAAAACTCGAGAAAAATTCAATGAGGAGAGAAAGGGAAGAATTCATTGTTTTTTTTAATTGCAAATTTTTTCGATTCAGCTCTGTTAAAGTGTAATGGGTACTGTAATTAAATTATGAAGAAAACCGCTAAATTCTTGTTGCCGTACGTCTATTTATTCAAAGTTACTGTATTATTTTTTATTTGAGTGATTGAAATTTTCTTGTTTTTTTTTATTTTATTTTACAGGAATTGAATTCCTCGACATTGTCATGAATTTAGCAGAATAATCAAAAATGATAGTCTAAAAAACTCGAAAATAAAGACGCACGGCATCAAAATTTCTAGTGGGTCTCACCGATTTCTTAATCATCCAATTACAATATCCATTTCATTTTTTGCATCACTGCAATTAGAAAAATGTGTGATTTTTTTAAAACAACTTTATTGCATAAGTCCATAAGTGTTTTCTCTCAAAATCCTCACCGAATCCCCCGTTTGCTAGACGGATCTCGAAATATTCCCAAACCGTTTCCATTAAACGCTGCATTGATGATGTAAACCGTTCCGTTTTTCGTCGGCAGCCAACGGCCAAATGTGCTGCTTATCGTCCTTGACTTTTTATTATTATTACTACTTTTATATATATCGCGCTTTTTGCCAATTATACACGCACCGCACTAATTCACCATCGTAGTTCGTCGTTACAATTATAATGCTATTGTTATTATGCTTGGCTGGTGGTATGCATGTATGGTATGAGGTGATGGAGGAGGTGGTGGTGGTGGTGGTTGTCACCCAATGAATCACACCCTATTCGCAAAACCCCGCTGTCTCTATCGTCGCCGCTGCCGCCATCGAGCACCGTTTACGGCTCATTTATTGGCCGTAGGTCATTTTGCGGTTCGAACCGTAACACACACATATACAGATGCATGTATGCATGCTAATCGTAACGCCCATCCGCCTCCCCATCACCTCGCACCTCTTCTTGTCCCCTCACCCTAAAAAAAGAAGTTCTTCGTCTCCTCATGGCTTGTGTTGAATGTTACGCCATTTCTAATGTCATTGGTCTTTGAAACGGCCCATCTCTCATATCATTTGCTTTTTCAGAATAATTATATTATTATTATTATTATTATTCAAGACGTCGTTGTTCCATTGTTGGTTGTAATAGTTTAGAATGATGCTTTGTGAAATTGGAATCGCAGATGAATTTTTGCTTTTTGCAAAGCGCAATTTTGAACAATTATTTTCGAGGGGCCTTCATTTCTGATTATGGGGCGAATTGAATGTTTGCGTAACCAATAGGCATACGAACGTTGTTAAATTGATAAAAAAAAGTTTGTTTGCACACTTGACAACAATTTCCGTTTTTTTGGGGGGAGGGGGGTGCGATGCCTCGTTGTCGTCGTCGTGTCCGATCGGAATAATTGCACAATTAGAATCAAAGGCGCCTGCAATAAATCGCCAGGCGACAATTTACGATCATCATTCGGATGTATGTCGGACGGGGGGAGTTTTTTGCTTGGCTGTCCCCCTCGTGTTCGTCCGGAATGCGACTAGTTTACGTCGGGATCGAATTAAGGCCTTCAAGTTTTAATCAAACGGTCCTAAAATGAGCAAACAATGCATTTATATTGAATATTAGTGTCGCCACGACCCTTCGCATTCTGCCGTTTTCTCTTTATTCCCTTCAAGCATTTATTTCCATTTCGAGTTTTTGTGAATGAAATGCTTTATGAGGCTTGAAATTTCCTGTCCTTTGCTTTGCGTTCTCCATCATTCCTCTTGTGCCCTATATGAGGAAAATGATATACTTTTGTATTCGGCCTTTTCTCTTTTTTCCCACCCTTTATGAATCGACCGCATAAAACAATATTTTTACTATGAGGGCCCGCCCGAGCGCGCGCGCGCTGTCGGCGCCACTCCCCTATGACTCAATGGGAATCATTGGCGATACACGGTTTTGATGAGCTCATCAATTTCCATTTTTTTTTCTAACCAAGAATTTGATCTCGAACTGATTTATTGTGATCTTAAGTTGCTTTTGGGAAGAATTGTTGGGTAATCTATCATTATTGGTTTTTCGCCATCGCACACTTTTTTCCGCTCAGGCAAATGAAAAAAAATATTTTGAGACAATTCTAAAATCTTATGAGGTTCGTTGAGAGGCTAACGTGTCTCTATAATATTTTAGATTTGTCTCAATAAACTTTAGGAAATCTCATAAGATTTTAGAATTTATCAATAAGTTTCAATGAATATTGTGAGACTTTAAAGTGTATCAATAAGTTTTAGATTTGTCTCAATAAACTTTAAAGTTTATCAATAAGTTTTAGATTTGTCTCAATAAACTTTAGAATATATCAATAAATTTTAGATTGTTCTCAATAAACTCTGTCCAATATTATGTAATATCATACGTTATCGAGCAATTTTCACACAAATAGAATGTAATAACATCCATAATAATTGAATATGTATGAACATTTCATTTATTACAATATTAATGCGAAATGAATATATTAATAATAAAAATCAGAAAAAAATAAATGAATCAATTTATTCTTTTCGCATTTTCTCCTTTTTCTGCGAATGACGCACAACGTTGCTATAAGGAATTCGTTGCATATATTGAAAGAAAATGTTGAACTTACAAATTTTGATGATTGAATTTGTCGTTTTTCGATTAATTTCATGAGTTCTTTGCGATAAAATGACTTCTTAATTAAATCCGGATTCGCGTTGAAACGAATTTTCAATGAAGTCACAATCTCGTGATATAGTTTATAGCTGAAAATTGCCAGTTTTAAAAAATAACTGAATGAGTCTAACTTTCTCAAAATACTATATCCAATCCCGTTTGTCTGTTCCGAGCACATGTTTCTCTTGATAACGTGATAAATGTGCTCATGCGCTTGCGTGCTTATTGCCGACAGCTGACCATGACATTACTGTACAAATGGTATATAAGTTGCTGAAACAATAAATACAGTAATCATTAGTATTATTTCTTATATCAACGACAATAGCATGATGCTACAACGTTCAATAACTCTTAAAATTGCAAAAAAAAACGACTTACGTGCACTTTTGAACCAGAAAACAATCGAGGCGCCCCATCTAAAATTAGAATTTCTAATAATTTGCAAATACCTGCGATCTGAAATAAAAATTTTCTATTATGTACATAGCTAACGATCCCATATTACATTGTTTGGTAATGTTGTATTTGTAACTAAGCGAGTCGGTGACACCATCCATCGGTAGCAGGCATGTATAAGCAACACAACAGCTGAACCTAACGGAGGGATGGTTCCGATCATGGCGTTAGAAACAATTTTCACTTCAAAAATCTTCAAAGGATGATAATTGCAAGTGGTAAATTAACTTACACTAGCTTTTTCGGACCTATTAATGTCATTGAATTTTCCTGATAGCGACTTTACCGAAGATGGCAGTCTCGCTTTCACATCAATAGCTTCGCATCGAAAAATATTTATTTCGTTTTTAACGAAGACTTCTAAAAGACAATCTTCAATTTTTAAATGCTGAAAAAGGAGAGACATAATTGAAGTACCTTTTATTATACGTGTTCCCTCGTGAAAAAGGTGGAAAATATCCATGGCCGTGATCCACATGGGCACCTGCTCAGTGAATTTGCTGTATTTACCTCGTTCCTTAAATCTATCGGCCAATGTTTCTGGAATATTTGTTCCACACTTTTCCCGATCTTCTAAAATATCGAAATCATTAGAAACTGAAGTATAATTGTAATTAATTGTAATAATTGTGCGTGTTTTTAAAATTCATGAACCTGTTCATGCAATGACATGTTTAGACACAACTGTTTCAAATTCAGCATGTAAAACAATGCAGATTTAAGGTAGTGTTAAACATTTATTATAAAAACTTGCATTTCATGAATACGTCCATCACTGAAGTGAAGAAACTATTACCAAAAGCTAAAAAAAACGGAAGGAACATCAAAAACATAAATTATTTATTGGAATTTAGGAGATCTTAAAAAGAGACGCCGCAAATTGCGTCAGTGGAAGTCATAAGGGCCCTATTCAAATTTTAAAGTCTCACAATATATTGAGATACTTTACACTTTCTCAAAAGATTTAACTTTCTCAAAAGATTTAATTTACAAATTCCAAATTTTTAAAATTTATTGATTCTCAATAAGTTTTAGAAAGTATCAATAGACTTTAGAATTTCTCAAAATATTTTAGAGTTTATCACTGAATATTTGATTCTCAAAATATTTTATTTGATTTGCCTGAGCGTTGTAGTAATTATCACATTCCAAGGTTCGACGGGAAATTTCCTGCGACAGCTCAGTTGACCCTTTAACCGGCTTTGTGCGCCTGACAAGTTGTCGTTGATATTATTCTTTTTTTTTGCGAGTCTTGTACTAGTAGACCATGTAATATGACACCCTTTTGATGTACATATACCGGTATGTAACAGTTGGCCGCTCGTCCTTTACATACTTCTCGGCTTTGCCGACCTCTTTAAAGATTTCCGGTTGCGGTGGTCCCGCCGAGCAAATCGAGTATGATTTATGGCTTATGATTGCCGAGTTGTTCGGCGCGATTCCTTTAATCTGTGTTTGTATATGTGTTTTGTAAGGGTACCATGCAGATTTTGAAAGAAAAAAAATCACTTTTGGTTTTAATGGACCCGTTATGTTTTGAAAAAAAAGGTTAAAAATTTTGATTAAACATTTATTTTCATAACCGTAACTTCGACTTTAAGCTTCTCTGATCACATCCCCAATAATATTGGGTAGCTGTCTTATTTGCTCTTATCTGGCTACCTTTATCAATGCGCCTCCGTTCCTCCCAAATATGGCAATCGGTTTGACTCACATGGTGGCGTTCGATTTGCTTGATAAAGTCGTCAATTTGGCAGAACATCAATAAATCACACCATTCCTCCCTCTTCCCAATCCAATACATAATTGTTATTCTATCGCTGCATTTCGGATATTGGCAATGAGTGTTGCGCAATACCCGTTCGGTGGTCTCGCCGAATCGCCAACTCTCTCTCTTGCCCATCAGACGTCTACCGTATCAAAAGTTTGCTTATCGTACTAGCGCGATGGTCAACGTCGCGATGAGGTCAATCGTGGTTAGAGATTTTTTTGCGCTCACGACGAGGTCCATCTGTTGCCTTAAATATCATATTTAATATAGATTGATTGTGTGTAGGTGACTATTGGAACCAAACTAGCCCTGTCGTTTCGTGTCCAAATTTTCAAATATTCGTTTTTTTTTCTCCCGTCGCCAAAACTATTTGTGAGGAGAAAAACGCGTTTTTGGTGTGCGCGGCAACACGCGGGAAATTTTATTAGGGGGTGGGGCATTTTTGGGACCGATGTCTTCCATATTTGGCGCACGTTTTTCGTCGCCGCCAACTTGGGCGGGTGGTTTCGAAGCGCAAAAACTCTGGCGACATAATATTTGCATAATATATTTTTTGGCACCTGTCCCCCCGCACGCAACTCAACTCGAACCCTCTTCAACGACATCATCAGCAACAACAGTGCAAATCAAATAAAATGTACCTCTCATCGTCTCGTCAATGTGTTGTTGTTCGAGTAGATCCGGTCCCAATATTTATGGTCCTTTCCTTCCCGCTCCTTCTAAACAGTATAGGCGCTTTTTGGGTTTTTTGAAATGAGATGAGTTACCAGATGTTTTATCGGGGAGCACTTTGTGCTCCATCTTCAATTGATGCGCTTGTTATTGTAGAATTCTGTGATGCGCTCAAAACGCTATTGTTTTCGCCAATTCCCTAGTAAGTTGTTTCATTGTTGTTTTTAGGATTCGACGCCATTTAGGTACTTAAAATAAATTTTATTTGATTTTTGCGAGATTTGACATCCGTGTGGCTGTTTTGCTCATTAAGAAACGGAAACTTGAATTTCAAATATGGTTTTAAATCACTTTGTCACTTACTTAGATTTATTACTATTAATTATCTGCGAGTCGGGTTCTGATTGCTATATTTTTTGTTAATTGGGGAGGGGGGGGTCATTTTACTTTTAGGCAATATTGACTAGCGAAGAAGCTCCCTCACGTTTTTTTAATCATCATCAAAATGCTGACCGATTTTTTTCCCGAGGGCACAATTTTCGCACCTGAATTATTAATTATCTGTTGGCACAATTTTTCGCGCCGCGCGCATTTAAAATTCGCATATTGTGAAGGATGGAAAAATTGCGGCGATTTTAAAAACATTTTGAGGGAGGCTGTTTGTGCAATGAATTAGCATTCCGAAAGACGGTTTTTTGGCGCTTCGTCGTCGTCGTCGTCCACCCCCACGGACCGACTTTGCCCCGTCCGCCGCGATTTTCATTATTATCGCGAGACGAGCTTTTGCGTTCAACATGTGGCGACGGCCCAGTGGTGGTGGCGAATCACTTCTTCTTTCTTCTTCTTTTTTTTTGAAAGCCCATTGTCCACCCATTTTGTGTGGAATTACATTAATTTTGAGCGTCGGACGCGATGGTGTGGAAGTGTGAACTTTTGACAAAGAATATTTGATGTCAGCCGTTTTTTTTATTTGCATCTTTTTTTTTGAAAATTTCTACGTTTTTCATAGCTTGTTACTGAGAGAAAAAATTCGTATCGCTGAGGGACTCAACGCAGATTGCTCTCGCCTTTAATTACCGTAACCAAAATGTTTTCTGTTTTTTAATTATTTAAAAAGTCGAATTGTGCCGGCAATCGATTTCCGGCACTAATTTTCAATTCAAAAGTGGTTTTTTTTAAACATTTTATATTTTTATGCAATTTATGCACTTTTGAAGAAACGCAGTCTAAGTAATTGATTAAAGGCGCGTAATGCGAAAAAAATGTGATTTGGGTCTTGTGGCGACTGATCTTGGCAGCCGCGTGCCGAATTACGGTGTTCGCAGGTAATCAGAAATACGGTACCTGAATTCGGAATGTTTGCAATCGATATTTGAATTACCGTCGCAAAAAATGCGATGGTCCACAATTATTCAAGGAGTTCGTTATTTTGCGATGGTAATTGTGTAAATGGAATGTTGAGAATCCTTTGGGCTACACTCATCGGTTTCGCATTGCGATTCTCGAGGTAGTACACTTGTACCAACCTCTTCGACGCGCGCGCGACCTATATCTATCCTCGTATATTGGGTCCATTTCGTCTAGTGCGACTATTTTGCACATTTCGTGGCTAACAACACCCACTGGTCGCAATGGGGTGTCCAGTGCTGCTTATGTTTTGCTTATTGACTAATTAATAAATTTTGTTAATCACGAGATTTGCCATTATTGCGTTTTGCGTTCGAATTAAAAAAAAACATGCATTATCGTTCCAATTTTATTTATTTATATATTAAAATAAACATTCTCAACTCGATTTTTTTCATCCCTAACAATTTGCTTTTGACTTTTTCTTTTGTTGCAGAAAACCCGCCGCCGCCGTTACCGCATCCGTCAGAGTGCGATCAATCGCCGCCGCCGACTGTCGAGATGTTCCAGAAGCAGCGGGCGTCGTCGTCGCACGGACCACCGCATCTGCATCTGCAGCAGGGACCGCCGCCGGCGTGGCAGCCGCCGCGTCCGCCCGGACACGAGCACGACTACACTAATGACTATGAGGATCCCGAGGAGATGGCAAAAAGTGAGTGAATCCTACAAATTTGAGTCCTGTGCGCCGTGACCGGAACGGTGTCCGCAGATGAATCATAGAGAATCGCCGCGCCATTATGCATTGAAACTTGACAATGCCAAAAATTTAATTTCGAAAGACAATTGCTCAATTTTTTGTTTTTGTTGTCTTTTCAGATGCTCACGCCAATTTGCTAATGAACACGACGCCGTCTTCCAATTATAATTCGTATGAGATGTCACTATCTCAGCAGGTTTCGAGACAACAACGTTGAATCTTAAAATATCGGTGAATTTCAGCGACGCTCTCAGCAGCAGCAACAACAGAACGCCATCGCTCCGCCGATGTTGGATTCGTGGAATATTGAAGGCGGAGGTGTGCTTCATAAGAATGCCGACGGAGCCTATTATATTCCATCGGGCTCTTGTAAGTTGTTTCGTTCTTTCTTTCTCGTCGTTTTTTTTGCTGAAATTTTCTAATTGGGTTTCCCTTATTTGGTTAGACTCTGTTCCCTTTTCTTCGAAAAAAAAAGAGTATCTTTTCCTCATATGGAGATCCGCTTTTTTATCGGTATTATTGCGCAATTACAATCAAAAGACACTTGACTACCAATTGCCCAAAAAAAGGCGCGCCGTATTTTTTTGTTTGTTTTCTTGTTTACTCAGCCAAAGGACCGAAACCCCCTACCCTGTGTTTCGGTTTTTCTTGATTGACCTCTTGTATCCAAATATGGGCGTACATTTATATATATATAAAGGGGGTATTGGTGTTTGTGATTCGATTTAGCTGTGAGACTGGTGGCGGGCCCGGATAATTATAAGGTGGTGAAATTGAGTAATATAATAATCGAAAGGAGGCAAAGGTTAAGACGGATTTTTTTGATTGAATCGCAATTTTTGGATTTTCGCGTTTCCCAGAATTCGTTGGGCATTTGAGGCATTAAAATTATTTTTTTTAAGCAAATCCCGCATTCCCGTAAGTAGGGGTCTAGTTGAAAAGAAAAAAATACATTGAAAAACCCATAAACGTCGTGCTCGTCGTAATAAATTCGTCAACGAACAATATTAGTGGCGATGCTCATCTTTTTTGTCGTTTACACAATTAGAAATTCGATGTGATTAATAAAACATTATGGTCGACCTCGCACCACCCTCGGGCTCTCTCGGTCCTTAAATTTGAATGAACCCCTTCAAGCTTGTCTTGTTGTTATTATTATTATATTGTTTTTGTTGACGGGGGGGGGGCTTCCCGCGGCGAATTGATGATGTTTCGAACCTGCCTGAGAGTGGGCGGAGCTGGCGTTTTGGCCGCTAGGCAGCCCCACTCCCCCTCCCCCTACTTCATCGTCTCCCCCCCCCCTTTCCAGTGCTACGTTGAGCTTTTTTGCATTTTGCATATGGCAATAATTTTCAATATATTATTGTTTTTGTATGAGTTCAATGCGATATTACTCGATTAACAGTAGCATTCGAAATGAATAACTATTCGGATGAGCCCGTCTATTATGCGACGGCGAATTTGGTGCCGCCGCCGTCGTCGCGCAATCGCGTCGTTTACCGGATTCCGCCGTCGCCGCCGCATTATGCGTATTGCACGAATAATCAAAGTAGGCGAAGTTCTGAGCCCAATTGAAAATCATAGAAAATTGATTGTCTTTTATTGAAATATGCCTTGGAGGAATTTTTGGAAAAATTCCAAAAATTGGAACAAAAAAGTTTTTCCTCGGAAATTTATGAGGGAATCTATAAAAACTCAAAAAAAAAAAACCTAGTTTTTCCCCAAATTCCATCGGGTTTTTAGAGGTTTCTATAGTTTTTAACCGGTTTTTTTTGTGTATTTTGCGAAATCTGAAGACATTAGATGATACTTTTTGAGAGTCACTCCCCCTTCTCCCAAAGAAAATCTACACAGTACCATAAATATGCTTCTTTATTTATTATTATTTTTTGTGTTGCAGTGCGAACCACCTCGTCGACACTCTCGCCGGCATCCGGAACGCGATATTTGGATCAGTGAGTTTTATGATTTAATTTGGTTGAATAATTTCTTCCGGCCGTTTATGGCTACTTGGCGTCAAGGTTTTGTGAAGCGAGTAAAATTTCGTCGTCCTCGTTGAAATATTTGCGCATTTTGAGAATGTTGAGCAATAATTATAGGCAGCGAAATGAGAACGTCGTGGGTGGATTTATTTATTCATTCTCGCGAAATTTTTGTATGCATTCAAAACTCTCAATTTTGCTACAACATATTTTTCGCGTTGGAAAATTGATATTCATTGCCAAATTTTTTCTCCCTTGAAACAACTTGAAAGTTCGATTTCAAATTAATTTCGTCAACAGCGCAATTTTGAAGTTGGAAGCCTTCTGAATTTCACCTGCTTCGCCTCCCCACCGGGCAAGCCCAAATCGTCAAATAATAGCCGAACCACGTCCAAACGACTACCGTAATCCGACGATTATCCCACTAAATGAACAGAATTATGCAATAAGAGGTGGTGCGCGCGAACGTCGTCTGGCAATTAGACACCACTGTGGGGGTTTTTTATGAGCAAGGGATGAATAAAAAATGGGCAGGTGTCTCGTTCCCCTGGAGGGTTGGGGGGAATTGAAAACATTTTTTGATCAAGATTGTTGCGATGAGCTTAATTATAAATGTAGTTCACATGCGTGTTCGCCGAGCCCGTCAAGTCAAGTGTGTGTGTGTGTGTGTCCCCGTCAGATTTCTCACACGTTTTGCGCATAATTCTAATTGAAAATTTCGTCGTCGTTGGAGGAGCGGTCAATTAGCTGCGCTTTTGAAGCAAGTCTAACAGCATTATGATGATGACGATGATTAGTATTCAAAACGGCGAGTATTCACGAAAAATGAATTGGCGATAGTACAATTGCGATGGTTGTTAAAATATACTACCGTAGTCCCACACCCGCCGCCCTCTCCCGTTAATCTTTGCTGATTGTATATACATCGAATTCCGGCGGGTCATTCAAATTTAATATGGTCCAGGTGCGAAAATGCGTATACGAGAGGAAAAAAATTTGGCGTCGCATCAATATTTCATGGCAAAGGTATACACATTTGAGAGCGTGCCCGTGGGGGGGGACCATCATGATCAGACACCTGGAATCATTAGAATTTTATAGTTTGAGTATGTACATATATATACATGTCATTCCGAGATTTGGTATTGAAAAATAATGAATAATTCTCGACACCGCCGACATCTTATTTTTGCTCGTCAACCCTTTCTCTTCTCGGACGGTACGGAAATTGGGGAGCATATGGATGAGGAAATTGGGCGTCGAGATTAATGGTCCCGTTTTTGTTTGGAGCGGGCGCACACTTTATTTATCAGTGCCACCCCGCGCGCTCGCGTGTTATGCGGACCTTCAAATCGGATTTACAATGTTGTCGCTTCCCGTAAATGGAAGTGAAAAGAAGAGGCCGCTAACGAGTTTGGGACCCCGCCAGCACGGCTCGATGGAGAGCACACAAGTTTTTTGTCGTCCTCAGCGCCTTATTTTTGCTGTTGTTGCTGACTGCTGCTCTTTGCTGTTTCGTTTTTTCCTGACCGCACGTTTGATTTTCTGCCAGCGCGAAATTGTTGTCACATTTTTTGAGGCCCGATTTTTTAGCAAAGTTTTTCTACCAAAAGAAAAGGAACATTGAGTTTCTCTTTTTATTGGAACAAAAGTCGACATTTCTTGAGTGCCCCATTTATGGGAGACAAAAATGTTCCTCTAATATGTATGGGGAAACCAAATTAGGACATACGCGCGCCGCCCAGGCGGTCGTCCTCTGGTCATAAACTTTTATTACGGAGCCCACACACACCAATTGCACTTTTTTTGGTGTGTGTGTGCAAGTTTCCCTCGCGCTGAACTTGGGTCTTTGCTACTAAACCCGACGTCTACATACATTTTCGTATGGTTGCGTTAATTCGATAATAATGGGATTTAGGCCGACGTCAGCTGCTCCAGCTCCTGCACCGAACACGGCATATTCGTCGGATGCGAGCGCCACACTACTGAAATATCCGCTAACTGGAACGCAGCCGAATCGCAGGTTTGTATTCGTTCTTGTAGACGATGCTCATCGGATTTGCTGACATTATTGTTTGCAGACGTCAGGTTGCCACGATGACGCCGGGCGACACGGGAAAGAAGAAGAAGAAGAAGCTCGAAGAGGAGAATGGGTGCTGTAAATCGGGACCATCGAAATGTACACTACTTCTTGCCGCTGCTCTCATGTTTGCCATTATTGTGATTTTATTTATGCTATGCAAGTTTTTTTTGTTTTGAAGCCGCTTTTCTTTTGCAATTGCCTATGATTCCAGTCAAATCTCCGTCATACGTGTACACTGAACCATTACCGGATGCCCAGGATCCGAGCGCTTCGTCAAGATATTCGGAATTGGGAATTCGCGCGCTGCCGCCGGCAATTAGTCTCGGCGAACGCATCGATGTCGAGTTTTATCCGCGGCATATGGCTACAACGTAAAACAAAATGCGAATAAATGATAGTTTTAATCAAACTTTCACAATTTTCAGCGAACTTTTGATCTCGCGACCATCTCGAATTGTTTTCAACACCACGATCGGCAGCGGCGCGCAATTGGTGTTGCTGATTCGCGCCGGTGTACCGCCATCGCTGTCCCTTCACGATGCGCTATTTCCGATACGCGCCGATCGCATCTACGACGCGAAAACGCCGAGCCACATTGTCGAGGAAGTTGGACGAGCTCGAAGAAGTGTCGGCGTTGAGATTTTGTCGCCGAGAAGTGCGACGTTCGAGCAATTCATGCTCGAAGGTCGTCATTTTCTCACGTTCATCAACGAGCGCAATCGCGTTGAGCCGATTTCGTTCGTCGCCGACCAACTTGTGGCGGCGACGAAATCGCCGCGGCCGGCGAAACCCGGCGAGCATCCGTTGGCGCCGTTGCTCACGTGCGAGGCCAACTGCAACAATCGCGGCGAGTGCGTCAAAGGCAAATGTCGATGCGCGAATGGGTATACGGGAAATGCTTGCGAAGAAGGTAACGAGCATTTGAGAAGCGTTTGAAATCAGTTTGTTTTTTTTTTAGCAATTTGTCCAGTCGTTTGTAATGGGAATGGCGTCTTTTCCGGCGGTTCTTGCATTTGCAAATCGGGCTTCAAGGGCAAAGAATGCGAAATGCGCGCGAATTGGTGTGAAGTCGCTGATTGTAACGGACGCGGAAAGTGCGACACCGAGGGACGCTGTCAGTGCAATTCGGGATGGACTGGAGAAGCTTGTGAGATGAAAGCTTGCGCACATCCCACGTGTCACGATCACGGCGTTTGTGTCAATGGAACTTGCTATTGTGCTGACGGATGGAGAGGAAAGGATTGCTATCAGTTTGCCGATGCTGTTGTGAGCCCGACGTTGCCACTGCCGACTCCGACGTCGACGAAAGAAACGCCGATTAGGAATCGACCGAAGGTTAATCGCGAACTCGAAGAAGCGCCGACGTGTTCTAGTCACGGCAAGCTCATTGAAGAAGGATTGTGTCTGTGTGATGATGGATTCGGTGGAGCCGCGTGTGAGAAGAGAACTTGCGAGAATTGTGTGCATGGAAGCTGCAAGGAAGGCGTTTGCCAATGCTGGAACGGATGGAACGGATTGAATTGCGATCAATTGGAATGCGCGATCGGATGTAGACAACATGGAAAGTGCGAGGACAATGGAACGTGCTCATGCGAGAAGGGATGGAACGGGGAAAACTGCCAACTACAAGGATGCCCGAACGGATGTTCCGGCAAGGGTGAATGCGTCATGAATGGAGAATGGACGTGTAAGTGCCAGTCAGGAACGACGGGGCCGGATTGCTCGATGAACATTGAAATGCACTGTGACGATGGGCTTGATAATGATAGCGATGGATTAGTAGATTGCGACGATCCGGAGTGCTGTGATTCGCCGATGTGTTCCGAGGAGAGCATGTGTTCGGTGGCGATTTCGCCGACGGAAGTCCTCCTTCGAATGCCGCCGATTTTCAACGCGGATTTCGCGCAGCGTGTCGCGTTTCTGATCAAAGACAAATCGGTGCAGAGCTACGCGGACGCGAGTCAGTTCAACGCGAGCTTGATTTCGGTGATACGCGGAAAAGTTGTTTGGAAAGGAAGTGGAGCCGACGAATCGAAGGTGACAATCGCGCTAGCCGGTGTTCGTGTTTCTGATGCCGCTCATCCGCTCTATGGATTCACGTTGACTCGAAATGACGGCTACTTCGATTTGGTTGTCAATGGAGCGCGATCGATCAACTTGCAGTTCATTCGAACGCAATTCCAGGCGATCAAACGGTCTGTCTACGCGCCAGCCGGTCAAATTGTTCACATCGACGATGTCATTCTGCAACGTTCGACAACCACCGGCACTCTGCCGCAATCGCCACCGGCGCGTGCGAAATGCTCGCCGACAATGCGACGAATTCCGGAAAGTGTGACGTTGACGTCGAATTGGCAATACACGTCGGACGGAATCGATGCGAATCGATCGATGATTGCCGTCGACACGAGAAGCATTGTTGATGCGATACCAATTGCCGGAACGGACTTGAAGTTGATTTATGATTCTGCTCGAAGCCCATCGGCGCCGTCAACGTTGCTCATCGGATTGCTTGAGGATCAAGTCGACGTCGATCTTCGTAAGATTCATTTGAATATCAAGATTGCTGGAAGAAGATTTGATTATACGTATGTTCAAAATATTTTCTTTTCACAGATTATTAATTTTGCGGAATATTTTCAGATTATCGCCAAGAATCAATCTTACACACATATTCACTTGGGATAAGATGAACGCCTATCGTCAAAGCGAATCCGGATTGGTTCCGGCGATGGTTCGAATTGGCTATGAATATGCTGATTGCGAACGCGAATCGGAAATTGTTTGGATTTCGAGAAGTGCTTTGATGCTTGGAGCGACTTCGAGAAAAATGATTGGGACCATGTGGACTGTTGATATCCATCATCACTTGGATATTGTCAATAGTAATCATTCCAGTATGGCAATCTCAATCATTGATTCCTGGATTTCAGATATTGTCGAGATGGGAGACGGAGGCTATCGGCTGATCTCGGAGTCAGAGCCGCGAGTGACCACAATTGCTGGAATTGAAGGGATCAAGCGCGACATCGATTGCGTGGATTGCGATGGCAAACTTGATCGCATCGCGTTGTTCCGACCAACTAGTTTGGTCTACGCCGCCGATGGAAGTTTGATTGTTGGCGATCACAATTTGATTCGACGAATTGCTCCCGATGGAAGTGTCAACACGATTTTGAGCTTGTTCTTGTCGGATACGTCACATTCCTACTATCTTGCGGTTAGTCCGTTCGATGGAAGCATCGCGATCTCGTTGTCGCTTCATAAGCAAATTTGGAAGATCGCTAGCTTGACTCCGCACGATCCGAGGAGCAACTATGAGGTATGATTGACTGGGGCGTTTCCTCGATATTGGTATTTTATCAGATCATCGCTGGAGATGGAAAAGTTTGCGGATCGAATGTTGGATCGTGCGGCGACGGTGGATTGGCACAGAATGCTCAATTGATTTATCCCAAGGGAATCGCTTATGATCGCAACGGAAATCTTTACCGTAAGTATTTGCATTGTGATGTTTTTTTGCTTATTCACACCTTTGTTGTTCAGTGGCTGATAGCAGAAGGATCCGTGTGATTGACACCAGTGGGCACATTCGAAGCATCGGCGGAACCACCGAAGACTTCCAGCCACCACTGCATTGTCCGAAGATGGTCAAACTTGCCGATTTGCGATTGCAATGGCCGACGAGTTTGACGGTGGATCACAACTCTGGACTCGTCTACGTTCTCGACACAAGCGTAGTTTATGAGATTGATCCGATTCGCGATTTATCGGGAATTGTTCTTGGCGCGCCGGTGGCGTGCGAATCGGCGAATAGTTCGATGAACGAAATTCGAAACGCGAAGGATATCGCCGTCGATCTCGACGGTTCGATTTTGGTCGTCGAGTCGGATGGAAAACGAAGCCATCAGATCAGGAGACTCTCATCGGATCGATCGACGTTTTCATTGATTCTTGGCGGCAAATCGATGTGCTCCTGCGATATTGCCTCGTGCGGTTGCGACGATCCGATGGGTGAAATACCAGCGTCAAGTGTTCATCTGAATTCGCCGCACGGAGTTTTGATTACACCTCATGGCGATGTTCTTGTCGCCGATTCGGGCAATGCGAAAATCAAGAAAATGACGAAGAGAATGGCTAAATATAATAGTAAGCAGAGAACGTATGAAGTCATCGATTCTGAAAGGAATGAGGTATAATTTTGCATATAATTTTCGCATAATTAGTTTGTTTGCGTTTCAGAAGTACATTTTCAATCGTCACGGCCTTCACACATCGACCAGTTCGCTGATAACCGGAAGAAGCTTGTACAACTTCACGTATAACGTCGATTCGCCGATCGCATTTCTTTCGGCGATTCAAGGATCATCGGGATTGACGCTTCGAGTCACTCGCCATAATGCGACGAACGTTGATCTGGAGACGTCCTCCGGCGATCATACGAGTTTGCTCATGTCGGCCTACGACGGCACATTGGAAATGGTGTCGAGACGCGGAAGTGCCTTCAATATGGACGCGACGAAACTCTCGTACTCGTCTCGCGGACTATTGCAGTCGAAAATTGATGTGGCTGATGCGATTCTGTTCGAGTACGATCCGATGGGAAGGGCTCAAGGATTGAAGAAAGCGCGTGAACATTGGGAGTTGACAAAAGAAATTGTGAGAATGCGATTGTCAATCAATTATATTCAAATTATTCGATTTCTAGGTTTCTCTTGGACGAGTATTGACGAATGTTGTCAAAAATGGACGAGTTGTTCGCCGGGTTCGAATTGGAGAAGGCGATATGGGAATCGAGGAGAACGGCGCGAGCACAAGACTCATGACATTGTGGCGCGAAGGATTCTCGTTGAGTTCGCCGTACGCGACGTCGTCGCTTTTCGACACATCGACGCGCGGCGGTGTTCACACGGAGCCGGTCGTCTCGCGACGAATCACCAAAATTCCGGCGATTCAAGACCCCCAGCGACGCGAGTTGACGACACGATGGAATTGGCGTTATGTGGCGAAGCAGAGCGGCGAGAGTCGCAAAATTGCCGAGGTGGCGTTCAGGCCCAGGGTTCGTTGGAGTCGTCAGGATGCCGCGTGATTATTTATTTTTACTAATTTTAACCCGGATTTTGTTTTCTTATTCGCGAACTTCTAACCTATCCTAATCTTGTCCTAATACGAATTGCGGTGACTGATGATCCAACTCCTGTGAATTCAGGACTTGCTTAATTCGTATGATTACAGATCAATGGCGTCAACATGTTCTCGATGGAATATGACATTGACAATCATCGAGATACGTTGAAAGCGGGATCGTCTGATGATTCGACGAATTTGTTCCACGTCGAATACACCGATGCCGGCGAGATACGCAAAATCTGGACACCGTCCGAAGAGGAGAATTCGATTGAGAAGCTGCAAGTCTCGTGGGATAGTCTTGGACGACCCAGCGAGATCGCATGGGGAAGCTGGAAAATTCAAAAGGCCTATGATTCGCTGAATCGTCTTGTCGAGATTAGTGAAGATGGAGCGCGTGTGCCGATGACGTTGAATTACACGGGATTGTCGAGCAGGCCGAGCTCGATTCGACGCGATGATGGCACTTGGAGCGTCCAATATGATAATTATGAGCGAGTCAAGGAGGTTGTGAGTCCGACCGGCGAGACGACGACGTTCTCAGCGATCTCTTTGGGAGCGGGACAATGGGTCTTTAAACGACGAAGTCCGATCAACACAAAACCGTACATGATTCGACGAGATGCGGAGGATCGCATATTGGAAGCGATGTCACCGAACGGTCAACATCACTATTTTGTGCGAGGCGAAGAAAAAATTGAACAAGTGCTGAATGACGGTCATACAACGGTCGTGAGCTGCTGGAATCCTGAAGGAGCGCCACTTTGTTCGAAGAGCAAGTGGATCACGGAGAATGTGACGCTTCAGGGGCACCTCGTCGCAAGGCGAATGATAACGGCGCTCGGAAAAACAACTGTGTTCACGTATGAGTATGACGATCTTCAACGGGCCGTCTCAATCCAGCCGATAATTGAGAACACTCTGGTTGAAGGAATTCAGGTGTGTATTTTGGTGTTTTTATGATCGCAATGAGTATTTCGAGTTTTCAGATCACGTATGATGATCGTACTGGACATGTAAGCTCGTTGAATGGATTTACGCTTATACGCGATTCGACGACGACGAGATGTCAGGGACATGGAATGACGATTGAAACGTCTCGAATGGACCGACATCGACAGATTGTGTCGCGGAAGCTGATCTACGGCGATGTTCGTGCCACACTTTTGATTTCGAGAGATTCAGTCGGACGGGCGGCCAGCAGCGAACTTGCAGTGACGTCGGACTCTGTGAGAACCTCACATCAAGAATCGAGAACGTTTGACGCTATGGGTCGAGTGGCTAGTTGGCAGTTGGACGATGAGAAGTTTGGAATTGGCTACACCAAAGATGGACGAGTTGAGAAGCTTAACGACAGAATTGTCGAGTTCCATCGTGGCGGTTCATCGAAAGCATTTGGAGACGCGATTTATAGTGTCGATTCGAATGGATGGGTGACGAAGCGAAAGAATTGCACATTCCGTTATGATGGAAAAGGAAGGCTTATTACCGCCAAAAGCCCAATTGGAGAGGACATCACGATGTTTTATGACTTGGAAGATCGATTGATAGCTATTACGAGAAAGATGGAGACGATTTTGATGTACTACGGTATTCCGGAGAACCCGAGACTTGTGTCGCACTTCTCGCGAAATGGCGTGATTTCGACAATCTACTATGATGGGCAGGCATCGCCATTTGCTGTGATCGCCGACGACGGATCGAGATGGGCGGTGCTTGCCGATGAAGTCAACACAATGCGGATTGTGGCGAGCGAGGCGAGAATTGTTAAAATGGTATCGCGAGACATGTTCGGAGCGGTGTCGGACGACTCGAACCCTCATGTCTGGATGCCGTTAGGCTATCTCGGAGGAATTGATATTCCTGAAGTCAATGTGACTGTGATGAAGAATGGCCGACCGCTGGACTTAGTGACGGGACGATATTTGACAATCTCGCCGGAAGCTGTTTCGCGTCTTGACTTTGATCGAATTGCTGACACCATGGACATGTTTGCGTTGGAGTCGCCGCCATTCGAGGTGCCGAGAATCCCGATAAGCGTTGAGGAGTGGTTCGAACTTGTCGGCATGTCGCCAACACTTCTTCCGAACGTTAATCTTGGATTGACTCGCCTCAAAGGGCCGGTGGCGCATCGGCTTCTCGCGTCGTTCCCGAAGAAGCTCACGCCTTTGACGCACATTGGAACGGTGACGCCGTCGCAGCTTTTGCACAGAACGGACCACGTGCAGAAGCAGTGGTCGATTGAGGATATCGGATTCTCAAATCTTTTGATTGTCAATGTTGATGAAAAGGGATACACTTCAGTCGATGCATTGCCAACTTTGGAACCGAATGAAATAAGTGTCGCGAAGGCAATTATTGATGGATCGCAATTGGTATAATTTTGGGTTCTGTATTTCTAAGACGAAAAAACCAATGGAATTTTTGTAGGTGAAATTCTCAACTTGGTCCCCGGTCCCAGTGGTGCACCTATGGCGAAAAACCGAAACTGACAATTTGTCCTCATCCTCATTCCAACACTTCACATTGGTGGCGAGCCGTGAAAACGTTGAGCTTCGAAATGGAAAATCGAAAATCATTGTGCATTTCGCGAAGGAGCTCGACGAGGTCATGAAGAGGCTGACCGATGAATTGCGCACTCGCGAGAGTATTTCGGTTTGGAAAGCGGAACGCAAGAGATTGACTTCTGGAGACGAGACTTGGAACTCGTGGAATCCCAGAGAGCAGAGGTGGGCTTTTCGATTCAATCAAAAATGTTTATTTATTTGATTTGTAGGGAACTTGAATCAAAGGGTACTGTATCGGGGCATACAATCGAGATGAGACCCGCTTATCGGGACGCCTTATTTGCCACAATTCACTCATGGAAATTTAAACGTGCCTAAAAAGAGCCAACAAATTTAATATGTATGCCCTAATTCAATGCATAGTTGTTTCTTTAGTCAGAAAAGTTTTAATTTTATTATTTATACCTCGGTGATACGTTTTATGTACTTTCTTTTCTTTTTTTGTATCATTTTTTCACGGGTCCAACCTGATTTTTTCTTTTCATCATTTTTCTTCTCATTCTGCTCAATTTGTTTGATTCGAGCTTTAATCCATGTCCCATTAATAATTTTAATTTGTATATTGTATGTAGAATTTTTATTCTGAAATGAATTTGACCACATAATTTGTAAATTTTGTGAAAAAAATATGAGATTAAAAGTTTTTTAGAACGAATAAGACGCCAGAAACACAGTAAATGTATCAGCTTTCATAAGCAGGGCGTCATGTTTGGGCGAGAAAATTAGTTTCGGTTGAACGGGATTGGGAAAATAGGTCATTGTGCTTTTCGTGGAAAATCCGGAAAACCGCCTCAAATCCAATTAACCTTTGAATATATCGCTCGTCTCGCATTCATCCGCACTTTCTAATGGGATTTGCTGAATAATTTCAACGAGCAACGCGCAAACATCTTATCTACTCGTCAACAAAACTATTCTTTATTATTCTCTGTCAAAACGCTGACCCTGATTTGAGGATGGAAGAGAGGGGAGAAGGAAGAAACTATCGGGGAGAAAAAAAAATGAAAACCATTTTTGTTGTTATTGTTGTTTTTTTTTGTTGTTTTTCGGATAACTGTTCAATTTATGAAGAGCAGACTGCACACACACAAAAAATACGAGAGGGAAACAGAGAGTAGAATTTGTTTTTGTTTTTTTTTGGTAAGGGGACGAATTCGAGAGGATCAATCAGAGAATCAGAGTGATGGCAGAGGGTGTCTCAAGAACAATTCATTTATCTTCGTCCGGCGCTGTTCAACTTGTTCAGGTTCATGCCCAGAATGCCGTTGATGAGCTCGGCGTTTGACCTGCAATTGAATGCCGTCGTGATTAAAACGAGAGAAAAAAGAAAAATGTGCTGCGAACCGCTTGCCGACTGCCGACAATTTTCCTAGATCCATTCCGATAAGCCCGTTGATGAGTTCGGCGTTGCTGCGCTTCACAAACTGCACGTCGTCGTACATCTGAAAATTGTTGCCGATTTTTAGAAAATGCAACAACAACAGGATGGATTCGATTGAATACGAATCTAATCTTCTTAAGAAACTTGCAGAGATCTGTTATGAAAAGCGAAAACACGCTCTTGGTTTCGAAGGTATACGGTATACACTGTGGTGTATGCACACACACGAGAGTTGACGCGCATATACGGATTTTCAGTTTTTTCCTTCAGTTTTTTTTTCCATTTTTCCTTTTGCCATTGTTTTGGGAGTTATTGCTGGATATTGCTTTACTGTGTTATAGATTCTTTGTTTATTTTACTAAATGTCTATTTGTTCTAAGTTAGATATTGCTGATTTAAGACTAATCTATTTGTTGTGCGTTCTTCGTTGCTAAAACAATGTTCTAGTAAATACACGGGCACATTTTCTAACAAGATCAAAATTCCGGAAGGAACTAGTTGAAAAGTTCAACAACGGCCCATCGAAAACAATAGGGGAAAATCGAATTGCATTCGACATCGTGAGACGAGCAAAAAATTCGATTTGCCTCCAACCTTCTTCATCAACGCAGAAGAAGAAGAAAACGCTCGAACATTTTAATGCGAATGCACCTGATTAATTGGATTAGGTGTCGCCCGTTCGACACTATTGAAAATGAGCAGCGATGCGTGTTTATTTTTTCTTGCAATGAGCAAACGACCAATAGAATATCATTCAGTGTCGCTTCCTAAAAATTGTTTGGCCGCGTTGACAAGAATGATAATGGGTTGACGTCGTTCCCAAGGGATCAAAAAATGAACTTTGCAAATTTAATTCGACGAACCGAACGAGCTTTTCTTGGAAAAACCCATTCGATAATATTTTTCAAACTTCAATAGAATGCCAATAAGAAATGTCAAACGTTACAATAGCACATTAAAAATTTAGCCAATTAAGCTTCTTGAAAAGGTCCGACTCGGTTAGAGAATAAGCTTGCCTATGAGACAACCGTATAGCAATTAACTATGTTCAATTACTTGATGGCTGAAGTAGCATTTGAAGCTTAGGCCATTACTCGTTCCCATGACTCTAAGCGCTTCATCGGACCATCGCCATTTAGCCGCTGGCAAATTTTCGAATGCTCACCCCCCATCGTAATCCTCTTCGAGAGTGACGTCTTCGGGACCCGAGTTGGATTTTTTCTTTGTCGTTTCAAGCCCCCCCCCTTCCATGCTTGAACGTCGAAATGCGATTTGTCGGCAGTGTGACAAAAAAAAAAATGAATTTGAGATCTTTTCAGCCCGAATTGTCAACGTGTGTGGCCGATTTGTGTGAGTGCACACCGAATTTTTTGAATTTTTGTCGTCTTCGATACACAATTTGTTGTAGTCGTAGAGATTTGCCCTTTGATCGCTTGGATTCTCGCAACGAAAGAAAGCAAGGCGAATGGTGTTCTAATCCCCCTCCTTTGAGGCTTCAAAAAACGAACATCGACTTTCAAATCATTAATCTAGATGAGTCTTCGGTTCTACTAAGGCCGATAGATGAGCTAATCCGAGATTTTAAAGCACCAGAAAATTTTTTAATTTTTTTTAAGAACTGTTCGAAGTTCAAAAAATGGCTATAGTCCTAAACAAGGAAGCGGTTGCTTGTCGTCCGAAGGGGTTTTGAAAAAACGGGACCGCACGCGAACCGCAACGCGTCTGCCGTCATAAAATAATTACGGTTGCCGGATTTTGTTGCAAGAAATCGACTAATTGGCAACAAACAGTGCTCGAGACTGCCTACTTTGGATTTTAGTGCGCTCATTTAATATTCAGTAAATGCGTAAATTTACAATATTGTTGATCTACACACTCCGCGTATTTGAATTTCATCTACTTTTTAAAAAAGGAACAATCAAGATGTCAGAAATATGTAGGGAAGAAGGGTGAATTAAAGGCGCATACGTCTCGCGTCAAGACCTCTCATGAAGCCAACAATAATGACAACAAGAAAAAAACATTTTGATTTTAATTCAAAATTTCAAATTCAACTAAAAAAATATCGAAATCGTCGATTGATCACAAAAAATCGAGAATGTTGACGAACCTGTGGTGCTCTGTAGAGGAGCGGCGTCGCCGACGAGACGACGCACAGCGTGGCAACGAATACGAGAATCGAGACGACGACACTGTTCATGATTGTTGTTGTTGGTTGTGTGCTTCGACCACGGTTGGCTCTTGAAAGAGAGGCGGCTTCGAATAAAATGTGGGCGATGGCGTGTTGCGAGCCACTCGATGCCGCAGACTCCGCCCATCGCGCCGCCACGCCCACCCACCCTGCCGTTTTTGGGTTATTCGGCGCGGTGGGCGGACGAGGCGCCAATGGGAATAACAGAAAAGGAATAGGAAAAAGAGAGTCGCTCAATTATACAAATATCATAAGGGGGTAATTATATGTATCATATTGAATCGAATTTAATTGGGTCAGAGATCGCACGCGGCAGGAAATTTGAGAATGGGTGTCAATTAGAACGCAAATCTCTAATATGTGAACTCTTTTTAAAACATTTAAAATATCGAGATGCTCCTTTAAACTACCGTAATACACTATGGGGGATTAAAGGGTAAGCAACATTTAATTGCATTCAATTTCGTCCGCCATTTCCGCCTCCATTTTTTTGTGTCATGATTTAATTACATATCCTTCGACGAAGCGAAGAAGCAACAAAAAATTTTTTCATTTTGATTTCTCCCCCGCGCGAGCGCATTGTGTGTTTTTGCTCATTGTGTCTTAATGAGAATCGCGATTACGGTAGAATGTCGAGGGCCCGTTGGGATTATCGATGTTGCGAGCCGTCGCCTCGGGGGTGTTCTTTGTGATTTCTGGCGTGTTTGTTGTCTTTTTGGTTTGAACAAAAAGAAAATTGAGCAAGTGCAGAAGTAGGACAGATCCAACACCAACCGACGCAAGAATGTCAAACTCTTGGGTTGTCACCGGCTGGCGGAAGTGCGACTCCAACAATAAGTGAACATGATTGTGCTGCGTCGAGTTCATCGATCATCTTTGACTTCATGACGACTACCGGTCTCGCCTACCGGCGATGACAAAGCTTTGATAAATGAGCAACAATTATATCAATTATATATTGTTGGCTTGCGGCGACTGATGTAGATTTACGGGGTGCACCTTCGGAAATGGTCTCGCCACACGTGAAAGCTTATTTTGAAATTTTAACGTGAAATGTTCAATTTTCTTGATGAGTATATAATTTTCTTAATATCATTGAAATTAAAAATTAACGGAATTGCGTCTAAAAGCGAAATAGTAGGTTTGTCCGCATGAGACCATTGCGAAGGCGCATGCGCGTAAATCTACCCGACAATAGAATGCCTTGATTTTTGCGTTTTGGTCACCAGCAAATGGCGAATAATCTAGCGACGATTAACTCGTTTCGGCGTGCCAGAAATTCAACGAGGCGAAACGGCGATGCTCATCGCAACTAATGACGCAGGAGCCTTCATCCTTATTCGACGTTTCAACACACACACGCACGAATTGGCTTTATTTGGTTCCAGGCGCCGCGCGAAATTCCGACAAAGCTAATTAGAATCGGCATGATATGAATGAACAGAATATTCTCGACTTTCAAGGGAAAATGAATGGTGAGAAATTGAAATTCAAACCAGAAGCGCGAAAATTTGGCGACCAAGAAACATTGGCAATATATGCAAATTGTTCTTTTCTCTTTTGAAATTCTTCGTGGAAATTAATGAAGCCTGCAAATTCAGAATCAAGAATGTTTTTAACATGTCAAAATGCTCAGTTGTCGTACGTTTCGGCGTTACGGTACGCAATACACCCACCGAGTTGCATACCGTAATCCGATCAAATTTCATTTGCGATTTTTTTCATCATTGAAATTTTGCTAATTTTTTCACCATTTTCCTTTATAAATTTGGCCAATTGACACATAGGAATACCCATCGTTTTTTTCCGAGTAGACATAGTAATTATAATAACTGTTATAAAGAGAGCAACTCATATGGGCTGCCCTTCGTCTCCTTCATTTACGAGTATAATGGATGAGGATATGAATTATTCCGAAAAGCATAGCATGTGAGCGCACCTCAAATGATGTTTTCAAAGTTGAGATCGTACGGAAATTTCACATTTTTTTTTGCAAATCCCATTATGATTGCTGTGATTTTTTTTGGTCGAGAAATATAATTTCCGGAGTTCTACTAATTATCGTTTGGTCCGAATAATTGGTTGTTTTTTTTTTCAAAAATTGCAAATTGGACTTGATTTCTAGAAAATTGCGTTTATTTTTAATTTGGCTTTTGGTTAATTAACAGAATAATTATTTTTATTTAATATTAAATTTAAATGCATGTTTGATATGATACATCATGCAAAGGAAATCTTTTGACTTTTTTTTTTGAGATTATAGCGGCCGCGTTGCGTATGCGTTGCGGTCGGAGTCGGGAATTATGCGATTCTAGTAAAGAAATAATTATTGGAAATTATTTTATAACGTTTTTTTGTGAATGTAATAGTTTGGTAATAGAAATCCTTCAATGTTTAATTAAGATTGATAATGTGACAAAAATGACTCAGAAGCGTGATCGCGAACAATCGAAATTCAAATTTTCAACGAACAAAGTTTCTGACGAATTTCGGCTTCGGCGGTTTCTTGCTCGACAAATTAATCAAAAAGAATGTCCGGCGATAACTTTGATGGATATGAAAATGTTTAGCGCTCGAGAAGCAAAAAAAAATAAAAGATGAAAACGAAAATTGGGAAAAAACAAAAATGGCACAGAAAATAAATATATGAAATGCCTGGAAACGCGCCGCCATTTTTTGCGACGGAATAATATTTAATTCGACGTCGATTGACTGACATTTAATAACTCATTATATATTTTTTGAGAAAACACACATTTTTTTCTAGTTTTCTGATGTTTCTTGAGCGGGGGGTCTCAGATGCATCCTCATTTCCTGGTATTGTGTGGTTTGAAGAAATAACAACGAATGAGGAAATTGGCAGTCCGTGAAGAAGGAAATCATTGGAGGGGAGGCATATTAAACGTTAGCATTACTATCGCAAGAAAACGTGGACCATCGCGATTGTATTAATTGCATCAAAATGTTGAGAAATTTTTGTCAAATTTCTCTTTTTTATGCTCATACCTTTTAAGGCTAAGTGAGCATTTTAAAAATGCTCATTTTTACAAATATCGTTGAAAGTAATTAACAAATTCGCGGATTAGTTGCTCTTCAAATTTTTCCCGGCAAATCTACGTTTCAAAATAGTCATATATATGGTTCAATTGATCAAATTGCTTCATTCGTTTTGAAAACAATTCTTCGGCCTCTGGAAAAAAAATTCGGTTTGGGAATTCGATTAATTGCGTTTGGTTCCTTCTCCGAACTTACAGTACACCTCTCTATCCTGCTGACATCATCAGAGCCTCCCTCCCCCCCCCTTTCCCCCCAAAATCATTAATTAGAGCTGTCCTAATGATGGTCCCAATCAGGCGCTCCCTGAGGAAAACAAGCTGCTAATGCATTCGCATTGTCTTCATCTCATCACATTCAAACACAGCCACCAAAAAAAAGTGGAAAGAAAGAAGAAAATTAGGCGCAAATTTTCTGTTCGAGAACGACTTCATTAGGAATTCGGACACTTGTTTTTAGAGGGGTTCCTTGGAATTTCTGGGAATTTTTCAGAAAAATTTCATATCAAAATTACAAAAAAAAGAATACGGTACGAGTAGTCCCATAGTTTAACTTCAAATTTGAATTTCCGCCTTGAAAACCTACACAATAGTGCACAAAATTTTGAAGTTTCTCGGTTTTTTTGCGATGGTAATATAATCAACTGTATGAAATGAGAACGGTGCACAAGTATTCTGCAATATGTCGTGAATGTGAATGCGGACATTTCAAATCGCAAACTCCAGACAGACCTTTTTTGCTATTTTTCCATCAACTTTTGATTTTTTGCTTTTTTTTTATTTGCACAATTTTCTTCCTGCAAGCGTTTCGATTTAATTAAACGACAATGCCCGCAAACAAACGGTGATATCATCTATATTTAGACATATTCTAAAAATAATTCTCAGCCGAGTTCTTCATTTCATTAAAAGCCTCATGATCTACCAATGCATTCTAAGCGAGCAACTTTTGACAATGGCGTCACTGGCGGTGGGTGTTGAGGTATTCATGGAGAATTGGGCGGAGGGGCCTACATGTCTACTAAAATTACAAAGGCTTGCTAAACCAATGAAGCGTTGAGCTTGAACTGTCCGATTTAGAATTTTGTCTCGAGACCGCCTCTAGGAATATTAAGATCTTCAAATCTTACAAAAACCATCAATTATTAGCATAAAATAGTATTATAAAAGTTTTTTGTCAATTTTAGGTTTCTTGTATACAAAACGTTTACAAAAAAGCAAAAATAAGTTATTTCCATTATTTGGGACGAAGTTCCAAAAAAATTTTCCAATTTTCTAGCAAAATTGTTTTTTGTTTCTAATGTAAAAATCAACCAAAATCATTCATACCGAAAAGAACCAAAGAAAGAATTCAAAAACAATCCCAATCTCTTTAAATTAAAGCGCACTTCATTTTTGTCATGAATTATTTGTGTTATTTTCAGAAAAATCTGGAATTCTCAAACTTTCAACACGAATTCTCATTCACATGGTTTGATTAAACATGGACCAATGTTAAACGATTTTTTTTAATGAATTTTATGAAAAATTAAAGAAAAAGAAATGAATTACAAAGCGATGTTTTGCGTAGGGCATTTTGCGGGTACTGTACTTCAAATTGAGCGAGAACAACTTTTTAAAGGCACACAATGAATGGGAGGAAGGGGTCAGTTTGTGGGGGTTGGGTGAATAAAAAAACATGGTTACTGTGAAAAATTATGGCATATAAACAATTATGAAAATGTAAATACAATGGGAAAAAATGAGGGTTATATGCCCGGCATAAACCGGTACGGAAATTTCGCAAAATTTCCTATAACTCTCAAAAGCAAACAAAAAAATTAGAAGCGCCAATTCCTAATTTATCGACCTTATAAAGGCCTTCCTGTCCTTTGCATCCGCATTTTTTCAAGTCGGCTTTGCAAATGTTTATTCGTCTCTTTTTGCTCATCGAGCGCATTTTCCTTATCGCGAAGCTGAACACACACATTTTAAATAATTTAAATAATTTTCATCGAACCTCCTTTTTAATTTGTCTCATTTGCGTTTTAAGCTCGTCCAGCTCTTTTTCAGCGGTCTCGGCGTTGACTTTATACCTTTTCATTTGGCCTTCCATGCGTATAACCTTGAAATTTCAATTTTTTTCCAAACAAAAATTACTCGACAAAGGGTTACATTTCCTTGATGATTAGTATTCTCCCGTTCAAGATCTTGCATTTTAAGCTTCATCTCAGCCAGCTGCTTGGTAACTTCCTCTGAAAATTCAAAATTATTAATATTTTCAACTTTCTTTATTTCATAAATCTTTCAACTAAAAAATAGGAACTAAAAGTCGGACCATCACGATGAATTTACTTACTCAACTGAGTCTGAACATTTTCTAGTCGTTTCCCTTTAAATATACAAGTTCTTCCTTGTAATTCTCAATTATTGCTTTCAAATTACTTACTATTAACGTCTTCAGCATTTTGATTAGCCACAACATTCACCGGATCACGATTATTGCGAGCATGCCGTTGAGTATAAATCGTCTGCTCCAGCTCCTCATAATCTTTTCTCATGCGCTTATTCTGAAGATCAATATAGGATCTTCCAAAATAATAGTATATACCGTGTCAATAAGCTTTTGAATTTTTTCGTCTAGAGACGCTGATCCTGGTACGACACGGTCCACTAGACGAATTGTTTCACGCTTGAACAGATAAGGGCCGGAGCGGCTGAAATTTAAAAATTTCAAATTAAAAAAAAATTTTAATTACATATCAAGAGAATTGGTATTGGTTGACTCGGAGCCATCATCTTCCGGTTCTTCTTCAACCAGACAAAGACCGTTTTCCTGATAATTGATGGGTTTTAAGTAGTTGTGAATGATTATTTACCTGTATTAGTTGATCTCTTTGAGAGATTTCATATTTCAGCTGTTGCTGAGTAACTTGCATTGCTTCAATGGTCCGTCTTAGAGCCTTGACCTCACTAGTGAGCTCACGGCATTCACGATTCACCAAATTTAAAGTAGCATCTTTTTCCTCTATCTCATCTTTTAACAAATCAACCTAAAAAAAAATAAGAATAAAAAAATGAAATCTTGAATCGTAAACATGAATACCTCATACAGAAGCGTAGATTTCTCATTATCTAATTGCGAATACAAGAACATCGCTTGTTGCACACGGTCCTGCAGCTCGATGACCTTGTCCTAAACCAATTATTCAAAAAAAAAATCCAAACTCGATTTCAAACTTACATGCAACTGCTCATTATCCTGGTTAGCTAACACGCCATTAGAAGTTGACTGCAATCCTGAGTTTAGTGTGGAAAACCAAATAAAATTAGTGGGGGAAATTATAGAACAACTGTTTTTTTTTTGTTGCGATGTTAGAAAAAAACAAAATTCATGCAATTGGGTTAAGCAAACATTGATAACTTACCGCAGTGTCATGTCGATATACTTCAGCGTCTTCCTAAAATGCTATTTTTTATAGAAAGAAATTTCGAAAATGCCTACCTCAACTTTCTTCTCGAGCATCGCATATCTACCCTGTCTGGCTTGCTCGCGAGTTTCGCGTTTCATGCGCATTCGAGCTTCGGCCTCACGCGACATTTTATCGAGAACCCGCTCCTCGGCTTCAGTCCGTGTAATCGGACGCCGACGACCGCTGGCACTATAGGAGCTCATCTGAAATCGGTCAGCATTCAATACTTGCCAAACAATCGATATTTCGGGAAGAGGAAACGGTTGGATGCGCTCGGGTTGCCGCGCGAGATTGTGCGGATAGCGCGGGTGAAACCCCTTGACGCAACGATTTTTATGTAAATAAAGAACTCTATTCGTTTTCTAATTATTGATGTTTTAAAAGGGCATTTCGAAGGAACGAGCTTCTAAAAAATGTTCGAAACGAATTGTTTTTTTTTTCAATCCCACACGTTTATAAACATTTACCCTTTTTATTCTTATTTTTAGAAATTGGAAACGTTCTCAAAATATGCTTTGAGCAAAATGTATGCGAAAAAGATACATTTGGGAACAACAACTTTTTTTTGTTTAAACCAAACCTTTTTTATAGAAAAGGTCTCTCAGGGGAGAGTGAAATAGAAATATGTCAATCACATGCATATAAATAAAATGTGAGTATAAATGCAATATTTAAGCCGATTTGTCGACCTGAAACGGTTAAATTATAGAAAAAAAATGACGACACTTGTAAAAAAAAGGATTTCATAGACAAACTTTTTTCAATTTGGAAGATAAATTGAGTTTTCTTTTTTTAATTTATAATGAAAACTTAATATTAATAATATTGAATGATATAGTACATTTTTCACTTTGTTCAAAAATAATATTTCACGACATTGACGATAACAAATGTGGAAAATTGCTTGACCACGAAGTGTTAAATTCGTGTGAAGCATGCGCGCTCTACTGCACAAACATTCGTGACGAGACCCGACGTCCCAATGATTTGTACGCCGGTATTTTGCGATAGAAAATCCGTTATTCTTCGTTGTTTGGCGTTCTCTTTGTGCACATGCTCGTTTTTCTTATATATTTTATTAATAATTAGTCTAGCCATCAAACGACATTTTCTATTTTTCTAAAAACCCTGTCATACTTGCATAAATTGGACCAGAAAAATCGGATTTTAGGATTAACTTGAATTTCGCAATGCGCAATCAAATTTTAGGTATTTGACGTTTGTTTCGTTTTTTTTGCATAATTATATTTCTCTCGTCGAATAATTTGCATTTTGATTTCTGCTCATAATCTCGTCAAACCATCGATCGTTTTGTAGGTATCAATCACTTCACTTTGCTTCATAAAGTTACTTTAACTTTATTGCCTACTTGTCATGACCAATGAAAACAATGTGAACGGAGGAGCACCAGCTGTCGACAGCGAGGGCTTGATCGAGGTTTGTTAATAGGCATAATTTTTGAAACAAAATTAATTTAAGGGAAACTATGAGGAAGTCGTTGAGACTTTTGATGAAATGGGACTGAAAGAAGAGCTCCTTCGCGGAATCTATGCCTTTGGTTTTGAGAAACCATCTGCTATCCAGAAGCGTGCCATCGTTCCGTGCACCACTGGAAAGGACGTCATTGCGCAGGCTCAATCCGGTACCGGAAAGACCGCTACGTTCTCCGTTTCAATTCTTCAGAGAATTGATCACACTGATCCAAGAGTTCAAGCTCTTGTTATGGCTCCAACCAGAGAACTTGCTCAGCAGGTAAATTCACTTCATGAAATCTGGTTCTACTTATTCCATATTTTAGATTCAAAAAGTTATGAGCGCATTGGGAGAGTACATGAACGTCAACATTCTTCCTTGTATCGGAGGAACTAGCGTTAGAGATGACCAGCGAAAGCTCGAAAATGGAATTCATGTCGTCGTTGGAACACCAGGACGTGTTAACGATATGATCGGAAGACAATCTCTTGACACCACCAACATCAAGATGTTTGTTCTTGACGAGGCCGACGAAATGCTCTCGCGTGGTTTCAAGGACCAGATCTATGATGTTTTCAAGACTATGCCACGAGACGTTCAAGTTGTTCTTCTTTCCGCTACCATGCCAGCGGAAGTGCTTGAAGTCACTCAGAAGTTCATGCGCGACCCGATCAGAATCTTGGTCAAGAAGGATGAGCTTACCCTCGAGGGTATTCGGCAGTTCTTCATTGATGTCCAAAAAGACGTAAGTGAACTTTATATGAATTACTTGTATGTATTCGTACCATTTTAGGAATACAAATTCGAGACCCTTTGCGATCTCTATGATGTTGTTGATGTCACTCAGGCCGTTATTTTCTGCAATACCCGTAGGAAGGTAGACCAGCTCACTGAGCAAATGATTAAGAAGAAGTTCACTGTCTCGTGTCTTCACGGAGATATGGAGCAAGCCGAAAGAGATGTCATCATGAGAGAGTTCCGATCAGGATCTTCCCGTGTTTTGATCACTACCGATATTCTCGCTCGTGGTATTGACGTTCAACAAGTATGGCTCAAAATAGAATTTTTAAAGGCTAAATTGTTATTTTCAGGTTTCTTTGGTCATCAATTACGATTTACCGACCAACCGCGAGAACTACATCCATCGTATCGGACGTTCTGGACGTTTCGGTCGTAAAGGAGTTGCCATCAACTTTGTTACCCAAAACGATGCTTGTAAATTGAAAGAAATCGAGCAGTACTACACCACTGTCATCGAGGAGATGCCACAATCGATCGCTGATCTTCTTTAAATGTCCCCATCATGCTTATCCACATTTTCTTGTTTTTATTATTATCAATATTTTATTTATGTCTCGGTACTTGGTTCAAATATCCCGTTTTACCTTTACGAAAATGGGAAAGGTAGAATTTTCAAAAAAATAATAATTTTTCCCTCCCGCGCTATTCCTTCCTCTCCACATCCTCCCGATCCCTCCATTTACTCCTGTTACTGTTGTTGTCTTTTCTTTTGTCTGGCGTTCTTTGAATGAAAAATAATAAATGGAATTCAGAATAGTAAAACGTCTTGTCGGTCAGGGGCGTTATAGCGCATGATTTATTGAGAGAAAAAGGTATTAAGTGGAAAATTTGACATTGATATTTTTGTTAAGTAGAAATGGTCAAAAGAAGAATAGCTGGTCGCGGAGACAAATTATCAGCAAATCCGGCGCTCAGTGAGCAAATTGAGAGGGACAATGTCGCGAAGGAAAGAGCAGAGCTTCGTGAGAAGCAAAAAAGGAAACGGGGGGATTCTGAAACCGATGAGGTCCGAGAAAATTTGAATAAATTATTATGTTATGAATTGTTTCAGTATATGCCAGATTCTCTGTCGACGAAAATTCTTTCTGAGGCAAGAAAACAATTAATGGAAGAGCAGGCCGAGGAACAAGGAAAAGATGTTGCCAAGCCTTCAAAAAGGTATTGCGTTTTTTTTAATTTTCAGCTTAATTTTGACAATTTTTTGTGTGAAAAATATTATTCTTTGATTTTTGAGAACAAAATGTTGTTTTATGGAATTTTGTCTGTAATATTTTGTTTTTTTTAAATGTTTCGTTTGATGTTTGCTGATATCACATTTCTTCAGAACGCGAAACTTTTCGTTGGGCGCCACTTCAACAAAATCTGATGATGACGATGAGGATGATTTGGAGGAAAATGATAATGGATTCGAGGATGCAATCATCGTAATCTGTTTTGCGAAGTTTAAAATGTAATTTTGATAGTTTAGGAACTGAATCCGGAAGATGAGGCGGATTTGGCTAGATTTTTGAAGAAAGATGCATCTCAAATGAATACCTTATATGATATAATTCAGTCGAAAATTGAGAATAAGGCAATCGACGCTGAAATTGCTTTAAGCCAAATCGGAGCGAATGATTTTAATGTAAGCTTTTTGTTTTTTTTTAATTGTGTCCAATACATTTGAAAGTGTTGCAGATGCGCGAAATGGATCCGGAAGTGGTTGAAATGTACGAGCAGATCGGTGTGATTTTGTCGAAATATCGTAGTGGAAAAATTCCGAAAGCGTTCAAAATCATCCCGAAAATGATTAATTGGGAGCAGATTTTATTGTAAATTAAAAAAAAAATCCAGAATTTTGTTATAACCAGTTTAATTTAGCATAACGAAACCGGAAAACTGGACAGCTGCTGCCATGTACCAGGCGACGAGATTATTTGCATCCAACATGAACCCAAAAATGTGCCAACGATTCTACAATTTGGTTCTTTTGCCGCGCCTTCGTGATGATATTGATGAGTACAAAAAGCTCAATTATCATTTATACCAGGTAAATTTCTTGTTGAACAGAGGACTTTAAATAATTGTTTTGAAAGGCTCTCTGTAAAGCAATGTACAAACCGGCCGCATTTTTCAAAGGACTCATTATTCCGTTGTGTGAAGTAGGCGCGATTTTCGAGTGATTTTTGTTTATTTCGGATATATTTCAGTCTGGAACATGCACACTTCGTGAGGCTGTCATTTTCAGCTCAGTTCTCACAAAAGTGCCGATTCCGATGTTCCACGCGGCCGCTGCCATGCTGAAGGTGTTCCAGTAAACTCTCATATTTAACAAATTTTTGAGTTTTAGATTGCTGAGCTTGAATACACTGGATCGAACTCTGTATTTTTGCGAGCACTGATCGATAAAAAATTTGCTCTTCCTTATCGCGCGATCGACGCGGTTGTTCAGCATTTTGTTAGGTAAATTTGAAATTAAGAAGCTTGTATATTTAATTTTATAATTATTAGGCTCAAAAATGATGAACGCGATATGCCAGTTCTTTGGCATCAATGCCTTCTGGCACTGTGCCAAAGATATAAAAACGATTTAAACAAAGAGCAAAAATCAGCGATTTACGATTTGATTAGGGTAACTAAAAAAACAAATTTGTGTTTCAAATCAGTCAAATTATTTTCAGTACCACGGGCACTACTTAATCACGCCGGAGATTCGTCGAGAGCTCGAATCGAAGGAGACTGAGGATGGGCACATCATCACCACTGTTGAAGTGGAGGGTCGAAAGAAAGACAGCATGGAATTCTGAGCAGCTGCTGCTCGCCGTTTGTGACGCTTCTTGTTAGTTGTTGGCCAATAATTCGTGTTCTTCCCATTTACGGAGGAGTGTATTTGTTGATTGTTTGTTGATTTTGTTTTCCAAATAAATTTCTAAATTTTTCGATTTCACCGTCAACGTTTTATGGATTGCTATTCAATTTTTGTACTTTTGCCCGCAGTAATTGGCTAACTTAAAATATTTCAGATGATCCTTAGGTACGCAATTCAGAGATCTTCAAGTTCCTGTATCGGCTTATGTAGCACGTCGAGTTTCGCGAATGCCACCGATTATCGGAAAAGGCGAATTTCGACAAGGTCTTAGTTTTCGTTTTCCCACGAACGCGAAAAATGAATGAGAATTTAGCTCGAAATTCAATGTCGTCACAATTCCGACGGCGGCGAGCCTTGTCGCGAGAAGTCCACCAAATATCAGACCGTATTTAGAATTGATGAGGGCTGATAAGCCTATTGGTAAGCGAAATTAATTAAATTTTATGGAATGGCTTGCAATGCAGGAACATGGCTTCTCTATTGGCCTTGCACTTGGAGTATTGCAATCGCAGCGCCGGCCGGCCAACTGCCATCGCTTTACATGCTCTCCTTGTTTGGAGCCGGTGCATTTCTTATGCGAAGCGCCGGATGTGTGATTAATGATCTATGGGATAAAGATTTTGATAGACGGGTTGAACGCACCAAATCTAGACCACTTGCTTGCGGCTCATTGAGCAATAAGCAGGCGGTCGGACTCCTTGGCGGCCTACTATCAGCATCGTTGGCGATTTTGCTTCAACTAAATTGGTATAGGTAAGAAAAAGAAGAAGAAGTTATTTCTCTATATCAATTGGCAATTATTGATTTAGTGTTGCCGTTGGAGCTTCATCGATGCTTCTCGTCGTCGGGTACCCGCTCGCGAAACGATACACCTATTGGCCGCAATTTGTTCTAGGTATTTATGTTGTTTGAATCAAAACGCTGGCGAGGGGGCTACTTTTAAAATTGACATATCGCATGCATTCTGATTTGAGCAACACTCTGATTGTTGATCCACCTTTAAATGAGCCGCTCATCTACCACACCCACCCACAAGGGCTATTCCAGGCGCCACCCTGAATTGGGGTGTGCTCATCGCGTGGGCAGAGCTTGTCCGGCTCGAGAACGCCACCACATTCGTTCCACTTTACGCGGCTACCGTACTCTACACGGTGATCTACGACACGATATACAGCCATCAGGTGTGGAATTGTACTCATTTTGCTGTTTATTATATGTCTGTGTTGTTGTTGAGATTTTGGTGGGTTTTTTTCGCCACAGTTTTTCTTTCGGTGCATTTTGGAATCGAATGGTGTCGTGCTATTTTTTTCTTTGTCGAAAATGCTTGAAGAATTTTTTCATGAAAATTTGACGAAATTTGATTTTGTTGCCTGGAATTGTTGCTTTCAACCCGAAGAAATCAATTAATTTTAGTCTTTTTCCCAAAAAAAAAAACGGCTACCGTAATTATTGAATATCGCCAGACATGTTGCGGTTTACGTGCGGTCCCGTTTATATACGAACTGCGAGGTCTTGCAGCTAAAATTTCTGGTAGCCGATTTTTTTTATAAAAATGACAAATTCTAGTAGATCCAAGAAGAAGCCCCATTCAAAAAAATTGTATGTATAAATACAATCATAGAACTTGTGGTAGTGGTAGTGGGCGCGCCTGTGTGCCAGGCTTGCTATTCGTCACGTTTCCAGGTCTGACGTTCAATTGGGGCGCGCTGCTCGGCTGGTCGGCGATACGCGGCGATCTTGCCTCGCCAGTGCCACTACTACTGTACGTCGCTGCTCTCCAGTGGACACTGCTGTACGATACGATCTACGCGCACCAGGTTACTTCATTTGTTTTGTCTGTATGATCTGAGTTTTGTTATTTTTTCGTTGCATGTTTTTTTTTTCCATTTTTGGCAACCGAACGATTTCAAAATGCACCCTCTTCCCTCTGTTGTGGCTTTTTGTTTTCAAAGGGAGGAATAGCTGATTTTCAAATTCTCACAATTGATTTCGACGTGTCGCTTTTTAAATTTTACTTTATTTATTTTTCGATTTTCCATTTCTCCTTGATTTGAATTCCGCACAATCATCGCGTTTTTCAGGACAAAGCCGATGACATTATGATTGGCGTGAAGTCGACGGCGTTGCGCCTCGGCGACGATACCCAAAAATGGTTGGCGGCGTTTGGCGTCGGCGTTGTTACGTCGCTGTCCGCCGTGGGTTTCACCAGCGACCAGACATGGCCGTATTGGCTAGCGTTGGCAGGAACGAGCGCCCAGCTCGCTTGGCAAATCGGAACAGTCGATATCAACAATGGTACGGATTGCTGGAAGAAGTTCAAGTCGAATTCGTGGATGGGTGTCATCTTGTTCGCCGGAATCGTCGCCTCGACGCTCCTCAAAGAGGAGACCGAGGGGAAGAAGCCGGAACATAACCATATTTGACCTACGAGTAATATAAATCAATTGTATAGATCCGGATTACTGTAAGCCATTGATGGCTAATGGGATAACATTAGTCACGCCTTGTAAGCATTCGGATCGGATTTCGGCAAACAAATCCCAATTGGGGGTTGGTTTTCATAGTGGTGTCCTTGAGGGGAAACATTTTTTGGCGATTCCGTGGGGGTAATTTCGACGCATGAGTCAATAATATCATGAGATTCTTTCGATTACTAGATGCGCGCGCGAGCGAGCGAATTTCGAGTTTTCTGGAACGCCGCGCGCCTGCGCGTCGAAACTATGATGAAACATTCCGAAATCAGCGTGATGAATCTTTGCGGAGGCAAAAGCGCGATAAAAATCATCAAAATCCACGCGATGGATACACACACGAGACGCCGAAGGTGGCTTCTCATTTCTCTTCGATTCGAATGGTCGATCGCCGGTGGCTTCTTGAAACTTGTTTTTCACCTCCGCCGCGGTTACGCCTCCCCGGCGCGCCTTCATAAAGCGATATTGCCTCGCAAGGCGTCTTTTTCGCGAAACATCGTTCACCGCACATCGATGATCTCGATATTAGCGTTGCTCGCCGGCTTGGCGGCCGGCCAGCAGACATTCCAGAACACGATTTTTGATCTGCCTGCGCAGCTTGGCGGCGAGCCGGTCGGCGTCGCTGCTCAGGCTCAGGGAGCACCACTATTTGTGCAGGCTCCCGATGCTCAGAAGCCGCCGCCGCCGGCTAACGCTGCCGCTGCTGCTCCGGCTCAGCAGCCACAGTTGCCGCAGGCTCCTCCACTCGCCACCACACCTGCGCCCTTCACCCTTCCAACGTTGGCGCCATTCACCCTGCCGTCGCATCCAACACTCCCGCCATTCAGTCTTCCAACTCATCCCACTATTGCGCCCTTCACCTTCCCCACCCATCCACCATTGGTGTTCCCGACGCCAACGACTCCAGCGCCATTCCTTCCGCCAAGGTGAGATTTCGTTTTAATGAAAGAAGTCATGTTTGAAGTAGTATTATTGTCGTTCGGATGTGTAAAAATTGGCTATTTGCAACAATTTCGAAAGAAAAACAAAAATTGGATATTTACGAGCTGAACAAAGATTTGATTAAAGGTGCAAATGTCGCCAAGAGGTTTTCCTAAATCATTTGGTATATAGCCAATTTTTCGCGGTCGCCTGACATCACCAATAAAACCAAGTCAGGAAATTGACTAGTTTCAGCCCATACGCGTTTGTTCCGCAGTCTGGATTCCCACAACAAGGTCAACAAGCTTACAATGGATACCCACAACAGCAATATTACAATCAACAGCAACAACAACAGTATTACTATCCACAGCAATTCCAGGTATGCTTCGATGTCGTTGTTTTTTGTCTTATTTGGCACTCAATTTATTTTGATAACACTATGATATCCAGTCCGATGCGATCCAGTCCTAAAGGGATATTAGTAGCCATAGCCAATTAAAAAATTTGTGTTCGGCAGACCGAAATAACTCGTTTTTTCTTACAGCAACAAACACAACAACAAAATGGATATAATCAGCAGCCGCAATACTATAATAACAATAATAATAATAATAATTACTACCAAGGACAACAACAGCCACAACAGCAGACGCAACAGCAGTTGAACGGTGTTCAGCAACCATTGGTTCAGCCACAGCAGCCGCAACAGCCTTCTGTTTCCCAGGCGCAGTCGTTTGAAGCTGGAGCACAGGTAAAATTAATTTTGGTGTTTTTTTTTTTAGCCCACCTTCCTTCTTTTTCAGATTGTTCATCCAATTCAGACGATCCAGCCACATCCAGAGCAGGTGCTTCCAGTGCCGCAGAAGCCGGTAGGATTTTTTGTTTTAGTTTATCGCGTATTAATATGGTTGAGGTCGCCAATGCCGTCGCAACGCAGGTTGTCGACACCGCCACCTCGTCGAAGAAGGCGAATGAGTTCAACAGCAAAGCGGAAAAAGAGAAGACGGCAACGATCGAGAAGGCGTCGCTCGACGCCGAAATCGATGCCAAAGTCGATCGTCACGCGTGGTTCAACCCCGACTACGACGCGACCGAATGCCGAAAATCGTTGAAGGGCATCGGCGCGAAATTCCAGAAGAAGTTCCCGTCGTACTTGCAAAAAGGCGGAAAAGACCAAGAGTTGTCGCAGCTCGTCGAGCAACGTCTCATCGAATGCGATCGAAAATCGACGGCGTCACATTGGGACAAAGTCGACACGCTCCTACAGAAGATCAGTTTGACGAAGAGTGAAGAGGGCGAATGCCGCGCCGGTTTGATTCAGGAGCGCATCTCATGCGTCAATTTGCTCAAATACGCGTGCCAGTTCGTCGACGCCGCCTACCACTTCAAATTAGTGCCGGCGCGATTGACGATCCAAGAGGCGCGACAGGCGGAAAGCGGCGCCGAGAAATGCCGGCAAGTCGTGCGAATTGTGAAGCAGCGACTTGAAGCGGGCGCCGCTGTTCTCTAAACTCTAACAAATTTGTAAATATGTAGGCACAAATTTTCGCTACTGGTTCTGTGCAATAATAAATTATTTATTTCTATTTCTTCTGTCCCGTTTCGTAAATTTGCTCAACGAACTTTAAAAGAAGCACCATTCATTTGTTCAGATTTTTTGAATTTTTTTGTATTTGTGTGTGCATGGCGGGAAATACAAAAAGGGGTGAAGTTTTGAGGATGAAAAGCAATAATGACAACAATGCCAAGTGAGAAAAAGCAAATTAGAAATAAAAAAGAAAAAATTTTAAAGGAAAACAACGGAGACAACAAATACAGAGCTCTTTTCGATTATAATGCCTATTTTCAGTAAGTAGTGTTGTAAATTTCAAAAAAGGATCAAAAATTCCAAACAAATCAATCAAGCTTCTATTTTTTATCCTTCTCTGGCTCCTCTGGGTTATCGGGCTTCCCCAAGTTGGCCCATGCTGTTGTCGGATCAAACTTTGAGTCGGACCATAAATTGAACTCTCGACCCGTGAACATCGTGTTGCCAAACTCGTGATTGCCGAAATCCGAAAACATCGAATTGGTGGCGGTTGTCGAGTTGACGCCACCCCAAATCGAATTCACCGGCTCGCTGGACACGGTTGGAACGTCGGACGATGTGCTAGAAGACCAGAGGGATGATAGTCCCGAGTCTGCAATAAGATTAATTGTTCAATCATGTTAAGCCTAAATTTCTACCAATTCCGTATAATCCTTGCTGGGCAGGCGGTTGATCGAATGAAGTGAACGGATCCACGACGCGATCTTTCTTCTCGCTTCCGATAGTCAATCGGCGAGATTGCACCTGCTGTGTTGCATGATCCAACTGAAATCAATCAAAAATCCTTATAAAACATTCAGCTAAACTCTTTTACCCGTCGCGAAAGTGTTGATGTCACCGAACTTGCCACACTCGAGCTCCTCTTCCTTCGATCATCGTCCTCATCATCCATAAATCTAGTCGCAGCTGCCATTGTCGAAAAATCGGCTTCAGCATCGCTCGCATTCACTTCTTCATCAGCCCAATCAGGCGCCTCTTCCGCATCGCTAACATTTTCACTAGACGTTGCGGCGACTGGCGTTGGAGTGACGGGCGGCGGGGGATACTCCGGCTGTTGCATCACCTGCTGTTGAATGAGGTACAGTTGATCGAGCGTCATCGTCGTGCCGAAACCCCAAGGCATTCCAACATTGAGGAACGGCATTGCCGCCGCCGCAGCTGCCGAATTCCAAACTGCCGGATTTGGCGCATACATCGGCGTTCCGCCATTGAGCATAAACTCTTGGAATGCCGCAATCACACTCGGATCGGTATAATTGATCGGAGCTGCTGGAATATTATTAGGCACTAGTTGTGGTTGGGGCTGAGCATGCAATTGAGGTTGTGGCTCCGGCTCGGGCGGCGGTTCAGGCTCCGATGGCGGCGACGGTGTCCGCGGCGGGCGCTGCCGTGAGACCTTCTTAACTTCTTTCGTCTTATTCTCCTTCTCTTTCATTCTTGCGTCTTCTGGCTCCGGCTCCGGTTCAGCCTTCTTCTTATTCTGCTGCCTACTCTTACCACTATGTCTCGACGAATCTCTCGAAACTGTCGCCAACTTTGTCTGCTCCACACTCTTCTTTCTATTCTTCGACTGCACGTGCGCTTTCGGCGACTTGGACACCTTGGCTGGTGGAGGCTTCGGTGTAAGCGCCGTCGTTGTTGTTGTCGACGTCTTCTTATTGTTGTTGGTTACGTCGGTTCGTACGGATGCATCGCTTTCATCTTCGGTAGTTTGTTTGATCAATGTCACCGGGTTCTTCTTCTTCTTCTTCGGTTTTCCTGGTTTTGTCGGCGTCGGCACCTCGGCGGCGTTGTTTCTTCGAATGATCAACGGCTTTAGAACGTAATAAACCGCAAGCACAACCCAATTGGCAATTTGGACAGTGATTCGCGAAATGACTGAGGCATCGTTCGCCGCGCGAAGTGTCGACGGGGCGCGTTCTTTCCATTCCGGTTTGTTGTCGTCCAACGTCGTCGCTTCGGGCTCCTTCTTCGTGAGATTGTTCAAATCAAACACATGTCTCGGTGTGGCGAATTGCTGCCGAATTGCACATGCGATGGTTCGATCTCCTTCCAAATATGCGCACGCTAGAACGCACACCAGACAAAATCTGAAATCAACGTTTGATTTTCGAATTCGGACCAAACCATTCTTACATCAACGCCGTCACGCAACTGTAGTACATCATATTTTCAAACGGCGGCCTTGGAAGCGCCTGATGGCACTTTGCCAGCATATCAGCAGGTACCGTAGCCGCCAGCGGGAACAGCCAAGCACTGCCATTCATATGCATGTATAATTGAAGATCGGCCTCATTGGTGGTCGCGAGGAAGTCTGGTGTGTACCTTGAAATATGACACAATCACTGGACAATTTAACAATGAAAATAAAGTCTCTTACGCGATATCGAGTGCATACGACTCATTCGGTAGTAAACGGAACGGATAGCAATTGAGAATGCGGAATCCGCGATTCTCGCACGAAACACTATTGATGCTCATGTTCGTCACGGTGAACTCAACGTCGCCTGTATTGTAGACATTGAACGGTCGTCGTACTGTAAGTGTTGAATGCAGTTTGTGCATGAGACCTAAAAAAGCACACCATGCAGATAAGTTCACACAATGAGCAGAATGTAAAAAAAATGGGCAACAAAACAAAAATCAACACGTCGAAGTTCGCCATGCGAAACACTGTTAATCAATTCTATCTCTGATAATACTCGGAAAAAACACTCATGCCAATATCAGCATATCTCAATTGCCTACTTCTAAGTGTTCCATTGAACACCTCGATGAGAACTTTTTCTTTTAGCGCATATTCGGCTTCAAGAGCCGGCAACGCTAAAAGCTCTTTCTCTTCAGATTCTGTCGCGTTTCGGTCTTTAAATGTACACTTCTTGCCTAAAATCGGTTTATTTCGCCTAATTTAACGCGCGTCAGAGATTTTTTTCCGTCGGTTTACAGACTCACGTTTCGGATTGTTGCAATCACTCAAATGATCGTGGCGAATCTCGAACAGTAGTGGCTTCGATGAGCGCGCTTCGGCGTTCTCGACTCGCACACCAATTTTGGCGCCTCGTCCGTACACGACGACCGGCTCGATGACGGTGAGATTGTTTCGGATGAGCAGCAGCGACGATCGCAATTGGTAATCGGTCGGCAGGAATCCGACGCGCAACCGGACCTTCATGTGCGGTTTGAGAAGCATCGAAAGCGTGAATCGCGGGATTCCGTTCACCGGAATTATTCTCTCCAATTCTTCGCGTAGTGCTGGAATCGGCGAGTCCGGCTTCAATGTGAACAATTCGGTGTCTCGCAGCGAAAACATCAGCGTCTCATTCATTTCCACCTAAAAATAGGTAATTCGAAACTCCATTAAACTATGGAAATGTTAGAAAAAAGTAAGGCACGTCACACTAAAACATTAGAGGACAATTTTTCAATTTTTGCACTCATCAAATATCACACAACAAAATTTCACACCTCTTCGACATCATATAGAAATTCGAGTTTTGAGATTCGCTGAAACTTCCTCTCCATTTTTTTGTCAGGTTTCCCAGAATTATGGTTTTTGTTCAAGTCAAAATCTTACGTGTTCGGTTAGCGGACTCTGTAAATAGGGTCTGAAGAGCTCGACGAGATTCTCGGCGTCGGGATATATCACCAGAGGGATGACTTGAATGGCAACAGGTAAATTCGACGGATTCGCTAGTGTCAAATTCATAATCTGAATCGCCAATGCCAATATTATCATAATCATTGAACGAACCGTAAAATTGCCAAGAGCCGTATTGGGAAACGTGATGGAGTTGCGAGTTAGAAGGCGCGGCCACACCATTTCCGCCGACGTTTTGATTTTGATATTTTTGGCTTTATCGGTGTCAAGAACTATTGTTGTATTGACTCGATGCTTTCCAGACGCAACCAATGCTTCAAATTTGGCGCGTTGTTTCTTATAAAGATACGCATCGACCTCGGCGAGATTGGCCGGAAGTTGTAATCCATGTACGAACCATTGTCCATCGGAAACTCCATCCGGCTCCGATGTGTCTGAAAACAAAATTTTTGATAAAACTGCGCTCGATTGTGCCGATACTCACCATTCACACTAATCGGAAATCCGAGATAACAATATTCTTCAGCACACGGAACCCTCGGTGTGAACATCACCCTTCCCAAATTCGTCAGCCTTCCACTTCGAAGCACCGGCGGCTGGTATTGATCGAATAACTCGAAAAAGATTCTCGGATCCCGATTGAGGGTGCTCAACCGGATCACCGTCATGTCTTCAGTGAACGAGTTGAACACTTGAAGCGTCCGGTACACCAGTCTCGCCGGCGATGTGAGTCCGAATGAGAATTCATCGGGTATTGATTGCAACGAGCCAGTCGAGACGTGATAAGTCACCGGAAACAGTTTGCTCTCAAACTCAGTCTCGAACAGAATATGATCATTGCACACAGCTCCGTCAAACGGCACCTTGAGCTCAAGATCGAAAACGATTCCGCTGTTCGGTGCAACTTCCACGTCAGTGGCCTTCAAAAATTATTTATTTATTTATTATAATTCAGTATTTAAAGGCGGATTACCTGAACGTATTCAATTCTCTCGTCATTAGATACATCATTAAACAAATTTCCGACTTTCAACTGCCCAACTTCGTATAGACGATAAGCATCGCGTGACGGAACGGCAAGCTTGTGTAGCTTCATTTGCGCGTTGTTATGATTCCAAACTATGAACTAAACGAACGCAAGCTTCAGAGTGAGACATCGACACACTTACTCGAATGCTTCTCGTGTCGTTTCTTTCAACATATCCAAAATCAAATCGATCCTTGTCGACTGATGTGAGTTCGATCTAAATCATTTCAAATGTTGAAATGACTCTCGAAAAATCAATTCTCACGTTCATTTTCCCATTGTATTTGTCGATTTTGAGGCGGAATGTCGACGCATTCGTTTGCACATAGACGAAACCGTTCGCGAAATCGTTCGGCACCTTTTTGTTGTATTTGAGAACGAACGCCGGACCAATGTCGCCAGACGAAATCGCGATAACCTGATTCAGAAGACGTACGCTGAAGTGCGATTGGGCGTTCGACGACAACGAAACATTCCAAATGGCAATGTCGAACGGTAGGCGATTTTCTAGTCGAATTGTTCGCTGATGCGGTGGTCGGAGGTCTTCTTGAAGGGCCAGATCATTGCCCACAGGGATAATATCGCTGAAAGTAACATCGAATGAAAAAGAAATTTCTCTCAATCATTTCCTACCCTTTAAAGACTTCAGCCTTAAATGGAATCGACAAATTATAGTTGCCGCCTCGCGAGACCGCAATTATCGATCCCGTATATCGTTTCATCGCCGTCGGTTTTCCGCCAAAATCCAATTTCGACGCGTCAAAATAGACTTTGACGAGATCGGTGACGGGTCCCGTGGTGAGTGCGGTTCTCGTCGGCGGCATTACAGCGATCGGCGGATGCGAAGCAAACTCCATGTAAATTCCCGTGTGATCACCTTTTTCAACATAAAGTGTCTAGAAGCAAATTAATTCAAATTTGGCTCGATAATAGCGTTAATTACCTCAAATTCTAGCCTACTGCCTAATTTAAATTGAAAAACTGAAAAAACTAAAGGATTCGAGCGCTCGTCATTGCGCAACAAGCCAAAATCGAGCATCTCGGACGTTGAGTAGACACCGCGACTCAATGTCACCTCGAATGGAAGCGTCAAGTAAATATCGTCAATTTCCTCGTTTCTATAATAAACAGTTGTGTCAAAATGATTGTTGGGAGGCTTACACTTCGGGATCCGCTGGCTTCACCGCCATTCGCACAAACGCCGTCGAGTTTTCGGTCATGGCGCCAACGAGCACCATATTGGCGACATGCTTTGATTGGAACGGCCGAATGTGCCACAATTGCGGCATCTCTTCGGCGTCAATATCATCAATCGTGTACGGCATTTCGACGTGAACGTTGCCGCCGCTGCTCGATATCTCATTGACGCTTATCGCAAAATGGTGCGGATTGTAGAGGACGATCGGCTTCGTGATCGTGCTGTTCATCGGCACACGAAGGCCGGCGAACGGTGCGATTCGATAGGGATTCGAAATGCAATTGCCAACAACCTTATAGCCAAATATGCCGGCCGATGTGTAGAAATTGACTTGGCCTTCGCGTTTGCCGACTTCACGAGGCAAAAATGCCACATTAATGGGCGTTGTTTCGAGTGGCGCGAGCGTCTGAATTCATTGTTCGTCATCATTTTTGGTTTCTCGTCGTCTCACACGGGTCTTACCAATTTTTTATAAAACGACGCCTGAAACTCGATCGAGTTCACGACGACCGCATCGAGACCGATTTCTTCATTGTGCGTGTTGCGCAAGTAAATCACTTTGTTCTGCACTGTACCAACAGAACTGAAAACAACAACAACGAAAATAATCATAATAAAGAATTCAATTTACTTTTCACCGAAGTCAAGCATGGACGGCTCCAACTGCACCGGCATTTTTGCGTCGGCCACCGACACAACTTTGAGGCTCTCATCGTCCATCTTGACCGTCTCCAACACCGGCAAATGCTGAACTCGATCCGCGTGCAATTGATTTGATATGTAGTGCAGCTCTTCGCCGATCTGCACGAACGCCGTATGCAGAACGGGTATCTCATGGGCCAGCGCTGCACCATCGTCAGGAACCGTCCATGTCTGCAAAATATTCTTTTTGTTTTTTTTTCGTTTTATATTCTGTTATTGTTTCCGAAGACACATTATTAGCATATGCTTGTGTTCATAAATCACGAAACTAATTGGAGGGTCGTTTTTGCAAATAAAAAAGAATGAATGATCTCCAAAGTGTAATAGTCGTAGAACGCACACCAATCCACAATTTCTTCGCAGGTTTCGTTTTTAGGTCAATCTCAAAACACTTGGGAAAACTTTTCAAAAAAGAAGCTTGCTTGCAGAAAGACGAAGTTTGTCTCGATATGGTGGTAATCAGTTTTGTCGCCAAAAAAATCCAATTTCTGCGTTGGCATCTCAATAGTACGCGGTCCTCTCATCGTTTTTTTTCCTTTCGAACACATGTGCCCCCGGTTTGTTGTAAACGAGGTGTAGATTTAAAGAGGCAAGTAACACAACAACAAAGAAAAAAAAGCACACGACGATGAACTCACTTGCTGCTCGGCTAACGATGTTGACAATAGTACGACGAGCAGGATCAACGCCGACAGGACGACCGGCGTACGACCGATGGATAACGAATGGAATACGTTGGTGTGCCGCAGCAGCATTCGAACATTGGCGTTCGCGGCGCGATTTTCTATAAATGAGATGATTCCATATTTGGTTGAAGTCAAAAGTGTCAAACGATCGTCAAAAAAAAAGAGAACGAAAAGAAAATATCTGGCAAGAGAAAAAATTGTTTGGCGAGCAGGAATGATGATGGAATGATGATGAACGTCTGGGAGAAGAAAAATATGTCGCTGCGGCCCACTCATATCCATTTTGTTTAAAACAATTCACTGCATTTTGGGGAGTGTAAATCACATGCCTTCAAGTTTGCGTTCTTTTTTTCCACGCCTAGTGTGTTTGTGTGAGCTTCAGCGATGGGCTCTTCAACAAAAAAATTGCGAGCGGGAACGGGCAAAATATTGATATAATTGCTTCGAGGCGACCGAGCCACCCCGAAAAAAAAAACGTGCTGTGCCAATAATTGACGCGGGGGCCGCAAAGATAGTGGGCGTGCCCGGTGAGTGGATGGGACGCGAATTATGGGCCGGGTCAAATTTTGCGCGAACACTCCGGTATTTTTGAACAGGCAAAATGTGATGAGATTCTTCGGCACTTTTCTCTCTCTCTCTCTCTTTTTTGAGTAAATAACACATAGTTGCTCATCGTTCAAGAAGAGTGAACACGTTCTTTTGAAATATTAGCAATAAAAAATTTTGTGATGAAATTTCAAGATTACAATGCCAAAGACGATAATACATATTATCAAAAATCGTGTTCTCGAAAAATTCGAAACAAAAAAGATTAAAAAACAAGAATGTCTAATTTTGGAGTTATAGAGATAAATTTTATGGGCTTCACTTCAATGAGATTAACTTATCTACAGGCAAAAATTGGAGTGATGGATTGTCGCATGTCTTGCAAATTTTGTGGAGAAAATTGTATTCGCAAAAAGGGTATACATAGAAATTGCAAAAAACTAGGTTGGTGAATTTTTGAAGAGATTTTATCATCAAAATTAAATTAAAAATGGTTGTTCAATTGAAAAATACATGAGATAGCTTTAATTGATATTGTTTAACTTTTCAAACATGCATATATAAAAAAATTATTCCATTGAATTTTGGATCAGAGAAACTATGAATGAAAAAGGGTTCAGATTTCAAAAATGAAAAAAGTGCGGAAAAAAAGAGATTTGCAATAAATATTTTTTTTAAGTGAAACTCGCTTAAAAAAGCGAAAATTTAGTAACTGAGGTCGAAAAAGATTAATTGGAGAATACCTCATATTTTAAGATTTTTTATCGAGAATTTTCCTGGTAATTTTGGTTGAAGGAAATTCCGACATTTTTACACAAAAAGCAGTGGGAGCGAAAAAAGATGTTGTCTGGAATTCCAATAATTACACCATGGAAAAATTCAACATTAATCGTATGTGACAAGAAAATTACATAAGGGAAGACTGAATAAATGAAGGATAGGAATCTGATTCATTTGTGTATGTGTGTAATTAAGGAATTGGAAAGGCCAAAAAACGGTAGTAAAAACGATTTCGAAAACCCTCCGCGATTCTTTGGGTGACGTGTCGAATTGGTTGGCGCGAATCAGAAGAAAAAGATGAAAAAACAAAAAGCGACCCGCGCTTGATTAGAATGCATCTTCATCTTCTGAACGACACAGGAATCGATCAATAAACGATCGTCTCCACGGCGGGCTGCAAAAAAAGAGAACACGTCTTCGGAATCGAAACAAGACGAAGAGTAGTGAGGCCGCGCACTGTACCTCATCGAAACGCGCGCTCTCTATCATCACGATCCGTATCGACCGGAATCTCGGGCGTCAATTTTTCCATCTCTCTTACTTCTCTCATTTCTTCTCCGTCTTTGTTTCCTAGCGGTTTACGCACGAAATAGATTTTTTCTTACGAGGGGGGCGGGCATAACGCACGGGCAATTGGAAAGAAAAAAATTGGTTAATGGGCCGAAGAAACGCGAAATTCGCTTGAAATGATGGGCCGACGAAACGGCAAAAGTGTTCCGGAGCAAAAACCACTAGAGCGATTTTTGTGGCCGAACATTGCGCGTGGATGCCAAAAAATTCGGCCACCACGGAAATATTACTCATTTTTCAGCATTCATTTCTCATTTTTCATTTGCCTCTGGTAAATGATTCCGAGTCGTATACGAAGAAAGCTCAATCGTATACGCTGATATCGCTCTTCAAACGCGGCCAAATACGATTGGGATTTCTTAATATACGATTGGCATTTCTTCGTATACGATTATAATTCTTCGTATATGATTGTGATTTCTTCGTATACGACTATAATTCTTCATATACGGTAACGATTTCTTCGTATTCGATTGGGATTTTTTCGTATTCGACTGGGATTTTTTCGTATTCGATTGAGATTTTTTCGTATTCGATTGAGATTTTTTTTCGTATACCATTTCACTTTACACTACTCGTTTGGCATTTTAACGTTTTTATATGATGTAAAGATTTCTATACCTGTTTATTAAAAAAAAATATGAAAGACAAAAAAATGAAAAAGAAAAAAGAATAAATAAATTAATTTTGGTTGGCGCATCAACCATTTTTTTCCACTGCTCGCGCTTTCGATCGTGAATTGTTTCTGAATTAAGTTCATTTGAATGATTAATCATGAGGCAGTCTTCAGCATGTGCAGATTTTGGAGAAAAACGCAAAAAATCTGATTAAGACTAGTTTAGCCGAATCTTTATAATGTTGTCGAGTTTCTTTAAAAGGTTTTTACTGCGTTTCTTTTCAAAATCTGCATAGGCCCACTAAAAAAGTGAAAACTCACAGGAGATAGGTCATATGACCGTGTACCAAATAGGAGATTGTAGAATTCGCCGTTTCGTCAGCCATTCCAGCGATGGTAACCGTCTTTTGTAAAACAGCTGAAATTAATTTAAACATATTTTAAACATTTTTCGCGCTATTTGAGCATACCAATCGCTGTGTTGACAAACCGAACTGGAAGCGTTGCGTGCGGCGGCGTTGGCTTAAACGATGTTGAATAATTCACACGATCGTTATTCGGAATTGTCTGAAGGTATTTTTTTGCAACTTTAAATAATTGTAAGATACCTTATCGACAAATCTGTTGACAGTAGTATTTATCACATGCTTCAGAGCTGCCTTCATGAACGGAATTTCCAAAAATATTTGGGCCACGTTGATGTCTCCTGTTAAAAGATTTAATACAAATTCAAAGCTTTCGAAACACAAAAAACCCATCATTTCCATCCAGTGATCGAATAATTATTTCTGCGTCTTTAAGAGCTTCAGGGTTGTATACGGCGATCACGTCGATCTAAATTTAGAAAATAGCAAAATTTAAAAAAATACTCACATTGTTTTTGTTTGGCTTTGCCGCGAATTTTTGGGATAAAGTTTCTATCTGGAAGAATAGGGTTTCTATAGTTTCTATTGTGGTACTATGCAGATTTCGCAAAAAACTCAAACAGCGGTAACCATAATTATAATGGTTTTTGCCGGTTTTGACGAGTTCTGATATTTTTTTTACGGCTTTTGATGATTTTACTGCTTTTTTTTGCGAAATCTGGTACCATTACATTTGGAATGATTGAACAATAAATAAAACATACCGTGAACATGATTCCTTTCATGGCAAAGGCAATTGTCCTCAAATGATCATCGGACGAAGAACATAATTGATCCACGTTCGTATGATCGAACTGAAACGTTCCAGAGTGATTGGTATGTACAGTCTTCTGTAAATTTGCGTTAAAGTGGAATGTTAAAATTTGAATTACTTTCAAGTCGATCAATTCCTCCGGAGTCGAATGATACAGATCCTCGCCAAGTTCTAATGGGCATAAACCATTCTTTAAAAATAATGAAGATTCGAAAACAGGAAAAAGATGTAAAATCCCACCACAATTTTACGCTTCCTTGCTGGTTGGTCGTTTGGCATATCGTCAACCTGAATGCCTTCGATGCTTCCAAAATCCAGCTCGTTTTGACGATAGTCTTCGAAGTACAGCTCATTTTCATCGACTTCTTCCTCGATGAGCTCTCCGTCAACGACAGCCTTAATATGAACACTATTTTTTTTTAACCATTCAAGCATTTTTACCGTTTGCAATCCAGTTTGTCGTAAAACCAAATTGCGTTTGGTATTGGTATGCGATGTTGCTTTGGATTTTGGACGAGTTTCTTTAATTTCTCTTCTTGAGGCGTTCGCTTCAATTATTTGCTTTACAAATGACTGCGTGCGCTTTGACATCCTTAACAAAATTATAATCGGAAAAAAGTGTGTATTAACTGAAATTAGATAAGTTAACCGTGACTAACGGATAAACTCTAATATATCACTGAATGATCAATAAATACTTTATTCAAGATAGCATAGGTCTGAATGAAAATGGTAAAACAGTCGTGATTCCATTGTCAGGAACTGTGATGGCGTAGCCAATAAGGTTAGAAATTGGCAAGCAAAATAGAGAACCTTTATTTCTCACCACAGCACCATATCTGCATGAACCGATTGTCGAAATGCATTGCTTAATTTCTTCTTTTTGAAAATTTTGATGGAGTGAGTTTGCTAATTGCAATAGGTTGTCTGTATTTAGAATGTATGGTTGTAGAATAACCCGGTCACCGAACTTCTCATTGAGGAGAAATCCCAATACATCGCCATATTGCAGTGAATTTCGCCAACGAAACATCACGACGCTATTATCCGAAGCAGTATTTCTTTGTATTGAGTAGTGTGAGCCTTGATAGCTGTATTTCTCAGTAAACAAATCGCCTTTTTGAGCCAGCATTGAGTACTTCAGTGGGACATCTGTCGTTTTTTCGATATCATCATTCTCCGAATATCGAAATAGCAGTTTTCTCAGTTTCACGATAGACACATCATGTTGTTTTGTCGTTGGGTCCGAATGAAGTCTTGCACGAACTTCGGTCGTCAAATCTTGCAAAATTGCAGCACTAAAATTTTTCTACGGTGTACAATTTTATAATAAAGCATACTTCCGCAACATTCTTTGCCCAATTCCCTTTGTGATTTCTGACGATAATAGTCGTTTCAAACTGTGATATACGTGCTCGGAGGATTGGGTACTGAACGGATACGGGCTCCCATACATTCGAACGTTTTCGGATAAGTGGAATACAATCTGCTGAAAAAAAAACACTTAGAATGCTTTCAATTTTAAACTGATTTACATGTACTTTCGCGCCGCGATAAAATTCGGGACATACTCGGTTTAGCGTTATTTTTATACATTTGCAAATATTGGATACCTAAATATAAAGCCGACTGTAATGAAACTAACTCCTCACTCACCGTATCGTATAAGTTCTTGTCACCGATTGACATCGGAGATACTATTGTTCGATATAAACAATGGAATAGGAGGATTATCAGTGAAGCATCAGCAGGTAGCCTTCCAATTAATGCAGCGGATACCAGCGATGATTCGAAGATCTAAACTTATTATTTTTGCGAAATGATATAGCTTTTGTTACCACAGTCCTTTCGCAACCTGTAATTTCATGAATCCGTCCAGAAATTGAACGAAAGTTTGAGGGTGTTCGAATGCTCGTGTTTAACATCAAGCGACAACCTTCGAATACTTTATAACGGCGTTCATTTCCGAATACTTCTGAAAAGAACATATAAAAACAGAAAGTTAACTATAAATACCTTCAATTATTTTTTTGAATATACCTTCTTCAAAACAGTGAAATGAATCAATTGGCGACTCCCACATTGGAATAATCGAATTAAAAAAAAAAGTGTGTTTTCCTTTTTGCATTAATCCGTCTTCCAAATTAAGAGGTACTCGGACCCCATACTCGTGACGGTCTACATTTAGTTGTTTTAGAATCATAAAAGTAACAGACCTTTGACGCTCTCATCATTGATTTTCACGAAAGTTGATTGGTTTAAACAGAATACACAGGCCCCCTTTGACGAATGACCCTTTAAGCCATATACCTTTCTTCTAGCCTACAAATGGGAATTTTTAAAGGAAAAAAAAATCAACTCACGGGATCGTCATGCGAGCCAGCAACAAGAGCTCCTTGATACCAAATCCCATTATGATGGTACGGCGTCGAAAAGCTGTTGATCACCCACTTTACGATTCGATCGTGAATGTATGAAGACGGGTCCATCTTACTTAGATAAATAGACGATACTATAATCGAGCTAGTTCGGGCACGATCGTTATCTTCGAAATCCAAACATTGAATAGAAAAAGGCCAGCACTTTCGACTAAAACTACATTCTTTTAAAATAAATTTATCGAAATGGTTTGCCTTTCATTTCTCCTCAGCTTTACGCCATCAAATGTACACATGAAATGTACAATGACTCTTTGGTTATCGTTTTCGATTTCTTTTAGAAGTCGTTTCTTTAGAATCCCTTCAGCCATTGGAGACGAGCATGGCTCATCTTGAAAAATTTTATTTCGAGTTTGCAATATTTTCTTAGAATTCAATTGTATAAATGATTGAAATCTTTCCGTTAAATCGGAAAAACATAATTCGGCATTTACATAACCAATCGCGCAAGTACATCTGAATATCATGTTATTTGCTATTGAATTTCTCCAAAAACAATTTAAAAAAATATCAACACACGTAAATTACTTTTCATTGTCATTTCCACAGTTTCCACACACATTGATAATTGTCTGCTTGGCATTTTCCAGCAAAATTTTCTTTATTTCAACTTCATTTCGATTTTCTTCCATTTCAAAATAACGAATGATCGCTGAAAATTATGATAATGGTTAAAAACTCTTCAACCAACCTGTTTTTGAGCTAGTATAAGTCAAAAAAAAGTGAATCAACAGTAAATCTCGCGAAGATAATGCTTCCCATTGGCCTAAAGCGAAATAATTTCAAAAATATGCAAAAACGGTAACAACCTCTCGACGTAATGACTGTCTGCAAGTTGTCACAGCTCGACATTGACACAAAATCTTCTTCCGCGCAAGTGAGTTCATCTTCAGACGATTCTACAGAATCTATAGAAATTAAATCTTGCTCTGTTTTTACTTTTAGTTATACCTGATGTTAAGGTTGAAGTATCTCTATTTTCTGAAAATAGTTATTTTCTTCATTTTTTCTGTTGTTATCACCTGTTTCCGTCTCGTTCCGATATTCCCTATATATGTTTTCCATGATTTCTCGTGTGGTGTAACGATATCGCTTTCGATATGCAAATAATTTTGAATTTTGCGACATATCTACAAAGGAAATAAGGATTTCTTAGAGCGGGGGCAGTAAAATGCACGATTTTTTTGGAAAGTATATATATTAAAACGCAATATACGCATAAAAATCGAATATGAAAAAATTCGAAAATTTTCGAAAATTGTTTTTCGAATTTAGACGTCAATTTTAATGCATGTCCGCAGTGTATCATTGTGGTGGTTACACTACTGTGATAAAATCCAAATCGTATACGATCCTTGCAATAACGTATACGACGAGGAAATGCGGATGTTTCGTATACGATTACAAACCATTCATCAGAATCGTATACGATCCTATACGATTCACATTAACTTATACGATTACCATTAACGTATACGATTTTAATTTTATCTTATACGATGAAGAAATTCGCTTTTTTCGTATACGACTAGGAATCATTTACCAGAGGCTAGGAAAATGATTTCGCAATATTATATATTCTATATAATAATTTAAAAACTAAACATCGAATCGCATTTGAGAATTAAATTATATGATATGAATCATAATACTTCCAAGTTTTGCAGGATGATTTCCTTTGAGGATTTCCTTCTTCAACCTTCGAAGGTAATTGATCCATTCAACCGGTTCATTTCAAAAATTGACCCGTTCATTATGATGGTTGAATTTTGTCAAGTGATTGGCCCTCGCCCACTTGCCGTCGTTTCATCACGCGCGAATGATGAAGGTACGCATCGCTGGAAACCATATTTGGAAGATCAAATATTTCAGTGGCGAATGTTGATATTAATGAAATGGCAATTTGGCTAATGTCATCTGATATTTATCCGGGTACGCTAATCGTTCTTGAAAACAATCAAACAGGGATCTACGCTGCTGCATATTACTTCAACCTTTATGACATTCGTGCGAGAGCCTTTCAAAGGAATCTCTGCATAGCATATTTAAGCTCGGAGAAGCCTGGAAAAGAAGTTTTAGGCATTTTCTCGAAAGCAATGAGAAAATTAGTGAGCCCGATATTGATTTGCAATCGAAAGCTTTTCATAAGACATGTAATGGACATTTGCAAATTTTCCGATACAATTGGTGAGGTTTTCTTAAGATTTCGATTGAGTTAAATTAATTGAGTTTAGATGAAACAACACTTCAACAATACTACACGTTACACGGCGAGCCTAATAAATTCCCAGATGTTGGCAGATTCAATGTGGTTTTTGAGCAGACGCGTCTCCTAAAAAGTCGCTTCTTGACGAAAAAATTCCAAGATATGATTTTCGAGGATGACATTTGTACAGGACACAATATTGAGAATTTAAACGAAGCTGAGGAAATCATATGCTCATTTCGGGTTCCGTCTGTGCCGTTAAGTCCTGTAGACACACTGACGCCATGCGTAGGAGGAACTATTGGGAGACGAACAATGTTGAATACTATTTTACAGGCCTATCATGAAATAGTTCCAAAAATGCGGAATATTCTAGCACAGTGTAAAAAAGCGCTGCCCGCAGGCGTTGGGGCCCTGTATTCAGCAGGAAGGCCGATTGCGAAATTGCCAAGGGCTGAAGGATACAGCACATCGAGTGCATCGCGACTTGAAAGCGATACCGTTGACGGGGAAGAAACATTAAGAGCTATAACTTGTCACCTAGGAGAGGTAATTTTGTGGAACATAGTTATTTAAAAATATAAATATACAGGTTCTCTACCCAATCCTAAGCGGTGAGGATTTGGTAGTGTGTGGCAACCCGCAACGCCTGAGCACTGTCAACGATATGCTCCAGAAATTGTCAACGATTTGCCCGCAGTCGACCTCGAGAATCATTGAAACGCCACTAGAATCGGACCCCCATAAAATTGGAAATGGGCTTGGCGGCTTGCAATGTACAAGGTCGGAAACTGGTAAATTAGCGAGATGGCGCCACATTCTGGACATGAATCGATGCATCTTGAAAACTTTCGCTTATGATGGATGTCTGCTCAACGGATTAAAGAAGAAACGAAGGTGAGTTTGGATCACATGATTTTTTATCAAAAAATGTTGAAAACAAGTTGGAGTTTGTCATATGATATCGACAAGTACGGCAAAAATCCCGCCTGATTTTTTTTTCCAATGCAATCGTCCTGACTGATATAATTGTTATCGCATTTTGATAACCGCCGTGAAAAGTATTCTATAAAATATTATCAGCAATGAGGAGAAAACAGCAATAAGAAATCAAATTAATTTAAAAAATGAATTTTAATATTCATGAAAGCGTAAAATGAAAAAAAGAAAAAGGTTTCGAGCAGCGGACGTTCAAAAATCATTAAATTTCCAAAAACACGTCGCGTTTCCCGTGGTGATTCGGCAAAAAACCTCAAGCAAAAAATTGTTTCTAGGTTTCCCACCGACCGCAGCGTTATCTACTTCGTCATCGCTTATTTGACAAATCTCTGCTCGCTCGTCTACGTTTGTCGATATTGTCGAAACAACGAATTGGTTCCGGAATTTGATCGTATCGAACCGAACGTCACCGCCGATGATCGTCGCCTATTAACGAATTTACTCGTTTGTATGGACTTTGAAAAGTTCAACACGCTTAAGACGTCGCCGTCGAAGGATGCAGTGAAACCGAGCAAAATAATCAATCTGTGATATAATGTAGATTTATAATTTGTTCAAAATTGATATTAATGAATCATTTCCTTTACGAGATGGCGTTTCAAGGATGTGGACTTCGCCGGTTCCATTTTCTAGAGCAAGTGCCTTAAAAATGAAAAATGCCATAATTTTAAATTAATAGAAATTACCATATACGCAATTCCTTTAACGCCTTTTGTGTGTTCATTATCCCAAGAGGTTACCGATAGAATGGTTGTCTTTTTGTCTAATTTGTCTATACTTCGTGGAGACGTCCCATAGCTTAAATCCCAGTATATTACAGTATGACCAGTGTGAGTACTGTAAAACGCTGAGGAATTGCTGAAAGAAGCATTTGTTGTGGAAACAATCCGACATCCCACCTGCAAGACCACTGTAAATGTGTAACTCTTGTGCTTTCCTGTGTCTTCGGTAGATATGCAATTGGTGACGTTTTATTGGTTCGATAAATGGCAATTGCGCCGCTGGAAAATCCTACCTGAAAACTTTTGCATGTTTTAAATATATTTGTTTAACCTTTACGGATCTGTTTAAATTCTATTTCATTCGTTTTCGGCCATCAGATGACTAATTTCTTTGTTTGAATGTTTCACACAAGTTTTGTGCAAACAAGGGCTTGGGAAATTTTTTCGAATAAATTTAAACAATACCAGGATAACAGAATTATCGTGACGGGATGATGTAATTGCGCTAATTTCTCCATATTTATCTGAAAATGATGAATGTCATTCAATTTTTTCAAACTTGGAAACCTCTCTCGGTTTTGTATATTTTCGGCATTTGCTGAGATGTATCACTTCTTTGCATACTATACAAAACTCCAGTATCAGTTCCAATAAAAAATCGCATTGGCCTATGAATTGTTGTAAAGCAGGTGACAGCGCTGGTTGTGGAATGCCGTTTTAAGGATGGATGGGGGCGAATTACAGCAGTTAATTGGATATTCAGCTCATTTTTTGATATTCTTGTGGCAAGCCAGTATGAAATCGTACCAGATGCATCAATTGTTGCTATTTCCTCGCCTGATCTAAAAGAGAAAAATTAATAATTTCAGTATTAATCGCAACGAAATACGACTACCGTATGTTAAAGGCACACGTGTAATTGTGAACCGAAGGTTTCGTGTGTAAAAGAAATAATTTGGCAATTTATTTTTTTGTGGTTTTTAGTTTTTAATTTACGACGTGGCCCTAATTTTAAATAATTTTCATTTTCGAATCTAAAAATAATTGTATGGTTCTTCTTGCGTCTGTACATACTTTCTTCTTGCCCAATAACTGAGCAATAATTTTGAAATTTTGCAGGAAATTATATAGAATAATGGATTTTTAAACTGAATATTAAAGATTTCTGAAAAATGACAGCGAACATTTTAAAGGTATTTACTAAATCAAGGCATTTGCTCGTCAAATGAAAAAATGATTCCAGAAAAAAAGAAAAAGAGCGATCGCAGGTGATGAGTCCAACGAAAATTTCGGTAAACTGTTTTTCGAGACATAATTATTTAAATTAACTTAAATGTAACAACTCACAATGTCGAAGAAACGTTTAGCCCAACTAATGGGCTTGCATCAGAAATTGTTGTAGCCAAAAATGATGAGTCGAAGGCTGGGCGCCGAAGAGCAATGTCAGATTCACTGTCTGCAAATTCTCGAATGAGGCTTGTTGAAATTGCTGCTAAAAATAGGATAACTGACCAACCCAGGGAAGAAAATCATCAAAAGCCGAATCTGATAAAGAAAGATCAAAAGCGCACAGTGTTCCGTCTTTCTATGAATTATTCATATTTGGCTCTTGTCAATAATCGTTTTCTTACCAAACAAACGTACAACGTTGAGCCTTTGATGCTTAAATGCATTTGAACTACTATTGATTCCACAACAAAAAGTCTAGAATCGCGATTAGTAAAAATTTGCAGCCATTTCCTACCGTTTTGGCGGTTTCTTTTTGTGAACGTAATACTCGACTATCAAGCTTTTATTCATCAAGTCTTGTGCAGGAGATTCGAAAATTTCGAATGCAATCAGTACACTGTCAGATTCACCTTTTTCAATACAAGTCGCTTTACTTCCTGTAATGAGAATAGGAATATTTGAGAATTTTCATTGAGATGATTACGTTGTGCCACAGCCCCTAATTGGAATGAATTAAATCCTCTTGAAAACTGATTTGTGCTTTTTTCGTCGATTTCCTCCTCTTCATTGTTGATTTCCTCACTGGCGAGAATTTCTCTAATCACCTGAGTAGCAGCGAAGAAAAATTTTTTGAATCTCGCGCGATCTTCGGCCGTCGATTCTCGCGGCAACTTTGCGTTGTCCATTTCGGATTCAATGTGTGGAAATTGCGTTCCGCGACATTCCGAATCAGCTTTCTCGGTTTGCGCTTCTTCGGATTTGCTGTCGATGCCTGTTTGGGAGAAATCCTTAAATCAATCATTGGCATTTAAAAAATGCAATCCTCAATTAAATCTTACATGAGAAAGATTCGACGGCAAAGCTTGAAACGGCTCAAAAATGTTTGAAGACATGTCGGTAAATACCACACTTTTACTTATTTCAATGCCTAAAACCCATGTCAAAATCGAAATAACCGCGATTTGTCTCACTTATTAGTCCCCGCAATTTTTGCATTCGCTCGTTTGCCTTTTGCTCAGCTGTCTTTCTCTCTTCTTCATTGTATAATACTATCGGCTTATTGTCTATCTAAATGGCGTTTTGAAGAGTTTTCGCGGTTTGCATCCAATTACCAATGACATATTTGGTGCAACGATTGTCGTTGTGCTTTGCCGTCGTATCGGCTCTATCGCATTTGTAGTCATTTGGCGCTCGGAGAGCCGTTTGAGCATTATGCTTTCCTCATCTTTTTCATTGGTGATTTTTCGCGCGTCTCCGGCGTTCTCTTTCTCTTCAATTTTCGGCGCCGTCGCACTTGGTACGTCTTCATCATCGTCTTCAAAATCATCGTCGTAATCTTCAAAATCGTCGTCATAGACATTCTCAGGCTCCGGCTCAGGTGATGGTGTCCTCACCCTCTTTTTTTCTTTTTTCTTCGACTTTTTCTCTTTGCCATCGCTCGACGATCTAATATGATAGTTTTAAACGTGTTTATTCATTTTTTTAAATGAAAATCTATATTTTTTCACATCACGACACCTTATTTACCTATGCTTTTGCTTAGAAGAAGATGATGATTTTGATTTTGTAGACATTTCCTAAAATATCCATAATATCATTGTAATATAATATAACAAAATTATAGATTATTTTTTATAACATATATGAACCCAGTGGTTTAATCCTTTTCGTTCTCATGTGTGCATAGTGTTACCATAGAAACCTGAGTCCTTGTGGCCTAGGTTTCACTGCGGTCGATAATTTTCAATTGGCGTCCACCATATATTGCTTTTTTTAAACCCCGCCGAATTATTTAAATTTCTTTTTTTTTCGAAAAAGAATCCTACAAATCTATTATTCATAGAATTCTCTTTAATTGCATTTTTTAATATTTTTTGTTTCTCATTTTAGTTCCACATATTTGTTAGATTTAGATTTTGACGAGATGAAAAATTGTGAGCTCCGATATATTTCCGTCCAGGCCATCAAGAAAATTGAAAAGTTGAAATTGTATGGAGGGTTTTTGAACTATCTTGAAACGGAAGCTGAAAAGTTGGAGGAAAATGACCAAAAGGAGACACTCAGGTGATATTTCGTTGAAAATTTCGTGTAAATTGAAATTTGCAGAATACTTAAAGAGGCAAATGCAAAATCAGACAAAAGCATTATTGATTTATTTTTGCAGTATATGCGATTTAAGGTATACGCATTTCATGCAGATATAATTATTTTTTCGATTTTCTTTTCAGTATATTTTCGATTTGAAACCAGCGGAAAGAGAATATCTTGAAAGTGAAGCTAAAATAGGTGCCATCAAAATGCGAAAAGCTCCAATACAATCTGAGTTTTATTTTGGCGATATCGCAGTTTCATTGAACTCGAAAGCGTATTGTGTGAATTTGAACGGCGAAAATAAAGAAAACATGTTCAGGAATCGCAATTTTCTCGCCAACAATGAAATTTATTGTGGGATTTGCGCAAAAGAATGCTTAAAGGATTTAGATGATATTGAGAGTTTTGGCGATCTTCGAAAATTTGTGGTATTTTGTTTTGCTCTGTTGTCGCGTTCAAACGACTGATTAAATTTCAAGAAAAAATTGCCAATATTCCATGGTGTTTTGAGGCAAAAAAAAATCTGCGTGTCTGCATTTTAGCGTACGCGCATTAAAAATGTTTTTCGTAAATTCACAAGTTCGCGGATGAATATAAATTTCAGTCATTTGAAAAAGGCAATATTAAAAAAATTGAGTTTGGATTTAAAGGAGCATTATCTCAAATTTCACGGAACGATTGCATTGTTCGCGTGTCATTGCTGCTCAAAAGCATTTACGACACCCGCCGAACTGATGGCTCATGATTGCGAGGACTATCGGCGATTTTTGGAAGTCAAGAAAACGAAGAACTCGAACAATTGTGAAGAGATGATCGCTTGGCATTTTCTTGTGTGCTCGGATTGCGGCGTGAGCACCAGCATGCAGCTAAACGTCATGGAATTGGTGCTGAATGAGCAGCTCAGTAAGCTAGTGGACTTCTTCGTGAGTTTTGTTTTTTTTCGAGTGCTTTGCATGAAAATGTCGACTTGCAGAAAATCCATTCTTCTAGCAAATTGCTACTTGTCACGGTGTACAGCAGCATTCCATTGATTGATGAACCCATCGTGACATTTCTCACCAGCTTTAATGAAGGTTGTCGAAATTTTATAAATGTTAGTTGAATTTTTATTCGTACGTTTAAGGGTATTTTTTGCGAGGTGGAGGATGTGACATCGAAGAGCGGCTGAATGATTTTGTATGTCCGGCGATGCATGATTATGAGAACGAATTTCCCGACACGGTCAAATTAAAGTGAGTTGTTTTTGAGCGAAGTGCAGATTTCACTCGCTTTCTCTTTCCCTCTTTTTCATTTTTCGATTCCAGAAAACATGTTTTAACGAATCATTTTAATACGGGTCTCGCCATGTTTTTCACAAGTTGCCACGCCGCTGTTCACAATGTAATGCGCAAAAAAAACTGAGTCGAGAGAATTTCATAATTGCAATTCAGAAGAGGTTCGGATTGTTGAAACCGTGTTTCGTTTTGTGTCGAGAAAAACGCACGAGGGAAAATGTTTGCATCGGCGGAATGAGAATGGGGCCGAAGGAAGTCGCTAGTGAGGCGCTTCCGATAAATTGGCAAACTTCGGCAGATAACAAGACGGTATTTAATGTGACCGAAGACGTTCTGTCAATGCTGAAAATCGACAAAACTGTGCTCAATTTGAATGAAAAGAGTGCGAATTTGAAAATATCGACCGAATTTCACGTCGGCAATGTGGGTTTTTGATTTGAGACCTGTTGATTTTAAATTTTTTTTTCAAATGTGCTCTTCAGAAAACGTCGTGGAGTCTCCACAAGACCAACATGATGGTTGGAAATGTGCACGTGTCGAGACCGAACGATGACATTCCGAGAGAGATATTAAACGATTGCACGATTTGTTTCAAATTGCGATCGAATTTGGATGGCGATGATGTGCACAAATCGGCGCTTCGCGATAAAGTTGCTGTGTGCACGAGGTGTCGAGTGATTTGCAATGGTGAAATTGCTGTGCAGCAGCACGTTGAGAACATCGAGAAACATGTAATATATTGAATTATATTATTTCACCTTTTCATTGATTTTTAGAAAATATTGACGCTATTCGCCGGAAGGTCTTATGCTAATAGTCCACTTCCTTGCCCGGATTGTAATGATATGCTATGTTCTATTGAAGGTCTCCGACTTCATTTGTATAATAGGCATAATCAATATTATACATATGATTATGATGATTCTGGTGAGTTTTGGGTTTTTTATATTTTTGTTCAAAATCATGCATTCAGACGTCTCGTATCGAAATCTTCCGAAGCCAACTGAACGATTCAAGCAAATCAATTCGACTCTTGGATTGAATCCAGACGGATCGTTTTCGAATAATGTTTTTGGTGATAGCGTCACGAAAAAGGTTTTTTCTTCTTGGAATAGTCATTTATTTTAATTTATTTCGCTTAGAATAATTTTGAAAGTCAATTTCCAAACTATACGACGAATCGGCGCGATGATGATTTTGAAAGAAATGGCGCGAAGAGGAGAAGAATCACACCGCCGGAGACCAGTAATTATCAACGTAATTTGCAAATAACAAAATTTAATGATATTTGCGCATTTTTTTAGGAATTCCGAGCTCGAGCCATTCGACTGACACTAATGAGCACGAGGTTGTACGAATGGCGAATGATGATGATCAATTTCTCGAGGTGGATATAACTTTTGATTTGGTTGACCTATCGCCAGTGGAGAATAATCGCGCTTCTCAAAGCTTCGATTTTGAGACATTGAGAGATTCGAACAAAACTGATGATTTTACGGGATTTGACGATAGTTCGCCTGACGATGCTGTGGATTTAGTGGGCAGTGGCGACGAGGAATCGCGAATGCTTAATGAAAATGAGGATGATGGGCTAGCGAATGGAGACAGAAAAGGCCCGAACAGCTCTGCATCAAATGATAATGATGACAGTATCGAAGTCGTTAAAGTGGTTCTTCATCCTCCCGATGACGAGGTATGTTTTAATGGACTCTTATTATAATCGGCATCACGCAAATGTAGAAAAATATCCATTATTCTCCTGCTTAGCTCCGTAAATCTACACAGTTAGTTTGCATTGAGACCTCTTTCTAATTTTTTTTGGCATTAACCAAATTTCCGCAGTCGCACGACGCCGACATTATTGTTATTTTTCTAAATTGAAACATTGAAGAAATATACTCCTAGTGGAAAAGGAGGAGAAAAGGAAGAAGAAGAAGGAGATAATACATTGGATTGGACAGAGCCAGCTGAAGGAGATTACTATACTATAACGTATGTTAATTTGGTTTTGATTCAAATTTTTTGATCTACACATTTTTTATTAATTGGCTTAAAGTAAACAACAATTCAAGTAAACAAGAATAATTTCAATGATAACTCATTATATTTGTCGATTTTTTGAAGAAAAAACATCGCTGCGAAGAAGAAAACGACGTCATCTGTTTCCGAAGAAATTGGGGTAATTTATGGTTGCAAACGGTGTACTGGAAAGTTTCCAAGTTTGAAATGCATTCAAGTACATTTGAAAGAAAATCATGCACGTGATTTCGATGATGTTTATAAGGTAAGCGTTTGTTTTTTTTTGAAAATTTTCTTGAATTTCAGGAAGATTACGCAATACCGAAGAATACGCCGATGAACCTTTGTTTAGATTGCGCGACGGCGTTCGAATGCCGTCAAATGTTTGAAAATCATATAAAGACGCATAAAGAGCGAAATTTTGAATCAGACCCATGCTTATGTTGCTCGAGCGGTATCGATCGCTGTAAGTATGTTGGGAATCAAAAAATTATTGCGCATTATAATGATCACAAATGGAATCATTTTTCGTTCACGTGCTCGCGTTGCCCTCGCCCGTATCCGCGGTTTTCCACGGTGAGTACGGTTTCACAAAAAAAAACAAGCGAACGAGACGATTTTATTTGCAGTACTGTCAAATGATGTATCATCTTCATTTTGATCACGAAGCGTCGGCCTTGTATTTTTGCAAATTGTGCTATTACGCGACCACTCAGGCCGATGAAGCGCTCTATAAAAATATAGTAGAATGTGCAAGGGCAAACAAGGTTTTTTTGTTTTAAATTCGATTCAGTGTTTTGAATTGTTTTGTTCGAATTGCAGAAAGATGTCAATTTTGTGCTTGGCGTTGTTCCGGCTTCAATGGTCACTTATCAACCGGTGGATCTGGAGGCTTACATAGCGGAAATTCAAAAAAACCCGGTTTGGCTTCTTTTTAAATGGATATTTAGATATTCGTATATTTTAGAAGAACTTTGCCGAACTCTCATTGTGCGGACATCGGACCCTAAAATTGGAGGGCAACGCTTTTGCAACGTGCACAGATTTTACAGAACATGGTGTTTGCAGTGGAATGGTTCGAAAAAGAATTTTTCATTAACTATTGGTTTTTTTTTCAAGGTTTTGCTTGAAAAAGAATTGCCGGAAGCTGAGGCCGAGGCGTTCTCTTGCGACCATTCGCCAACGACATCCATCATTGATGAATTTTTTGAAAAATTTGATCCCGATCGCCTACGAAATGATGAATGGAAATCTTCGGTGCTGCATATTCCGGCAATATGTCAGAAGAAGCAGAGCGTGCAGCAGACAGCCAAGCAACATTTTCAATCGTCTGATGGGCTAGACAGGGAGAACTCTGACGCTGTGCAATCAACGGATTTAGATTTTGGGCATGAGAGGACTGATGATGTGAGACGAAGTGAAACTGAAAAAGAAAACGCTCCTCCGATGCAATCCCGGGCATCGCCTATTCAAGAACTGGGCCAGGAGAGTTCGAAACGTCAGCAAGAGACGATCTATCAACCGCATGAAATTTTGACTTCAGAAGAGACTTGTCACGCAGCGAGTTCACTGGAATTGTTGCCACAGAATGTTAAAGAGTTGGATCAGAAGAGTTCACGTCAGCTGCGGCAGAATTCGTCATCATCAGACTCTCGGGCGCCGAGCGAAGACGGAAATTACGATGAGACACTATCGAAGCAAGGTTCTAAGCTCAATGTGAAGAAGCGTCAAACTGTGAGTCATATACTCCCGCGCGATGATTCCATGTTTTTTAATGAACTTCAAAAAATTGATATTCGAAATTTGATGAAAATACGTCGAATCCATGTAAGCCAGATATCATCAAACGAAAGAAAAGTTAATTGTGAATTTGAAAGAAGGTTATATGCTTCGAATAAGACCCTTTCGAGACTATTAGTTGTTGACGAAGAGAAAGTTATATATTTTGGAATTTATAAATGTACTTTAGGATTTTACGATTTTACTTCTTTCAGGCAAAAGAATACAGGAATATCGAGTTAGTCATATCGATCTCGCCAACAGAAATATGCTTCATATGTGGAAATGAGATCATGAAAGATCGTATTAGAGTTGTTCGTGAAGACGCGCAGTTGGTTTTTCAGAGCGTTTTAGCCCAATATTCTCAACGTAAGTAGTTCTCATTTGTTTTTTTTACAATTTTTAATGATTCCATATTTAGGGAACCTACTGAACAACGTTGAATGGATTCTAGAAAATAGAAAGAGATACGGTAGCGTGAATTTTTTTATAAAATGATGAGAAAACATCAATGATAACAATTTTCAGATTTTGCGTTGCCGCATGATGGCAGTCTTTCCGTGTGCCGAGCACATTTCAATCCCGAACCGGCATCGAACTTTCTGCCGCCGAAATGGGCGCTGAATGAATTGCCGCAGAGATTGTGTCCGCCACAAGACAAATGTCGAACGCCGCGCCCTCACATGATCATCAAAAATGCGATTAACGCCGAAGTCCACCGCATTGATGGCGAGGAATTTCCAATGGCATTCAGTTTGCCAACCAAAGTGTTATGTTTCATTTGTGCGACGAGACAATCGTCGAAATCCAATTATGAGCGGTGGATGACGATTCACTTTGCGACAATATCTAATATGTGGAGAGTGGTTGTTAGTCAACAATTGATCAATTCTGGCGCTATTCTTGACGAGATCCCGGAAAATGTTTACTTTTGTTTGAGGCACTTTGTGCCAGCGAGCTTCAAATGGGACAAAGACTGTGTAGTGTTTCGTGGAACCAACGATGACTATCCGATTATGAATTTCTTCGCATCGGCGTGCGTTAATCGGAGTTACCGGAAAATGGCGAATATGCTGTTTAAGGTTTGTTTGAGCTATTTTCGAGTTTAAACTATTTTCGTGGACCGACGACCTTCAATTGGTTCCGTAGAACAAGATGAGCGCATATGTTGTCATTTGAAAATTGTTTTTTTTTTGTTAGCAACGAAATACTAACAAAAAGATTTTGATTGATGGAAAATGCAAAAATCTGAGAATTTTCATACGAGAGAGCCGGAGCGGCAATACAAATTGATATTTTGAGGATTAATTTTCGAATATTTTTTTTTAGGATGAATTGACTTATCAACACGCAAAAGACAAATTTGAGTCGGAATTTTCGAATTGCGACAAGTGTGAATTTTGCCAGAAGACGGTGACGTCGAGCCTAAACTGGTTTTTACACCTTCATCACAATGTTCGCGGTGAAATGATTTGCATGCTCTGTCAGAAGACAGCCAAATGCGACGTTGATAGACTGGATGGTGTATTTGTTGATCATCTTGTTGAGTGCCATAAGAGTAGGAATTGATTGTTAGAATTATTAAAAATTTTGTTGGTTTTTTTTAAAGACGCCATCGTTTATAATCTCAAATGTTTCGTCGGCTGCTCGCGGGTTTTCGATGATGTCGAGGAGTATCGAGAGCATCTATTTTTCGCGCACAAGGACGTATTGAAGTTTCAAAATCCGTGCGGACTGGCGTTCGCTGACAAGCAACAACACGAATTGCACAGATCGTTGCATAAATCGAGTGCGCGCAAATCGGAAGCGTATTGTTGTACAATATGCGGAACAATTAACGGGCATGTGGTGTTGAGAGATAGCACGGTATTGACGCATGAGTTGTTTCACGCCATCGAAACGGCGTTGGCGTGCAACATTTGTTGCATGATTTTCGATGGACCCAAAAAGGTTTGGATGTTGTTTTTTTTTCTCTAGAAAAAATCGGCCAATTTTTGCAGTTTGACGATTTTGAAGCGCATTTCGGCGCGTCTCACACAAGCGCGAGAAGAAAATTGTGCCAAGATTGCAGTATGCATGCCGATTCAGATCATTCAAGAAAGATCCACATGGTTTGTAGCCGTCCACTTGTTGAGTGAGAAATTCCAAAAATTTTACAGATTCCAATTTTGAAATCGGCAAATTTCGATGTAAAGGATGGAAAACTACGAGTTAACTCTGATGAGAGCTTGTTTAAAATGTATTCTGGTTTTCCTTGAGTAATTTATTGTTATCGAATTTCTGTTATATATTTAATTGTTACTAAATATTTTTTACTCTTTGTTTTTTTTATTGGCCTTCTTTAGATCTCAACAAACTCTCACTCCCCCTCCCCATTTTTTCTTTGACTAATTACAGCTTTATCTTTTTTTCGCGTTTTCGGGTACTTTTTTCTGATTAAAATATTTTTGAAATGAGGTTTAATATATCATTTATTATGGGTTATGATGCCTGCGTATTTTGTTTTCTTCCGAAATTTTGTATTTGTCTAATTGAATACATTTCAGATGGACAGAATTCATGATATCGATGGCTATTTTAAATTGATTGACAAGTTTGCGCTTTGGTCAAGTTTTAATCGAATAATTTTTGTGAATTTTAGTGCTACTAATCGACCAGACTGGAAAAGTGGAGAAGCAATTGCGAAATTGATATGTTTGGATGACTCGCACTCGAATTTGCCATTTTTACATGTATGTTGCATTTATTTCTGTTGCTCTAAGATGTGAAATAGTGCATTTTTCTAGATCGAAGCGTATGGATCGAGGCGGCAAAGAGCTCAAATTTATGATGAAGGAATTGACGGCGTCGTTTGTCTCCATTTGCAAGTGCTCTATAATGTCCATGTAGCTGAGGATGTGCTCGCGGCACACGCGACCCAAATTCAACTTCTCCAATTGTTCAACAAGGAGATTTTGCAAAAACGAAAAGCGGAGAATTGGTTCTTACCGATATTCTATCAGATTTGCACCGATTTGCGGTTTTTGAGCAAAGAAGCGGAAAACATTGCGTCGCGGGATGATGAGGGTGAAGCGACGACGACATTCTTCGAGACGGCCGCCAATGCGATTATGGAGTCATATAGAACGTGTGTGGTTGACGCGTGAGTATTTTTTTGCGAGGTTCTCGAATTATTGGAATTTTAAATGAATTGCAGACGAACGGATCTTCATCAATCGAAGAAAGTTGCGATGTTGAATGTAACGAATCAATTGTTTCGCATCTACTTCAAAATCAATAAGCTCAATCTGCTCAAGCCGCTGATTCGCGCCATCGACAACTGCGGAGCATTGAAAGACGAATTCTCGATGGCCGACAAGGTCACCTACAATTATTTCCTCGGCCGAAAAGCGATGTTCGACGCGGACTTGACGCTCGCTGAGAAATCGTTGACCTACGCGTTCAACAATTGTCCGCCGGAGGCGTTCGCGAACAAACGCAAAGTGCTCATCTATTTGATTCCGGTGAAAATGTTCCTTGGACACATGCCAACTGAGGCGCTTCTTAAAAAATATCAACTCGACGAGTTCATGGAGGTGGGCGAAAATTTGAAAAAAAAACTGACTGTTATTTAATTGGTCCCATAGAACCGAATGAGGACAAACTTCGGCATTTTACACGTTTGGTTGATTTTTTTAAATGGCTGTATTGAACAAAACTTGCTCCTATAAGCCTTGTTTTTTTCCATGTGATTTCCATGGCGCCAATTAAAGTGATAAATAAATGGCACGCCAATTGCGTGCGCCCACGACTCGTATAGGCGAATCGGATTATTTTATTCAACTTATTATCCCAGCCTCGTTTTCGCAAATCGCATTTAAGCGACGTCGCGACAATGTTTCGCCGACGCGCAAAACACAATAAATTGGGACTGAGGCGCCGCGTAATGAGGCGCCACTTTTTTTGGTCGTTTTATAATGTATTAATGTAGATTGCGTTTTAACCGCAGAGAAATCGTCGAAGATGCGAATGAATCAAAAAAATATATACTTTATAAAAAAAAAGTTGATTTCAGGTTGTCAATGCTGTGAAAAATGGGCACGTCGGCGCCTTGGACAACGCTCTCAACAATCATGAGACATTCTTCATTCGCTGCGGAATTTTTTTGATGCTTGAAAAATTGAGAATGATCACGTTCAGGACATTGTTTAAGAAAACGTAAAATAGAATTTGATTTCAAATAATAATAATAACAATTTTTGCAGCGCTAAAATCGTTGGTTCCCATCAAATTCCCCTTGAAGTATTCCAAATTGCGTTGAAATTTGTGGAAGCCGAAGAAATGGACACCGATGAGCTTGAGTGCGTCATTGCGAACCTTATCGCCACGGTAAGATTTTCAAAAACTGATTGAATCAATCTTGAAATGTCTGTAGAGAAAAATCAAAGGATATTTGGCGCATAATCATAGCAAATTGGTAATTAGTAAGACAAATGCTTTTCCAAATTTATCAACGTTGGCACTTTAATTTTTGCAATTACGTTATTATATAAACAAATATTAATTATACACGCATACGCTTATATATATATATAAATCAATAAAAATCAGTTACAATTTGTTGACAAGGAAAAAAGTGTTGAAAGACGAAAAGTGAAACTCGCATGAGATCAAAATCCCTGAATTAATTGTGAAATAAAGCCCGATGGGGTTGATTAGATGATGATTAGTTATGATATCTATACGATTCAATCGATTAGCGATTATTTACAAGAACTGTGTTCGTTAATTTACATGGTGGCGTCGGTGACTTGAGCAAGCTTCCATGATTGTTTAGTGACATCGATTTTAAAGAATTTTGAGTTTGTCCAGCTGTTAATCATCTGAAAATTGGATGTAATTTTAAATAGAGCTTCATAATCGCTGCCTACCGTATCATTAATGACTACATTGATTTTCGATGAAACTGAGAGCAAAATGTTGTTGGGACATTCGAATCCAACGAACTTCTCGAGCTCCTTCTTCAAGCACTTGTCGGTTTTGTGGTGAAGCTCGATTGGATGATAGGTGACTTCTCCATCATCCGAATCTCCGGCCATTGTGACATACAACGTCAAGTCGGGCGTTCGTTGTTCGTGGTTCAACTCTTCAGCTTCATCGGGAATGCGTGCGCACTTGGCAATAAGCTTGACGAGCTTCTTTGCCGATTCGTAGATTTCGATAAGGTCAATCTCGGCTGCCGGCACAATTTCGGCGTGTTTTCTCTTACGTGGCGTCGGCTTCACTGGAACGAAATCATCGGGCACTTCGGTTTTCACGCGAGGCTCAACGGCAGTGAAGGCGCTGGAAGTGCATGCGATTGACGATGAGGCAGCTGATGTGGCTTTCTGGAGCAACTGAGGAAGAACACCATTTGATGGTTTCATTCTTGGCTCGTCTTGACCTTCTGCCGAGCCGTGCGAATGAGAATCCGAATCGTCTTCAGCTTTGGACATTCGGCGAAATTTGAATATCGCTCGAGACACCTGAATGAAGTGGTTACCGATGTGTCAATTTATCGATGAAAAAGAAGAAGTTTCAAAACTCACTGTGTTCACTGGAATCACTGCGTTTGGATCGGCTCCTTTGATATCCAAATTGTAGAATGCCAATTCCGCTTCAGTGGGTTTTTGATGATTGTGCTCATGAATCATCTTGAGGATCACATTTTGATTAACTTCGGTGTGCATTCGCGCCGGGCACTCATTTTTCCGCTCGCATCGCCAAAAATGTTTTTTTCCACACGACGATTCCTTATCAAATGTCATGAAATAGCCTTGGGCGTAGACTTTCATTCGTGTGTTCCTCGGCTTGTACACTTTTTCCTTTTCCTTGGCGACCTGCGGCGTTTTGTTGTTGAGCAGAAATGAGAGAGCGAGGCTAGCCGAGTTTGGATTGTTTAGCGCCTAAACAAAACAAAAATTATTCGGTTTCGAAATCGCCAATGATTATTTTTTGTGTTAAAAAATATTTCAAACGTATTCTTACCTGTAAAACTCTGGTGAAATCAAAATCGGAATCTAGGACGGCGGAATCTTGCGAAGGCGATGGTGTACTCGACGATGTTGAAGACGTCGACGTGTCTTCTTGATGATGATTCGACACAATGCCATCAAGAATTTGCTGCGATGTTGTCGGAAGCATTCCGATGGCTGTGGAGAGACCTTGAAGCTCCTCACTGAGCACCATTTGCGCCTGAAACCATAGAAATGTGAGCAATTTAGATTTTAAAAAATATCACGATTCAAAATTAAATAAAAAAACACGGTTCACTAAAGATGCTCAGTGTTTGCACAAAACTTGCCATCGGTTACAGTATGATACGAGACTCAAAAAATTGATCGACGACGTTAATGTGACCGAAATATCATGTTGGGCGCGATAAAATCTCGCACGCGGATATATCAAACGGCGACGAGGGCCTCCGCCGCCGTCAAACGAGGACGACGACGAGACTAGCGGAATAACGCTGGGTGGGAGGACGCGCGAAAACGAGAAAATTGAATAGGCGGGCGCCGGCGCGTCGCGCCGCCGCGCCTTCAATAGACGCGCTCATCCGGCCGTCGCCTTTTTCTCTCCGTCGAGACATTCGCCGTCGTCGGGCCGCCGACCGCCACAGACGTGTATGTTCGGACGGGAGGCGCTTGCAAAAAAAACGCGGAGAAGGGCGCAAAGAAGACTGGAAGGGTGGGACGGGGAAGTGTACTTTGCCCACATACACACGCACGCATCACATAGTTACATATAGTAACAATTGTTTGTCGCCATCGCATGCGCTTGCGTCTGGCAAAATGCCCAAAGAGAAGGTGTACTGTAGAAAGCTGTAAAATGGATATCGGCTGGGAAAGAAGCAAATATCGCTAAGAGCTCCAGAAATTTTGAATTTTGGCACGAGCCATGCTGATTAACTGAATTAGAGTGCCAAATGGAAACTCGTTGGCTAAAAATGTTGAATTTGAAGTGATTCTTGAAAAAACTAACTAATGACTGAAAACAGTAATACAGTACATATATGGGATGGGCGCCATGCCAAGGTCAACCCACAGTCAGAAAAAAACTGAAGAAGAAATAATTGAGGAGGGGTCCAGCAAGCGGGTCTGACCGGCAAGCGCAATCTAATGATGACATACAACCAAAAAACGGGAGGCGGGAGGGGCCGGCGGGGTCCGTCGCGGTAGGTCAGCGAGCGCAACGCGCGCACAGATGGCAGTACAAATAATAATAATAATAATGCGAGCGCGTCGAAAAACGACAAAGACAAGAAATGCGGGGCGAACGGCGAGCGAGTGCCGTGCGGGGGGGGGAATATAGCGAGGAGGAGATGTGGGCGGGGAGAGAGTGGTGCTCTCGCGCTGCGCCGATCTGGTCCGAGAATTGTGCGCGCGCGCGTGTGTGTATGTGTGGTCCCGTCGACGCGGCACATCCACCTCCCCCCGCGCACTCCGCCGTCCGCAACACTATTTCGGCGGACGGGTGGCCGCCGCATGGGTCAATCGCAAGGCGTCGCGCGCTCGCTCAGGTCATCGACGGACGCACGCCGTTTCCACCACTCTTCGCCAACATCCCCCCACCCAACAACACCCGCCCTTTCGTCACCAAACAGCCACCATTCAACCGAACCGAATATTATGGTGAGGTGCCAAGGCGCCTTTGGGTCTTTTGCCAAGAGTAACATTTATCGGAGAACAACAACTAACAAAAACAGTAACAAGAATCTGAATTGGGGGTAGAAAAGGAATAACAGTAACAAAGTCTGGAAGACTTCTTGAAGGCATCAGAATTTCGGCTTTCTCTTCCTTCCGGAATACTTCGACTCATGGCGAACGTCTTTTCCTTGCTTGATCATTCGTTGGCGTTTCTGCTCAATCCACGCCTTGGAACCTTTGACGACCTTCTCCGATTTTCGCGAATTCCACACAAACCTAAACATGAATCGGATTTGTTTCGAATTCCAACTTGTTTACCAACCTTCGGCCAGCGTTGTCGATATGTTTCTGCTCTTCGGTTTCTTCGGAGAGCGCTTGCGGCAGCTGGGCGACGCCACCGGTCATTAGGACGAGATAAATCCTGTAAGCAATTAGTATTTATCCCATAATTGCAAACAAATTGCCAAAAAATTCACCAAAACTCACTTTTTCCTCTTCGTCGATTCCGGATAATCGACGACCAATCCGCCATTGAAGCCCGCTTTCGTCGCTTGGCTCATGATAAGCTCGCATTGCTCATCGTTTTCGGGATAGAATTGGAAGACGGCGCGCGAACCGCGTCCCTACAACCGAATTCAGTTATTTTGTTGATATCGACCGGTTTATCTTCGCGCCGCTTCCGCCTTCTTTTTGTCGCGTCTGCCGCCGACATATTGGCGAATTGATAAAACAAAATTCTTGAAGGATGGGCGCCAGACAAAAAATGAATGGAGAGGTTGTCATCGCAAAAATCGATTTTCCAACAAGCAAAAAAAAGGATAGAGAGGGTGCACCGGTTCTAATCTTTTCAAAGTTCACCATCTATTTGAATTTCAGGTGTGTTGAAAAGAACACACAAAAAATCGAAATTGAATTATTCATTCAAATGATCATTCCAAAAAGTTACGCTCAAAAATATGAACTTATAAATATATCATTTTTAGCCCCCCGGGGGATATATATCATACCAGACATCCATAAAGACTTTGAAAGAAGAAATACAGCCGTTTTCTCGGATTCTCATTTGCCGAATTCGCATGACAAAGCCATTGTATCGCCGAGATACTGATCGCGCCATCAAACGTTCCCGGCCTGAACGGCATTCCCAAGCCCATGTCTTGCAATATAAAATCGCCCGCTTCGAGGTCCTCGTCGTCGCGCGCAATACCTACAGTAACCCAAATTATTACAACAATCGATCATTTTTGTATTTGGGGGAGAGGGGGAGCGAATGGTGAGTGCGCACCTAGCATCGCCTCCGACACGTCTAATCCCATAAAAATATGGCCATTGTCGAGTAGCACTTCAGAGCTCATGCCGGTACCGCAGCCTGCAAAATTGGGTAATGACGAGGTGCGAAAATCGAGCCCACCAATGTCGAGAATCAATCCCGATTTGCCATCGGGCAACGCGAGCAACTCGAGCGCCCGCTCGGCCATCTCGTGTTGAATAGCAGTGATGTGCGAATTCGACGCATATTTTGATGCCTCGGTGTCATTGTAGTACTGTAGGTACAATAAATATCACAAATTTGATTAATCGCAATGAATTTGATTAAATGGGAAATTGAATTTTTTCCCCTTTTTTTGCATTGCTAAAGAATAACCGATACGGTAAACAAGGATATTCAAAAAATCTACATTTTTACATAGCTACATTGGAAAAGCTAGTAATATTTTAATTTTTTAAATTACCCGAATAGAGGTCGTTTTCAAAACGAAAGTATGAAAAATGCGATTTTCTTCATTTTCTTATTGAATCGCTACGTTAACAATTTAAACAAGTGAATATTTGCAATAAAAACGAACGTACCAATTGCGGAGGTCCCGTATGCTCAGGGCGTACTTTAAAAGAAGCCATCTCCTACAAAAAATCGCTTGCTTTTTCACAAATATGCCAATTGTAGATAATTCTCCGTTGAGAACGGTTCGAAAATGAAATCAACTCATTCCTCCAATGCTTTATTCAATTCCTATTTCACTATTTACAATCGATGAGTGGATCATAATTTTTGATCCAACAATTAAAGAGCACTGACTATGATTGGAAAGTGGGATGCAATTAAATAATTAATTAATATTCAGGCTACTTTGTAGAGATTCGGAGACCGATGCGCTCGATGAATGACAATATTGTTGAAGGAACAATGATGGGAACCAGTACTCGGTGGTGTCTGTTGATTGATCGTCGATCCAAGCAAGGCCCTCTTTTACAAGATAATCAAGAACTGCGGTGGCTCTCGGCTCATCCCATCTAAGAAATTATTGATTCAAGCTAGTCAAATCTATTTAGATATACCGCAGTTTGTCCATTATCAACTCTTTTGTGACGTATGCTGCGTCTTCCGCCAATTGCAGAACTCGCGAATGATCCATGCTTAGCTCGCCGGGCACTGATTGCACCAAGAATCGTCCACCACCGAGTGGCACAAGTTCGAATCCATTCCCGAGAACTTTCAGCTTTTCCACCGCTCTCAAAATATCGTCCCTAAACGAGAATCAATGAACATCTGCTATGTGTCGGCGGCGATCTCAAAAGGGGACCATAAACTGCTATTATGCAATTGTTGGCACAGACAATATAAATTAGGGTCATTTTTTTCGATTGGAAATAAGTAAAATTTTGAATGGTCCTTACGTTGAGATGGTTTCTTTTCTAGTTCTCGATCTGGTTCTCATCAATCGATTTCGAATTTCCTCGACGGTCATAATTCCGCCGTTTATATGCGTCGTTGAGAGACAAATTTCCACAATTTGTATGCCCAATTCATAATAGAAATCGCCGAAACCCAACGCTTTCGCCCAGAATCCTTTGCCGGACGCCAGCGGATCGACGCCGACACTGGCACACATTTCCTGGAAGTGTCGACGAAACTGTGAGTTCTTTTTAATCTCATCGCGATGGCGTTGCGCGAAATTCTCGAGACCAATGGAGAGCTGCTCGAGCTGCTGCGAGAACTGCTCCAGTTGCTCACTGGCGAGCTGTTCGCCTTTGGCGGCAAACTAAAAAAAAATACAATGACGTCACACATCTGAAGTTGTTTTTTATGAGAGGGACGTTGCCAGACATCCCGACGTTTTATGGACCCAAATGTTTTCGATAGAGGGGCCAATAATTAAATTTCTTTAATTTCGTAACTATGAATATCTAAATGAAGGACCAATTAACAAAATTACCTTGCTTGCAGTCTGTTGCCGGCTTTGTATGGCCCCAATTCCAATCCTTCTTCGAGTAGCCATCTAAAAAGTTGGATAAAAAGAATGGCGTCCAAAATATTGGGAAAGTATGAAATGAGGTGGAAGAACCTTTCGAAGAACATGTGCATCAGGTGACAATTTAAATAAATTATTTATTAAAATCGAAACAAGAACAACATAACATGAAACCAAAAGTTTACCCTACACCAGTAATGTGCACATGATATCACAACAATTTTGACCAGAAAGTGTAATTAAGGACTTAGAAACGTGCTAATAAAGACACTGGATTGGATATTTAAAGTGGCGTGCCACCATTTGTCGGGAAAATAAATTAGCTCTCCTGGCTTCATCTCGCATTCCAATGGCAATTTCTCCGTCGGCAAATTTGGATAATCGTTCAAGTACCATTCCAATGTAGTCTTATCCGGATTCCAGTCAGGTCGGTCTTCGGGAGCATATAAAAACCAACGTTTACTTCCGTGGACGACTTCGGCAAATCCAGGACCATGAAAGTGGAATGGGATACCGGTTCCGGCGCCAGCAATGCCGAAACTCAATGCGGGACTGTGACCAGGTAATTGCCATTCTGGAAGCTTATAGTTGTCGAGAAGAGGCTTCCAGACTCTAAAAAACAGTCATACCTATTGAATTTTATATCATTAGCTTACTTGGGATCAATATCGCCGAAAAGATAAAGTGTTTCATTTCCTAGAACATCAAGACTTTGCGGTTTCATCCGCTCTTCAATATAGTTTCCGAAAGTTGTAGGAACTCTCGTATAGCTATAAGTGTTCGCTGAATTAAGCGTAACGTCGACGTCAGCCCAAGTTTTCATCATCTCCTGTTTTTCGGTAAGCTTTTGAAACTTCGAATTGTCGACATTGTAAATTATTACGGGTTCCGAATAGGCGTAGCGTTTCAGAAACTCGTCTTCCGTTAATTCTTTAGCATCGTGTCGTTCAATATTGCAAATCGGCTTTTGTTTAACAATGGAATTCTCGGGAGTTTCCCAACCGCCATTTTCCTAGAAAAAAATTATTTTTGATGAAAAAATATATTGTTGAAAAGAAGATATGTAAAGTTTACAGAATGACCACTTACAACTTCCGCGACCACAAAACACTGCAGAAGCGCACAAAACACGGCAAAACGAAATTTCATGTCGGGGAAACTTGACGAGAAAAAAATCGAAGCGCGGAAAATTTAATCTCCAGTTGCACGTCAAGAGCGCAAAACGCGTCAGTTCTCTGCGCATGGTGCATTATTAGTGTACAGCTAGAGATCATTAAGACGAAGAGGTTTAGAGAGGATGCCAAGATTATAAATGTTCGGATTCCTAAAAAACAAGAACGTCGAGATTTCATATACCTCCATTGGGAATAGCCTGCAAAAAAAAACTCAAGGGCGGCAGCCTGGGCATAATTCGCAGCTTTTGTTGTCGAGCAATGCGTTCAACTTAAAGAGTACATTCCGTTTATTTATTATTATTAAGTTTTTCATTTATTATGCGGACCGGAAACCGCATTTCCGTTATGTTTGTTGGTGTTTGAAGAAGAAAATAGAAAGAAGAAGAAAAAATGAAGGTGGAGTCATTACATTTAAATGTTGCCAGTTTCCCGACGAAATTGAATTTGAAAACCTATACTTATCGTAAGAAAACATCATTTTCACATTCATAACAACCCACATTCAAAGTTTACGTTTAAAGTAGTGAAAGTAAAACAAGAAAAAAAAAAGAAATATTTGTTAATGAATTTTTAACTGAAGAATTTATTCATTAATATGATATTTCCTTCTTGCTACATAAATAATTCTCTTATATCAATATTTCTAATAAAACGCTTGCAGGCAGTTATGTGCATCGGCAACATTTAAAATGGCATCAACTACAGCTAAATTATTAGGTGGGTTAAAAAAAATGGAGTATATAATTAAAATTGTTATGATTTATTATAATTTTTCGCATAAATAGAGAACAGAAGTGTGACAGAAATCGTGTTTTTTATTAGGCTGGAAACTTTGAAACTGGGTAGCATACTGTAATCAATAACTGCAAACACCACGACATGAAAATTCACGGCAATTTTTTTTTTAATTTTAATTTTTTCATCAAATTTTCGTTTAATTAAATCAACATATTGCAAAAATTGCTTAATCCTCTAAAACCAATGGAAAAATTGGCGCCTTCTGAATTCCCATCAAATATTCTACTGCTCTTCTTTTCCATTTTCTCTTTTCTGTCTTTTTTCGAAATTAAGCTATCTTGCGTCCATAAATTCCGAAAGAATTTCAATTAACTCAATCCACTTCTTCGTAGTTTTTTCTCGCCTACTTCCAATTGTTTTGAGTAGTCAATAAGAAGGAACACATCAATTTTCGGGACGTCAATCATCACCATAAACTTGACAGCAAAATCGCTCAACTCTGCTTTTCTCAGACATTTCGCCTGGATTTTCATAATCTTTAAGCAAAAAATCCTTCGTTTTTTTTTTCTTGTTTCAATAAGAAGAGTTCATATTTTTTGTATCAATTCTCGTCATTTCATAAAAATTATTGTTTGCATAATTAAAGAAATTTTCAAATATTTTTGAGTTTTGATTTCCCCTATAATTATTGCCAACTGTGTTTTTCTCTATGCATGACGTTTTCAACATTTTAAATTTCATCGAAATAATTTTTTTAAAAACAAAAAATTGATGATTTTCTAGCAATTTCTCACCATTCTTGCAATTTTTTATGACTCGTCATAACCCTAATCTTTTGATCTTCCTTTGTTTTCAGCTCAATTTGCCTCCGGACATAAAGTGCCTTTGCATAAATTGCCCAAATTTTTCGGCACTTCCCTCTCCCCAACCCCCCCCCTTTCCAAAAAAAGGAAACACTTTTAGCATCAGTGAGCGTGTGCCGTAGAAGTGGCAAACGGGTCCTCTTCTTCTTGTGAGAGAAATCATCATTCTTCATGTTTCGCCGCATTTATTAGATTTTGTCGAGGGGGGGCCACCAAAAAATTGTGTTTTTTTTTGGCATTGCTGCCGTCTATCCATTTATTTATTGCGCTTCTTTTTAGGTGGTAGATCAAAGATGCTGCGCGCCGCTTTGCCTTCCGTCCATTTGTTTTTTTTTGCGCCATCCCTGAGGATTCCCTCCTACCCACCCGATAATTATCATAGGCGAATCTCATTAGGCGGCGGCTTTGGCTTCGCCGCAAACAAACACGCAAATTTGTGCCGTCTCTGTTTTTGTTTATTCTAGGTTTGAGATATTTTAGGCAAATATCATTGTATTTTTCTAGTCAAGTTATATTTTTGAAAAAAAAAGGCGTCCATTTTGGGCATTAAAGCGATGAAATTCGATCTAGGCAAGTTTGAATTACAAAAATGTCTGTCAATACGTGTTTCAAAAAAGACAGAAAGAATTTTAGACTGTGAGAACTTCATTGAATTTATTCAAATACTGGCTAATTTCCAAAACATTTAGATTGAGGTCTTCGCCTTTAAGCCAACCCGTAAATGTCCGCAATCGTTTTCGTGTCAGGACCACTATAATAGTTATTGGCATTTAGTCAATTTTTCGCCTTCACAATCAATGGTTTTTTCTCTTTCAAAACCGCGCAAATCTTTCAACAACCAATGCAAAAAAAGCGGTTAGTTTTTTAAGCCATCGAAACTTCTTTGGCTTCTTCGTCGTCGACCCACTTAAAACCCTCATTAGATTGTATCAAAGAGCTCATTGGGGCGGAAACCGCGCAACGATAATGTAATATGAAACTTGCGGTTTCTCTTTTAAAGCGAAAACTCTTTGCGTCGTCGTCGAAAAAAACAGAATTGGCAAGCTTCACACGTCATTTGCATAAAAGAAATGCGAATATAATGGATTGAAGTAGAAGAAGTCCGTGTGCTGCGAATAATCATTTGTCTTCTTCTTCTTGTTGTTTTTTTTTCTGTCCGCCGCTGTTTTCGCCTCGGTAATCCAGTCAGCCGTTTTTTTTTCATCGCTTCAGGAGTCTGCCTGAAGTCTTCCTTTTTTGTTTTCGCGTTCCACTTTTCTTTCCTTGATGACGAGTATTATTTTTTATTATTCTTCCTTTTTATTTTGCGCGCGGTTCGAAATTATTTTTTTCTACCGGGCTGAACGCGTCGCGAAACGAGGAATTTCATATATACACTTTTTTTTCACAAGATTTTCTTTCCTAAAAATTTCATTTGGTTCCGCCTTTTCTTTGTGCGTTTTTTTTTTCAGGGGAATGGGTTGAATTGAAATCAAAAGACTCTCTAATTAGAAGCTTTAAGATAATTCTATTAGAATGCTAAACCAATGATTTTGATTCGTGAAATTGCACAGTTTAAATTCGAAGCTGAATTGCCCAATTCATCCAATTTTTATTAAACAAATCTTTTACGTCCTAAAATGTTCAGGGTTATCCGCGTGCCGAGCGGCCGCGTTGTCGACGACAATGCTGACGCGTCGCAAATCGTCTGTCGAGGCGGCGAACGCGAACAAATCGGAGCGAAGACGACGCGGCGAGTCGATCGGCGGCGCGTTCACCGACATCATCAATATTGAGCCGACGAGCATCATCAACAAATCCAGCGAGCTGTTTCATGAGCGCGCGCTTCGCGACATGATTCGCGCCGTCACCCTACTCTCGATGGTGTCGGTTTGCCTTCACACACCGGAAACGATCAGCATGTGGCCGCCGCTTAATTATGTGATTCTAGTTAACGACATTATAGTCATGCTAATATTCATCATCGAAGCATTAGTCACTATAAAAAACAACGGGTTAATTGAGGTACAATTAATTATGCCGATTTTTTGGCTTTAATATATTTTTTTCAGACTCCTAATTCATATTTTCGGGATCGATGGTATCAATTCGAGTTCTTCCTTCTAGTCAATCATTTAATATCCATTATTATACATACCTATGAATTGTGCTCCATCTGGTTTCCATCACTGAATCTTGTGGTAGGTCAACCATAGCGATTTGTATCGAAATTAATTCTACAGTACTATCCTTGGCTTGGTGCTCTTCGAAGCCCACGACCATTCATCTTTTTGCGATTCATACGATCATTGGTTAAATTCAAGTTGCCTAAGAATCGCATCAAATTGATAATGAAACGATCGTCGCAGCAGATTCAAAACGTCACAATTTTCTTCATGTTTTTCGTGTTCTCATACGCCATCATGGGTGTTCAATTATTCGGTATTCATTGATTTCCAACAAAATTCATTTGTGTTGAATTGAAGGTCGCTTGAACTATCACTGTGTTGTGAATGGAACGGACCCCAATAATGTGACAATTGCTGATTTGGCGATACCCGACACAATGTGCTCGCAAAAGGGTGGAGGTTGAGAATATCATTTTTTGCCGTATTCTAATTGTTTTTTTTGCTCTCAAGGAGGATATGAATGCCCGGGTAACATGGTATGCATGCGACTACAACTTCGTCCACAGGAAGAAGGCTTCTATGGGCAATTCAGCGACTTCGCCTCGTCGCTGTTCACCGTGTACCTTGCTGCCAGTCAGGAGGGCTGGGTCTACATTCTCTACGATTGCCTTGACTCGCTGCCATCGTTCTTAGCGTTTTTCTATTTTGTAACATTGATATTTTTTCTCGCGTGGCTTGTAAAAGTGAGTTTTCTTAAATTTTGAAAAAAGAAATCATGATTATAATTATATTCTTTTGCAGAATGTTTTCATTGCCGTCATCACGGAAACATTTGCGGAGATTCGTGTGCAGTTCAGTGAGATGTGGCAGACGAGAGAAGCGACAACGGAGCACTCGTACACGCAAAAATTGGAAAAAGATGAGAACGGATGGAAGTTGGTTGAGGTCGACAAATACCACCGTTCCAACACAAACGGCTCATTCCTTTTGCACACGGTGAGCGGCTTTATAGTTATTTCTATTTGAAATCCAAACATAGATTCTCACTTCTACTGTTTTCCAAACGGTCATGCAGCTTTTGATTCTAGCCAATGCAATATTTCACGCCACTTTTGTTTTCAAACATGATCAAACTGATCAAATACGCAAAGTGTGGTACTATTATGTCGAGGTGACAGTGATTAATTGTTCATAAAATAATTGATTATTATTTAAAGGTCGGTTTCACAATTCTTTTCAATACCGAGGTCGCCGTCAAAATTTACACATTTGGCTGGAAATCGTATATCGCTCGCGGCCAACACAAATTTGACTTCATCCTTTGTATCGGATCGAGCTTGAACGCGATTTGGATTCTCTATGAGACGAACATATTCACATATTTTCAAGTGTTCCGCATCGCTCGATTAATCAAAGCCTCGCCGATGCTTGAAGATTTTGTTTACAAAATATTTGGGCCTGGAAAGAAACTTGGCGGTCTCGTGATTTTTACCGGCATCTTGCTCATTGTCACCTCGGCAATTTCATTACAATTGTTTTGCTATGTTCCGAATCTTAACAAATTCACCAATTTCCCGGTGGCGTTCATGTCAATGTTTCAAATTATTACCCAGGAAGGTTGGACAGATGTAGTCATTGAGATTCTTCGAGCTTGCAATGAGCAATGGGTGCCATTCGTCGCCATATATTTTGTCGGCTATCATTTGCTGGTGACTCTGGTGCGCGAAATTCCAATGATCAAATCGAATCCCCAGAATTTATAGATCGTTCTATCGCTGTTCGTCGCCGTCATTCTCGATAACTTGGAAATGGATGAAGAGCTCAAAAAAGTGAAGCAGCTGAAGGCGAGAGAGCAGGACACAATCAAGACGACACTTCCGATGCGTCTTCGGATCTTCAATCGATTTCCCACCGCGCCGACGATGGTGTCGATGAAAAAGATACCATCCGAGTTTCCGCTGCCGAAAATTCGCGACTCATTCACGCGACAATTCGCCGATGAATACGCGGACAGTTTTGAGGATCCGCGGAATCAGGAGCTCACAATGAAGGTCCGCTCAATAATCACACCTAAGACTTATGCCGGTATGATTTTGTGGTTAAGAAATTTGTAATTTCGCTTTCGCGTTTTAGCCGCAACCAACGAGATGACTGCAATTAGGCATGTGGGTCATTTGAGTAGCAAGTCAATTCTCAATTCAATGCTCACTGAGTCGAATCGCAATCGGGCATTGTTCTCCGAATCGAATCAACATCTCGCAAGTCTCGCGCGATCGAACACGCCATCGAAACAGCACAATAAAATGGGATTGTCGACAAATATGTGAGTTGAAAAATAAATCATAATCAATCAAATCGAACACGATTCTAAGGCGATCCCGACCTCGTGGTCTCGCGTCGCTCAAAGGCAAAAGCATGGTTGACGGAATGAAGGAGAATGGCGATTTGCGCCCGGAAGACACGGCGAGAAAAGCGGAAAAACACGGCGAAATCGACATCAAGGCATTGCAAATGAAGCGCGCGCACGCGGAGATCACGCGGAATCGAATCGAGGAGGAAATGCGCGAGAATCACCCGATGTTCGATCGGCCGCTGTTCGTTGTTGGTCGCGAGTCGCGATTGCGTCGTCTCTGTCAGCTCATCGCACACTCGCGGCACGATCACGCCAATTCGCAGAACAAGAAGCACACAATCAAATACAAGCAGCTTCAGTGAGTGTCGAATCGTTTGCGATGTGGCGTCGATTGGTCGCATTTTTCAGCGATTTCGTCGGAATCATGACATATCTCGACTGGGCGATGGCAATCATGACAACGCTGTCTTGCTTCAGCATGCTCTGGGAGAGCCCGTGGCCACCGACCGGAGAGAATTTGATATTCAACAATTTCTACCTACAAATCACCGAATATCTATTTGTGCTCTCGATGAGCTTTGAGCTGATTGTCAAATGTATTGCGAACGGCCTCTTTTTCACGCCTAAAGCTTTGGTAACGGATGTCGGCGATGTCATGACGCTTTTCATCTATATTGTGAGTTGACAATATGGAATTGTGCCAATTTTGGGCAACAAGCTAGTTTTTACAAGTTTTTGAGTCCATCCCTGCCCCAAAATCTTAACAGCACTTGATTATAATTTGATTTTCAGACAAGCCTTATATTCGTCATTTGGATGCCAACTCACATTGAAATCAATAGCTGGGCGCAGTTATTGCTCGTCTGCAGGTAGCTTTAAACTAGTCAACTGGACAATTTTTTTCGTGACTTAGGGCTATGAGACCGCTTCGTGTCTACGCGTTGGTTCCGCACATTCGGCGAGTTGTCGTCGAGTTGTGTCGAGGATTTCGCGAGATTCTTCTTGTTAGTCATTTTTGTTGTTGTTGTTGTTTTTGCTATTGTCCACCTAATCCGATATCAAATCAAATAGGTCACAATTCTTCTCATCGTGCTCATGTTCATCTTCGCCAGTTTCGGTGTACAGCTTGTCGGCGGAAAACTGGCGTCATGCAACGATCCGGCAATTACGAGCCGCGAGAATTGCACGGGAATGTTCAACATCAAAATTTTTGTGACCCGAATGGAAGTCTATGGGAAACACGACAATTCGATGCATCCGACGATAACGGTGCCGAGAGTTTGGACCAATCCGAGAAATTTCAATTTCGATCATATTGGCAATGCGATGTTGGCGCTATTCGAAACATTGTCATATAAGGGATGGAATGTTGTTCGAGATATTCTATATTTGCGACACGGACCGGTATGAGCAATTATTCAGGAACAAAAAAAAATACGGTTTCAAACCATCAATTTCAGTGGGCCGTCGTTTTTATTCACATCTACGTGTTTATTGGATGCATGATTGGCCTGACACTGTTTGTCGGTGTCGTCGTCGCGAACTACACCGAGAATCGCGGAACCGCCCTGCTCACGGTGGATCAACGCCGTTGGCACGATCTGAAGGCGCGTCTAAAAATGGCGCAGCCTCTTCATGTGCCGCCAAAACCGCCCGAAAGCGCCAAAATGCGATGCTATCTCTACGATCTGACAACGAGTCGATCGTTCAAACAATTGTTCGCCGCTCTCGTCGTCATCAATTCGTTCACATTGGTGATTCCATGGAATGAGAGCGAGGAGAATGATCGAAAAGTGTTCTTGTTGAGTCTCACGTTGATCTCGGCAATTTGCAATGTGCTCTTCACCATAGAAGTAAGCGAATAGTAGTTGTTTAGAATCTAGTTCGCATTTTCAGTGTCTTCTGAAAATGATTGCGTTCACTATCAGCGGTTTCTGGCAGTCGAGGCGTAATCGGATTGACTTCATCATCACTTTGCTAGGGATCAATTGGATAGTATTCCACTTTGTCTTTCAACGTAACTCACTCAAGTCTTATCGGTTCTCACTTATCGGTTTGCAGTACCTGCCTACTTTGCTGGCGGCATATCGGAATGGAAGCGTCTCACCTACACCTACGGCTATCTTGTAGTGATTCTCCGATTTTTCACCATCGCCGGCAGAAAGTCGACGCTGAAAATGCTCATGCTCACCGTTGTCATGTCAATGGTTCGCTCCTCATTCATCATCGCCGCCATGTTTCTGCTTGTTCTCTTCTATGCCAACGCGGGCGTCGTTCTGTTCGGAATGGTGAAGTATGGACAAGCTGTTGGCAAACACGTGAATTTCCGCAACGGCAGAGAAGCGTTGGTTGTGCTTTTTCGTTCGGTGACCGGCGAGGATTGGAACGACATAATGCATGATTGTATGAGGGCGCCACCGTTTTGCAATTGGCATCCAGGATTGAATTACTGGCAGACAGACTGTGGGAATTATTTTGGAGCTATTGTATACTTTTGCTCATTCTACCTCATCATCACCTATATTGTTTTGAATCTACTTGTCGGTGAGTTTTGAGTTTTAATAATTGAATGCAATTAACGTTTTAAGCTATCATTATGGAAAACTTTTCCTTGTTCTATTCGAGTGAAGAAGACGCGCTTCTCTCATATGCGGACATACGCAACTTCCAGCTTGTTTGGAATCAGGTCGACGCTGAACAGAAGGCAAGAAAGTCTTGAGGAATTCCAACTATGAAATTAAAATTACAGCGCTCAATACCAGTGCGGCGCGTCAAATTCCTATTGCGACTCTTGAAAGGAAGATTGGAAGTCGACGAGCAAAAGGATGCGCTTCTCTTCAAGCACATGTGTCATGAGATGGAGCGCCTTCATAATGGCGATGATGTCTCATTCCACGACGTGCTCAACATGCTCTCGTACCGTAGTGTAGATATTCGCAAAAGTCTACAACTTGAAGAATTGCTGCAACGAGAAGAGCTCGAATATATTATTGAGGAGGAGGTGGCGAAGCATACGATTCGAACTTGGCTAGAGAATTGCCTGCGAAACATCAAAGTGAAACAGAATAATGTAGTGGAAATGATCAATTGGAGTTCAATGTCACGTTTCGAATTTCAGAGTGTTGGAAAAATGGGATCAATGGGCTCGACATTCGCATTCGCCACACCGTTGGAATCATCGGCGCTCAAAACAACAACGGTATTTGTGAATCTTAAAATTTGGTTATAATAATTGGAGAGAAAATTAAGTCTTTGGAACTTGCGGCAGAAGATGAAGCTGGAGTCGAGGGAAGTGTTGGAAGCGGAAAAAAGAAAAAGACGACAAGAGGGAACAGTATATCAGAGGTATTTCAAATTTCAAGAGTTACTTAATTCGAATATTGCTCACAGATTGTTGCATCAATGGACTCGAAGAAAAGTGTGAAGCGGAACGAGAAAATTAAAGAGCGACGAGGGACTCTTCGACAAATGGGCACTTATGACGAGCTGGAGGAAGTCGAGGAGGATGATGACAGCGATTTGGACACAAGAAGGCCGTCGTTCGAGTTTCTGCAGGGCAAGTTTTTTGTTGAAAAACTGCGAACCGTCAATTTTCAGAGAGCGATAAAATGCTCTTCACTAGTGATAAGCAATTTGAAGATGTCAAAACCTGGTGGTCAGTGTTTGGTTAGACGGGTCTCCCTCAAAAACTACGTGTATAAGCTATATCGATTAGATTTATAACGCATGTAATAAAAAAAACATTAAAAGTGCCCTCGTTGCTTCCTATCTGCCCCCCTTTGTTTATGGTCCGACTTATGGCGCTCCTTCTGCTGACGCTCGCGTCCACCGGTGTACGAGGAATTGTTGCGAGGCGCTCCTTCAGCTGGCGGTGCTCCTCGACCACGACCTCTTCCACGATAACCGCCACCCCCACCTCTTCCACGAGTCGGAGCAGAAGCTTGCGGCTGGTGTTGCGGAACTTCGTCTTTCGAGCCGCCGGTTACATCATCGTCGTCGGAAGTCTCAATTTCTTCGCTAAAATAAGAGAACAATAAAGGTATAACTATTCTTTTCACATACTTTAATCGTTCCACATTGAACTCGCGTATCTCATTCTCATCGTCGTATTCGTCATCATACATTCCGTCGTCGTTTGGTGTTTCATATTTATACCTTCAATTCAAAATATTTTTGAAAAACCTTGAATGAGGACTACTTGTCATATGATGGTCGAATCGCCACCTTATCGGCTTCGGTGAGCTTCAACGAGTTCAATGCCGAGAATTTCTTGGACGTGTCCATCGGCACTAATTTGATCTCTTCGGTTTCAACGCTCTTCGTTCTCATCGCCTCCAATGTCGCCATGACTTTTTTCTTATATTCGTCAGCCTTCTTTCGAATCTCAGTCTTCTCATCAACGGCTTCTTTAGGCGGTTGAGAGCTTGCTGTCGAACCTATAGCCAACGAAAACAATGAAACCTTCGAAGACGATTGCGCTAATTGCTGCCGTTTTTCGACGTCAGCCTTCTTCTCTTCGATGTAGGCTTTTTCAATCTCATCAGCAGCGGTAAAGTCCAAAACAGGCAAAGTTGCGAGAGCATCATCGTCCGCATATTTAGCCAAATCCAAATCTTTCAAACGAGTGAGCTCTAAAGGAAGCTTATCAATGGAGAATAAGGAAGCTAGAGCTTCATCAAAGTTGTATGAGTAGTGGCGTAGAACGAGCTGTAAGACAATATTCCTTTTATGGAGTTAGATGTAAATTCCCTACATGAACCATCTCCTTCGAGTATTGCGGAAATATTTCGCAGATTCCTTTGATCTGCAGCGACACCATTTCATTTTTCGGATTGCCGAGCATCTGAAACATCACAATTTCTCAGGCCCCAATTTTCCGTCGCCACCTTAAAATATCCACAATCCTTCAATCGTCCTATTGTGTGGTCTTGTCCGACTCTTCGAGATTCCTCAATCAATTTCGACGGCAATTTCGATTCAACGCCGCATTTCAAATCGAGACAGTGGGAAATGAAGAGTTTTGGCAAATCTTCCAATTTTGTCGAGTGCTCCGAAAAGCAGCGGCAGAGGCTTTGAACGGCGAATGAGCGAGCTTGGAAGACTTTTCTATTAAAAAAAAAAAACACGATTTTGGATTTTATTGGAGAAAAAGTTGAATTACCTTAATGGGAAGCCATTCAATGAATACGAGATTTCAAATAAAGTCACGTATTCGAAATGTTCCAAAATTTTCATAAAAAGTGTTGGACATCTATAATTTTTTATATTATTATTAATTAAGCCATTAAAAATACCGTTGTATGAAATTTAAATTCATTTTGATCGAATGTTTTTTGAAGAATTTCGCGATTAATTCGATATCGCTGAAAATTGACCCAACGCAAATGAGAAACTCGACAATATCGCCAGCGGCGTCTCGTTTTTCCTCATCCGAATTGGAATTGTTGAAGATGTCTTTGAAGTCCTTACACATTTCAATCATTTCCTCCAATTCCTAAAGTTTAAAACATTGTTACATTAGTTTTTATCGATTTTCTACCATCTCCTTCTCTTTGAAATAGTCTAATATGAATATGTTCTCAAGGAGCCCTTGAGAAATCGCATATTTCAATAATTGTTGGGCGAAATTTTCATCGAAATCGATGAATGATGTAATCGAATTAAACCAGAACATTGGACCCACATTGATTGTTGTGTCAATCTTCTGAAAATTCAGAAAATTGAACGAATCATTCATTGAAAATCAACTAACAGCTTCCATAATTTTCTCCAAGATATTCTTGAAAGCTGCAATCAGATTTTTCAACGAATCTTCACAATGCGCGCTAACTGCGGATGATCGAAAAATGTCAGATTTTCTAAAAAAAAAAGGAAGTGAATTATTATTAAAAATTGAAATGAAAATTGCTGCTAACCGAATGATTCTTTCAGCTACACTTTCAAGCATTTCACAGAACTCATCGCCTTCCAAAATTCGATCAACCGAATACTCCTCCCTCATTCGAATTTGACTAGTTACTGTATCACAATTCGCTTGCCATACTCCGATTTCAACTTCCGTGACGAGACCCGAAATATCCAAAAGCTTCATTTCTATCTAGTCTAAACTTACTCGAATATTCTTTTGTTAATTTGAGAAGGCTAATCGAGAAATATATATCGATGATATGAATCGAATATAATTTAGATTGATCACTTATATCATTTCAACAATTTTATAACAACCAACAATTAACAAAACAATTCACTAAAAATCAAATCAACAAAACTTCTTATTCCGTCCCATTTTTGAAGTCTTCTCATTGTCGTCAAGTGGCGGCCACAAAAGATTAACAGCTGGATGAAGGCTTTGCGGTAGCCATTCGAGATACTCCTCCAAAAGGAAATTCTCATTTCTCAGCCAGAATGATTTAAGCTCCTTTCTAGTGTAGATCTGAAATCGAATATAAAAGATTTGAAACGCCGAATGAGGAAACCTCTTTATCGATAAGCCTGTTGAGTAGAGCCTCGGTCCTTTTCTGCAATTTCGCCCATGACTTGACCATCGTCGATGGCGGCGCTAGTAATCTCGGAACAAATTCCGCCAACTTTTCGAAAACCTGTCCATCAAGCAAGAAAAGTGCGAAATAGCGATAACGCATGATATCATGCGGAATTTCCCTCATTTCCTGAAATTGGCCAACGCATGAAATAGCGAGAAATGAGCAAAACGTACGTCGGGCAGCGGCCAATCTAATGGACCAAAAGTGACCTTCACGTTCTTCACGATTATATCCTTCTCCTTATCATATCTATAAGAAAATCAGTTTATAAAAATGATTAGAATAATGAAATTCTCACTTGGGCTCCTCATCTTTATTCATCTCTCCGAAATGACAATATGATTCCGCAAGACGGCTAATCCATTCCGCATCAACTGCACACACTTGGCTCATCAGCTTTTTCTCGCTGACTTGCACAATCTCTTGATAGATGACGAACTCGGGCTCCTCGGTGAACATGACACTCGACGGATCGATGAATACATTCTCCTCGATGATTGACGATTTGTAGGCGCCCTTTTCGACTTGCTCCTGTGTTGTCGACCGATCAATTCGACGGGCTATTCGATCAGCGAAGCACGCGACGACGATTTGTCTAAAAATTCGATTTCATTCGACCTTTTCTCATGGTCAACCTCAATAGTTGTGCTTGCTGAATTGACGGTGGCTCAAATTTGTCGGGAATCGCAATCATTTTTCCGCAAGAGGTGTTCACAATATTGGTGAGTTGTTGGCGTAATTTTCGCGCCTCAACTAGAGCTTTAACACGAAGTCCCGCTTTTTCGCATTCCGAAGGATTGTACTATAATATTAAGAATTTTTTGCCTGCGATTCGATTTTTTCTCACATTGAAACTTTCAGCAACTGAAGCAGCATGCATAAGAACTTTCAAATCGCCTAATCTTCTCGACGCATTTTGCGAACACCAACTTCTTCGTTCCTTCAGCACCGTTTTCATAAGCTCTTTCGTTTCCTCTGGCGTTTTTCCGCGAATTGACGCGATCGGAATTAGAGGCTCGCGCACTAAAAAAGAGTTTGTTAGAAAACATCAATAATTGATTAATTGATTACCGGAGAGCAAGGAAATGAGCATAATCGCATGGCTCATGAGATCGTGTTGATCGGCCATTGCGATAAATTTCGCGTACGCTGGCGCCAATGGAAATGCCGCCAACGTTCGTCCGAGCTTCGTGATTCTGGCGACCGTCTGAAACAAATTTTAATTGTTTCGAATTTATTAATTCTCAAACTTTTTCATTCACAGTGCTTTCAGCTAGTGCTCCGAGTTTAATTAGTCGTTTTTCAGCCGATTCCAACATTTTCTCGTTCGGTGCCGATGGGAACGGAAAATTGACAACCTTCACAATGTTCATTGATTTGAGATGAAGGACGAGTTGATCGGCGGGCTTGGTGAGAATCTCCGGGTCGGCAAACTTGGCCAAGTCTTGAAACACCGCCGACGAATAAAGGCGATACGCGTGTCCGGCAGCGATTCGACCGGCTCTACCAGCTCGCTGATCGGCGGAAGCTTGAGACACTCGACATACGGCAAACCGAGAAACACCGGTGATCGCATCGTACAATCGCCGCTTCTCAAATCCGCAATCGATGACGTATTTGACGCCAGGAATTGTTAGAGACGTCTCAGCGACGTTCGTCGAAATGACACAGAGCCGCATTCCAGCAGGAACTTCGTCGAAAACTCGACGCTGTTTGCCCATTGAGAGTAAAGAATAGAGCGGAAGACAGAAAAGAGGTTCACAATCTGCTGGTGGTGGTCCGACGATTGTCTTAAACATTTTATGTGGGACTTATGATTTGAAAACTAACCTCAGTTTTCTCGTCTGTCAGGTCTCCATCCCCGTTTTCGGCTTCCTCATAGTCATCAAAAGCTTCTGCGGCGCCACGCTCGTTCACATCATCGCCTTCAAAGTCCTCAAAATCTGAATTATGTTCCGCGTCAGCCTAGAAATGATAACATTTTTTATTAATTGTATTATCGCTGAATTACTTCTTCTTTGAAATCTTCAAGTTTGATACTTTTGGCGTTCTGCAGGTGTTTCTCCTTCCATTGCTTAGTGCCTCGAACAAGAACTTCACCATCCTTGTCGTGCTCATAAATCACCGGATATCGTTTTTTCAGTTTTCCCAGCAATTGGCGGACTTCGTTTTGACCAGTGACAAACACGAGAATTGCTCCTGAAGGCAGTGTCTCATGGATTCGACACACCTTTTTGAAAGCAGATGCTAAATAGTCTTGAGGTGTTCGTTTCTCGAAATGAACTGTGACTGGGAACTGGCGAGCATCAACCTTGATGACTTTCGGCGTCAGAACGGGAAAGAGTCTTCAAATATTTTTTTAAAATTAAATAGGAAATTTTGCAACGTCTTACTTTTTATGCGTGAAATCGTCCAATCTCAATGTGGCCGACATAATGACAAGTCTTAATGGCCTCGGGGTCTTCGCGCGAAGAGGGACAATCCTTGAAAGCATTCCAATCAGCACATCGCTGTACATTGAGCGTTCGTGGGCTTCATCGATTAAAATCACTGAATATTTTTTAAGCATCACATCAGTCTCCATTTCTTTCATTAAAACTCCGTCGGTCATGAATAGAATATTTGTGTCTTTCGATCGAGTTGCTTCGTAGCGAATCTAGGTAAAAATTCGCACTTTCAAAAAAGAAATTGTCATACTTGATATGACACGTTTTCCGGTTTTCCGAGTTCTTCTCCGACTCGCTGAGCCATCGCAATCGCTGCCACTCGTCGCGGCTCCGTGATTCCAATCAGCTCGTTTTCGGAAGCATAGCCGGCTTCATACAGAAATTGCGGAATTTGCGTGGTTTTACCGGAACCGGTTTCACCGCATACAACAGTAACCTGCAATTCGTCGAATTTTTTTTTCGAAAATGATTCATTTTTTGTCATCGCACCAGATTTTCGTTGATCGCTTCAACGATCCTCATTTCTTCGGCAAAAATCGGCAATTCGGCTCGTTTTGCTTGGATTTCTTCACTTCGAGACACTAAAACACGTTTTCTTTCGACGACTGTTGTCGTTGGAAGCTGTGAATGCAAAATTAAAAAGGTTTTCTAGGAATATTCTTACGGCAAGAATATCTTCTTCATCGGATTCTTCAAAGTCTTCGCGTTTTAGATTCTCCGTGGAGGGACCCGCCACAGTGTCTGGCTCATTTTCTTCGTCAATTATTTCTTCTTTAATTTGGATTTCTTCTAAAACTTTTCAACAATTTTAAAAATTTTAAGCAATTTTAAATACTTTGGTTCTCTTGTGGTGTTGCTTCTTCCTGTTCTTCTTCTTCTTCTTCTTCGTCGCTTGAAGATTCATCATCGGTTGGATAATAGTTCTGTTGTACTCGTTTGTCTTCTTGTTTCTTCTTGCCATTGAAAACTTTAATTTTCTCTGGAAAATTTGCTGGTTTTTCCGGAGCTTTTGCCAATGTGGAGCTTGAGGTGAGTTTGTGAACAATCGATGGAGCTAATTGAAACTCGGCAAGTCCAGCGAAAAGTTCCTCTTGCTAAATAAAAAATTTTCAATTCCAAATGTAATTTTTCTTACAGTTTGTTTCAAAGCTTTTCTGGCTTGAACAGCGGCTAATTGACGCTTCATCTTTTTTGTCATTTTAGCTTCCTCGCGTTCTTTCACAAAATTACGGTTTTTCTTGCCACCCGTTGCCGAAGGCTGTTTGCTCTCAATTTTTCTTTTCTTCTGACCTGAACGATTGACGGTGTTTGCCGTATAATTTTTCAGTTACCAGGAATAATAATTTCCTCGTTTGGATCTCCTGTAGTGCAATAATCAGTTTCGTCATCGTCATTTCCGTTATTTTTCCTACGTTTTGAGGACATCTGAAATTCCATTAATAAATTTTGTTTACTCAAATTATTCCTTATATCAAGTGTTAAACGATTTCAAAACGTAAAATCAAAAATTAGGAAAAAAAATATATAATGTGCCAAGGAAAATAGAGACTGGCGCAAATTTTGTGTTGGCGCGTTCCTGGGACTGCGCGAGGAAACTTCGAAAATTTAAACGATGCTTTAATCAGAGTTGAGCGAAAAATACCTTTCGAAAAATGATTTTCAATAGTTTCTTTCAATCTTTGAATAGTACGTGAAAAAAAAAATGTATTATATGCCCACAACATTAGCTAATAAAATTCGGAACTTGAAAATAGCAAGTTTTGAAAATTAATTTTTGGAATTCGAAAGCATTTATTGTTTCTAAGTATATCACTAGAAGTCGTAGATAAGAATATCCTCGATCAGTACCGAATAGCTTGTCTAGAACCCAATGTAGAGTCAATGTACGTGAAGTAGAGATCCTTCTTCGAGGGCGGCCACCTGACATTCCATCCAACAAATTGAACATCGTAATTTTCCGTAAATTGTTGCGTATCGCGTGTGGGTGCTTAGGATAACAGTGAAAAATAATTAATATTCGCGATCGCAACATGCCAATTAAAAAATGAAGGTATTTGAAAGAAAATTTTTTACATTAATGGATTTGTTCAACTTATCAGGTTGATAATACTAAAAACGTAAAAATCAATGAATAAATAATTAATTGCGTGATCGTTAATCGTTTTTTTTTCATGTTGTCATCGATTAGCTTGCAATTGGCCTGATCAAGCTGAAAGAAGATATCATCAGTGACAATGTGAAAGGGCTTTAAATCCAAAATGCGTTGGGCAGAAATAAGAAGTCAAACCGTGAAGATTTCCACAAATTCAAATTTCCAACAAAACACAAAAATTGCGCATTTTTTCGATTGAATACATCGAATTCGAATCGGCCCAAATTGAATCTTTTCAAAAAAAAAGGGAGGACCGAGAAAACATTTCGTTCGACAAGGTACAAGATTTTGACTCGTCTTTTTCCCTTTCCTCCCATCTTCAAAATGCAATTTTCCACTTATATAAAAAGTGGAGATAGTGTGTGATGTGGCGAGATCGCAGACAAAATCGGGCTCCATCCAAACGGACCCCGCCAATCGTTTTATCATCATCAATTTGTCGGCAACCCTTCATTTTTTTCGGCTTGTTGGTTTTTTTTTGTCGTGTTTGGATTTTTGCCAATTGACGCATTTCAAACAAAACAATTTTGGGGCGAGAAGACGGCTCGAAAATGAATTGAAATTGAATGAAGCGTTTCCCCCTCACCCAATTTTTTTTCGGCTCCGTAGGCCAAATTTCTACGTATATTTAGTACATTTGATATTAATAAATAGATAATGATTCAAGTCATATAATCAATTATTTTTTTCGTATTATTTTAATAATTGATAAATGTCGCAAATTTTTGTTTCAGAAGTTTTTGAAGCAATTTTATTTCTATTCTTTTTTAGACTTTGGACCTTTCTAGAAACCCACAATTAGTTTATCTCTACTGTAAGTACATGTTTTCAAATTGGAAAAAAAATGGGGGGGGGGCGGAAGTGAATTAATCGGCAAATGAGATCTCGTTCAGCGAGCTCTTGTGTCTTTTGTGCCGGGTGCTCACCTAATGCCCAATTTTCATGCTTCATCACTCGCCGAAATCCCACGCCCCGCCATTTTTCCTTTGATTAGCCATTCGAAACGTTCTTTTCTTATATTGTATTGTTGCATTCGAGTTTTCGAATTCGCCTTCGAGACCCCCGAAAAGTTGCATTAATCCTTTTATGGATTAACGCAAAATGTTTGGCATCGACTGAAAAAAAAACTACGAAAAAAATTAATCCTTTTATGGGCTCTTTTCGTTTGCTGGTAATTTTTTTTTCAAAAGTGCTTTGGGATTTCGAAGTTGGAACTTAAAAATTGTCTCATAGAATTTTAAGCAAGTGAAGGGACATAAATTGAGAGTGGCTCAGTCAGCACACAATAAAAATCAGGCGAAAATTTCATTGAACATCTTTTTTCACACGACTTGCTTGTTTTTATTCATTTTTCGACAAAATGCCGCACATTTCGTTTTTCATCCTCTTCTTCTTTTTTGCGTACTTCGTGTTGATCATCATCATCATCATCATCGCAGCTGTAGTATATCTCTTGATTTATGGCCCGTTTTTTCTTGTCTGTAGCCGACCGATTTTTTTTGCCCCTGTGTTCCTCAAGTATTTTGTTGTGTACACAAAACCACATAACATAACACTGACTGAATGCCAACCCTGTGTAATTACCCATTTTTCAATTAACTTTTTTTTTGTTCTCATTTTGTTGTTTGCACTCCAGACCGACTCGGGCAAAGCCAAGCCAATCGTTTCATTAGAAAAGTTCCTTATTGGGACGTCCCTTAAAATATTTGAGTTGTTTGATCGGCAGGTTTCAGTGTAAGAAACGAGCCCCGATGGCTATTAGTCTTCCTGTCCGAATCCAAGATGATCTATTCGAAGCATTGAATGTCAAGCTTCCAATTCCAACCCCAAATGATCAATGATAGTGTTCAAGTCGTAATCCCCCCAAAGTCGCTGTCAATATATATATATATATATATATATATATATATATATATATATATATATATATATATATATATATATATATATATATATATATATATATATATATATTTGAATAATGTAATGAATAAAATAATGTATATATATATATATACATTATTTTATTCATTACATTATTCAAAACATTATTTTTTTCCTGCATCGAGCGTGACCTTAAATGTTCATCTGCTGGGAATCAATTAAATTGAATCGACAATAGGCGCCGTCCGACCAAAGCCTGAAATTTCATTCATTATCGGCACTTTCCGCTAATGAGAAAAAAAAACATAAAAATGGGAAGTGTGGCGACGGCCTTCGATTTCCCATATTTGGTAATGCAGAACGCAATTTAAAAAAAAGGAGTGAGCTCTTTTTGTGTTGCTCTTTGGCTACCAAATTCGATTTTGACAAAACCGAGGGTTTCGTTCGACACCATGTGCATATTCATTTCTTCTTCTTCTTCTTCTTCTTCTTTCTGCTGATTCGTCGTCGTTCCTCGTTTTTTTTTCACTCTGATTTTGTTATTGCGGTCAAACTCTTGAAATTCTAGCTGTGGTTTAAGATTTCGGTGCACTTTTCTCGTCACTACAAAATTTTTCAAACAAATCCCTTCTCAACATCGCAATTCTTTTTTTTTTCATCAAAACAGTTGATTCATCAATTTTTTGAAGTATTTTGTTTTTTTTTAAAGAAATTTTTGTGTCAAGTGCTTCTCATTAAATTTCCTTGGTGCGCATTTTGGGGGGATGTTTTTCGAAATCCGAGATGAAGCCATTCGAAGACGAAAAATCCAAATTTCCTCCACTCTTCCACCATTATGAAACCCAATCCGTGTCTTTTTTTGCAAACTTGTATGTTTTATATCTATTTTTTTTCGCCTGAAGACCTCTCACATTTTGTTTTTGCGCTGGTTGGTGTGTATTCGAGCGCGTGCGCGCGTGTGTGCCGACATGCTCGTAAAATCACGACGTTTATTGCAGAAATATGGATCCGATTGGATCGTCGTCGACGGCGACCACATCGTCACATCACATTGAAGCATCGAATGCTTCATCATTGAGTAAGTTGGATTTGCACCTTATGATTTTGATGGAATGAGCCGCGGGGGATTGGGATGGCATGAAGTAGTTTAAAGGCGCACATCGCAATTCTCTTCTCAAAATTGGTGGCGTTTGGCCAATTTTTTGTACTCGGCAATAATTTTCGAAAGATTCGAATAATTAAAAAGAAATAAATTCATGATTTAGGCGTTCCCCAGCATAATTCCGACGAACATGCGTGTGGTTCTTCTGATGGTAAACGGAATCATCAGTGCTTTAATATTCTTTAATTTAAGCTACTGACGTTTCGCGCCTTCATGAAAAACAATTTCTGCTATCTTGCGAACGCGGAGACATCGGCAGCGTTCGCAAATTGCTCGCCAATATCGATCACGAGAAATTCAACATTAACACACTCGATCCGCTGGGCAGGTTGTCGTCGCAATTTTGTGCGAAATTTAACACCGCACTTTTCTAAATTCCAGAAATGCTCTTCTGATTGCCATTGAGAATGAGAATATTGAGATGATCGAATTACTTCTCGACCATAATATCGAAGTTGGTTCCTCATTTTCTTTTCAAAATATTCTTTTTGTTGGCAAATCTCATTTCAAACGCAGTTTTAATCAAATTCCATAGTTTTCACTTCCGTATCCAATTTTCAATTTTCTTGAAAAAGAACGACTGGCCTATTCAATTTTACGAGGGATAAAACCCTACGGCGGCAGTTATCGATTTCGAGCTTCACCAGCTCATCCATTGAGCTCGAGCTCAAACGATTATAATTTAATTATGTGCTCATATATAACATGTATTATGTAATTATGTAGACGGGCGATGCGATATTGTACGCGATCGGTGAGGAGAACGTCGAAGCCGTTGAGATAATCGTCGAGCATCTTGAGAAAATGGATAAGTTTGATGCCGAGGTAGAAATTGATTAGGATCCAGACTATCTAATTAATTCAGAGGCAAGGCGTCGAGATTACTGAGCATTCGGCGTTCACACCGGATATTACTCCGATCGTTCTAGCAGCACATAAAAATAATTATGAATGTATTAAATTGTTTCTCGATAAAAAAGGATCTGTTCCGCATCCGCATGACGTCCGATGCTACTGTTCCGAATGTTGCGTGGTAAAAATTGCGTAGATTAAAATGCAAATCCGTGGAGTATGCGGAGTGATTGCACCTATTTTTTGACATTTCATATATAAATTGTGTATTCACGCTGCTTTTCCTCTGCGGACTTGCATTTTATTCGACGTCACAATATTCAAAATTGCGCAAATGTCACGAGATTTTCCTACATTATTTTTTTCTTCTAGGCTCGAACCGAAGATTCTTTGCGTCTTTCGCGTTCTCGCATCAATGCCTATCGAGCTCTCACATCGCCATCGCTTATATGCCTTTCGGCTCGAGACCCAATCTTGTATGCGTTCGAGTTGAGCTGGGAATTGCGGCGGCTCTCCTACATTGAGAACGAATTTCGATCAGATTATGAAGTATGTTTAGGTTCGATTTCGATTGTTTCAATAACTTTTGACTGCAGGAGCTCTCGCAAAAATGCCAAAAATTTTGTGTGCACATGCTTGATCAGGTGCGTGGCTCCAAAGAGCTTGAAATCGTGCTCAATCACACGACAAACGCCTGGCATGATGTGACGTCAGCAAATAATGGAGGCACCGAACAGCTGGCACGGCTGAAATTGGCGATTCAGCTATCACAAAAAAGGGTTGCGATTTTAGAGTTTTGACTGAAAATGCAATTATCGTTTTAGTTCGTAGCCCATCCCAACTGTCAACAACTACTTCTTGATATTTGGTATGATGGTGTTGAATTCGTCAGAAGCACCAATTTTTTTTATAAAGTAAGTAATCTAACAGACTCCAATTGATGAATTTTTCATGAAGATCATGTTCTACGTGATCGGAATGATGTGTTTTCCGTTGTTCTCATTGATATACTGGATTGCTCCTCACTCGTTCATGGGTAAATTTGTGAAGAAGCCGTTCATCAAATTCCTTTCACATTCCGGCAGCTACATTTTCTTTCTAAGTTTGTCGCAATCGATGTTCGACGTCTCGCAACGACAATTTTCAGTTTTGTTGATAATGGCGAGTCAACGGCTGAACGTCATCGACAATTTGTTTCGCGGCGAAATTGTGGATCGCAAAGAGACTCGCGGACCACCGCCAACAATTATTGAATGCGCCATATTCTTATGGGTTCTTGGTTCGGATAGCGAAAAAATTTATAGTCAGCGTCCGGCAATTGATGTACGTGGGTAGATATACGAGTGCGCCTTTCGAAATGGTCTCGCCACGTGTGAACGCCAATTTCGTTGTTTTCACGTGAACTACTTTTTTTCTTGCCGTGTTTGGTTTTCTTGAATTCAAATTAAAAATTATCGAACTGAGCCCGAAAATGCAAAATAACCAGCTAGTGCGTCAAACCACGCACCCCGTAAATCTACCCGTTTTGCAGTAGTCGCCGGACGTCGACTATAACCAATTTTATGAGAAAAAGAAAATGAAATTTCAGGTTTAATATGGGTTGAAATCAAACAATTATGGGATTGTGGTTTGTTTACTTACTGCCGAAATTTATGGAATATTCTCGATTTTATCACAAATTCCTTGTACTTATGCACGACAGCACTTCGAGTCGTGTCCTATGTTCAGGTACAGTCTGTTTTTGGGGGTAAAACCGAATCGATCGTGACAGATCTACGTCGTTGTAGGCGTTGCGGTCACCGGCTGTTGTTGTTGTTTTTTTTTCTGTGAAACCGCAACCAGCTTCTGCTGTAAAAAAATTCCACGCGAATATAAATATATTGTACTGTCTGATTGTTAATTCGCTATTTAGGTTGAACGAGAAGCCGCCGATCCGACCAAGTTGCACGTGGCTCGGCATTTGGCGCGACGCGATTGGGATGGTTGGGATCCGACACTGGTCAGCGAATGCTTCTTCGCGACCGCCAATATTTTTTCGTCGCTCAAATTGGTCCATATTTTCACTGTCAGTCCGCACTTGGGACCGCTGAAAATATCATTAGGTGCCATTAATAGTGCACTCTTCAATCATTTGAGTTATTTCGATTTCAGGACGTATGGTTATTGATATCGTCAAATTCTTTCTCGTCTACGCTCTTGTTTTGTTCGCATTCGCCTGCGGGCTTAATCAGCTTCTTTGGTATTATGCCTCAATGCGGCATGCCGAATGCGAGCTATTCGAGAAATTTAAAAATGATGCTGCTTTGGCTGTCCAGTATGAGCAGTACAAAGACTCTTGCGACGATAAATATAAGGCTTGCGCCAGGTACTGTATTAATTCTGGGATTCGTTTTTCAAACATTTTCTCATTACAGTATCTATCACACGGCAGAGACCTTATTCTGGGCGCTGTTCGGCTTAGTGGATTTAACCCATTTTCGATTGAAGGTTGGCATCTAATATTAAAAGTTCATTATACATAATTATGTATAATTAAAATCCCATAATTATATTTATAATTTTAATTAAGCCAAATTAAATTTAGGAAGACCACATGCTGTCGGAATGGACCGGCAAAACAATTTTTGGAAGCTATTGCTGTTGCTCAATTATTGTACTTTTAAACATGCTGATTGCTATGATGAGCAACTCATATCAGTATATTTCGGTATGGAAAATGGTCAAATCAACTTTTAGAATCTATAATTTTTCTAGGATCAAGCGGATATTGAATGGAAATTTGCGCGAAGTCGTCTTTTCTTGGAGTATTTTGATGATACTGCAACACTGCCGCCGCCATTCAATATAATCCCAACACCAAAATCAATTTATTATTGTAATTCGTCCAAATATGGTCAAACAAAATTTTGAATTGTTTAAGGCATACGATACTTGACGGATCAATTTTGCGAGTGCTCGAAATTTTTGCAAAATGGAAAACAGAAAAGCTTGAGAGTAAGAGAAAAGGATTGAAGCAATAAGAAAAGTTGATTTCGGTTTTTTTCAGAACCAAAAAATTTTGCGCGTCGTTAATGATCGAGAGAATAATTATCGGGTAGGTGATGATTTATTTATTTTTTTTTATTTTTGGGTATTGAACCGAATTTCCAGAAAACTCTTCGCAAAATTGCGAGAACTGAACACAATTTTATGGTAAAGCTAGAGACGGAATTGATTTTTTGACAGTGAAGTTGTGTGTTATCCGATGCACCTCGTTTTTTTTAATAGTGCAATTGTCGTAAAATATGACACATAAGTAGGCACGCCGCCATTTTTGGGCATTTTTAGTCGTTTCTGAGAAAAAAAAAACCTTGGCTTTCAGATTTAGTCGCCGCGAGACCCATGCTGTTTTAAGAATTATTATTTGCCACGAGACCCATGCGCCTTTTAATCTCTTTTTGACCCATGCGTATTCACACTTTGTTTAGTGCAGTTTTCTTTTTAAAATCCAAGAAATATTCGACGAAATACTATTTGATTAGATTCAATTTTAAAAAATTGTGTCTCGCCATGTTTGAGAATGGGAGCCGCTATGTTTTTTCGAAAAAGTTTTCCCATTGTGAGTTGAGAAGGCATCGAATGGTCTATCTTCGATCTTTTTTTTTGAAACATCAAGAAGCATGACTTTTGTTTTTCAATTTATAATTGGGGTTTGAAAGGCATGCTCCATATTGTGGCACAATTGAAATTTGAATGAATTTCGAGAAAAGAACCAGGTGTTTGCAGTTTGTTACACGCAACCTTGTTCAAAGGTACATCGCGCAAATGCAGCGCGTCAAGCAGCAGAGCGAAGGCGTCTCCGAAGACGACGTCAACGAGATCAAGCAGGATATCAGCGCGTTCCGCTACGAGCTTCTCGGCATTCTACGAGGCGCCGGATTCCAGACGGGACACACCGATATCAATCAGAAGGCCTACTGTATGTGTTATTTTTGGTTTCTGGAAGCACCGCGCTTTTTGTTATTTCATTCTCACCGCTCCATTTATTCCTATCCGCGTTCTTGGTTTCGTTCGGGCGTCATGCACATTGTGTCTCAAATTGCAGCTCGCAACAAAAAGAAGACGGCGATGGCGGAGCGTCGTTTGAAAAATGCGGGCCTTCAGAATGATCTGCCAGTGCCGGAGATGTTCAAACCGATGAGCCAACGCAATATGAGCGTTACATCGTTATCATCGAATGGCAAATTGTAAGAGCGAATCTTGTCTGACGTCTTCAGTATGAACTGGGTGGAGCATTTCGTTGATTTCCTAGCGGGTTTCGCTTCGCATCCATTCTTTTCTTACTGTTGGGCGCTTATATTGACTAGCAATTTAAAGAGTCTCGCGATTGCGTTTTAAGGAAAAACCCATTCCACTTGCATACTCCCAAAATCAGTTGGAATAATATCAAGAAGCGCGTGAACACCAATCGACGAATGTCAAAGAGCAAATCAATCGACGTGACACATTTGGACGTTTCGAATCTTCCGACTCGATCGAATATCCGACGAGCGCCGCTGCAGAAGCAATGCCACGCGAGTTTTGATATCTCGAGCGTCGACAATGATACCGATGAACTATTGTGATATGAACAACATTTATAATAAATAAAACAATTTTGCTCTAAACTATCCTAATGACGACGATTCTTCAGTTTTTAAGTACATTTAGGAACGCTTCTTTCGGAATTTGCACGTTTCCGAGCATTTTCATGCGCTCTTTACCCTTCTTTTGATGGCTCAGCTTCTTGTTGAGTCTCTCCATTCCGCCGCCTCCGAAATTCCCTTTAAGGAGTTGCGAAAAATCGCGTTTCATTGGTTGAATTGTGACTTGTGACAATGCTTTGGTGGAATTTCCGACGCAGGCTAAACGAAAATACGTTGAGAGTTTTTAAACGCGCCTCAAATTCGATTACCTTTAATGGTAACCTCAAATTGTTGCCTTGGGATTTCACGCTTTAATCTCTGAACCAGAGTTTTCGCTCGTTCTCTAGCCATTGCGGCCGGCAGGATTTGCGAAAATTCGCTAATCTTTAAAAATTTTAAAATGCATCATTTGTATATATTTCGAAATTTCACCTCTTTGCCATTAATCAATATTGCCAATTTGATGAGCCGCGTTTCCGCATAACCATCGGGCTCATAGTCGAATGAAGCGTATCCCGATGTTAGTTTTTTTAATCGCTCGAAAAAATCGATAACAACTGAAGTTTTGTACAATCAATTAAGAGAAATTGATATGAGGATAACCTTCGGCCAGCGGTAATCTCCAAACAATCATGAGGCGCGTCTCATCGATTGATGAAATCTCGCCTCGTTCTCCGCGACATTCCGAACATAATCCGTTGACAGTGCCCATCATTTCGTTTGGAACGATCATTCGCACCTAAATTCGTCAATTTCTTTAAAAACCATATAAAATATTTTTGTGAAACCTTCACCATTGGCTCAAGGAATTTTTCGACGTCACTTTCTTCTGGAAATTTACTGGGGTCTCGTATTCTAACCTCCCCTTGCCCGTCGTATCTTTTCTTACGAATTGTCTCATTGTCCTTGATGAAGGCACGGAATTCAACACTGGGCTGGCACAAAATCACACTGGCGTCGTATTCTTGAGAAAGTCGAGCACCGAACACTTCCATGTGCAGAATTCCAAGAAATCCTATCTTCAATAATACTCGTTGAGTTAATTTTAATAGCGACTCACTCTCCAACCGAGACCTAAAGCTTTACTTGAATCTGGAGTCACCGTCACCGAAGGATCGTTGAGACAAAGGCGTTCGACGGCCTGATAACGATTGGCAAATTTCGGAGAATCGAGACGCAACTCTTACCTGCTTTAAATTTTCGTAATCTGAACTCTCAACGGGAAATAATCCGGCATATACAGAAGGTTTGATCGACTGTAATAATTATAGAAGCTAGGAGAATGGAAGTTTTTGCAAACCTTGATTTCAGCGAACGTCGTTACTTCATTTTTTGGAGTGTCTGTAGCGTATAACGTTTCTCCTACAACAGCCTCATGAACTGTTTTCATGTTGCAAACTAGATATCCAACTTGTCCGGCTCGCAATTCTGAGCATTTGACCATATCTGGCCTCATTATTCCAACCTAAAAATTGAATTTATTGATTTTGGTTTGAAAAAAATGAACACCTACTTCTAACACTTCATAACTTCTATCATTCTGATAGGATTTGATTTTATCGCCTCTTTTCAAGCATCCTTCTTTTATTTGAATGAAAGCGATGGCTCCACGATAATGATCAAAGAATGAGTCGAAGATCATTGCTCGGAATGGGGCGTCGATGATTGCCGTTGGTGGCGGAACCCTTTCAATAATTGCCTTGAGAACATTCTCAACGTTGATTCCATTTTTTGCGGACACTTGAAGACATTCTTCGGGGTTAAACTCGAATAACGTCTTCAGTTGTGTATGAACCTTAGAAAAGACATTTAGCATCCGATATTCTCATCTATAAACACTTACTGATTCAATGTTAGCACCAGGTAGATCAATTTTATTGATTACCGGAATCATTGTGATATTTTTCTCAAATGCGAGCCAGAAATTTGCAATTGTTTGCGCTTGAACTCCTTGATTCGCTGCTACCATTAGTATGATTCCGTCACATACTGCTAGAGACCTGGTAACCTTCAATTTAAAAATGTATAAATTGAAATGACGTATTAAAACCTCCGCAGAAAAATCAACGTGACCAGGCGTATCTATTAAATTTAAAAGGTATCCTTTGTAACGTAGGGCAGCAGTTTGGGCTTTAACTGTAATCCCTCGTTCTTTTTCAACTTGCAGCTTATCGAGCATCTGCTTTTGTCCAGGCGGAACAACTCCACATAGTTCTAGCAACCTATCAGCTAGCGTGCTCTTTCCGTGATCCACATGAGCGACGATTCTGTAAATCTTTGATATTTTTTCTACAGATTTTCACTTATACCCAAAATTGCGAATTTTCTCCGGAGTGAATTCCGATAAATCGACTAGTTTCGTCGGATCCGCTGCTGGTGATGAATGTCGAAGTTGCACAACAATTTTGTGACGAGAATGTCGGCTCTGTAGAAAACGAGCGATTTGCAAATTTGGGGAAAACTTCATTTGTCCCTAAATTATCGAAATTTTTATAAGTTTTTAATTGTTGTTTTTGGATATTTTTCGATACCAAATTTTAAAATTTTCAAGTTTTTAGTATAATCTAGTGTTTTCATTTTATGCAATTAATTTTCTTTTTCAAAAAAAAATCTAAAAAATAAATTGACAAGAATAACTGCGCTCCATTGATAATGGCCGAATATTTCTCGGCCATTATTTCTGGATACTGTACTCCTCGCGGATATGAGAAATTTTAATTTGAAAAATTTAATTATCTCTTTTTCGCTTAAAAACTCATTTCGGCTTCTTTTCTCATGAATTGTTTGGAACAAAATTGTTTAATGAGCATGTTTTGTTGGTCTCGAAGACATTGCATGCTACTCTCATAGAAAAAATGTTTCGATGATGCATTTTTGATTTCGGCAAAACATATGCACTACATTCCTTTATAACACGACGAATTGGATCCGATTTCGCATATGAACAGTTGTTTTGAGTGTATCATTTCGCGTTTTTGTTGTTCATTTTACGAGCATTTAATCGTCGGCCAAGCTTCCCGTCGAAAAATTCTCGTCCAAAAACTAGTAGGCGAGATTAATTTTCTTCACATTGCCCACAATATTATATGTACCACTTATGATGATCATAAATCAGATATCTATTCCATTCATTCATGTCAATCAGGTTCTGCGCTCTTTTCGGACACACATTCGATAAGAATTTGTATAGTTTTTGACCATTTTTGGCAGAACTGAGAAAATTGAAGAAAAACGAATACGCGTTTGTGTCACGATTTGAATTATTAAGCAAACACCGTTTTTTTTTGTTGAAATTGCCAAAAAATGTGTGTTACGATCAGTGATAATGGGCACTTTTTCCTTTTTTGGTTGGTGACTTGTTAAAACAGAAAATTTCAAATATTGATTAAGTTTCGAATGGAACAAGAATTTGTTCCAAAAATTTCAAATCTGCAACCAATTGAATGCTCATTACCTTTGTTTCATAGTCGCGAGTTCGACAGCATCTGGCGCTGCCATCATCCGTCGCCGCTGCCGCCCCGCGTAATATCTATTGCCTTTCATTCGCCTCTCAAACTCACATTGTTCATCTTTGTTGCGCAACACGTTTTTGAACCTAATTTTTGTGTTGCATGCTTTTAATGTTTAGCTAATATGCCTAAAGATGATGTTGTTTCAATATCGTTCGATGAGTTTTGGAAAGATATCCGAAATGAGTATCTCAACCAGCTCTCAGCCAAAGACCCGGCCGAAGTCTACCCGAGCAACAATCCGGGTCCCACAACGCCTGATGGAGGTGTGAACTTCGAATGCCATTGTGTTGGACATCTTGTTGGCAGCCCTTGCGGATATCAATTCCGGCAAGCAATCACTTGCCAAAAAGCCAGAACTGACGATGAAATGCAGAAGGTTTGTTTCATTTTATTCACTATGAAACCACTTTTTGAAAAATGGCAGCGATAGAAGAAAAATAATCCGCCTTGGAAATTCTATGCAAATATGCAAGGTGCGTTCAAAGTAAACGTCTTCCTGCCCGACAGCCCGCAAAAGGATTTATTGAATAACCGGTTGTCAATTCCCGCATTTAATGCATTTTTTGAGCAAATGGTCATATTTTTAATGTTCTCGAATACATAATATATCTTGAAAAATGGATTCTTCAAAGGGTACTGTAGCTGGCGGACAGTTACCCTTGGGAATGTTTGAGTGATTATAATGGATTAATTGCACCTGTATGTCGGCGTATTTTCTTTCTATTCGTCGCATAGTCTTTCTTTATTGTCGACGGTCCACTTCAAATGTATAATGGCTTAGTCATCACTGACACAGAGCTCCCCTTGTTCTTATTTACAAGATACATTTTCAGGGAGCTTGCGGTAACGAGCTCATGTCGTTCATGGAATGCGTAACGCGTACCGAATGCTTTAAAACGAGCGACGCCTCAGAATCCAAGTAGACTAGCCCTAATAAACGTGTTTTGTGCTTGATTTTTTCTTTTTTGTTGTTCCGAGTGTGTTGTGCAGTACTGTCAACGTTCAGTCGAGTATCTTTCAATTTTTATTGTTTGTCGTACATGTTTGATTCGAGTGCTTTCTATTCTTTCGTCTCATTTATTCGAGTTTCTACACAATTCGATGTTTCACTGCCCCCAATACTAATCGCTAATGATGGTATTTAGAAAAACGGGTGCCCGGTTTTAATACGTTTTTTGGCCCATAGGCCGATTCACCTCATTTTCGCCGAGACATTTTCTGCAGTCAATTTAGCTATGTTCTCTTTTTCTTTTTCTATAACCACATAAACAACGAAAATTCGCATCATTTGGGATTTTGAAAAAAGAAACTATCGAAAGAAATGTTTTAGTAGTTTTAATGAGTCATTACGCACACTTCTCCTAATGTTACAGAATTTTTTTTGAGAGGCAAATTATTATTTTTGTTGGCTCACTCATTGTCATTATTCATCGTTCCTATTTGTAATTTTCTCAATTCCTCCAAAAAACTATCCATTTTTGTTTTCAGAACCTGAAGAAGCTCATAAGTTGCAACATTCCTGAAAAGGTTGGTTAAATAAAAAAACAAGGAAAAAACTTAAAAGATTTTTTAACAATTTTCAATGAATTAATTTTATACATAAATAGAAAACTTCTTAAAAGTTCAAATTTTTCTGAAAATTGAGAATTTGGAATAAAATTGAACACTCTAAACAAAAAAATGTCACATAATTCAACAATCTTTCATTTCGATTTAATTAGAAAAAATGTTTTGATTTGATTCGACATGCCCCTTGCTTGTCTCTAGGCAATTGATATATGCGGTATTATATCAACACACACACATACACACGCCCCAATTGACAGTAATCTCGATGCGTGTTTACACAATCGAGACGCGATTTTGATAATTTTTGCTTGTAAATTTGCTTCAAAATGAATGCCAACAAGTTCCTGTGCGTCGATGTTTGTCGCTGTAGGAAATTTATCTTGGTTATAATCATCTCAGCATGAATTCTTCATAATCGTCTCACTCAGCAGCAGTTTTTTCTCAACAACGTCTATCTATTTCCTCTCATGTCTCTCTCAACACACAAATAAATGCGAACGCTTCTATTTTTTGTAATTCATTATATGTTGATGAATTATTATCGATGTTTAGATTTATGTTTCTTCAATCTTTCCATCCAGTTTTGCTCTTAAAAATACGAATTTGGAACCGCCCGACTAATTAGCCCTGGGAGAATTTACCAGATTCTCACATAAACCGTGTCAAGTACGTTTTGAGACCTATATTCGAAAACATGTTTTTTTTTGTTAGAGGCTAAGAGAGTTTTTCTTCGAGTCGATTTTTATTGCTTGCTGTAAAATAAAAATAGTGTGACTTGCGAGGTGTTTTCGAACCCCCTTTTCAATCGTTGGTCCAAATATTTTTTATTAATTGCTCTACCGCTTGACCATATCCGCATGAAAATGCAATTGGCGCGTAGGCAGAGCTTCAAGTGCGTTTTACACAGATAAATAAATACAGAATCCGTTTTTTTTTCATTCCGAGGGGAAAAAATTGGGGGTGTAGGGAGAGTGCAAATCGGCACGCCGATATCCATTCTCAACAATGAGAAAATTGCGAGGCGGTACTTGAATTCGCCCGCGAGCATCTCTCTCGACAAAATCATCTCATATCAGTTTTTCTTTTGAGATGCACACAAGACGCCGGATGAATTGCTACAAGTTGCCTCGATGCCCGCCCAGCTAGGTTTACTTAGGATCTGTGAGCAGAAAAATTGTATTTGCATTGTTTTAAATCGATTTTTCGAGACGTCGTCTGTATTGAACGAGTTCCCTCCCCTCCCTTTCAACGTTCTCACATATTTTTCAAAAAGGGATATGATTTTTGAACGAGGCAAGAATGATATCGCGATACTCGACGGACATTCATCGTTTTGACACTTTTCACCATAAGCACGCAAATATGCAAATATGTTCTTTTGAGCGAAAGATCATAATTGCAATTGTAGACAGTCGATAACTCGAGGTTAAAGTCATTTCGCCACGAATTTATGTACGTCGTCAGTGTGTTTTGAGGCCGTTTCACTGTCTAATTGGTCTCGTTTCATAATTCTTGATTTCTTGAAGACTTAATAATTTAATTAACAAAGTTGTTCGCTTTTTAAATTCGCCTCTCGTAAAATTGTGTGTGTTTTCAATTGTAACCAAATATTAATAATGGGGGAGGGTGGTTGAATATTGTATGAAAATAGCAGACATCTTGACAGCCATCTGTCAAAAATCAGTAGTCAGTGTGTGAAGGTCTTACAACGATCATAATTATGAAAACGAAGAAGATGGAAGGACGGCAAAACAAGCGTGTCAAGGTGAAATTCGTTTTGGGGCTCGTCGACGGCTGCCCGCGGTCTGGGGGGGGGAGGAAGTATTGTTTCGTGTTTGGCGTCTCCGCGCACGGTTTTTCGCGCACTTTCGCGACCTCGGCGTTTTTGAGAGCTGTGAAACGTTCCTCCTCCTCCTCCTCCTCCTTTTCCTTCATTGAATCATCTCATCCAGCGATTCCCGCGTTTTATGCTTTTGCTTCCTACCCTTCGCTCCTCATTTGTTCCTGATTTTTTTGTCTCGCCTCCTAATGGCAACTAATTGCTCGACAATTTTCGCTTCTTTTTGTTAGCTTATCTGAGTTGGAAGGTAGTATTTAGGTTGTGTGGAGATTCGCGACTTTGATAAGAATCTCTGTTTGCGCTAAAGGACAAAGTTTAAAAAAAAATAGGATTTTACGTGTGATTTAATTGGTTAATTTCGTTTTACCTCATTTCTGATAATAATTGTGAACAGAATTATTTGAAAAAAATGTGAATGTAAGCGTTTTTTTTTAATTTTATGTTTTTAAAACATTTTGATTCTGTTTTAAACGATTAACAAAAAGTTGGATTTCAAAAAATAAAATACAATTTTTAAAAAGTGATTTTTTTTACTGAATCGTCCCTTAAATTAAAAAATTTGAGGCATTTTTCTTATTCCTGGAATTCATCCCAAGGCCCAATGAGCAGGTCATTCATTAATTTTGTTGTAAAAATTAGCGAATTCGCGCCTTGAAGCATTGTTGAAGAGGTTTTTTTTAGTCGAAACCCGTTTCCTCCGCTAACTTTCTTTGAGTATCCCGAAGTTTTTTTTTGTTTTCTCTCCTCGATATCCAAACTGTCTCATTTGCAATTCAAATTCCAAAAATTCCCTTTGTTGCCATATTCGCATTCGAAAACGTTTACGAATTGGAATTGTTTATTATTTATTCGTTTTGGAGAAGAGATTGGTTGAACGCGGGATTTGGCCGTTTCCTTCTTTTTTAATATGCCTGGTTTTTCGTCGTCTCCGCCGATTTCTATATAATTTTCATTGCCAACAAATCACCTGAAAACAATTATTTCGTTTTTTCACATATATATTTTTTCTGTGCAGAACGGGCGGCACATTGAGCCAATGGAGGAGGGCGATGCGACGAAGGCGGGCCGTTGCTCAATTGGCCACAGTGAGCCGAATAATACTGCTGCTGGATGGGCGTTGAGGGCAAGTCGCAGCGAGTATCAGCTTCAGAGTGATGATGATGTCAAGGTTTGTTTCGAAATTATTTGAATTTTTGAAATTTCAATATTTCCTGCTTATTATTAATTATTAAATGAAAAAATTGAGTCATTGAGGAAATAATTTTCGAACTCTTCTCTCGTTTTGTTACACACCATCGAAAGATCATGATGTTGCGGCTTATGGCTTGCGAAAATTACAATGCTTGATTTCATTGCCGCCGTTATAACAAATCATTGGGAATCAAAGCAATCTTGAAAATAATTGCGCTGATTAAAAAATATTACATTCGCAAAAAAAAAACGAGCACCCTCCTCCGATTTACGGTGAGTTTGCTTCGCATGTTATTCAGAGTACGGTATTCGAATTCCCACTGTCTAAATTCGAATTTGAATTACCGCGACGAAGAAGTGCGATGGTCCACAATTAATTAAATTCTCGATGCAGCATGGCACATGTTTATCGAAAACCGCTGAAACTCCTACAAATTTTGTATGAAATTTGTACTATTGATTACAGAATGCCCGTATTACGGCTCTCTTATCAGAGATGCGACCAAAAGCTGATTGTTCTACAAGAAGAGCTCACACGACAAATTTAGTGAGCCTCACTAAACATCCAGGTGGGTGTGTTATTAATTAATTAATTATTAAATTGATGAAATTTTGGGTTTTTCAGAGAAAGATGCTATTTATGGCTCTTGGCAGGATCGCCGCCCGCTGGTTTACGGTAGCCAACAAGTATCGCTTCCAAAGTATGACCAGCTCTATTGTAATACGTCGGGAATGTTGCCGTTGCGTGGAAGAATCGACAACGCGTCGACAAGTACACTTCCAATTCGGAAAGAGCCACCGGAATATAGGTTTTGGTTTAATTTAATATATTTATTTATTGCTTAATTTGATTGAGCCTTTCCCCCCCCCCCTTTTGAAATTCAATTAACTGATGAAATGCCATTTTTCAGTCGTCTACGACCACTCTCGACATGGCAATTGACGGTTTCAGAATCGCGAGCGCCACAAGCGGGTTGGCTTAAAAACCCGAGACCGCTTGCACGCGGAGCACTCTCGCCGGCGTCCTATTTCAAAGAGCTTGAGAATAAGAATGGATCTATTGCGAGCGGACTTGCGGTGGCGGCCGCAAAAATCACGACAAATCTTAGTCAATCCACAGAGGTATGGAATACATTGTTGGAAAACTATATGAATCTGACTTCATTAATCGTTTAAGTTTATAATGAATAGGAACATTCGCTGGTTTCGAACCAATTTTACATTTTTGACGCGATAATTCAAATTTTGATGAAAATTGTGTTCATTTGTGAATTGTCTGTGAATCCGAACACTCTAACATTGATTTATAAATTACGGGAAAACATGGAGCTCTTTTTTTCGCTAAGGTTTTTCTATTTAAACCTTTCAAGATTCAGATTGAAAACTTGAATGGATCATCATCGGATTCAACTCTTGATAGTGCTTCGGAAAACATTCCGGAGACGGCGAATCGCGCCGTCGGCACCGATATGACGCTGAATCGGAGCACACCACGGCAGGCGAGCTTCATGGCGGCAATACAGAGGCACCCACTCAAAGAAAGTGAGTTGATAATCAAATTGCCTAGGTTACCGCAATTAAACATTGTCAATTACAGGCACATCGGTGGATACGAATGGCAGTGAGACGGATTCGAAATACGGCGATACTCAGCAGAGCGTGTCGACGACGATCGCATCGACGCCTTTGAGACGGCCGCGCGGCCGCGAGTTTGCCTCGGGACGCGCCTATCAATCAAGGTTTGTTTGTCGTATCGTTCACCTGGCAATTGCTTAATGAGGTGTCCACGTTATATTCAGCAGAAGCATGGGAAGATTGGATTTCGAAGCGCTCAAATCATCAAAAAATGACGGCGACAACAAAGAGGTGGCAGATGATAGTGTGAAAATGCGAACATGGAACGATGCAGGTGCGTGTGATTGGTTCTAATACAAACGAGAACCCGAATCATAAATAATGGTCCTGTGGCGATATCGCCCTTTTGAAGGCAAATTGGCAATATTATGAGGCTAGTTTATCGCCGACTTCAAGCAAACTTTCTTTCCACCAGACATTCATTTAGACGATTTTCTTCTTCTTCGCCTTCGTGTTCTTCTTCTTTTTTATTCCTCCTATTTATGTTTTTTTGTTGTTCTAGCGTTTTGATTGCCCCATTCCGAAGGTGTTCTTTTTCACATTTGAAGGACGGTTCAAAAACTTTGAGAAAAAGCCGATGCAATTATTTTGGCAAGGTCTTGCGGCGATGATGTGGATTTTGTGTTATTAAACAGAAGAAATGTTGTTAGATTGTTCGAATATCGAGTTTAATTGGAAGCAATAGAAGTCAAATGGGATGTATGTTTAGTAGTCTAAATCGATTTATCAAGCAGTTATCCTCGCTGAAAAGCGAATATTTTGTCTCTGTTGTAGTGAATATACTTCTCGAGTTATAGGTGTGAGCCCGTGATTTCATTTTTTTTTTTCTATAATATTGGTAGGATCACTTTTCATGATCCTACCAATATTATAGAAAATTTTCGAAAAAATCTGAAATGATGTAAAATATAAATTGGATGAGTGTGTCTTTTTTTTTACATGTTGATTTTGAAGCGAAAAAAATCTGAAAAAAACTAATTTTTGCGCATACGGTACTCTAATTTTGCTGAAAATTTGGAAGGAATGATGTCACGAGTCTTGTATTCTCTGCGTTTTCATTAATTTTTTCGGTTGAGAATAATTCAAACGGTCGACCATAAAACGTTGGTCGATCGAGACGACGATCCATCTGTTTGTGTGTTTGTGCGGCGCCTGTTTATGTTTGTATTAATGTGTTTTAAATTTCGCGCCATTCGGGTGTGTGCAATTTTTGGGGGAGCGCCAGAAATGTTGACTTCTTGTTGCCGCGCGCCACGACGACCTCCAAGGCGGCTGACCGCTGTCAGCAGCGCGGTCTTTGTTTTTTTTTTCATTGGTAGAAATACGCGAAAATGGATGTCGCCCTCGAAACACGCACGCACATATACATTTTATGTGTTTGTATGGGACCGTTTTTTTGGTGTCGTTTTGACCAAATGTTTTCGGACTGTTATGGTTTTGCCTCTAATTTGGCAATTCTCGCGAGGACAATCATTTCTTTTATTTGATGGCTAGATGGCGCCACCATGCACCCGATCGACACACCATTAAAATTGCACCCTTGTTATAATTTGTGGTCATGGGCTAGAACTGTCAGTATAGTTATTTTTGACTTCTCTCGTAATTGATTAGCAATTGCGGTTTTCAGTAATTTATATTATTTATTGTTTTCTGCCTTGATTTAATATTTATGCATTTACGTATTTTCAAATCACGTTTTGATAAGGAAATATCATTATAATCAAAACAAACATAAAGCGGAGTTTCAAATAGGCGTAACTGTATTTATTTTAGTGTCCAGTGAAATGCATATTGGCTTCCTGTTTATAATTGGGGACCAACAGCATCTGTGGGGAATTTGAAAATCTTTGATCAATCATTTTTAATTTTTTGTTAAATTTCAGCATCTCCTCTCTGTGTATGGAATTTTTGCTAAAATCATAATGATAGAACTTTTGTTGATTTTTTGAATTAATCGAAAATATCGAATTCTAATTTCAAGTTATTAAAACAATGTTTAGAGACTTGGATTTTAAAAAATTAAATTATCGAGTAGAAAAAAAACCGATATCGTTGCTGATTTTTCTGCATGCGTTGAAAAAATTAGTTTCGTATAGCTGCAAAAATGTATGGAACTCAATGCGAAACCAATAAAATCATTTCGTCAAGTCGTTTCGCACCTCATAATTTGACCGATCATCACATAAAAAATTTCCCCCCGCCCTCAAACATTTCTTTCTCAATTGATGATTTTATTTGATTCTTTTTTTCGTTTCGCCCAAACTTTTCAATCTTTAATTACTTGGTTTGTTACCTGAGGAGGAGGCGATGGAAGAGGGAGAGCGCTTTTCGGTGCTCAAAATAGGCCGAACGTCAAATAAATATGTTGACACTCTCTCTCTCTTCCTCTCGTGGGGGTGCGACCGACTCTTGGGTTTTTGAGAATGATGATGATGATGATATGCGATGAGCGCGCGGTGGTGCGCCGCACGTTTTTCGGAAACAGATAAAATACGAAATATTAAAGCCGATTCACAAATAGAAGAAGCTGCCGAAATGTCTGAATTATCGCACATTTTGGGATGATGTGTGCTGCTCGCTCGTTTATTCGTGCCTAAAATTATAAGCTCGTTTGTGTTGTTTTTTTTTTCTCCTTCTGACGGGTTTCTTGAAATTTGCTGAGAAGTTCAGATGAAAGATGAATTACATCTCTTATTTTTTCTCATATTGAAACGAAACATAAACAAGCAGGACTTCACATCTGGTAGTCAAATGTGCTTCTACTAGATCAACGATTTTCGAATTCATTTCTTTTTTTTTTTTGATCTGTTGATTGATCTTGTTGGAAATTACGGTATTCTGAAATAGTGTCATGTCTTTATTTGAAAATTTTCCGAGAAACACATCTGTAAGAAATACTCGAGAGGTGTTCTTTGAATGATTTCGAGGATCTCGGTTTTATATCGACTCTCGAATCTAAATTATATGTTGTTGTTGTTGTTATGTGCTCATCTGTACCGTAATCATTCATCTGTCTTCTAAACGATATCTATCAGCCTTAGTTCACATTTAATTGATCGCTTCGACGTGTATACAGGGTGTCATTTAAGTTCCCGCACAAAAGTTTGACGCCATGAAGAGCTTGGCTGTCGCACTTTTCGTGCACCAATACAATTTATTTTTGTTAAATAAGGTGTATTTTACTTACTTTCCAAGTTTCACCTCATTCGGATGTGTTTCCGAAAAATGGCGAAGGCTAACATCCATCGCGCTTCCATTATCGAACTTCATAAGCAAAATGTGAGCCCGAGAGACATCATTCAACGGGTCGGTGTGCCTCGTAGAACGGTTTATGACACTATCAAACGATTCAAGGAGCTAAATACGACCAGTGACCGTCCCAGACAAGGAAGACTCGTCTCAGTAACCACTCCTCAGAAGATCAACGCCGTCAAATCGAGGATGAGGCGAAACCCCCACAGGAGCATGAGAAAGATGGCGTCAGACATGGGAATGAGCATCTTCGCTATGGAACAAATCGTCAAAACGAAGCTTGGACTGACCCCATATCGTGTCCAAAAAGCGGCAATTCTATCGGCCGTCAACAAGCAGAGACGCTTCGAAAAAGCAAAACGACTTCTTGCTCGCACGCGGTCTGGAGAACACCTCGTCACTGTCTTCTCCGACGAGAAGCTGTTCACTGTGGAGGCGGCATTCAACTCACAAAACCATTGAGTACTTTCCCAGACATCCCAGCAAGCTTCTGAGAAAGGAAGAACAATTCATCCAGCCTCACATCCTGCCAGTGTGATGGTTTTCGGTGCCATCTGCTCAACCGGGAAGTGCCCCCTGGTTTTCGCGGATCAGGGGGTGAAAGTGAACAAAGAAGTCTACGTTCGGGACATTTTGGAGAAGCATGTGATGCCCTGGACCCAAACGCATTTCGGTGGGCAGAAATGGGTCTTTCAACAGGACGGAGCACCCGCCACCACTGCCAAAACTACTCAGGAGTGGTGCCAGACCCATTTTCCCGACTTCATCAAGTCATCCGAATGGCTTGATTGCTCCCCAGACCTGAACCCGCTTGACTTTTCCGTGATGGGGTCTTGCAGGAGAAGGTCAACGCAAAACCCCATTCAAGTATAGAGGCTCTGAAGAAGACATTACTGGCGGAATGGGACAATCTTTCCATCGAATACCTGCGTACCACAGTCACATCCTACCCGAAGCGTCTCCGTGAAGTCATAGCTGCGAAAAGAGGCCGAATCGAAAAGAGTTAATAGATAATTATTTGTTGTACTATAGATAAATAATATTTCGAGTCTCGTTTGATTTGGACTTTTAGTTTCAGAAATATACGTCTTCAAAGTTGTGCGGGAACTTAAATGACACCCTGTAAATGGTCGAAAACCATTATTTGTACAGGCGATCCGGGGCGGAATGTGTTTAAAATACAATAGTAGGCGACGAGTTGTTTCCCATGGTCGAATGTTGTCTTTTATGCTTTTCGCCTTGCGCGCTCCTCCCTTTTTGCCGAAGAAAAAAGAACGAAACGAAATGAAACGCGGTGCTTCTTTTTCGTTCGCCACAATTTCGGTACCCTCTCAAACAATCATCGAACTGTTTTGAAACACTTTTTGTGTGGTGTGCGTCGGTGTGTCTCTCTGTTGTTGCACGGGTCTTATCACCTTCCTCATTAGCCCGTTGCATTTGTTGGGACACACGACAACGGCGGTGGTGTTGGTGGCGACGGCGCCTCATTTCGACATATATGCCGGCTGCTGTCTGTGCACCCAATTCTTATTTTCGTCGACTACACGTATATTTATTTGAAATTTTGGATCCGGCGCAATGATTGCCGAATGGTACCCACTGTTGTGGGAAATGGTCAAAGCGCAATTCGTGAGGAAAGAAGGTGAGAGCTTTTTGTTTTAAATATTCAATTATATTTATTTTCGCATTTTTTTGGTGGAGTTCGGGATTTATCCCTTGTGTTAGGATAGTACGCGACCATATATATTTAGATTTTACGCATAGTTTGAATCCGAATTTCCCTTATTAATTTTGTAGGTGTAAATGTTGCACATTAGTTTTGGTCGTCAAGAGTAGGGGGCGTGAGAATTGATTTGCTGATCGTTTAGTAGTAGTTTTCTTTGTGCATATCTATTCAATATTCTTTTTCTTCATTATTCGATGTCAATCAAAAATAGAGGTTTTTGTCGGAATCAATTTTGATAGTTTTTTTTATAACGCAACCTGTGAGCGGAAAGTAGCATTGAGCTGATAAGAAGTTTAATGCGAAAAAGAACATTAAAAATTGCATGGGTATTATTATTGCAATGAGGGTTTTTTTGGGCGGACGGTTGGGGGAATTAATGTTTTTAACATTCGGAGTTGAATTAAAAGCGATTACTCGAATTACATTTTTATTAGTCTGCAGAACAAAACTGATGGAACATTTTCCCGCTATTGGCTTCTTGAACTCGTTCTTGTTCTTTATAGCTTCTTCGGGTCTGATGAATGAATGAATGAATGTCGGCCAGAAATTAATATGAGATGAGTATTTATGGTCCCTTCGATCTCTTCACGTTGTTTTTTTTTTTCTTGGAGAACTCGAAAAAGTGCAATAGGCGGAAGTTGTGGAATCACATTCCTTCAGCGGATAACTTGATTAGGACTGAAAGAATATTTCGCATCGTTTCATTTTTTTTTCTTCAAACTCGTGTTGTTCTTGTCCTCCGATCCGCCGAACCACTCGAGTAATCAGCAGTTTCTCATACCAATGTGCACTACCGGTCTGTTTGCTCTACTGCGTCTCTGCGTCACCTCAACCCTTCAACCTCGTCCTCCTTGCGCCACCTTTAATGTAGAATGAGAGGGTCTCTATTCGTTTTTTTTGTGTCATCGACGAGTTAGCTTGTTTGCCTTGTATGCCGTCGCACCATGTTTGGTGTTGCTTTTTATTTCGTTCTTCTGGCATGTGTATGTGTTTTTTTCTATTTGGAGACAAATACAAAATGTTTTATTGTGGGAACCTTTTGGTAAAACCATCTTTGTTGGTTTTTTGCTGGTCCAATACATGACCCCTTTTTTGGAGTTAAGGGTTCTTCTCCAGGTCTTCATGGGATCTCATTTCTTTTTTGAAAAAAAATTTTTTAACACTTTACATTCAACGAATGACCATATATGGTAGAAAACGGAGAACTGGATTTCGTATGCCATTCTAATTCGCCTTTTGTATTGAATTGTGGACACTCATGTCCCGAACTTTGTTCAGTTTGCCGCCGGAAGCGAATCTCCGACCGTTTTTGTTTTGTCGGGGGCCATTTCTTCAACGAGTTTACCCCATAATTGGTGGACACCGGTTTCGAGCGATGGCAACTGGAAAATATGGATATAGTTTTTTTTTTGTTGTAGAAAACGATCGAGTCTTGATGTGGTTGTTTTCTTCTTTTTTGTTGCCACAGGAAATTGAATATTCATAATAATTTGTCTAAATGTGTATGTAATTTCCGGTGTAGGTTCTCCACTCAGCTTTTCATCATTTTTTTTGGCCACAACAATTTCGAGTCGATTTCTTCATTCTTTCTTCACAACACGCGGCCACTTGCGACGGTGACGACAGTTGTTCGTTCTCACAGAGCCGAGAAAAAAAGGATGAATGAATGAATGACTCCGTGCTCCTCCAGCTCTCTTGTTTGAACTGCCTGCAGGCAGCTCACTTCTTCCGATCGTGCCGGTGTTGAGTTTTAATAGCAATAGCAGCAAAAAAATGAAGAAATGAGAAGAAAGAAGAACAAAAAAAACTCGACGAAGAAAATGGTCTTTCTTCTGTGTTTTTTTCGCTCCCAGCTCATCGTGATTTTATTTTTAGATTTAACTCCGGGGTTTCTCGATATTTTGACATGAAGCTCAATATAAATCGGCCCAAAAGCATGACTTTTTCTGTTTTTGTTGTTATTGTTTCTTTTTTTTTCCAATTAGTCTCTGCAGTTTTTTCATCTCTGAGAATATTGTCGATTTCTCAGGTTCGATTCGATTTCCTCTTTATTTTTTTTTGGCTATATTTTGAGTTCTATTTGATAACTAAAAAAAAGAGGTGAACTTACTTGCCATAAAATCAAATAGTCAAAACGCAATTTTTCGACGGTTAGAGCGGAAACAATGAATAATTCAGTGAATAATTTCGAAAATCCTCTTTTCCGTCGAAAATTGTTGAAAACGTGCGCGGTTGGCGAGCCGCCCCACACGCGGTCAAATCACCATAAACGCCCTCTTCTACTCGATTCTGATCGACGACGACGATGCTCTAGTGATTTTCATTAATTTTATTATTATTATTATTATCAATATTATGCAACGTTTCGCCAATATTTGGCATTTTCTAATGAGGGCACAACAACGACAAGAAAAAGGTCCCACAATTTGCCTTCAATTGCCATCACATTCTCATTTGCGATTGAATTTTTTTTTGAATGGACAAGAAATATTTTTATTTTTGCAGGATCAAAACCGGAAAAACAATCATCGGATTCAGTGGACTCGAATCACAATGGTGAGTCGTTCAAGCGCCTTATTTCTTGTTTTGGAGGGGTGGGGTAGGGGTCGGGATTTTTTTATTGCATGATTTGTTGGTTTAGTGCAATGCGCGAGTGGGGGATGACCTGATGACGCCTACTTGAGTGGTATCTTGACATGATTCTCGACATGTTGTTTTGATATTAATGGTTACCATAATGATTGTGGAAAATTTTGAATCCTATTCAAGTCATGCGACATGTCTTTATCTTTTGACAAATTCATCCCATTAATGGTTATTAATTATCTCGCCGCCGCCGCCGCCACCGCCATACGGTCTTGGTTGCGAAAAGTGAAAAATGAGCGCCTATTTAGGTGTCGAAACACAACGGCGACGGCGATTTAATTCATTACATTGATTTGTGGTAGATTAATATCGATGAGGGGTTGGGGGATCCTTTACTAATTGACTACTTGACATGGCTTGATGGTGGGACTCAGATTTTGGCGACAGAATGCATTTCTTGCATAAGTGGCACCCGTGATGGTGGTAATGAAATACATCTACGCCCCCCCCCCTCTTATTGGTGGTGTCATCCTCTTCATAGTCATCTTCATATATAGTCATATGTTATGCTTGAAGTCCAATTTGTCATAAACAAAGTGTGGCAGGAAACAACAATGGGGGTTTGGGGGATGGAGAATCTCAGAATGTCCGGAGAATGCGTGTACGCCATCGCCACCCGCGCACCCGTTTTTATTACACGACGCGCGTTACTTTACTCTAACATGATTAGATTCTGGGGGTTGGTCGACCGGCATTGCTTCCTGGAGGCTTTTGTTCTTTTCACACTATTTTTCTTTTTGACGTTTGACGTGGCGTGGTTGAAATTTTGGTTCCAGTTGATTATTAAAATTGGTACTTCATTTTTTTAAACCGGATTTTTGGCCGCGTGAATACTGTAATTTGTGTGTCATTCATCAGAAAAAAAATTAGTAAAATTTTGTTTCCCGCATTGAACGGCACCGTCGGTCCGGAAGCATGAGGATGCGTGGCGACGATAAAATCAGCAACGGTCCTCTTCACGCACGCACACACACACACAGACACACACCGCCAAGTCAAGTCGATTTCGAGTCAGGTCGCCTCGTTTCTCCCACGGTGACTATATCGCCACGAATAGGTTCGATTCAGTGTTGAGAAAAGGCGAAAAAATTGGAATTTTTTTAAACGTTTGTCTGCCTTGATCGTCATGCCCTTGACGGGGGCATCAAGTCACCTCAATTTTTTTGCGCATATTTGTTGTTTCACGACAGCCGATATGATAGGGTGTGTGTGTGTGTATGTGTTGATTTTGTTTTTTTTTTCCATTAAATAGTATTCCTGTCTCAATTTTAGTATCATCCACTAATCATTGTCACACCTTTCGATTCGTTCTCTATACGCGCCGCTATCTTCAAGATAATGATAATCATGATGACTGATTTCGTTGTGAGACCGACGCCCTTCGCGCTGTGTTCATTCATCGAGAAAGAGAGAGAGAGAAAAGGTTAATTGCTTGTTCATTTTTATTTCGCTTTACACTTGTATGCAGTAGTTTCCTCATTTTCCTCCCGGTTTTGGAGTGTCGTTTGGTTGGAAATTGATTGCAAGTCGAATTAATGAGGATCGTTTGATGGGAGAGAGGAATTGGTTGCCTAGTTTGTTACTTTCCTCTCATTTCTCCATTTGACTTTATTTGTTGAGAAATTTGATTTCGGCTTGAACTTGCGCAATATATAGTTGCCTACTCGTCGAACCCCGAAAAAAATTGCACATGACCAATTTTCGTGTCAAGACATGTCCTTCGACATTGTTCACATGGGGAGACACGAAAAAAAACATAACAAGGAGCCCATTTCGAAAATTACCCGGCCCACAAATAAAAAAAGTCAAACGAAAAGTGCTTTTCGACAACACTCGTCATTCTTGTTCGCCAATAAAAGATTCATGTATTTGTGCATTCATCGCTCGACGCGCGCCGATCACCGTCTCAGGGTCCACCCGTTGTTTTTTCTGCCGGAGACATATCTGTTCTCCTAAATTGTAGGTGTCGAGAAGATGTGGGTGAGCAAGAAATCGAATTTATTTTTTTGTTGTTGTTTGTTTGTTTTTAAAGATTCTTTGGGGTTCACAAATACTATTATTTCTATACGCTCAAAAAATTGCTTGTCTAATTCAACATTAATCAATTGCCCATAAATCATGTTGCGGAAACAGCCATTAGTTATATTTTTGATGGATGTTACTGGATGCGCGGTTTTGTTGAAATTTGAGCACTTTGTTGTTTCGGTGCCGTACTGCCTTCTGTCGTTTTGCTCGAGCTCTTGCTGCTGCTGCTGATGGCGGTGGTTCTCGTCCTATCTCATCATCTCTTCGCCATTAATGAGTACTAATTTCTTGGCGGTGGTTCTTTTTATTTTTTTTTTCGTTCGCTCCCAAATGATTTGTCTTTTTGCCGCACCATTATTTTTATTTGAGGGCGTCAAATTTCTGGCGTAGATGAATGTCCACCCACTGGTTTCGAGACACGACGACACCGCCGCGGCTTCTTCCGCTTTTTCATAGACATAAGTATGCGTGTTATTTTTTGTCGGTGGTTCATTTCTTTCTTTGGCGCCATTTCTTCTTCTTCTTCCTTTTTTTGAGCTGTTGCTTAGCGTGTCATATTTGAAGTCCAGAAAAAAATTTTGACACGAAATTCCGACGCGTGCATTTCTTATTCGAGTTTCCATCCATCTATCTTGGCCGCAGTCTTTTTTTGCTTTATTACTTCACTCTTTTTTCTGCAATGGATTAATAGAGCGTTCTTTTTTCTTTCAAATTGAAATTTTTGTGGATATTCAAAAAAGTTTAGCGTTTCTACCATATTTTTCGCGAATTCAATAGTTGCGCGACGCGCAATTCTTTGTTCCCTACTCGCCTTTCCGGTCAGGCGTTCTCACCTATTTGGCGAGAATCTTGTGACTTTTCGCTCTCTTCGCTCACCGACCCATCGGCCGCTTTATTAATGCATTCAGCGATTTGCGGTAATTAGTTTTGGATTGGTGTGGGTTGGTGAAGCTTTCGCTCAACACCGGCCGGCCGGGTGTCAGTGGGGCACACACGGCGTGGAGGTTGAGCAGGTGTTTCATTTTCCATATTTGGCTCACCGTTGTTTGTCACCTATTTATGCACCAACCTGGCACAGCCACCAAGGTGTATTATTATTATTATTATTATTATTATTATTATTATTATTATTGTTGTTGGTGTTATTGTTATTTATGGTGACGATAGCGATGGCTTGCCTTCTAGCATTTAATGTTTTATTTTTTGCATATCTTAGTGATTCTCGGCGTAATTTCTGAAATAACAGGTGCGCGTGGACCGTATTTGGTGCTGGGTGTGTGTATGTGTGTGCAAATTGGTGGTGATCAATCAAAAATTGGAGGCGAACGGTCAGCTGCTCGTTTGCGACTCGCTCGCGCGCCCGCCCTAAATTTGTACAATTCGCAAGTCTACCAGAATTCCATTGGGACCATTTCGTTCGGTTCAACCACAATAGTTTTGGGCAAGATTTTAGTTTCCCTTTTCTGAGCGCTGCACCGAATTCTTATAATTTTTTGTTTTCGAAAAAAAGAAACAATAAAAGACGACTTCCTGCGTCATCATAATCGTTCCCCTTTTCCCTTCCCGACCGCCATCTGCCGTTAATCTGTAATTCTCATATTTCAAGACCATTTTTTATTCGGGTTTCTGAATCATTCGTTGCCAATTTCAAAACTGGCTTTTAGATTATCAACATTGAATTTGCATAAGCGTGAATATCAATCAGGGTTCGCAATTGACTCGCAATGACAAATTGGCACGCGACGAACTCTTATCGTTCGTCCGAATCTTTGCGCGTTATTCGTCCGAGACTCCTGTGGGGTTGCTCGGTTTTGCCTATTGCCCTGGCTGACTGGCTTCAGCGTTTTTCTAATGGAACTCTGTCGATTTGGCAAAAAAAACCATAAAAATACTCTAAAACCCAATGCGGATTGTGCAAAAAACTAGTATTATCTTTATTTTTTTTTTGAGCTTTTAATTTAAAATCGGCATCATAGCATTATAGATTTTGAACATTTGTTATTCAACAATTGCTCATACTCTCTATGTATCATTTAGAAAAAAAACGCAAATTCAATTATTGCAGACGCAATGAAGATGATTCGACGCGCTCGACCCAAGTCGTACGTGCTGGCGACGTCGGCGTCGATGCAGGATGATGTTCTGGCGACGATCACAAATGAACGTAAGTGGTGTCGAAAGTTTGTTTTTGGGAATTTTTTTGGTGTTCTACCTACTTTTGTTAGATATTTCATAACTCGCCGCATTTTTATTTGTTTTTCGACTAAAAAATGTTTGAAACATGAGCCGAAGTTTAGTTTTCAATTAGAAAAAAACGGCATTCCTTTCGAACAAAAAAACACGTTATTAAATTTTTGAGGCTGATGAGAAACGTGGCATTAGTTTTTTTTTGTGAATTGAAGATTTCTCAATACATAGAAATTAATCTATCATTTTTTAATGGTTATTTTCAGCATCTTCGTCGATTTCACATGATGGCACCACGAGCGGGTTTCCTTCTTCATTGATGGGCTCCACTTCATCGATTGATCCACACAAGCAGACGGCGATAGGTCAGCAGAACACGTCGAGGAGTCTGAATGCTCCGCATCCGCCGGCAACTCATCGACTTCAGCGGTTTATTGCGCTGTTCAACTCGAATGTAGGTGTTCTACACATTTGATCGTTTCTGACAAATTCTTGAGATCTCATTTTTTTTTTTTAGAAAACCTCTGATCATGAGAGAGAACCTAAAAAGTCGCGAATGAAGCGCTCAAGGACGTCGATGCCGGCCAGTAGATTTGCGCTTCCTGGACTGACATTGCCGCAAGAAAATATTGAGAGGCAAACGTGGATCAAGCATCAGGTGAGCGCTCCATTCCACACTAGGTCGTTGAAAGAGAATTTTGCTTCCAGGAAATTCCGCTTGGAAAATCGGGTAAACGCAATCATTGGGAGGATCGATGGGCGATTTTGAGCAAGCGGAATCTTTATTTGTGCGTTGAATCGCCGGGATACAGTTCGGAGAAGGTTGGGTTGTGATTGCTATTAATACGGGATTTCATTTTGTTATAGTCTGTTGAACTGGGTACACACACGCGGGTTGATGTACAAAATGCGATTGTCGATATTGCCTATGATTGGTTGTCGACGTCGTTCGCTAAGCAGAGACATGTGATTCGGATAGTCACACAGAATCGAATTGAGCACCTTATTGAGCTCAACACGTACGTTTTTTCTTTTTCTTTTTTTATGTATTTTGTAGAATGTGCTTTCTCGGTCCATTATTGAAAGAGGACATTTGCAGAGAATCTGAAATGCTTTCCTGGATCTCAGTGCTTCAGTCGAGCTCCGAAGAGTCGGTAGACTCGATGTCAGGAAAGGAGAACAACAATCACACACTGATCCTACACAATGATCTTCACAGTTCGCATTCGGTTAGTGTTTTCATATTTTTGAATTTTTTTTTTCTGTTCACGCCTAAACAAGAATTTGTGTATTGATATTATGGGTAGGAGCACTAGGAGTTGTAGGAGGGCCGAGCTTTTATGCTGCTTGGTTTGGTTTGGTTTGGGAGGAGGGGGGAGAAGGGAGAGGGGGTCTATTTTTAGGCAATTTTTTGCCTTCTTGGCCGTCTCATTTCGACGCTAACGAGTTGTTGGAGAAAATAAGACGAATCGAAAAACGACGACGAAGAAGAAGAAGAAGATGCCAACGACGATGCCGTAGAGTCGTCGGATGGCTCGTCTTCTCGTTTCCCTTCTCCGCGACCGATGTCACACTAACTCATTTATCGTCTACGCTACTAAGGGGAAGAAGAAAGAAGACGCCTGGCTATCCTCTCCTGAGTTGTCGTCGCGGATTTTGTTGTTGCTGTTGTTGTTGTTGTTGTTGTTGTTGCTCGCGGGCTTATTTGAAATTTTGACAATAATTTCCTCGTTTATTTTTTCTTCGATCAATCAAGTGCGAAGATCTGCGATTCTCAAGCTAATCTTGAACGGATCATCTGAAGCTCATAAAGGGTTGATTTTTGTTTTTTATTCGAGGCCGATAGGGATCTTGTGAGAGCATCTCTGGTTCCCATAGTTTGGATGAGCTCTTTATTTATTATTTTTTTAAATACTGAATGTTCTCGTTGGTCTGCGTTTCTCGGAGTGGCGCGGCCGCGCGCGCCCGCTCTATTCTATAGAATATTCTATTCTTCGTGTTTTATTCGAAATGTATTAAATTCTGACGGACGGACGGCTGGGGCGTGACTCGCATCATTTGTTAAGAGAATAATTTAGAAGATGCCCTCCTTCTGCGTTTTTTTTCTGGTTCTTCGTCTTCGTTTTTTTTTTCTCATTCCTTATACGATTTGGTGAACCACTCACTTTTTGTGTGTGCGCGTTTTTTTTTATTTTGGTGAGCTCACTCACTCACTCACGCTCATCTGATGTCATTTTTTTCTTCTTGTTTGAGACAAGTTTTTGCTCGTCCTTCCTTCTCGTCGTGTGTTGAAAAAAAAATCAGGCGACAATTTTTTTCGTCCTCCGTGTTCGTCAAAACACTAATTCGCCACGCAATTTTGGATTTGAATGAGCTGAGTTGAATACTTTAACTAAGAAGGGCTTGAGAAGAGTCTGATCAATAAAAAAATTTATCACAAATCTCCTAATCTTTTTCTGTTAATTAATATTTTATGAAGAAAGTGAATAAAGTTGCAAATTGTAAAAAAAAACCGACATTTAGGATTTTTTTGTTCCAAATAATGTCAATGTTTCATTCACTGAAAAAATGCGCATTGAAATTATTGGAGAGTTTATGCCGAGGATCAAAAGTTGGACATAGATCAGATTTTCAGTTGAGTAATCTAGGTTAGTCATAGCAGTTTTCTCTCCCTCTCTCACTCTCTTAAATGATTAGCCATTGATAATCGGATGCGAATGTTGAAGCGAACACTAAACTTGTTGACTTTGGTGTTTTACTTGAGACGAAAGGAAAAAAATTGTTTTCGCAATTTTGTATATATTTTTGCGTGGTGGAGACTTGGTAAAAAGCTATGCATTTTTGAGACCCACTTCATGTTTTGTTATATTTATATGTATATTATTATTATTTCTCGCTCTTGGCGTTCTTTCAATTTCGCATATACATAAATATCAATTTGTCCGGTAGAGCACGAATTATAGCCGAAAAAAGAAAATAATAATTGAAAATGGGGGGGGGAATGAAAGAAATTGAGAGATGGATCGAATTTCCGGGGGATTTAGTGGTTTGGAGTCGACTTGTTGGATATTCTTGATTTAAGATAAACATACATATATATATATGTAGATTTTTGTTGTTTTCTCGAAGATGGATGAGTCAGAGAAGAAGATGAAGGAGAAGAGAGGAATGTTTCGTTTTTTAATTAATTCTCGCTGCTGCCCCGACGAAATATGGTGGGGGTCGGGGGGATGTTGGAGAAGTTGGAGAAAGAAATGCTCATGATGATGCTTTTGCTCAGGACTTTTTGCCTAGTTTGTAGAAGTTGTCGAGCTTTTCTTTTTTCGTTTTGTTTTCCTTTTCTTGCCAATGAGCAAGATTAAAATTTGGACCAGGCTTCTTCAATTCGCTTCCTTCTTTTTTGTTTGCAGTATGGCGCAGCTTATAATACAGGATTAAGTTGGAGCGAGGTGTCCCGAAAAGGGCATGTCGTTGATTTTGGTGCAAAATTTTGTTTCTCTCTCTCCCTCTCTCTCGGTCTCTCTATCTTTGTCTTTTTTTGGTTTTGTCTTGTTCATTGACGTCGATCTTGCTCATCTTTTACTATACAGTTCATTGGAGCTGGAGTATAGCAATTATCCAAATCGAATGTTGTGAGGCCCGTACACTTCTTTCCGGTTTTCCATTGGAAAAAAGAACAGGAACAAAACAAAGGGAGAAGACGAAGAAATCTGTCGTTGAGTATTGAATTACCGGCGGCCCGACGTTTTTTGTGCGTATGTGTGTGTGTGTTGCCTCCCTCTTGTTTTTTTCCAACGTTCTCTGCCACCTAATCGGTTCTTCTTCTTCGTCTTCTTCGTTTTTTTATTCATTATCTTGGTGCTGTCTTTCGGTATGGTAAAACGACGATCTCGACACTTCTTTCTTTTTTTTTTCAAGAATTTTCCATATTTATTTTTTGCATAGTTATGCGAAATGTATATGGTTTGATGGAATTGCTTCCGACTTTTGGGATTGAAATTTGAGATTGCGCGCTCGATAATTAGTCGGATGTGAGAGTGAACGATGCGTTTTTAGTTTTTTTTTTTGCTCGGCTCTGAGATTTACTTGGTGAAATTCCAGATTTTTAATATTTGCCTTTCTTCAGAAGTTTTTTGGGGCTAGGGGGGTGGAAACGACTTTGCCACTTGATTTCATTGGAGTCAGTATTATAATTATAATTATATGTTTATAGGGTATAATTTAAACGTTGTGTGGTGCCGAGTGAGCGAGCGAGTGTATTTGCCGCGTCGCGATTCGAATTCAACTTGGTTCTCGTCTGCCTGGTGGTTTCTTGTCTCGCTGTTCGCGACTCGCCGCTCTCACCACTAAAAAGGAAGGCCCTGGCGTTTTTGCCTCATTTTGCATGTGGTTGGGATTAAGCAGCGAACCGGGCGAGCGAGCGAGCGCGCGCTCGCGGACCGACGAGCGGAATCGAATGGAATTGGTGCATACACCATTCATCTATACATAGCCGTCGTTTGGTTGTGGGGGGTAGGGGAATCGGTGGTCCCTGGCAACACGGTGCCCTGCGATTTATTACTCACCGAGTTTCATTCGTTCATGCTTGTTTTGTTTCTTCGTTTATTTATACGCATTATGCGTTTATTAAATATTCTTGATACTCCTGCTTCATCATTAACGTCACCATCATCATCATCATCAGCGTCGTCGTCGTAGTCGTCGATTCATCAATGTTTGGGGGGGGGGGCGAGGCGCGAAGAAATGGCAACTAATTTCCAGTTAGCCGACGCTCGCGCTCGCGCCTCTCTGTGCGAAAATTTGAGGGGGTTTTTGACCCAATTTTTTGTCGATGAAAGAATCTCGGTTTTCTTTTTGTTTTCCGTGTCCAATTGCATTTAGTTGTGGTCGTTTGCAATTCCGAATCGTTGCGAATCGCGTTTTTTGAACTGTGCTCAAATCTCTACCGTATACTTTCTAAATAAGCTTCGTTTCTCATTTGTCTCATTTTTCTTATTTTACTTCTTTGCCTTATTTGTCGGTCTAGTCGGCCTTGTCAAACTGAAGTGTCCATATATTAATAATTACTATACATATATGTATGGGTATAGTAATAATAATAATAATAATAGTTGAAGTCGGCCTTGAAACCCATGATGATGATGATGATGATGATGAGGATGATTTCCGGTTGGCTGCTAGTGTGTTCAATTAGATTCCGCGTGTGTTTCGCGTTTTGTGTGTTTTGTCGCAAACTGCGAGGAATTTGAAGATGAGGAGGAGTTGGCGGTATGTTCGAGGGTTTTTATATCGAATTTTGCGGTATATTTGTGTTGTATGGAGGGGAATATAAGTGTGTATGTATGTGTGTGCATTTATTGTGAGTTTGAGACATCGTTTCAATCGATTTTCCACCCACCGGGGGGTCTATTTTCATTTATTCTCTGCCAAATTTTTGTTTCATTCGTCTCCCATCGCACAACATACATAGAAAATGAGAAAATAATCGAATTCTTGTTATATGGATGGGTTCGAGTTGGGGGTGTTCTCGTTCTCTTCATCATAGTCGTCGTCGTCGTCTTCTTCTTCTTCTTCTTATACATCGACATCTTTTTTTGCGCCCAATTTTTTCTTCGTTTTCTTCGTCTCATTTTTTTTTGGTTTTTTGCAGATCGCTTCTTTGGCATCGTCATCATGTTCGACGACGACGTCTGAATTGGTGAATGAGCAGCAGAAGCAGCGAATAGCGACTGGCAATTGTGGGTTTTGTGTTCTTTTTTCTTAATGAGCGAAAAAGTTTTTTTGAAATGGAAATAACTGAAATATTTAAAGAGGGATTACTGTAAGAGTAGTTCCTATTGCCCTTGGATGCCCTTTAAATGGGGAAATGTCTGAGGGCATTCAAGTGAATAGGTGTAATTTTCAAAGAACTCGTGCTTCAAATTAGAGGTCTTTTCAAGCAGTAAAGTTTCTTTCGTTTTTAGCCAGCCACAAACATCATTCTCGTTTTTACTTCGATATGAATTCTGGGCTTTCTCAAAAAAAAAAACATTTTTTTTGCATATCTGTTTTTTACTAGTGATAATTAGTAATTTTAGTCTCTTATTGCAAGAAGCTGACGACGAGCCAAAAAAAAGTATAGAACTAGTTGTCTTTTGTTTTGACCGTCAAAAAAGTGACAAATTTCGAGTGTAATTTTTAGCGTGTGATATGCTTGGTTTTTCATGTGTGAGCAAGTGTAAAGTGTTCGGTGTTCACTCTCTCTCTCTCCTTTTTTTCTTCTCTTTCTCGTTGCACCATTCATTTCGATGGATATTTGATGATATTATTAGTATTATATATATATATATATATATATATATTACCAGTCAAATTCTCTCAGTGTGTCTGTTTTGCCACTTTGAAAATTGTGGTACCCCCTCCCCGTTATTAAATAATTGCATAATGATAATTGCAGTGTCAACCGGTCTTCTACCGACGTCGAAAAGTGTCGGCGCGCTGAACACGGCGGCGACGGCGAACGGTCCCGAATCGGCCAAAAATCAATTGATTATGCATCGGTGAGTATTTTTGTCTCGTATTTTTCAAATTAGCTATTTCGGTTTTTTCTTTTTTTTTTCGAAAAATTCTATATTTGTCAGTTTTTGATTTTTATTCCTTTCTTTTTCACATTATGGATCTTTCGATTTTGTCCTACGCAATGATTAGTCTCGTCGTCTGATTCTGCTGATGACAACGAATGTGGGTGAATGCCGAAAAACTATGAAGAGGTCTTGCCGCGCATATCTAATGATATATATATACTATGCAGATTTCGAGAAAAAGAAAACTTTAACAACCGTATTGTTGCGGGATTGTTTAAAAAAAATCTAGTTTTTTTTTTTCGTCTTTTTGCCATCATTGATTTACGGGAAGATTTAATGGATGAGTTCAAGGTCTACCTTTCGGTCGAGACCTCTTCAATGTTTAAGTAACACTGGGGAAATGTGCAAAATTGAAAATTTTCAACGAGCACTTTTTTGTTCTGACCACTTTGATGCCTCCTTTACATTAGTTTGAGTTCCTTTTTGCTGGTCATTTTTTCCGACGGCAGAAGCCGTCGATCTCATCCTCCATACTTCCGCACTTCTTGGGGCTCGATGGCCAGAAAAAAAAATTGAGGCAGAGAAACCTCAGGGCTAGCGCGGCTCCTCGCCTCGAAAAGAGGGCCCCGTCGTCGCGGGCGGTCTTTGCCGCTGGCACACGCATAATCGGGCCGTTTTGCATTCTATTTGGCTGTCGTCCCCTCGCCGCAGTCGTTTATTTTTTGTTGCTTCGGGTTTTTTTCCTCTTATTCACCTCCTCGTTTCCTCGCATATATCCCTTATATGTATATTCGTGTATATATATATATATATATATATATATGTGTGTGTGTGTTTTTTTTTTTTTGAGGGCTTGCTTACTAAGTAAGTGTGCTTGATTTTGAGTTTTGTTCCCAACCAATTTGTTAGTTTTTATTGGAGATTTGTTTTGTGGACTATTGAAATTCGGTGCGATTTTTGAAATTTTCATTGATCACAATCATATATAATTTCAAACTATCATATTTCCACTCGTTTCGCCTTGTTTTTGTTTAAGAATATTGGGCGAAATCGTTGATTTTAAGCCTAATCCATTAATTTTAGCCGGAAACGCGACGAAAATCCTGTTATGAGAAACACCAAATCGAATATACACATTATTTATTCGAATGTTTTTCTCCCGATTTTGAGCTTTTCATAAAAAAGGAGGTGGATTTGCCTCGATTTTGAGTAGTCATTTTTTTTGGAATTTTTGAATTCTTTGAATTCTTTCACTGAATGCCCATTTTGAATTGTTTTTTAATTGTTTACGGACTTGCTCGGCAATTTTATGCGGTTCAAAGCTTATTGAATTTCTTGTCCGATTTTTTTGTTGAATAGATTTCTCGAAACTTTTTGTTGCTGTTGAGCTCAAATCCGGCCGAATTCGATTTTTTCCGCTATAACAGCTGTTTAAATAATTGGCCATAAAACATAAAATTGAATTTTTATTATGGCACAAATTTGTTTGTTTTTTTTTAATTGTTATAAAAATTGTGTAGATAAAAAATAATTGATTTTTTAATTTTAGATATATCGCTAAGAATTCGCAACTCCAGTCGCCGATCGCCAACAAACGCATGGAGGTGACGCAGTCGCCGGCATCGTCGTCTTCATGCGCAACACATGCTGGCACGAGTCGTGATGCAACGGAAAACGGCGGCGGTGGAGATTCGATGACGGCGACGACGCCGAAGTCTGGGCGAAAATGGAAAAAGTCGAAAGCCGGCAAGCAGGGAAGCGGCGGTGTGGCGAGCACAACGGCTGGCGGCGCCGCACAGGCGCCCGTTCTCGGTGTCCGCCTCGCCGATTGTCCTGTCGGCACGATCGGCGAACACGTGCCGATGCTTGTGCAGATATGTGTGACCGTTGTGGAGGCACACGGAATGGATACGGTGGGTATCTATCGGATACCGGGTAATACGGCGGCTGTCAATGCGCTCAAAGAATCATTATCGCAACGCGGGTTCGAGAACGTGAATCCGGAGAATGTCGAATCGCTCGATCCGCGATGGCGAGACGTCAATGTCGTCTCGTCGCTGCTGAAAATGTTTTTACGGAAGCTGCCCGAGCCGCTTCTCACCGACAAATTGTATCCGTTCTTCATCGACGCCAATCGAATAGCGGCTCATCATAATCGATTGCATAAACTCAGAAACTTGGTATGAGAACGATTTCGGTTTGCCGAAAATTACGCACGATTTCAGCTGCGCAAACTCCCTCGCGCCCATTATGAGACATTGCGGTTTCTGATTCTGCACCTGTCAGAAATAACGAAGCACTGTGATGTGAATAAGGTTGGGCGAAAAATTTATACCGAGATTGAGTTCGAGTTGGATTATTTCAGATGGAATGCCGAAATCTGGCGCTGATGTTCGGACCTTCGATCGTTCGGCCGTCGGATGACAACATGGCGACAATGGTGACGCATATGAGTGATCAATGCAAGATCATTGAGACACTTATTCACTATGTAAGCCGAAATTGCTTGTGTTTTAATGATTAATGATATCGCATTCAGAACGAATGGATGTTTGATGAAAGCTCAACGGCGGACGACAAAGTTCCCGAACAGAATCCGGCTGAAGGGCCGAACTCTTCGGAGCCTGGATCATATGGTGTTGGTGTTCCCACCGGAGTTTCGGCTGCGTCGTTCAATGATATGCATAATTTGATTCGGAAAGCGAATGAGGATCAAGCGGCGGCGATGATGAATGAAGGCAAAGGTCAAAAGATCAAGAACATGCTGCGACGGAACTCGCGACGCGACAAGTCGAAATCGAAGCTCAAAATTGAGTCGACTGCGCCGGCGGCGGTCAATCCCAAGTGGAAGCCACCGACGGCGTCGAACAACTCGGCGAACAGTGTGGAAAGCGCGTTCTGCGGCAATTATCAGGAGCGCGACATTGATGCCGAGATCGAGTCGCGACAGACGATTTCACCGCAAATGACATCCGGATCGATGGATGGGGTTGAGGTTGCGCGACTTGATCAGAGCCCATCTCTGGAGAGCAGCCTCGGAAGCATACCGGACACGTCGAGGACGGAACCGATTGGCGTTGGTTACACGGCCGAAGATGAAGAAGCGAAGGAAGCGGCGAGGAGGAAGCGGCAAGAGGAAATGTATTCGGCGAGGAGGATTTTCATTGCTGGAACCGCGGCGGCGGCACAGATCGACAGTAATGCCGTCGACGCTTTGGCGAATCATTCGCAGCACCTCAACATTGCGAGTAGTCCGGCGTTCGAGGTACTCAGTGAGGAAACTCGGGAGAAGATTCGGAAAATGCAGAAGAAGCAGAGCTGGCATCAGGGCGGCAATGAGTTTTTGAAGACCTACTCGCCGACGAAGGATATCACGGATGCCTTGTCGTGTACAAGCGATTATTCGACGACGAGCTCGGCGCCGTTGAGCCAGAATCCGCCGTTAGCGGTCGCATGCACTGATCAACCAAACTCGAGTTCGGATTATGCGTCAAGGTGGGATAATGGTTTTTTTTCTAAATTCTTCAACTTTGTGTGTGTTTAGTGATCCGTCTCCATGCACACGAAATGCGTCGACTTCTCCTGCTTCAAGACCATCGAATCTTGGAATTTGTCCGGCTGAGCCTCCGCCGATTAGTCGGACTCAGAAGATTCGGATGAGAACGAAAACAGGTATCAGGGATCCTTCAAGAAGGCACACCCTGTCGGATATGGACGCTCTAAAGGTGGGATTTCGTTTTTTCCGAATATTTAAAACATTTCATATTTCATTATAGGAGGGTCGATTGGACAAACTCGCACGCTGGTTCGGATTTCGGAAGTCGAGTCCCGATGTGAGTCGCGACGATGATATTGATGAGAGTCCTGAGAAGCGGCCGCCTCAAAATCCGCCACCGGTCATAGTTCGAACATCGCCGAATGAGCTGACGCCAGTTTCCGGCGATGAGCAACTCTAATTGATGAGCTCAGAGAGAAGAAGTATAAGAAAAAAATTATGAAACGGGTCAAAGCACAATCTTAGTCACAAAAGTCTGCCCCTCTGCATCCCCCCAAAATACACAATTTAAAATATCTTTTGAATTTTGAAAGATTCCTTCCTTTCTTCGTAATAATATTAATAATACTGATAATAATTGGTCGTTTTGATCTCAAATTGTCTTCTTTCCCTAATTTTAGTGGTATTTTTCTTTTTTTATGAGTGTATCATTCTCACATCATCGAAACCTCCAGTTTTTTGGATTTTTCTTTTCTTTTCTTTTGTATTCATTTTTCAAACAATCAATATTTCGTACCTCTATATGGGTTGCTTTCAGAATTACAGACATATGAAAATTAACCATTTCGTTTCATTTTTGGATAAAGCGTTTGAATTTTTATTGATTAGTTTTTGAATATGAAATTTGCGGTTAGCGGATAGATGGCACCGGGAAACTGTTTGTGTTTGTGGTTGAGAAGCGAATTCGATGACGATGTGCGTCGCGGGACCTTGGCGCGTTTTTTGATGGATCTATTCAGTGAATGTAAATTAAACAAAAACGACAAATTTTCATTATGCAGCGATGTCGTTTTTGTCGCAATAAGCGCTTAATTTTACTGAGGGGTACTGTAGATCGCGGGTCGATATTTCAAAAAAATTGGCACATGCTCCTTGAATATCGATTTTTTTAAAAATATTTTTTATATTAAAATTTTCGTATTTTCACTCGTTTTTCGCGGATTTTTTTAAATAATTTAAACTTTTTTTTGAGTAACACTTGGTGATATTCATAAAAACTACTAATTTGTGCATATATTTCCTTTTTGAAGCATGTCATTCGCTGAGTATGAAGGAAACGACTCTTTGGTCGAAGACGTGGTGGAGGCACATGGGCCAAGAAATTTGCCAATTGCTGAACAGCGTGAAGAAGCTAAGCGCACGAGAAGGAGAAAGCCACTTGTAGATGACGGATATGAAGCGGTGAGTATTTAAAAATGAATTGTTGGATTTTATAAATTAATTAAATTTTTTTAGTTTCCACAACACTTTATTGTGGACTTCATCAAGACCGTTGAGCAGTACCCAAGTATTTGGGACTCATCTATTAAAGAATACCACAGGAGAGAATTGAAGCTTAAGGTCTTTCAGAATATCGAAAGCATGTGCAAGAAATTTCTCCGCGCCGGAAGACCAAATGGTATTTTCAAAACCACTATCGGTAAAATTGAAGTTTTAGGTATGACGGCTTGGAAATTGTGGGATTCGATAACGCGCGATTTCAATAGACATGTGTTGCGAATCCAAAATGCTCGATCTGGAACTGGAACATTGGAATCATCATTTCCGTTTGCGGAATATTTACAGTTTTTGGATGGAGTCAGACACAAAAGACAAGTTAAAAAGTAAGTTTACCTGTTTTTTGTTAATTTTTTTTTACTACAGTGCCTTCATATGCGGTGATAAAAGTATTGAGTTGCTTGAATCGCGGGGACCCTCGGATAGTCCGAAGACTGCTAAACGAAGAAAATCAGGTTTCTAGCAATAAAAAATGGAGTTTTATGGGTATGTTTTAGACAGCGATGAGCTGATGAGTATGTTGCGCGAGACGAACAGCGAAATCAAGCAGCTGCTTAGATCGAATGATGAGGAAGCCAAGGAAACCCCCAAATGTAAATTTGACCGATTGTGCAGGGTCATGGCCAGCCACGTTGCGGATTGGCCTGAATTGGATCAAATTCAAGCCGAAGCGAAAGCGATCGCTTTCATCATGGATCTCCAACCGACGGGCAAAAGAAATGAGCAGACGACTTCTCTCAGTTTGTTGGACGAAAATTATTTTTAAGTATTTTTTTTATTATATTAACAATTAAATTTAAAAAGATAAACATTAAACATGATAAAGAAGATAATTTTTTAATGCCGTTCTTTGATCTTCGGCATCGCTGTATGGGTCTTGAAGTAAGGGAAAGTTGTGGTCAGGTGGAAGATCGGGAGGAGCACCTAGTGATATGTTATGTACAACTGAAAGTGCTACAATGAGGGCGCGCGAAGAAGACGGGTCCATATTAAGGGCTTTTTTGAAAATCTGGAATTTCGACTGCATCACACCAAAAAAATTTTCAATTTTCACCCTAGTTGCCGACATAATCTCGTTAAAACGCATGTTTTCTGGAGTCAAGGAAAGCTGCCTATAGGGTTGCATAAGAAACTTAGATAGTCCAAATCCGTTATCAGCAATTATAAATGGAGGCATTATAATGGATGAATTCGGAAGCGGGCGATATCCACCTATTGTGGCTACATTTTCGAGGAGTGCTCCCAAAGGCCCATCTCTGAACATTTGGGAGTCCGAATTTACTCCAAGCTCAGAGATTTGCAAATATATAACACGCAAGTTTGCATCACAACAAAAAAGAGAATTAAATGAATAAAACGACTTATAATTATAATTTAACGATCCTGTATGCGCAGGATGCTCGATCTTCCAATGCTTTCCATCCAATATGGCAAAACATGGAATTCTTCGACGAGGAGTTCGATCAGAAGAGTTCATAAATCCTTCTTCCAGACGAATTAATTCTCTTCGATTTTGTGGCAATCGGATTTGTTCTCCGGCAACTTGGACGATATCCTCGATTGTATCTCTAACTAGTCGAGAAATCGTTGATTGCGAAACTCCAATTTCCTTCGCAAGAAGATTTTGGCTAATACCTATAAATTTTATAATTTTAATGCTTGTAAAAAACTAACAAACAACTAAAAAATAACCTTCTCTTGTGTATTTTAAGAAAACTGCCAATCGAATTGTCGCATTGATTCGACCTTCGTGATTTCGGCATATCTTCAGAAGTTCCATGAACGTGCTGTTAGAAACGCCGGTCACGAACTTAATTTATTCTACATTACTTATGCAGAAATTCACTTGTTTTACTTGTTTCCTTACCTCAATACCACCACAATCTACTAATCGGTTGACTTTTTCACAAAAAAGATCGAAGCTCTGTTTCTTGATCACTTCAATTGTTTCAGATGCATTCAATGCATTTTGTTTCAATATCCAAACCAAAATAATTCGTTTTTTCATAAGCAGTGCAATCTATAAATTCATTTATTTGTTTTTTGTTTAAATTGTATTTCTTACTATAGCCTTTTTCTTATTTCGTAACCTATCCAAATTAGCCATGGAACGATCTGAAATATTCAATTTCTTTAAATTAAAACAATATTCGAATAAAATCGATTCAGTTTTGGAATAGAAAAAAACGAAAACGATATGAAATTATTATTTAAAAGTGTTACTCAAAAAAAAGTTTAAATTATTTAAAAAAATCCGCGAAAAACGAGTGAAAATACGAAAATTTTAATATAAAAAATATTTTAAAAAAATCGATATTCAAGGAGCATGTGCCAATTTTTTTGAAATATCGACCCGCGATCTACAGTACCCCTCAGTAAAATTAAGCGCTTATTGCGACAAAAACGACATCGCTGCATAATGAAAATTTGTCGTTTTTGTTTAATTTACATTCACTGAATAGATCCATGACGAGCATTGTCGACGACATGCGCGGCCTCGACGCGACCTGGATGACGGTGGGCCGGCTTATGATCGCCGCGGGAATTTCAGCGGAAACCATCTTAAAAAGTGAGAAATTTATGAATTATTATGTACAATGTAACGAAATGAGGCGGCGGTGCACTATAATGAGCTGATATCAGCGGTGGAATGGTTGCGGCTCGAATCCCGAGAAATGAAGCGGATTTTCTCGTCGAATATCTGAAAATGAAGTGAGGAATGACAAACGAAAAACACAAATATCATTGTGAAACGATTGAGGTGTTTTCTATTGTTTTTTTGGCTTGAAATTGAGAAATTGGAAGAAAAATCGATCCATTATGAAATTTGAAATTCAATTGTGCAATTTTGCGTCTCGGTGTACATTTGAAATTCACCGCGCGCGGTTTGAAATTCTCCATTTGTTTTTTTTTCAAAGTCATGCCAAAGTGGAAAAAGAAGCCACACGCACTTGAACATTCCCGCCTCCCGGCTTGTGATGAATGTTATCCTTTGAACCGACTTTGCTCTCAGCCTTCCAATTCAATTTTTGATGCAATATCTGAAATATTGTGTGCTGCCAGAAGCCAAAGAAACGCCAAACAAAATTCCAGCATTAAAAAAAATGAAAAAAGTACCTGGACATTTCCTCCTGATGGCTTATGATTGGCGTTTTCGAGCGATCCTACTTTTGGTTGAACGTTCCATTCAAGCTTTTGTGAAATTATCTAAAAATTTATTTTTTATAGGTAATCCAGTCATGATACCTTGACATCTGATTTTGGAGGAACATAGTTGGTTTTTGAGCCAACTTTTGGTGCTGCATAGGAAAAATCGAGTTTGCGATTCTCGATGCGAACATTGCCACCGCCTGGGGTGTGATTCGCCTTCTCCAATGATCCGACCTTCGATTGCACTTTGTACTCCTAAAGTAATTTTTGAAAAGATTGGTTTTTTATTCAATATTTAACATTTTCTTCAGATTGTCGATCCAGGTGAATCGATTTTCTGGTTGAATTTGAATGGGTGAGATTAATTTATCATTTGAATTACCGCTTCCTTGTGTCTCGAATGGAATGAGCGAGTTTTGCATAGTGTATCTTTCATTCTTTTAAAAAATTGCCCAATGGACCAATCAAATCTCGAACCTCTCGAAATTTAATTTTTTTTTTCAAGTTTATATTAAAGAACCGGCGACTTAAACTTGATATTTGGATAACGTTTGGGCTATTCGTGAAAACTATAAATAGTATATTCAAATTTGAAATATGCGTTACCCTTTTCTCGGAGAATATCTCGACATTTCCGCCACCAGGTTTGTGATTTGTGACCGATCCGACTTTGCTCTTCACATTGGCAAATTTTGCATTCACTTTGGGAGTGAAGCGACCGGCATTATCTAAAATAGCAAATTGACATGGGCGGTCTTTTTTCGGGTCCGTCTTGAATCCGTTTAGTGTGTCCGAATCGATAGGTTCTTAGTTATAGACCATCAAAGTTAACCCCCCCCTCTCTCATGAATATTACATACAAAATTTGAAGAAATTGGAAATGTAATGAAGCTATAAAAGATTTAAAGACCAGTTGTGATGAAAAAAGAAACACACGAACCAATACTTTTCGTTGATGTCGATTTTCGCAAATCGGATGATTCTCGCGTCATGCGTCTGCAAAAACAAAGAAAGAATTTTGCTACTTTTCTGGAATATTCTTCTCGACGAAATATTATATGGTGTCGATGCGAAAAAAATTGCCGGAAGCGATTTAGTTGGCCGAGCGTGGCCGCAATTGTCTTACGATGTTGGACGCATCGACGGCGGTCGCGGCGAAACCGGCGGATTCCGGGAATTGGGCGTCGTCGCTGGACGCGCGGTACTACTGCAAAAAAAAACACAGCGAATCGCCTTCGAAAACCAGGTTTCCATGGATTTTGTCTATTTCTTTATTATTCAAGAGTTGTAAGGGCTTTTTTCTCGAAAACGCCCTATTGAAAATTCGTCGTCTTTTTACCTTGGTGTCGGTTTTCGTAAAATTGTCGAAGGCGGCCGAATCCTCGATTTTGGAGTGCTAGTCTCAATCGTCTGTTTTTGACTCGGAGCCTCAACATGCTCATTTTCGTTGTTCTGAGGTGTTCGATCCTCTTCAACCTTCATCGCGTTCAACTCGCTGCTCACAATATCCTCCATTGTTGTTTTCGCAGGGCTCTTGAGAAAACATTTTTTGGACCATTTGTATTAAGTTTACCTGGTCGACGTTGTTATCGATTAGCTTTGTTTCTTCAGGCTGCGATTCGAGTTCTTCGGGAGATTCCAAATCCTTCGAATCTTCAATTTTCTCTTCGATCTGTTCGTCAATTTGCTCAAAGTTTTCTTCAAGCTGCTGTATCTGCTTGGGATCGTCAACGTCGTCAGATTGAGACGCCTCGACAGTCTCTTCAGGTTCGGGATCTTTCTTGGGCTCCTCTGGTTCAGCTTGTTCGTTCTTTTCTAGATGAGCAACTTCTTGCTCTTCGTCTTCACCCTCTTTTTCTTGGTCGTTGATTGGAAGGGTGTGTTGCTCTTCGAACTCTTGTTGCTTCTCGTCGTTGGTAGCCGCTTCTAGCTCTTCGTCAATAGGCGAGGATTCTAGAGGAATATTGATTTTTGAGAGATTTTCACCACCAACAACAAAAAACATGAACGAACCAATTTGCAATTTATGATCCTCGCCGTTGGCAGTTATATTTGGCTGTTGTTGTTGTTGTTGTTTTTCGCACTCGTCGTCAACCGAGTGGTTCTCTTGTTTTTCGCCGTCGGCGTTCTCCACCTCCTTCAAGAAATAGGGGGGAAATTTTTTAAATGTAAAAATTTGGTTTCTCGAAGCGACGGTGAATAAGACACAAGACATAAGCAGAAAGCGAGCACCACATATAAAAATAATAAATAGAACTTCTGTTTTTTTGCATTTTTTTAACGTCTCCAAAAACGGATTAGTTTAGAAGAGAAAAAAATAGAATTGAATTAAGATTTGGTGATATTCGGCTGGTCGAAATAATCAGAGAATTCTCCTTGACCCAAAACGTATGGGAATTTCGACGACCCGCATTAATTATACCCAATTAGGGTAGAGGGAAAGGTGCGGAAGAAAATGTTTACAGGTTAGGGGTCTCGTCGCGATTTGAATTATTTTAGGGCGTTCTCGTTCCACGGGAAAAAGAGAATTTCTAGAAATTTTCGAATTTTTTTCTTCGAATCAAACTAGTTTTTTTAAATGAATTTCAGCCAGTTTTCCTTCTTTGAAATAAAAAATAGGGAAACTTTCCAAAATTCAACAATTTCGATACAAAATACATATGGTAGTCAATAGTAGCGAGAAGCGAAAAAATTGCAAATAATGTAAAAGGCGCGGGGGTCCGAAAGTGAAATCGAATATCCGTGTGGTGTGTACATATTTGGGTGTCTGTGTGCGTGTGCGATTCGTCTCATCGTCTCACGTCGGCTTCGGATTCGATTCGGAATTTGCATGCTGTTGACAGGTGCAATTTCTAATTAATTCCGCTAAGCAGCGACACCGCCGGCTTTTCGGTTCGGATGGCGATTGTGCAAATATGGATATTATTAGGTTTGGTGTTATAATTTGATCCGCCGCTTTATTTCTTATCTTGGATTAGATTAATTTGGTCTCGACACGAAATAAGAATTTGACTGATTTCCTTAATGAAGCTTCTTTTGAATGAGATACATGGCTAGTAGAATATTTTGTTTTGCTACTCAGGCAAATCAAATAAAATATTTTGAGCATCAAATATTCAATAATAAACTCTAAAATATTTTGAGAAATTCTAAAGTTTATTGATACTTTCTAAAACTTATTGAGAATCGCTAAACTTAAAAATACCTTTTTTTTCTTTTAAGATTTTCAAAAATTTATTGAGCAAATTCTAAATCATCTCAATAAGATTCTAAAATCTTTTAATAATTTCTAAAGTTGATTGAGAAAATTCTAAAATATTATAGAGACACGTTAGTTTCTCAATGAATCTCAAAATATTTTATTTGATTTGCCTGAGTATGGAAGCAGGATTCTCAGGCAAATCAAATAAAATATTTTGAGAATCAAATATTCAATGATAAACTCTAAAATATTTTGAGAAATTCTAATGTTTATTGATACTTTCGAAAACTTATTGAGAATCGCTAAACTTAAAAATATTTTTTAAAATCTTATAAGATTTTCTAAAATTTATTGAGCGATTTCCAAATTATCTCGATAAATTCGAAAATGTTATGAGATTTCCTAAAGTTTATTGAGACAAATCTAAAATATTATAGAGACACGTTAGTTTCTCAATGAATCTCAAAATATTTTATTTGATTTTCCTGAGATTGCCAAAAAAACAGCCCCGGCTCTCTCGTGGTGGAGGGCTCAGGCACGACCGGGGATCCTTTCTTTTTAATTTTTTTAGACAACGCTCTATGGGTCATTTAAATCTAAGCCAACCCAGATTTTTGTAGAGAATGTTGCAAATATAGAGTAATTGTGGACCATCGCTTTTTTTTGGGAGGGGGGGGGCGGGAATTCAAATTTCAATTGAAACTGTCGAATCTTTACTACCACTTTACGGATAATTTTTGTTGGCAATTGTAATACATAATTCAAGACAAGTGGGTTTCACTTGAATCAAGCTCAATTACAAACAGAAATTTGACTGTAAGACAAGGGGTGTTTCGAGATCGAGAGAGAGAGAGAGAGAGAGAGGAAAAAAACGATGGTAGAAAATTTCAAGTGTTTCATGTCGCGATCCCGTCTCATTCTCTCGAATTAAAACAAACAAAAGAGCACTACTACCTGACGCAAGGGCCGGGTGGTCGAGTCGAAACCGATCCGACGCTCTCCGGTATTCGATGAACAGAAAATAACAACATTGGATGAGTGGGGGGGGGCGACGAGGTCACACCAAAACTAGAAAAACCGACAGTTAATGGCGTCCTCTTCTCCCGCGACAAGATGATTCGAATTCGAATTCGAATTTGAATGTATTCCTATGCGAATATATGATGTGGTTTTTTTTTCTAAATGGATTGCGGTCAAGAAGTATGAGAATTTTCCACAAAATTGGAGTTGTCAGAATTTTTGACCATTCTTTTTTGATACGGCGAGAATTTGGCGAAACTATGTACATATAAGCAGTTGTGGTAATAAAAAAGGAATTGGGAAGCGGAAAGTCAAACACACGCGGAAGAAGAAGACGAAGGAGGAAGACAAAATTGTGATGCTCCGGCAATCACAAACAATGGAAACCGGGCAACGAATTAGTGAGGGTGAAATTTTTTTTTCTCGAGAAAAGTTGACGACGATAGAATTCTAGAAAAATTCTAGAAAACTCGAATTTGAAAGTCGTTGCGAGATAAATGCATTATTTCAAACCCAAGTTTCAATTTTTAGAAATGTTGGTATATTTTGAAGAAACTTATGGAAAGAGCACAAAATAAGATTTCGAATGATATATCAAATTAGATATTAAAATATGGTTTTGTTGGAATCGAGTTTTGAACAAACAAATCGAAGAAAGGTGCATTTCTTTTGCAATGACCTAATAGATCAGTGTCGTTTGAATAAAGCGAAACTGGCGAAATGAAGCAGAATAATGAGGAAGCGGCGAGCTTACTAACGAGCAGCTTTTATGATGTTCCTAACATCTGGTTGGAATAATGCAACATTTCAAACCAGATATACGAATTGTTGGTTGCGAACAGACGGGGGGAAGTGGGAGGAATTGGAGAGGTGTCGTTTCATTTGCGAATAGTGCCACACCCAAACCCAAAACGTAATGTAAAACGGAATAAAGCAATCTTTCTTTCTTTCTTTCATTTTTTTTTGGTTGAAAAGGCGGTGTTTACACACGAACAATAATTTGGCGCGTCGCCAGCGCGAGCAGCCAGCAGCAGCTGCGCATACCGTCAAATTATGATGGTCGATTGGCTCCGAAGACATTGTGCCGCGCCTGCAACGAGAAATATTTGGCAGTGCGTATCACCGTTGGTGGTGAGCAAATAGAAAAAATAAACGAGAAGAAGAGAAGGGCCGGTGGGGGGGATTATTATAACACGCATAGTTTAGATTAGATGAGTTTCTCAGATTGCATAGTTTGTGAGAAATGCAATATTTGAGAGGAATTTTGAAAGTGTTCCAAAAAGGGAATTTCGAACCATTGAAATAAAGGTGGGGCCTTGAAATTCGCGAAATTAGGATAGATTTAGGCTTATCGTTGACTGAATTGAATTTAATGCGCGTATGTTATGGTGCAATGTACGCAGTCTAGCGTACTTTTCGCTGCTTCGAGACGCATTGGCAAATAGCCAATATTTTTTTTGAATTTTTGTTCGGTCTACTGTAGATTTGGGTCTCACAACACAACTCTCGATTTATGAGCGGGGGTTTTTTACGCCACTTTATAATGTGACACATTATCCGTGTGGACTACACAACACGCACGTTTAGCCAATTTGTCGCAGTCGCTCAAAAAAAAAGTTGAAGCTCGATGAAGAAAAAAAAATTCGCAGAGGGATAGAAATTCGTACACACGCGCACACACTTTATAGTTTTAATTGAATTCTCTTCACCTCTTCGAAAAATTTTATGCAATGATTATAAGAGAAAATCGATAATTTGTGAAAAAAAAGATTCACGACAAGCCAAGCTTTTCGGTCTTTTTTTTAAGAAGAGAGAGGTTTTGATATGCGAAAAAAATTCTAGCGGCCGCTACCAATTTTCTCACGCTTTTATTTGCAGTTGTGCTTCTCAGTTGAATACGAATATTAATTTGACTAAGGCGAGATTTGTATTTTGGAGAAAATTTTTCTTTTCGAATGTGTCCCAAATATGGGTGGAAAGTGCTCGAAAAAAAGGAATGGATGATGATGAAAACAGAGTTGGCGCGGTGGTCGGCTTTCGACGTCTGACTTGAAGGCTCTCCTCGCCAAAAACATTATTTCTTTTTCTTTTTTTTTTGCATCGGCGACGTCGCGCAGCGTTTTTCCATCCGAAAATATGCACAAATCAATGGGTGGAAAACGAGAGGCGGCGCGCGGATTCGTTACTACCTTCGCAATGAGCTAAAGAGAAGCCTAAGAGGCGACCGACCGAACAGGGTGCTTCTCTTCACTTGCTTTCCTTTTGAGTGAACATTATGAATATTCAAATTTGTCGCACGGCACACGCACACACTTCAATATAAGTACGAGGCGAAATTATTATTATTGGCTTCAGAAACTCATTGCGGAGTGGCGATTGTTGAAATGAATAGAAGATCACAACAAAAAAGAAGCGAGCAATTCCATTAGAGTTGCATGGTTTTTTTCTCGGCATTTCTCCATTCATAGATAAACAGCAAAACAATGTGACGATATTTTTTTGCTCCCGGAATTCTCGTGAGAGATCGCTTTTGGATGATCATAGCAACTCGGGATCGAATCGGTTGAATTTGTTGTAATTGAATGTCACGTCGATGGGGGTTCGCACCAGGGCTGTGCGGCAATCGGAAATTTCGGCAATTCGGCAAATTGCCGAAAATCAAAATTTCGGCAATCCGGCAATTCGGCAAATTGCCGAAAATCAAAATTTCGGCAATCCGGCAATTCGGCAATTTGCCGAAAATCAAAATTTCGGCAATTCGGCAATTTGCCGAAAATCAAAATTTCGGCAATTCGGCAATTCGGCAATTTGCCGAAAATCAAAATTTCGGCTATTAAATGTTTTCAACGATAATTCGAAATATAAATACCGAATTTTCACGATATCCCAAATTATTCAATGGACATTGATTTTTGTTTCGCCGATTTTTTTTTGATATCAAATTGCCGAAAATCAAAATTTCGGCAATCCGGCAATTCGGCAATTTGCCGATCGAACGTTCTCTTCGGCAATTCGGCAATTCGGCAATTTGAAAAATCGGCAATTTCGGCAATTTCGGCAATCGGCAATTCCATTGCCGCACAGCCCTGGTTCGCACCACGGCTGTGCGGCAATGGAATTGCCGATTGCTGAAATTGCCGATTTTTCAAATTGCCGAATTGCCGAAGAGAACGTTCAATCGGCAAATTGCCGAATTGCCGGATTGCCGAAATTTTTATTTTCGGCAATTTGATGTCAAAAAAAAATCGGCGAAAGAAAAATCAATGTCCATTGAATAATTTGGGATACCGTGAAAATTCGTTATTTATATTTCGAATTATCGTTGAAAACATTTAATAGCCGAAATTTTGATTTTCGGCAAATTGCCGAAATTTTGATTTTCGGGAAATTGCCGAATTGCCGAAATTTCCGATTGCCGCACAGCCCTGGTTCGCACGTGTGGTCTATGAAAATGTTCTCAAAAATTCGCGGCCACACTTAATGGATTAATTAATTCCTGTGTTTAAGAAAACAAGCACCATGCGCCGATTTACGGTGAGAACTTCGCACGTTATCCGGAATACAGTACCCCTATTCCAACGGTTTACACATAATTTTTAAAAATTAGTCTGTTGTGTTGCACTTGCAGTTTGTCTCACAAGGGAGTCCTTTTTGCTGTCCGTCTTAAAAATTTTTTTATTTTTTTGCATACAGATTCTTTAGAATATTTCCAATCGAATGAACTTGGTCCCATTCTGCGCAAACTTTTAGTTATCGAGATATGGACCTTCAAAATTTTAGCCCCTCTCCACGTGAATTTTGCATATAAACTCGAAATGAAATAACGTGATGCCTTATCTCGCGTTTATATCCTAATTTGGCAAGCAGTTGTGGTTTAGTGGTGTGTAGGTTACGTTGTCTTGAAAACTTTCTTGCGTATTTTTTAATAGGTGATACAGTAATTATGAATGTGCAATTTTGCGTTTTTCTATTCAAATTTGCCATTTTCATCATATTTAAAGGTCATGTATAGGAAAAAAAATAGTTTCAAAAAAGTGTTCAAAAATTGAAACTGAAATTGGATTGATGAGAACGTTTCCCAATCGCATCACGTTATTTCATTTCGAGTTTCCGCCCATTTGTATTCCAAATTCACGTGGGGAGGAGCTAAAAATTTGAAGGTCCATATCTCGATACCTAGAAGTTTGCGCAGGTAGGGACTCATAATTTTTCATTGTCCCGTGTGTTTTTGTTCGCTATTTTTTTCAAGCATAATTTTTCGGCTTTCAGATCAAAATGACTAATAGGCGAATCCACCGAGGCTGAACAATAAGCATCGCTTCAGTTCTCTTCTTCTTTCTTTGTGTCCCGTCCGGAATGTACAAGGTACGATTACCTCCGGAAAGTCGTGAACAGTTTGCGCACCTTTAGCAGAGTTTGCGTAATTTTCAAAAAGTTAGCGGAATATCTGTGCCCGACTTTCCCGGGAGAGTGTAATATTGGAATTTGAATTTTTAATAAATGAATAAATATGATTTGTGTTTCAATTTTTTATTTTTAAAATATTTCTTGATCCAGAAAAAAGAAAGTCACCAATTGTGCAACATTCTCATCTCAATGCATTTTTCTACTTTGATAATCGTTTTTCTCTTTGCCTCTCTTAAAAGACCAATTGTTTTCAGGGCGAAGTGACGATGAACAAAGAAGATCATTCTGCAACTTCATTTTCATCTGTTGTAGTCGTTCAACTTCAACCGTCTTCGTCGGCATCCTGCGTCGGCGCCATCTGAAAGCCGCTTTTAAAGTTTTTTTTTTGTAACATCCAAGATACTTGAATTTATTTTTTTTTTTGAAATTCTGAAGTTACAAATGGTAACTCAAAGCCAATCGGATTCGACAAATTTCGACTCTGGAATCAACCTTATCAGATTTATGCAACAGAAATTTGACACTTAATCACCAATCTTAAAATTGACGGTTCTTTTTTTTTGGTAACAAATTGTCAAAAAAAAAATTCACAAGATGAAGCCGAAACTCAAATAAAAAAAATAATTCAAATTAAAAAATAACTGAAATTGGATTGAGAAAAGTGCTTAAATTCGATTTGAACACATGGCTTCGATTTAAAATTCTTCGAAACAAACTTGATTTATATTCGATTTCAATGGAAACTAAAATTATTTTCGAATCCGATTGATTTTCATTTTTTACCTTGTTAGGTTTTTTCCGAGCTTTCGTAGTTTCTTATAAATCTGCTAAATGTCGAGAGAAGAAACTGATTGAATTTTAATATTTAAAGATTAAATTTAAAGACCAATTTAAATTTTTCACCAAACCTGCATTGGAAAAATGTGTTATTAAAAAAACATTTTTTATTGTATGAATAGGTTCATTAATTTCAAAATATTTGTTTAAATTTCAAGTTTTAAAATATATTTTGATCTATCGAGTTTAAAAATAAAGCCGCCAATTTAGCGAAAGCAAGACTACAATGTAGCCGCCGATTTCAATTCTCATCTCAATCAATCAATACATTGTTTCTAGTTTGATCATCGTTTTTCTCTCTGCGTCTCTCAAAACACGCCATTCATTATTATCGTTGTCCTCCGTGTTGGTTTTTGCTCGTTTCGCACCGTTTATTTTTTGTCGACATCGATTTCCGGGTTTTCAGGGCGAACGAACGAAAGAGGAAGAATCTGCGACGTCGACGGCAATTCGATTTTCATTTTCTGTTGCCGTCGTTCAACTTCCATCGTCGTCTGAAAGCCGCCTGCGCGTCTACCCGGTAAGTCCCGATTTCGTTCTGCTGTGTTCCGCTTTTATTTTCGAATTCTGCGTTTCCCTGTGTGCTCCTAGATTTGTCATGGCTAGCGTGAAATATTCCTTATTAGGGGTTAGGGCCACCTTAGGAATGAGAGATTTCTGCGGACAAAACTTTCGATTCGAACAATCACATGGAATGGAGGCCGATCGATGGCGGAATCTCGACAACGAAATCTTCAACAAATGGATTTTAACAACTTTGTGGTATTTATTAGCATTTTTAATTAGCTTCTTAATTACTATTTCATTACTAGGTTTTAGCTTTTTGGATTTCTATTAAATTTCGCTATTATTTTAAGTTTTTATTACGAATTTTTAGATAATCAATAGAATTGTAACACATTTTCATATAGAATAACTGTTTCAATAATTAATTAGTTAATTATTTAATTTGTCGAGGAATATTTCACGCGTGTCGACGGAATTGCCCAACTCTCCCAAATTCTGCTTCCTTTAGCGACCAATTTGCGAGTTTTCTTCTCATTTTTCAATTTTTTGTTGAAGTTTTGCAATAAATGGTCTCGATTTACTGAATTTATTGAAACTGGCGTCGGATTTTCGAAGAATTCGCGAATTTTTCATGTTTTTTTTTTTAATTTTAAATTCGAAGTGCGCTGTTTTTCAATGAAATTTCGGCTTTCGATTATAAGAAAAAAATAATCTTGAAAAATATTTCGAAAATTTTAAAAAATCCTTCAAGAAAAAATCCAACATGTTTTAAATCTTCTAAATCAATTGAATAATTTTTTTGGGTTTTTGTCGATTTTTTTTTACAAGATTTTCGACTATTCTATACTCAAAATTGCTTCGATTATGCTTAATTAAGGTAAAATTTGACTTATACAAATTTTGATAATTGAGTTTCAGCGAAATTTTCGAATTTCAGAACGTTTCGTTGTTTTTATCTTATAGATAAAGAATTTAGGCAATTTAACGCTGATAATTAGGATAATTAAGCGTATTTTGGGTTAGGTTTGTCACAAATTATGTAATTTAAGCTATATTTGAGACTAATTTTGGTAGTTTCTAGTTTTAGCTTTAAAAAATAAGTCAACCTCTAGCATTTTACTGTAGATTGGATTACTGTAGATTTGTGCTAGTGGTTGCAAATTTCGGAAAATTGAAAAACTTGAACATGTTTCTGTTTAAGACCTCTTGTTACATCCACAGCAGTCCGATTTTTGATCTCAAAGCTTTTTGTTGTAAAGTCGAAAATTTTGCCAAAAAAATTTAGTTTCCAGGATGTCAGTGAATCAAAACTATTTATTGCAAAAAGTCAACAATAAATGAAGGAAAATTTTAGAAAACGGTCGTTAAAAGGAAGAGGCCTCATAAGGGAGGTCATTTTGGGTGTCATTGGCGATTTTTCTCTAAATTTTCTCTTATAATAATCTACGAAAAATTTTCTATCGACTGGTGTTATCCGCTCCATTTTTATGCGGGTTCGACCCCTTCCAACTTCAATTTTTTTGCTTTCATTATTCATTCATTAGAGTTATATTTTAAGCTTTTTGCTGAAAATCCGTCAATTAGTCAAAAAATTGATAATAATTTGAATTGCCAACTTTTGTGCATACTCTATTAGAACAATCGTAGTAAACAGAGAAACAAGAAATTATTTCGTTTTCATCTTCTTATATTTCATTGTCTAGTTTCATTAATACACACGTGAATCGTGGGATACAAAAATGGGCTAAAATGACTTTTAACAATAGTAACACTTCAGCTCTGTGACTTGAAATTTTATTTTGGAAATTGTAATTTTTTTTCAATTTTTGAGTTTCGCAATAAAAATAAAAAAAAATAATGATCGCAAAAAAATTGAAGTTGAGATGAGTCGAACCCACATAAAAATGTAGCGGATAACACCAGTCGATATAAAATATTTCGTAGATTATTATAAGAGAGAATTTAGAGAAAAATCGCCAAAGACACCTAAAATGACCTCCCTTATGAGAGGAGTTGGGGGAGTTCGTCGTCCAAGTCATGGAGAATCGGGGAGCACAATGGAAAACACAGAATTCGGAAATGAAAGGGGGTTGCAGGACGAAGTTGGGGCTAAAGATGGGTAGAGGCCGCGCATTCGAAGAAAGAATAGAGGGGGATTAGATTACTTTTGTTTCGAAATTTTGCGAAATGATCGTCTCTCCCATCTAGCGGCTCCTCGGATTTTTTCGTCGTCTCCTCCACCCCTCGTTTCCCGAGCCAAAATCGCAAAAAAGCGTAATGCACAAAACAGCCGAAAAATCGCCCTATTTTCGACCATTTTTGGGCAATTTGAATTTTGTTCGATTTTGCCAAAAATGGAAATTCGTAGTTTTTATGACCTCTCATTGTCAGTCGGGTGTCAATAAGAATTGCACAACAGTCGACGCAATTTTACGGACTGATAAGGAATACTGTAAGTGGACCGTGATGGCCTTTACAGTAATCCGTCTCAAACCATTACGTCAACTGAAATACAAGCTTAATAACCTTCGACTAAGAAATCAAACTACGAACTTCTCTTTGACCTTCGCTACGAGACCCGTTCTCTCAGATGAGCGTGTGACAGGAAACCACAAGTTTTGATCTACGATCTACCCAGCAACACTACAAATTAGAACTACCCGCTAAGCTACAAACGACCTTCTGGAACATCTCAATCGACGACAATTTGAAAAGAAATTGACTGAAATAGTGAAAAATTGATAAATTGCCGGCAACTGAGACACTCTGAACTTAATTTGACAATTATGAAAAATTATCGAAGCACGCCAATCACTGTGGAAATTTTTGGATTGAAAATAAATTGTTTGAGATTCGTATTGAGCGAAATTTATCTGAATTTTCTAAATGAAGATAAAATAAAATCGTTTAAAATTAAACAAAATTGGGCGAGAGTTCAAAAATTCACCGTTTTTGGTCAATTTTACCAACAAAATATCATAGGCTGAATAATTTCTTCACGAATTTGATTGGCGGCTGTCTGTTACTGGAATCTGAATCCATTCACGGATCACTAAATTAATAACCTGTACTCCCCCACCCCCAAATCTCGATTCCCATCAAAGTTCCTATTTTTAGGGCTATTGCGTCTTTTTTAAAAATTTCAATAAGGAAAAAAATATTGTAATTTGATAGAAAGTCGATTATTTTTAATTAAAATTTATGAGGATCTTCTCTTGGAAAAATAATGAACAAATGATCGCAATAGCCCGAAAACCATCGGAATTCTAAATACCCGCTTTTCTCACCTAAATCATCCAATCAATTAGAAAAATTAACCCGAATTTATTGAAACGTGGAATTTGGTTGAAAATGCATTTTTTTAACCATTGGAATGTCCTATATGAATTATCTATTGCGATTTTTTTTGTAAAATTTTTGTAAAAAAATTGATTTGTTAAATTAGCTGATAGAACTCTAGTAAAAAAATACACCTTTAAAATTATTTTAAGAAAACTCCACTCTTATAATTACCCTAAATTATCAAGCAGCTTAAACGGCAATGCGTAGAAAATAAAATAAAAAAATTGACAAAATTCTATTGCAGATCGAAAGAAAAAAGACGAAAAAAAAGGTTTTTTTTTTTCATTTTTAAATTTTCTCTGCCCCATTCGAGAAAATATAACCTCTGACACAAAATAAAAATCAGTAAGCTATCACAACCCTGATGATATTCCTACCAATCATTTCCTCAGTCCTTGTTGCTTTTTCCCCTCTAAGAATTAGATCTCAATCGAAGAATCTATATTATTCACCCAATTCTAAAAAACCCTCGAACTATTTTTATCTGAAGCATATAATTTTAAAATTTTCCAAAGCCGAAACCCCTTTAAAATCCCACCCATTTATTTCGCAAATGTTATCCCTAATTACTTTAATTACTCAAAACTAGAATCATCCGAAACAAAACGATTCCCGTAGCGAATTTCATCGTTAGGCAAAATCGAACAATATTCAAAAAGAGCAAAAATGGTCAAAAATTACGGGGTCATTTTCTTCAGCTGTTTTGTGCATCACATTTTTCTTGGATTTTGACTCGGGAAAAAGCAAAGAGATTCGGACACGACCAGGGAAATCCGAGGAGCCAAATGATGTGCTACCGATCAAGCCGCTTCCTGCCACTGCAAATAAAACTCTGAAAATGCCAGCTATTCAAAAAATGTATAAATTTTAATTATCTCACCTTCTGAGTTTTTTCGTCTACAGTCCACGACGAATTGGTTTCATATTGTTTTAAGTTCTAAAAAAAAAAGAAATTTATCGTCTAAATTTTGAAATAGTAACAAACCTTCGACACTCCACATGGGACCATCAGCGCCGTCGCCACGGTAGACTTGTTGAGGCACTACCTGAAAAAGGAAAAGTATTGTAAGAAGAAAACGGCACTAAATACAATAAATAAAACGATTTAAGTCATTCAAGAATGTTTCCTAAACGGAAAGTGAGCGAGAAATTACGAAGGACGCGAAAACAAATAATTAAAATACACAATAATCGCCGACGACGACAATTGTTGAGAATTGAATTTGCAAGAGACGCAGACATCAAAACATCAATCGATATTGACAATTCGATATTAAAATACATACAAAAATCAACGATTTCTCATCTGCGTAGGGCATTTTAGTTGTGCGCGTGTTTGCGTACACGGCATTTAACCCTACGCGCATAACAAAATAAAGGAAAAATCAAAAAGTGCAATCGATAACCGAGTAAAAGAGATCAGTAGGTTAGATACGATTCTTTTTAGAGAAAAAAAATTATTGGGTTTATTCATTCGTCAGTCACGGTTATCGGGAAACGCTTATTGACCAAGTTTGGTGAAAATTTCCAAGACCAGGAGTACTGTAGCTACAGTAACCCGAAATCGTGAATATTGATCCGATCGATCTGAAAGTTGGTTCATTGACTAAATCGAATGCTGAATTTTTAAAAAATATTTTCATTACCGTAACCCGATTACTGTAACTACTGTAAGCCAAAATTTTCAAAAATCACCCGCTTGTAAAGCCAATTATTTTATGAAACAATTACTTCTGTTCGAACGAACAACCATAAAACTCCAGAAATCCCACCTCCGGTTTAACGATTCATTCGTCAGTAACCGTACTAATAATTGGCCGCGCCACTGATTTAGTCTGGATGCACACAAAGTGTCGGGTCATCGCCTTGCTCGACTTCGAGAAGAACACGCTCGTCACGAATCAGACAGCGAATGACTCTCTCACAGACCGTCTTGTGCACGAGGTAATCCTCTTCCGAACCAAGGTCCTCCTCAATGGTGTTGAGATACCAATCGATCATCTCGCTCTGCTTCACACCTCCATAATAATCATCGCCGAGTTTGTCTTCGTCGGCTCTCATATGAAGAATGAGCACATCCGACATTTTCATGTAATCCTCATATTTTAATTTCAGTTTGGCTAGGTCGATCAAAATTCGGCAATTGTGAATTTTTAACAAACTCAGTAATAATTGCCTTAGGCTTCAGATTCTCTGCATCCTCTCTATCATGCTCCATTCGTTCTTCCTCATTCTCTTGGATCGCTTCCACAACGACAATATCTTTGTCGAAATCATCATCTTCAAGATCAACATCCGCTTTCTCCACTCTAAAATAAAAAAAAACGATGCTCTCATTTTTATTCAAAATAAATATATTAAAAACCAAACCTAACAATCGACTTGTTGAGCAGTTTCGCTGCCTGATTCACATGCTCAGCTTTCACCTCGCGACCGCAATGAAGTCTCGCAAGAGCCTCGAAGAGTCGCACAAACGATTCAAGTTGTCGAACAGTGATTCTCCATGACGAAGTTGCCGCATTATTGCTGTCCGACACGAACCTTTTAATATTCGCGAACGAGTTCGGCAGCAGCCTAAAAAAAGCGGAACCATTTTCTTGAAGCATCTCGCAAAAGCGACATATGTACTTCTTGATATCGTCAATTTTGTAAGGCGTCGCGCGCGGCACGTACTCATTAATCGCTCGATGATTATCAAGAATTCTCCGCGCGATCGCATAATCGGTGACCTCATTGCACTCATCGACAAGCACAAAGAACAAATCGAAACGCTACATAATCGGCGCCGACATTTGCACATTGTGTTTGAGCGGTTTCGATCGATCGTACCTTCCACCGACGGGATTCGCAGCGGCAAGATCGAGGCACGAGCGTTAAGCGTCGCTTTCACATCGGCCTGAATTTCGCCCGAATGAAAAATCTCAGTGATTATTACTAGTCAAACCTTTGTGATCGAGATCGTTTGCAGCTCCATAGCCTCATGAATCATGAAAGCCTCATGAAAGCCATCATGATCATGAAAGCCTCATGAAGCCACCTGATCCTTCTGATCCATTTTGTCAAACTCATCAATACAGCAAACTCCATTATTCGCAAGCATCAACGCTCCAGCTTCAATGACAAATTCAAAACTCTTGGTCTTTCACAACAGCAGCCGTCAATCCAGCAGCAGACGACGCCTTTCCGGTTGTGTAAATCGCGCGGGAGCTGAATTCCTCGATGGTCCTTTAAAAATCAATCAAATTGCGATTTCAAAACCAAAATTTCCTCGTACTTTAAAACTTGCGATTTCGCTGCCGATGGGTCGCCAATCAAACACACATTAATATCACCACGAAGTGCGGTTCCCTCGTGTTTTCTCTTCTTCAGAACACCTCCAAGAAATATCAAAAGAACACCGAGTTCGAAAAAAACTTTCGAAAGAAAACCAAAAATTTCGAAAGAAAACTGAAAAATTGAGCGACAAAAATGAATATAAATACGAAATTTAAAAGTCCCCGTAAATCGCTGCGAGGATTACGGTAACTGTCTCTTAATATTGCGTACAAAACGTAGGATCCTACGACACCTGGGTACATTTGTCATTTTTCAACAATATTTTTTCTTTTTAAATTTTCTCTGCATTGGAGGCCTTTCAACCTTTTCCTCATAAACAAGCGACAAGTCCGTATTTTTTATTTCTCATTTAAATTCATTTCAGTCTATCATTCGTCTATCATAGTGTGTCGAGACATCAACTGTCCAATTTGTATGAAAAACACCTAGGTTCTCTATTATTTTGTGAACAATTTGCCAAACTTGACAATTTCAAAGATTTTTGAAACATTGACATTTTCATTATTGACAATACTAGGCGAGTATCGTAGATTTGCATATTTATGACGAATTTTTGTATGAATCACATTTGCAATCTTATCTCCGACAATGATATCATTCTTCCCATTTATTACAAAAATTTGCATGGTTGAATGGCAAAATTGATCGATCAAATGTCTGTTTTTTTTGTCGGTCTTGTGTTGGTTTTTATTTGATTTTTTCGTCTCTTCTCAATTTCTGTTTATTCATTCACGTTTCATGTGTACACTCGCAATTTTTTGACCTTTATTTATGTGTTCAAACGATCGCTTCGTCGGTGTTGCTTAGCAATCGACGACCGTCAACAAAATACGAGTTTGCTTTGTATGTATGCCTAACACACTCTCCTTTTGCCACACTATGTCACGCGCATGACGTTTCGACGAAGATTGCGAAATGTTGTGCAATAGTAGGCGGCGTCCGGTTTTGGTCGAAATTCTCCTTCATTTTGTTGTGATTCGTGCGCAGGCTTCGTGGTTTTTCCTTATTATTTCTTTCAAATGGCTTATATAAGGATTTTGTTTGCAGAAAGGGACCAAACAAAGGTCCCCGCCGACCACAACTCACCTCTACAGAAGAGACCAATTGAATACAGAGTGCACGCTTTACCTAGAAAGGTTTGATTTTGAATTTTGTTGAAATTCTATATGTATACGCATAATACGTATATTCTCAAAGTCGCGCGACTGCAGATGGCGCGTTGTGTGTATTGCCCGTGTGGATCAGTGTGAGCGCTTGACCGATGAGAATTATGAGCGCCATTTTGTACAAAATTTTTCGTAGATTCCGAATTTGCTTTTAACGCAAAAATGAGCTGCGTTGTTAGAACTTTTCCTAAGCAGTAAATGAAAAAATATATAGGTCATCGCTCTCTTCCGTTTAGAATGTTACCGCGACGATCTCAATAATATGATCAATAACTGTATTCGTTTTTAGGAAGCGACTATACATTTGAACAGCCCGCGGCTCGTTTGTCACTAGACTTTGACGATCTACCAAACGATTTCTTCACATCATCATGCAACTCATTTCAAGCGACCAATCCACTTGTAAGATGTTTGACCAATACTACTTCGCCGATGCTGAGGCTGAGTACGGAAATGGTAACAAACGAACATGGCCAATTCCCTAGCAAAATGTGAACTTGCAGCCGACAACCGTCGGGTTTTCGACTTGGCCTCCAACGCCGCCACTTCCCCCGCTGGCTCGAGCTCCACCATCGGATCCGGGCGACCATCCCCAGCACCTGCGCCGTCAGACCCACAACCTCAACAGTCTATCGCGAGAGTTCGAGTCTGCGGATACCGAGTTAATTGTGCTTCAGCAAAACGATTGCGTGAAATTTCCCACTTCGAAAATTATGAGCCGACGTCTTCATTTGAACGAGGAAGCGTCGAGCTCTATGATGAACTATGAAATTGAAAGTCACTATGATGACTACTTCTATGGTTACCAAACGAATACTTCTTCCGATCACCAAAACGACTTATCAACGTCGTCAATCGACAATTTTACGCCTGATCTCCAGGAGATGGACGCGTTAATGAGCTGCGATATACGCTCGCTCGATGAGTTTATTCATGACGACAAGTCCGACTCCACTTATCTCAATGATGTCTCGGATAGCAGTAGCAGCCAGTTCAGCCCCGATTCTGATGCGGATCTAATTGGAGAGTTCTTCCCACAATATTCACATCAGAATAAAAGTCAGAAATCAAATAGTATGAATAAATTTAATTTTGCAATTTCAGGTCCGTCATCATCATCGCGAAAATTTTCGACATGTTCTTCATCCGATGCCTCGGATTACCGCCTAAAGCGTGATAAAAACAATATTTCGTCTCAAAAATCTCGTGCCAAACGACAAGCTGTTATTCAAGCGCTGCGCGAAGAGAAAGAAATACTTGAGCGAAAGAAGGTTGAGCTTACTACATTGGTGGGAACTCTTGAGGCGCAAGTTGAGGATTATAAACGAATGGTGATGATGTTTGTTAAAGAATAATCTGGCTTTGCTTTTTTCTGCTCCTCTGACTTTTATTGTTTTATTGTTCTTTCTCTCAATACTATTTATTTTTGTGTGTTTTTTTAGTGTATAGCTTATTTCCTGTCAGTTTCTCTGGTAACTCAAAACAAATCGGGCTCGAACGGATCCGACAAAATTACCTATTGGATCCGAAAATACCCAAAAAAAACCAATCGTGTCCGACACCTTATCAATCTTATCCGTAGAATTTCCAGTCGGATCATTATGATTCCGGAATCGAATTTTGTCCGATCCGATTTGTTTTGAGTTTGTTTTAAAATCAGAAGTTTCATAATATTGTAGAGTATAGTTTTAATAAAAATACAATATATTCGACTTAAAACCCTACAATTTCAGGTTTTCAAATGGTTTCTGTTTTAAGATTCTAGACAAATTTTTTTACCCCAATAGTTTCTGCTCAAATTGATCCCATATGATACCCAAAATAAATCAAATTATCGGTAGAACTTTCAAAGGATGCGGGGTAACCTATTAAAAACACAAAGTTAAGACCAGATATGGAATCAGCCAGAGAAAATCGATCGTGACCTTTGTAACTCAGAACAAATCGGATCCGACAAAATCGGGTTCCGCATTCAACGCGACCCGATTGGAAATTCTACGGGTAAAATGGTATTGCTGACGCCGCGCAACTGCGGAAGATTTGCTAAATGCCAAAAAAAAACAATGGCAGTGGTCTTGGCGCAAAACTAATAGTGCAGAATTTGAAAAATTACGGCATTAGTATAAGGATAGTTTAAAGGCGCACACCGCGCACCGAGACATTTTCTTAAATTTTTTGGCATTTAGCCAATTTACCGCAGTCGCGCGGCTTCGACCATAAAATTATCGGATACGATTGGTTTTTTGGGTATTTTCGGCTCCAATTGCTAATTTTGTCGGATCCGTTTTGTTATAATTTTTTCAGGGTTGTTAAATTTTGGGCCCGCGATTCGGCCCCCGATTCCGTTGTTTACGGCCGCACGGCCGAAGCGGGAATTCAAAAAAAAAAAACCGAAAGCCGGGCAGGCCGGCCGGCTTTCGGCCCCGGCTTCAATTTACCAACCCTGAATTTTTTATATAATTTTGGCGCCATGGTCTTATGATCATTTTCGATTTGATTACATGTGCTTTTATTTCCAAATATTATCGTTTTCTGGCGGGTCGGTAAACTTTTTAGCCCAAAACTATGAATAGTTATTTCGAAAATTATAAAAATCGTCATTTGTGAATCTGTCGTAACTGGGCTTAGTGCTAGAAGTATTATAACCTAAAAAAACCTTCTGTTGACTTTTTTTTGAAATTAAAAAAAAATATGTACCAAGAAATGCCAAAAACGGGGCGATCTCGCCAATTTGATTCAAAACGTCTGGTGAAATGCAGTCAAACCATGATGTTAATGGTCCAGAGTTGATCGAATTCTTTATTTGCGATGCGCTGAATTCTTGGCTGAAAAAAGTGTCGGATAGGTTTTCAGAGAGCGACTACTAATTTTCAGACTCATTTATTTCGACCTCGACTCCAATTAGTTCTTGATGACGGAGCATTTGATCGGAGTATGGAATATCTAGAAACTTGCATATTCTTTCCACTTCCTCTTTCGGTTTTTGAATAAGTCTTTCATAATAAACTTTTAGGCATAAACCCGCCGATGTTTCGCATTGAAAATACATTTTTTGAATTTCCTGATTCCATTTTCGAAACATTTGCTGAAATTAAGTATTCAAATTCAATTGAAAATAAAAAAACTCACAATTTCGTTGGATGTGTTGTATCCAGCAACAGGCACCTTTCTCTCAATCATTGAATGGATTATAGCACGTGCATCTCTAGATGAATAGTTTAAAGATAATCAATTCTGTTGAAAAACCTTATCATCAGGAGATATTTCGCATTCGGAAACAATCTACGTAAAGTTGGAAGCCATAATGCAGTATACGGGTCTTTATTGCATAGCCTAGGCGCCATTTCTCCGTGTTTTCCGATAATCTTCAATAAATTTTTCTCATTTTACGGAAAAAATTTGCAGTCAAACCTCTGTGATGAAAGCCGAAGAGGCATCATCGAAGACTTGCTGCGTGATCCCCGAATTATTCGTCCATTCGCTCAATCGCCAACCTCGTTGCCAAGTTAGAAAATTTGGAAGCAACATCGTTTCGCCCCCACTGAAATCGAATTCGACTAAATTTCATCGTATATGATGTATGACTTGCCATCGAACGTCCGGATGAGCATCAAGCATGGCTCTCATCAGAGTTGTTCCACTACGCGGGATGCCACCTAAACATCGCATTCATATTTTTATGCGTTTATTAATTGAAAACCAATAAATATAAATTCCTCATTATTTGAAAGGATTCTTCGGGATTTTCTGCCATCACCGACGTCATATTTAATCACTTCGGTTGCCAATTTCAACTGCGACAATTCGCGATGAAGACGTTGACTAAATAAACGCAACTAATATTTGAAAAATGTTGTTCAATTTTTGGAAATAAGCAAAAATTTAAAGCTCACCACTTGGAAAATAACAATAATATAACGATTATTGAAGCAAAAATAAAGAAAATTTGTGCAAAACCCTGTACTGAATTATAATTTATGCGCCGGTTCATTTTTCAAATTCAAATCTGACTTCATCGCATGGATTGGACAATTCGCCATGTTTGCTCAACTGGATTTTAATTTTGAATACAAAAGTCGGTAATCACTTTTCGCTCAATTTCTGATTCATCATCGTCATCATGTGAAAGCAATTAATCAACTAGAGCACATGACTCTATCGATGCTTCTCCAATTTCACATAAACATTGAATTCAACGAAAATGCTGCCTCAAAATTATTTACTGTTGTTTGCAATCTTTTTGATTGTCGAATCGCAAATACCACAAGTAAGTGCATAATGAAACAATGTGGCCAGTCAAAAAATGTTTCGGTTGAGTTTTTTAATAGCTATGCTCAATTAATTATTTTGAACTTAAATTTTAAAGGATGTGATTAAAAAATTGAAAAAGGCGAAGACGATCAAAGAATTAATCAATCATATGCACGTCATGTATCATCCGGAGCTCACGAATCGCCACATCGAAAAAGACATTCCGCCAACAGCGCGTAATTTTCGGGCGTTGATTGCCAACGCCAATCGATAACTACTTGCAGAGCCGGTTCAATTACTCGCGAGTTCTATCCACTCAAAATCAAACGTCGATTCTTCCGGACTAACATATGATATGGACGGTAATCGACTTGCTCTTGCAAAATTGACGATCCTTCAAAATTCAAGATCACACTTTTGGCCATTTGCAAAATATTAACGAAATTCGTCAAGGAAATGATACGTGCAAATTGCAATCAGTTTGTGTTCCAATCCCCCAAATCTCCGACGACCCGCAGGTTGTCATTTACCCAAGATGCTACGAGGTGTTGAATTTTCAAAATTGCCTCTCAAATTAATTAAATTTTTAATTGAAAGGTGGACCAATGCGTTGGAAGTTGCTGCGACGCAGTCGAATCTTGCCATCCGCACACAGTGAATCTAGTCAAAAAATCGGTAGCGATAAAATCTCAAAAAAACTAACTAATGCAAATATATTTTTAAGATCGTCGAGCTTGTTTACATTGGTAACAATCGATTTATGATAAACACGACTAAGGAAATAACAATGGAAGAGCACACCTCATGCTCATGCTTCGATTGCGGAGCGAACGTAACATCGAACATTTCCAAATAATTCAGTTCGAATCAATTTCTAGACGCCATCCTGTCCGCCAGGATTCAAAGTTGGTCGATCTTGCAAATGCGAATGCGAAAATAAAGACAAAAGAAATGATTGTGTTGGTAAGTCATTAATTAAACAATGGAAATCGTCTTTCTGGTCTTTAGACGAAAACGGCGAACAAATTTTGGGAACAGTGGTTATTATCGACTAACACTTAAACTCTAATCAACTACTAATAAAATAAATCATCGTTTTAAATTTATTTTCCGTTTTATCAACAGAAAAATTGTAGGTGCCGAAGTTTGGAACCCCGATTTGTGCAAATGTCAGTGCGACTTGAAATGCACTTCGAAGAATTTTGTGCTAAATGAGAAGAGTTGCGAATGTGTCAAGAAAAGAAAACATGGCCTTCATCATCACAGACACCACGGAGTAGTAATTAGCATAATTATTTGAGTATTGAAACAATATACCTGATTTCAGCACTCTTCTCGCTCGCATCCTATTCCAAAAGAGGAAATAGCAAAAATCGATAAACTTAAGGTCGGTCGCATCGGTTTCAATTGAAAAAAAATATATAATTAATCACAACTTTATTATTATATAACAATACACAAAAAATAAATACATATTAGAATTCAAATTGTGGTGGAGTGTCAAAATACCAGTATCGGAAGCACGTGGTTCTAAATCCTTTAAGGATTTGTGAGATTTTCAAAATATTGGGCCGGTTCACGCTTAAAAAAGAAAAATAAAAGGTATTTAATAAAATGCAAAAATTGAAACGAACAAGCACAGGGTAAACACGAAAAATTATACTAAGAGAATTAATGCTTGAAAGACAATACCCATGAGTGGAAAATAAAAGAAGAGAAATTATAATTTTTGAAAGGAAAGGTTAAAACTGAACCATCCTGAGACACTGATTAGGCACCTAATAAGTTAAGTTATAACATATAATATAATTTTATGAGAGATGGATTCGAACTTCTTCGATTTCATCCTCATCCCCGTCTATATCTTCAATGGTACATGATTTCGAATCTATTGAAACAGGATCATCGTACAACACAGATTGTTCCATACAGCTTCCGTGAGCAGGCACTTTTGGTGCCAATTCCGCGTCGAGCTTACTAATCGGCGGTTTTGGATCAAAGGTTTTATCCTTCCGAGGCTTCATCGTCATGTAATCGTCGTCATTGATAACGGGAGTGAGTTCGGTTGTACCGACAAGGAACCGCCCTTCCGCTCCTGTTCGAATCGCGGCACTGATATTCTCGTCGAGCGACGCCCTCCAATCATCGGTTTCTCTGAAATCATCCCTTAAAAGATTGCAATCCGTCTATCAAGTTACCTTAATCCAGTTAAGGCTCCATTATAACCTCGTTCGCTCTTCCGATCGGTTTGCCTCACACGATTAACAGCTCCGAAGTCCGACAAATCGTCTCTGCTACTCTTCATTCCCTCATTTCTCCGTCCTTTCGCGCTTCCGCACACCGACGGCGATCGCGATTCGTTCTGCCGATGGAACGGAGCATTCGAAAATGGTCGCACTTGAACGGTCGGACGATTCGCGTTTTCTCCTCGATATCCTCGTGGCGGAAGAGGTGGCGGATCAACGACTGGCATCAACACTCGCGTGTTTCTCATGTGTGGCACATCGCAATGCGCGCCATATTTCGGATCCCGATTCCGTTTGCAAGAACGACATAGAATCGAGACGCAAAATATGACAATCGCCAAGAACAAAACCGCAACGACGACAATGGCTACCTCAATTTTCCATAGAATCGCCATCACCTTCGTGATTAATCCAGGAGTATCTGAAAAATTATAACTCACTATCAAATTGCCAAGTTCGAATTAATAATCCTACCTGGACACGACGTCGTTAATAGAGTTCCTCCGGTGCAATTACATATGAAGCCCGTGCTCTGCGGATTATTTATTGGAATGCATTTGCCGTTCCCACACTTGTCTTTAGTGCACACCGAATCAATATCTAAAAAGGGCTAGTTTGAGTGAAAATGAAATGGATAGCGAAACGCCAACCATTGAATCCGCGCGACTCGCAATGTTTGCCAGTGAAGCCGTCCGGACACTTGCACAAAAAGTCATTCGAGTATGGAATACATTGAATTCCTTGCGGGCATGGATGTGAAGCACACGGCTCTTGGTCAATTTCGCATCGATCGCCCGTGTATCGCGGCTGACAGAGACATCTAGAAAATTGTTCAAGTCGACATAGGATTTGAGAAAAATGAGGAAACATACGTGAATTGTCGTCCGGTGGCCACACACGTTCCGCCATTCCCACAAGGCATTTCGATGCACGGCGATGACGTCAACGCCGTACATCCCGGCAATGCGCCATACAGTCGAAGTCCTTGACGTGTTTTTGGAACTTTGCGCCCATCCACCGAGATCGTTTTGAAGCACGCCGAAACGCCATGCGAAACCGATTTCTGGCCATCGATACTCATATCTTCGACTTTCGCGCCGAATATCAATTTTTGTGAATAACGGTGAAGATTGATAACCGATGATCCTAATGGACTAAACGCTTCTTGAACATCAGTTTCATCAACCGTGATTCGCGTTCGTCGCTGTCGCCGCGAAACAGAAACTTTGTGCCATTTGCCGTCGGCGATCGTCGTTCTCGATCGAACAACTCCTTGACCGGATCCGGCATCCCAAGTGTACTCCACGAATCCGTCAACGATCTAAATCCCATGTATTAAATGCAAATCGAATGAATAAAAATATACCGCCATCATGTGATAATCCGAATTGGCCGCAGCCCACATCACGACACCGTTTGTGGATGTTGTCTTGATTTCGATTTCAACTTCCATTCGTGTCTCAATCTCATTCGACAGCGACATTTCAAAATAGCCATCGCCGCCGACAGACAGCTCCGCCTCCTCAAGACATCGGCCATAGCTATTGCATGCGGGCCGTTCACATCGCTCGCCTTCCATTCCAAGAGGACAAGCGCATTCATATCCCCTTTCAGAATCATCAAGAAGCGGAATGCACATTTGCCAATCCTTGCACGGCGACCGTGAACAACTGTTGATCTCAAGTTCACAGCGGGTTCCAGCATATCTGAAAAATGAGAGAAACTGGTCTTTAGTTAAATCATTCGATATATGCATACCCATCGGGACAGAGACATTGCGCCGCTCGTATGTGATGCGGCGAAACGAACGCCACCTGATTGGTGCTGGTCCGCGTCCATTTGTCTTCAAGCAGATCGATTCTCTCGCGACACTCCCCTCTTTGGCATATTCCTGTCGTACACATTTCCGTAATCAGTTGATACCGCTGCAAATTCCCATCATTGATTATGATTTACGATTAAAATTGCGTTCCACTCACCATTCCGACACTTTGATCTTGAATACTTTGAAATTCGCTCTTAAGCCTTGAATATATATGATCCGGCTTTACGAACCCTCGTCCATGCCCTCTTTGCGCCGTCAACAGGATCTCAACATCTTTGGACGTCGACCGGCGTGCACGCTTCTTGTCGTCCGCGTCCACTTCTTGTATGCTGATTAACTGGATGCTATCAGGCTGAACGTTGAGATGAGTAGCAAGAACACTTCGGAACGTTGCTTCGTGTGCTGCCATAAATTCGGACACTGTCATATCACGCACACGAATCGCGACGGCGTGCTCAATGATGTCCGGATCAACAGAGGTGACAATCACCTCAACATAGCTGAGCGTGTTGAATTTCCCATCAGTAACTGTCACGTTGAATGTGTGAAGACCTGCCGTGATGGAATGATCCGACCAAATTTCTCCACTCGTTGGATCAACACGGAACGTGTGTGGTCTCGATGATGAAACAATCGGTCTCGGATTTTCAGCCGTCGGTAGTGGACCTCTCACGCTATCATCGACGAGGCCGTATCGAAGAAGATCGCCAGAATCCTGATCATGTGCGCTCAATCTTCCGATGATTCCGGCCGCCAGCTCATTCTGTAGGGTGTTTACTCGAATCCTAAGCATGTTCATGGTAGGCGCATGCTTGCTCTCTTCTTTAACCCAAATCGTAAGTGGACATTCGGTTGCGAGACCTTTCGCATCCTTCGCGACAGCCATCAGAATAAAGCGGTCCTTTTTGGCGTGGTGGAGTTTCGAGTTGGTGACAACGTGCATGTTCTCATCAACTTTAAACGACTTCGATCCTTCGCCTCTCAATTCGAACTTGAACGGACCGCCATTTCCAGGACCATCGGCATCTCGTACCACCATGTTGAGCACTGTATGCCCGAGTTTAGCGCCTTCTTGTACAACTGCCGTCATATTGCAATCATCGAAAACCGGAGCATTATCATTCTCATCATCGATATCGATTTCAACGGCGACCGTCGAGGACAATGCCGGCATGCCGCCATCCTTTCCTTCAACCTTGAATTTATAATTCGCCACCGTTTCATAATCAATCGTCCCGTTGACCACAATCCATCCATCATCTCCAATCGCAAATGGAACTTTTTGATCAGAAATCGAATAAGACACCCTTCCGAAGTGTTCGCTGTCCTTATCGTTCGCTTTCACCATCAAAACTCTCGATCCGATCTTCGCATTCTCTTTCACTTTTCCAACATATTTGAGCTTCTCGAACACTGGCGCATTATCGTTCTCATCCATTACAATAATTTCAATCTTCGCTTCGGCGACAAGCGGCGGAGTTCCAGAATCAATAGCCTCCACGACGAGTTCAATTTTCTGCACTTCCTCGAAATCCAATCCTTGAGCCAGAGTTAGCGTTCCAGTATTGCGATCCAATTGGACAAATCTTGACGACGTCTTTAAGCGGTATTCAACTGTCTCGTTGACATCTCCATCAATCGCTCGAACCTTGGCGAGTTCGTATCCAACCGATTCGGATTCCATCACCTTCATCGAATAGCTTCTCTTCTCAAAAACTGGCGGATTGTCGTTTAGATCAGCAACCGACACAAATATAACCGCCTTGTCCTCAAACTTTCCGTCCGTTGCAACAATATCCACAACGTATTCTTCCTTGGTTTCACGATCCAATTCCTTAACAACCGTGACGACACCGCTGTTATCGTCGATTCGGAAAATTCCAAAATCATTGATAATTCGATATTTCACAACGGAATCCACATCACTAGCTTCCACTTTGACGAGAAATTGTCGATCATCATCGCTCGCCTTTTGATTCTCTTTCATCGTTACATTGTACTTCTTCTTGACGAACACCGGACCATTGTCATTCTCATCAAGCACCTCGACTTCAATTTTCTCTTCGCACACAAGCTTCTTGTTTACTGTCAGGCTTCGAGTTATTTCGAATATTTCTTGTTGCTCGTAGTCAATCGAATCCTTCACTTTGATCACACCATTGCGGTAATTGATAACGAATGGCACTGGTGTTTCTGATTTCAACGCGAAGATTGCGCCTGGAGTCGACATATTGCTTTCCGGAACGACCAGAGTCCCTTTCTTTGAATTCTCCGGAATCTTGACATTGATCACTTCGGTTGGACATTTTGGCGCATCCTTTTTCATGACATTGATGGTCAATTTTGCCGTTCTTGCGAAAACTCCATCGAACGCAGTGATAACGAGATCATGGCTATCCTTCAATGCAACTAGCTCGGGACGTTGAACCTTGATCGATCTTCCGTCGATGGCAAATACACCTTCTTCGTTTCCAAGCGAAATGTAAAGCTTTGCATCGTTGTTTGGCGGTAGGTCTGCATCTGTGATAACAACGTCAAGAATAGAAGAATTCGAAAGTGGAATTGATGGGTCCAATTCGACAGTGTATGTCTCTTTGTCGAATATCGGGGGAGAATCATTGACATCCATGACGAGAACAGTGAACTTCAAATCCGTATTCAAGCCTCCCTCATCAGTGGCCCTCGCGACAAGTTCATATTTCTCCTGTTTCTCTCTATCCAGAGTCGATCCAACCGTCAGCCAACCAGAATCGGGGTTCATCACAAATTGCGCAATCTCTTCAAGCAGTGTGAAACGAATTTTTCCACTCGGCGCTTCGTCGCGATCAGTGGCCGAGAATATCGCAACACTTGTTCCGATAGGAGCATCTTCCGAAATGGTCAGTCGGTCGTAATCGCCTTGAAAAGCTGGTGCATTATCATTGACATCGGCAACATCGACCGTCACTGTGGTAACTGTGTGAACACCACCGGCCGCGTCAGCACGAATCGCCATTCGCCATTGTTTCGTCTTCTCACGATCCAACGCGGCACGGACGATAATCTTTCCAGTTGATCGCTCAACGCTGAACGGCAATTCAGGAACACCCTCAGCAATTGTGAAGCGAACTTCTCCAACATCTGAAAAATTCGCGGTTTATTATTTGATTATGTCAAATTACCATTATCGACTTGTTGAACCCGTCCAATGACATTTCCAATCGCCTCATCCTCAGATACCGAGAACACATAGTGGCTGTTGGAAAACCTCGGAACCGGGGTGCCTTCGGGAGCGACATTAATTTCAACAGTTGTCGTTGCGTGGTGAGGCGGATTCGCTGCATCAGTAGCCTTGATCGTCAATGGGAAAGTTCTTCCAGCTTTGTGTTCGAGCTTTTTCGCGACGGTCACAGTTCCTTGCTTCGGATGAACGCTGAACAATGCGGCATCGCCGTCATCAACAAGTGAGTATTCGATCTTCAATAGCAAAATAGATAAGAAATTTGAATTGAATTGAATTCATACTGTATCATGTTCATCGTCGTCAATCGCCGAGACCATGAGAACCGTATCGCCTTCTTTTGCCGTCTCAGACATCGAGCACGCATACGATGAGAGAACAAATACGGGAGGCTTGTCGTTAATATCGATCACCGAAAGCGTTAAAGTTGCGAATGATCGTCTTCCTGCCGCATCTTCAGCAACCAGTGGGATCCTTAACATCAACACCTATTAATTTGATGAAAATTATTATTTCTTACTGATAGGATCGATCATGATGATAATTGAGAACTCGCGATGAGTGAATCCTTCCAGTGTTCTTGTCAATTCTCACAGGCCAGGATCCTCGAGCAGTTGGAGAGTGCGAGGCGGGACCGAGTGAGTAGCGAATCGGTGGAATTCCATCGCGCGCAAATACTGTCAGCAATGCTGATTTGTTAGCAGGTCTTAAAGCATCACCGTTAGAATTTCAACCAACAAAAACTAATGCATACGTGTTCTCTAAAGCGCTCGCGACATATTGCGATTGTTCAAACCTTGGTGGCAATTGGCGTTTCCCGCTGTTTTTGATCTACAACATTTTTAAATGAGCGAGAAACGAATGAAAAAGATTCTACCTCAACAGAAAGCTGCGCGTACGATGTATAGATTCCATCGGTCACTGAGACATTCAAATTCTTCACATTTCTGTCTGCCACGTCCTCATTCTCAATCAATCTAGCAAGAGTGACTTCGCCATTCGATGAATTAATATCGAACAACGTCTCGTCGCCATCCACAATTTTGTAGAGAAGCTTCTCATCTTCAGCAAGAGAAGAAACCGTGTCAAGATCGACAACGCTGAGAATCGTGACGAATTGTCCGGGAATCGCGGCATCATCGACTTGAGCACTGACAAACGGTGTGATGAATTTCGGCATTTCGTCATTCACATCATCGACATAGAACGTCAAAGCGGCTTCCGATTGGACTTGCCTTCGATCCGAAGCGATCACTACGAGATCGTGACGTTGTTGAACCTCAAAATCTAATCCTTTGGCGAGTCGCACATCTCCAGTATCCATATCAATTGAGAAAAAGCTGGAATCATCTCCTCGAATCGCATAACTGACATCCTCTCCCGCATAGATCGACATGAGCTGCTCACCGACAGCAGTCGATTCGGGCACATGAGATGAGTATTCCTTTCGACTGAAGAGTGGAGCATCCTTGTTAACCGGCTTCAGTTTCAGTTGCACACTCGCGTGTGCTTTAAGCTTCGGTTTCGTCGACTCAACAGCTTCAACCGTCATTCCAACGTCCTTCTTCAACTTTCTTGGATCTTTCGCCAAACGAATCTCTCCCGAAGACCAATCAATAGCAAACATCTTCGATGGATCATCCAGTCTATATCCAATCATTCCATCTTTTGAATTACTTTGCGCAGAAACCTAAAAATTGCTCAAATTTTCAATGGTGTTTCAAAAATTGTCCTACCTTCAAAACCACATCATTCTTCTTCAATTTTTGCGGAAGAACAACGGAATACTCTTGCTGCTCGAAAACCGGCTGAGCTCGATCAACAACGCGTATTTTGACATGCTCTTTCGATTTCAACGTCGGCTTTCCACCATCTTCAGCTTCAACATCAAACTCGAGCACCATTGGATAAGTAATCGTCTTTGCGAGTTTTACAATTCCTGTCGATTTGTCCAATGTGAACTGATTGGGAATGTTGGTGGAAGTGAAAGAAACCGCTCCATTTTTCTCCGAATCCTTGTCACTGGCCTTTACGTTGAAAACCGTATCGCCGACATTCGAATCAACAGAAAACGCGACATCGTAAGGAACGTTCAAGAACATAGGGACTTCGTCGTTCAGATCTTCTACATTCACCGTCACTATTGTCTGGGCGATACTCTCGGATCCGTCGATAGCTTTTGCTCGAACAATCAACCTAATGCTGTCTTCAACTTCGCGATCCACGGGAACACCTGAATATCCAAAAAATAATTATAACGATTTATAAAATATCCTTAATACCTGTAAGAGCAATGACACCGGTTCCAGAATGAATCGCAAATTCTTTTCTCTCATTGACAATCGAATAAACGACGGGAGCACCTTCTCTCGCGCCAATCGCATTCACCGAAATCAACGTCTTTCCTGGTGCATATGTGGTGTTTTCAACGATCGACGTCTTGTATTCCGCGAATTGGAATCGGAATCCGCTGTCGTCTCTTGTCGACCGTACGGGTACAATGATTTGATAATTGGTCGATCGAATTCCATCAGAGGCAAACACGTCAAACTTGTACTCCGCCTCTTTTAGATAATCGGCATTGCGAACGAATATCTCGCCAGACGTCGAATTCACGCCAAACACTTTCTTCGCATTCTCATCCTTCACAAAGTACCGAATTTTGCCAACAGTGTCCTTGTCCTTAGCAATCTGATGGCCGACGGGAACTCCATTGGCCGTTGGAACGATCAGAGGGCTGACGCGAAGCACGGAATTCTCGAAAATCGGCGCTTCATCGTTTTCATCGACAACCGCGATGATAACGAGGGCTGGCATTGGTGAGCTTTTCGGTGGCAGTCCCATATCGCTGAAAAATTGTATAAATTCATAATAGATGATTTATGCGCTTACAATGCTTGAACGTGGAAGCGCCATTCTTTAGTCTTCTCAAAATCAATTGGTGTCCTCACACGAACAGCACCCGAAATCAAATCGACAACGAAATGCGCTTGACCAGGCGGAAGGATTTTGTAACCAATCAAAGCGTTCGGTCCACTATCAGCATCAGTTGCCGACATGATCAATGGTGAATTATCGGAAAGTAGAACGGGAGAGCCTGAAAATAAAACGCGTTCCCAAAAGATTTAAAGAGAATTATTACCAATAGGACTATTTTCTCGAATCTGCGCTCGATAAACTTGCTTCCGGAAAATCGGAGCATGCTGATTGGTTCTTTGGATTTTCACAACCATTTTTGTCTCATCGCGCTCGCCGTCACTCGTTTCTGCCACCACAGTGCAGTTCACGCTCTTTGCCGATCTCTCTCGTGTCAACCATTTGGCAAGGTGTACAGCTCCCGAAAGCGAGTGAACATCAAAATACGGGCAAGGCTGTTTAGCGCTGAAGCTAACGGCTCCATGATGTTTGGCACTGAGAACAGTCAACGGTGTTCCTGGAGGAGTTGAGTCCTTTACGATCACTTGAACTACACTCTTATAGAATTTGACTTTAAGATTGCTGGTCACATTCGCGTTCCGTATATGAAGGCTCATTTCATCGCTCAGCGAATACTTCGCACCATCAGTGGCTCGAATCCTTATGATCGATTCGACATGTTCGTCCATATCGACTTTCTTCGCCAATCTGACATCTCCATTGATATTGTCGATTTCGAAAAGTTGATTCTCGTTTCCGCTAACAATTGAGTATGTCACAATTCCATTCTCGCCCGTATCGGCATCAAAAGCCGTCACTTTCGCGACAAGACTTCCAATCGGGTCCATTTCATCGACGTATGCGATCATGTTGTGTTGCACGAATCTTGGAGCGTTGTCGTTCTCATCATCCACATTCACAATCAGCGTGGCGAAGTTCTTTAAGTTCGCTTGTCGAACCTGAACGGTGGCTCGGATTTGGCGTGAAGCCTCAAAATCAAGCGACTCCATAACAATCACATTGCCACTACTCGGCTCCACTCTAATTTTCTCTTCCATTGCAATGTCTTCAACCGAGAAAATACTATAGACTAACGGCTTCGTTCCGGGACCCATGTCTTCTCCAACAGCTTTCAGCGTATAGATTTGTGATCCAACCGCCGTCTTTTCCGATATATCCGTTTGGTAATGCGATGCCGAAAATTTTGGACGCATAGTTGCGGATCTTGAAACTTGAATAATGACAGTTGTATAATCCGACGCGATGCCATCCGTGACGCTAACATTAAGTCGAATCTCTCCTCGCGGAAGGGTCTCCACCTTTTTCGCAAGCAGAATCTGTCCATTGTCTCTACGAACGTCGAAATTGAAATTATCATCGCCAGAAGAAATGCTCCACCAAAGCTCGTCGCTATCTTCGTCAGTGGCCTCTAATTTTCCTATCGTCAGCCCAACTTGATCAGCATCAGAAATCGGTATTATATAGTCCGACTTCTTTCCCGCAATCAATGGCGCTGCATTCTTCGCCTTTGCTTTTTTTGCTCCTCCGATAGCGGTTAGAACCACTCTTGTTGCAGCATACTGAGGAGGTTGACCTCGATCTGTCGCTTGAACCGTCAACGCATAGCTCTCATCACCATGAATGGCTTCAGATACCGATATGACTCCATTTTCATCAATCGAAAACCTTTGATCGCCTTCGGTGACATTATAGAAGAGTTTCGCGTTGTCACCATCGTCCATGTCTACAGCGAAAATTCTACACAGCGGTCCAGCGGTCTTGGCACGAACATTGTAATGAAGAATCGGTTGAGTGAACATCGGAGCATTGTCGTTCTCATCTTCAACGCTTACAATAACAGCAACCTGCGAGCACAGTTGCGGATCGCCGCCGTCGCAAATCGACACCCAAAGTTCGTGTTCAGCTTGCTTCTCGCGATCTAACCGTCTCGATCCGGATGTTGTAATGTATCCAGAAGTCAAATCTATTCTGAAGAACGATTGTGGATCTCCTCGCTCTATTTTAAATTGTAATGGTGGTGCAGCGTCATTTCCGACATCATCAGCGTCGGTGGCTTCTACTTTCACAATGACAACGTTCTGAAATTTGATTAATTATTAAACTAAATGGTTTATCAAAAAACAAAGGTACCGCTGGCGAGTTTTCCTTGACACTAGCAAAATACACAGCTTGTCGCGGTTGTGGTCGATGATCATTACGATCAAGGACTCGCACGAACACGTGCAAAATTGCCCGCCGACGCGAGCTGTGAGCGTTCCGAATTTTGCCACTATCAATAGCTGCATCTCGTGCTTCAATTGTTAACCAATGAGCCGATTTGTGTTCCCGATCAAGAACTGACGATGTTCGCACGATTCCTGCAGAAAGAAAAAAACTGATTCGGTTTAACGTTTCCCCCGCAAAAATGTTTCCAAATTTTGTTGACGCAACACCGCTGCATCTATATGGCATGTTTGATGTGACAAAACCACCAAAAATCTATCTTTTTTTTTGGTCACCACAAAGGTCATTTTGACGCGAGGCAGACGACAACGACCGCCGCGAGAGTATGTCCCAAGGGAGGAAAAAGAAACGGACCTTTATCATCAATGTTGAAAAATGGGCGACCGTCGCCATCGATAATTGAATAACGCACGTCTTCCAGCTTCCGCTTCTCATCAGCAATCTCTTTCGCTTCGACCATTATGACCTCTGTGCCAATTGGCGAGTTTTCTAAACATTCAAAATTTAGTAAAATAATTAAAATATTAGTTTTACCATAAACACTTGCTTCTTTGGCGACATCATCAAATTCAATTGCAAGATGATTCTGAGCAATGTCGATGAGTTCAATATGAAGCTCGCAGTTGGTTGAAAGCACTTGATCGCCATTATCCGCCACCTAAAACTCATGTTTTTCTGATTTTCACTTTTCTCTAATAAAACTCACATCAATGGAAATATTATAAAACGAGTTGCGATGATAATCCAAAGGCTGTTCCGGCGCGTGAACAAAAACACATCCCGTGTGGTGATCGATGCGAAACGGAAACCTGTGCGGTTCAGGCGAATCGATCGAGTACCTAATTCTGGCATTTTGCCCCATATCGGGATCATTGGCAGCGACACAGGTCACGAATGCACCATGCGGATAGTCTTCAGGAATTCTGGCTTTTGTGATTGGTTGGACACACTTTGGCGGGTTGTCATTCACATCGTCAACATGGATTGTCAGATTGACAAATGCGCTTCTGACGGGATTCCCAGAGTCCATCGCTGACACAATAAAGCTGTAACATTAATTATTTATTCACCAAGTTCAATTAAAAATTGCCTACTTTAAAACATCGTGCTGTTCACGATCTAGTGTCTTCTTCAAAACGACAATTCCTGTCGATTCCCCGATGGAAATAGCATCGTCCGAATCGCGAAATGACGATAATCCATAGCGGATTCGAGCATTTTCTCCGCCATCGGCGTCGGTGGCAACAATTTTGATAAGCTGCTTACCGACAGGAGCATCTTCGCCAACACGAGTTGTGTACCAATGCTGAAAACAATGATTTTACTTCAAAAACCCCCTCTTGACGTGTAAAAAAACATAGAAAATTAGCCCCTCTAAATAATTCCCCAAAATCCACTTTCTTATTCCGCTACTATTACGGCTACTACTCATTTCGTACGCACGCGCGCATCGCCATCTCTACTCGCCGTGTCGGCCGGCCGGACGCTTCATTCCACATTCTTTTGCCGCGGCTCATTTCCTTTTGAAAACACAAAACCGAATGACCACTGGAATTTCGAAGAAGCAACAACTAAAACATAAAAGGAAGACGACGACGAAGAAGAAAAGAAGAAGACTCCCGAGAATAAAAACCAATAATGAGTGTACTCGGAGAGCTCATCCTCGAATGCTTCCATTCATCCAATTAGCGAAAATTTTGCATGCTTCATTCTTTCCCAAAACTCACAAAAACAATGCCAGAAATAGTCGCCCCCTCGTCACTCAAAACACTTTATAGAAAGGGTGTCGCTATTGGATATCGCGTGTACAACACAACATACGGAATATTCTCAAATGTCGCGTCGTCTTGCCGCGTAAGCACTTCAGAATTTTGCAACTTTTGCCTAATTTAGTGGGGTGCTATTGGAACAGCCGGTGTCGGGTTACCATCGCAAATATTATGAATCGAGATTTATTTCATTCATGTTTGCATGTTTGAGTAGCATGACAAAATTGCAAAAAAAAGCAAGAATATTTTATGAAACAATGTTTTTAATGCGTATAATTTTCAATTTTCAAACGAATCCCCCAATTTATTAAGTGCATTGGTGTTCCGCTCAATTAGACCACAAAAGGGAAAGAATACAAAAAACCATTTCCTGTGTTGGGTTCTCAAATTTCCTCTCTAGACCCTTCCACCCCCCCCCCCTCTCTCTCCCCGTGTATGACATCTGTGAGGATTACCGAGTTTCCTCCTTTAGCCCTTTATTATCAAAATGCATGTTTATTGTGAGACATACGCACGCACATGCACGCACATTAATCCGCTCACTAGCCACCCAAACACACTCAGCTTCAATTAGATACATAATGAGATGGTCCCGCATATGACAAAGACGAGAGCACGAAACGAACCTGATCGAATTGCGGTGCGTGATTATTCGTATCGATGATTTTCAGCTTCAACATTTTTTCACTTCGTTTCGGCGGATTTCCAGCATCTTCGGCAGCAACTTTCACCTAAAAATTCGTCCAACATAGTTTCGTTTGGATTTTTCGCGACACACCTGAATATCGGCGGCCTGTTGTCCCTCTTTGAGCACATTTTCCAAACTTCCCGCTACCCAAATTTCACCGCTCGACTCATTGATTCTCAACAACTCGTCGCCAAAATTCGCAAAATCATGAATCACATAGCGAACAAGTCCATTATAGCCCGCATCGTCATCAGTGGCTCGAAGCTTGGCAATTATCTGCAAAAAAAAATCGTCGACTCGTTGCTATTTTCATGCCTTTCGTCGAGCACATATGCATGGGAAAGCTCCTCCGTATAATATCATCATTTCACTTGACCTCATTTCGCAGGTTTTCATCTTTTGCCGACTGCCAACCGCGCGCCGCCGCCGCCTTATTTGTGCATCGGGGCGGGCAGTAATCCCCCAATGGCATGGAATTTGGAGGAACAACGAGAAAAAGGGCCGTTTCTCAAGACCCTTGATTACTATAGACAAATGAGAGGAGATTGTAAATAAATCGTGGTGGGATTAATTCTGTATTTTCATTTTTCAACCAAGTATCTTGAAGAGATCTTATCACACTCGTGAAATTGAGGTCCAGATGAATAAATCCGGCAAGTCAAATTTTCCATCCCTCGGTCGAAAAAAAAACCAACCATGGCAATTACCATTTCCTGTGTGTGAGGATGCGCGTTGCACTTCTATACAATGCATTACCATCTGTCAACCACTTTTATAGTGGTCCTAAGTATACACCTTTTATCGATTTCCATATTAGTGCATTGTGTCAGCTGTTACGCATAAAGTGGTGGTCACGTTCATCCCAGGTACTTCACATCCAAATCATCGCTCAATTTTCAAGAAAATCTTCAAAAAAACCGGAAAACGTGCCCACCCACCACACACGATTGGCTGTCATATTGCAATTATCACACACGCTAAGCCAGATGGTGCGCACACCAAAAACATTTGAGAGTCGCCTTTAATTATCTCATTAGATTTATATTCAAAAAATTCGGCGGGAAACTAAACCATGTAGAAAAACGTATTGTTTCAGGGCTCGGCGAAAAATCAAGATGATGGTGCCTCATAAATAATACATGAATGCCGAACAATTTTTTCCGCTAGCAATATTGCGCGCAATTTCGCTCACAAAATTTTATATTCAGTGGGAAACTTGACGAAAATGATGATGAATTTTTCGTAGAAGGGCATTTATTACCAAAAAATTTCTTATTCGATCTCGCCCGACTTCACCATTCATTAATACTTCTATATCTCCCAAGGCGCTTTTCAAAACCCTCTAACTATTTAGCATCTGCTCTAGTCACAATAGAGAGATTGAAAGAGAATGGTCCCGTCATAATCCAAATCCAATTATGCGCGGCTTTGAATTAAAAATCGGGCGAGTTACAGGGTGGCGGCTGGTGGGTGCGCACACCCGCCATTAAGTGGCTGGGTGGTGGTAATTCGATATGCACAGCATACACGCCGACGCGCCGCGCATCAATCAATCGATACATCATCTTACCGTTCCAATCGGCGCGTCTTCAGAAACTTCGACTAGGTCAGGAAACGATTCGAAAACTGGTGCTTTCTTGTTCGCCGACTCTTGAATCACAACGGGTTTTGGTTTGGAGGGCATCTGAAGATACAAAACTATGAAGCATGCGAAATCATGGCTAATTTTACCTTCGTTCCATTCCGGTAAAATACGAGATTAAGGGCAGCCGCTCTCGGAAGAGGACTTCCCCAATCAACAGCCCAGATTGCAGCATTCCACACGTTTTCACCTTTTGGAAGTTTTTCGGCCAGCACAATTTCACCGGTGTCCACATCAATCCGCAGCGGAGTTAGCGTCTCCGACGCCAATTTGTATCCAATTCTTCCATTGTCGCCTTCGTCGCGATCCTGAGCATCGACTTTGAGTATTGTGTCTCCAATTTTTAAATTCGTTCCAATTGCCACCGGATTTTGACGAAGCCATTTCACCGACCACACTGGCGCGTGATCATTTCCATCCGTGACCTCAATTGATCCCTCAATTGTCGCTTCCTTCTTCAATCCTTTGATCTCAGCGACGACGACGAAATCGAAATTTCTTTCCACTTGATAATTGAGTCTAGATGAGACCCGTACGATTCCCGTTCGGGCTCCAATCGCTAGAGGAAACTTGGACGAGCTGTTCGCAAATTTCTCGGGATTGCCTGGCTTGATACTATAGCGAATAAGATCTTGGTCATCGGGATTTGCAACGTGTGCTTTGACTCTTCCAACAATTCTTCCAATCGGTGCCATTTCATCCACAACGTACACCAACTTTTTGAGATCATGGAATTGAATCGAATGCTCAATCAGATGGTCAATCTACAAAAAAATGAAATTAAGAATTAAATAATCAACAATTACTCGTACCACAATCAGTGCAGTAGCATTCGAAGCATCCCTTCTTCTGGTATTGGCGGGAATGTAATCGTGCCCAACGGTCACAGTAACATTCGTGCCCTTTGGAATTTTCCTTCCTTTCACCGAGTACAATTTCCATACATCATCAGTTTCTTTTTCCAGTTCAAACCCATCGCTCATCGGATTCGGTTCGATTCCAACGAGCGCTGTCGGCGGACCATCTTTGAGAGTCAAAATTGCAGCGAGCTGACGATTTGCCGTTTCCATGCCGTTGATCTTACGTTTTTCAACAAGAATTTTGGTTTGCTTCCGTTTCGTTTCACTGACGTTTATCTGAAACAAAATTTTTTGACCCAATACCTTCTCCAAATCTATAGCATGGGAGTTCATTAACCTCCCAATCTATACGATTCAATTTTTTAATCTAAAATGTGCGAGTTCGTTAACCTCCCAACTCACCACAACATCTGCTGTCCACGATGGTTGAACTTCATTCTCATCAAAATAGAAAAGTCGCGATGCTCGATCTTCAGATTTCACTTTCAATTCGTATTTTCCGGCATTCAACGGTCTAAGCGTCCGAATCCATCCAGTAATCGGATCGACAAAAAAATCGTGAGATCGGTTGACCATCGAAAAATAAATGTCCGCATTAATCCCAATATCAGCATCGGAAGCTTCAACTTGGACAACTTTTGAGAACGGCTCAATCTGAAAATGTTTAGCAAATAAGAATGTTGCACATTCAACCACTACCGTATCCTCGATTGTTGCTTCATAACCATCGTCTACTAAAAAGAAAGGACTCGCATCATTCCTATCGATGACTCGGAGATGAACACGAGCGGTTGTCTCAAGATTCGACGAGTCGCGCCTCTTACAAGTAGCCTTTACAAGCATATCATAAAATTCTTTCAATTCTCGATTCAACGGGTTGTCGCCTTTGTAGCGAATGCGTAGGAACACAAAATCGCCGACTTGTCGGGCGTGCGCCTTAAACAGCGACGATTTTTCGCCCTGAAATTCAAAGAAAAAATTATAATTTTGAAAATTAAAATAGAATACCACAACTTCCGCAACTCGAAACTTGCATGTCGCATCTTTTTCCGGAATCGGCACCCCAATTTTCGTCGAATTCTCCGATCGCGCATATTTTGTGCCGACCGAGTTCTCCTCGACCGACAAATTGTACAACGGGGAGGTGAACTCGAAAACCGGAATGTCTAGAACAACGATTGAACCGGTTAATTATCGTTAACGACCTACCCGACTCCCGATGAAATCGAAAAGCTTGAGCAAAATGACAAAATACTAATATGAATAGCTGGAATACACGATGCTTCTTCATGTTAAACAGTGTAATGGATTGATGATAGCTACTTTACAGACATCTACATGTATTCACAGCGCTGCAAAAATTATGATTATAATAAAGATCAAGTAAAGAATAAAAGAGGGAAAAGCGTAAATACACACACAATACATAATTTCAAGAGCAGACACGACCAGCCGGCGGCCACCCGCGCGATGAGGGGCAGTGGACGCGCGGACCACACAAAAGGGGGCGGAGTAATGACCAAAGATGGGCGTTGGGGTCAACTTTGAAAAAAAAAAGATGGCAACATTGAAAAAAGAAAAATTCGACATTTGATTGGTGTAAAGAAAAAAATTTTGACATTTTTAAATTTAAAAAAAATCATTGAAGACCAACCCAACCTTTTCGCCATGAGTTTACTGATATCATTATTATCAGAAATAAATATAATAATAATAAATAAATAAATAGACACGTTAAAATAAAAAATTTTACATTTATCTTCTCTTTGAAAAATCGAAATAAACCTTAAAAACGTGTTTAGCCAATATTGGCTTCAATTTTCCATTTACTGAACATCAAAATCGGAAAAAAAAACGTGTAATAAAATTGTCATCTTCTCTCAACTTTCTCGAGTTTTCAAAAAGAATAAAAAAAAACTCGAAGGTTGGTTCGCTTCAGAATAGTTGTCAGGCTAAATTTGGGTGAAGTGCACCCAATTTTTTGTTTTTCTAGGGAGTTCAATATCAAAAGAAAAGAGATTTGGAGACTAGTTCAACTAGAAGCGGCAAAAAAGAATAAAACGAAGAGATTTAAAAAAAAAAGTGCGTCCCCCCACCCTCGGAAAGTGTGCGTGTGTGGTCCACCCATCGAAAAAACATAAATCTCTGGCCTAGGCGAGAGAACGACACAAAAGATGGCGCTCAACCCCACGAACATTTAAAAAAAATTCGAGGCCGATGATGAACACGATAATTTCCAAAAAAAAAAAGGTATTTTTTCAACGTTCACTTGTTTTCGAGAACGCATTATGGCGGCACAAAATTCAATTTGGCGTTTTGAGCAAAAAAAGAGAGAGAGAGAGAGAGAGAGAGAGAGACAGGAGCTCTCGAACGAGAACCTATAAAACTTTTATCCGCGAATGGAGGAAATCTTTGGTAGAACCGAGAAAGAAGAACAGAAAAAGTGAGGAAAAATAATATAAGTTTCCTTTCCCATAAACTTTCTTCAAATTGCCGATAAGTGTTCAGCAATTTGGGAAAATCCATGGGCATGCTTACTTTTTTCGAAGAATGAATGCGGTTTGAAAAAAACTTGTTAGATTACGGTATTTCACACGCCAGACAAAATTATTATAAACATCGAGATATAACCGATGGGTTCTCATTAACAAAATTTTCTCACGTTTTATGCCGTAGCGGTTCGTATACTCGCCATTTTTTCTTCGTCTATTTTGCTGTTCACGAAAACAGAGACGGAAAACGGCAGCACATCTGGTTTCGATCCATCGCACGACGATGGACCGATAAATATATGAAACAGGTGTATTTTTCAAAAAAGCGAAAGAAGGAAACATGATTCGAGAAGCTACAAGTTGGTCGCACAAGTTGGCACTGTCCAAATTACGGCTGAACATACATACTGGCGAGTTGGGCAAATAAAAACGATAACGATCGTCTGGTTAGGTAAAATACGCAGATGGTATTAATAACAGACAATATGGTCCGATCGGGTAATGTCATCTGGCAATTTGCACTAATCAATCAAAGCCTGACTTTTTTCTGTTGAGCGCCATTTGAAGAACAAATAGGATCTATTGGCAAGACGCAGCTTATGTTTGAAAAAATATATGTGAATTGAGGCGGGGTGAGTTATATTCAATACAACGAATACTGCGCCCACAAAAGCAAACAATATTGGCGTATTCATCGAAAAAATAATAATAATCACCATATTTCAATAAGCTGGTAAAAATTGAGAGAAACGGATAACCAAAATGCAACGAAAAAAATCTCTATTTGTAAAAAATGAATAAGCCGAATCTAATTTTCGAATTTACTGTTTCTTCAACCGAATGCGCGCAGATAGAGAAAAAAACATCATTCGGAAGGTGTTCGCCCGATGGCTCACACCGACCAACAATTCTATACATTCGAATCGTCAACGATGCGTTCATAATCGGGTTCGGATCAAGGTGACAGACGCCAAATGATGGTTGGCGGTAGAGAGTTCGCATGGCGATGAGTCGCAGAAGCGTCGATACGGTATCACCTACGAAATCACACCTTGTCGTGTCGGGACCCGATAGCACACGTTTCTTCTGAATGTACAAGTTACTACGATTTGTCGATTTTTTGCCATTATCAATACATTTGTAGTTTTTCGACTATTGAGCTATTCGTATTTTTTATTCGAATAAATAGCGCATAGCTAGCAAAAATGGTAAATAACCTCACAAGATGATATAAAAAAATGCAAGCCATGCCAAAATTAGTCATCCGAAGAATTTTTTGTTTGCTCTTCTTCTTCGTCTTTTTTTTTTTCTTTTTTGCTCGAAATCATGAATGTGTCAAAAACAGACCGAGCACGAAAAGATAGGAGGGATTCGAAGTAGAAAAAAAAATGAAATTAGTCGTTGGCATGCTTTTTGAATAATGAAAACAGACGCTGAAGATAGGGTATTTGAGGCGGGTGAAGACCAAAAAAAATAAATCGTTGGCCATTTTTGGGGCCTGGATGACTAATCGCATGGGTTGGTACGGTTCATAAAAGGGACAGGGTGGAAAGGAAAGTGGGCGAGAACGGCAGAAAAAAACACCGGGGCGAAGACGGAAAGAGAAAGGAACGGAACACCACACAACAGACATTTGAATGGGTCGAAATTGAGGGGTGACGGGAATCTGCTACACAAAATTATGCCGTGTTGAAACAATCTATGATTTCGGCCTTGTCACCGATTGCCACCGCAGAATAACAGAGAAAAAAACAGGTGTCGAGATAAATAAATAATTTTCAGATAATTCGGAGTCTTGGGACTTAATCAGCATAATCTCGAAGTTCGTTCTTTCGCCGTGGCAAAATACAGTGATTTCCTAATCGGGATTCATAAGAGCCTCCGCTTCACAGTCGATGAAACGCACGCCACATCGAATTTAAATTCACCCTCCCTCGATAACATAATCATAATAATTCGAGAATGGTCATGGAAATTAAAAATGATAAACTGAATGAAATCCGTGGGGAGCGCATAAAATGGGCATGTGAAAATGTCAATTCGCATCAGATCACAATGCAGAAATTGAGGAGAAACGCGAGAAATTCGAGGATGAATGGATTCATCATCAATTGTTCATCCAGCTTCCTCCCATGGGGGACTGGCATGCAACTCGGGTGGTCCGCACTCACTCAATCACAATGAATAAGACTTCATCAACATTGTCTGATAATGATCGGTTGGCACACCAAATATGGAAAATGCGAGACAGAATTCGCGCGACTTTAAGGCAAAACTCAAACAAAGCCAGCCGTCATATTTTTGGAAGCAGCTGGCTTACATTCAAGTGCTTTGTGGTTTTTTTTTATACAAATTGATTGTTAAAACAGGCTCACACGGCGATTTATCTGAAATAATCTTCCACAATTTCATTGGAAAAAATATTACATTTCTACAAACTTTAGCAATAAATTTGAATTAGCTTCAGAAATTCAAGATGGGAAATAATTTCAGAGAAATCATGATTTTTCAAAAACGTTTGACAACTCATGAATAATTCATTAGGGATTTAACGTTTTCAGAATATTGAAACGATTTTCACATTTAAATCATTTTTAAGTGGGAAAATTCGTGAGTGAACGAGAAGCGGAATTATACATTTGTTAACTGTCTCGCATCCCAATTGAAAATTATAGAATTTAAAAAAACGAATAAAAAATCAACACTTTGCTGTCAAAAGTGCGACCGATCGTGTGTTTGACACCTTTTTGTTTATGCAAAAATGTATAAACGGATGGGACGGAAGAAGAAGGAAAAAATCATACAAAATGCGCACGACGCGCTCGAGAGACAGAGTCGGGGCAACACCAAAAAGATTGCGCAATATGGTGCATGGTGCAGCGCACATAACACCAAAAAATTATTGATTTCATCGGCAGAAGACGGGAGGGGCACAGGTATTGAGTGTGAGAAGGAAAGACGCACACCATTGTTTTATACCGCCATTTTGGCGGCATTTTCTTTGAATTCGAAGGCTTTCAATTCGGCATTATTCTTTATAAGAAACCGAATATAAATCTGGAAGAATGCAACATGGGATGAAGGAAAATAAGAATGCAACTCATTAATTCAAAATGTATATTATTAGTTCAAACACCGCACGTAAAATTGCACCAGAGAAAAATACAGTACCACAAAAGATTTTCTCATCCCATTTATTTTATTTCTCATGAATAATAGTATTTTCAGAAGTACAATGGTTTGTTTACATTACACATTATTCAAAATGTGAGAAAATTTTCGCAAATCCATCCCATAAAAGATTTTTTGTTCGAAATGCTTGAGAACATGAGGAACATCACAGCAACGCCGTACAATTTTGGCTAAACAAAGAACGCGACAATTTTTGAGCAATAAAAATTCCCGAATTGTAAAAGTTTACAATTGAAGAGCAAAATAAATACAAAAACGGTGCTTAGAAATAACGTTACCAAATATGGGTGTGCAATGTTGCGAAAACGGCATTGCGATGGAATACTCGCGAGAGCGTTGGTGCTCCCGTCGAGGTCGACTAATTATGCGAAACACAATAAAAAAGAGCGCGTTGGGTGAGAGCACACCTTTTTATAGAAAGAAATACATATGTATGACACGAGCACATGAGAACGCATTTAATGTGTTTTCAAATCTCGAAATGGTACGAAATTCTGTTTGAGGGGTCATAAAACAACGAACGAAGGCTGTGTATTTCTTATATAAAATGGTCGGTAGTATAGAAAAATCAACAAGTTTTGGTTGTTTGCCTAAAAAGGTGATAAGCCAAAACAGAAAGGTGAAAACGAAAACCGAAATCCGGCCCTCGAGCTGTTTTTTGGCATTGTCGATCACTTGTTGATTGCATCCAACCTTGACAGTTGAATAAATTAAGAAATCGAAAAAGGAGTGTGCGAATGAATGGTGGGCGTTAATTGGAATTCGGCACCGTACAAGGAAAAGTGAACGGTCGCCCGAAAGTCGTAAAATTCAAGGATCCAAATGAAACGTTTGAATTATGGGCCGAAATTGGATAAAAAACGCGAGGCGATGGCGGAAAAAAGAAAGTTGCAAATGGGATGATTGACAAAAGGATTAGAACGCATTCAATTTATACACGTTCTCTTTTTTTGAGTTTTATTCGAATCCGTTTAATATTTTATAGAGTTCAAAGTTCAGCGAAAAATAGAACAAAAACGAAAATTTCGGAAAACAAATGTAGAAAGTCGAATAAAGATTCGTGATATTTGAGAACAAATAATGATATCATTCGGTCAAAAGCATAATCATTTTAAATAATTTTTGCATTAAAGAAAATGCCTAACAGAATAATATGATCTCTTTTATTACACGACACCGATTAAATAGTATCCCACGAAATTCAAAATTTTCAAAATGGTCAGCCGACGACAATCCGCATTTTTAAAAATCAAATCAAGATATTTTACGCATTGTTGAAAGTTGTCAAACCAAAAAATAAAAAAGAAGAGAAAGTTACAAATAAGTCCTTCTCAGAATAAGGAGAAAAATGCGATCTGTCACAAAAGGTGCGTAAATTGAAGCAAAAAAGGAAAGAAAAAGAAGAGATGAAGAGGAGAGAATAAAAAGTGCTCGGGATTCTTTTCAACAAAAACGAAAGCGGGTGGACAACAATAACATGCATAAGAAAGGAGAGAAAAAGAGCACATTCTTGGCTCGCGACATGCTAGGAATTGGCGAGGCTTGACCACCAACTGGACACTCTCTTCTCATTTGGTAGGAGAGGGGGGTCAGAATTCCTCCTCGTACTCCTTCCGCGCTGCTCTTTCGAAATTAGCACGCCGACCTGCATTTATGAATTCATCACAACGCCCTTATTGCCATTTGCGACCTAATCTAATTTCCGGTGCCGACGACGCAAAAGGAAAGTCGTAATTTTTCACACGACCAAATGTAAAAAGTTACCGAATTCTCAATTAGCGGTTTTTCGATTCCTCAAAACTGACCAATTTTCCAAAAGACGATCATTTGGGCGCGATTCTAGCCAAACAATCGCAAGATTACGAAGCGTAACGTATTAAATGAGCCCGACAAAATTGCATTTCAAACAAAAATTCGAAAACTCGAAATGTCTAAAAATACCAATAATAAAAATAACAGAACTCTTAGATATGGGTAATACTAGATGAGTCACAAAATAAATAGGAACATTTCGTCGCAAGAACAACAGACTTCAATATTTCACTATATACAGGACATTCTAGGTTTTAGGACATAAAGTTTGGCGCCATTCGGACGCACTACTGGTGATAATTAGTCTAGTTGATGGTTATCAAATGGTGTGGAAATTACCTATAATAATGATTTGTTATTCAAGTTGAAATCTAAACAAGACCCCAAAAAAAATTCAATTCTATTCAAAATACCTGGGACACGCCTACGGAAGAGGGAAGAATAACGCGAAGGTCGCCGAATTTGAAGGTCTCTTTTTGTTTGGTTCTCATCATACTCAATCGTCAAAATGGATAAATGAGTTGAATGCGGTTTGCTTTATTACGAAAGGTCGAATATTCACTCATACGGTAGCAATTGGTGATAGTGACGAAATATCTTAATGATTGTGTAAGAGAAGAGGGGAAGATAAATAATTGAAATTGGAAATTTTGCTTGATTCAATAAAGGCTCCAAATTTCGCCCGTCTATTTTTCAAACAAAATCTCAATTTTCATCGGAATGAGTTCCATCCTACAACCAATGTCTATTTTGATCAAAATCGCTTGCATAATTACTTTGACCTCATTTCCGGAAATGTTTAACGAATAATTCGATAAAAAAACTACGGAAGGTATCCAAGTGTCGTAAGACCCGATACGCAGTACATCGAGTAATCTACCGTAATCCTATGTTTTTTATTTTCGTATTTCCGCAACTATTCCAATTTTAACAATTTGCGAGAGTTGTGGAAATACGAAAAAATTGAAAAAAAAATTATTATCACGGTGTATCCATCGATATTCAGCGGATCCTACGACACCTGTATATGGATAATTTTACCATTTTCCGACAAACAAGATTTCTCCATAGCGTCAGAATCGGATGGGAGTGAAACCATAAAATGTATGAATTGATGAATGGTGAACATTCATTCACTTTCAAACATAAACCAAAAAAGGCGAGGAACTGAATACATACATTGATGAGGCAAACGCGCAGCCATCGCTGGCCATTCATACAATTTATTTACTAAAAAAATCATGAAGAAATTGATTCTACTGTACAAACACACACTATACAATGAGTAGTCAAAATAACAACAATAATATACAAGTTTTCAGATTTTTAGACTAATTTCTTTCATGTAAAATGGAATTCTCTGGAAAACCGTTTTCCCGAATTCGCATAACCCCCCCCCTCCCTTTCCGCTATCACAATATGTATATCGGCCGCTCAGATACGATAATAGAAGAAACAACGAAAAACGTGTGATAATATAAACAGAGAGATATATTGGTGTCGTAGCCAAAAATGATAAAAACGGTGGTCGGGAGGGTGTATTCGAGATGGAGAAGGGTCGTAAATTTTGAAAACCGCGCCGAGATAGGCCACACAGCGATGAGGGCGCAGCTTGTTCACGTTTACTCTTGACCGAAAATGTTGCGCTGAACATAATTTATTTCAAAGCGACTCGTTTAATTGCAAAATCGTGGCCAACAAATTTAATACATGTTCCGAATGATACGATTTTTTTTTAAATTTTCGTGGTGTCTTATATCCAAAGTATTCAAACAAACCTCATTTAAACTGGCAGTTCGTCAAACATTCCTTCAAACTAAGCCCTAAAGAATATATAAATCATTAAAAGCCGCGCACTTGCCTTTAAATTCCCAAAAGATGATTATCTGGGTGCGTTCGACCTAGTATAAAGTTGCAATTAACAAAAGATTTCGATCAGCAGCGCACAAAAGGAAACGATGCGTCGTCAACAATTAAACTTCGGCTCGTTGAGCAAACTCTTGAATATTCATGAAATGAAAAAGTGGACACAAGTGTTCAGTGCCAGGTTCCAAACTTCACGCGTGCCTATAGAATACACATTGAGTCCATAAAGAAAGATTAGTATTGTTGCCTAAACCTCCATGATTATCAAAAGACGCCAATCCGTCAAAATATAAGACTCTTTATTCTTTTGGGCAATATTTGTGAGGGCAATTGCATAAAGGGGTCTCCAAAATAAACTAATGAAATGCAATAAATTAAAAGCTTATCATAATTCCTTTTTCTCAGTTTTATTTTCAATCTTGTCTGTCTGCTTTTTTGCTTTTCGTGGCAATGTTCGCAAAAGAATGATATGGACGATTGGCCACAGAATGAAGTAGATGATAAATCCAATAAAGTAAAGTGATTTGACAGGCTGAAACAGTTCATAGAATTTCAAATTTGTACGTAATTTTTGTTTTACCGCGATCCAGTATTTAGTCTTGATGAGTCCGAACATGAGGAAAGCGAATCCCATAGAGTACGAGATAGTAAGTTTTCCAAATATCCAGATGAACGGTCGAGCAATTGGCTTGCTAATAGCTTCGGACCATCCAGGAGTTCTTTCAATAAGGGCGTAAAGCTGGAAATTCAATAATGTCTTATGAATTACCAAACACTTTTCACTTGGTTTTGCGCTTGTACACATGCCAATTCAATTCCAAAGAGCAAAAAATATCCCAAATGGTAACCATGCCAAATTGCCAAGTATCCGAGTGTGATCAAGTGAGAGGCAAGCTTGTTGTTAAGCCATCGAAGGCGACGGAATAAATGACTGAAATTTGCAAAACGAGTTGAATAAGATCGTGAAAATAACAAACTTCTTGGCAAAAGTGTTCGTTCCACAGTTGAATGACTCGACAACCGAATTGTAATCATGTCCAGTTTCCCATTTAATGAGGTGCAAATCACGGACACCATCCCATCTGAAAAAAAATCATAGGTTCTTAAATAAAAATCCCTTAAATACCTATCATCTCCATTTTTGTCTTTTCCGTTGTGTCCAAGGCCAACCAAAATAGAAGCTCCTTCCTAGACATAACGACATAAATATTTGGAATGAATATTTAGATTATACCCCAATTAGCCACATGGCGCAATACTTATACATGGTAAGTCGGAACCATATTGTAACCCACGTCCAGCGCCAGAAGAAAGAAAGATTCTAAACGTTACCAATTACTATTATTCTTTTTTGAAAGTTTTACTTACGAAGAAAGCATCGGAGTTGAAAAATGTGTCCGGAATCCAGACCTGTCCCCACTGATGGAGCACCATATAAGTGCAACCAGCAAGGAATCGACCAATCGATGGCAAGAACCTTTATATTATTTATAAGCACATTTATTTAAATTTAAAAATGAAATTTACGCGCTTTTCGGCACCTCTCCATTATCAAGCCAGTCTCCATTAACGAACGAACGGAACTTAACCAAGGTAAATTGAGGTCCAATAAGAGTTCCTTGGAAGAAAAGACCATAAGCGGCAATCTAAATAATTCAAAATGAAAGAAAATCAAATAAAACGACGAACTTCAAGAATTGATGGCTTGTCTCGAACGCCTGTGATCAACTGGTCGGGTTTCAAATCTTCTTTCTTTTGATGGCCATCATATACATCCATAACAAGACCAATGAATCGCAAAGTCATAATGCAGAATGGAGTTGTCCATTTAATATCGTACGTATCGCTTTCTTCATACCAATATCCAAGAAGCAAGTGACCCTAAAGAATTTTAAAATTTCTTTAAATTAGTATCAAAAATTCCATACCAAGAATACACCATGGGCGGCATATATCGAAGAAGTCGTTCCTCCCATAAAATTGGTAATGAAAAATGCCGCAAGGACCGCAAATAATGCATGAAATACAGCATTTCCTGTAATTTTTGCTATAAATTTAACTGGAACCTTTCATACTCAATGCAGACTACAACAATTTCCCTTCAAAATTTACATCAGTTCGTTAAATATTTGATCTTTGTTATCTTAAAAGACGTGATTTTTGATAATTTCGCCTAATTTCTTTCAGAAAATTAATGTTTCTTATCATCTCAGCTATGTATTGCCACAAAATAACAAAACCCACTGATTAAAATGGCCAAAAAAACTTTTCAGTGTAGAAATCAAGGTATAAAGTCCTTGAATTATCATCATTACACCGGATATAATTTTATCGAAACCAATTTGTTTTGAGTTACCAGAGCAGTGAATAAGTTAGGAGTTCATAAATGTAAAAATTCCCATTCTTTAAAGAACGAGACAAAAAAACATAATAATAATTATTATTGTAATTAAGCGTGGGATTTGGCGGAATATCGACGTAAAATAACAAATATGTTGAAATTTTACAGATAAATCGTACGAAGAACATCTCTCAAAAGTTTTTTTTTTTTACTAACTTACCACAGTTGAAATACCACAATGCAATTCCGGAAATCACAAAGAATATATGCTGAACATTTGCCGGTTTATTATAGAAGACTGTTCTATGAACGACAGCCAAAGGGTAGCCTGATAGAAAACCCGATATGACTATTAAAAATCACTCAACTATTGTAATACCTGCTAGAACGGACAGCAACAATCGTAAAGCATCTTCACTTGCGTTTGTCGCTGTGGACAAAGCGCCGACGAGACCCATATTTGATGGTTTTCACCTTTAAAATAATTTTCGGTATATGTTAACACACAGACAACCGTCGAAAAATGCAATCGAGTAAGTTAATATCGAAAATGCGATAAGAGCGACTCGCCTGATAATGTTTGACTGAGGCCATCGAAAGAAATATAGAGAACAGTCTAAAAGGACCAGAAAAGTGTAAAAATGTGACGGGTGGGATTTGGTTGATAAAGAAGACGTGGAGTGCAAAAATCGATTAGAACGAACAGTGAGAATCGGTTTCCCGGTCGACGGGCAGTACAAATAGAGATATGACCTTGTTTCGAGGTGGAATTACGGTCTCCCTAGGCGATTGAAACGCATTGCGATTATGTGGGACAAAAATAAAGTTTCATGGAAGAAAAAAAAGCATATTTCGAAATTTCCAGAATTTTATATTTGCACAAAAAATAACTACGGAGGCGGGGTTTATGGCAATTCGCGGCATGGGACAACGCAAAACCGGGCGCCTTCCCGGAATTGTGGTATATTGACTGAACGTAAAAAATTTATTACATCGCAAACCCCTTGTCTCCATTTTGTTGTTTTAAAAAGAAAATATAAAATATTCTTCGTTTTCGACAGATTTTGGAAATAAACGTTATTGAAAACAACAACTTTATTCAACAATAAGTTTAGAAGAAGAATCCAAGAATTTTTCCTCCAAGATGCTTTCTTCTGGCCTCCTCGTGGTCCATGATTCCAGCAGATGTGGTGAGGATAAGGTATCCGAACTGTCTCGATGGGAGAAGAGTATTGGTATACTTCTCGAGGTCCTGAAAATATCTTATTTTGTAACGAATTGAAATATATATTTTACATTAAGACGAATGTTGAGTCTTGGAGAGATAACGGAAGCCTTGTTCAAACGTCCAGTAAGGTTGACAACAATCTTTCCGGCGCGATGGTCATCAACGATCTCGAATTCTCCGATGTAACCGTGCTTCATCATGACAGTCAAGAAGCGGATGATAACCTTAGGAATATAAGAAATTACATTCAAGCTTTGCATTTGTCAAGCCGCGAAAAATTCCTTTAATTGTTGCAACAAGATTTTACGCGAATGGAACCAGTTCTTCCAAAAATTACGTTTTTTTGCTTACACCATCAACATACTAATCGCAACACTTATTACTATCAAGATATCAAACTTTTGGTAGTTTATATCAAGATGTACCTCTTCAGTGCATCCGAGGTAGATGACGACATAATACTAACCAAGGGTGTCTCCGAGTGTTTAGAATGTTTAAAAACAGCAAGTTCAAATTATATGAACGATCTAAACTTACGGAGAGCCTTGGTCAAAATCGACCGAGGCTGCTACTACCTAAATGACACTGTACAATCGAGCATTCGTAATTCAAGCTTTTTTTTGAAGATTGGGAAATGCTTACCTTGGAAGCAGGGCGGATGAGAACTTGTCTCTTTCCTCGCTTTTCAGCATTGTTGATGGCGTTAAGCGCATCGGCGAGAACGTTCATGCGAACCATCTTTAGTGTTTTACCTTAAACCATTTAAATTTCTACATTTTTGAAAGAAAATCAAAGAAAGATAAGACACCCAATCAGAAACAATGATTATTATTGCAGATGAAAATGTTTCAATTGAGGTGAAAATAGCAGAAACTGTAAAAACGGGAGAAAAACAAAATAAGAAAGATTCAGCAGCCTAAACTTTGGGCAATGCTACAACATTGCGTACTCAGCCTACGAATCGCAGCTAAATGTCCCATGGAGCGTACTTGCACCATGTCAAAAATTGCTTGAATTTTTAATTTCTTAAAAAATTAAATTGCGTACGATCTACTTATTTCAGAATGGAAAGAATAATTGGGCTTATTGATATGGATTGTTTTTATGCTCAAGTTGAACAACGAGATAAACCTGAACTATGGGGAAAACCAGTAATTGTCGTGCAGCATTCACGGCGAGGTGTTCAAGGAGGGTTAGAAATTGCGTGTCGAACCAATATTAACTAATTTCGAAATATTTAAGAATTCTTGCTGTAAGCTACGAAGCCCGAGGTTTCGGAGTAAAAAGAGGAATGACAGTAGCTGAAGCCAAACAATTATGCCCTGATTTAGCGACATGCCTTGTTCCCATTGGAGAATACGCTGATAAAGCTGACATTCAAAAATATAGGTACTATTAACTATACCGTTTTTGGCCAAACCATATTTCAGAAATGCCAGCGCCGAAGTTTTCGATGTGTTAAACAACTTTGATTCAAATATTGTGGTTGAAAAAGCGTCTGTCGACGAAGCATTTTTAGATCTTTCCATTTATGTCGACAATATCATTGAAAAATTTAAAGAAGGCGTCGATTTGGTAGAATTATAAATGCTTTGTAATTTCCAAATTTCAGTTTTCAGATTCTACCTGAATTCCTCCCAAGTTCCCATATAGCCGACGGACATGATAAAAATGAGAACGACGATGAAAGAATAAGTCGTATATCAACATTTCTCGAGTCGAGTCAAAATGATATTTCTTTACTACGCCTTGCAATCGCCGCCTTAACCATAGAACAAATCCGAAAGCAAATTCGCGACAAAACCCAATTTTTCTGCTCAGCGGGAATAGCTAACAATAAAATGATGGCAAAATTAGTGTGTGCGCGTCATAAACCACGACAACAAACAATAGTGCCGTTCAAATATGTTCGAGAGATTCTGAAAACCACACCGATACGGGATGTGCGTGGATTCGGAGGAAAAATGGGACAAAAAATTCAGGAACGTTTAAACATTATGGTACTCGGCGAAATTCTGATGCTAATAATGGCAATTATCTTTCAGACGATGGGTGAAATTTTGTCCATAGATTTTAATAAAGTTGTTGAATCATTTCCGGACGAACACGAATGGCTATTATCTGTTGCAGAAGGATACGATTCGGAACCGGTATCGGATTAAAAAAAATATTCTTCTCATCATATCCAACTTCAGGTGAAAGCACGATCTGAGAGCTCTTCAATTGCTGTCAGTAAAAACTTTCCGGGTAGAAACGCTATCAATATGGTACAGGAGCTTCGGCAATGGTTAGATGGACTCACTAAAGAATTGGCTAAACGCCTAGTAACGGATCAGCTTCAAAACAAGAGAACTGCTGAAAATTTAGTATTCGCTTTAGCCACTGAAGACGGACGTCCCCAAAAAACCTTAAAACTCGTTTCCTATCATCCCGATATTCTCATCGATATGCTTTGGAAGGCAATAAAACCACTGAACAAAGCATCGGACGAGCAGACGTGGTGGCATATTTTATTTTTCCATATTTATATTTCGAATGATACAGGCATCCCAAGATTTATAACCTTTACCTGGGCGCAACGAAATTCGTGCCGGGAATCCCCACTGCAAATCGGGATATCACTGAATGGCTTAATTCCAAAGGAAAAAAAAGTTCGGATGAACCTCTAACTGATGAAATTGTTTTTGTGCACGAAGAGAAAGTAGAAAACAGGGTATTTTGATTATTTTAAAATGAAGTTAACATTTTTCTCAGAAGGTCTATTGTCCCCAACCATCAACAAGTCGCTCGGATTCGGTGATTGTTTTGGACGACGATGATGATGACGAGAAAGAAGTTCCAATCACTGAAGATGACGAGGAATACATCGAAGTCGATGGAAAGCGATTTTCCAAAACTGTATTCAAAAATCTTCCTGTAATGCTTCGAAAGGTTAAACTATTAATCAAATACACATTGATTTTTAATTGTTTTTCAGCAATATGAACACAAAATTGCCCTTGAAACCGCGAGAAAACTCAAAATGAATGCGAAGAGCAGCCGGAAGCGTGGGAATTCATTGGTGGCCGCTGAGCAGTCGCACATGAAGAAACATAAACCTTTAACCTCGTTTTTTCGCAAGAAATAACAGCTTTTGTTGTCGCTTGGTTATTTTTGTGAGAGAGAAAAAATGTAAATAAATTGAACACGCTAATGATTGACAAATCCGATTGGCCCGCGGGAGGTTAACATGTGGTCCCATTCTTCGGCGAGCATCACACAGCTGCCATCGCCCTCAGTTTTCCAAGCTTTCGATAAAATCGATGACGAAGCCGATTACTTGGTTCGGCACTTGGCTACCACTTATTAAAGTCGCTCAATCGGTAACCCTCTAAGTAATGCCTATTTTGGAATGCTTTGTACATGTATTTACAGATATGTCTGGCGATCATTATTCTCCTCTTCATGGACGGAAGAACGCAATGGTGGGTTTTAAAATGTTGAAAAATTCCCTTTGTTTTCCACCATTGATGTTTTTCAATCAAATTTATTGCATATTTAGCTTAAAAGAAGATTATTATACAAATTTTGTTATAATCTACTTTTTTAGGATTGTCTACACCGTAATCTACATCTTTGCATTCATCGCTCTTCTTTTAACTTTATTCAGCATCGGAGTTAGATATTTCGAGATTAATGGAAGAGGGAAATTGTCCTTCAACGACTTGGTATGATTCCGAGCTGATGTTGGTATTATTCTATTTTTTTGCAGGACCTTCTTATGAATGTCTTCTTCGGCGTTGTCAGTTTCTCCCTTTCGCTCATCCTCATGTGGGACATCAGAAATATGATGAATGGCCCAAGAAACTACAAATACCATAAGCATCTTGCTCCATATAATATTGGAATGGATAGTTGGATTCGACGGTGCTCTATCACCGCCGGTGCTCTTGTTCTAACCTCAGCGCTTTATCTATTTACGTTCGTTCGATTATTCCGTGCACATCGTCGTTAAATGGCATGTTTATTTCCATTTACAAAATAGATAAAAGAAATTAGTAATTGAAGAAAAATCCAAATAAATTATACTGTGAGTGAGAATGTAAAAAAATGGAAAATGAGGATGTAATGAGATACAGGGAATGAAAAACAACAATTAAACATAAAACAAATAAAAGATAAACCGGAAAATACAATAAAAAGTAATATTATTAAAATAATAAAATCAAAAACAACAATCAATTCAATTGATATAATGGGGAATCCAAAACCCGGAAACCATCAAACCCGCCTCAACGAGCTTTTCTAAACGGCTACACTAACAATATCCAACGGCATCTACTGACGTCCATTTGGCGGCGGAGCCAATTGCTGTCCGTTACCGAATCCCATTTTCTGCTGCTGTTGAACGGCGGCTAGCATATTTTGCGGAATTCCAAGCATTGGGAACATTGCCGCAGCCTGCGAGGATTGCGGCTGTTGTGGTTGACCAGCCGCTTGCTGCTGTTGGGCCTGAGCATTTTGGGCCTGAATGATTCCAGAAGGAATTTGAAGTCTGGCGGCAGCCGCTGCAGCAGCAGCTTGCTGTTGTAAAGCCATCACAGCTTCATAGTTTTGCGGACGCTGTTGCCCCTAAAAGCATAGATTCTCACTGTGAATGTAATATACGCTGCGATACCTGCTGTTGTTGTTGTTGTTGCTGCTGTTGCTGCTGTTGTTGTTGCTGTCGTTGCGCAGCCTCGATACTCTGATATTGTTGAAGAAGCCTCAACACATCAGCGCCGCTAGTTTGGCCTTGCTGTGTTGCCAAGATCAGTTGTTGAAGTTGCTGCTGCTGTTGTGCTGCAGCCTGTGCCTGCGCCTGAGCGTGTGCTTGAGCCTGAGCTTGTGCTTGTGCTTGAGCTTGAGCTTGTGCCTGTGCCTGAGCTTGGGCCTGAGCTTGAGCTTGTGCTTGAGCTTGTGCTTGTGCCTGAGCTTGGGCCTGAGCTTGAGCTTGTGCCTGAGCTTGTGCTTGAGCTTGAGCTTGCTGTTGATGCTGTTCCATTTGTCTCATTAGCTCAACTTGCTGTACGTTATGAGCAGGACCTGCGAGCTGCTGCATAAGCTGCTGAGTGATTGCGAGACGCTGAGTATCCATTTGATTTCCAGTTAGCTGAAATTTGAGGAATTGACAATTAAATTCCATCTAATAATTTACCGCCTGTAAAAGCAGAATCTGTTGAATTTGATTTGGTTGAGGTGCTGCTTGTTGTTGTTGTGGCTGCACCTGTTGTTGTTGCTGCTGCTGAGCTTGTTGTTGCTGATGCTGGACCGATGCCATAAGAAGCTGAGACTGTATAGCATGTTGTTGTTGCTGAAGTTGGTGCTCGCGTTGCTGTTGGTGTTGATGATGTTGTTGTTGTTGTTGTTGTTGTTGTTGTTGTTGTTGTTGATGATGTTGTTGCTGAAGCTGTTGTTGTTGTTGCTGCTGTGCCAGGAACGCCTGAAGCATAGCGGCCTGTTGGGCAGCAGCGGCATCACTGATTCCATTCGTCAACGAGCCGGCGGTAGATGAAGCGGGTGGAAGCCCGATTCCGGAGACGTTCGGGATCGACGGAGTGCTAACGGCGAGACGCGCGCCAGGCAAAGCGGACGCTGGACGACCAGTACTCACCGGTTTGGGAGTTTGCCTAGAATTAGCAGACTTCATCGATGGGCTGGAATAGGATTAGATTGAGTAAATTAAAATGGAGACATGTTTCAGCAAATCGGAAACGAAATACATCTAACAGAAAAAAAACTCACGGAACACGGCGAGCAGCTTCCTGAATTGTTGCAGCCATCAACTGCGGAGTGCCGGCGTAGTGTTGAGGTCCACCACTGAGAGCAGGTGGCGGAAACTGGGAGAACTGCGTAGTAGCCGGTGGTGGCGCAGAGCTAGCTTGGCTCGTTGAAGGTGGACAAGAAGGAGCGAGGCGCGCCTGAGCAGCGGCAGCCATTGCGGCCAGCTCAGCGACAGTAGTTGGGGTTGGCTGAGCCGACGTTGTGGGAAGCGCGGCGGCCGGCTGGGCAGTGGTAGAAGTTGATGTAGATGTAGACGTCGTTGGTGTTTTTTCGCCCTTTCTCGCGTTTTGAATATCGTTGGCAATTCGAACATGCATTCCGCACCAACGCCCTGGTTTCTTTGGTGCTTGTGGTGGAACCTGCGCAAGAAGCGCGGCGCCAGCAAGCTGAGATCCAAGAGAAGCATTCGCTGGGAATTGGAGACCGTTGAGAGATGGCATCTGATTTAGTGCAACTGCAGCCGCTTGAACAATGCTTCCAACATTCGTTGGTGTGGTCGTGTTGGTATTCTGTGAAGTCGGTGTTGCGTTGCGAGCTGCGGCGGCGGCAGCAGCGGCTTGCAGTTGCTGAAAAGAAGATAAGTAAATAAATACAATATTATTCGGCATCAAATATTAAAACACGCGCGTGCAACATCATTTTTCATGGTCTTCTCAGAATGCGAAATCTCGCATCAAATTTTGACGAGCATGCACTTTTAATGAGTTATTGCAATAAAAAAGAGAGCTGAGCACGTCAAAAATTTCCCTCTACTTTGAATTTTAGATTATAATAATCACCTGCTGTTGCAGAACATTCAAGAATGGAATTGTGTTTCCGTTTCCAACAGTGAGGAACGGCGCGCTTCCATTATTCAAGCTGACAATTGCCGGATTCTGAAGCATACGGAGCGCGTCAACTGTATTAGTTGGCGGTACTCCAGCCGCAGCAGACGCTACCACAGACTGATTGGGAGCGGTAGCAAGAAGCGGATGTCCAGGTAGAGCAGGAGTTGGAGTAGTTCCTTGAGACATTGCAGAGGTATTTATATAGAGGGATGATGTTGTCGGTTGACTGGTCACTGTGTTAACCGCTTGCGCCGGATCAAGCGGGTGTCCTAAAATAAAATGTTTCATCAAATTCAAACATATAAATTTGCTACCATTTATGGTCGAGGCGACAGAAACAGGTGCTGTCGAACTCGGCGTGCTCGCCGCAGGTGAAGAGTCAGGCGGCTTCGCGATGCCGATAATCCCGTTGCCGCTAGTGCTTCGGAATGATTCATTCTCGAGCCTCGCTACTTTCGTCGGCGCTGGCGGCGACTCACTCTGTCCTCGCTTAACTGCTCCAGGCGCAGAGTGTGCGATTCCAATCGGTAGCGTCGGTGTTTGAGTTTGTGCTACCGGCGGCTGCTGGGTCGCTGATGACGCCATTGATGGTGTAGATGATGCGGATATTGGTGAGCTGGTGACTAGGTTGAACACGGACGGCGGAGTTGCTACTTCGACCGTACCAGGACTCTTCATATCAGGCTTCTGCTGCTCTTTTGGTGGTGGCGGCAGTGATTCTGTCGCTTGTGCCACAACGTTCTTTCTCTTCGTATATTTGCGCTTCTCGCGTTTTTCAGGCTGTAAAAATTTGATTGGATTTCTCTTTACAGTACGACGACTCGAGCACAAGCAATTTTTACACTTCTCACATTTATATTTATAGTAAACCGTAGCTAGCTAATCACACATGACTCACTAATAGGCCTCGTTTTTTGAAGGCAATTTTGTTAGGCAAAAGAAAAAGCATGACAACAAAACGGAAAAGAGAATTGTTGCTCAAAATGAAGTTGAAAATTTTCCAGGAAATAAAAATTCGAGGGTTTATAAGCGAAATTGCACCTGCGCGCATTTTCCACCTGTGTGACTAACAAGGGAAGTCATTTTAGCTCCCGTCTTAGGATTTTTTGTAATTTTGCACACGTAAACTATAAGGTATTTTGAGTGTGCTCACAAAATTCCAGCCTGCACTGGGGGGTTACAGGCGAGTTATGGCCGTCTGAAAATTCAAGGTGTTTTTCCATTGTCAGCAACAATTTGGACAAGGGGTTACGCATACGCCTCTTGGGGCCTCAATTTGGCATCCAGGGGAAGTGAAGTGGTATGTGTGCGTGGCAGTGACTTTATGATGAAGGTTCGCACCCGGCCCACACATTTTTTGTTTTTTTTCTTTTTGCCACAGAAAATTCCGCTGCAAATTGGTTTCAAACGCATAATTTCATGTAAAAGTGTCGTTTCAACATTATTTATTATTTTTTTTGCATTTTACAGTTTTTCGTTTTTTTCAAAAATTTCCTGAACTCTATTATTTTCCATATTGTTTGGTTCTTGGAGTGGATGTCGAATTGGATGTCGAAAACTCACTTCTGATCGTTCAAACGCATAATTTCATTTTTTTTCATATTTAACAATTTACTCTTTTTCGGAGTTTATTTTGCAACACCAGGTCAGCAGCGGGCCAGGAAACCAACAGTTCATGTGATTGTTAATAATCATGTGTTGGAAACATAAGAATTTCTCAAAATACAAAAAACGAATGAATGAGTTATATCAATATATTGCTGCATTCTGGCGTTTGGCATTCTCTGGCAACGTCTCTCGAAAAGAGTTTCTGCGCTGGAGTGAGGTATGGTGGAGGCCGTGAAACATTATATCCGCTCGCAGCCCAACTATGTATGCTTGATCCAATCTTGAAATTTCGGATAACACAATTTTCTGTACACGACGTAAAGAATGTGTAAGAAAATAATGTTATAACATTTTCATTACTGGTTTTTACCAAAAGAATCGACTTTCGCTTGTGGACCTTGAATGAATGTTGCCAAAAGTGGGCGTATTCTCCAATGGATTAGATAACTTTTTTGGACCCTCCGAACACTCCAACATCGAATGATTCCACAAATCCCGTATATCCAGTTGGAATAGAACCTTCGAAATGTTGGAGTTGTATTCGTGTCCTTGCAGACCATCCATTCCTTTCCATCCACTCCAAGAACCAAACAATATGGAAAATAATAGAGTTCAGGAAATTTTTGAAAAAAACGAAAAACTGTAAAATGCAAAAAAAATAATAAATAATGTTGAAACGACACTTTTACATGAAATTATGCGTTTGAAACCAATTTGCAGCGGAATTTTCTGTGGCAAAAAGAAAAAAAACAAAAATTGCGTGGGCCGGGTGCGAACCTTCATCATAAAGTCACTGCCACGCACACATACCACTTCACTTCCCCTGGATGCCAAATTGAGGCCCCAAGAGGCGTATGCGTAACCCCTTGTCCAAATTGTTGCTGACAATGGAAAAACACCTTGAATTTTCAGACGGCCATAACTCGCCTGTAACCCCCCAGTGCAGGCTGGAATTTTGTGAGCACACTCAAAATACCTTATAGTTTACGTGTGCAAAATTACAAAAAATCCTAAGACGGGAGCTAAAATGACTTCCCTTGTAAAGGTTTGAAATAACCTGGGCTGTCTCCCCAAACCCCATAAATGTCGCTAAATGTTTTTTGACATTTTTTGAAAAAAAAACCTTAAAAATTCGAAAATAGATCACAAAAAGTGATGTCGCTCGAGTGAACTTGACAATTTCCAAAAATAGATTTGAATTCTAGCGCGAGTTATAGGCGCGAAATAAAAATTGGCACGCATGAGATCGCGTTTTGTGCCGAAATGCGCGCAAGTGGCTCATCTATATCAATTTTCTCTTCTCGGTTAATTTCGAAGCTTACCCGTTGAGGCGTTTCAGTTTGTTGCTGCGAGTTGTGCTGCTGTTGTTGCTCGTAACGGGCGGCTTCGAAGTAGTCGAGACGCTTCTTCTCGTTGCTCAAATGCCTGTCGAGCTCCTCGTCGATGTTGCGCTCGTGTTCACTCGTCAATAGCCCAACACTTTCACACTCGCGATCCTTTTCGAGTTGACGACGTTGCTCCGCCTCCTGCAACAAAATAATACAATTCTCTGCCTCATTTTTTTTGTCGTCGTTGCTGGCTAGCCAAAAAGAGAAAAATGAAACGGAAGAGGAAGGAAACAAGGAATGAAAGAAAAGAAAAGGAAAAACCCTCGAATGACACGCATGCCTCCCGGCAAAAGATCACTATAAAGGCAAGGGGGTCCGAATACGCAATCGGCCAAACGTCCTCGTTTATAATGGAGTTCGAGGAGGGGAATTGAAATGCACGGGCAAGTAGGCTGTCAAATAACAGAACGTGGTGTGTGAATAAAGCATACCACATTCCCAAGCCCAATTTTTTGATCGAATTATTGCGAAATTCGGTTTCGCACAATGGTGGGAAAATGTGCGTGTTTCATTTTTTTCTTCAAATGGGGTCTTTTCCACGTTCGCAAAACTTTCGTTTCAACAGAATAGGCCGAAAAACCAAAGAAACGGCTATGAGGCCCCATATTTTCCCTCATTTTTCCAGGGATCGATAGTTTTTCAAAAAGAAAAATAAAGAAACTATGAGATTTGCAACAGGTGATAAATGACGAAACGGGAGCTTGGAAAAAATTCCGCCGTTAATGGATCAAAAATCAGGCAGATTTTTTCAAAGTTTAAAGTTCATTTGCTGAATATTCCCAAAAAAATTTTGCGAGAAAAACCGCCGCTAAAAGATTCATAAAAGATAAGTCAAATCTTGTTGACCTTCCTATAATAACTTTTTTAATTTAAACAAATGTTATTGTGTTATATTGAGAAAAAAGATTTGCAATTCGTATTGGTCACTTGTCGGTCCTGTTTGAGTGTCAGAATTAAAAAAAAAACGCGATTTGTTCGAAAAACCAAGCAAGGAACGTTCTAGTTCTTGCGAGACAGGTGAAAATACATCAAACTTAAGGAAGCACGCAAAACCAGCGCTTGCGCAAAATCCGATTATGGAAATCTCGAGAGAGCGAGAGAGAAAGTGTCGCCAATAATTACGATTAAATGACGAGCGCTGTCGAAACGAGATTTCAAACAAACAGGAATGGCATCAAGTATCAAAAGTTGTCAATACGATCGCAAGAATTGTGGAGAAGAACAAACTATTTCTAGCGCTATCGCTAGATATTTCTCTTGGCGTCACTCCAAGACCCACCCCCCATTATCAAGTAGATCACAAGGTCCTGCTCTGTTTGTTCAATTCTTGTACAAGTGCACGTACAAATAGAATAAAAACACACCGGTGAGGGGGGGGGGGAGTATGGGAGGGCGGAGGCCGAACGAACACTTTGAAACGAAAAGAAAAGAAAAGCAGCAAAACAAAAAAGAACAAGACAACAAGGACACGTCTATGCCGGCCAGCGGAAAACATCGAGACAAAAACGCAAAAGAGCGCAACGAGTGGGTGCAGACAAATATTTGAAATTGGCGCACCAAACCCTGCAGAGAAGCAGACGAAAACGACGAGACGACAGAGAGCACGACAACAGGCGGGAGGGCGCCGCCAGACTGGTGTTAAATGCACGACCAGCGGAGGCATTATCGAATAATGAATGGTTACGAACGAGATGAAGGGGCGAGGCGTTTAGAGGACGCCAGAGAACATGAGAAAGAGAGCGCAGGAAGCGCGACGGAATCAAAAGACAGCCTCATTCATTCATCGGCGCAGCAAAAAAAACTCCGCGAAAAAATTGGGAAACACACACACACACACACAAATCGAATATTTGCAACCCTTGACAAACAGAGAGAAGACCCCTCAGAGTATATTTGCGAAACCCAACATTCGTGCGCAAAATTCACTATCTTTCCGATGTACTTTGATAAACGACTTTAACATGATAAGACTCCATTGCCAAAAACATATGATTCGATCAAACGAGAGTAGTGATATAAACGCGCTGATAATCGTGTTTCAGCGTGAATTTTGACATACAGTCAAAGCACAACGACATTTAAAAAACCCAGACGCACACATTTGCACACACACACACGAGACAAACATTAAAAACGAATCTCTAGCTATGAGAAAGCGAAATGCCACGGAGACCGACGACGAACAAGATTGACGGGACGATTACGGACCGACGGCCACTAGTGTGAGATGGGGGGGGGAGGTTGAAGATGCGCGGAGTGCGCAGAGAACACCAGGGAGTGGGTCAAGAAAACACGACGCGCGACGAGATATCGTGTGGTGAGGAAGCACGACATGCGAACGAAAAAAACGACGTGTACGCGTAAATTTAGCGAGCGAAAGGACCTTGATCGAAGAATGCAGCAGCAGAATTGCGACGGGTGGGGCGCGTGTACGCGCACCCGCGAAATTGACAGCGGCTGCCGCCAACAACAACACACCGCAACCACCTTATTTGCGGCATGATTGCTGACCAGTCGTTTCAAATAATCAAATTTCGCTGTCAAAATTGAGATTAATGAATCAAGTTAATCGTAGGTATTGCATTTGTCAAGAATTCAATTATCAAGAGATAACGTTTCAAAACTCATATTGAGCAAGTGGTCGACCTCGCGGAACCGAAAAAATATGACGTTTCCGGCATTCGTTCGCCGTTTATTACAGCCCACCGGAAAAAACGCAGCTTGCGATGCAAAAACTTCGTCGCGATCAAAACGCCCCACTATCAAAATGTTTCTCGTTAGACCATTTCAGAGACCAAAAGTTCTAGTCACTCAAAATAAACACACTCAACACACTAAACCATACCCCAAATATTGGTGCAAACCTACCTCCCCCATAATTGTGGACACTGCGGTCATGAAGAAGGAGGAGGAAGAGAAGGAAAATGCAAATTCCTCAGTTTTTCTTGCTGCCACTGTACAAACACGGCAAACGTTTTTGGAAACTGAGACCCCGTGTTGTGTAAATATTGAACGTTGCCTTCTGTCTATTTGGCCATATGTTCCTACACCGCCCGAGGGTAGGCGGCGATGATACAAGTCGGGCGATTCGCAAGAATGGATTGAGGTACCTACATACATCCCTTCCAATTAGGTGTCCTACGCGCCTCGACAACACACACGCACACAGCAAAAACTTTCTCCGAAAAGTTGTCTTGCAAGCAAAGCCGTTGCCTCGCCTCTCACCGCCAAAAGATACATACGAAAATGACCGCGACCTCGAGAGAGACCGCGAAAGACGCGCAGAGAAGCTGACAGAAAGCGATCGCCAACGGCGCAGAGAAGCAGCTAGCGCGTGCGCCACACTCCGAAGAATCGAAGAACCATTTCGGACGGCCCGCGGGCGATAGAGAAGGCGAGAGAGTGAGAGAGCGTCAGGAAGCACGAGTGTTCCGATACATCGTGTGAATCAGACTACACAACGGTGGTGACGAATCCACCGAGGCGGAACATTGTGTTAGCGAGCAGATGTGAGAGAACGATGAAAGAGAACCACAAAAACCATCTCAAAGCATGTTCACGGAAGAAAGGAAGGCGAAACGAAAACGCAAATCCCAATTTTAAAAGAAAAACACTCTCTGCGTCTTGTGAGAGAGAAAAAAAACAACAACCCTTCGACTCCGTCTGCCCAAATTCGGACGTGAAGAAGACTCGAGTGAACGCAACGGCGGAGAACGATGAAAAACGTCACATGAGTCGTCTCACGAATCATCTGTTCGATGACAACAAAACTACATCGAATAATTAGTTCCTAAAATTCGAATTTTCATGCATAATTTATGATTAATATTATGCGATTGTCGATCAGCGGAATTGAATGCAAAACCCGAGTGCAAAATACATACGCAAGCCTACAATTAGGGAGGAACTACTAGTTTTTCAACAAAAAAAAGTGGCGATGATTTGTTATCCAATTTTTCTATATATGGGCAAACCGGATGAAAAAAGTTAATGTTATAAGGATTATCTAAAACATTGAAAGTTTTTATTTGAAAAAAAAAGCATCCGGTTTAATAATCGGAACAATTTTTCCTGAAAATCGAAGCAAAAAGAAAAAATAATAAGCTATATACTTCAAATGTATAGCCAAAAATACCAACGAAACGTATTACTGAGCCTAACCTAATCCTTAATTGTTTTAAAACTACAACCTTAAATGAACAAATGATATCATTAATCGGATTTTAGAAAAACAAGGATTTTGCAAATTTCCGTTGTACTTTGATCGTTTTCCAAGAACCCCCTTAATCCGCCTAAATCTATATATGCGTTTATATACAAATACATTCATCAGCGGATCAACTCCATGCGTAATCAAATCACATTTAGTGGCGAAGCCGAGAAAAAAATTGTCGTTTTCGTCGTTATCAATGGATGATAAAGTCGCAAAACGGATATATAATGGAAAGGATGTTCTAGGGACGGAGGCGAAAATCAAGATAATCTAATACTTTTAAAACGCCTTAGCCGATTTTTTTTCGTAATCTTTTTCGAGAATGGTATATTAATTAAAAATAATTGTCGCCAAACGTTCAGTGATCATTTTCAGAACATTTCATACGCGAAGTATTGAAAAATCTCAAAGCAAAACAACAAAACGGAAAACGTTTTTTCTCAAAGATCGAAGCGAGACCCTTATCAATTATATTTTCTATTTAAAAATTCCTTTACTACAGTATACCAAGGTTGAAAGGCTAATTATGAGTTGCAGATAACAAACCGCTTCCGCTGGTTTACGGTAACGGGTAAATTCCACCTGACTTCTTGTTAGAGCTAATGACACCGAATTCATCTGCTTTCAGCATGACTTTGCCAAAATGTCAAGAAGAAATGTATTTTGAGAACGAGGAGAGAACCCCGACGAATAAAAGCGTGGGAAGCTAATTGGCGTTCAAAACAAATATAGGGTGCTTAGTTAATTTTTGTGTCGAAAATGTTTTTCAAATTGTGCTCAAACCGGACTTCTAAGAAGAGTAATAATCGTGTAATGACTCAACGCAATGACGATTCGTAATCAAATTCCAAAATTAGGCACGCGATCAACCAACCCGAAGAAATTTATGCGAATAAATACAATTCATGTTTTTTTGTGCGGCAATTTCCAAAACAATAAGCGCTCAAAAATCACCGGCACGCCACAATATCGCATTCGTTCCCATAGAATCATATGATTCAATAATCTTTCGCCAATGTTTTTCCAATAATGTCGGAAAAATCGTCTATGGGAAAATATCGAAAATTCACCTGGAAATGTTGACTTTGCATTAGCAGCTCACGTCGACGAGCGAGTTTCACAATCCAACGTTTCACCTGAAAAATAAATAAAAAATGAGAATTAAAAAAAAAATAATATATAAATAAAAATTATATATATATATATATATATATATATATATATATATATATATATATATATATATATATATATATATATATATATATATATATATATATGCGCCGCTGTGAATGAACCAAGGTTGCTCTAGTCTCGTATTAAAAAACTTTTTCAGTTATGAGCGAATTTTGTACAAATACTCAATAATGATTGTTAAAAAATGTGTCAAAACTATGAGAGCATATTTTTTATGACTGGGCCAATTAGATGACAGCCCGCGAAATTCAAATTTCTCAAATTGCCCACGTTTACGACAATAAAAAAGTTTCGGTATGCGGCACATTTCTCGCTTCCGCAATCCGTTTGATTTGCATAAAAGTTCAAAGGATCAAATTATACTATTATAAGATTTATGCATAATCCATGCGTGTTAAATTTTTTCGAGAATGTATCTCAATGATTTTATCGATAATGCGGTTATTTCAGGATTAGATATGATTCGCTTCATTCTTATATGATATAAAAGTAGTTCCATTCATAAATGCGATGAAAATTTTAATCGAAAGCTTCAAAGATTATTAATCATCGATAATTACACCGCTTTTCAGAAAACCATTAATTTTCAAAATGGCTATATTTAGCGAAAATGTTTTAGGCTTCCAATAGTAATTATTGGCCAAAATCCGATCACTTCTCTATTTAGTGTTTGGGATAAACAAAAAATATCAAGGGGCTTTTTTAAATTTGTTATTTACAAGAAAAAGGCCAAAAATATATGTAAGGGCTCAATTGAAAAAATAACGGGGATTTCTCAAGAAATGGAAACTCGTTAGACTTTAATTTGGCGCCTAATAACTTGAATCTCCTACTGACATTTTTTTTACTAATGACAGTACAAAAAAATATGCTAATAAATGCATCAACTATGTATTTCTCTCAAATGAAAACCAGAGAAAAATAATTTCAGTGATAACACGTACCGCCAGTTCAACCGCTTCATCAATCAGTTTTTCCTGTTCCTTCCGCGCACAGGCTTCCATATCTTCCAGCGGCAACTCTTCGATCGAGTTCATCAACGCTTCTCGTGATTCCTCGGAAACATTTTGAAGAAAATAGCGAATATCTCGCATATCGTGATATCCATTATATTGATTCGGTTGCAATTTCACCGTTCGGTGTTTTTTGATTTTCGACATGAATTTGGAATACCGAGACTGTTTTTTTGGACGTGGAGCAATGCTGAAAATATAAAAATTGAAATATAGAACCCATTCAAACTCACTCTACCTTTTTAGCAATAGTTCTTTGGTTATAAAAACATCGCGCTTCTTAACAACATTGTCTTTTAAATTGAACTGCTTAGTCGCCTTCGCATCAGTCTTTTTTGATATAGACGTCGTCGTCGTCTTCTTCTTCATTTTCTTTGAATTTTTTTCCTTCTCATTGAGTTGCGACGACATCTCGATAAAATTCTCATCTATTTCTTCAACATTCAGTGACTTTTTACTTTTCGTGTCACCGATTTTAGAGTTTTTCTTTAACTTCGACTTTTCTTTGGTTATTATGCCTGATGTTGAAGGACCTTCTTCACAGATTATCGGTGATTCCTCGCCTTCTTTGGGCACAACCTTCTTTTTCTTCTTTTCAGCGGTATCAACATTTTCAGATTTCACATTGACGTCATCTTCAGTCTTCATCTTCAGCGGTTTCTTGGAAGACCGTTTTTTCGATCCGAGACGAGATTTCTCCTTCTTTTTCAATCCCTTGCGCGCCGATACTTTTGATCGTCGCAATCCTCCTTTCCCCATACCCGCTTCATACCTTCTTATCAATTTCGTCAAAATTTCGAGCTTTGTCCTGGGACGCACCAAACCTTTTGCTACTTTGGTTTTCGTCTTGATTTGCGAATGCGGCATTTTCAATTTCTTCTCTCCCGCCGAACCCGACTTCTTTAAAGATTCACCTTTCTTCATTGATTTCAAGCGGTTCAATAACAATTGATCGACAAGCCTCCTCTTCGTTTTCAGCTTCTTCTTCGTACCTATTTTCAGTTTCCCTTTCATTCTCGCTTTCACCTTGTTCGACGTATCCTTCTTCTTCTTCTTTTGCTTCGATTCTCGAACCAGCGTTTTTCTATCAAACGAGACCTTCTTCATTTCCTTCTTTTTCTTGAGATCTTCATTTTTCTTCTTAATGCGCTTCAAAGTTTTCTTCTTGAATGTTCCCTTTTTAGCTATTTTTTTGATTTTCGCTTTCTTTTTTCTCGCCTTCTTTTCCGAAACCGTCCTACGAATTTTTTCGACGTTTTCCTCCTTCCTCGCCAATTTCTTCCTTCGCAGTTTTTGCCGCCGTCGACAATGTTTTATCCAACCTCGCCTGACAGCATTCACATTTTTCAAAAATTCCAATTTTCGTTTTTTGTCCCTGATTTTCTCCATTTGCCGTTTAAATGTCATTATCAACGACTTTCTCGTCCATTTCTGAACTGCTCTCGTGTGAAAAACGCGAACTGAAGGAAGCTTCCGCGGCGTCTTCGCTTTTTCACGTCGGTGTTGCTCATACAGTTTATACATCGCGTAACGGCGAAAAAGATTAAACGGCATACTCTGCTTCATTCCAGGCCGACTGTACGCAATCCTTAGCGCTTCTCTTCGCCTCTTCGGCGGCGGTTTTTCGATAGGCTTCATTTCTTGAAGAGTAGTTAAATACATCTTGATATCATGACAATTTTTGACCATATTATACATAAGCTGAAAATATTAAATTTCGAAAAATTTTTTAAAAATCAAAAACTCACATTTTTAATAGAATATTTCTTCAATATCCTAGCCCTGAGATTTTCAAGCATTCTCATCCATCGAAGTTTGAATTTTTTACAAATCCCAAGTTGTTTATACTCTTCTATTGAATTTTTCAATTCCTCTCGCGTATCAAAATACGATTCCATGAGTTCAAAACCTTTAAAAAATAAAAAAAGATTGCTAGAAAAATTTCTGCTCAGCATACTGCAATCTCCTGTGTCATCAATTGACTTCTGGACCTGCTGCCCTAAAGCTTCACAATTTACGCGTAACTTTTTAATCATTTTAAAGTGCTCCTTCCGTTTTCGTCGCTCCATTTTCAAAAACATTTTCCTCTAAAAATAATATTTTTTTTAATATCACTAGTCGTCATAATTTTCTTACCCTTTTCTTTTTCGTGAATTTCCTTTGCTTTTTGATGTTTTTCAAATACGTATCAACCTTTTCGTATTCGATTAACAAATATTGACTCTCTTCGAGTTTATTCATTTCTTTTTCAAAAAGCTAAACAATGTTATGTATATTTTTTCAGATCCATACTCACCTTTTCGTCTTCAAGACAAGAAAACGCAAGGATTGCATAATCATCAATAATGAACTCTTCCATAAAAGGAATGGGTTGTTTATGTACATCAATTCCTTTTTCAAAAGGATCCTCACGGAGATCTTCAATTACTAATGGTTTAGGCCGTTTCTTTTTGGATAGCTTCTTCTTATTTCTTCGAGGACCCCGTCCAGCTTTATTTTGATTTGGCCTCGTCTTCGTTTTACTTTTGGAAGAAGAACGAGGACGATGGCGCGAATTTGAACGGCGACGTGAACAAGGAGGTGGCGACGGTGGAGGTGGTGGGGTCGGAGGAATCGGAGGCGGGGCTGTTGACGTTGAGGGCTCACAATGAATTACTGGAAAATAATCGGGTTCGACAACCCCCTTCTTCTTTTCCTAAATTTAAGTATTAAATAAAAAATGGGATTGAAAAAAGTGAACAACCTTTTTGGGTTTTCCCTTTTTCGAAGGAATATCCAAAATGTTTCGCAATTCTTTGCTCATCTTCATTGGCTCTTCAGGCTTTTCTTCAGGTTTCTCTTCAGCATATTCCTCAGGTGGTTTTTGTTCGTCAACTTCAACGCCTTCATTTTTTAAGTCCTCTTCTTTATTATTTGAAGACACTTTTGGATATTTGGCAGTTTCCTGAATAGATCTCCATTTTTCTTCAAAAAAAAAAAGAAAACATACAACTTCTCGCACGGTTCTCGGAAGTGTGCTCAGATACTTGTTCCTAGTTCCGTCAACCATTTCAATATCCATAAAGCCCAATGATGTTTTGTTCTTGGAGTACAAAACTCTTCTAGCGCCGTACACTTCATCTTTCTGAACGAAATTTTGAAAAATTTGGGCAAAATAAATTAATTACCGGACTTAATATATATTCATACCCCCTTGATTTGCATCCTTTCCGTTCAACTACCATCCAAACTTCCTTATTTATTTTCATTTCGTGCTTCAGCGGCCAAATCAAACAAGAAGGCAATGTTCGGTTGTGATTCTTCGCTCTCTTGGCAACATTCTTCATTTTCTTGACTTTTGAAGTCCGTTTGCGCACACGCTTCACAATTTTTTTCAGCTGCCATTTCATTTTCGATTTGATAAGCTGTTGGCCATTTTTTCCTTCGCGAATCATGCCGATTTTTGCCATCTTCATCAAATCTTTCCGTTTTTTCTTGTCTTTCATGAAAAACACCCGGCGTTCATCGACAATTCGCAATTTGCGAACTTTGAATTCCTTTCTTGTCCATCCTGTTTGAACGGTGGCGTATTTCGGAAGTATCAAATTTGCTAAATACCCGGAAAAATAAATTATTGAGAACACGCGTGAAAATCCAAACCATGAATATCGGCGGTCAGAGGACATTTCAAATTGTGGAGGTCATATTCAGGTAATTTTTCCGTGCTGATTTCTGGCGGCGCGAATTCCACTCGATTTTCATCGAGTTTGTTTTTTCTACCACTAGCTGTGTTTCCCCCGCGACCGCGACCTCGCCCTCTAAAGCTTTTAGACATTTTGTGAAACATTTTTTTAAAGCAAAAACCTTTTTGGAGGAGATGGCGGAGGCTCTGGGGCTGGTTCAACTACAGGATCTTTCGCTTTGACCTTTAAAAAATTTTCATTGGAAAGAAAAATAATAGATACCGCATTTTTCGGAGGTCTTCCTTGCCGGCCACCTCCGCGTCCTCTTTTTCGGTCAATGATTGACGCCGGAAACGCACTGGCCGTGCGTTATTTTTATTATGAAAGACACTCTTAAGAAAAATATTAAAAACTACACGGAAGCTAAAGAAATTTTGATAAAACGAGTGAAAAATGGTACGAACACGTATAACGTTTAAAAATTATCAACATTGATAGTATATCGGACTGTGATTACACACCGCATTTTCTTTTGCCATTTTAATGTGCAAACTTTAAGTGATATGAAGAATTTTTGAATTTATCATAACAGCAAAAATTCACTAACACTTAAGCACAACTAGCATATTTTTTTAACCAGATAAAAATCGTCCTGACGGTTGGACCGCTAGAGCAATTTAATGTATTGTTTATGATCATAATTTAAAATTTCAATATGTAAAAATAACAAGAAATTGAGTGTCAAGGCTATTTTTTTAGCAATGCGTAAAAAGGAAACACATCCATTCAGCGGCGTTTTTGAACTTATAAATATGAGTGCAATGAAAACGATCACTATCTCTTCTTATTTTTTTCCACATTATTATTGGATAATAAAAATGTTCAAACATCAATGGTTTTTCACAAATTAAGTGATATAAATGTTTGATAAACAAGCTGAGAATTAAAAATTAACATTAGAGAGCAATTGCAAACAAGAAAGTAAATAAAAAATGAATTGAAACGGATGAAAGGGAAAAATTGACGGAAACGAGAGAAATCGAGAGCGAGCGTTGTTCGTACGATGCTTCGCCTTTACACATGTGCCGCTAAAACGAGGGCGGCACTGTCGGAATAATTTTTCAATTTTTCCCAAAACTCGTGCTGATTTCTTCAATATCTCGGTATATTCAAAAATTCCAAGAACAAATAAACTAATGATTTTCAAATTTAGTATTGTTTTAAATCATTTTAATTTCTTCATTTATTTATTAGTTTTGGAACTACAAAATTTTTTTCTAAGAAATCGAACCCCTATCTCCTAAGTCCCCTTTGAGAACATGTTTATTTTATTTTTTTTAAGATGTCGCTCTGCACTAAAATGAACGAACCACCGGATTTAAACGCACCATGTGGAAGCAATTCGAGATCAGTCTCACCTCCATCACTCTCCTCAAATGAGTGGGTTTTTGTCGTTAATACTTAATAAAAAATAAGCGATAGTTCTTTAGAAAAACTGATGCGGAAATAGTTTTGGCCGAAGAGCTGTTTTATATTGACACCAGAAAAAAATTCAAAGAACATGCTATAAATATATCGAAAGATGAATTTAATCTGAAGGTGTATTTTTTTAATATTATTGTAAATTTCTATATATCTATTATTTAAGATCAAGCAAATGTGGGACGCGTTACATCCAACGTACCGAAGGGCATACTTGAAAAAAGTTCGAAGACAGAGAGTAGGGAAGAATCTTTCACAGTCTACAACAACAACAGCAACAACTGAGGCGAACGCTAAGAAGCCTCAAGATACTGTGGAAAGGGCAATATTGGTAAGAAAATTTGAATATCCCCTTCTCCGCGTTATTTTTTTTATTTTTAAGTGTAATGGATATCGAGGAAAAGTTAGAAATGTACAAACTAAAATCGATTTTCAGCCAGTTCTTGAAGAAGCCAAAAAAAGTAAGAACTGTTTACAATTGAGTATTTTAATGACGACTTTTTTCAGGAGCTGAAGAAATCGGCAAAGTTCTTGGTGTAGAACCAGTGTGCGAAAAATCATTTGTGGACACTATGAAAAATCAAATGAGATTTTGTAGTGTGGATCGACTTATGGTTGAAAAGAAAGATTCTGGAGAAACACCAACGTGGCTTAAAATAAATTCGGTTATTCGTTAAATATTACTGTTTAGATTTGATGCTTATGCGCTTGCCGCCAGAATCACGAAGCGTAGTGTTATACCGAATCCAATTCGCCGTAATCATCCGCCTCTCAATCAGAAAATCCCAATGAAACTGGAAAACAGTGTAGTAGAAGGAGACGAAGAAAACTTGAAGTTGTCTAATCGTAAAACTGGTATGAAAATCGGCTTAAATTTTAATTTTTGTGATTTTAAGGTTCTTCTGCTCCAACGGAACTAGAAAAACATGAAAATGTTGTTAATAATACTAAGAGGGTGGAACCTTTAAGAAGTGGCAAACAAATAAAATCATTAATGTTTAATGTAAGTAAATTGACATTCTGTGATTACTGAAAATTAGTTCAATTTTTAGCGGAGTCTTCCTTACCCCATCGTCGATAAAGCCCGTTTTTTGTCATACGACCAGGCTTGTCACCAATATTATTTAGGATTATGTCAGCCGCTTATTAAACAGTCAAGTAATTTTTTATTTTTGAAATTCGATTATGATCTTATTTTTAAGATGAGACCCCGTTGACATGTTACAATCAAGAAACACTGGCCCAAATAGTTGAAGGCTGGAACCACGTTCGTGAATATAACGGCGTTTTGTAAAACAAAATCAATGTACAATGTATTAAAAGCGTATACCATAATGTAATTGTTATCAGTATCAGACCCGTTTTTAGCTTTTAGAGATACGTTCTTGTTGTGTTGCGTTCTGTTTTCTTGTTTCTGTTTTGTTGCTTGCTAGAATGTAGTTGCTTTACCGTTGTTACGATTCAACGCTTGAATGAAGAATCACTTTATTATTACCCGTATTATTTTCTTTGATGTTTATGGTTTTATCACGTTTGTCTATAGATCGACTTCATCGAAACTTGTAGTTTTTTCATTGGAAACGCCAGCTGAAGAGCTCCATCGAAATCGACGAGAGTTATCGGTTTGACGATTATCTTCACGCAGCCAGGTTTGCACAACACCAAGTTGGGTGGTAATCATCTGAAGGTTTGTAATTCTCGAAACAAGGTCTAGAAAATCGATTACCTGATAGGCACCTTCTCTAATCGTATTGAATTTCTTTCGCTGACTACTCATGATGGTTGAATGTGCGCTTCGAATTCCTTTATTGATTGCTGTTAGGATAACAGGATATGCAGTGCAAGATACGTAAGGAAGTAAATGAGTGAAAGTTGATATCACCACCATCCAACTATAAAATAATTAGTAAAATTATTTATAAATAACTGTTTTAAACCGACTTCCAGAATCAGCCGATTAAAAAATGAAATGAATTTTTTTTATTAGACAATTGGAGGAGTCTTCTAGATTTGACAAGTTTTTTGGATTCGGTAATCAAAGGCGCATTTTACCCACAGTATTTGCATTTCATCCCCCGTAGTTAAAGAAGGAAAAATATAAATTTTGAATAGTCTGACCTGGAAACAACGGGATAAAATGAGAGAAACCAAAACAGCATCCAGTAAGGTGTCCAGCAAGTCATATAGACTAGAACGAATGCTGTGACTGTTCTGCGAATCCTTAGAATTGATACCCAGTTGAGACGAGTTGTACCTTGAAGTTAATTAATTATTTCTGAATATCAGCCCAACATGTTATACTACTATTGGTTTTGACGGAAGAATAGCGGCGTTTAAGTAAAATAGGGACTCTGAGGTAGAAATAGACATAAGCTGCACTAGTGAAGACATATCCGAACACAAATGCAAGAATGTTGAACGAAATTTCTAAAAAGGAATTTTTTAAATCAAAGACCGAATTATGTAGTTTTTTTACCATATGGATGAGGTGGATGAAAACTACAAACTGTGACTTTTTTTAACAACCCTTTTCTTGGAATATGATATGTTCGAGTGTCGGCGAAATTGATAACGAACACCTGAAATTTAATTTTTTACATCAATTCTTAATGAAAAATGGAAACCATTACCGTTAGAGCAATTACTACACAAACTCCAAAAAACGTGTAGAAATGAGAAGCGAATGGTGCTGCGCGATTTTTGTTTAACGTCTGAGTCAACCTGACCGATTCATAAGAAGCGCGGCTGATTTGAACGAGGACAAGAGGTATTAGAAGCTTATTGACAACTTCGATGCAATAAAATGACTGAAGACACATCTGATTTTTGCCAACGGTTCCCGAATACCTTGCAAATCAACGAGCCAAATACCCATTGTTGATATATTTGAAAATGGACGTATAATATGAGGTGGGATAGAACCAGAAGGTCCGCAATGCATATCAGCAGTATTAGAATTATTATATTTCTGGGGACCAATGATTTTCGGCCGAAGAGGAATACAATTCCGACCTGGAAAAGTCCTATTGCATTATTTTTTTTTAATTCCTTCTTGATTGGAAACAATTTGGAAGAAAACCATTTCCACGAACTCTTTCTTTAGTGAAACACGCTTTAATGCATTTCAAATTTATTAAAGTTCAACTTTCCATAAGAGACCAGAATTCTCGAAATTCGTGAAAAAATGTATCCGCAATAATATATTTGTACTTCAAAATTATGGTAAGATCAAAATCCAACCTTCCACGAGACCCAAAGATTTCCAACGACGCCGACAATAATTGTGATGACGTATGCAACGGTATTGATTCCCTGCGCCACTAATACCCAATCGGTCTGGGGCATCGACCTGAAATTCATGGTTGCCAAAAAAAACGATTAAAATGCTCATAGAAGGTCAAGGGCTGAACGCAAACAATATTGGGAGGAGCGAAATGAACAAATTTTTGGAAGAAGGAGAAGAAGACGATGCCAAAAAAACGGAGCCCAAAGATTTATGGAGCATTAAGAGTGCATTAAATAGGAAGTGGGAGGGGGGAGTGGTATTGTTAAAATCCGCTTTTTCCCATTGTTTTCCATTTTTCAAATATTCCACGAAAATTGGGAAATCAACGAGGAAAAGCGTGTTTATTTTCATAAAGCGATGATTCATGAGCGGTTTTTTTTTGAAATTAACACACTTGCACATTTCTAATTGATTTGGTCACGTGTTGATCCAGTATAATAAGAAAAATTGGATTGTTTCGGTGAACGTCTTTGATTCTTATTCTAAAAGTCACAATGCTATGAGCACCGCCAAATTCTAAGAACTTCTAAATTCATGTGTAGTTCAAGCGAAAGGTCATCTCGTGAAAAATCAGTTTTTATGTATTAAGAAAACATTTTTTTCAAAAATGTTAAATTAAAAAAAATTGGCCACATCGACAGACGAAGTAATTGAATAAGGTCAATGGATTAAGAGATACCCAATTAACTCCAACAAATAGCTACATACATGCACTACATAGTTTCGTGAATTGAACCGTAAAAAGAATTAATGTGAATTTGTTTTTCTTGTGAACTTGAATCAGACGCTACAAAATTCTAATGAAGCTTGTGACACATCGACGTAACGACCGTGTATCTTTTGTCATTCTCAGGGTACGAAGAACGAGCTCCACCGGCTTGAACGTCGACCAGGATCACGGCTCGTAGCACATTCAAGCAAACTCATTAATATTTGAATTCCCGTGCCGGTAAAAAATACTGGACAAATTAATACATAGAGAAAATGTGTGTTTTACGGAACTGAAGTAGTAGTCCAATTAAAACGAGGAAATGACTAGCGGCTAAACGTATTTCGAGTTGTGAACACTATTCTATTATACGACAAATTGGAAATGCAAAAAAGAAGAGGCGGTGGGGAGAACTTTCGGACAATATGAAAAAAAACTTATCCTACGCGATTTTGTTGTCTTTTTCGTCATTTTTCAAGTACAGAAAGTTTTTTGATTATCCGAAGGACAACAAAACTCGATTACATCCAAAAATTTTGCTCTTCCAAAAAAGACTGCAGCAAAAAAATGGGAACGCGGAAAATGAGTCGACAGGATTCTTTGATGAAAGCCCGTTTTGGAAAACAAGATTATTATTAGAGGTGGGCAAATGTGATTAGCATAATTATGATTAAAAAAAAAACAAACAAAAATTTGTTTGCCGCAAAAAATGCGAATCAAAGGGGGGAGGGAGAAGATAAATGTGGGGGAACTCAAGTGCTCTTTGTAAAATCCCAAGGCGAGAATTGTATTTTATGCGGTTTTTAATGGCCCGAAAAAAAAAACAATTTTTTAATGGCAAACAACGAAACATGTTTTTTTTTAGTTTTTATCGAAAATCATTGTTATTCTGAAAGTTGAGACAATTGTGCATCCAGGGAGACGGGCGGCGACTCGTCAAAAATCGCTCGCGCTTGAAATTTCGAAAAATAAAAGATTTTTAGCGAGGTGGTTTGGCTTTCTTTCAGCCAACAAAAAACAAAAAAGAACATGAATGGAATATCGTGGATGACTGGAAATTTGACCTACGCATTGTGAAAGAGCATCGCTAAAATATTGGAGTCTTGTCGCCAAACATTCGGTAATTCGATGTGTAGTTTATTGGGAACAAATCACTTTTTCATCTCGGTGGCATGGGATTAAAAAAAAGAGCTGCAAAAGAATAGAGGAGCAAGATTTCTGATTCGAAGAGCGTAATACAATTCGTCGAAATCGGCATTCCGTCTCGCAACAAGATTTCGAGAGTTCGTAACCTAATTTGAAATGAGATGAGCAATGTTGACAAGGACCAAAACAGAAGAGAAAAAATTGCACATAATCTCGACTCATAAATCAAACGCGCGGGCATGAGAACGAAACAGAAAAGCCACGAAACAGAAAAAAATCACGAAACGAGACTCGCGTGATGGATTATTGCATTTTAGGATGTTGGGATGTTTCCGTCTGATCCGACGCACTTTAAACGCATTTTCGTGTTTTTCGCATTCGCTTTGTACTTTGAATACCCCAAAAATGCCCTCCAAGTAAATAGTAATCATACCAGAGAAATAACGGTGGGAAGAAGCAAGAATCACATATATTTAATTGTTGGGGAATCGTATTTGTGATTTACAAGAAATTGGTTAGATAAACCATTTGATGACAACATAGAAGAGTTACATTTTCACAAGTGAGAATTACGAGTCTTTAAAAATTTATTATAATTATGCAGCATTTCTTTATCTTTTAATATATTTTTAAATAGTTATAGGTTCCATAAAACGGGGAATTATTAATATAAACTAAATTAAGTGGAACAAAAAATTAAGCAATATTTCAAGTAATACAATATTTCAGCCCAAATTTGTGAATATCTTTAAAATTCAATGAGATTCAATAACATGAAATATGTGTAAAATTTTATTATCGCTGATTTGAAGCCTTGAGAAAAGAAAGATTGGAAAATCATCACTGAGGAAATCCTCGGTGGTGAGCTGTGTGCGAGAGAGTGTGCGATTGTGAGAGATGCCGACATTTCTTTACGCCTTTTGCTGAGCACCAGCTGATTAGTGGTTACGGTAACGAGACAATTGCACTAGGGGAAATTTCTTACACACTTGTTAGCTGGTTAATGGGAATAATTGGGTACCGTATCCGTTGTCAATTTCAATATAATTTGAACTTCTTTCTTTATAATTTGTAACGACAAAGAAAAATTGCGTCAAATTAAAATCTACCCTATTTCAAATGGAGACCATTGCATAACATTATATTTCATTTTGCCTATTCAAACATACCTAATCGCAGAAGGCGTGACACATGGTCGGCAAAATGTCAATTATTTTTTTGAGATTAACCAGATTTTTTGATGGATTTTTGCCATAATATCATTTTTATGGAAATTAATGTGTTACTAGTAGAAAAAGAAATACATTTTTGGTCAAATGGATGAGAACGCGAAGTAGATCGAATTACTGTAGTGAATCATTACCAAGCAGCACAAAATCCGTAAAAGCCGAACATTTTCGAGAGATTTTGTGGGTTTAAGCTAAATGAGTCAGTTGCCCTTTATTTTCGTAAAGCGAAACAAAATAAATGATCTCAGCAACTCGAAAAGGACGAACTTGGATTTGGCTTAATCAAGGTTCTACGAGAGTACCCAAAAACTTCCGCTGTTTGACAAAAAAAAATTCCCTACCAGTACGACACTCCAGTTACACATCGCCCTGGTCGAATTTTGTTTCGACTAATTCAATTTTCTTCTTATTTTGATTAAAATGTTCGGTTATTCCAAACTAAAAAGTGCCCCCTATTCGTTTCGATCGAATCGCTTGTGAGATGAGTGAATTTTCATAGTCCGTCACGCTAAATTGTTGGTGATGTGTAACTGGAGTGTCGTACTGGTTGGGTAAAATGTTTGGTAAAAAAAACAAACTGCGGAAGTTTTTGGAACTACCGAAGAATCCCGATGTTTAAACCAAATCCAAGTTCGTTCTTTTCGAATCACTAAGGTAATGAATAATTTGTTGCAATCGCGAAAAATATCGAATAACAATGCTCAGATTTTTTTTGCAAATTTCGAATGCGCATTTTTGGAAAAGTTGTTTTGTCGTCTCGAAATCAAATTTCCCAAGTGGCGGTTGAATACCAAGAAAAATAGACGGATTTTGCTTTTTCTCCAATTTTTTATTTAAAACTTTTTTTTCCAACCAAACTCAAATTATGAAGGAATCAACCCTATAATTTTTTAAACATTTTTTGATTATAAAATGGCAGACGAATTTTCTTCGATAATGTCAATATTTATTAGATTTTAAATTTGATGTTTTGAGAATCGCGAAAATATCACATATAAATATTTTTGGGGGTTGCTTAATTTTATTAAATTTCAAACTACAGTAGAAATCAAAGGCGCATTTCGAAATATTTCTATTTCGCGTTAAGATTTAAAAAATTGACACGCATTATTCAAATTCGTCAAATCTTCGATTTTTAATATAATTTTAAGACAAGCCCATAACAATGACATATCGTGAATTTTATTTTTTCGAATCTGACGATGCGGAAATAGTAAAAAGTATTAACTCACGAATTTTGAAAAACTAAAACCGTATAATTTCCAAGAAAAAAGGGTTTCGGATAGATAAAATTCCCACATGTATTGTGTATAAAACGACAAAAATTATAGTATCGAGAATGAATAGAAACACAATATAAAAAAGCATCAAACCTGAAAAGAAAGAGAAAAAGCCTTTCTCGTTTTTTCTTAAGCCAATTCTAATAAAAAAAATAACAAATTAAAATGAAAAAAACTTGACAGGCGGGGGAAGGGGACGCTTTCTTGTCGGAACCTGCATAAACATACTCGGCTTATATTCCAAATTTTAGAAAAACTTGCGTAATAAAATAAAGAATATTTTCTAAACAAATACAAGAAAAGCGTCTTATTTTTGTCAATGCACCATAAAAACAGTTGGAATCCGATTTAGGTTTGTTTGTTCGTTTCACATTTCGTCTCAATGATCAATTTTTTCTTCCTCATTTAATTTAGGCTTCCGGACTTGAATGCAATTCTAAAGCAATGCAATTTCACATGAATCGAACACCTCTTCGGTTTTAGCTTCTGTTTCTGACACACGGAATATAATAAGACAAAACACGAGCTCAATTATTAAAATGGCGAAAATGTAAGATGAAAATATTATGAAGGAAAAAAATGACTTGCCGGATGTTAGCAGGAAAAGGGGTGGGACAATTATATACTATGTGTGTTCGGTTGAGTGGATCCGGGAACAAAATTTGCTTGAAAAAACCCGGAAGGCGATAGGGAAAAATTTAATTTAAATGCAATAAATGTCTTTTTTAACGGGGTTTCAAATTTTCAGCAAAATTTATTAAGGAAAAATTTGCTACGAACATTTGGGTTTTTTTGGATTTCACAAAGAAGCTCTCAAAAAGGAAATTATTGAATAATCCATTACACGTGTTAGTCGATTAGTAATATTAATTAAAGAAGCTTTCGCAAATCCGAATATTCCAATAACACGATGGATCTTCGACAAATGGCCGTAACTTTGAATATCTTTTCCTGTTTGATTGCATTGTTTCTAAGATCACCCAGGTTTAGCGGACCAAGAAAATTCATGACTTCTGTTGGTTGCATCCAACCCATAATACATCATGTAATTGATAATGAAAATTTGATATGATCGCTATCAGTTCACTCGCGAATGCTACAAGTTCTCCTCTATTTTGCTTTAAATTTTTCCGGTTTCTTTTTCTTTTTGTATGTGTGGAATCGATTGCCAAAGGTTAAAAACTGTGCATTTAAATCGTTTACACAACAAATTTAGCCGAAACCTTTTGATTATACAACAATTCCTGGAATTAAGCTCGATGTAAACACAGCTGAAGAGATTCCCGACCTCGTCAAAAAGCCGGGATCCCTTCCGGATCGGGATTTCAAAGGGCATTTCGACGAAGTTTCCAAGTTCACAACACTTCGCACATTTTTGCAATTCCTACTCTACACTTATGGACCATTAAATTCGTTTTGGTGGTTCGATCGATATGTGGTCACAGTTTCTAACGAAAAGCTAGTATCCGAATTAAAAAAGAACCGCGCCAATCTGAGTAATAGAAATAATATCGTAACATTGAGACTTTTTTGTATTTCCAGTTGCAATATCACCATTTAGCATAGGAAGTTATTTAAATGGTGATCCGAAGTATTGTACAGCAGTTGAATATGATACCATAAGTTTGAAGAAAGATGGTCCAATTGAAAATGACCCGCAGGCAGTTGTAATGTTGGTTGTAGAGTGGAAGTTCAAAATTTCAGCTCGCCGAAAGTGTTCAAGATAATTTGGTGATCAAATCTGATGTAGGAGCTACCCCATCGGAAGATGTTTTTGGAATTGAACAGATTAAATCGAATTTGAGGTGGAAATTGGCTCCCACTCATTTTGAAGCTATCAACTTTCAGACGAGTTGAAAAAATGTATGAATCAAAAACTTCATTGCGTTCCCGTCTAAGCCGCCCACTTGTAATTGCATTCGACGCAGAAATTGAAATTGATGCTCACCCAATTCCAAAATATGTAATTTTTTCTGAAGGAAAAATTCGAAAATTATTTTGTTTTTTCAGATTCCAATCATTATTAATACTGAAGCCATATTGACAGATTGGAGTTATGATGAATTGTTCCCGAAATTTTACGCGATTTTCTATTGGCTCCCCGGTTTTTATGAGCTCTGCGAATTTAAATGACTCGAATTTAAGTGATTAATAATTTGCATTGTAAGAAATCTCGAAAAATGGAATTTTCTTTTGTAAAAAAAGTATTTCAATTTCCTTGAGCAATTAGACTATGGGGAAGTGAACGGCATCGTGACCATTTTGCCCGCTGTGCTCTGGAAATTGCTGAATTTATTTAATTGTAAGACGTTTTATCTACCTTAAAGGGTTCTTTATTCGCTGCAAGATTTTCAACCCAAGATAAAAGCGTTCTTGTGATGGTTGCGTATGTTGAGAAATCGACTTGTTCCGAAAAAGAGTTGAAGCAGTCGTCCAGAAGAGTTTGAAGCTATAAAAATGTATTTATTATAACTCAAAAATAAATAAAAAAAGAGACCATTTTTGTTTGAATTGTTTGCGTCGAAGCTGACGGGACTGCTGAAGCCATTTGTTCATATTCGGCGGCAATCATTTCAAGAGCTGCAGCCTTAAACTCAAAATTTGCTTTCAAACTATTGAGAAAAATGCCTACCTGTGCTGTAAGTTGTTGTAATTCCTTGTCATTTCCATCAATGTCATTTTTCAATTGAGTTATAAAATCGCAAGCCCTAAGTAGGTATTAAATAACTTCATAGATTTTTTTTTGAAAAATACCTGAATAATATCGCAGCATTCGTCGTTTTGCAGCCTAGAGAAGTTGTTGTTTGTGGAATCAAATCTTTCAACTCGTTATATCCACTCTGAAAATCAAAAAATTTATATTTTCGTTTAAATAGTCAATCTCACATTTATTGCTTCGCGCCTTTGTCGTTCACAGCGTAAGTGCGTTGCCTTCTTTCGGTCCATCGTATATAAAGGATTCGTGGGAGTTGTTGGGGCGGATGGTGAACTCGACGAACCTTCGGGTGACATTACTTCACCAATTTCTTCTTTTGTTGAAGAAATTGAGGAGTTATTAACTTTCTGACCTTGCATATGATTCTCAAAATAAATACATACGTTACTGTAGTCTGCGATGTGTCGTGAGATAGAATGTAGCGTACGCAATGGAATTTGGAGGAAAAATTGTCGATCGCTTCCTTCTTTGTTTTTTAACAGTAATTTCAAAAGCTCATTTTTTATTGTGATTCTTGAATCTATCCGGGATATTGAAATTATTAGTTTTATTTATTTTATTAATGACTAATCAAAATTTAACTTTTTTTAAAATAAAATTAATAAAGGTTATATTTTTAAATTTATGGAAAAATATAAAGACCAATAAAAATGATTAGAATGAAAGAACTCGTGATGCGTTGTAGAAACGTGAATGATATTCCTCTCCACTATTCACGCTGTCTCGCTTTCGTAACGACACTCCGCGATCGTGCGTGGTTTAGCAGATAGCAGTCTAACCGGCGTTCGCGTCGTTCGATTATTTTTTTATAAACTGGTTTTTGTTTTCACACGTGCATGTAGTTCTGAAATGAGTGCTCAATTAATTAATCCATTTTCATTTCTCTAAAATGTTCTGATTTTCGCTCTTTTCGCTATTGCGTCATTATATTCAAATTTTCTAGAAAATGTCGAATATTGCGTTTACTCGCTTGCAAAGAGAATGCAAAGAAGTTGTAACGAATGCTGAAATTGCGGAAACGGGAATTATGATAGAAATCCTGAATGAAAATCTGACTGAAATCCAGGTTTGGGATATAAAAAATAAATTCCGAATTTTTCATTCTTATAGGGGCAAATTCGTGGACCGCCGGATACACCTTATCATGGTGGCATGTTTACACTCGAGATCAAAATTCCGGAGTCTTATCCGTTCTCACCGCCAAAGATTAAGTTTGTGACAAAGATTTGGCATCCGAACATCAGTTCTCAAACTGGTGTAATTTGCCTGGACATCCTCAAGGATCAATGGGCAGCGTCGTTAACGTTAAGAACAGTTTTACTATCTATTCAAGCTTTGTTATGCTCGCCAGAGCCCAAAGATCCGCAAGATGCCGTGGTTGCCAAGCAATTTATGGAAAAACCAGCGTTGTTTAAGGTATTCCCATTGAAAATGAAAAATAGTTATAATGCTCATTTTTCAGTCTACCGCTGAATTTTGGACAATTAAGTTTGCGAAAGGAAAGGGAACTGAGAACCCTGATTATCGCGCGAAAGTTGACAAGCTACGTGATATGGGAGTTCGTGAGGAAGAAGCGATTAGTGTGCTGAGCTGCAACAACTGGGACTTGAACAAGGCCACCTTGTACATCTTCTCATAACTTGCTTGTGCTTCGATGTAGGAACTCCTGAGTTTCGTGTATTTCAAACGCAGAACTCACTTCTTTACATTTTTTCTATTTCTTATTTATTTCCATTATTATTTTGTTCTGATGAGAGGTGTACTTTCATGTTCAAAGAAAATCTAGAATCCCTTGGAGAACCGTCCTAACTACGAAAAATCCTGCAAGTTTTACTGGTATTTTATTATTATTTTTCCTGATTTTCGGACTCCGCTTCGATTTTTGGAAATTAAAAAAAATCAACCTACCGTCGTATTATAAAATTCTCCCCTTTCGTATTTTCCTTTATTTGGTGTATTTTTATTATTTCAATAAGAATTCTTGCGCGTCGCTGTGTGATTTTTTTGTTGGGTTGGTTAATTCCAATAATTAACCCAAATTATCTTTTTAAACGCCGATGATGTATTAATGCAATTTTCACCATTTAGATAAAATGCCTACTGATCCACAAAATAAGAAACAGGAAAAAGTTCGAAATTACGATTGATCATAAATTGATTTGAATAAATTTCAGCCTGGAGAACAAAAAAAATTGAAGCCTTGCTGTGCGTGTCCCGAAACGAAAAAGGTATTATAGAAATAATAGCCGTAAATGTACAATTCGAATTTAAAGGTGCGTGATGCTTGTATTATTGAAAATGGCGAAGAAAATTGCGGGAAGCTCATCGAAGCCCACAAACAATGCATGCGAGCTGCTGGATTCGACATCTAATGATCAATCCACCAATTAGTTTAGTCAACCAAAATAGTTATAGTTTGTTTTCTCGTTGTTGTTTCCTAGTTTCCGCTTTAATTTCTTTGTTGAAGGTCCAACCACGTATTTTAATAAAAAAAATTTTCAATTAACACGTACATTACGAAATAAAATACATGAATGGTTCCTATCCCTTCTCCATTCTTTTTAATTTTCTGAAATCGACAAAAGGTATGTAGAAAATTCGATTTTGGATGAGTATACACGGCGATCGAAATGTTGAAGAAGCCCAGAGGACCCATCAAGAGCTCAATCGGCTATATGAAATGGGCAAACAGAAAATCGATGCTATAAAATTGTAATTTGCGAGTTTAAAAATGTTTCTAAAAATTGAATGATGTTTAGAAGTGACGTTGTCGATCAGAAGAACTTGACATCTGACGTGAAAGAAGCTCAAAACTTTTTACGATCAATGCAGACAAAAATTTTGAATCTAAAGAATATTTCATCCAAGGTACACACAGGTCGTAGAAACTATTAGTCGAGATGAGCTCAACGGAATTCATTGGAATAATTCAGATTCATTCGCAAAAGGAAAAACAAAATATCGATGTAAATATTTTGAGTCATGAGAAGCAGCTCAATATGCTGCAAAGAAATCTTCGAGATTGCAGTGCTGATGTTCGAAAAGAAATAGGTGATTTCGAGTTGTCTGAAATTCTGATAATGATGCGATTTAGCCGAAGACGAGCGTAGAATGCTTCTTCAATCAAAGTCGGGAAAAGCTTCATCGATTGGTGATGGAACCCGCAAATTTACATCACCCAAAGAACGCGCAAATCGACTTCAAGACTTGGTCGCGAGAATGTCGGATCAATTGGGACAAGGGGAACAAGCGATGGGAAGTCTTGTGCACTCGTCGTCGGTTTTAGGACAGACTCATGCCGAATTCGAAAGTCAAGCTGGTCATATACAAACTGGAAGCAAATTATTGTCCAAATATGAACAGCGCGAATTCACTGAGAAGATTTTATTGGTTCTTGCACTTATGCTTTACTTCGCTGTCGTTTATTACATTCTACAAAAGCGAATTTTAATACGATTTTGGATTTTTTAACGAGCCTCATGGTTTTTTTTACATAATATGACGCCAGATTTGATTTGCGTTGCACCCAAGATGCGCCAACGTTCGGTAGGCGTTGGCCATCAGCCCAATATTTAAAGCGTTCTTTTTCTAATCTCTTCCAAATTCGTATGGGTTCTTGTGTAATATGTTTTTTTGTAGTGGGTTTTTGTTGAATGTGAATAATAAATTATTGCAATCGATTGTTTCTTCAATTTCTTTTTAGTTTTGATTTGATCGAGAATATCAATAATTATTTATTGTTTTTACTTCATTTTCATTCATTGAATGGTGTCAGAAAAATGACTGCAATGGAAGGGGTTATCGAAGGTCAGGAAAAACCTCAAATTAGTGTGCGCGAATTGATTTCCTCGCTTGCTGAGCTTCTACGTGAAAACAATGATGATGTAAGACGCCATCTCGTGGGACTCATCTCAACAACATTTTCTGTTTTTTTTTCTAGGACGCCAAGCGATTTTTGACGAGAAATCCTTCTATCATCGACAAAACTGACGATTCCGGAAGGTCTACTGTACATTTTGCCGCTGTTGGTGGGTGCCTGCCCATTCTTCAATTCGCAATTCTTAATAATCCAGAAGATGCTACTAAAACGGATGATGTGAGTTTTTAGTTATTCTCTTTTTGTTTATGGTAAAAAACGTATTAATTTAGATTGGTTGGAGTCCCTTGATGATCGCGTCATCAGCTGGTCGAGCCAATATTGTTTCATACTTGCTCAGCCTTCCTGAAGTTGATGTGAAGCATGCAAACAAAAACGGCCAGACTAGTTTGCACTATGCAGCAAGCAGAAATCATATCGACGTGATAATTTACTATTTTGAAGTGAATTTTAATAGTGAATTGTTCAAATTCTAGATTGTAAAACTTCTCGTCGCCTCCGATGACGGATGTTTGAATCTCTCAGACAAATATGGAGCAACAGCACTTCATCGTGCTGCTAGCCAAGGACATGAAGTTATCGTTAGATATTTGTTGAGCCAACCAAAAATCCGCATCGATCCTAGAGACTCGGAAGGAAATACTCCATTGTAATCACGATTTTAAATTAGACGCTTACACAAATTATGACTTCTTTACAGACATCTCGCCTGCGATGAGGATCGTCAGGATGTTGCTATCATGCTTGCGTCACGCGGTGCTTCAATTGAGCTTAAGAACAAAGAAGAGAAAACTCCGTTGGATTTTACAAAGACTTCAGAGTTCCGATTAAGACTCAAAAACGCGGCCAAATAATTTATTTATCAGCATCCGCGTATAAACACAGTACTGGATATAAACATGTATGCCGTCTATTATTGAATGCATATTTCCTCAGTGCTCAAGAACGGTTTCTAAAAGCTTTCGATTTTCACTATTCTTCTGAAAATCTTGTTTTTTTTCAACGTCACTAATTTTTCCTCGTTTGGGATTTACTAAAGTGCGATTTTTTATGAACATCATTTGAATCCGTGAATTAATGTAAACATTTAGCAACCTTCAAGTTTGTCGAGGGAAGAATAAGATGTTAAAGAAGACTTCGGAAAATCTGTTTTCGTTTTAAAATTGTTCAAATTTGAAGTCTACACTGTCTTCAAAAATTTAAATTCAATTAACAAGGCGAACTTTGGGCCCGTTACCATCAACCCCCAATTTTCAACCCCTACCACTGATTTTCCACCCCCATTTTTATTTTTTTATTACTGGTCAATGTTAATTGACTCAAATTTTTGACTTGAGTACTTAATTATGTTCTTTTGGCCAATACCGTAAATTTTCCTAGAAATTGTCAGTGTTATATGGGGGAGGGGTTCTTAAGGGGTCCGATTTCGAAGGTTCTTAAAATTCCAGAAAATGATCCTAAGTGTCCATTGTTTCAGAAAATTATGCTAAGCAGGTTCAGTTAGACTTTAGGTTCAGATTCGGTTGCAAAAATTTTGCAATTTTTTCATTTCAATTTCCGAAATTCCAAAAGCGCTTTTCGCGTTTTTCATAAAATCCTCATAACTTTTTTCAACTTTGTCGGATTGTTATAAAATTTCACAGGCATCATATCAAAGCAATCCCAAACCTTTGTGCCAGATTTCAGTAAATTTGGTTCATTTTTGACAATTTCGATTTTCACCTCGACGTCGGGTCACCATTGAAATGTTGGATTAGGCAATCTCACCGATTTTTCTCAAATTTTCTACAAAAATTCTAGACAATTTTCTAAGATTTTTGGTGTTTTCCAATTTTCGATTCGTCCATTTTTCATCGAGTTATTCCAATTTTCATATTCCAACATTTTAGGCGTGAATTTGTCACACAATTTCACATATGCGAAAAAAAAACCATAATTTGGTTTCGTTCCTGACCACATTCGGCAAAAACTGCATAATATTTTGAGGAAATAAATTTTCAAAAAAGCAATGGTTTACGCTTTAAATATTTATTTTTAATTGTTCAACCGTCTTTTGAAGCAATTCCGATAGGATCAAATTCGCAAACCTGTTCGTTATTACGCAATTAAGCCGTGTAATGGTCGTGGGGCGACGCTTTCTCGTAACATCCGAATCACATGCGCGTATATGGAATACAATAAACAATTTAGAAGAGTTTTTTCTTGAGTTGATTTATAGATGGTTTCTGGACACGCACGCGCGCATAATTGAAAATCGAGGTCTTAATTGAAGCCTTTTACAGAAGAAAGGAAATAAAAAGCCAATTTCTGATATTTCATTGATTCTGGGAAATCGTCGCCTTCCGAAGCGTTGGCTATCCTCAACTGCAATAATCATCGAGAAGCATACCTTCGAGAGTAATTTCCCATCACCGCTGTTTCGCGATCTTCCCCGTGTCCGGTGTAGCTGTGTTATTCATCGGCCACTCCACATTGGTCGTTGGCGGCATTTCTCCCTCGAATCGGCCTAAGCTTCAACCAGTTTCATCACTCACTCATTCCATACCTCGTATTTCGTAAAAGAAACGTTTCTTTTTCAGTCATGGTTCTATGTGTGTGTTTTTTTTTGTGCGTTGAGATCTCATGACCACCTCCCCCCCTTTCATTCAAGTCGGTTTCACCACAGATTTTGTGTATTTCGCCGGTCGTCAGCTTAACGACGATTATCACACTTTTCGGTTCACGTGCCCTTTTCCTCTAGAAACATACATATGACGGTGTTGTTTTCTCCACTAATTGACTACAAAATTGACTGGCGTGTTTAAGAGCGCCAAAAACGGGTTTTCCCATTGGTGGGCTGAAAATCTGAAGCTATGAGATTTTTGATCGCCCATCATTTTTTATTACTCATTTTTATATATTCATCTTTGTCATTTGTCCGCATTTCGCCGCGAAATTCGAAAATGTTTAATTAGACTCTCCGATTATAGATCAAAATCAGACGTACATGTGAATAAACACCACGTTAAACTAAAATTTTCAAGCAAATATTTACGTGCCATAATCAACATATTCCGGCGGCCGACCTTCAAAAAGCCAATCCCTCCCATCGTTTCCCTCTCGTTTCCGCCATATTTCCATCCTTTCAATGCTATCACTTCTAACAGATACCGCCAATATGCAAGCGAAGCTGTTCATGATACCGTGGATTATTGGATTGGGAGTTCGCGCCCAGAGTCCAAATTTAGCACAAGGTCTGGTAAGTCTGCAGAACACGAAGCAAATCTGAGAATAATTGAAGAGTGTGATTTTCTAGATCACCGACCCGATAGTTGACGCTCATCATAGGAATTTTGTTGAAATGCTCCGAAGACAGCAGCAAATTAACGATGCGCTTCTCAGAAACAATGGACTCTTTCAACCGTAGGAGGATTTTTTTGGATGTTATGTAACAATGATCTTTAGAATTCCATTGGCACACGCGCCAGATGGTCTGTTACGTCCACAATTGCCACAAAATCCCTTTAATCTTTTCACTCCTCCGAATTTACAGCTGAGTGCACGTAAGTCTAAAGATCGCATTCCCAAAATTCATCTTTTCCTTCATACCGTCGGAATTTCAAAATTCGACAACTTTTGTTTCCAGAAGGCTCCACTAGCAAGCTTGGCTCTTATGATAAAATTGAAGAGAAAGAAGGAACCGTAAAAGTGCCATCGACAGTAAGTTTGAAGAAATTTTTTACCCAAAAATTTGAAATTTAATTCAGAGCGATGAAATTCGAAAAGCGATTAGTGAATCAAAGACAGTTGTGTTGAAACAGACGAATACAACAGCGGAAACAACGACGACTACAACCGAAACTCCTTCAACAACTACGAAAATCGCTGTGACTCCGACAACATCACCTACAGTAATCCAAAGCAATGAGATGAAAATTTTAACGAAAGAGGACGCGGAAGTTCTAGAATTGTTCAAGAAGCTAAATTTAAGCAAAGAGGAAACAAAAAGTATTGTGGAACATGTTGAGCAAGTAAGTTGGATTGTATGGCGTGTACGGACACATTATGGTTATAGGTAGTTCGAGAAGAACTAGCTAAGAAACTGAAAGAAGCGGAAATGCTCAAGGAACATCCGACAATACAGGGAACAACAGCGAGTAGTACAACCTCTGGTCCAACAACAACAACGGCAACAACAAGCACGACTACTACAACAACCCCTGTTGCAACCACAACGACTAGTCCGAAATTGATTCGAATGTTCGTTGGTCTATTTTGTTTGCTCAAATATTATAGATGTTGCAGGCCCAAACATCGTCTCCGCACTGAAGAAACGGTGATTGTGCCGAAACACGAGGTGAAGCATCATCCGAAAAAGAAGGAGACGTTCATATTGGATGAATCTGACGAAGCGTTGGCTGGAAGTATCAAAACATCACTAACCCATCTTCCAGTGGCTGTTGTAAATGATGAGGAAGAACGCGAGAAAATTCACGCGGAGGCGTCTCTTCATAAACGAGTTGTGATTCCGGCGCCAAACGACGATAATGAAGATCGAGATTTGCTTGTCGATTTCGTTACAGGCGCACCATTGGATTTGAATGAGCGACAGGAAAAAGAGAATAGAGAGTTCCTGCCGGTAACAGTTCAAAGCACAAGGTTAGCATTGAAAATATATTGGCAACAATTGGTATTTCAGCCCGCCAGGAATTCCTTCGACGCTTCCGACATTGCCCTCCAAACTTCCTCCTCGACACCCACAGGTTTGTCAAAAATTTTCCGCTGGTCTTATTATCCTAATATCAGCATGTTATGACGAACTTCGAGCGACTCGCTTCCGATTATCGTCGTCGTTTGGAAAACACTGGAGACATAAATAAGATTCTGCAGAAAATTTCCGAAAATGCTTATATATCGTTAGGTGTGAAATATCTCAAAACTACAATTATTTTTGTCATTTTTCAGTTCAACAAAAGGAAATTAGTCGAAAGAAAGGATGACGAAGAGCGGAAAGCGTCACAAAACCTAATTTATTGAATGAATAATTTGCAATACTTTTTTTTTCATCAGTTTATTTGAATTTGAATACAGATACAATTTTACATGAAAAAAGTTCTAAAAATTTTTATTTTTTCGGCACGATTGTGAATTTATCAAGAATCAGCTTTAATGAAAACGAACGACGTATTTAATAAACGATACTAATAGATATTAAGTGTAATAACCATTAATGAGGCGATTCCCTAATTTTAGTTTAAATATTCATTCAATAAAATGTTTTCCAGAAAGTAATTTCGAATTATTACATTTATTTTTCAATCTAGATTGAAAAAAAAATTATCGTTAAGCAATAATTGCCGGAAAATCTTGAGAAATTTTTTTCAAAAATTAAAATTTACTGTTACGTAATCACAATTGCGCTCTAGCGAACTGGAATATTTTTAACGAGATTTTCAATTTTTCCATGAAAAATATTTAAATAATCATTAGGAATCTTGTTCAGAATGTCTGCTGAAGAATGTTCTAACCCTCAAGGCTTCTACAGTTATTCAAGCGAATCGAGCCGGGAACTGAGCCGAGAAGATTTAGAAAAACTGGCGAAACAGGTTTCGTATTCATTTATACCGTATAAGCACTAGATAGTTATTTGTTTAGACAGAAGCAAGCGAATTTAAAAAGAAAAAACTCGAAATTGAAGCTCGTAAAAATTGGGACAAGTTTTATCACAGAAATGGTGATAATTTCTTTAAAGATCGAAATTGGAGTGCCGATGATCTGAAGGAGCTATGCCATGATATTGATTTCTCGAAGGAATTAAAATATCTAGAAGCAGGGTGCGGTGTAGGAAACATGCTGTTTCCATTAGCCGCTGAAATTCCAAACTTGAAGCTGTTCGCTTTTGATTTTTCGGTTAACGCAGTCAAATTGCTATCGAAACGGGCAGCCGAGCTCAGTGTATGTTTTTTCGAACTTTAAAGTACTACTCAAATAATATTTTCAGCTTTCCGTGGAGAGCGATGTTGTAGACCTTGCTGATGGTGATCTGAATTCGCCGTTTTCAGAAGATGTTGATCTAGCAACATTGATTTTCGTCTTATCGGCAATTCATCCCGAAAAACACAGAATTGCCGTCGAAAATATGAAAAAATTTGTGCGAATTGGCGGAACGGTGATAATCCGTGATTACGGAGTCAATGATCACGCTATGATTCGATTTGGAAGGGAATCACGGCTTGGTGACCGATTTTATGTTCGCCAAGATGGAACAAGAGCATATTATTTCGATCTTGGTAGTCTCTTTTCCGCAACTTGGCGTAATTTAAGTATTCTGCAGATGAGTTGGCTGAAATGTTCACATCTTGCGGGTTTCGTTGCATTCGGAAGGAGTATTTGCACCGAATAACAATAAACCATAAAAAGGATCTACGAGTGCCAAGAATATTTGTTCAAGCACGATTTGTTCGAGATTCATAATGCCTTTTTAAAGCTCAAAATAATTTTACACGATGAAAAATCTTAATTTAACTCGTGGCGTATTCTCTTCGATCGCAAAACTGTGGTAAACGACGCACTTCCATTTTGAAGCTAAAAATGTGATTTTTTTTAAAGAATATTTATCATACGAATATAAAACACCTTTTCTTCTTTTCTTACAGTCGTTTCTGCCCAAAACATGATGAACTTGGCTTCCCCAAAAATATCCCGAGAAAATTGAGTTTCTAACGGAGAGCGATCGTCATAATAATAATTCTACAGGTATAATTTTGAATGAAATGAATTTTTGCTTACCTCTGTCCCCGTATAATCAATTTTCGGCATTTGCAATCTCACACGAATGAGGCATTTCGAATTTTGCCTATCGTATGCTTCAATACTGCCAACAGTTTTACATTTTGAGTCTTTCGTTTTTTCAAATAAAGCTAAAAGGTACAAGTATGAAGGCTTGAGACTGTCGAAAGGTGGTTCTTGAAAAAATCTTGCGACCACTGCAGACACCGAGTGAGAATCAAGATTGACTATTTCTGGTGTCGGAATCGACATATCATCTAAAATCGCCAGAAGTGTAGAAACGATGTTTCAAATCAATACCTAATAACAAACAAAATGTGTAGTTCAAAAATGACGCAGACGGATTTTCCTGAACACATCGCACTTCCGGAGCTGTAGCGCATTGGCAATTCTTCTGATCAGAAGTATAACAGTACCTGAAGAATACTGGATGAGTTTCACTTCTATCAAATGCACCTAGATCCCGTATTGAGGCATGTGTGACATTGATCGCATGAAATTTGACTTCCGGGTTGTTTCGGACAAAAAAGAGTTTTGCAGATTGCAGAAACACTTTAAAATCAAAATACGTACCCTAAATAGCAATGGGTTGAAATTTCTCACCTGCTAACCACCAGAAGCGTTAGGAATACAATTTTAAGCATGACTATTCGAGTCTCAGCAGTGTTTATTTTATTATGTTCTCTCTCGACGTCATTCGTATCAAATTTCTCTCTGTACTGTCCCGTCCGTGTTACACAATCAATCAATTTCTCTCACGAAACCAACGGATCAGTCAGGATCCGACAAACGCATTTCAATGATTAGTCATTGGGAAAAAACCATTATGATTCTACAACTAATCGATTTCAATTAGCGTTTTATAACTAAATGTGAAGTTGGTATCATTTATTTTTTTGTAAAAAAAAGAAACAACAATTGAACGAGGGACAACAACAATAAAGCTAAACTATCGAAGAATTTTTGAAAAATAGCAATTTCATCCCCAGAGAAGACTCATCAATGTAAGTGGTACAATCTGAAAAAAAAAACTCAAATTAGCAATAATAGAAATGAATGATATTTACCTGTCCATTTGGTAATGGCTCAGACCCTCTCTTGAATCCGAGGTAAACAACGAATGGGACGAATCCCCATTGCATCGCGAATGTAGAAACGCTAACAGTCTTGTTCAAGAAATTCTTTTGTCCCTGGGAAAGCTTCATTACGCTCTAAATGCTCTATTTGATGATCAAATTATAAAAGGTCGATAAATATCAATCGGTTGTCAACCATCGAATCAACTACACCTAATCTACCTTTCCCCCCAAACATTTATTAAAAATATCAAGCTTTTCATGTTTAATAAATTACTATCACATTATATCATTGTCAAATATGAATTAGAAGTGCCCAACACGATCTCTTGGGATCAGCCGAAGCTCACTGCCGTGTTTAAGGAAGATATTTCCAGCAGATTGCGCTGGGTTTATTCCGACTCCATCGTTTGTGATAATAGCGGATGTCGCAGCTGGAACTTTGAATTCCTCCGCAGCGAATTTCAAAACAGCGGTAAACGGCGTCGATTCAGGGACCGAAAGCCTAAAAGTTAATTTTATTTGTTTTTAATAAAAAAATAATACTTACACTTTAAACGGAAGCTTCGGATCACTTGTCAGTGTAATTTTGAAAGTCACTTTACTTCCTGACGCTGCCGCAGGAGCTTCCGACATCTGAATAAAATATCGATTAATGATATATACATTTTGAGAGCTACGGCATTATTTTGAGGTTTCGAATATAAAGAAGAATAAAGCAAAAAATTTCAGAAAATAAATAATTATAAAAACTAAAAACGAAAGATGCACGTAAAAACAATTTAGAAATGGAAATTTAAGAAAAAATTTGCCAAACGCAAAACGGACAAGTGTCAATTGGAACTTTAGGCCATGTTCATGGAATCACGGCCACGGCCTTCTATGATGATAACTGATGCAAACAGAGGTTATTGCTTCATTTTTTTAAACTTAATTTATTGAAATTCGATTTATGTAAAACAAGTTATTTAAAAAACTCTTTCGAATGAATGATGGTGGAAGGAAATCGAACATTAATCCAATGGACGAGGTTTCACTAAAAAAATACCACCAACTTGTAGTCCACACGGAAAAAAGTTTTTCGTCTCTTTCATTAATTATTTTTTTTTAAGTTTGCGATATTATTTCTTCAATTTCCAGGTAAACCATGAAGAGGGTATCAAATCTTGCGAAAAGCTTAAAGTTGGCTTCGAGCTCTGTTCGATGCTCTCAAATTGCGTTCAATTCGACTGCGTCCTCTCAAAATACCACACACTTTGGATTTCAAAATGTTCCAGAGGCTGAAAAAGAAAAAAAAGTTCATGAAGTTTTTGCGAACGTCGCAAAAAAGTATGATTTGATGAATGACGCAATGAGCATGGGAATTCATCGCCTATGGAAGGACTACTACGTTAGCGGATTGCATATTCCTTATAAGGCGAAGGTAAAGCATTTTCATAATTTATTTTGAATTGGATACTACAGATTCTAGACATGGCTGGCGGAACTGGTGATATCGCCTTCCGAATGCTGAGAAGGTCTCCAACATCTACTGTAATGCGAATAAAGAATATTTGTATTCAACATTATTGAAGGTTACTGTTTCGGACATTAATCAGCCAATGCTTGATGTAGGAAAAGAGCGGGCGAACGTGGAACGAGACGTAATTAATTTCCCCAAGAACCCCCTTAATTAAAGTTTTAGATTCAAGTAAATCGTTTGGAATGGGTTTGCGCGAACGCTGAAGAAATGCCATTTGCGGATAACACCTATGATCTCTTCACGATGTCGTTTGGAATTCGAAACTGCACACACGTCGACAAGGTTTCTTATCAATTAGTGGCGACTGATAACAACTTTCCAATTATTTTTTAAAGGTGATTCGCGAAGCTCATCGTGTGTTGAAGCCCGGTGGCCAACTCGCCATTCTTGAGTTTAGTGAAGTGAATTCCGCTTTAAAACCATTCTATGATGCCTATTCATTCAATATAATTCCGGTGATGGGCGAAATTTTGGCCAGTGATCGCAAAAGCTATCAGTACCTTGTCGAAAGCATCAGAAAGTTCCCAAATCAGGTATATATGTTCAAGCGATTATATTAAACTATGTTTTATTTACAGAACGAATTTGCTGAAATCATCAGAAAAGAAGGATTCGTAGACGTTCGATATGAGAATCTTACATTTGGAGTTTGTGCCATTCATAAAGGAAGAAAGCCAAGAAAGAACTAGATTTTGATTTTCACTATTTTTTTGTTACAGTTGTTTTGCTCGAATAAACTATTAATTTCTTCTTCAATATATATATATATATATATATATATATGTGACACAACGTTGAGGGCATTTTTCCCATTTATATCTGAACTTCAAAGCGATTCAGCATAATTATCTGAAATTTACAGAATGAAGACAGTTCAAAGTTTCCGAACTTTCGCAACGTGTGGGAAACTACTGTCAAGGTAATTTGTTGGAGGAATTGATGAATTACCCGAATTTTTAGATTCAGATCTGCGGTTAGCCCAGCAATTAAGGAAATTGGCGTTTTGATACCGAATGTTTCTAATTCTGTACCTTTTGAGCCTGGACAGGTATATAAATCTCTTGCGAAAAATTGACTCGATGATCAGCAACGAGAAACCGCGCGTTAGATTTTTATTTTCTATTTTTTTGTTTTTGTTTTGTAATTTTTTCCACGTTTTCATTATCTGATAAAAAATGACGAAATCGCGTCATATCTTAATGCTGGATCTGATAAAAATGGTATAAATGGCGACTCTGAGAGACAGTTAATCATCAAACAAAAATGGCACAATCTGTACCACCAGGAGATATCCAAACTCAACCGAACGCCAAGATCGTTTTCAATGCTCCATATGACGACAAGCACACCTACCACATCAAGGTGATCAACTCGTCGGCTCGTCGCATTGGATATGGAATCAAGACCACCAACATGAAGAGACTTGGAGTCGACCCACCATGCGGAGTTCTTGACCCCAAGGAAGCTGTCCTTCTCGCTGTCTCCTGCGATGCCTTTGCTTTCGGACAGGAGGTAAATTGATACTGTTGCATTTCAGAGTTTAAAAATATGCATTCTTACAGGATACCAACAACGATCGTATCACTGTTGAGTGGACCAACACCCCTGACGGGGCCGCCAAGCAATTCCGTCGTGAATGGTTCCAGGGAGACGGAATGGTTCGCAGAAAGAACTTGCCAATTGAGTACAACCCATAAGATGCCTCAGACATCCTTCATTCCAAAAAACTACCTAATAAATAAATTTTTGTATTTGTTCGGTCATATGCGCTTTTCCGAAATTCCTTCTATAATCTAGGATTAAAAAGCAATCAATCATTCTTACGTTTGGAAAAAAAAGTCGCTTTAACAATCCCCCCCCCCCGAATGTTTCGGTTGGAAACGGGAACCAGAGCGAGAGATGTAGCAATTCGAATCGAATGTTTCCAGATCTTCATCCATCGGACGTTTGCTTATAAGGGCGTTGTGGTTTGCTCATTTCCGTGCCGCGTTCATGAGAAAAAAGCTGGTCAAAAGTGAGATTTTTGTTTAAATCGAATTTAACGACGTTCGTTTAACTCATCCAAATTGAATTTTTCCCACATATTAGGTTTTTGTCTATGTGAATTTGCGCAAAGTTTCAAAAACCAAAAAACAGTGTCAAGTAATAATGGGCTTCTAGTTATTCTAGCGAGAAGCATCACACCACTCGGGACTATTATCAAGTTCTTATTCATCGTCATGATTGGAGTCACATGGGATTCCCTGTCGATATTACTTCATACCTAGTTGAAGCAGCGAACGGCCGAAATGGGGAAAAACTACTTACTCTAATCAAGTTAGAACTAGAGTGAATTGAAAAGTTGAATTCGTACATTTTTTAGTGGAATGGACTGCGTGGGCCATGATGATATCATTCCCTATACACCATGCGGTACAGCCCACTTTGACCATGATCTATTTGATAGGATCTTCAATGTCAGCGCCAATGAAGATGGTTTATCTGTTTACAGGATTGATGCCAAAAAGTGGGTGTTTTTCAGGACTTCTCGATGTTGAAATGAAACCAGAGCTCCTGGAGAGCTACCGATCATCGCATCGATCCTGGCTTGCGCCGAGAGATGTTTATAGGTAAGCATTTAATTTGTCCCTTCGAAGACCATTTGAAGCGATTTCAGGGAACGAACTGAAAATATTGAAGTTACGGTACTAACCTTTTACCTTGGAGTCAATAATGTTTCTGGGCAGCAGCAGCATATGTGGCGCTATGTTATTAGGTTTGCAAATCCCCATTCAAAGAAGTTGCATTAAAATATTCAGAATCGAGAATAAGGTTCCCGAGAAAGCCGTAATCCTTCGAGAGAGATCATTAAAAATTTATTCGCTAAATAACATGAATCAGATGCACGGTCATGGAGTTGTCGGAAAAGTTGAATTTCGCGTGTGTTCATTAATATTAATTCATTTTTGTTTGCAGCAACCCGAGCTTAATGTCGTTTCCCCAGCCTTCCAATTTAGCAGTACAATTGAGTTAAAACATTCGAAAGGCGGACATATGTGGTGAGTTTTTTTGTTTAACGAGCACCTCATCAATGTTTGGTCGATCTATGCGTCTTTTTTCGATTTTTCTATAGGGGTCGATTCAAGATGGAGCGAGAGAATGGAGTGATGTTCGATGTGCACATTCCGACGATAGTGCTTGAATCGACCGATGAGATTGTCGAGAACTCAGTGACAACCCCAGAAAAAGTTTAATTTTCATTAATTTTTTTCTTTTCATACAAATTATTTCGTGAATAGTTGTCGATAATACTAATAATAAATGATAGAGGCCCCGCGGGGAAAATCGGATTTTCGTTCCGAAACATGCATTTGCTGCATAATTTTTGCGACGACGTCGTCCTCTTGTTTCGTTAAATTCAACGCGCCAGGCTCCGTCCGCTTTTTTGGGGAGAATGTCACCCAAAAAAAAGGCGAATTGTTGAAATCTAATGGTGTACATACATGGAAGTTGGTCGCACTCTTCCTCCACCCATTTTTGGCAGTTGAGTTGAGTTTTGCTCTTGTTTCACTGATCTCATTCTCGCTCTAGATTTTAAGGACTACCTTGAATGCTCAAGGGTACGGTGGCCGAGTTCGTTGTCGTTTTCAGATGGCCACGCCCACGTCAACTTTCCACCTTACTGGCATCCGCTCCGCCCACTATATTAGTTTTCGGCTAGAATGCCTAAACTGAAAATTGATATTCAATTTTCATCCATTATTCTTATTTCGTTACTATACTACTGACGAGTTCTCAAATTACGTTGGTCATCTGTGCAAACAAACCGAATAATAAAAAATGGCTCCAAAAAAAAAAACAAAACAAAATGAATAAAACAATGGCGGAGTAGCCGCGGCAGGCCGGCGGAGAACAAAAAAAAGAACCCGAATATCGTTTTTCAATGTCAACGACGACAATCGCGTGTTTGACGCTTTTCGTATACATTCTCTTTGTGCTTCGGTTATTTTTTAAGAACTATACATATTTGGCAGTGGAATTTTTATTGAGAGCATATCATATCAGCCACATTTTTGCATAGCTAATTGATGACTAGCAATTAAAAAAATTGTATTTTGCGCCGCTAGTCTTCATGAATTATTCATCATACTTCTAGCAATTACTGACAATTTTGGCAATGGCATACAAAAAGGTGTCTCTAATTTTCCGACCGAATTGCACTACCCCAACAACCAGAAAAAACTTTGCATTTCTTATTAATTTTTGATTGTTAGAAATTTACCTTTTTGAGAATGAGAGAGAGGGAGAGCCATTTCCAAATATATAGTCGAAGTACACAGTTTGTTTTAAAGATTACTGTGGATGTCTTCAAATAGAAATTTGACGCGTCGCTAACTTTTAATCCAAGTGATTTGTCAAAAGCGCCCCCGGCGGACCCCGTCGTGGTCCGTTCGCCATTTTTGACAGCAAACTGGTGGAATTTCTTGCTCTCCCGCTTCTGCACAAAAATTCCCAAGAGTGCCTCTTTGTCTATAGAAGAGCAAGCAAGCGCGCGCCCGCCCGCCCGCGGCGACGGCGCGGGCGACCACAGTGAAAAAAATTTAGAAACATTGACAGAGAAAACGAATGAACTCCGCGCGGCACGACAAGAACAAAAATGTTTGTTTCTTCATGTTATATGTTGTAGTTTGTTCTACTTTCCACTCACTTCTACTACAACTCGCTCGTTACTATGGGTTACCCTAGCTTGAGCTCCCCTTCGATGAGCCCAAGAGCGTAGCCGAATTTTGAGAAATGATGGGCATTTCTTTTCTCTTTTTTTGCAATTAAGGCACTTCTAAAAGCATTCGTGTCTAATTGCACGTCCTTCCTCTTCTTTTCCACACATTTTAGTATAGACGACAACGTTTAAAAAACCAGTTTTCCTATGAAAAATTCATCAAAATAGCGCTCACTTTGCTTAAATTCCAAATTTATTATAGTAAAAAATTTTGAGAAATGTTCTTTACAAATAAAAAATAAAAAATGTGCACATCCCATTGGCGATTGTGTCAAATTCATTTATGTTCTCTTGTCGTTCGCGGCAGTAAATTCATATGCCTATAGCAGATTCGCGGAAAATCCAATTATGGACATTTTACTACATGCCAATTTTCCTCGTTTTTATGCAGCCAGATCGATGATTCGTTTTGATCGGTGCAGATTTCATGACCTCCCTTCGATTCGATTTTAATAACACAATGAATTGTTATCAGAAAGCCATTCATCTTTTTCTCTCCCTTCATCTCCATCGTCTTCACTTCGCATCGCAAAAGAAACAAAAAGTATGGCGAAAAAAAAAGAAGAAGAAGAAGATGGAAAAGAGAGTTCGTCTTGTATTTCGTTTTGCACTTCTTCGTTCTTTTTCATTAATTCCCTCCTTCGGAAAACTTTTTTCATGATAAGAGCATCCACTCAACGGAAAGCTGACTACGGTAGGAATAAGGAAATGCGCGACGAACTTTGTTGACTTTGAATCCTTCTATATATTCCTATTTAGCTGCCAAAAAAATGAACAGCATTGCGTTCAATTTGTCGATGCCAAAAAATAATCAAATTTTCGCACCTTTTCGCCTCTCAATTCTCGCGTTTTTTTATTTGACATTGATTAATTCGTCGGTTTTCCCCCTCTCTCTTTCCCCCATTTTACGCCATTCATTCATTAATCCATTCATCTTCGTTTTTTTTTGGTATGCTCGAATGATTTCCTGAGACCTTTTTATTTGTTAGCCTCGTTTTCCATCTCAATTTTACTTAATTAGGCGCATTGCGTCGGGTGTCTTTTTATCAGACAACTTTTGACAGACGATATGTCCCCAGAGTGGTGTTGTTGCAAGCGGTCTGAGCAACACAAAAACACACACACACACACACAAAGAACACTCGGACCAACTCTTTGTTGCACTTTTCTTGAATTAGTTGTTTCGCGGCAAAATATTTGCATTGGTCTCGACGCGAACAGGATAGCAATTTTCGAATAATCATAATATGTCCCGCAAAAGTGCATTAAACTCGATTGGAGACGAAGAAAAAAAAATGCACGTCATAAAAGGAAATTGTCGCTGTACTTTTTCTTTTTTCATTAACCCAAGTGGAGAAGACGCAATAAATTATATGATTCTGCTTAAATACATGAATTTCGAGCAACTCACCACATTGATAACTACACAAGTACCAACAAATCGTTGTGTAAAAACGAAGTATCCCATAAATCGTCCGCAAAACATTATTGACCTCTCATTATTAGCAAAATGTGTTGGGGTACCCACGGCAATGCTATACGATGATTGTGCGGCTTCTGCTACACCAAACTTCTTGATTTTCCAAAATTTCCCACAAAGTGAAGAAATCCAATCTGGTTCGATGTCCCAGAATTTGTTTGTTTTTTTCCACTACGGTGGGCTAACATTCTTGTAAACTATTGTCTTGTCCTAGATGTGGCCATTCGTAATATACTCTTGCGTATAATAGCCCTCCCCTCATTTTTATTCTGCTTCTAGTTGGGTATCGAGTAGTATTAGTATACATATACACTTCCGCACATTTATCTTTTTCGCGACTGAAAAAATTTTTTATAGGTAATCTGGCATGCCTCTGCCGATATGTAAACATGTAAGCGGTTTGAAAACACCTGAAATTTTAAAGTATAACAATTTCAGCCGAATGAGGGCGAGGAGGAGATGAAAAAAAGCTGGGTGCGACATGAGCAACTTTGTGCGCAATTGGAAGCATGCCATTTGGATTTGAAGCAGGTTTGTCCGTAAACACTATCACGCAAACTTGTGAACCGTTCTTATAGAATGAGGCGCAGATGCACATTTTAACAGCAACTGGTGCGGAGCTGAAGGAAAAGCATAAGAGAATCAGAGGGCTTCTTGACACTGCTAAAACCAATGGTATATGAAAGAAGTGAAATGGGGGTCATCAAGGCTTTCAGATGACACCGACGAACTGCAAACTTTGTCGACGGAGATTGAAAGTATCGAGAAGCAGACCAGAATTTGGCTCAATGAGCTACATGATGTTCATGATAAGAGAGTGGAGATCGATGTAAATATTTTTTAGATGTTTTTTTTTAATTTGAATTTCAGTGTCAGATGATTCGCCTTGGAGCAGAGGTCAAGAAAAACGAGACCTATGTTCAGTTGGCCTGTATCGACATCGAAAGAATGGATCTCAGACACCAAATAAGGTGAAAATTGTACATTAAATCTTTGAAAGAATTCAATTTCAGATGGAAGAATTTTCTGAAGAATGGCAAATAAGATAATCGAAGACTGATCGATTCCACAAAATACGTGATCCAACAATGCAAATCATTGATTCCATCATTCTTAAGTTATAAAAACCATTATTTTCCATCTAATCCCTTTATTTCGTAGCTGGTACACCACAATTTCTAGTGATTCAGTTTCTTCTTGTTTCTCTCCCGGTTTTCTATTGTTAATGTATTTTCTTTTCTTTTCTGTCTTTCAATGACACAAAACAGCCGCTGACATTTTCAACATTCCTCGTCGACAAATAATTCCAATCATCGAAATTTCTAGGCGTTTCAATATGCCCGAATCTCTTTCTATTATGATTTGTTTCCTATTCTATCACACAATTTATGAACGAATAAATAAATGGATATTGAATTCTTATTATTGCGATTTAGGAGTTCTTTCGCTAATTCTCCTTCGGAACGTGAACTTTCCGAAATTTGCTTCGTCTGTTCTGAAACCAGACGCGAACTTGCGCCTCGGAAAGCCCCAAATCTCTGGCGAGCATCTCGCGCTCTGCAGAAATAATGATTCTAATTAGGCGAAACGTTTCTTCAAATTACCAACGCCGACCATGTACTTCTGCGAATTGAAAGCTTCCTCGAGAACTTCGGTCTGTTTCACGCCATAAATGGTTCTGCAAAATTATTGTTTCGATATTTGCGAGATCAATTTGTTTTTTTTTTCGTGTTATTTTCCAAAGTCTATTTGATGGCTATGATTAAATTTTTTTTAGGAAAATCGCCAAAAAAAACTCTGTTAAAGGACGCATAAAGAAATAATAGATTTACATTATTCAATCGTTGATGAAAAAAAAATCGCGTTAATTCTCATGGGGTGTCTTATTCATTCACGAAATACTAATAATCAAATTAATATTTGCTTCTGAAACTGATGAATTTGTGCATGAGTTGAAAATAGTCCATCAACAACGCATTGCTGATTATTTGAAGAACCTCTGTTTGCGTGGTGGTTTCTTGGAAGCTGGGGCCGGTGAGAGATCAGTCGGTTGAATGGTCCCCGACAACGTGAGATTAGGTGTCGGATCAACAGGTGATGGCGGCGGCATCTGAAGTGCTGGAAACGTTGGAAGCAACTGACTCAACCATCTGGCAGGGTCATAATTGGTTAAAAGCGACTCTGAGAAGCGTCGACGGGCGGCCTCGATGTGATCTAGTGTTGACGTCGATTGTTCGCTGAGCGATCTGCGGCGCATCTTCTCGGTTTCACTAGCAGCGAGTGCCGCCAACGAGATCTGATCAACTGACAGTGTTGGAGACGTTAAATTTAATTGACGAAGGAGTAGCGAAATCGCCGGATCCAACGGAGGAGTTATAGCGGGCTGAAATGCACATTTAACTTGAATTTACAATAACCAATCGATTAGAACCTGAAAAAATGGCATTGTCATCGTCGGCGAAATGGATGTCGACGTTGACGCTGAAGTTGACGGCGTCGAATATTGGATGGCTTGAATCGTCTCAAGCAGATTCGGAATTGCTGCTGAAAATAAAGTTGCAGCGATTTATCAGAATTTTAAGCCAATTTATTTTTAAAGAAAATGTTTACCCATGGATTCAGTGAAATCCATTTGAGCAAGTAAACACCGCGTTACACGTTTCTTCTCCACTTCGACATTTAATCAATCTGATTTCGTCGTGCGGATTATCTCGTATGGCTTGAGGATTAATGCATGTTAATTTGGAAAGGTCGACTTGAATAAATCGAAATTGAGAGCATTCGTGACAAATTTCAATGCGCTCAATATGCGGATTTTAAGGACATTTGCATAAAATGGTACAAGACATGAATAGTTTAAATAAATGGGCATTCTTAAATTTGCATTATCAGGTTTTTTCTATATGATATCATGTTGGACAATATAGAAAAAATCCATATAAAACGACGTTGAATTACTTTGAATTTCAACGCGTTTTCGAAAAATATTAGCAGTTTATATCATGTATGAGCTAACATAAATTCGAAGACGGAATGGATACCTGTTGGATTTGTCGTTGGCACACCGGCTAGGAAGTTTTCGTAGCACGACATCTGCAAATTGCACGATGAATATTTGAACACAGTGAATCAGTAAATCATTATCATAATAATCGTGTTTTAATTGGCTTAATGAGTTTGACATTTACGAGGAATTCCGCGTGTTTATGGAACAATTCAGTAAACAGCGAAAAAGTACTCAAATGAGCAATACATAAGGTTAATGATTAAAAATCAAAGAAATTCATTTCTGAATAACATGCATAATGAGTTCAATACGAAATGATAAACTCCAGATGGTGTTTGCATTCAATATGATTTTCTTTCTGACTGTTGCACGATCATCCGGATAGATTGCGCATTACTCTAGAATCCCTGATTTCATTTTCGTGTGTAATTTATAAATATAATCTCAGATTTGGAGTAAATTATGGGCTGTTTTCTGTCAATGATGTTTAAGCTGGGATTGGAGTATGTAAGGCGATTGCAAAATGCACACTAACGTAATTTTAATTCGAATCAATCATTCATACTTATTAAGTCAATAAAAATATCGTTTTTCAAGTACTGACATAGTTTACAAAACTTGTTATTTATATAAACGTTTTCAATTATTGTTGAATGTAATATTTTCTTTTAAATAATTATTGTCGACGTTGCGCGACTGCGAAAAATTTGCTAAAGGTAAAAAAAACAATGAAAGTGGTCTCTCTCAAAGTTAATAGTGTAGATTTACAGGCATAAGTATAAGGATAGGTTAAAAGTGCACAGACTTCTTTTAATTTTTTTTTGGAATTTAGCTAATTTTCCGCCGTCGCGCGGTGTTAACAATAACTATTTAAAAGAAAATGTTACGTTCACAAAAAACGAGCACCCCGCGCCGATTTCCGGTGATTTAGCTTCACAGGTTATCCAAAATAACGTACTGTAGTGCAGAAAGTCTGCAAACATAGGTGGCATAAGTTGCCTAACCTCAGCTTTTCTGTTTTTTTTTTCAAGTTTTAAACGAAATGTAATATACACGCATTAACCAAACGATAAAAAAATTAAACTGAGCGAAGAAATATTGGAATACGCACAACTTCTGTTCTTCATATAATCTCATGAATAGTTGCAATAATCGAAATACATTATCCAATTAATCTGCGCCGGGATTATCGCCTTATTGACGCACAAAATACTTATCAAAATGTCATTGTTTTTTTGCAATAAACGAGAAATAGATAGAAGTTCTTTGAGGTAATAGTTTTAATTTTAGATCAATGACTATGATAATACTGACGTATTGGATGAGCAATTTTCATCAATGGATATGGGCAAGCTATTTTCAAGTATTCCAAAATATGAAAAAGGCTCTTTAAACAGTTATAAAATGAAGAAAAACATGATGTATTTGCGCAAGAAACGAATTAACCAAGGGTAATTATGAGCTTAAGTTTGACCTGCACCTGCTCCGCTCAAAATTGTGAACGATCATAATGCTCGTCTGTCTTAAAATATTTCGTGGCGTTTCAGATATTTTTGTTTGTTTGTCGAAAATAACACCTGCACTGTTAATCACTTGAATAAAAAGCTTAATCATCACACGAATGATGAAAAAATAACACAAAATCACTATTTAAATAAGAAGGAAAGGTGCAAAAACTAGTGCAGTCGTTAAAATTATGTTTTTTAGTTAGCTGAAAAAAAGGTCTCGGTGCACACCGCGGCATGTAGCCAAAACTAGGCTAATTTTCAGCTAAAGGTTATCTTTTATGGCATACTGTAATGCGGAAAATATTCTTTAAAAAATATCGACCAAAAATTAAAATTTAAATGAATAATACTTGTGATTACTTGCTCGTGAATGAATGATACACCAAGAAAAATTGTTTTGCCACCGTTTAACATAGTATAATTAACACAAAAATGAAAATGAAAATTTTAATTAAAACTCAATTTTATATATATATAAATATTTAAACTGCTCCGCTGAGATGTTTCCAAATTTAGCAATGACAAACTTTTTGGCGGATGTCGTTTTACGCACACAATTTCCGTTAGTTGTGGGTGTCAAACCTTTCACCTGTCTACTAGCTGTGTCAAAAATCCTTTTAAAATTATGTGATTCAAAACACAAAAATATAAGTTATTTATTCTCAAAAAACACCAAAAAAGGACTTGTCCTTTTCTACATAATTAGTTAAATCTGCACTAAATGTCAATTTTAAATCGAGCTAATTTCTATGTTTCTGCAATCGCGTTTGGTTTTGTCCAATTTCAACGGATTGCCTTCAAAATGAATAAGAAAATTCTCAATTGTGTTCGATTGTTACCTCGTTGATAGTCAAAATTCAAAAGACCAAAAATATGCATAAAAAAGCAAATGGTTAAGGCGAGCAGTACGGTATAAGTGCACGAAAGACAATAATACATGGGCTTGTGCACTTTTTCTAAGTTGAACATTATTTAGGAGCTTGTTGATGGTACTTCTTCCTCTTCTTCGAAATCATCAGCATCCGATTCCGTTGGAGATATCACTAACTCTCTATCGCTTCTGAAAATTAAAAATATCAAGAGCTCATTTGAAATCCAATAAGTTGCTTATGTAATTCATCGGATTATCACTATTCGATAACTCGATTTTCACCTCACTCACTAAAAAAAGGATATTTTCTGCGGCAAAATAATCCTTTATATATTGTCATGCTGATGATTCTATTCAAGGAATTCAACATATGCCATGGGATATTGATGAAAAGCGGTTTAAAAATACTCACTCGACAACAACTGACAACGAAGCAGCCGCTACTCCAGTTTGCGACAAGTCAGGCATTAAAGTACCAACCGATTCCGGCACTGGCAATTCTGGGAGAACTATATGCGGAAACTCTTCTTTGTCCTCTTCATGTGGAACGACTTCAGGCTCTAGTGGTGCTTCGTCACTAGGGCTGGTTCTTCCAAGGTCTAGATGACGAATAGCGCGCCGAACGGCTCTATCGGGACGGTCGAAATACCGCATTTTGTTCGGCAATTCTGGTGGACAAGAAGCACGGAAAAGAGACAACGCGACTTCAGCCTTCTCTAAGTCTTCAGTATTAGTAACAACAGCGCTTCTCTCACGTTGCATCTTTCTAAAAGTATATTTTGGGATTATATTTATGACTTAAGATGCTACCTCTGTTTTAAAAAACGCTTGTCGCTCCAATAGCATCCAGAACCAAAACTACAGAGTGGAGAGCCATCAAAGTGGACAGGAAGCCAATTTTGATCCATTTCATCATAGGTGGCATTCGCCGATTCAGGATTGGGAATTGGCTTAACCGATCCTGTCTGTTCCGTAACAATCTCCGGTTCGTCAATCTCAATCGTCGGCTCTGCACGAAGAGCGGAGATAACAACTTCGACTTCGTCTTTAGTTAGTCGATCACGAATGTCTTTCCAAACGAGATCACGTTCTGGGTAGGCATCAGCGCGCTCTAATGGCTTTAGTCTATAGCCTTGGTCATTAATCATATCGTCCTCACTGGATATCTGAATAGTTATTTTGCATTAGCATTAGGTAATCTTTGTCTTACATCATCATCACTTGCCATATGAAGCTCGAACTCGCTATCACTATCACAAATACGAGTTCTAGAGCACATTGACGAATTGACATCGCGTTTTGGTTGTGGAACTTTAACAGCTGGTTGTTGTACCTGAGAATTTTGATTCAGCACTGGCGCCTCTGGCAAATCTTCAACATCTTCGCTTCCAAAGTCATCTTCCGTATAGTCGTCAAGGCCGGCAATCACGCTCGCATCCTATAATTAAACAATAAAATTCGGATGGAAACTTAATTTTCTTACCGAATTTATTTCATTTGTATTTTGATAAACATTTACCGCTCTCAGGGGGCGAATGATTTGCTTGAATATGAATTATATAATTGATCAACAACACACACTATTAAGTTACCATCATTATAGTTGATGCTGGAATTCGTTCCGCATTTGTCTCAGAAGTCGTGGCTGCAGCTCCTCCACGCGCCCCAATCGCTGTTATTCTATTACGTAATTGGTCACTGATGAAAGGCATTTGCATCACATCAGCGTTGGCCATTACGTTCTGTCTCATAGATCGTAGCACTTCTTCCATATCAACGTCTGGCCCCAATGGCCAGTTCTGCATTATTTGTCCAGCGGTCATAGATGCTCTGCCGGCAGCAGGTCTTTGAGTTCGTCGAGCAAGCATCGGACGTCGGCTAACTCCTCTTGTTGGTGGCTCGTAGCGGTAAGTTTCAGACATAGAATTATGATGCTCATTCCAATGGGACTTCAAATTCTCTGTGTCTCGGTGTGAGCTGTGCTCCATATCTGGAGTGGCGATACAAACCGGACAGATCTCAAAAATGGTAGGATACTAGACAGCTTAAAAACCCCTATGTGTAATTACCACGTTATAAGGCGGCGGATTAACATGCACGGAAGTTACATGAGACCCGAACCCTCTGACACTGAACCCGTGTTCATTGCAATATGGGCAAGTGAAAACCGCAATTTTCATTTGCTCGTAGTTTTTCGTTGGATCTGAACCATACACGTGTTCTAAAAATTCAAAATACAATTTTAATAATAATAGATAAATTCTGGTACCAAAATCCGATTGTGTAAGAATTAATTGCATTGGGTGGGCTTCGTCATGAATTGTAGCATTCGGAGTTCGTTGTTGTTCGCCAAAATTGTTCGAAAGGAAGCAACCTTGGCATAAATCATAATCGTTACATCGCAGACATTTATAACGATTTCCACCAAAAGCTGTTATATTACAGCCATCGCAGGAAACTCCTAAAATTAATTTAAATGTTGAAATACACGAAAGCCTTGAAGAACCTTCATGGCAGCGTTGAGAATCGATAATGAGTGCCATCCAATATTTCTAAGCCACTCTGCAAATAATTAAATTTTAATGGATTGAATATGACAAAAAAACATTATAAAAATCCTTGTATAAAAAACAATATTAAAATATACGGAATTTTTCGTGAAATAACAGAAAATAACAGGAATCGGGCGATCTCGTATAAACAGATAGAATGGATTAAAGGCGCATATAGCGTCAAATGACCTGGGTCTCGCCGCGGTCACACATTTCTCATTTATTTTCTATTTGGACTAGCATATTTTCACGAAAAATACTGCTTTTAGCGTTTAGTATCTATCTTTCACGTTTTAATAAAGAGAATATTAAATTTTAAATATTTAAGTTAGCAGTAGTCATAAATTCAATATACGACTCTTGTTTTATTACGAAATTGACTGCAATTCATTCTAGTATTCAATTTTAATGTAAAGATTGCTATTTTTAAATATTGTTCAATAAAAATACCATCTTATATTTGTTTTTGAAGTTGAATATTTGTTAAATATGCGATTTAAATGAATATTTATTATTTTTTTAATGTTTCCGGTCTAAATAATAATTTTTTCTATAACTTACAGACTTGTCAATAGTTCTCTTAACTGGTAATAAAGAGCGATGGCTCCTAATTATTTTCAAAAGCCGGAAGCTGCATTGAAACGAGCGCAAGAACTCATTCAAGTTGGAAAAGATGCTGATGCGTTAGATACTCTTCACGATACGATCAAGGTTTGTGAACTTACTAATCAACGTTTTATAATAATAAACATTTTAGGCAAAAAGGCATAAACAATGGACTACTGTCCACGAACAAATTATGATTAAGCACATGGAGCTTTGTGTAGAACTAAAAAAGCATCATTTAGCGAAAGACGCACTATTCCAATATAAGGCTCTAACACAACAGGTAGAATACCAGGATCCTTTTTTTCTATTTGTCTTTATAAATTTTCTCAGGTCAATGTAAAATCTTTGGAGACTGTCATCGAGCATTTTTTGAAATTAGCTGAACAGAAAACCGAAGAAGCGCAAAAACAATCTATTGACAAAGTTGAAGAAATTGGAGATCTTGACCAAGGAGATGTTCCGGAAAGGCTTCTTCTTGCAGTCGTTTCTGGAGCCGCTGCTCAAGATAGAATGGATCGAACCGTGTTGGCACCATGGCTTCGATTTCTTTGGGACTCGTACAGGAATTGCCTTGAGCTTCTTCGAAACAATGCTCAAGTTGAGCACCTCTATCATCATATTAGTAGGCAATCATTCAATTTCTGCTTAAAATATCAAAGAAGAACCGAGTTCCGGAAGCTTTGCGATCTGCTGAGAATGCATTTGAATCATATTCAAAAACATCAATATATGGCCCATGTGTATGCTTATATTTACAAAAAAACACTAATGAATTGATTTATAGTGTCAAACTCACTTCACCTGAATCTCTTGCCCTTATGCAGGAAACACGATTGTACCAGTTGGATACAGCTATTCAAATGGAATTGTGGCAAGAAGCTTATAAGTAAGAATCAACATCAATCGTAATACTGGGTTTAATCGATTTTTAGGAGTGCTGAGGATGTTCACGGTATGATGCAACTTTCTAAAGACAAAGACAAAAGGACCGTGAAACCGTCGAGCTACGTCAATTATTATGATAAACTCGCCCTTGTTTTCTGGAAAGCTGGAAACTCGCTGTTCCACGCTGCTGCTCTTTTGCAAAAATATATTATATACAAAGATATGAAGAAGCTGTTTACACCGGAGGAAGCACAAGAACAAGCGAGTCGTGTTCTTCTCGCTACCTTGTCCATTCCGGAGGGTGCCGATGCTCCGTCTGATTTGGCTCGCAATTTGGATATTGAGGAGCAACATGTGGCCAACATGAGGCTTCTATCGAACCTCCTCCGTTTGCCGATTGCCCCTACCAAAGCTGGAATTCTCAAAGAAGCCGCAAGAATTGGTGTTCCTGAAGCTGCAAGCAGCACTGCTACTGAACTCTATAAGCTTCTGGAGAACAACTTTTCTCCATTGAGGCAAGTTGGTTTAGATAGCTAAAAATACCAATGGTTTTTAGAATCGCTATGGATGTTCAGGCAGTTTTGAATACTATTGAGCGACCAGATCATCTTCAATATGTTGAATCTCTTCAGTCGGTTGCCGCAATCATGACGTTGAAGCAGGTTTGTGCATCAGCGATTAATCTCCGTAAAATAAATCAGTTTTAAGGTCTCTGTGATTTATGATTCCATTAGTTGGGAGCGCATCCGAAAGGTTATTCCGTTCTATTCCGACTTGGAATTGGAGAGGATTGTCGTTGAAGCCAGTAAACATCGTGTTGTGAAGGCCCAGCTTGATCACCGTTCAGACTGTGTTCGTTTCGGATCGGCAGAGGTAACTCTTGCTGGAGGATTCGATTTGGAAGAGACGGAAGGCTTCACAGGTATATGAGAGCTTAATCGATTTATCACTCTAACCAAATTTGTAGGAGATGACACACAGCTCGGAGTTGAAGGAATCCGCAATCACCTGGAACTCATGTACGTGAAACTTCGTTCAATTGCTTATCAGCTTGACGGAGAGAAACGAAAGAAAGAGCTTATTACAAGAATCGAGAATCATGCTCAAAATTACGAACGCCACCGACCGCAGGAGATCGAACGTATTCAACAAAGAAGAAAGAAGTTGGAAAACTACAAAGAAAACTGGGAACGCGTCAAGGCTGAAAAGACTGCTCAAGCTCAAAGCGAAGCTGCAAAACGCGAGGAAAGCATGCGAGCTGACGAGATGAAGCGACTCGAAGAGCAAAATAAGGAAAGCGAAAAGAAGAGAAAACTCGCTGAGCAGGAAGAAGTCCAAAGAAAGATAAAGCAAGATCAACTCAAGAAAATGCAGCAGAATGCCATTTACCAAGCCATCATCAAGGAGAAGGGACTAGATCAATTCCAGGATATGGATCCCGAGCAAGTTTTGCGCGAGCAGCGCGAACGCCTTGATCGTGAGCGCGCTGAAACGCAGAAACGTCTTCAACAACAGGATAAGAACTTCGATCACCACATTCGAGCAATTCATCTGGAGGAAATGCAAGAGCGTCGTGCTATTATGAGCAAGCGAGCTGCGCAAGCTCCACTTATCCACCAGAAGAACGAGGAAGCTCGAATTGCGAAAGAAATGTTAGTCCTGATTTAGATTGTTTTTGTTTAGTTTTTATTTCTAGTGCTAACCATGAGAAGGAGGTGAGGATTTGGACTCTTTGGGAACAAGTTCGCAACCAAGCCGAGGATTGGATTGCCAAGGTTAAAGAAGACAATGCTGATGTCTTTAAGCAGAAGGTTTTTAGAATATAATGTATAGGGTAACGGACTTACTGTGTTTCTTTTAGATTTCCGATTGGGAAGCTAAGCTGGAGGCTGTACGTAACGCGCGACTCGCTGAACGCGCTGAAAAACGTAAGAAGGAGCGCAAAGAGCAACGTCAAAAAGAAAAAGCCGAGGAAGAGCGAAAGAAGCGCGAAGAGGAAGAGCGCGCTCGCCAGCAAGTTATCGAGGAACAACGTCGTCAACGCGACAATCGCGAACCGCGTCGTATGCGTGACGAAGACTCTGCCGCAAACCGCGACTCGAACTGGAGAACTGGTGGAGGTGTTCCAAGTCGTGCTCGTGAAGAGCCCAGAGAAAGATCATTCCGTGATGAACGACCACCACTTCGCGAACGTGACAATGCGCCGGCGTCTTATGCCGATCAAGACAATTCTTGGAGAAGAAATGCTGCGCCGGTGGCAGGTTAATTAAAAATTGTACTAAAGTTGAAATAACGTTTTTTATAGCCGCTCCTCGTGTTGTTGAAGAGCGTCGACGATACGAAATTCCGTCCAGACACAGTGGACAATTAGAGAATTCCGAAGTTTGGACTCGTGGTAACACCGTGTCAGCTGTTAAATCGACCAGCTCTACACCTCCTCCCGCTGAAGCAAAGCCGGGCAAATTTATTCCATCGCGGTTGAGGAATCAACAGACGGGAGCCGCCGCCGGACAAACGGATCCACCGAAGCCAACTGGACATCCACCAAGAAGGGATTTCGGAGGCCCGAGACGAGATGGACCAAGTCGCCCAATTGGAAGATCGAATGCTGATTCTGTTGACAGTTGGAGAAAATAGATTATATCACATTTTTTTGCTGGGTTTGTTTTTATTACGTTTATTTTTATTTCTTAGTATACTTGTTATGCCAAAATCACATCTATCGTGGTAGTTTTGTTCAACAAATACCGAAACTGTTTTTGTTTTGTTAATCATTAAACGTCTATTTATAATTCTATCGTTCCCGTCTTGTTTTTTTTACTATTCTTAATACCGGCAAAACCCTGTGGAATAAATTCGTTTATTTCAGCATGATTGTAATTTGAATAGTATAATAACAGATATCATTGCAGTAATCATTTAAGAATCGCATTAGTAATAGGATTTCATTTTCGATTCCATTTAAAGATTTTGAAAACGTTTCTAACTTCACTGTCTTTCGATTTAGCAGTAGTCGTGCTCTCGGCCGATGAGCTTGCCGAAGACGATGAAGCCGATGGGATCTTCTTCTTTTCCTTCGCCTCTCTGGCGCGCTCCTTTTCCTTGTTTTTTCGAATCTTTTCGAGGAGCTTCTGCTTACGAGTTCGCGTCTCTCGACGCTTCCGCACCTTTATGCGTTTCTTTCGGCAAATCCTGCAATGAATTCGGGATGACACAAAGCAAATCGGCAAATTTTTATCGGAACAGAAAACACGCGAAACGGTGCATCGCCGATTTGAGCGCTCGCACGAGCGCCACCCAAAAGTCGATCACGTGTGCACCATTGGCAACGCTGCGTGATGACAAAAATCGAGTAAACCTTTCCGGTGCCCTCATGAACATTTCAGCATTCTTTGGCGGAGGGGTCCCAAAATACGAGCCGATAAAAACCGGAATGCCTGAAAATCGGAAATCAATCGGCCATTATACGACAAAGAGACCGTCAAGGTTTATAATATAAGAGAACGGCGAGTCGATTCGCATCGAGTATGGTTGGCTCTTTTCGAATAGCAAATTTTTTGGCGGACCACCATGCAACTCTTCATGCGGCTGAAAAAAAACGTATTGAAACGAGAGAAATTCCAAAAACAATCAAGAATCTAATTATACCATTTTTTTCGACGTCTTCACCGAATCGCGAATTCCGTTTTCATTGATTGATAAATTGGACCAATGCCACAGAGAGCCAATCGGTGGAAGTTTCGACGTTTGTCCAAGATCAGGATGAACACCTTGCCGAATAAGGTTCTTCCACAAATCGTGACGAGACGAGACGCTGAATGATGGTAGAAGTATGAGTCCCGTGTGCTCCTACAAATCGATTACACAATCATTGCATCTGACAGAATCTGACTTTTGAGTTATCTAGTGTATTCACAATACTTTGAAGCGATGTAGTCGTCAAGGTCAGATTCTCATAAGGAAGTTGTCCAACACAATGCGGGCGCATAATAATAATTGATCCTTTTGTCAGTTTCGAATCATTCGTCATGAAATCAAATTGAATTATCTGAAGACCCATTGTCTACAGACGATCAACATTTGGTTGGTCAATTCAACCTCAAATGCTTCATTTCGCGTTTTGCGATATCTTGTTTTAAGTTCGAAGAATGGCTCGAAATTCGATTTTGAGTAGGTGCACGAGAATCGCGCTTTTCCGATGGCTCGCGCTTTTCCGAACCATGTCGTCTCGAGACCAGTTGAACAATAAGCATTTGTCGTCAGAAGATTTGCTCGTTGAATGCTCACAGGCGAAAAGCACAATGAGCAGAGATATCGTTGAAGGCGCGATGGGCGAATTGAAAAAAACACCTAAATTGATCATTTCAAATCCAAAAATTATATCATTTTTTCATCGCCAACTTGTTGCCCAACTATCATTTTGCTCTCCTTCATAAGCGATTTGCAAACCGTTGTCGTTTTCTCTTCGTCGACTAAAAACTGAACGAACGTGAAGAATCCGTTCTTGGTTGTGAGCTTCTTCAGCGACTTCGAGATTCGTTCGAGATCTGCATGACGAAAAACGGACGAATTGAACTTTCACACCCAGTTTTAACCACGAAAATCGGATTCGGCGAGTTGGAACAATGACTTCAGATGCTTCTTCATTTTGTCCTCACACGCCATGTAAATAATTATGAATATCTGAAGAGACGGAAGAACACAGTACACCTGAAAATTAAAGAGAAACGATACAATTGCAGAAAAGCTGAATCTACCATATTGAATTGAGGGTTTTTTGCAAAAATTGGGCATTTTGCTGAGAAACATGACGACATCCACCTGGAAAAATAAATAATAATCCTCTAGACGAAGGTTGTCCCATAAGATTGCCTGTAAACTATTTCATCTGATTCCGACGTTTCTGACAAAGTCGATGACTGATGACCCTTTACCAAATTGAGTACTTTCTAAAAGTTATAAGTATCAAATTGACAAAAAAATACATTCAATCGAATATTCATTACTTTGAATGGGTTCCAGTTTGTTTTCGTTTTTTTAACAGAGCCGTTTGAGCCGCATGAACTATTATTTCGTTGCTTCTTATGTATCCCACCTGCTTAATTAAACTACAGATAATCAAATAAGCGGAGCGCCAAAAACCTTCCGAGGCTGTTTCGACGGATCCTGAAGACATTAAAAATGACGAGAAATGATAGGACACGCTTTATCATTTCTATTTGTTCACGTTGATTCATGAAGAATGCAAAAATGAAAAATCATTTCATTTTTCTTCAATGATTACGTCAACCAATTAATCAAGACTATCCATTTTTGATTAATCATTTTCTATAAAAATATGGAAAAGAAGCCGTTAGAGCATAATAATAATTCAAAGCCTAAATATCAAGTAAATGTGTTAAACTCTTTGAAATGAATTTTAAAACATTCCATTAACAGAATATTTCGAAGGAAGATATCGTCCACGATGAAGAAGTTGCAGCCATCATTCATCGGATTGTTTCAGCTCCAGTCGTGTTTAGCTTAGTCTCGTCGTCTGATGAGTACGTTGAATCAACGCAAATCAATGAAAATCGAAAATTGCAGAACAAATAAAATGCAAAAAGTTTATGAATTAAAAGCAGACATTAGTGTGAATGAGATGATTTCGCTATGCGATAAAATGAAGAAGTGCTTTCTCGAGTCCGACGTTCTCCTAAACATTGATTCGTAAAATGACGAAATGATAAAAAAGAATTCATTGAGCAGGTTTCAGCTCGTCTCCTATTTGTGTCGTCGCTGATCTTCATGGTCAAGCTGTTCATCTTCTGAGAATTTTGAGAACTTGTGGTTCACCGCCGGCCCAACGGTACATCTTTCTCGGTGATTATGTAGATCGAGGCTCGCAAGGAATTTTAATATTGTGCCTGTTGTTCTGCATGAAGTACCGGTATCCCAAGCATGTTTACTTGCTTCGCGGCAATCATGAAGACGTTAATACAACACTAAATTATGGGTGAGACGCGTTCAACAAATATTCTTTCAATGGAATTGATTTTAGATTTTATGAAGAATGCATTCAGAGGTTTGCGACAACTTCTGATGATCTTGTCACCGGCGAGAAAGTCTGGCGGGCATGCATCGAAACGTTCAACACGATGCCGTTGGCAGCTCTTCTCGACAAGAAGATTTTCTGTTGTCACGGCGGAATTTCGCCGTTCATGTCTTCCTTGCAGGACATCCAGAAAATCGAGCGGCCGCTTATTATCCCGCCGTTCGGGTTAGCTTGCGATTTGCTATGGTCCGATCCATCGAACAACGGAAACGAAGGATGGGCGCTGAGTCATCGCGGCATTTCCTTCACTTACGGATTTGACACAGCCGAAGAATTTTGTAAGAAAAATAATGTACACTTGATAATCCGAGGCCACCAATTGTTTCGCGAACTGTATGCGACCGGCTATGTTTTCCGGTTTGGCGGAATTCTAATTTCATTATTTTCCGCTTTGAATTATGAGAATCATCGCAATAACGCGGCAGTTATCAAAATTAATTTTAAAAGTTCGGTGAGAAATTTCCCACTAGAAGTACAAAAATGAGAAAAATTCATACTCAGATTGAGGTCACACCTATTGTGTTCCGCTGTAGACATTACGTACCACAAAAACCGGTAAGACAATAATATGTAGATACTTTAAACATTTATCTCGTGCCTTAAGTCGGAGACAATCGGATACAAAGATTGGGAGTATCGTCAAAACGCCATAAAAAATAAGAAAGAGTATGTTTGCAAAAGAATTCCATTAAAAAGAGCACAGAACAATAATTATCTATCTTCAGTTCTGTTTCAATTAGTGGCAACAAAAGCGAAAAAGTGCGCACAAGGCATGATGGATAATCAAAATTTATTACTCAATGAAACGAATAAAATTTCAAAACTGTTGGTTTTTTGACGCACTATTAATACGGAGTAATATTAGAAATTCTCAAAATTATGATGAGATAAAAAGACAGAACCAAAAATTGGGCAAAACGATTTGGCACGATTTTTGATTCACAATAAAACAACCGAAAACGATTTTTCATTTTGTGAATGAAAGCTAGAAACGTTTGGATAAATAGCAATTTGAGGATCAGTGAATGGGGATTTATCGTACGAATTGCGTACAAATCACCGTCATGTTGTCACAACCTGTACCATCGCCGTCAGTCGAATCGGCAAGGCAAACGTCGCACAGAGCATCGCAAACTTCCGTGCACGATTTTCCTCGGGACAGAAGGTCTCGCGCAAAATCGACAACTTGCTGAGAGTCCATCGAGTTCCTGAAATTCAATTTTTCCCCTCCATTTTTAGTTTTAATCATTGTTATCGGGTAATTAATTCTTATCAATAATTTTTAGCCACACCACATACCAAATTCCGTCACAGGCAACAATCAAAAATTCGTCTTCGGGTGTCAGCTTCTCGATTTTCACATCAGGCAGAGCGCTGAAAAAATGCAATTAAAGACAGGCATTAACAATATTCTAAAAACCTGATCATTTGGTCTTTGAGTGGGATATCGGTATTCTTTTTATAGGAATGATCTCCCAGAGCACGAGACAAATTGAGGCCGCCGTTTACTCTGAATTTCAATTCAATTTAGATTTACAAGAAAACTGCGTACCTTCCGTCTTCGATAGTGCCGCCAGCCGCGTGAATTCTTTGAGATTCTCCTTCGTCTTCTGGTTTATGATCCACCGAAAGATCAACGGCTTTCCCGGCACGGCAGAGAACCGCTCTTGAATCTCCCGCATTTGCAACAATTATTTTTTCAGAATTCATTAAACAAACACAAGCTGTCGTTCCCGAATCGTCTCCAGGAACTTCAGCTCCACTACCCAGCATAAACTGAAAATCTTAAATTAAAATTAAAATTAAAAGCTTTGGAACCCTCGACAAATCAGATTCATCTTCATCCTCGCTAAATTCTTCCTCTTCATCTTCATCCTCTTCTTCCTCTTCTGCGACAAAATCGTGATCCTCCTCGTCTTCGTCGTCATCTTCTCCTTTCACTTCGGCAGATCCTCTATAAATTTATTGTGTTGTTACATTACTCAATTTTTGTTGAAATACGTTGAAGCTGTCGGTTGATCGGTGCTTGTTTTCGGTAAAATTTCAGCTGATTTCTCTTCTTTATTGGCTGTAGTAGAATCTTTTTCTTCCTCCTCTTGGGGTTCTTTTTTCCTGCAAAGTTCTTTGCGATGAGCCCCTATTAAACAAGCAAACTCTTTAATATCTGCGGCCTGTTCTTCGCTATTCTCATCAGATTTAGATTTCTTGGCACTAAGCTGGATGGGTGACTTACTGCAGCGTTTCTTCACTTGTTTCTTAGTCTCAGCCTCATTTTTTGACTCTCCCTGAATTAAAAATAAAATAAAAAAATGTTTTTTTTTTTAATTTCTAAAAATGAGAAAACTGCAATATAGCTGTTTTTTTTTTTCTATTTTTATAACTTTTCTCTTTTTTGATGCTTTTTTTATTACGTTTTCAGCTTCTTGTCCTTCTTCTTTTTCATTTTCTTCCCCTTCTTTATTTTCTTCCACATCTTCTTCCTCTTCTTCATCTTCTTCGTCCTCATATTCTTCATCATCGCCAGTACCTTCGCTTTCACGAAGGTGTTTCGCAAACGCGGCAGCTAGAGGAACACCATTTGACTGTGCAGAAAATCCATATCTGGAAAATAAATTATCTGTTAAAAAAAAAAGTGATTTTTTGTCACTTTTTAATTAACTCGTGCAATGGGAGAGAACTCTCTTCAATTGTTTCGATGCGATCAGCCTCATCCTCCGATTCATTCCCTTTGTCTGCCTTTTCCGGGTTTGCCAGATACTGAATATAATTATTAGATGATATAGTAATTAATTCGGTTTACAGCGAGATCTTTCATTGCATTCTCGGACCTGAGAAAATCGTCGAAATCTACAAAAGCCTTTTGCAAGCAAGCCTCAATGTCGTCTTCTTCCCAAAATTTTCTAAACATGAATAATCGGCAGTGAAACATTATTAATGTATTGAAAAATAATATTACCGTTCTTTTAAGAAATTCGGAAATTTGTCGGCTGTGAACTTGGCTACTTCACTTCCACCATGACCATCGTACACGGCAAACATGTTCCAATCATTATGAATATTAATGACACAGTTGTGTGCATCCTGAAACGCCATTTTTACGCTGAAAAGAACAATGGTTTACCTCTTGGTTTGCCCGCCACCCTTGCATAGTGGTGCAGGCATATTTGAGTCCATTTCCATCCCCAACTTCACGCGACTTCTCCACAATCGGTTTATTCAAGTATGCTCCCATTGCTTATTCACTTTAGAGCATGAGTTGTTAAAGATGTCTGAAAAATACAGTGATAAAAAGGTAATTGTTTAACTTTGGCCTAAATATGAATATGAATTGTTGCTAAAAATAGGATATGCGCGTATTTCGGTTACGATAAAAATAATACTTTTTTTCACAAAAATAGAACTAGAAACTTATAAAAAAGTTGAAATCATTGTCAAATTTGACGGCGGGAAATCACTAAAATTCAAGATTACGCGACGCCGGGCAAATCCTAGGCCACGAAAAAGCCGGCCACGTCCAACGGAGCGCGAAGCGTTCACCTTGAAATTTCCGTGGCGGGTTTTGCCGCGACCATCAATATTCTTGTTGATTGACTGAATCGTGTGACTCATTGCGTGAAATTTAGAAACAATGCGATGCCGTCGCTTGTGGCATTCGGTCGAAAATGGAACATTGGCAGTGATGATTTCGTATTCCCCGAAATAACAGAAGCTTTCGTCCGGATATCATGGTGAGAATTTTATTCAACTTTGCTTACGATGTTCAAATTTTTAAAATATTTTGAAAGACTAATTTAAATATTTGAAAAATCGATTCTTTAAACAAATCTTGCGAATTTATAAATATTACGAAATCGCACATATAAATAATTGTATTTATTTGGAATATTTATTTGAAATATTTCGAAATATAATGAAGCAAAAGCGTTTTCTAATTTATCAGGTGAATGAATAATATTTAATGAATAATAATCTAAGGAAAAAATCTAATTAAATGTGATGAAATGTAAATCAAATTAGTTTGTTCCTCCGTAGATTAATAAATTCCAGTAAATGCGATCCTTCAAACATTGAATTTTAGGGTTGTATTTGGCGTATGCGTTTTCGTTTTCCATTTCCCTCTGTCATGTTCTTCTCAAAACTTCAACCTCCACCTACTCGTCTTATTAATTATAAATATTGTAACTATATTATTAGGTAATGCTTTTATTATATTTCATCATGTAAAATGGAGGCGTTGTTTTTTTTTTTCTAGCTCTTCTAACCTCTGTATTATCTGCGCGAGGTCGAATTATGGACCCGAACGCAAGAAAAGCTGTGCCATTTCTTCTTCATTTAAGACTTCCAATCTTCATAACCGAAATCGTGTGGACAGTCGTCGCTACGGTGCATGCCGGAAGATCGACAATGGGAGATGCTGGTTGTCATTTTTCAACATTAGTTTGGATAACAATTGCACTTGAATGGGCTCTTATTCTAGTCGGAGTTATTGGAATTATATTTGTCTTCAATTTGACTGATGAAGAAATTGAGGACAATCAGCGAGTTTCATCAAGTTCCTGGTCTCGGCGGTTGCGCATTGTAAGACATTTAAAAGTTTAATTTGTATATATTTTTTCTTTAGTTTAAAATTGGTCAAGACAACCTTATGAGAGAGGCGATCGATGAATTGGCCTTGTTGTTATCATCATTTTTTGTTGATTATGATCTAGTTCTCAGCGACGCAGTGGCTGGACTACTTCTCGTTTATCATTCACCAAATAATCAGTATTCTCCAATTATAGAAGTTGTTCCAGGTTAGAGGTTCTCATTTTTGTAAAACGGAAATTCGATGACCTGGACAGACTTCAATGTCGTTTTTTGTTTATTTTTTTCAAACAAAAAACAACGCCTGAAAATCTTTCTGGTTAATAATCGTTTAAGAATTTATGAAATATACATATTGTGAAGAAAATTTAATTTTTCAGAAAACAAACCGGCATGGATGACATTGAAAGAAGCCGAATATTATTTTCATCATGCTACATGCGTATACGGATGGCCGACATACCTCCTCTACAACTTCAATATTCACTCAATCTTTCGTCTCAGCAGACGCCTTCAATTCTGCGGTGAATGGAGATGCGCACAGGTAAAATTTTCGACGCAATCTTCCCCAATATCCACATTTGTTTGTGTTTGTTAACGCGTGTTACGTTATTTAATCTATATTGTAAATCTCAACAACGAAAAAATTTTGTCTTAGACAAATTTTCAAAAAGATGAAATTGAAATGCTGGAAGCTGTCGATGGTTCCGGAAAATTGTATAAAGTGAGTTCTGGTTGTCTGTGTGTCCACGTTTTTCCGCCAACGCGCATAATCCAATAATTTGAATTTCGCATTCGGGTTTTCAGGGAAAATCTATGATCATTGAAGACAACTGTTGTTACTGCAACACGGCAGCGGTAATTTTAGCGAATGAACGGAGAAATGTCGACCTTGTCCTTATGTCCTACCGCAATCGGTTGTACGAAGTGCCGTTTACAGTAATAGCTGATCATGAGCGTCGAGCAGTAGTCATTTCGATTCGAGGTTCATGTTCGCTTATTGATCTCGTCACTGACTTGTGTCTTGGTAATCTTAAATTATAATTATGCTAAACAGGGAAGTAATTACAGAAGATGAGGCCATGTCTGTAGATGTTGATCAAGACGCAACCCTACAAATGGATGACTCTTTAGATCGAAGAGGTGATGTTCGAGTTCATCGTGGGATGTTAAGGAGCGCACGATATATTTTTGAAATACTTGAGTATGAAAATAGACATATCTCATAGATTCTATTTTTTTAAGAAAGCACAAGGTACTTGAAGATGTTTTTGTGGTGAATCCTGGATATCAATTAGTTGTTACTGGTCATTCACTCGGTGCTGGTGTCGGTTCTCTTCTCACATGGCTTCTGAAGTTTGTTTTCAAAGTGAAATCATCTTCATTTTAAAAATCATTAAAGGCAAGAATATCCTGATATCAAATGTTTTGCTTTTTCGCCTCCGGGATGTGTTATTAGCGAATACGGGCAAGATGAAATGGAAAAATACGTGATGAGCGTAGTCTCTGGCGACGATATAATATCAAGAATGTCATATCAAGTTTGAGAAATATCAAAAAATCCATTTTAAGTAATTCGTTTCAGTCGCTCAAAAAACTGTTCGATAAAGTGTTTGCGGAGCTCGTGGCGTGCCAGAGAGAGAAATATAAAATTCTGATACGAGGCGTCTACCAGCTTTTCTTTAAATATCCATGGGAAGACGAAGGACTTGGTGGTCACACCGGATTGAATGCGGGAAGCGATCCAGAAGCAGCGATATTGTTCAGAAGGCAAAATTACGGGTGTATAGATGACCCAAGCCTTCCGCGGCGAATGCAATTATACGCCCCTGGACGAATCGTATATCTTTCTGAAAACGAGGGAGTCACAAAGCATCAGTGGATTGATCCCAAGTGCCTCAACGATATCAAACTATCAGTATCGGTGTTCTCGGATCATATGATCGCCAGTGTTCAGCGATTTTTGAAGAATGCTATCGACGCAAGTTGTGCATCGGAGTCCGAAGTTATAGTATCCCAGCCAATTTAATTTAACATAATCATGTAAAAACAAACTTATATTGTTTTGCGAGAATGCTCTAATTAGTAGCGGTTAGATTATCTAATGCATTTTCGATCATTCTGTTGTATAATTATAAATAGAAGATCTTAAAGAGATTCTTTATGCATATTTATAAATAACTAACATTTATACATTGTTTTTCTTTCGAAATACAGGTTTTGTACGCCTATATGATTTATTAGAGAACTATAATTTAAACAAATGATGGTGTGAATCTTCCAGAATGCTTGAGCCAGGGGATTTGATTTTTCATGTTAGCACGTCAGGGGAATCTGATTTTTGTAATGCTGTAGCTCAAGTAGTCCAGGAAAATAGTTGCTATCACGTTGGAATTGTTTCTTTCGACAAAAAGATAATTGAATGTGATTTAGAAGGTGTGATAAAACAAGATTTGCAAATCTCGATTAGTAAAAGCCGCTTGATTGAGATTTTAAGAGCGGATATTCCAAAAGTCGAAAGAGAAAATGCTGCGAGAATAGCTGAATCGAAAATCGGTTGTCCTTATAATGACTTGTTCTCACCGGATTTAAGAAATTCCGATAACGTTGAATCGTATTACTGCAGTCAGATTATCACCGAAGCATTTAAATCATCAAATATCCCTTGGCCCTCGCATTCGCTCAATTTCAACGACTCTCATGGAAATTTAATTGAATATTGGAGGGAGTATTTTGAAAAAAGAGGTCGAAAAGTTCCTCAAGGAGTCGAGGGTTCACATCCAGCACAGCTTCGAAAGTGCCGACTACTGACGGCAAATTTCTTATATTTTTTTGTATATGTTTACCAAAAAATTTTTCAGATTGTTATGAGGATACTCCCAGGAACAATTAATTTAAAATCCCTCAAGGATAGTAGAATAATTGAGGCGAGTAATTGGGTCGGTGGACAAGTAGTGCAACTATCATCAGGAAAATCATTTGATCTGATTGAACCGAGAAGCGGTATAGACCAATTTCACAAGGGAATCGCATAATTTTTGAAAATTTAAAGGAAAAACACTTTCGAAATGGGAATTTGCCAATTGTAGTCAGGTTGATTCTGTTGTAAAGCTTGCGAAAAAAGCGCAGTTATCCTGGGCATCATCCACGTGGATGGAGCGAAGCAATGTGCTCCGACGAGCCGCTCAACTCCTTCAAATTCATTGCGATGAAATTGCGTATTGGGAATCAGTGGATAATGGCAAACCGATATACGAGGCAAAAGCCGACGTGCTCTCATGCGTTGACACCTTCACATTTTATTCTGGAGTCGGTATTAAACATTTCAACGTTGAAATTTAAATATGCCCATGTTTAGCGCAAAACCTTCTTGGCAAACACGTTCCGTTGGACTCGGCAAGATACGCGTATACCAAAAGGGTACCGGTTGGAGTTGTTGCTTCCATCGGCGCATGGAACTATCCAATTCAAACTTGCTCCTGGAAAACGGCCCCAGCTCTCGCCTGCGGAAATGCCGTCATTTACAAGCCAAGTCCATTGAGTCCAGTGTCGCCAGTTATATTAGGGGCTGTTTTAAAAGAAGCAGGGCTTCCAGATGGAGTCTACAATGTTATTCAGGTAGATAACAGTCTCGACATTTGCATTCATTATTTTTTAGGGCGACGCAGAAACTGCTCAAACGCTACTTGAACATGAGCTTGTTTCAAAGGTGTCGTTCACTGGAAGTATTCCAACGGGAAAGAAAATTATGAAAGCTTGCGCAGAGAGGAATATCAAGCCAGTAACATTGGAACTTGGCGGCAAATCGTCTATAATTATTTTCGATGATTCCGACATTGACACTGCGGTTTCGTGCGCAATGATGGCTAATTTCTACAGTCAAGGCCAAGTTTGCTCCAATGCCAGTAAGGTGAAAACTTGAAACATATGTCGAGAAGTTGACGCCTAAATTTTTAGGTGCTTGTTCAAAAAAAAATTCTCGATGAATTCACAAGAAAGTTGGTGGAGAAAACAAAAAAAATGAAAGTTGGCGATCCGCTTGAAGAATCCACAAAAGTCGGAGCACATATTTCTGCAGAGCATCGGAACAAAGTCGAAGCTTATATAGCAGAAGCGATTGGGGAAGGAGCAGTGAAACTTTGCGGTGGCGAGCGAATTTCTGTAACTGGTTTGGAGAATGGTTTCTATCTTTCGCCATGTATTCTTTCCAATATAACTAGAAATATGAGGGTTTACAAGTGAGGCTACCAATCATTTTTTTTTAAATTTGAAGATACATTTTCAGTGAAGAAATATTCGGAAGTGTTCTCTTAATTATTCCTTTCGACACAGAGGAAGAAGCTATTGAATTGGCCAATGATACAAAGATGGGGCTGGCTGCGGGAATTGTTACTCGGAGTTTGGCGAAAACCGCACGGGTTGTAGACAGATTGAACGCCGGAAATGTTTATGTCAACACTTACAATGATGTTTGTAAGTTTTTCTTTTTTTTGTTGAGAAAAATACTTCAGGGTTTATAAGAGAAAATCATTTTCAGCGCCATTTGTGCCGTTTGGAGGAATGGGCGAGTCTGGTTTCGGACGTGAAAATGGCACCTCTGTCCTCGAGCATTACACGCAAATTAAGTCAGTGTTTGTGAACACTGAAAATTGTGATAATCCCTTCTAATCACACATTCCAGTTTCAGTATAAAAGATTTATGCAAGAAACTTATAATTGGCTACTAATACATGGACGAGTGAATAGTGTTATGAATTTGAAAAACAATAGCAAAAAAAGGCAGTTTCTGAGCAATATGGGGGATTCTCTAGATAAAACATATTTATGTTTAATATGTATGTATTATGTATGTATATTATCAGTTGGCACTTTGTTGAAAAGGGGGAAAAGAACAGCTAGGTGGAAAAGAAGGTGAAGGGTATACAACAAAAAAACTGAATGCAAATGGAATTTTTTGAGTGCGACTTTTTCAACAATATTTTTGGAGCACCGAAACGTAATTGTAATGGAAGGATTGGGGGTGGGGGGGGGAGGAGGAGAGGTGGAATACGGTCACCGGGACGACGGAGGCAAGAATTCTGATCTAGCGGCGGCGGCGATCGTCGAACGTCTGCTCGCGTTTGTAGTTGTATTCTTGCGACGCCTCGCTGAAGTCAACTGGCTTTCCGTCGCGTCCAACCCGCTTTCCACTATTTGCGTGACGTTCCTTGTTGAATGTCTCGTAGCCTCCTGGCAATTGTTCCGTTCGATGATCTCTCTCGTTCCTAAAAAAAGAGTAGCCGACGGTGAGATGAATCGAATAGCGTTTAACTCACATGTTTCCAGCTGGCATTGGCATCAGAAGAGAGTCGCGAAACTCGGCTTCAAGGCGGCCGATATCATCATCGTAACGACGAACCTCGCGTCCGAATCCGGCACGACCGGCATCGTCCCAATCGGCGTAGCTGCGCGACTTGCTTACCGGACGAAATTGGACATCATCGCGATAATCCCCTCTTAAAATTAATCAATACTCTAAGTAGAACACTTTCAGATATTGTAAACCTTCTTGGAAGCGTTGGTGGAAACTCGACAAATGGCGAGACCTGTTGTTGGCTTCCGCGTCTAAACGAGCTCACTGATCGGCGATCATCGGCGTATCCGCCATTGAAAACATCGCGTGTCGAATAGCTCTTATGCATTTGACGCGAACCCGCGTTGCTGCCATCGCGATGATAATAGCTCTCACGTATATCACCGTTCGGAACATATTTGAGTTCGCCGCGTCGCAACGAATCGGACAACGAACCGTAACGCGCATGCGCTATTCCCCGGTTGAAGTTGTCGTCCTAAAATCAATTGTTAAAATAAAAAAAAAGAGTGAAGATTTATAAACTCACGTAGCCGTTGTGTTGCTGACGACGAGTTGTCTCTTGACGATAATAAGTCTCCTGTCCGCCTGGAATATATCCACCTCGGCTCAATGAGCTGCTGCGGTGTCCTGAACATTTCAACTAACAATATTCCAGATTTGAATGTTAATTTCCAGAAACATTGAACATTTCAGTATTTTAAACTATGTGATTCTATCAAATTACTCCCGAAAATTAATAGAAACGAAACTCGAAACATTTAGAAACACAAAGAAACATGCGTACTGCTTTCGCGTCGGGCTTCATCGGCGGCTGCATACGCTTCGCGAACCACCTTGTCCATCTCTTCTTCAGTCATCGCGCGATCGCTTTCCCGAACAATCGTTCTTTGTGGCAGTGAGAGCGAACCTTGTCGGAATTCTGAAATCGAAGTGCACGAAACAAACAACCAACACCAGACAGTCCAAACAAAAAAGAGAAACATGAAAAAGGGAAAACTTGAAATACCGTGATATCCGCCGGTCTGTCCCTCCCATTGAGACTGATGGCGCGACGAGGAGTGGTGTCGGCTGCGGCGCTCCTTCTTCTCACGGCGTTGAACGCGACGCTCAACCTCTTCAGTGCGGCGAGTTTCCTCGAAACGCTGGACCGTCTCGGTGACAGTCGGCTGCTGCAAACCATATTTTTTTTTCAATCCCGTTTTAGACGATACCTTGCGCACGTATGATTTGACAACCTGAGTGTCATGGGTTGGATAGAGGAGTTGCTCGCGGCTCTCAAGCTCTCGACGCTTCATAATACTGCGCGGTTTGTCATCCTAAAAAATCACCAATTTTGGTTCCTAAATGGAATAATTTGAACGAGTTCAATTAATCATGCAAGACCACAAGATCGTATACAACACAAGATAGCCATAATCCCAGGTTAACCTGAATTCGAATAACAGCAGAATGGAGGTTCGGTGCCGACGTGTAGCGCGTCTCATATGTCTCATATAGCGGCTTTGGTGGTGGAGGAGCTGGAGCTGGCGGTGGCGGAGTCTTAGTGCGAAGTGGTGGTACCTTCTGAGAAGAACGATTCAAGAATCGTCGTTGATGTGTTGGGGATCTCGTCTCGATTCATACGGTAGCTGTTGAGTAGTTAGTAGGAAACATAGACAAGCAAAGATATTCGAAAAAATAAACGAAAACAAAAAGAATGCTAATGAACCTTTAAGATATCATCACGAGCTCCATTCACGCTCACAACGGAGCGCGGCGAGTAATCGAGCGTTGAGAAATTCCATGTCGCCGTCGAGACATCCTAAAATGTTAGTGACTGCACTGCAGGATGAGAAGAAAAGAAAATGGAGAAAAGTTTGGATACCGTCACATAGCCAGACTTGTCGTGATCGCGCATTGTTGTCGTCGTCTCCACCGAGTTTCGCGATTCGAGTAAATCTCGAACCTGATCCTACAACCAACGATTAGTTAGGGTAAAGGAAAGAGGAAGCGGTTAAAACACACGATACCTTCAGGTTTGACGGCAGCGGATCAGGATTTGTCTTATAAATATCCGACTCGACAAGCTTGTACTTGGCACGTCCGTCTCTTCGACGAAGCTCTTCACCGAGGCGTGATAGCTCATCGAGCTCCGCGTTCTGATTAATATTGAAGCGTTACGTATCATGGTTAGTACTACCGTAGAGTTCGTCCCGAGACCCCCAAAATAATAAAAATAAATAAATTATTAACTTACCGCTGGTGGTTTGTTGGCCTCCTGAAAAAAGCAAAATCAAACAAAATCACGTGAAGCTTCGAACACACAACATGTAAGTAACCCCTGGCTTTAGTATGCATACCTTCAGTATGTTCCATGTTGCACAAAAATATTGTTGAAAATCATCATCATCATCATATTCAATATAATTTAAGCACCATTATAGAAGAAATGAGCAAACGAAGTAGAAAGAATTGTTTAGAAAGAGGGGAAGAAGCCTAGAGTGTTTATACTAGATTGGTTTGGGGAGGGAGGGCGATTAGAGAAATCGCGGATTCGGACTGTGTCGGGAATGGCGCGAAGGAGCCCGAGAGCCCTGTGGGGTAGTGTTTGGGTGGAGCCGTTGCGTCGACTCAGACATATTGCGCATCATCTTTCGCGTATGTCCCGGCGACGGTGAAGTGGCACGCGGGTCCGGCGCAGGATCAGTCAGCTGAAGGCGCGATTTCGTCCGGTGCTCGAAATTCAACGACACTTACCCGATAGCCCGGTGGCAACGGCGGCGGGACATATGTTCTCGCGCGTTCGTACGATAGAGGTGTCGGACTTGGAGCGGTGGCTCGTGCGATATAGTTTCGTGCTTTCGATGCGCCAGGCGTGGTGGGACGCTGAGGCGGCGGACCCGCTGGCTGTGGCGATAGCAATATCGACGAAGCAGCTCGCGACATTCCGCGAGACTCGGCGCGAGACGACTGCTGTTGACGATGCTGATGCTGAGCCATAGATGGCGAATCTATTCTTGTCGAAGCTACTGAATTGCGGCGTGACATCTAAATTCAACAATTTGCTCGAAATGCTACTATAATTTGTGCCTACCTGCGGCTGAGCATGTCGATATCGGCTACCCTTGTTGTCATAGTCTGGCGATGGGAATTGAAGATGGTTTGATGTCTGTAAAGCCAGCACACTGCACACAAATCAAAGGGATAGGGTGAAGCTCAATAATTTTCGCGGAGAGGGCAACAAAAAGCGTATACGATTCGGGTCTTGCTCTTATTCAAAAATAATCCCAACGAAAAAAATCTTACATCGAGGTCTCGTTGCGACGATGCCGCTCGTAGATTTTGAATCGATCCCTCGAATTTTGACAGCCTTCGTTGGACGTCAACATGGCGCGGCATATCCTGAGAAATACAGAATTGACAAATATGAAATCTGAAATTCTACCTTTTGAACAATCTGCGAGCTGTGTGGCGGAAGCTCATAGATCTTCTCCCAATCCTGCACCTCATCACGATGATGGTGAAGCTCTTGATCGCTACCGTGGTGTCTCAACTTTGAATGATTTCCATTTTCGTAGTCAAGTCTGTGGTAATTCCGCTGATGAATAATCTCGACGTGTTCTGAAGACGCCGGCGATAGAAGTCCCTGGACAGATTGCGCACGCTTCTTGACAACCTTGATGGCGTTGGGCGCGTGCGGGTAGAATCCACCACTCGGTGTCGCTCTCTCCTTTTTGAACGCCGGTTTCGGCCGATGACTACCGTCTGCAGATGGATGGATGACATAGCGTGTTTGTCGTTTTGCCGGATCATCCAACGGACCAGTTCCATGCCCTCTTCTAGGCGACAAAGGCGGACTACTCAGCGGTGTGAAATTCTTCTCCTCTCTCTTGAATCCTGGATCGTTGACTACAGGAGCCCATTTGTACTCGTCGCCATCATCATATCGCTGCTGTGGATCGACGGACGCGGCTCGTTGAACTGTCGGCCACACGTACGGCTTCTCCGGTGGTGGTTGCCATCGTTTACCGGTCCGATGAACTCTCGGTGGCTCCACTGGCTTTTCAACGAACGTTTCTCTTCGCTTTAACAAGTCAACCTCGTACTGCTCTTTTTCCAAAAGCTCTTCGGATGTGAGAATCTCGTTTTTGGCGATATCTTTCGGCTTCTCAACAATGTAGGTTCGTTTCCAGGTGACATTCGGCGGCGAAACCGCGTCGCCTCGAGGATCAATTGCATCCGACATTGCTGAAATTGGTCGAGTTTCGAAGACTTGCACATGCTGCGGAGCATTTCCGGGATCATGCGCCGACTGTGGTTGCTGGCTACTGTAATAAGGTGGCTGCTGCAACTGCTGTTGTTGTGGTGGAGGCGGTGGAGGCGGTGGCACGTGTTGTTGCTGATGATGTTGTTGTGGCGGTTGTTGAGACTGATGAGAATAGGGCGAAACAGAATCCAAAATCGGTACTGGGGAGATGACACCATGAGATTGTTCATAAAGTCGTTGCTGTTGAATCTCCATCGCCCGAATCTGCTTGCTCATGCTTATCAATTGTTGTTCCTCGTGTCGCTGAATCGCCTCTTGTTCTAATCGTTTCTGTCGTTGGTATTCTTCAATTCGTTCCGGATCGTTCAGATTCCTCGCAAGCACCGAATTTGGCCTTTTTCGTTCTTTTTCTGTCACAGGCGGCCAAATCACTACCGATGGATCCTGCCGATGGAAGTTGTGCTGGTTTAATTCAATCTCCGACGCCGATATCTCTCGCATTCGGTGTAGGCTTTCACCATCGCGTGTGGGATCCACCGAATGACTCCTCGTCGGTTGTCCTGGCGCCGGGCTAACTTGCTCCAGCCGAAAGAATGGACCATTGAAGGAAGCAGTCGGTGGGGCCTCACGTGGTCCATGCGGACCGCTGCGCATATTTCTATGCCTCTGGAGGTTCTCCATCATGATTCTAGTCTTCTCTTCTTCATCGAGCTCTTCGAAATGTGTGGGCGTCCGGCGTTCGGATTGTCGCGGATGCATCTGTTGTGGCGTTAGCGTTGTTTCACTCAAATTCGTCTGCGAATAATATTGCTGACTGCTACTATATCCCTTCAAAATTGAGCGCGGCTGATGCGTGGGCGGCGGGCTCATCAACCTTTCCGGATAGTCAATCTCGTTGGGTTTCGTCGGTGCCGGACGTCTCTCTTGCACATTCAACGCTGCCGGTGGAATTGGCTGGTTTTCATAAACGGTCTTCTCCGGTGGCCGAATTGCCGGTTTTCGTTCACTGGCAATATCCTCAGTGGAGCCCGGCGGATACAGTTGTTGTGATTTGGACAACGGCTTGTTTAGAGGAGTCGGCCGCACCACGGTGATTTGGGTTGGCGGCAATGGCGGCGGTGATGGTGGCGCGCGATCAGCTCGTACAGGTGGCGGATGATGGTGCGAAGAAGACGTCGACTCCACGTGGTATGAAGATCGTCGTTCCTAAAATATTCAAAATTATTCCCATTGTAATATTCGAGCGGTTTTTTGTGGAAAACACCAATCGGGGCATAATTTTGTGTTGATCACTTGTAAAATAAAATGACGATTGGCCCCCCTCCAAGCATGGATCGAATCGCAATTCAATTATTATTCAGACCCATTATAAATGCCCCGAATGATTCTCCAATGTGTTGACCTCGTCTACTTCTGGTATGTATGGCAATGAAATTGTCGGTCTCCCACCGAGAAGTGTGCCTCTACGTGTTCTCACTACCGATGAGCTGTTGGACGTCGACGACGAAGCAACGCGCGCAAGATACTCAGCCCTCAGTTGGCTGACTGTCGAGTACGGCACGTTGCTATCAACGTCTTGGTCTTGCCACGACATCGCCGGTCAATTCCTCCAAAAAAAAACGGCGAGCAGTTAGCGAAAAAAAATGTTTCGAAAAAGTCAATAACTGTGCGTAGGCCACTTGAGGAAAAAGAATGAAGAGACTATAAGAAAGAGGGATTTGTTTGAAGAAATAGTAGATGCCACTGAAAGATTTTCAGAAGAACAATTCGAGAAATTTTGACAAATTATTAAAAAAAATAGAAAACATTGATTAAGAGATCTAATAAATTCTGAAAATCTGAATTTTTCTAATATAAAAAAAAAAACATTTAAAAAATCAATCTACATATTTAAATGTATAATAATAACACGGAAAAATCAATAAAATAGCCAGCCAACCATCATAGCACTTGTGGAATTCCGTCTAGCACCAGCCCTCAGGAGCGCAGCGTCGCGCAATTTTTTTCCAAACATTGTTACATTCACAAACAGACAGTAAAATGCACACGAGTTCAGTTCAAAAGGTGAGAGACACCCGACGGTTTATGAACAGCGCGGCGACTCTCTTTTTTTTGTCTTCACCTTTTGGTAGCTGTGAGACGAAACGATGAATGACGAAAAAAAAACAAAGCAAATAGGTTGTGCAAGACGATTGAAGGTAGTCCAAGAAGGAGCTTGATCGACTAATTTGGAAGACTAAACGCAATTAGAAATAATTTCAGTTAGTTTCAATCAAATTTGAAAATTTGATTATTGATAAAAAGTGGGATTCAAAATAACATGGTGTATTGTTGAAGTAAAAAACCAGAAATGGCCTCGAGACGAGGTGTTGTGCTGTCTCCAAACAATATCCCCCTATCGACACTAAATTCCCTTATTTTTCAGTCGGCCGCTGTTTCAACGGTAATAGATGAGCGCCCTTAAAGAAAATGCAAAGCGATGAATTTCGAGGAGAAAAAAAAATCAAATTTCGATGGTTGCTGCTCGACGGCGAACTGTTAAAACGGCTTACGAGTGTGTAAAGGTCGTGTTGGAGGGGTAATTGAAAAGGATTATGCTTTTGCCTTCCACTTTTGCGAGCGATGTTTTTCATCATGCGCGAGCCTCGTCAACCATTCTTTGAGCAGCGCGCGCGAGCGCGCGAGCGCCTCGCATGTTCCACCAAAAATTATGACATTTGTGCAACACAATGTGACGAGAGTGTTGTGGAAGTCGGTCGGAGGTGGGAGATGGAGCTCAACCGCTTGCGACGAAAGTCTCCACACATATATATTATTTGCACTGTTATTCTCATAATGTCAGAGGACGGTTGAGCTGTGCGAGGGGGGGGGGACCGACCGGCTGCGCTTGAACACTTATCACCAGCCACTCGCGAGTCTCATGCATTGTTTTTTCTACTTACGGTATACTTTGTGAGATGGAATTCTTTGCGTAATTGCCAGTGGAGCGGGTCCGAGCCGTGCGGTGTTGCCGTCGGGTCCTCCTGCAATGATGAGTTCATCTTTACGTGGGAGTTCGATTGCTGGCGCCGCCCGCGCAAGGATTAAAACTCGGCGTACCTACGGGCGTCATTGGTCAATAAATGAGAGTAACACAAAAGAAACTTTAAAAAAAGATATTTCATGTTATTTGTTGTTGAGAAACGAATTATTCGATTTTCATAGGATTAAAAAAATTGGGAAACATTTTAAATAGCGATGAAGCACGAAAATTTACATCAAATAATAAATGGGTCTAAATCGAGCAATTTCTTTATTTTTTTCATAAAATTAAAATCGAACTAATTATAAGAGAAAGAAAAATTTATATAGAATTTTTTGAAATTCAAAAAGGTGATAAAATAAAACATTTGATTAAATTATTAATAAAAATCGCAACAGGGAATTTTTTTAACTTTTCCTCACTCTCTCTCTCTCTCTCTCTCAAAAGTGGCAAATACATATCTAAACCGTAAACATAACGAAAAGGCGCCCTCTATTAAGATATCTAAAACCGCGCGAGAGTTCTCCGCTCCCGCCCGAAACGAGACACCGAGCATCATGAAGAGCAACCAGCAAGTCGGGCTCAAGGACTTTTTGCCGCACTCTTATCCATCCATCGATTCATTCAAATATATTGCATTGATCAATTCTATCTCTCTCTCTCTCTTTCTTTCTCTGTCTCTGTCTCTCTCTCTCTCTATCTATGTTTTTCTTGATCTACTTACCTCTTTGGCGGGAGTATGAAGTTGATCCATCGATCGATATCGCTTTGGTTCGTTCGACTTCGATGCCTCGTTGAGATATCGATTTTTTCGCATTTTTATAAGCCATCCGGATTCGCCTGGAGATATTGGAGAAGCTTGCGGAGGCTGAAATCACACTGGACAATTTGCTATGACTCAAAATGTCAACCAAACTACTAGTTCGGTAATCCGGATTAACACATCTTAGAACTTTTTTTTTCAAAAAAAAAAACCGAAAATTCAACGTTTCGCCCAAAATTTAAAAAAAATCAAAGAGCCGCTAACTGAAAGAAATTTCCCGGAATTCAAAAATTGCTTCACCATTTTCGAAAAAAAATCAACGAAAAATCTCACCGGATTGATTTGATCGTATTGATTGGGCGTCGGCACTCTCAAATCGCTCATCGATTGAGACGTCTTCTGAATCCTCTTCACGTCATCCAGGATTCGCATGATTAGCAACCAATTCAGAGTTTCAGACGGCGAGCACATGTCAGATGATAAGTAGGGGTACAATGTTTTCTTTTTTCATATTTTCTCTGGGGGGTATCAAGCCAGGGGTTCTGTGTGGGGTCGGTTTTGAATGAAATAATAATTAAAGGACGGACATTGGACGGCACACAAAACTGAAATGGTTCATGCCTAACTTACCCTTTTAAGCGTCTCGATTCTCTGAAAATTATTAATTGGCGATGAAACTCGTGATGAGTATTGATTACTTGTTTCATGGTCTCAAGCTCCCTGAGACTTTCGTCATTGTTCGTCTTCTTCGGTCCCGGCCATCCGGGCTTGTTCCACGGCTGATTCGCATCGCTCTCCTTGGCTTTGAGGTAGTCCTTGAGCCGCGAGGCTTCCATTTCACGATGTCTTTCGACACTCTCCGTCAAGTAGCTGCTCGTCGATATTGGACGGGATTCAGTACTCTGAAACAAAAAAAAATCAAATCAAAATCGATTCATCTGAATGCGCGTCATCGTCGTACCTTGAAGCGACGCTGCTCAAGCGGCTCAAGTTTGATTTGGCTTCGTTTGCTATGCTCGCTGGGAAAATCGCCGGCGGCATTTTTGCGCGGGTCCGGAATCCGCGAAGAGAGATGTGGCATGTTGGCATTGGAAATAACCTTGAATATCAAAATTGGTAGATTCAAAAAATATTGACAATTGTGAGCACAAGTCTGAGTTCTTCAAACCTCTCCATAATTGTTCTGATCACCTGATCCGCTGTCCACTCAGCTCATTTTTTTTCTTAACACAGTGTAAATATTGTTCGTCGTTATTTTTCAGAGTTGATCTTTCAAGTGTTTTGTATTTTTTTGTCCGTGTCAAATGCGGAAGAGGAATATCGCGTTTATTGACACGCTCCCCAATACCAACTTAGTGACCGACGAATTAGCAAAAGTGGAGTTTACTTTCGACGAGAGAGAAAAAAAAATAGCCAGAGTACACACATACACACAGATCTCGATCATTTATGGTGTATTTAAGAAGCGGAGCCTGAGCGCAACAGTATCATTTTCCCTCTTTTTCATTTTCTCACTCGTTCCTCAACTCGTTCGTTTTTAGGAAGATGCGTGGAGTCATCGTCCTCCTCGTTCTTCTCTATTCTGCTGCTGTCGTATCGCAACAGAATCCACCGAGACCCGATTTCTTGGAGAGGGTGTCAGATGAAGCCAGACGAGAGTTTTTCGATATTCTCTCGAATGACGGTCTTGCCATTTTTGAGCAAAACAGACGTTTGAGCGAATGGGCGAAGAGAAACGATGTTTCGGTGAGATTCTTTGAATGAAATAAATAATGAGCATCTCGTTTCAGGAACCCTACAAAACATGGTCTCAAAATGTTCAACAACAGAAGGCTGATCTTGATGCTGAAGTTCGACGAGTTGTCGGAAATATGACGGAAGTCTATGGAAAAATTGAGGAAATCTTCTCAAACACTAATATGACTGGAAAGCAACAGCGAGAGAGCATCAAGAATCTTTCAACGACATTCCCCAAGGTAAAACACACACATACAATCTGAATCATTACTCATTATCGCTTATTAGGAAGTGCGCGCCATTTTCGGCATCGCCAAAACTCAACGCGAAGGTCCAAACGTAGAAGACTTCGGAAGATTCCCACCACCGCCACCACATCCATTTGGCCCTCGTCCGCACTATCCGTATCCGCCACCAGCACCATACTGGCCACATCCGCATCATTATCCATTCCCGTATCCATACCCACATCCACAACCATATCCGTACCCGTATCCATATCCACCATCTCCATGGTCACCACCGAAAGCGGAAGAGCAACAACCGGAAAAGAAAACAATGGAACGTACACCAAAAATGTCTCAAGAATTTATTATGAACGACTCTGGGCTAAACACTCGAGATCTATCGATGGTACCGCTCGAACAAAATGACAAAAAACAGAGTGGTGCAGCTGGAAGGGGATTTGGTCTGAGAGGAAGACGATTTGGACCGCCAAGTGACTTCAACCGAAGAACTCGTAAATTTGGACCGGGAATTCGGTCAGCACCTTCCGATGATTTCCCGAGAGCAGAACCGTTCGGACCAGGACCACAAGATGAGCAACGACCGGGACCGTTTGGACCATCTGAAGACTTCCCAAGACGAGAAAGACCGTTTGGACCAGGACCACAAGGTGGACAACGTCCGGGACCATTTGGACCATCCGATGACTTCCCAAGACGACCTGAACCATTCGGACCAGGACCACAAGGTGGACAACGTCCGGGACCATTTGGACCATCCGATGACTTCCCACGACGAGAAAGACCGTTCGGACCAGAACCACAAGGTGGACAACGTCCGGGACCATTTGGACCATCCGATGACTTCCCAAGACGAGAAAGACCGTTCGGACCAGGACCACAAGGTGGACAACGTCCGGGACCATTTGGACCATCCGATGACTTCCCAAGACGACCTGAACCATTCGGACCAGGACCACAAGGTGGACAACGTCCGGGACCATTTGGACCATCCGATGACTTCCCACGACGAGAAAGACCGTTCGGACCAGAACCACAAGGTGGACAACGTCCGGGACCATTTGGACCATCCGATGACTTCCCAAGACGAGAAAGACCGTTCGGACCAGAACCACAAGGTGGACAACGTCCGGGACCATTTGGACCATCCGATGACTTCCCAAGACGAGAAAGACCGTTCGGACCAGGACCACAAGGTGGACAACGTCCGGGACCATTTGGACCATCTGAAGACTTCCCAAGACGAGAAAGACCGTTTGGACCAGGACCACAAGGTGGACAACGTCCGGGACCATCTGGACCATCCGATGACTTTCCAAGACGACCTGAACCATTCGGACCAGGACCACAAGGTGGACAACGTCCGGGACCATTTGGACCATCCGATGACTTCCCAAGACGAGAAAGACCGTTTGGACCAGGACCACAAGGTGGACAACGTCCGGGACCATTTGGACCAAGATCAGAAGTTGAGCAGTCAAATGTATTTGGGCCAATTGAAGATCAACCGAGAAGCACCAATATGGGATCAGATTATCAACGACGACCTCCAATGAACACCGAGCGTAGTTCGAGACGACGATCGGATTTCGAAGAACCACGACAGTTCGATAGCAGTCATGGATTCGAGAGAAGACGCCAAGGTGAATCATACTTCTCGAGTCCAATGCGCTTCGACCAAAGATCCGGTTTCGGAATGAGAGGACAAAATTCGGCACAACAAAATCAAACCAATCAATAATCGGGTCAATCAATCAGTTGAATCGTCATTCATTTTTGTTCTCTATGTATGGCAAAATGTCACTAACCTTTGGATCAATAAAAGTCTGCTTGTATTCCTCATGTCTCATGCTCACTTTATAGTCACCCTGACCGTTTGGCAAGTAGCCAGTTCTTCCAAGGTTTACCTCATGCTTCTGAAAAAACGTACGGATTCGAATTCACCAAATCATCTATATTCGTCCTACCGGCTGGCCTTCGCCAATTTTATAATTTGGTGTAATTCCGATGACTTTTCCTTCACGCTCAGCGCCTTCTTTTGTGGTCGGATGATCCTCCTATAATGAAAGGAAAACAAATTTAAGGAATGATGAGGTGAACAATTCCATATTTTTTAAATCTTACAAACACGCGCATTTTTTGCATTAAACGCGTTGATATTTTCTTCGTCGGCCTCGCAATCTCTACCATTTTGCTAAAAAAAATACAAGGAATGACATATTGGAAAATATCTTATTAGGTTGTTGTAAAACAAATGCACATTTTTTTAAGCCTATCAAATTTTGTCTATGCCGGTGGAATAAAAATCTACATTTTTAGAAGGAGGAGTTTCTGAAGAATTTCTTTTAAACATCATTGTCTAGATTCTTGAAAAAGGGCTAATCATTGAGTCTAATAAGTTGGTTACTGATATATACAAAAAAAAGGGCATTTCTTTTGCAACGATCTAATTTATACGAGGTTGAGGTGAAATTGAACAATAATGAAGTATGAAGGGTAATTTTGAAAATTAGAAAATGTTCAGTAGATGATCAAAAATCAGAAATGATACTGTATAGGTTTTTTCCGGAAATGTTTATCTCTGCGCAACACATTGCAATTTCAATGCATCAATCAAGCAATCAGTGAATGCAGAAAAAAATAACGGAGAGAAACATTTTTTGGGTGTGGTTGGTTCCTCGAAACTCGACCGGTTTTCCGGTTTCAATAAAATATGATATCGGCCGAGGGGGGGGGGAAGAAAAAAACGCAGACGATTTGTGGAATTTAACGACGAGAATAAAATTAATCAGACGCGTAAATCTCCGAATATTTGCGCACTCGATTTGATTCAATTTTTTTTTGTATTCGCTGCGCATCGCTTTTTGGGATATTGGCGGCGAATCGCCGAAAACAACACAAAAATTGCCAGTTTTGGTAGGGGGGGGGGGTACAGAAACAACACATACATAAACATCCGAAAAACAACAATTTGAAACACCTGACTAGTTGACGAACAAAACTGCGAGAGAGGTTGGGCCCGGCAGTGGCGAAAAAAAAGTGAAATAACCTATTCAATGATATATAATCGTATGAATTATACATTCGATTATTATTGTTATTAGAAGCGAGAGGTATAACGATGGTTGAGGGGTGTGTTAGGTCACAACTTGTCGACTGTGATTTTTCGGGTTTCGATTACTGTCACATTCATAGTCAATTATAAGACCAATACATTCGTTTTTCGTTTGGAAAATTTTGCTCATCGGCGAATATCACGCAACGCGAAAAAATGTTTGAAGGTTGTCGTAAATGGGTGTGGTTGTCAGATGAATCAGTGGGGACCCCCATTCAAATTCAATTCATCGAATCGAGAGACGCCTACGAGAATTGGCGAACAAAATATTTGAATACTGAACAAACATGCGTTTAAATTTGGAAGAAATCAAATGGTAGAGCGAGCCGACAAGATTTTCGATTTTATTTCGTTTTTTTTTCTTTCACTTACAGGTCCTGGCGGTTGGCCTTCAACAGTTTTGATCGGTGGAATTGACCAACGATTCACTGTGGTTTCCGTTTCGATTCGTGATGTCATTGTCGACCAATAGGTTTTTTGCTGCTCGCTAGATTTTTCTGCAATCATCAGGTTTTTTTTAATGTTGAAAATCAATTTTGTTAGTGTAATCAATCAATATCGTTCGTAGATCATAGACGTAGAGGAATTAATTATCATGCTAGTGTAAATTATCGCATCAATTTCCGTCAAAAATGAAAAAAAAAACAAAAAATTTGTGCACAACCTTTTGTCGGCTCACTAGTCGTACTGTAGATGAAATCAGCGGGTACGGTAACCTCGAGCGGTCGAACGTAAACCTTGACAGCGGGCTCTGAAATTAATGCGGGCATAAACAAGGCTTGGAAAAATAATGTGTGGGTTGCGAATGATTAAAAGCGAGCGATTAGCCCAAAAATAATGAATGATAATTCTGGTTTTTGACACCGACGTACGCAATTTGGAAAAAAAAGTGGCGCAACCAAAAGAAGCGTTTCGTCGAAAAATGGAGAAGATGGAGAAGAACAACAACATCGCACAATGATTATCGTAAGAAATGGACTGATCGTCGCTATCTTCCTTTTTTGGGTTTTAGGTGAAAAAAAACTATCACATGAATTGCATTTTTTTTAATAATCTTAAATATATCAGTAAAATCACGAAATATTTGGAAAAACATTGTTTTCAATTTCGAATCACCCGTAACCTACATTCATTTTGGGAAAGAACCGAAACCTGTGCGGTCGCCAGGTCGGATTAATTGTTGTCAAAATTTCTGAAGTGGCGCTCGTGTTTGATTTGTAATCGAGTTTGAAATCGGAACACCGATGTGTTGAACTCGAAAATTTGTAAACCGATCGGTCGTAGGACCTACAAAATTGTGAAATGCCACCGAATTGGGTGTGGTTTTTTGTGTTGGCAGTTTGCCCGAAAAGAACGTCGTAAAAATCGAATCGCCAATATATCAATCAACTAATTGGGCAAAATTGGTAGGCGAGACGATTACACTTGTCTGAATTAAATGGATAATGACTAGCAATGACCAAAAATGAAAATTGTATAGTGAAATCAATATCGAATTTCGGCATTTCTGTATAATGATGAGTCACAAGATATCGTAGGCACGGTTCTTTTATCAAATCTATCATGAAAAAAATAATACAGAAATAAAAAGAAAGAAGAAAGAAATGGGTGTGGTTGGAGATGAAAAAAAAACAAAAAGATGGAAGAAGAAGAAGAAGAAAGAGAAGACAACGCCCATAGCGACATACAAGGCAAGGTGATCAGTAGTGCGCGACTGGTTATCAAATCGCTGCTGGGCGAGCGGGTGCAGAAACAAATTGATTAGACGAAGGGGCGAGAAAGGGGGTGAACAATCACTATTGTATTACTATGACACTTTCTATTAAGGGCAACCATTTAAGCTAATTGATTAATAGCGGGGGCGAAATTTGATCTACTCGATGTTTATTGAATCAACAATGTACTGGCTGATTTACAAGCCAGATCGTCATATTTCGGGATTGTCGAAAAACGAAACTGACGAATTTCGGGCAATGAGATGACCGAAAGACGGTATGTATGTGGGCGTTCGTCATTTATGTTAAATTATGCGCATTTCTTATATATTATATGTATAGAGATAGGCATGCTTTTACGTAGATATAGCACGAAAAAATCGCATATGGGCAGCGAAACACGTTGTGATGACATTCTCAAGCTTAATCAAAACTTGGAAGAGAACGAAGATCTGTGGGAGATTGACACTTTGGGAACCGGCCATCAAAACATTCCAATTTCATACCAATCAAATTGGTTACAGTATTGATTTAAAGTTTTAGACGGAAAATTGTGATAAGAGATGCCTAACTATATGTACTATATTAATAATAATAATAATAATATGGGAAGGAGAGATGAATATTGCGGGTTATTCGCATATCTGTCCGGTTGCATTCGGTAATTTCTACTCTTCGGAGAGGGGGGGACGGACGGACGGACAGATAGTCGGCCGGGTTCTCGGTTCACCTTGAAACGTTTTTCGCCTTTTGCTAGCCGCAATTTCGATGAGACGCAGGCAACTTGGACCGAATTAGTCATCAACATTATTATTACTATTTTTGACAGTTTCGACATGTGAGTTTCAAAAAGAAAGTTGATTCATTTAAAGCAATTTTTTATATTTTCTATGCATTGCCCCATTAGGAAGTCTGTTGTGGAAAAAAATTGAAAATAAAGTGGAAAAAATAAGTATTTGTTGTTTGATTTAAACAGGATGGGGTGTTGCTCAACATTCAAATGTTATGGTCATCAACTTGCAATAATTTTCGTTTTGATGTAGCCATTAAACACTAAAATATTCCTCAATGGTTAATGACAAAAAATTGATCGTTTCGTGTTAAGATCAAATTGTGTATTTAAAAAGAGGCATTAATGAAATATCAATAAAATTTAGAAAAAAAAAATACTCTAGGTGACATAGAATTTAGTGGAAAAAAAGCGGCGGAAAATGAAACTACATGGTTTTGAAACGCAAAAATTTGCCGCGAAATTTTACGGCCCAGCGATAAGCCCGAAACCGAAACAAGTTGCTTAAAAAAAGGGTGTCGACAAACCATCTTCATTCGTCGTCGTCGTCGCCTTCTTCTCGTCGCTCTTCTCGTCGCTTTTTGCCGAATCGGTTTCCATTAATGGGCAACTGAAACAACCAATGAATATTGCGATGCAAAAAAAAATCAAAGAAGGGGAAAACGAAGTATGAATGAAACGTATTCCAACCGGGTCATCATCATCCATCGAATCGTCCCCAACCCCCAACAATTAGACGCGGGCCCGAAAAAGTGCGTCGTTCCTAATTATGCATTCCGCGCGCGCGTGCGTGGGGACCGATGCGGAATACAGAAAAACACACCAACACACATATAAAGACAATTTTTTATGAGCGGAACAATAGACTGTTTGTTTACCACGCGCGCCATGTTTGCACATCCACAATGCCATCGAAAAAAATCATCAAATTTCGCGCATTTATTCGAGCTCAGATTTTTGAACCTCTACTTCAATGTCTACCATGTGCCTACATAGTTTGGTCTAATTAAGTATTAAATTATTAAAATAGAGGGAAGCTGATGGACGTTTGAATTATTATGTTCACCAAATTAACTCTCAAACTTCAGGTGATGAAAAACAAAATTCTGCAAAAAAAAAACACACTAAAACACACATTGTAAATATTTAAAGTTTACGGCAAATTTGGCACACATTAGCCACCAATACAATCTTTTCTTCTAAATTGAAAATATTAAAACCGGTACCTGTAGTGTACTGTAATTGGCTATGAAAAAGAAACTTTTCAATATGACCGGCTACAAATTCATAGATTGAATTGAGAATGTGTTGTGATGTGGAAATTATGCGTCATTCCATTTATTACAATATTTCTTTTAAGAAAAAAAATTGGAACCATATGACAATAAAATAATAAATAAATATTTTAACATGAAATCTGCAAGTTGAGGGTGTTTGCAGCTTGTGTGACTCTGTGTGCCAATGGTGCACATAACCGGAATTCAGGCATTTTTGAGCCGAACTGCAAACACCTCCTTCGCTTCTTCTTTGCCATTGCAACACTTGGTTTTATTCTAAAGGCGCATGGGGCAAGTCAGCATATTCTTTTGCGAATTACTACAAGTGAGACAAGCATTTCATTTGCAAGACTAAAATGGGTCTGAAATATCTGAGCAATTGAACAATACCTCTCAAAACATATTGTTGGCAACGCGCGACTGCGGAAAATTAGTTAAACTATGATTGTGGTCTCGACGCAAAATTAAGGGTCGAATTACGGACCTAACCATTAGGATTGGTTAAAGGCGCACATCTCGCGTCCACCCCTATCCCAAAAATGTTTGGCATTTAGTCAATTTTCCGCAATCACACAACGTCGAGGTCGATGTAATCGTTGTTTAAAAAAATCGCTTGCTCAAGTATTTATTATCATCAGGCGTCTACTGATTTCATTTGCGACGAATTTAACAATTTCACGCTAAAAATTAGTTAAATTATTTTAGATTGACACTGTGTACTAACTCTTCATTTGAAGCTTCCATCTTCGGCCATTCCATTTTCGAAAATGAACTTTTCGTTGGTTCGGTTGATATCGAAGAAACACTACTCACATCGGGAGGAAGTCTCATATTCTTAAAATATTTCTAAAATATTATTTTATATTCCGTCTACCTTAGTTTCATTTAATAGACATGCCAGAAATGTTGCGATAAAACTTGCTCCTGCAATTACAGTAAATGGAATCCACTTCGGTCTCATTTCCTTCAATTTGATTCACATTTTAATGAATGAATATACAAGACATACGATATGTTTAAGATAGGGAGCTGCAATAATACCCAAACTTTGTGGAATGTTCATTATTGAGAATGAGATGGATCGCACCGACGTCGGAAACTGCTCATTCGCCCAAATTGGATGGGTCGTATAAACGATTGTAGCCATAGCTTTTGCTATTAACATGAGGATTAACGCACTAATATAGTAATCTGAATAGGACTTCTACTGGAGAGAGAAATTGTGGATCAAACCAATGACAAAGGCTGTAATGAGTAATGCAGCTGATTGTATTCCTAAACTCAAGATCGTGATTGATCGTCGTCCAAAGTTTAACATTAGCGGAAGAACCAGCAAACCAGCTAGGTTTCTTATGAGATTAATTTAAGAAAAATGCAATCTTACATGGAATTTCGATGAGCGATGAGAATAAAAATGCTTTGAAATGATCGTCGCCAAGTTCGACGGATAAGAATGAAATGGCGAAGTAGACGAGGGCAATGACGAATCTTTAAAAGAAAATTAATATATTGAAACGGTCAAAATCACTGTGTTTACTCAATGAATCCATTCGAAAACATGAGCCACAACATTTGTGGACTTCCAAATAGAACTAATAGCGACTACAATAGATAAAAAGCAATTTTAATTTTTTTTTAATAACCTCATGATTTTCTTCGTGATGTACATCACCTCTGCATTCTTCAAAATCGGGTTTCTCTCGATTGAAACGATTTGATATTCGAATATACTTCTTCAACTTTTCTGTTTTCCCGTGAAGTATGAGCCAATGAGGAGATTCCGGAAGAAAGCTGCGAGATATTAATCGGTTTCCGTTGAATCACCTACCACCATAGGAAAAATCCGTAGGCGCCTGGAGCTATCACTATCAAATACCGATATCGCCAATCGTCGGTTATCACACTTGCAGTCAATGTCTGAAAATTGCTCTAGTGATAAATATGAGAATTTTAACCATACCCATAACATGCCGGAGGCCCATGCGATATTGTAGACAACTGTGATCCAGGCTCTCGCCCGTTCAGAAATGTATTCGCATGTCGCTACACTGGCAACAGACAAATAGGTCTGCAATGTAAGGCGTTGAAATGGGGTGAGACTATAGTAATTAGTCAGATACGTCGCTTGCAGCACCGACAATGAAGCGAAGAATCAGAAAAACTATATAATTCGGACTGAACGCTGCGGCAACGTTTGCGAAAAATCTGAAACTGATTACTCGAAAATTGGCGATAATTGAAGAGCTACGCGAGTATTGTCGAAAACACAATGATTGGCCGTCTTCCGAAACGATCTGCCATCCAACACATTATAGGAACGGCAAAAATTGCGCCGATTGTGAACACCGTCAAACCGAATTCCTGGTAAAACCAGTGAGAACAACTATAGCCAAAATCGATCAATAAATTGGTCTTAGCCGATTGTTGAATATATCTGAAAATAAGAATTTTTTTCTGTTCCAAATGACTCCAAACCTAATTTCGGTACCCGCTATACTCCCACATTTTTTATTTGACAAGTGTGCCAATTTTCCTTGTAGACCATCGGTATTTATAATACATTGTTGGGAAATTGGCAGCAATATTGTCTAAATTAAAAAAATATATATAAATAGTATATCCAAATAGTTCAATATTTTATTCTTACCGAATTGTATACACATTCTTTTTTAATATTCAGCTGAACATAGGACATTACATAAATAGACGCAGAGTAAAAAAAGTTTAATGTTTGAACAATAATATATGTGAATATTTGATAACTGAATTTTTTGTTTAAATTTTCAAATTTGTCATAATTTGAAAAAAAAAACCTTCCATAATTGCCATAAGCTTCAATGAATTTGTCAGGATCCAAGTGTTTCAGATGGTTTTCCGATAGCTCGCTTTTGTGGCGCTCATCAGTTGGCGGCGTTTCACTACTTTTCGAAACACTTTTCGATCGTTGAGTGCCTTCATTGGAGCGGGACATTTCAAAATTACAAAATGTCGAATAAATTTATTGTAGATTTCACGTAATTGCATTATATTCTGTACGTGCCGATGGTAAAGTAATGGTTTTTTTGGTATTAATTGTCATCAAATTTTTGACCTCTGCATCGGGGGAACGTGATGTTTATCAAGTTTGAATTGTCATCATCACTATCTCTTTTTTCTCTCATTCTTCCCCCAATTCCGTCGCCGCGATCATGCCAAAAATTGCAATTGTTCAAGCTGGAACAGTTCTTTACGACACTCCCGCAACTATTAGAAAATTGGAAAAGTTTGTGAATGAGGCGGCAAACAATAACGTCGATCTCGTTTTGTTTCCAGGTGCCTTTCGAAATTATCGCATTTTGCAAAATTTATTTTTTTAGAAGCTTTTGTTGGCGGATACCCGAAATGGAACAGCTTTGGAATAACGCTTGGCACTCGGACGATGGAAGGACGAGAGGAATATTTGAAATATTTCAACAATGCGATTGAGGAGAATGGACCGGAATGCCAGCAAATCGAAGAATTGGCAAAAAATAAAAACATTCACATCGTTGTCGGAGTCATCGAAAAACTCGGAACCACGTTATACTGCTCGGTAGGAATTCATTATGTTTATCGTAATTTTGTCATTTGACAGGCGTTTTTCTTCTCTCCAAACGGCTATATCGGAAAACATAGAAAGTTGTTGCCGACAGCACTTGAAAGATGCATTTGGGGCCAAGGAGATGGCAGTGATGTAAAGGTACATCATACATCAAATGCTTCTAACTAAATTTTTCCTTGTTATAGGTGTTTGAAACATCGTTTGGAAATATTTCTGCAACTATTTGCTGGGAAAATTATATGCCCCTTTTAAGATTCTCGTTGTACAGTAAAGGAGTTCAAATCTATCTTGCTCCAACGGTCGATGATCGTGAAGTTTGGCTACCAACTATGCGGACGATAGCACTTGAAGGAAGGTAGTTGCATTCACCTTAACTTAGACTTCTAAGGTTGAGTTCAGATGTTTTGTTGTGTCGGCTTGCCAATTTCTGAAAAGTTCGGCTTACCCTGAAGAGCACTACCTCAGAAAGGAACATGGCGATGATAAAGTCTTGATTCGCGGCGGATCATGCGCAGTCGACCCATTAGGAAACGTTCTAGTCGAACCCGATTTCACGCAAGAGATAATTAGGTAGGGGTTAGCGAGTGTATAATCAGTAAATGCATAAAACTCCTAGATATGTTGAATTCGACACTTCCACAATCACACTCGGAAAAATGGATCTCGACGTGACCGGTCATTACAGCCGTCCAGACGTGTTCCAACTTCATGTTAACGACCAATCCAATTCGAACGTCAAATTCTCATCGGAAAAATAATCATCAATTATGCACATATATTCATTAGCGCATATTATCAAATAAAACATCGATCGATCGAAAATGGCAGCTTTGAATGGGCAAAAGTGAATACAAAAAGAAAATTCCAATCGTGATTAATTATACATATAGTTTATGAGAGGGAGGAATTAGTAATATCTCGACCAAGAAGCTGTTGAACTTGTATAATTATGAGGACGATAGCTGTTGAAGTGACGAAGATGACTGTTACCGTAATACGACCAGTACCATGGAGCTGATCTTAAACATATAGCGTCTTAATTGTTTTCCAATTGTTATGAATTTGTCTCACGTTGTTCCTAAATAGTTGCGTGTGTACATATAATTTTGAAGACTTTTGGGACGGCTCGCCAGGTCGTAATTGGTTTCATTCGCCATATAAGCATATCCCGAATACCTTAAAATACATCCAATTCGAGGCATCGCAATAAATTGCGTATTACCCTCTTCTGGTTGTGATCGGACGACTTTCGGCAGCTAACTGTGGCGGAGTATAAACCGGGGTGTTTGCATATGTTCTATCAAATGAATATGGCCGGCGATAGTCTGATTCGCGACCATAAACATATCTGATGTAATCAAAATCTCAATAAAAGCGAAAATGTGAAAACGAACTTATAAATTGGATAACTCCATGTCCGTAATCCGCTATAAATGTCATATTTACGGAAAGGTTCAATCTTAAAATATCTATTATCATGGGATTTCGTGAATTTGTACAAAAAACTTCGGATCGATAGTTAATATTGGTGTGATATGGTGCAGTAACAACAGCCAATGGTGTGCGCGATCGGTGAAGGTTGGAGTCATTCACGTGCTAGACATCATACATCATTTTCATTAATTGATCAATTGGTTTTTTTTTGTCGAACCTGAACGGATGATATCTCGCGAACCGGCGTGTAGCTGCGTCGAACGTGCGACGCATAGCGCTTCTCGCTGTCGACCGGTGTGTTTTCGCGGGACCATCTCGACAAATATTTCTCTCTAAAAAGAGATCCTTGGAGATCCTTCGGACTCAATCAAAATTCTCACCTCGAAATCTGACTAGGATCCACCGACCGACTGCGGCTGAAGCGATAGTTGTTGTACTCTGGCATTTTCGATAAACTCTCTTCAAGCTCTTCTTGTGATAATCTGGAAACTTTTCGACTATATTAAAACCTCTCGACATATTCCACTAAATTTTTAAGCATTTAATAAGAGGCCAAAAACCACTTGAGAAACTCCCACTCAAAAAAAGAAGAAGAAGAAGAAAAAGAAGCAACAACAACAACAATTTTGATATCAAAAAGCAGGCACCTTTCGACGCAAGGAGCAGCTGTGAGGCCGATCGTATATTTTCGCGCTAATTGTTCCCACGATTTGCCGCGAGAGTCTTCGAGAAGCTGCTTCGCCGCCGCTAGTGCGTTGGCTCTGAAAACGCACTATTTTATTGCGATTAAATTTAATGCGATTTTTTGGTGACAATTCAAACCAGATGCTATGAATCGAGCGATACCGATGAATGTGGGGTCATTCGATGTTTTTTTTTTGGTTGAAAAGCGCAGCTGACATGCCAACGTTGTTCCAAATCATCAACAAACAACATTTTTAAAATATAAAGGATAATCGTCTTGGTTTTCTCAACTAACTCTAAATTTACCTGGTTGGCTCCGATTGGAACCGATGCCCAATTTGGTCATTAGGCTCTTCAAAAATTGGATCCAATTTGGATACCGTAGTCATAATATTCCGATGATTTTCAGAGAAATTTGGCGGGATTTCATATAATATAAATCAAAAGTTGAGCAGGGGGGGGGGGTGGTGTTGGCCGAGGCGAAGCCCACAAACGAAATCTCAAGTTTTTTGCAATTAGGCTTACCAAAGAGCTCCTCCAAACCATTTTCCAAACAAAAAGAAGAGTGGCATTTCTGTTTGCCCCGGCGAAACACCGCTGAAGACCGAGAGACGCATGGCGTGTATCAATTGCTCGCATTTTGCCCTTTCGTGTTCGCCAACATTTTTTTGTGAAATCCCCCTTGTAGTTACGTATGATAAACCCAACCAGCCGATTGTCATAATTACAAATTATTTTTGTTTGATCTTAATTGTGATGATTTGGAACAAACTCGAACAGCTCATTAAATGATAATCTACAAAAATTTCTTAGAAAAAATGACTATGATTGCAGCGACGAACCACGAGGAAAAACAAAACAACAATGATAGGCATCACATCGTCGGTGTGCCTCCTGAAAAATCGCGGCCAAAAAACTGACGGACTGGAGAGCATGAGCAGGCCGGAGAGCCACAGGCGAACCGAGATCAAGAAAAGACTTTACAATGTGCTCGCTTCCCCCGCGTTTCTCTGTTGGACCACGAATTTCAGATTGACGTGCTTTTTTTTCAAAGAAGGGATATGCAAGCATCATCAATGCGACTTTTAAACTCGTTTATTTCTCAAATCATCGAAACATGTGTTTTCAGGTTTTCGTAAATTAGATTATTCCACACACATCGAAGGGAATATCAGTGAACAAACAAATAGTGGAGGAAACAAGGAACAGCTTTCAAATTCCCATCTGATCTTAACAGTTGTTCAAATGTTGGGTGTCAAGATTTATTGATAACAAAAAGCCAGAAAAATATTAAAGTTTAACACTTTAAAAAAACAATTTCAGTTGTGTTAATATATACATATAATATTGTTTGAACATGCGTTAAAAAATTTAATTCGATTCGCAATTGTTCACAGCAAACACCACAGATCCTTCGTTGATTGCCAAGGTCGCTGATAATTCGCGAGTGTTGTGCACGATTTGAACACAATTTTTAAACGAACAGATTTTTTCGAATGCAGAAACAATAAGTGGGCTGAAACATTTAATTCCGTTAAATAGTTTGATGTTGTTGGACTACTTTTCTGCTTCGAATTCCTCGGTCCATTCAACATGCAGCACATCGTTTAATATTTTCTCTTTATCGAATTTTGAACTATTCACTATTTTGAGGTTTTCAAAAAAATCGTAATTTTCATCACTCATCCATCGCTGAAATTTTTTGGTGTTTTTTATAATATATTGTCGGCGTCGCGCGACTGCGGAAAATTGTCCCAATGTCAAAAAAAAACAATGACAGTGGTCTGTGTAGATTTACGAGCGTATTTATATAAGAATACGTTAAAGGCGCACACCGCGCACACTACCTGAGACATCTTCTTAAACTTTTAGCAATTAGACAATGTTCCAGAGTCATTACCATCGCAAAAAAACAACGAAATTTTACAAATTCTCATTTTTTGTAATATTTTTGCGAAACTAGCCTTGATGTATGAATTTATGGCATCATCGCTGATAGTAATCATTTTTAAGGTCATCGAAATTGGTGCTAAACTCATGAAGAGATCATCGTCAAAATGACACATTGGAGGTGGAATAACAGCGTCCTAAAAATGAGTTCAAAATTTAAGAAAAAAAAGAACATGAAGAAATACCTCCTCATCAATGCTTCCATCGAAAAATTCAAGTTCAAGGAAGGCACTTCTATGAACAAGCTTCAAAATACTCTCCAATTGAGTGGTTTTCGAAAAACGGACTGCACATTGGATGTGCTTATCAAAATTGCGCCACCTCATTGTAAAATCTCCCTTAAATGTTGGGCATTTAAAAATCACAAATTTCCACGGACCATATCAATATCGCACTTGAATACTTCATAATTAGAGCGTTGAAACAAATAGCTCAGCAATCGGATCCCTTCTGCTGAGCACGTTGTATTCTGTATGATCATCGGGTTCCCTGAGGACGCTTTTCCGGGGCTAAAATATCAAATTTGCTTAGTAATGTGGGAATCTAGTCTCAAACATTCTGACGTGCACTTGATTTTCGCTCGATTTATAAATTACTTTATGTGACAACGGACTATCCCAGAATCTTAGATTCACCATAATATACTCCTGAAAAAAAAACATGGTTAGTGAATTTTGATATTAATTTTTGGAATACTTACTTCGCACTTAGTGACAACATTAATTATCTTGCATTTTCCGTACTTCATTTCAATGCAATCAACATAAAAATGTTTTTCTAACTCCAATTGGTAGAATTTTTTCGAGCATTTTGAGAGATTGATTCTTTAAATTATTTCTGTTTTATTTAATTTGCTTTAATTTTCTAATGAAACCTTGAATTCACGTCTAAAAAATAAATGATGCGGTCGTAAGCCAAAATAGGAAGATCGCCAAACTTTGAAAATACTCCAATAAATTCAAGTAGTTTTTTGATCTCCTGAAAACAATTTTTTGGGAAATATATTAATTAACCTACATCTTTTGAAGCAATTCTTCTACTCAATTTACACTGAATATTTTCAAACTCTTTAGGGCACTTTTCGTCGTCGTTGTTTTTCTTCAATTCATCTTCCATTTTGTTCATGTTGCTCTGAAAAATAAAACAATGTTTCAGGAAAAGTGACAAAGCAATGAATAAGATGAATCGTATAAAAAAAAGATGAAATTTATCGTTATAATTTCAGATATCTGAAGAAATGAAATTTCCATGGATGTTTCCTTATCTGCCCAAATTCATCAAATAGAAAAAGGAAATGATATTTTGGTTCTGCGATAAAACGTGCACATAGACACATCATTTATTCATGTTGGTTAGCATAGCCGGAAGTTGATATTACACAAATTTAATTTTATAAAAAGTACGATAAAATAGAAGTAACGTAAATAAACGCAGGTCTCAGAATATAGACATATAGACTAATCAATGCTTTCGAGTGTTCATTATCATTTTATCATTGTAAATTTGCATGATAATATCAGCGAATTAAGTTGAATAATAGCAAATAGTTTGAGGGGGGGGGAGAATATTTTTTAGATTCTCATATTGTTAGAAATATCGACCAAACGCAAACAGGTTACAAAGAAAAACTTTGATATCGTTCTATGGAACTTTTAATGTCGCGTGACATATTCTGGTTAGCGTGTTTGTGAAATTGAGATTGCGAATGAAACCTACATACGTCCACTGAAAGTGAGACGCTTGTTCCAATATACATACTGTTTCCCACATTAATGTTTGACGTGGCCGAATGTTTGAATTTTACAGTCCTTCGGCCATGTGTTAATTTTTGCAATTTATAAAATTACGAAATAGTTTCTTGGTGGTTATTGAAAACACAATGGACTTCCTGCATCCTAGACTTCGAATTCTTTTAAAACATAGAAAAATCTTCAATTGTATACTGTATATCAGAAATACGCATAAATGCAGATTTGTCTACCGTATTCAATTAATTTAATTTATTATTTTTGTTTATTGAAAATCTTATAATATTTTTGGTTATAATATTAATATGTAGTAAAATTAAATGTACAAATTATTATCTCTACATTACAGTATTTCTTTTAATATTAAATAATTTTATTTATTTTAATACGTTCCCGTAAATTTGTTTTGCCGTTCAATGTTACTGTTTACTTAATGCATCCCAGCAGATATTCCATAAATTGCCTCATTTTCCGATTATATCCATCTAATCCTCGAAAATTCCTCAACACAATGGCGTCATTTACATGTCAACGACTGTGTGTTTTCTCTAAATCTCTTCGTCTTATACAGTTAGGCCGAGTTTATAGCGACGGCCACCTGCTGTTTTGCCGCTCCTATATTTTTCTTTTTCCTCGTAACAAGATTACTCATTTTTCTCTAATTATTTCAGATGGTGAAATCTTCTACAGAGCCGAAAAAAACGAAAAAAAGCAGAAAAATTAATTTCAAACAAGCCCAAGAAGTATTTTTAAAATTGAAACAGGAAAAGGAGGAATTAAAGCAGAAAGAGAGAGAAGAGAAAGCCAAAAGGTTTATCTCAATTTGTTATTTATTGTTTTAAATCGTGCGCGTTATAGAAATGAAGCAATCTCTCAGTACAATAAATCAAAGAAGAAGATGAACCAAGCTCTGAAAAAGAAGAATAAAAAAGGACAACCAAACTTAAACGCACAAGTAACCTTTATCGTTTAGTTGTCTTTGAGTAAGTTTTGCCAATTTTAGGTAGAAGTTCTTTTGGGAAGGATAGAAAAGCGAATAGGAAAAGAATAAGAAACTTGATTGTTAATTTTTCGTTGTTTTGGTTATTTTCAATTGTTTCCCTGTTTATAATAAATAAATACTTAAGTATTTCATGTGCACAATTCCACGATTCCTACCGTCTTTGTCGGAATATATATTTGATTTATTAAAATTAATCAAATTTGGTTTTTTATTTAGATGGAAGAGGAGGCGCCAAAAAAGCCGAGGCCATTCTTAAGGAAGGGACAAGGTACTGCAAGATTTAGAAAGGTAATTCTTAAAATTTTTGTTTGAAAATAGTAGCAGATTCCAGCCTCCGGCAAAAATATCACTACCAGAACCGCCTAAACGTTCTGATGGTAGGTTATCTTTCGATTTTTTTTTGGTTTCACAAGATTTTACTAATTGTCTATTATTAAAGAGTTACCATCCTCCGCTAGGAGAGATCTGGATAGCGGAATATCGAACGAAGGAGTTTCTCCTTTTGGAGACGATTCAAGACCACCAACAATGTCGTCGTATCGGGCCGACTCGGCACAAAACAGTGTCTCGCCTGGATTTACAAGAACACAGCCGTCAGTCCTAGAAGGTAATTTAAATAACCGAACCACATCAAATTAATTATTAAAAAAAAACTGTGACTTCAATTGAAATACTTCAGAACAAGACCTCGAAATAGAAAAACCACCCGAGGAAGATGTTGAGGAGGTCTCCGCTCTTCAACCGTCAAATCGCCCGCCGTCGTTTATTCCAGATTCCGCGTACAGTACCACTCCAATGTCGACGAGCTGTTCGATAGTTTCTGATGAGCAGCGAAAATATCGACAAGAAGCAAAAGATATTTCACAAAGAGCTAAACTCATAGCAAGTGTGAGTCTTGATAAAGGTTAAAATTGTATATATTTTTCATTTTAGCTTGATTCGATGTCCCCAGGATCATCTTCTGGTATTTCGACGCCCCTCGGCGCCAGCACACCGATAACTGATTTGATGCAAAATAATCCATCAAAAAGCACAAACAGCATCGAATTGAATATGGTATTACATTATTATCTATTTTAACAGTACATTTTTTATATTGCAGGTCACGCCCCAGGCAATAAGGCCTTTCACTTCGAATCGAGTCAATATTAATAATGGTTAGTGCTAAATTCTAAATATCTCAGAGATAAATATTTTCAGATGTAAATGCGGCAGCTCAAACCGGTGCTAGTTTAATCAGCCATCGTCCAGCTCCATCTAGACCAGTGGCAAAAAATTTTCATCAAAATTTTTTCCACGATTATCATCATCCGAAACATCAAAAAGAAAATATTGGGCTTCGAACGATCCCAGAGGATGTTCGAGAAGTTTGTTTCGCAATCGTTAACACCCAAATTCACTATTTTAGAGCCCTAGAAAACGTTATACGAACGCCGAAAAAAACCTGATGATACAACTACGAGATGCAATCGCTCATGTTGATTTTGCTGATGAACAATTGAGGCGAACTGCAACGAAGGTAATTTTGAAAATTTCTTTGATAAATGCTTTATATAGTGTGTTTAGATAAAAGATGATTATGTCAAGCTAACTGAAAAGCTTAATGCTGATTATGAAATGAAGGAAAAAGCGTTAGAAGAAGAGTTTAAGCGAAAAATTGAAGATTTGGAAGAAGATCAGCGAATGGAGGCGGAAAGAATGAAAAGAGAACGAAGAGATATTGAACGTGACAGAAAATCGCTACAAAAGGAAACCGGTGAAAGAGACAAAGAAAGAAACAAACTGGTAATTATTTTTTCATAAAGAAAATTGATCATTGTTGTATAATCGCAGATAGAAGATCAACGAAAGAGAATATCGGATCTCGAAACACAAATGGCGAAGTTTCGACACGAAATCCGTAGTAGAGATGAGAAAATTCGCGCAAAGGACGAGGAATTGGAAAAGCAAGCAAAAGAACTCGAGCGCAGCAAAAAGAACTGTTTGATAATGGAAAAGAGGATTCGTCAAATGCGTGCCGAAAAAGAAAAATCAGCTAGAGAAGAGGAATTGTTCGCGAAAGCGGCAATAACGAACAGAAAATGCAACAACTATTCAAGAGCTCCAGACATTGTCGCGATTCCTGAAATGAATAGTCGGCCAAATCGAGATTCGCGAACTGTTAGTTGGGCAGACTCCGAACCGAAATTCTGCGAGCCGACAGTTAATAAAGATGCGATAATGGTGGGGATCAATTTTAAAACGCGTCAATAAAAAAAACAATTATAGCGTCCCGCTGAAAAAGGAATCGGTGAGTGGGGGCCGTTTGTGATTTACCGCGACGGAATTGGAAATTTCTCGAAAGTCACGGATACGATAGAAAATGGGCGATTGTTTGAATACAAGAATGGAGATAAACGATGGATAAACTCGCAAAAGTCGATTATTGTGAGCGTTTTCAATATTCAACCGCCATAATCAAATTTTTATAGTGGAATTTCTTCGCGATTGACGGAGCTGTTCAACTTGAGTTGGCCCACGCTGATATCATGCTTAGATTTTACGTAAACCGACAGGTTTTTTGTTGTTGAAATTTAGCTAATGATAATTAATTAAAATTTGAGATGGAGATTTGGCGGCCGAACGACATGATCTCGCTTGTTAGTTATCATCGAAATCAAATTCGTACAGAAGTAATGCAAAAGGAGAACGGAGAATACTTTTCCGAACTGTAATTATGGTTTGTACGAATCCCACCAACTCTAGCGATTTCAGGTACGACCGAAATGGAAATGTTATTATAAGAGATATGATTCGACCTGACGTTATCCGAAGATACGAAGCCGGCCGGAAGTACACCTTCCGTGATAGCCAGACGAGATATGTTCAGATTCAGTCCTACGACGATTTTGAATTTGTTGAACCCGAGTTTCGAGTAAGAATCGTTTTTAAATTGGATAATTGCTGCATTTTCAGCTGCGATGGTGTCGAGGAGCGATGATTGGCTGCAAAATCTTCGCAAAGAATCCCGGAAATGAGAAGACCCTGAAGGTTTGTTTGCACTGCGCCGAAGATGTTGTTAAATAGATTTTATTCCATTTAATTAGGTTAATGGATGACTTGCTATTTCCTCTATCAAATTGTTAAGTGGCTTTTTACAATTGAGATCCTGATTTTCAGCTTGAACTCAATATCGAAACTGGCGAAGGAAAATTGGAGTCTGTTCAACAATATTCGTCGGCTAGTGGAATATCCCGGAAGAAAACAATTTTTGGGTGGTCCGCACCACACTCATCATAAATTAACAACTACCTCTCTGCCCATTTTCACTTTCCTATATACCTACTACCTCCATTTAAACTCTCGTGTATTATTGTTGTTATGTGTATTAATCTTTCGTTCATTCCCTTCTCTTTTTTTTCATGAATAATTGCCTCCCAAGAAAAGAATTGCGTTGATTTTTTGGCAACTGGTTTTGAGGAACACTTGAAATGAAAAATCGGCCTTGGAAGAAACTGTTCGAAATCAGGTCCAAATTTAAAACCAACGAGGCAGCACGAATCCCAAGACCGCCCACCAATACAAAACTTTCACTTTTCGACCTAAATTTTTGTTTAAAAGGCACATTTGTGAAGATTTTCTCAAAGTATTTGCAAACTCTTTTACTTTGCTATTATGTTCAAGGTAATGTTAGAAGCGAACAATTTCTAAAGAATTTGTTTAGAATGCGATCGTGTTTCTCTCTTTTGTCGGCATTGCCCACTTGTTGGAGCACGGCCAACAGGAAGAAGAAGTGGTGATGATCCCACAGATGACCGATGATGGAAGGCAAGTGTTTGTCATCGATTTAAGCGACATCGATCACGCAAATGGAGCTGAGGTACCATTTGGTATTGTTGAGAAATGACAAATGTATCCAGGTGTCGTAGGATCCTGCGTTTTGTACGCAATGCTAAGAGACAGTTACCGTAATCCTCGCAGCGATTTACGGAGATTTTTTTTTAAATTTTCTTTCAATTTTTTTTGCTGAATTTTCTAATTTCCTTTAGAAATCTTATATTTAAAACCTGTAGAAACCGAGTTTAATTATTTATTTTTCAGAATATGCACTTTTCCATTTGTCTAGTTGCGTTGGGAATTATTGTGAAGATTTTGACGCCCTAAAAATTATTTTGAAAATGAAGAATACAAAAACAAGATAATAGAAACGCATACAAAAAGCAAAACACGATTAATGTCAAAAATGATTTCTTTTAAATCTCTGCTGTTTTTACCAAAAAAATATCGTTTAAAAGTGCTTATTCTGCTAAATACATTATTAAACTCGGTTTCTGTAAAATTTAAAAATTTAAATTAAAAAATTTCGAAAGAAAATTTAAAAATTGAACGAAAAATAAAAAAAAATGAATATGCGAAATTAAAAAAATGTCCCCGTAAATCGCTGCGAGGATTACGGTAACTGTCTCTTAGCATTGCGTACAAAACGCAGGATCCTACGACACCTGGATACATTTGTCATTTCTCAACAATACTAATGCGCACTAAAATCTATTTTCGAATCAAAGGTTCCCCGCAATTTGACCGAAGAAGATACCAAGATTATACCAACCAACATTGATTTCGCTGCGTTGAAGTATAACTCAAACTATTCTTTGAAAAGATTATGTTTCGAAAATTACAGAGAAGTTTACGCGAAAGAAAACAAAGGAGAGCGTTTTCTTCAATCTCGACTCTTTTTTGATGATAAGAAGAGGAGAAAGTAATTATGAATCCCTTTATTATTTTGTTTTACGGAGGCCACTAATAAATACACAATCACAGATCAATCTATTGCACGGCAAGAAATGGATAAATATACAGGTTAGGGTTGTTCGATGACTTGAAACGATTTTGAAAGTCCGACTAGACAGTTGAGATAAGTTGAATAATAGCCAAGACGGTAGCTGCCGGGCGGCACGTCGGCGAATTCACAAGTATAGTATTTTTGTCCCTCGATTGTTTGCTCAAAGCAAGTGGCGAAATAGATCCAGTGTTTTGATTGTGTGCAGTCGTCGATGGATATCTGGAGAAACAGCAAATCTCGATATAAAACGTATGAGATTTGACAACAATTTCTCATGTGACTGATTAGATTGACCGAAAACCACTTACGGGAAACACTCCGACCCAATCTCGATAGCTGCCATTTGCCTGATAGAACTCGTGATTGACTTGAAACCTTCCAACTAACGGTATTGATGAATACCACGTCGGTAGATGCTCGAATACCACTTCCCAATTTGATTTTGGGGCTACGGGCATCAGAAAATAATTCATTAATTTTTATGAAATAATTAATTTTTATTAAATCTTACATGAATTGAAAACTTTGCTCGAACGGGAAGATGATCACTCGCGAGAGCATCTTCAATAGAGCAATATTCTTCCGGTGAGACACTCGAGCCCTTGAAAAGAACACGATCACACCACGATGGAGTGCGTTTCGGATCGTGTTCAGTGGTTCCCATAAACATTCTGAATATCGATTAATAATAATATATATATATTTTAATTTAGGTTTCCTTACCGATATGTTGGCGGAAAACTGATCGATTGTTCAGAGTAACCCGAAAATGCCTCCTCCTCAATAATTGCCCGTTTGAGCTGCTCTCGCGAATCTGAAAATCCTCATAAATTTCGACAATTTCGTTTTATAAAACCAAGTAAGTCCAAATAACTCTTGGCTTTAATTTTACGAATAACCGTCGACGTTTCTTCTTCCAAACGAAAATTTAAATCGCCGAACCAAAATGTAGCGCTTCAAAAGTGTTTTTCTACTAACTATATGCGATTTATTTTTTTTATTTACCGAACACTTGAATCATCGGGAAATGAGCAAACCCGATTCGTATGATATTGCGCAATTCGTTTTTGATATGCAGCTGCATCGTGGACGAAGTGACTATCAACAAACACTATTGAATATGGGCTCTAATAAAAAAATTTGCAAACAAGAAGCAAAAAATCAACGCTTACTCTCAATTGAATGCGAACACCAATAGAGCCTTTGTGACCAGTTAGACCACCCATGGTGTTTCTGGCAAACCGAAAATCAATTCGTTTAATCTGAAAACTTCAGTAAACTAACAGACGAACGAATTCAAGATAATCTTCTTAGTTGCTCAAAGAATTATACAAAATGGGATATGCTCTTCTTTACTTACAAATGGGATAATGCTCTTCTTTCCAAAAATCAATATCTGGTTTGTCGCCTGATAATTTTTCGCCAGAAGCACAAGTTTCATTTTCTCATTCATCCACGCAGTTATCTCTTTTGCCCAGGTAACTAACGCACCACCAATCGTCTCCGCATGGGCGACTTCCTGTTATTTTCCAAGTGGGAGTCATCGTCGTTTGACAGTATACCTGCAGTCCAATGGTAACTATACTTGTCGACGACACTCCGCAGTTGTGAAGAAAATTATCAACCGCTGATTCATCGCACTGCTTCATAGCAACGTTATACGTCAAAATAGTAACCTTCCAATCCATCTACTCATGGACACTGTTTTTTTTAACAATTATGAATGAAAGTAAAGATAGAGGCTCATTTGGACGTCGTACCATTCAAACCGTCCCGATTTAATTAGGTAAAAATTTATTCAGGTACAAACTTTGCAAGGCAACAGATATATTAAACAGTGATAGAAATCTGCTTAATTACTCGAAACAAACGCAACACTCTACGGATACAAAAAAAGCAAACATCGAATGAAGTGAAGTGAAAACAGAAATGGAAAATGAAATGAGTCTGTGAAATATCGTATTATTACGACAATCTCTATAGACTCTATGCATAATATAAAAATGTAAAAATAAAGTGTTGAGAAGGTCAATTCGGGAGCTGTTATACAAAAAAGACTAAATGCAATGTACCCATAAGGCAACTTAAATTCTCAACACTTTGCTATACATAGTAGCACCCAAGAAAAGAAAATTAAAAGCGGTCAGAACACAACTTAACGGACTATCGAAGAACATTTTTAAGTACAGTGGAACCACCTTCAAATTGGTAGAAAATTTACAATTGCTTCTTTCCAAAAATTACAAGTATGAACATACAATGAAGAACAGAAAGGATTAACGTCAGGTATTCGCTTCTAGAAAATTAAATCAAATGCAATAATTAAGGAAATTAAAATACTTAATTCTTCCAGAGTAAATAGGAAAAAATTATATGTTCTTAACATCCTAACAAATTTAAGTCAATTTTCTAGAAACCGACAAATTGTTGATCGAAATAAACCTTTTGATCAAATGTGTTGGTTGGTGTTAAGAAGCAGCACATTCTTTCAGACCGGTCAATTTGCTAATAAAAACCTGACCCAGCAATGAGCCCTTCTATTCTTCAGAACAACTTATATGACAACATTTCACTTTCCACCCGCTCGTCGTAAACGTTTTCTTGGTGGCGACCGTACAGAGCTTGAGCTTGCACCATCGTCTTCAAGCATGTCCATTCCAGCAGTAAGAACAGCTTCTAAAAGTTCATTGGCTAGTTCATGACGCTCCTGAATACGGAAAAATGTAATTTGCCCGAATTGTCAACAAACCTTTTTCATCATTTTCCATTCCGATGTTTTGATTACATTCTTATGGTTGAGCGTGAGATACCGGATGACAGCCTTAAAATTAAGAATCAAAAAAATAATATAATGTAGATAATTAAACTTGGAAAAAATTGAGAAAACAATAACACAACCGCGCGCCAACCGCAACGCACTTGTTGGCACAGGTAGCCGCTTCTTTCAGTAACGTTTTGTTTCAATTATTTAAAAAAATCCTACCTGCTTCAAAATATTCGCTGTATAGGTGTCTGAAAAGACAGCAATGTTTGTAAGATTTTTATGATTAATTGTCAGTGCTATTAAACGCTCGCATTGCTCTTTCAAAGGAAGCACTTCATATTTGTCAGCTGAAAACCTTGTTTAAAATATAGGAATAGGCGAAAAATCAACCTATCGCCAGAATTTCATCGATTGAATGCGAATCCAAGGCATCAGTGTTTCCGGTGTACATGAATTCAACCATTGCTTTTACGCTTTCATATTTCGCATCAAGAATATCAATGACACCTTTCTGCGCTTCAATCATGGTCTCACTAGAAAACATTGAGCGAAAAACTGGCGAGTGTTGCCCGAGAATACATCTGTGCGCCTTGATTTGCTTGTTTCCAACCTTTAATTATCGATTGAAAGAAGTGAAATTCAAAAGCAAACAAATGCAAACCTTGATAACGCAATCGGTGAACAATTCGTTTTCCCACATATCTCGGTTGCTATCACGGATCGACAGTTCAGTTTTCTCGTCAATATCTTCAATAAAGCTATCATCATCGACCGGCTCTACCGAAATTTTTGAGCCTGGAGGGAAATACTCGACCTAAACATTAAAATAAATTTTAAAAAATATACAAAATACTGAACAAACCTCGCAAATCAAAAACAATGATCCATCCGCTTTCAGTGCACCCATCATTTTATCCCTAGACACTTGAAATTTCCCGCGACCTTGCTGGTTCGTAAAATCTTTTGTATCTCTACAAACGCTTATTCTTTGGGAGTTAGCATCCAACGTGTAAATTTGAAATTCTGTCATTATGGGCTCTTCTCCTCTCTAAAATAAATGAAACAAATGAAGAACCAAAAAGATTATTAACATACTTGTAATCCAACTTGTCTTAAGAAAAATGAGACATTGTTCATATCTTCTTCTCTCTTTCCATTTGGATAGACATGAAGCTCCCAACAGACTGTGGGAGCTTGGGGTACACTGAATTGCCGACTAATTAAATTGCATCCATTTTTCACGAGTTTCATAAGTTTTTCAAACTGAAATCAAACGAAAATTACATTTAAAAAAAACTATTTTACCTGCTCGATTTTCCATTCTAACTTTGTTGAAAGGGCTGTAACTTTAGTGGCTTGTTTGGACACCACTTCCAATTTCCGAGGCTGTGGTGAATTTGAATCATCCGCTAAAAGTTTAAAAAATAATTTAATGCAGAAATCAAAATCTAGTTTTAAAAACATGTTTTTTAAAAACAGGAACTTACATCTAAGTGATACCGGACGAGCTTGATTCCCGCTACCGGAAGCTCCTGAACCGGCAGCTCGCATCGGTACAGGTTGGCTCATTTAACGACGTCAGCTTTTTCAACGAATTCTCCTTGCGTCTGAAAACAAAATTTATTTCGAAAAATTAGCAATCCTTTTCAAAAAATAATACGAACCTGTAAATTTGATAAAAAATTATATGATGTCATTTTTATCAATATAGCCATGGATTATAGAAAAATAAACAACTACATATTCTAATTATATGAAAAGTCAACTCAAAAAATATTTTAGGCTTTTTTCGTTTAAAAAAGGCTATTTAAAGAAATATCGATTTTTGTAAACATAGCAGGTTTTTCGTGTCACATGAGGCACGCTTAGTTAATCGATTTCTGAACTTTGTCAGTATACGGCTAATGCCATTCTACGCTTACAGATATATTCAATAGCTAAATAACGAAGCTTTTCACGTCAATATCGTTAACATATTCATGATAAACGATTATCGACGTTTCGTAAAAATTCGCATTTAAATAAGCGCCACCGTACTAGCGCAGACCTGCGAATCTAACTAACAACGATGCTCCGTCTGGACGCATTCGTGTTGTTTAGCGAGGCTGTTTGAATTTCGAAAAACGCTTATTTTCTTGGCGTGCCTCTTTTTATTCGTACTTGCACGATTTTTTTCTTTTAAAAAAGTATTTTTTAATTAATTGATTGAAAGAATAATTGTGTTTTGATCAACAATTACTGATTTTAAAACAGCGGATTAAATCAAAATGTAATTCGATTTATTAGGGATCATGTTTTAAAGAAAGAACGTTTAAAAATGATTTTCTACCATTTAATTTTTATTTAAATTGCTTTATTTTTCAGGAATGGCCTATCAGCAAGTTCGCTTCGCTGGAGGTACAGCCTCAACTATTCCACCTGATAATGTAACTTGCATTGTTTTAATTTAAACTGAATTATAACTTTTCAGGGACAGTTACCGGAGTCAGCATTGGAGGAAAAAGCTCGGAAATGGAAGCAACTTCAATCAAAACGTTACGCCGAGAAGCGCAAATTCGGTGTAGTCGACACCCAGAAAGAAGAAATGCCACCCGAGCACGTTCGAAAAATTATTCGCGATCATGGCGATATGACGTCGCGAAAGTATCGCCATGACAAAAGAGTTTATCTCGGAGCTTTAAAATACATGCCGCATGCAGTTCTAAAGCTTCTAGAAAACATGCCGATGCCTTGGGAACAAATTCGCGATGTTAAAGTATTGTATCATATTACCGGAGCAATTACTTTTGTCAACGATATTCCAAGAGTTATTGAACCTGTTTATCTAGCGCAATGGGGAACCATGTGGATCATGATGCGTCGTGAAAAACGTGATCGACGTCATTTCAAACGAATGCGATTCCCACCATTTGACGACGAAGAACCACCGCTTGACTATGCGGATAACATTTTGGATGTCGAACCTCTGGAGCCGATTCAAATGGAGTTGGATCCAGAAGAAGATGCTGCTGTTGCTGAATGGTTCTACGACCATCGACCATTATCAACAACTCGATTTGTCAATGGACCATCGTACCGTAAATGGGCATTCAGCATCCCACAGATGTCGACATTGTACCGTTTGGCGAACCAGCTTCTCACAGACCTGGTTGATGACAATTACTTCTATCTTTTCGATATGAAATCCTTCTTCACAGCAAAAGCTTTAAATGTTGCAATTCCCGGCGGACCAAAATTCGAGCCTCTTGTCAAAGACTTACATGTGTGAGTATTTTCATAAAAAAATTAAGTAAATATATTGATCTTTAGGGATGAGGATTGGAATGAGTTTAATGACGTTAATAAGGTTATTATCCGTGCCCCAATTCGCACTGAGTATCGAATTGCTTTCCCATTCATGTACAACAACTTGATAAGTTCTTTGCCAGTTCAAGTATCTTGGTAAATTTGCAATGACCACAATACATCTTTAGTGTATATTTTTAAGGTACCATACCCCATCTGTTGTTTTCATTAAAACAGAAGATCCGGATTTACCAGCTTTCTATTACGACCCGCTGATCAACCCAATTTTTGTGAACAATTTGAAGAAGGTACGTATATCTCAACTATTTATAATTCTCTATGCGGATAACTTTGCCGGTATATTGAGAGTTTTAAAATACTGGAAGCCGAGATTCGCTATATAAACAATGTCCTTGAAGGCGAGAATCATATCAAAATTTGATTGACTCTAGATTTACACATGGACACATTTCAGACCCCAGAAGTACTTCCTGAAGGAGAAGAAGAGGATGAATGGACATTGCCGGAGGATGTTTCACCGATTTTCGGCGAAGTTCCTCTTTATTCTGATAATACAGCTAATGGACTTGCTCTTCTCTGGGCACCGAGACCGTTTAATATGAGATCTGGAAGGACGAGGCGAGCTGTTGATGTCCCGCTGGTGAAGTCTTGGTATCGTGAACATTGCCCAGCAGGTAAAATCTATACATGGGTTTATTCATTTAAAAATTGTTCTTAGGAATGCCTGTGAAAGTGCGTGTCTCATATCAAAAGCTTCTCAAAGTGTTTGTTTTGAATGCTCTAAAACACAGACCTCCAAAACCACAAAAAAGGAGGTACCTATTCCGTTCATTCAAGGCGACGAAATTCTTCCAAACAACAACACTTGATTGGGTGGAAGCTGGTCTTCAAGTAAGAATGGTTGGTTAATGTGCTTTTTAGACCCTTTTATTTATAGGTTTTGCGTCAAGGATACAACATGTTGAACTTGCTCATTCACCGAAAGAACTTGAACTATCTCCATCTTGACTACAATTTCAATTTGAAACCTGTCAAGACACTGACTACAAAGGAGCGTAAAAAATCAAGATTCGGAAATGCATTCCATCTTTGTCGCGAAATTTTGCGTTTGACAAAGCTTGTTGTCGATGCACATGTTCAGTATAGGTATTTGACATTAATCTACATTGCCAATTTTAGATACACTTTTAGACTTAACAATGTTGACGCTTATCAGCTTGCTGACGGTATTCAATACATTTTTGCGCATGTTGGCCAACTGACTGGAATGTACCGTTACAAATACAAACTTATGAGACAAGTTAGAATGTGCAAAGATTTGAAACACGTTATTTACTATCGTTTTAATACTGGTCCAGTTGGTTAGTTTCTTCAAAAATTTCATTATGGAAATCAATATTTAGGGAAGGGTCCTGGATGTGGTTTCTGGGCACCTGGATGGAGAGTATGGCTGTTTTTCCTTCGAGGAATTACACCACTTCTTGAAAGATGGCTCGGAAATTTGCTCTCCAGACAGTTCGAAGGAAGACACTCAAAGGGAGTTGCCAAAACTGTTACCAAACAGCGTGTGGAGTCGCATTTCGATTTGGAATTGCGGTATTCAATTATATTGGAAGTATAAAATAATAGTTGATGTTCAGTGCCGCTGTCATGCATGATATTCTGGACATGATGCCGGACGGAATCAAACAAAACAAAGCTAGAGTCATTCTTCAGCACTTGTCCGAAGCTTGGCGTTGCTGGAAGGCAAATATTCCTTGGAAGGTATAGAAAGTAGACTGTCAACATATCCATGTATTAATAAGTTTTAAAGGTTCCTGGTCTTCCAACCCCTGTCGAAAATATGATTCTTCGTTACGTGAAGGCAAAGGCTGATTGGTGGACAAACTCCGCACATTACAATCGTGAACGCGTTCGCCGTGGAGCCACAGTTGACAAGACTGTTTGCAAGAAGAATCTTGGAAGATTGACTCGATTGTATCTCAAGGCAGAACAGGAGCGACAACATAATTACCTTAAAGACGGTCCGTACATTTCGGCTGAGGAAGCTGTTGCAATCTATACAACAACCGTCCATTGGCTGGAGTCCAGAAGATTCTCTCCCATCCCATTCCCTCCATTGTCGTACAAGCACGACACAAAACTGCTAATTTTGGCTCTTGAAAGACTGAAGGAATCGTACAGCGTGAAAAATCGATTGAATCAATCACAAAGAGAAGAATTGGCGTTGATCGAGCAAGCTTACGACAATCCACATGAGGCTCTATCCAGAATCAAGCGTCACATGCTCACGCAGAGAGCTTTCAAGGAAGTTGGAATTGAATTTATGGATCTCTACACGCATTTAATCCCTGTGTATGACATCGAACCATTGGAGAAGGTCACTGACGCATATCTCGATCAATATTTGTGGTATGAAGCCGACAAAAGAAGACTGTTCCCAGCGTGGGTGAAACCTGGTGACACTGAGCCTCCACCACTTCTCACTTATAAATGGTGCCAGGGCTTGAACAATTTACAAGATGTTTGGGACACTTCTGAAGGAGAATGCAATGTGATAATGGAAGCAAAACTGGAGAAAATTTCCGAAAAAATGGATCTGACGCTGTTGAACAGACTTTTGAGGTAAATTATGCATTTTTTTTATAACGAAACATATTTTACAGATTAATTGTGGATCACAACATCGCTGATTACATGACGTCGAAAAACAATGTTCTCATTAATTACAAGGATATGAATCACACCAATTCATTCGGAATTATTCGCGGTCTTCAATTCGCTTCTTTCATTGTTCAAGTAAGACATTCATATTTTCTTTGCAGAGAATTATGAAAATCGCATTTCAGTATTATGGTCTTGTTCTTGATTTGCTTATTCTTGGTCTACGCCGAGCATCGGAAATCGCGGGTCCGCCGCAATGTCCAAATGAGTTTTTGCAATTTCAAGATGTTGCCACCGAAATTGCACACCCAATACGCTTGTATTGCCGATACATCGATAAAGTTTGGATTATGTTTAGGTATATTCTAGTTATCTCGCTTATGTTATTTTTTATTTATTTGGAGATTTTCTGCCGACGAAGCGCGTGATTTGATTCAACGCTATCTAACTGAACATCCAGATCCAAATAATGAGAATATTGTCGGTTATAACAATAAGAAATGTTGGCCAAGGGACGCTAGAATGAGACTGATGAAGCATGATGTTAATCTTGGTCGAGCTGTGTTTTGGGATATCAAAGTAAGCAAACATTATCTTACATATCGCCTTGCATATTTCACGTACGATGGGAAAATTTGAATAAACGAGGTATAAGAAGGCGATTAGACGATAGTTGACTAATCGTTGATAATTCCTCGAAAACTATTGGAAAATAAGCGATAAATTGCCTAATGAACAGATCCACAAGTTTAGGTAAACTGTTGGTCTACTTTGAAGGCATACAAAATAAAACAAATTTAAAAAATTAACATTTCAGAATCGACTACCGAGATCTGTAACGACGGTGGAATGGGAAAATTCATTCGTATCTGTGTACAGCAAAGACAATCCGAATATGCTTTTTGACATGTGTGGATTCGAGTGCAGAATTTTGCCGAAATGCCGAACAGCCAATGAAGAATTTGTTCATCGCGATGGAGTGTGGAACTTGCAAAATGAAGTTACTAAAGAGCGAACCGCACAATGCTTCCTTAAAGTTGACGAGGAATCGATGTCGAAGTTCCACAACAGAATTCGACAAATTTTGATGTCTTCTGGTTCAACAACATTTACCAAAATTGTCAACAAATGGAATACTGCTCTTATTGGCTTGATGACATACTTCCGAGAAGCCGTTGTCAATACTCAAGAACTTCTCGACCTATTAGTAAAATGCGAGAATAAGATTCAAACCCGTATCAAAATCGGATTGAATTCAAAAATGCCAGCTCGTTTCCCTCCTGTCGTTTTCTACACACCGAAGGAAATAGGAGGTCTTGGAATGCTCTCAATGGGTCACGTTTTGATTCCACAATCCGATTTGAGGTGGATGCAACAAACCGAAGCTGGAGGTGTAACTCATTTCCGTTCCGGCATGAGTCACGATGAAGACCAGCTGATTCCGAACTTGTATCGTTACATACAACCATGGGAAGCCGAATTCGTCGACTCAGTTCGAGTTTGGGCTGAGTATGCACTGAAAAGACAAGAAGCCAATGCTCAAAATCGACGATTAACTCTTGAAGATCTTGACGACTCATGGGATCGAGGAATTCCGAGAATCAACACTTTGTTCCAAAAGGATCGTCATACATTGGCTTACGATAAAGGATGGAGAGTGCGAACCGAGTTCAAGGCTTATCAGATTTTAAAACAAAATCCTTTCTGGTGGACGCATCAACGTCATGACGGAAAACTCTGGAACTTGAACAATTATCGTACGGATATGATTCAAGCACTCGGAGGAGTTGAGGGAATTTTGGAACACACGCTTTTCAGAGTATTTTTAAAAACAATATTTTATTTTAAAATTAAAATTATCTTCAGGGAACCTATTTCCCTACATGGGAAGGATTGTTCTGGGAGCGTGCTTCCGGTTTCGAAGAATCGATGAAATTCAAAAAACTTACCAATGCTCAACGTTCCGGTTTGAATCAAATTCCAAACCGTCGTTTCACGTTGTGGTGGTCGCCGACAATTAATCGAGCCAATGTCTACGTCGGATTCCAAGTACAACTTGATTTGACCGGTATTTTCATGCACGGAAAAATTCCAACGCTGAAAATTTCGCTTATTCAAATCTTCCGTGCTCACTTGTGGCAGAAAATTCACGAGTCGGTTGTTATGGATTTGTGTCAAGTAATATTACTGTGGTTGTATACATTTTAAGCGTTTGATTTAGGTATTTGATCAAGAATTGGATTCACTCGAGATTCAAACTGTTCAAAAGGAAACTATCCATCCCAGAAAGTCGTACAAAATGAACAGCTCATGTGCCGACATTCTTCTTTTCGCGCAATACAAATGGAATGTTTCAAGACCTTCCCTGATGGCTGACAGCAAGTAAGAAATATTGATATTATTTCATTTTCACTATTAATCAAAATTTTAAGAGATGTGATGGACAACACGACAACCCAAAAATACTGGCTTGATGTTCAACTGCGTTGGGGTGACTATGATTCTCACGATATTGAACGTTATGCTCGTGCCAAGTTCCTTGATTACACAACCGATAACATGTCGATTTATCCGTCGCCAACAGGAGTATTGATTGGAATTGATCTGGCTTACAACTTGTATAGTGCCTATGGAAATTGGTTCCCTGGAATGAAGCCGCTTATTCGACAAGCGATGGCTAAGATAATCAAAGCGAATCCAGCCTTCTATGTACTCCGAGAGCGCATTCGTAAAGGTCTCCAATTGTACAGTTCCGAGCCGACCGAGCCATACTTGACCAGTCAGAACTATGGAGAGCTTTTCAGTAATCAAATCATCTGGTTCGTCGACGATACGAATGTGTACCGTGTAACCATTCACAAGACGTTCGAAGGAAACTTGACGACAAAACCAATCAACGGAGCAATCTTCATTTTCAATCCGAGAACTGGACAGTTGTTCTTGAAGATCATTCATACATCGGTATGGGCTGGACAGAAACGGTTGTCGCAATTGGCGAAGTGGAAGACTGCTGAAGAAGTGGCTGCTTTGATTCGCTCGTTACCTGTTGAAGAACAACCTCGCCAAATTATCGTGACAAGAAAGGCGATGCTTGATCCTCTTGAAGTGCATTTGCTTGACTTCCCGAATATTGTCATCAAGGGTTCGGAATTGATGCTACCGTTCCAGGCCATCATGAAAGTTGAAAAGTTTGGAGACTTGATTCTCAAAGCTACTGAACCACAAATGGTGTTGTTCAATTTGTATGACGACTGGTTGAAGACGATATCTTCCTATACCGCGTTCTCAAGGGTTGTGCTCATCATGAGAGGAATGCACATTAATCCGGACAAGACGAAAGTTATTTTGAAGCCTGATAAGACAACGATTACGGAACCGCATCATATCTGGCCAACGTTGAGTGACGATGATTGGATCAAAGTAATTTTACTGGATATAGTTTAAACAATATATTTATTATTATAGGTTGAATTGGCACTTAAAGATATGATTCTTGCTGACTACGGAAAGAAAAACAATGTTAATGTGGCCTCGCTGACACAATCGGAAGTTCGTGATATCATTTTGGGAATGGAAATCTCGGCGCCGAGCCAGCAACGTCAACAAATCGCGGATATTGAAAAACAGACGAAAGAACAAAGCCAGGTGACAGCGACAACAACTCGCACTGTGAACAAGCACGGAGATGAAATCATCACGGCAACTACTTCGAACTATGAGACAGCATCGTTTGCAAGTCGGACTGAATGGCGAGTACGCGCGATCTCGTCAACCAATTTGCATCTGAGAACGCAACACATCTATGTTGATTCGAATGATGTTAAAGACACCGGATACACTTATATTTTACCAAAGAATGTCCTTAAAAAGTTCATTACTATTTCGGATTTGAGGACACAGGTATTCGTATTCGAAGTTTAAAACCTAATATCCATTAACAACTACAGATTGCTGGATTCATGTACGGAGTTTCGCCATCGGATAATCCACAGGTTAAGGAGATTCGCTGCATTGTTCTTGTTCCACAGACAGGCAACCATCAACAAGTCAATCTTCCGATCCAACTACCCGATCACGAACTCTTGAGGGATTTGGAGCCTCTTGGATGGATTCATACGCAGCCGAACGAACTACCGCAGTTGTCGCCGCAAGATGTGACTACGCATGCGAAACTTTTGACGGAAAACGTTAGCTGGGATGGAGAGAAAACAATTATGATCACTAGCAGCTTCACCCCAGGATCAGTTTCATTGACAGCATACAAATTGACACCATCCGGTTATGAATGGGGCAAAGCGAATACAGACAAAGGAAATAATCCAAAGGTATATTTCAAACTGCTTTAAATTAATGCGTATCGTTCATTTCTAGGGTTATATGCCAACTCATTATGAGAAAGTGCAAATGTTGCTTTCGGATCGATTCCTCGGCTACTTCATGGTTCCGGCCAATGGAGTTTGGAATTACAACTTCCAAGGACAAAGATGGTCACCAGCTATGAAATATGATGTATGCCTCGCCAACCCGAAGGAATATTACCATGAAGATCATCGTCCAGTTCATTTCCATAACTTCAAGGTGGATATGTTTGTTTTCCTGCAGATAAAAAAGACGTGACCGAAATTTTAAATTGTGCGGGATGGTTTCGAAACATTTTAAAAATCAATTTTGTTCTAAACATCTAATTTAATATTTCAGGCGTTCGATGATCCTTTGGGAATCGCAGCTGCAGATCGGGAAGATGTGTTCGCGTAATTATTTGTTGTAAATCTTCAACAACAATAACAACTTTGGTTTAAAAAATTCTGGTTTAACTTTAAATTTTTTATCATTTTAACCGTCCCATGCTTCTCATGGGAATCATTTTTCTTAACTTACCAGAATTGTTAGAATGTATTATTACCGTTTTTGTTATATAATTTATTGGAGGATCTTTAATTGTTTTTTTTTTTTCGCAGCTCGTCTGCATTGTTGTGAATGCGCAATCTGCGCATTTTTGTAAATTGGAATGAAGGAAAATTTTCGTATCGAGACCTTTGAAATTCATCATTGTACTTCCTTCCTAGTCGAAACCGACACATAAATCTTGCGGCCCAAACTAGACGCTATTGATATGCACATATAGTTGCTGCTTCATTTGACTCTGCGATGTCTCCAGGGACTTGTGGCGTTTTGCCTTTTTTTGTCGAAGGCATTTATGCCGAATATGGACGTTGAAAGTTGGCAATCCCCTTTATCTCCGTTTTTCTTTTTATCTCGATTGTTGTTTTTTAAACTTAACAACTATAGATTTATTGGAGTTCGGTCTTTTTCTCGAAGAACGACGTCTGTTGCTTTTCATTGAAATTCTCTTGTCGCGTAAATATTGAAGCATTTCAGATCCTATGCATTTTCGATAAAAAAAACTTCTTCCCATCCATTTTACCAAAACCAAAACGACATGAAGTTGCTAACCACTATTTTTATATTGGTTTGACAACAAATTTCAATTATTGAGACTTGTTTTCAAAAAATTCAGAATCGAATATGTGATTTGCATTCCGAATATAGCGAGCTGATGAATACACGACTAGGTGTTCGTGTGGAAGTTCTCAAAATCGTTTACGAGAATGCATCGACGATTACAAGCACTGGCCATCCGAGATGTCGTCTAACATTGCACAAGTCAGGCTGGGATCGGTTCGCTTTTTTGGTTCCATTTTTTTTATTTGGTTGCATTTTTTGTTGAACTTTAAATTTAATTTTTTTTAAATCTATGATCCATTCATTATTTTAACACCAATTTTTGCATGGATATTTTTAAATATATTTCCAATATCATTCATTAAAAATCAGCTTCATTGAATAATATATCTCAATTTTTAGAGACACATGCTCAAGCCCCCAATTTACTTACAATGACACTCTCTCATGGTCGACAAGAGTGTGCTATAAATGGGTATGCGACACCAGTAAGTGGTTTTTGTTCCGACTTTGTTCTAATAAACCTAATGCAGCAAAATATGCGATGAGGGTGGAAAATTGTTGGATTGGAACACCGAAAAATCCAGTATATATTGTTAAAGATAACGGGTTTGGCAGACAAATTTAGTTTTTAAAAAATTTTTTTCCCTTTTTAGATGTACAATTGAAAAGGCCATTTTAACATCTCCCGTTTATACTTCTTTCAATCGGGCTGCGGCGATTGGATGGATGGCGGTTCGACAGAAAGGTTTTATTTTTTAGAAGAACAATCCTGAGTGTTGATTATATAAAATTCAAGATATGAAGCACATTCATGTTGGGTGCACCATACGATTATGCCATTTATGCGATTCTGACTGCAGGGAACTTACGGTAACCCCAAATATCAGTTTGGTATATTATATACATATGGTTTAGCCGCCAAGGTCCTGCAATGATAGTCGAAAAGATGATTATGACGCGATGTGGAATAGCTCTTCGCGCGTTCAGAAACTTTGCCATCCGTCAACAACTACTCACTTACCTCACAATTCGGTTCAGGACCCCAGCGCAACATTGTATATCATTCTAGGGATCGTTTTTGGTTTCAATTTGCTCAAATAAAATGAAAATGTTTTTTTTTTGCGCAATTTTGGAAGGCTTCGAGAGAAAATGAGACGGGGCTTCTCCTTGGCCGGCCGTCTTTCTTCTTGGTTCTCTGATGAAATTTGCGTGACGCAGCGGCTAGGCGGCGACTCGCCGGTCAGGAATAGCGCATATGTTGGTAGAGAGCATCGATCGTTAGAGAAGGCCGCAACGATTTGCGCTCGTCGTTTTATTTTTTTGTGCTGTCGTTTCGTTCTTTTCCATTCCCACTCTTCGCGCCGTCCTGTTTTCTTTCTATACGGCATTAGGCCGAACTTTTCCAAAACGCCTCTAGTTGCACATGGCTATTTTGTTTGTTTTCTATATGAAATCGAGTCCTTTTGTTGAAAAAACGGAAGGAATTCAATGGGAGAAAAGAAAATTACAAAACAAGGAAATACTGTTGACCTTTAGGCGTAAAATGTTTTTGGGTTATTTTGGCTATTTATTTTTTATTTCTATATTATTTATTAACTGGTTTATTTGTGATAGTTTCAAAATTGTGCATAGTGTTTACATATTATTTTTTATCCGAACAGTGTGATTCATTATATTAACGTTTGCTTTAATTGCAACACAAAAAAAATCGTCTTCGTTTACTGTATTATTTTAAAGGAGCACAGACAAACTTTCTAATTCTTTCGTCACTATTGTCAGATACTGTAATTATTTTTATTTATTCCCAAAAAATCATATTTTTTAGTTTTTTTCTCAACTTCTTTTCAATATAATAATTGTAACCTGCATAAAATCTTATCATAGACATAATGAAACTATTAAGCAAACAATTTACATTCCCTATTATCAGAACTATTCCAACATTCCCCCGCAGAAAACTGCGCATCATCTATTAACCTACTAAAACAATGTGCGTTTTATATATAAACCTGACCGATTTATTTCTCTGCGTCTCTATGGTGTCATATCGATTTTTCTGTTGCAGATACTGCTGTATTTCAATTTGGCTTTGGTTTCGAACGAACAATTTTGACGACGAAAACCCGTAATCCCGTTTTGCGTTAAAATGAGCCATCTATCGGAGCGGCAAAAGGATGAACTGTAGGATTTAATTTTCAGTTGTCACTGAAATGTCTCTTCTTTTAAATTTTGGGTTTATTTTTCGAGTAAGCTGATGTTGTTTATGCGTTTCGCGCTATTTTTAATTGAAAATGCCGAGCCTCAGGGGCAGAGCTAATTAAAATAGCATTAGTTCGTCATTGGGGGACCAAACCCATCGTACTCCTTTTGCAGAAATCGAGCGATCGCAGAATATCTACAAATTCATGGGTATACAGAATCATTTGAAGTTTTCCAAAAGGAAGCTAGCTTGGTAAGAATTGGTAATATTTAAAATTTTTGTGTTATGTTCAATTTTTTTAGAGTGAAAATGACGTCACTATACGAGGAGGAGTATTGGAGAAAAAATGGTCCACCGTGTTACGATTGCAGAAAAAAGTTAATGATTTGGAAGCAAAATTGCAGGAGATGCAAAAAGAGATTAATCACGGAGCTCCTACTAGGTACAAATCTTACGTTTTAAATGAAACAAATTAATATAGGGATAAACGCCAAGCGTCTGAATGGATTCCAAGACCTCCTGAAGTTCAAAAGCTCATAGGACATCGTTTACCAATCACGCGCGTGATCTTCCATCCACTTTGGACGGTAATGGCAAGTTCTTCAGAAGACGCCACAATCAAAGTATGGGACTACGAAAGCGGGCAATTGGAACGAACTTTAAAAGGACATACAGATTCAGTTAATGATATCGCTTTCGATGCAGCCGGAAAAAATCTGGGTACCGGTTTTTTTTTTAATTTTAGGCTTAATTTTTTTTAGTGTCCTGTTCTTCCGATCTGTCCATCAAACTCTGGGACTTTGGACAGTCTTATGATTGTTTAAAATCCTTGAAAGGACATGAACATACTGTATCATCAGTAGCATTTTTACCCACTGGCGATTTTGTTTTGTCAGCCAGTAGAGATCACACCATCAAACAGTGGGATGTAAGAATTGTATTTTTGTGAAATGTTCAATTTAATAATTCTTTTAGATCTCAACGGGATATTGCGTATTCACTTTCCGCGGGCATAACGATTGGGTTCGCATGATACGAATTTCACATGATGGTTTATTGTTCGCATCTGCTAGCAACGACCAAACTGTGACCGTTTGGGCGTTTGCCACAAAATCAGCGAAATTAGTTCTTCGCGATCACGAACATGCCGTAGAGTGTGTCGAATGGGCTCCAGAATCGGCATATGCCACAATTACTGGGCAGCGTAGGAAATATTGGTATTTATATTAATTAATTTAAAAAATTCTAGAACCCGAGGGAAATACTACACATATTTTGTTTAGTGGATCTCGAGATAAATCGATTAAAGCATGGAATACAAACACTGGAGATGTGATTTTCACTCTTAATGCACATGATAACTGGGTCAGAGGGTTAGCTTTCCATCCAATGGGACAGGTATTATTTGTACTTGCTTTTTTTTTTAATTTTTTTCTATTTAGTTTCTTGTTTCCGTTGCGGACGATAAAACGATGAGAGTATGGGAATTGGGGCATCAAAGGTGCATGAAGTCAATCGATGCTCATGACCATTTCGTGTCTACCGTTGGTAAGTGTTTCCCTCTCTCTCTCCGGCACCGACGATAAATACAATACATGTATTTATAACATTTTTACAGCATTCCATAAATCTTCTCCATTCGTTATTACTGGAAGCGTTGATTTGTCGGTCAAAGTTTGGGAATGTCGTTAGATTTGCGTCGATTGTTTCGATATGTTTTTCTCGCGTCACGCTTATCTTTCGCTTCATTTTCCCCCGTATTCCTTCTGTGCTATAATTCAAAAGTTGTGCAAAACATTATTTTATATTCATTTTTTAATTCAAAATAAATGCAACCGCTGATCTTCGCATTAGGACTCCCAGCCCACACCCGCATTTCTATCATTTCCATATTTTGTCGGTTTTCGTGACTTCTATGGCAACCCCCTCCCAAACAATTGGCGCTAGTGCTTTTCTACCCTGGTGGTAATATTTTTTTCAAATAATTTATTATATTTCTTTCCGATGTTTCACTATCTTGTTTTATGAATAAATCAATTTAAAATGTTATATAATCGCCAGCTGTCATAGAAACAGAAACCGGAAATTAACAATCCGAATGACTGGATCAATCTTGATTCATTTTTCATTTTTTTCAAAATGTTTGCGTTATTCCTACTTTTATTATTATTACCTGGTAAATTAACATAAGAAATATACAAACGCATTATCATTAATATTATTTAGAACAAGCTAGAAGCTTAAAATGTTGGATCTGCGTAGGGGCAGATTGTGATGTTTATTCTTCTCTTTCAAATAATTGGGAGCTAGTTGAGTGCCCAAACGGAAGTGTCTGTCAGGTAAATCATCGAATATATCTTGTAGCCAAATTTCTACAGAAAACGGATTTTTCATTCTATAGCAATGCAAGGAACGCGTCGTCCAAAACTCATACTGTGAGAAGTTGCTCATACGAGACAGGTAGAATTCCGTTTAAACATTATGGTCAGAAGCAATTTAAGGCTGCACATGGGATCGGAGCAAATCTTGTAAGAAGGATTCAGTCCAATACGCGGGTCGTGGGTGCATTGATCGATATTGTTGCGCGAAGGACGAATGCAATTCAAGCAATCGAAAAGAAATCGCACTTGCTGGAATTATTGTGTTATTTGCGTTGCATGTGTGAATTGATATGAAATAAAAACATTGTTAATGTTTTTCATAAAAATATCGAGAAAATTTCCCTTTTTAAACGGGTGAACAAACAATGTCATTCGAGTGAATCACGTATCGATTTATGGGAGTTTTTTTTTTTCATTTTAAAAACCTATTATATAAACGAAAAGAATTTGTTGATATTTGTTTTTGTACTCTGGTTGTTTTCGGATGAGTGCAAGCAGGTCTTCAGCGTAGTCCTTTTTTTGTCTGATCCCTCTAACATGGATTATCTTTCAGCGCTGGTTTTCGCCTGAAATAATAACATATTGTTCTGTTGGTTTGTTTATGTTATTGATGGCTAATAAAAAGAAAAAAATTGCTTCTGCTGAATTTTACTTAGGCTAGATAATAGTCGCTCCCTACGACTAATGCAATTTAGCACATTTAGAGGCACGCATCTTTATTATCTCGATGCTCCGTAAATTTACCCCCTGTTGTTTTCTGTTTTGATCTACAACATTTTTTTAAATAATTTTTTGCTGTTGCGAATTCTTTCGTTTTTTTCCTTTTTTTAATTTTTGTCTAATTTTAAAACCTTCAGGTTGAAAAATGCGCTTCAAATGGGCTTGGACTGCATCGCTCGGAATCTTTATTCAATTTTTCGCTGGAGACTTATACAAGTTTTCGTCGATGAGTCGTGGAGAACTGGCGGATACATTCAGTATCAACAATCTGGTTACTCGTCCGGAAAAGGTTTGTCATATTTTCACACGTTTATCATTGTTTTCTTAATAATCACGAATGTTGGGTTCATATTCCCATGGGAAACCTGCAGGTTTTCAACGGTTTCTCTTTTTGTTTTATCGAGAAAATTCAAGTGTTGTTATTCATATTCGTTCTGCCCAATATAAGGTTCATAACTATTTATGTCATTATTGTTATTATTGTGTCAAAAAAATTTGAAATAAAACAGGTGAAAGTTTGCAGACGGTTATTATTTCGGTCATAAGTTGAATTTTGAGCTATTTTTTACAATATACAAATAATTGAGTAATTTTCTTTAAATATTCATTGCTTTACTTTCAGCTTCTCAATTTTACAACATTTTAGTTCATATAATCTGTGTTGAAGTTAAACACTGAATCTTTTCCGAATGAAAACGCATTGAGAACGTCATCATTTATCTGAAATGAACTCTACTTGCAGAGAGTTCAAAAGCTTCTCATGAGAGTTTTTAAGAAAAACATTTAAAAGAAATCGTAAATATTGACGTTTCACATGGGTTGAACAATGAAGTGAAACGACAATGAAGTGAAACGGGTGGAACATACGTTTATATATTCCCAGATTATGCGCATATTTTATTAAATATTGTTCTGGCTTTTCCATTGGAAAAAACACAATTTTTGATTAATTGGTGATTAGTTTTTTCTATACAAACAATAGAAGAAAGAAACAACATTTGATTAATTGGTGAAAACATATACAAGACTATTTTTTTGCCTTCTAACTTGTATAATTATTTACACAGGTGAACATGGAGCTTCTCACGATGCTCGCATGGATTCTTATATTTTTCTTATCTTCACTTTTCTCATTTCTCGCTCTTAAATTCAAGGTTGGGTTTCTAGAAAATTATAAGTTTTTCTTTCATTTACAGACGATACGTGTTATTTCGACCGTAATATCAATAATCCCTTTCATATTTATTCTTGCATACTTTCTATTCAAAATCCCAACTCTTCCGTTAGACGAAGACCACAAAAAACTATTCTTCACTAATTTTAAAGTCGGTGGACATCGTGGCTCGGTGAGCCCAAGCGCGCCCGAGAATAGTCTAGAAGCGATGACGGCGGTTGTGAAGCACGGCGGACAACTCGCCGAAATCGATATACATCTGACATCAGACGGAGTGGCGGTGATTTCACACGACGGGAATGTTGGTGAGTTGAGTGAAATGACAACTCCATCGATTTCGTGGGATTTTCAGTTCGTGCCACTGGAGTCGACAAAGATATATCGAAAATGACATTGGAGGAATTCAAAACTCTTCGTTACATCAACACAAACATATCGCTACCAACATTTGCTGAAGCGGTTCAACACTGCGTCTCAAATAATATTATGATGATTTGGGATGTGAAGAGCGTTAATTCCGAGTTGCTAACAGCATTTGTTACCCAAATTCGAACTCATAATCTTTACGACAAAGTGCTGATTACGGGATTCAATCCAATTGATATGTTCATGGTCAAGAAAGCCGATTCAAAGATTCTCACTGGTGTGTTCCTAACGAATATCACACAACCATCGAATTTAGGTTTCACATTTCGAACCTGGGAACTGAGTACGACAGACGAAGCAGCAACTCAGCTGAGATTTGCCGGCGTATTAAACGCGATTGCACAATTGTTGGATGTGATCGCTTTCGCTCTTGCAAGGTATTTATTACATATTAACTATTTAAAACAATGCAATTTTTACTATACAGAAGTTTAATAATTCCAAAATTTCTTGGATCCGACATGATATTTTATCACGTTAACGACGCAAGCGCTTATCTTGCCGCCGAGGCTCTACAAAATGATATGCATTTGGGTGTCTGGACATCAAACAACAAAATTGAACAACGCTGGCTCAGGGATCATCTGAAAGTGCCGTTTTTAACTGATGATGTCGCAATGGTTCCAAAATAATCGAAACAAGACTGTCGGGTCAGATAAATGGGTCATTTTGGCAGGTCGCAAAACATAAATAATGGATATAAAGAAAAATGATTAATAAAGTAAAAGAAGACGAATCTAAACGACTAAAAATGTTGAAAGCTGTGAACGAGTAAGTTACACACCAAAAGAATTGGCAAGAAATATGAAACAACCAAAGAAACCCCTCAATCGCTGATTAAAATAGGGAAATAATTAAAAAAAATATTTACAATTGTACTATGCAACTGATTTATGTGACTTTGTATCGATTGAACAGATTATAGATGTCCTCGCAGAGTTTTGGGTGCAGTGCTGGGCGATTTTTTTCGAGCCTGTTAAGACCGTTCATTACCATACACCCTGAACACATTAAAATAAGACAGGTGGAATCCGAAACTAATATACCAATAAGCATATTATGAACCGATGTTTCTTCAATTATTAGATTCGGAACTCCAACTGCAGCGAATTTATTTCCAAGCATTGTCCTAATTTGATCCGGTGACATTTGCGCGGAAGTGCTGGATGATGATGATGGTCCATCAGAATTTTGGCCTACAGACAAATTGGCATTTTACTAAACATTAATAGAATATGTAGAATAAGCATTTTTGTGTGACTCTTGAATTTGTTATCTTGTTTTGTTAACATTCATATATCCTAATAGTTATTAAATGTTACCACGGCTAACTGCTACATCTACTCTGACCGGTGGTTGCTTCCTCAACATATCTTCTATTGGATTTATCGGCTCATGATTAATATGCGGATAAAATAAGCCGTAACTAGGTCTTCGTCCTCTTACCGCTGTAACTTCTGAAAAAAATCGCTAATGAACATTTTTGATATTTTGAATACTTTTCATTGGTTGAAGAAAAGTCTTTTCGCAGTCATTCTCTGTGACAGACTTCCTTTTTCTGAAATTTTTCAAATAAAACATTTAGTATACCAAATTAATTATATACTTACTTTGTGAGACGTCTCGCTGTGTCCTCAGGTCTTGGAGAATCTGTTTTTCGAGGACGAAGACTTCTCATATTTATTCTACTAAGTGCTTCAGCTAAAAAATGAACTTAATATATTATTAAAGCAATCAGAAACTACCTATATTTTTTGGTTTAAATTTATCGTTATCCTGTAAGAAATTAAACATTTTTAAAAGTGGAAAATAAGCGAATACCTCTTGATCGCCATTTTCACCATTTTCCAACGTCTCTTCCTCTTTCTGTATATAAATTATAATATATTAAGTGAATTTATTTTGCGAAGTATACTTTAATAACTTTTTTCTTCTGTATGTGAATTCCATCTATTGGCGTTAAGAGCGGTGGAGCCTCGTCATCGGAATCCATTTCCTTAATACGAACAAATTATAATTATATGTTTATTTTCGTTAAAAAAAATAATTCTAGAAAAAAGTATAACAGGGAATAGCGACGAACGAGTATACTTGACAACATATATACTAAATATTAAATTGCAATGATAATTTAAAAAGCAAATCAAAAATGCTCACTAATAATGCAAACGCGCCCCGACGCACATATTTTCGAAAATGCCGTTTTAAATTTTGTTCCCCATTTCTGGCGTGTTTTTTATTTTCTGTAATTTTTATGTCAAGTTTTTCTTCTAACTAAACATATATTTTAAATTTTAATTTGAACATTATTTTTAAAGACCTTCCTGCTGGCAATTCTCAAATACTATGGATTCTGATCTCTATGATGAGTTTGGTAACTACATCGGTCCTGAATTAGATTCCGATGACGATGATGGCGAGGAGATTACTAATAATCGTGATGAAGACGATAATGAGGAAGAAGAACAAGAACAGATGGAGGAAGATGATAACGAAGAGATTCCTCAAAATCAAATTGTTCTTCATGAGGACAAGAAATACTATGCGTCCGCAGTTGAAGTTTATGGAGAGGGCGTCGAAACTTTGGTTGAGGAGGAAGATGCTCAAGCTCTTACCGAACCAATTGTCAAGCCGATTTCAAAAAAGAAATTCCAAGCCGCTGAACATCAGTTGCCCAATACAACATACAAAAAAGAGTATTTGGCGGATCTAATGGACTGCCCACATATTATGAGAAATGTGGCTATTGCTGGGCATTTGCATCATGGAAAGGTGAATTTTTGAAAACTTAATTTGTAAATGTATCAATTTCTAGACTACGTTCCTTGATTGTCTCATGGAGCAAACGCATCCGGAATTCTATAGAGCTGAAGATGCTGATACTCGCTATACTGATACATTGTTCATTGAGCAACAAAGAGGATGTTCAATCAAAGCAATGCCAGTTTCGATTGTTACTCAAGACAGTCGCAGCAAGAGCTACCTTCTCAATGTTATTGATACCCCAGGACACGTTAATTTTTCGGATGAAATGACTGCGGCTTACCGTCTAGCCGATGGTGTAGTAATATTTGTTGACGCTCATGAAGGGGTTAGTAACGTACAATATTTAACGTGAAAAATATTTTAATTTTTAGGTAATGATGAACACAGAGCGTGCGATTCGTCACGCTGTCCAGGAAAGGCTACCCGTTACACTTTGCATTGCGAAAATTGACCGTCTTTTCCTCGAATTGAAACTTCCGCCAACCGATGCTTATTACAAGCTTCGATTAATTATTGATCAAGTCAATAGTATATTGGAGTGAGTAATTTTGTCTATAAATTTCGAATTCAAATATTCTTGCAGGACCTATTCGGAATCGGAGGTATCTGTAATGTCTCCACTTAACGGTAACGTCATTTTTTCGTCTGGACGTTACAACGTCTGCTTCTCACTTTTGTCATTTGCGAATATTTACTCCAAACAATTCGGTAATTGTATATCCGTCGTATAGTTGAATTTAGCAATTTTTCAGGAGAATCGTTCAATCCAAAAGAATTCGCCAGAAGACTTTGGGGCGATATTTATTTAGACAAAAAGACTAGAAAATTTTCTAAGAAAGCTCCTAATGGTGACGCTCCTCGAACGTTTGTCGAATTTATTCTGGAACCACTGTATAAGATATTCTCGCAAGTGGTTGGTGATGTTGATACGTGCCTACCGTCTATGATGGCCGAATTAGGCATTCGATTGTCGAAGGAGGAACAGAAAATGAATGTCCGACCGTTGATATCTCTGATTTGCAAGAGATTTTTTGGAGATTTTACGGGTACCTTACAATAATCGCGTGAAACAATTATTCGTAATTTTTAGCATTTACTGATCTCGTCGTCAATAACATTAAATCTCCACTCGATAACGCTAAAACAAAAGTTGAACAAACTTATTTGGGACCTTCCGACAGCAGTTTGTCCATTGAAATGCAGAAATGTAATGCTGATGGCCCTTTGATGGTTCACACCACAAAAAATTACCCAACCGCTGATGCAACGTCATTCCGTGTTCTTGGCCGTGTAATGAGTGGAACTCTTGAAGCCAACGCTGATGTTCGTGTTCTTGGAGAAAATTACAGCATCCAGGATGAGGAAGATTGTCGCATTATGACTGTTGGAAGGCTATGGGTACACGTGGCAAGATATCAGATCGAAGTTAGTCGAGTTCCAGCCGGATGTTGGGTTTTAATCGAGGTAAACAAATGCATTTTTCGATAATAATTAAATTTTTAAGGGCATCGATCAGCCAATTGTGAAAACGGCTACAATTGCTGAACGTGAGTATGAGGAGGATGTTTATATCTTCCGACCATTGAAATTCAATACGAGGAGCGTTGTCAAACTCGCTGTCGAACCAATTAACCCTTCCGAACTTCCGAAAATGCTAGATGGTCTTCGAAAAGTTAACAAGTCTTATCCATTGTTGACGACACGTGTCGAGGAATCTGGAGAGCACGTTCTTCTTGGAACTGGCGAATTGTATATGGATTGTGTAATGCATGATATGAGAAAAGTGTTCTCCGAAATTGATATCAAAGTTGCTGATCCAGTTGTGACATTCAATGAAACTGTTATCGAGACCAGTACATTGAAATGTTTCGCAGAAACTCCAAACAAAAAGTAAATTCGAAATAATTATGATCCGATTAAAGTATTATTATTCAGAAATAAAATCACGATGATGGCCGAACCTCTTGAAAAACACCTTGACGAAGACATTGAAAACGAAGTAGTTCAAATCGGTTGGAATCGAAGACGGCTTGGAGAATTCTTCCAATCGAAGTACAACTGGGATTTGTTAGCTGCAAGATCGATTTGGGCTTTTGGTCCTGATACTACTGGGCCAAATATTTTCCTTGATGATACTTTGCCGTCGGAAGTGGATAAGCACTTGTTGTCAACCGTTCGAGAATCGCTTGTTCAAGGATTTCAGTGGGCCACTAGAGAAGGACCACTATGTGAAGAGCGTAAATATTCGAAAAAGAGAATGGGAAATAATAATCCGTTCTGTTTTTATAGCAATTCGTCAAGTTAAGTTTAAATTATTGGATGCGACAATTGCTCAAGAGCCGCTGTATCGTGGTGGAGGTCAAATGATCCCGACTGCTAGAAGATGCGCCTATTCTGCGTTTTTGGTAACAATGTGTTCTCACAGTGACAATGCGTCTATCATGAATTACAGATGGCAACTCCTCGATTAATGGAGCCATACTACTCTGTGGAAGTAATTGCACCCGCAGATTGCGTTTCGTCGGTTTATACGGTGTTGGCTAAACGTCGTGGTCACGTTACCACCGATACCACAATTCCAGGATCGCCGTTGTATTCTGTCAATGTAGAATTAAGCTAGAAATCACAATGAACATGCCATGTTTTAGGCTTATATTCCTGTAATGGACTCGTTTGGATTTGAGACTGATCTACGCACGCACACTCAAGGTCAAGCGTTTTGCATGTCAGTGTTCCATCACTGGCAATTGGTTCCAGGCGATCCGCTTGACAAGACTATCGTAATCAAGCCGCTTGAATTGCAGCCGACACCACATTTGGCCCGAGAGTTCATGATTAAAACAAGGTACTTTATTACCCGAAATAATATAAAAATTGAACATACGAGTAATGTTTAACTTATAAGTAAAGAGATGCAAGCGTTTTCGATTGAATCGCAATATTTTTTGCATCTTTATAATCGAACGTGACGATGACCTTTATTAGGATTAATTGGTGTCACTGATAATTTATTACCTTATCATGATCAATGCGCAGTGTTTCCTTGATGAATTTCGAAATTTTCTTAGCGTAATTATCGTTTTCGGTCTGGGACGAAGGTCGAGTTGTTGTTAACTAAAACCGTATTCTATGAAACTATTTTAAGTCGACCTACATTTATTATTACGAATGGGGTTTCTTTCGATGTTCCCATTACCATTCTCATAGCGCTTTCAACAATAACTACGAATTTGTCTGGTTGCAATCCCATAGCATCACTGAGCTGATAGCACAACTCCTTCTTAAGACAATAAATGATTTTCGTTTAAATTTGCTCTAAAACTAACCTCGATGTTTTCGGGAATGTCAATAGACCGAATGTTTGTTTGGATGCGAATTATTTGCATTTTGTGTGGTAAAAACTAAAAATATATTGTCTAATTTTTTGGAATGAAACGAAAAAAGAGCTGTGTATGGTATGGAGAGAGTAAATATATGGCGACATTTGTTGGGCGTGGTTCGTTTCCAACGGCGGCAATACATAAGGTGAAGCGAGAAGCACAGAAAAACAGCGAGAAAAAAAATGCGCGCGTACACTTCAGTCTTCCGTGCGATGTTTCTCTTTTGTCCGCGGCAAAGTAATTATATTGTTGAGGGTGACAAAATATGTTGGATTATGATCGTAAAAGAAGTATTCGAGATTCGTTTTTTTCTCGGAACAAAAACTAAATAGTCTGAATTGTTTTCAATGAATATTTTTATTGTAGACGACGAAAGGGACTTTCGGAAGATGTTTCGGTGAACAAGTTCTTCGACGATCCTATGCTTCTCGAGCTCGCCAAACAACAAGATGTTTTCACGTATTCTGGATTCTAAATTATCTTCTAATTTATATGTTGTTTTATTGTTTTAGCGTCTTTTTTCGGAACCAATTGTTTTGTTTTTGTAAACGATCTCTATTTTAACGAAATATTCAACAGTAACAAACAAAATCAACAAAGACAAAATACAAAAAGAAGAAAAGCAAATTAGAATTATTCTGAATAGCTGTCAACAGGTTCTTCCTGCTTTTTAACTCCAGAAAAAGCTGCAGCTTCAGATTCCTCGTTGAAGGTAATGTGATTATTCGAGCCTTTATCTTCCTTTTTGATTTTCTTCACGAGTTCGACGTAGTTTCCTTGTAATAAACACAAACTTCTCTTGATTACCATGCCAGCGTAGTTTACACGAATGATGTCATCAACATCGACGTCGTCTTTATTGATTTTATCATTTCTTCGCACTTGAATCGTAATCATATCCATTACGAGCCCGATGATCATGTCGTTATCCACATGCCGCACAATAGCCTCGTACTGATCTCCTTTCTTAGGCCTGCAAAACTTGCAGGTGTGAATCGAAGTACAATTTGACCTACTTGAAGACAATCTGATTAATCAAAATGTCCAGGTGAAAAACAAACTGATCGGCAATTACTCGTGGTGGAGATGCGATTTCAATTTCACCAACGGCGACAATGATACCCTTCGATCTGAAATGGCGAAACCGTTTTTTTTTCTTAGATGAGTTGAGATCTTACTCCTTTTTATATCGTCCTACGGTGTTTCTAGTGATAAATCGAAGGGCTTGCTTCATTGCAGTTTGTCCTGACATATGATGAGGCAATGAAACATGCCGAAGTTGCTTCTGATGCACAATTCCGCTTGATTTGTTGCCTTCCATTTTTTCGGTTTTTATTCTACTTAATCCATCTTCGTAGGACATGAAACAAGTCTGTAAAGAATATAAAATGCAATTTTAAAAAACTGGAAATGTGTACCGTCGACTCCTTATTTTGTTTCTGAATGATATTTTGCCCACCTTTACGAAATCGATAAGCTTTTCCTTCGTCCTGCTGAATGAGAGGATTCCATTAAATATGATGATTAATTTTAAAAAAAACCTCCGCATCGTTTTTCAGTTTCTTCTTTGGAACTTCGACGGTTTCTTCAACATCTTCAACTTTCACTTGGTTCGATGATCTGCGCTTTCCCATTTCTCGAAAATAAAGAAACTTATAAAATAAATAAATTAGAAACATTATATATAAACAGTAACGTTTTGGCAATAACCACGAAACAATTTTAAAAAATATATGGAATCATTTTATTACAATAATATTAGAATCTAAAAGGAATATTAGGCCACATTTTTGGATTGCAAATAGCGAGTTGCTGAAAATAAATCGACTAACTATAATTTTCTATTTTCTATTTTTACGTTTTCAAATCTTAGCTCCAAAAAAGCTTCCATTGCTAGAATTCTTTCTGCAGACGATCCATACAACTTTATAGCTTCATTTCTTTTCTCAATGAATGCTTCCTGCTCGTTTTTCGGCTTTGTTGTAGGAGCAAATCGTCCTCTTACGCTGACTAAAAAAATAAATAGACTTTAAAAATCATGAATTTAATGAGTTTACTTTTATCAACATTCGTATACTCTTCTTCGTCCGGTCTCATCCATTTTTTGCCTTTTTTTTGTCGTGCTCGCTCTTCATCGCCTGCATTTTGAAACGTTTTCAGAAATTATTTGAACATATATTAATATTCTTACGTTCTTTTCTATGTTGTATGGTTTTCTCGAAAAATTCACGCATTTCATCGGTCATTTTTTCAACCTCTTCTTCAGTGTGGACAAGGTCTTCTTTTTTACAGCATGTTGGCCGATTTTCCAATTTTCTTGCTCGTTTTTTAACGTCCTTCTGGATCAATTTTTGCGAACTTGTGGAAGGAGCTAAATTGTTTTCAAAACTATTTTTTTAACTGAATTTTCACAAAAATTACCAACTAGTAATTCCGCTTTTATGGAGTTTTGAAAATGTTTCTGCTGCCATTTCATTGCAGCTTCGTAGTTGGCCCAAAAGAAGTCGTAACAGGAGTTTCTGGCCCATTCATTTGATTCGCGAATATTCATCTAAATTTAATAATGAAAATTGATTCAAAATATGCAGTGAGACAAATTTTATAAATAAAAAGCCGTGTCGGATAATAAAGAAAATGCCTGAAATTTTTCGAAATAAAAAATAATGTTGCAGGGCCTAATAATTGATGTCAAAAATTAGACCACTCAATTTTATAGGCCACGTCCACCATATATTCCGTAAAACGTTGAATGTTTAAACAGTAACTAATAGAACGTTAATTCTTTTATTTGGACATGTGCTAAACGAATATCATGGATGATATTGTAATCCTTGATTCCTCAGATGATGAAGAAGTTCGTAAAAAGAAGCCAAAATTTTCCGAAAGCACGTCGGGTATGCGCACTAATTTCGATATATCTAATTTTTTGACAGGCTCTTCATCATCTTCTTCAAAAACAGCATGGACGGAATTGTTTAACAAGAAAAAGGCTTCTGTAAACAATGCTTCAAAGTCGTTGTCAAAAGAAAAAGAAAAGGTGTCTATGAAAGCGAAAATTGGGATGAAAAAAAAGCAGGACCCATCCCCTACTAAGGAAAAACTTTCTGATTCACAGGAAACTATCACGACATCTGACTTTACAGGTATTGTTCATTTTGTGTTTCATTCAATATTCAATTTAGAAAATCCCGAAGCTGTTGGAACTGGAGAACCTCTGATTAGAGCATCTGAGATTATAGCAAGGCGAGATAAGGTGCTCATAGATGTTTTCAAGCACCATAAATTCAAAAGCCAATTGCAAATGAAAGCGACTAACACCATTCTGAAAAGTACGCATAATAGGTAAAGATTAAACTTTTGATTGTTTACAGGACAAACCGATGTATATGTTTCCCTTCCAACAGGAGCTGGAAAATCATTGTGCTACCAACTACCTGCCATTGTTCACGGCGGGGTTACAATTGTCATTTCCCCTTTGATTGCTTTAATGAAAGACCAAATTTGTTCTTTAAGAAAAAAGGGAATCCCATGTGAATATTTTAATTCAAGTTTAACACCAGATCAGAAATCAGAAATTACAAAGGTTCAAAAAGCAAAAAAATCGAAATGTAGATGTAGTTTTAGGAATTAACGAAAGAAAAAACCACGATTCGAATGCTTTACATCACGGCAGAGGGAGCCGCAACGGATTCGATGAAAAGGTTAATAAATATGAAATTCCTCACATTCTCTGTTTTCAGACTTATAGCAGGTTTACATAAGCGAAAAGTTCTTCGATATGTTGTGGTAGATGAAGCTCACTGCGTATCACAATGGGGTCATGATTTCAGGTATTTAATTGCACATTATTTAAAAATGATTGAAAATGTATAGGCCTGACTATTTGACGTTAGGAAAATTGAGAGAAGTGTGTCCGGGAATTCCTTGGATTGCTTTAACCGCTACTGCGAACAAGAAAACCGAGGAAGATATCATTTTTCAGCTGAAAATGAGGAATTTCTTAAGCTTTAAGGTAATTTGGCGATGATTCATATTTTTTATAAATTCTTTTAAGGCGAGCACTTACAGAGATAACTTATTTTATGATGTTATTATGAGGGATCATTTAAATGTTGCACCCGAGGTAATTGTAAAATAAAATAGCTAACATGGAAGATGGTCATTTTTTAAAAGAATCACCTCGCTTCTTTTATTGTACAATGCCTCACACCTACTAAAAAGCCTCTACACCATAATGCAATCAAAGAAGAGAAGGGCAGGAGGACTGAAAATAAAAAGACTCTCGTTGGCAGCGCAATTGTTTACTGTAGGTCTCGAAACGAATGTGAGCAGATGTGCTCTATGTTATGTAAAGCTGGGATCAAATCTATGGCCTATCATGCTGGTCTCGGAAAGAAAGTTCGTATCAATAGTCGATTCTGCATTTCAAATTTATTTCAGGAGAGAAACGATGTTCAGGAAAAATGGATGGCCAACGAAGTAGCCGTTGTTGCGGCAACAGTTGCGTTTGGAATGGGAATTGATAAAGCGGATGTTAGACTCGTTGTGCATTGGTCGGCATCACAGAACTTAGCCGCTTATTATCAGGAAGCCGGACGTGCCGGACGAGACGGACAACGAAGTTACTGTCGAATATATTACTCACGACAAGACAAAAATGCGTTGAGCTTTCTTGTGTCTGGAGAAATTGGAAAATTGAAGAAAAAAGCGAGCAAAAAGGGTCCTGAGGCGGAGAAGGCTGAAATGCAGATCAAATCTATCCAAACGGGACTCACTAAAATGCTTGAATACTGCGAGGGGTTGGAGTATGTTGTAGTTTTTTTGAAGAGAACTACCAATAAAAAATAATCGAATAATTCAATTGAAGATGTCGTCACGTTACTATTGCAAAATTTTTTGATGATACGGACTCACGACCTTGTGGTTCGAATTGCGATTATTGCCGGGATCCAAACTTGACAAGAAGAAATTTAGAAACATTCAAAGTGTATTTAGCACCCGAAACTTTTATGAATTTTCATATTTAGAACTATGAAGCAAATCCAAACCCTAGCAATTCGAGATATAACAGGAAATCCCGAGATGGCAGATGTGATGACGATGATTTATATGGAGGTGGAAGAAGGTACGATATTATATTTGCCCTGGAAATTTGGGATTTTAGCGGTCGAGACTACGACGATGACTGTCTGCAGCGTGAATGCTCGTCCGCAAAGGATGTCATTGATCGTATGGAAGAAGCCGAGGGGCGTCGAATGAGAGGAATCATTGCGAGTGAATTGGCTAAACGGAAAAGATCAAGACGATCCAGTCCGGTTTCGCATCGATTCGAAAACTCAACACCAGCTACTGATATACACGTTCTGAATCCAGAGCAAAAGTTGGTACCGAAAGTCACCCTTCAGGTGTTTGTGAATATTTTCAAACGTTATTTCATTCCTGAATTTTCCAGACACGCGAAACGTTTGCAAGAGCCTTAAAAGCAGCACTTGAGAGCAACTGGATGGGTGTTCCCCTGAATGGCATGACGCCGTTGAATGGCGCAGAATCGCTTGAGTGGATTGTTTTCAGCACCACAAAATCTGAAATGACATATAGGAATAAAATATCGCAAAAGGTAATTGTCTTCTAGATGCTATTATTTTCGGTTTATTTTGTGTAGCCTTTACATATTTATTAACAGGTCATGGAGATTAAAAAGATGACGAAAGAATGCAAGACTTTTGAGATGGAAAATACCAGTGTCGAACAATCCGGATTCGTAAAAGCGTCAAGTTTGATCTAATAATCTATTGTTATTTATGATAATCGCATAAATTATCGATTTTCAACGTGCATACATTTACACGTGATTATTTTCGTCGTTCTTTTTTTAACTTTTTAAATTTGCTATCTGGATTATCCTTAAAAAGAACCACTTGACGCTTAGAAGTGTGTCAAGATTCGCACTTATATTATGGGCGCATAATAAATCTGCGATAACTTTATTTATATAGGCAAAATTTGTGTCTCGTCTTTGAATCGAATGATAATTTTAAAAGATAAGCAGCATTTTAAGAATGACGTGTTTGCTAGAGTAGGCTTTTTACTCCAACTAATATCAAAATGTAAACAATTTTACGAAATCGAGCAGAAAATGGCGAAATTTGACCGCCAAAACGGTGTATTTACACTTCTTAACCCATTTTTTGCGTCTGTATTCCTTCGTCTATCTTGTGCGTGGGTAACTTTCTTTCTGACTATATTTAGTTATTTCTATTGGAAATAAATGAGTCATCAAGAAAATAATAGCAAACATTTATTTTTGAGTTTAACAGTTCAGGTACTCTTTGAATTCATTTTTTTCAGCGTTTTTTTTTATCTATCGGGTATCGGTGTTGATGAGTTGGTTTAATAATGGCTTTATTCTGCAAATGTTATTATTCTTTTCGAAAATTAATTGTAAAAGTTTTAAAATTTTGTATGCTAAAATTGGTTTTCGGCCGACTCAATTTTATCAGAGGCATTAAATTTCTTTACGTTTTGAACATTGAGGAGTTTCCTTCTTCAAACGTTATTGAACATATCGTTTTACACTTCACGGTTGCGCGCGCGCGCAAACCTCTACGCGAACAATTATGCATATAAAGCTCATTATCACACCCGATTTCGAGTGTGCAGTCGCCGGAAATCGGTCACTTTTTGTATTTGTGTTGTTCGGAGCTCGCGCGCGCACGCGTCAAAACATTTGCTGGCAGAAGCATCGGGCGCCAATGCAATAGCTGTGTTCCGTCTGATGAATTAATGAGGCCTTGCTTGCGTGACGGGGGCGGAGTCGCGCGCCCTTCCCCGGAAACCCGTCATCCCGTTCTCTTTTCGCGGCGTCGAGTTACCACGATTGTGGTTTTGCGTTTTACGTCTGATTTTTATGCGTATTGTATTTGAACAATAGATTAAATGCGTTCATTGTTGCAAAAGTGTTTAGGTTTTCATAGTCTTAAAAAGTGGTGCAACATTTTTGTATGGTCTTATTTAATTTAAATTAACCTTTTTCCGGGTAATCGATAAATTATTTTACCTATTATTATTTATAGTTTATAAGATATTTCTTGAATACAAATTAATTTTTTAATACTCATTATGTATGAACGATATCAATCAACTTTCCTTGTTTACCGAAAAAATTCCGGTCACAATTCGCTGATGCGCCTGCCGCACAACAAAAGAACTAGCGTGTGAGAGCAAAACATCAAAAATGGTCATTTCAATATTCATTTTTAACATTTTATGAATGCAAAAATAGTTATAATTTGTTGGAAATGTGTGTGAGTTCTGCCCTTTGCTTGAGTTTAAAAAAAGGGCGTTTCGTGAAAATCACTATAAGTTAACAAATTGTTAATATAGAATTGTCTATGAAATGATTTGGTGCTCTAAGAATTTTGAAATCGGTAAATTCTTCTACCGTTTTACACTAAACTTAGAAAACATAACATTATATTGAACTCTCATTAAAGTCGCAAGGTCTCGTCCTTTCTCCATGTTTATTTTAATAGTTAGCCTTGAACCAGATATTTGTTTCAATCATTTAATTCCCAAATCAATTCGATTGAACTGAATTTTCAGCTATGATTCTTGCTGAGCATGATCCAAAAGAGTACGGTGTTGAGGATTTGGTGTTGCTCTCGAAAATTGATTTGGACCATGTCGTTTCGAATTTAAATCTCAGGTATTTAAATTTTTGGAAATCAGAAACCGTGGTTGGTTGGTTATAATAGACTTATCGCAAATGGATCCATCATCATCATTGACTACTAAAGCTGTGGCCAGTTAGCATAACAAATCTGCGCATAATCCTTTTCGCAGCAAGCTTTTTGGGTGGGCGACGAATCGTCTGCACCAATCGCCTGCACCCATTATCTGGTCGTATAAATCGAATTTTCGGCGCGACAGCTACAATTTTGAAAATTGCGCGCCAAGGACATTCATTTGTATGCACACTGAGAAGAAAACATATAAACCAAGACGAACTTAAATTCGATTTAGTAATATATCTAAGTTTAGCGAAATCAATTTAAATCAAAATTTTTAATCAAAAAAAACTTTCAAAAAATCGTTTTTGAAAATTATTTTTTAAAGTCTTGGATTTTTCGAAAGTTAAAGTTGTAATATATTTTACGGAGGTAAATCAAAACATAAACAATGTTCGTTTTCCACTTGCCCATATGTCATAGCCAGAAGATGATTGGCATGAAACACGCAAGCGAACAACCCTAAATTGAATTCCCTTTAGAATACACCAGCTGACCATAGATTTGCGCGGCTGAGTCACCAACGAAACGGAGTTTTGGGTGTGATGAAATCCTGCTCAAAAATTCATTGCAGATTTCGCAAGGGACGAATTTACACGTACATTGGAGAGGTTCTCATTGCTGTCAACCCATATCGGCAACTCAACATTTATGAAAAAGACACTATTGAGAAATACAAGGTACTCGGAATAAAATGGCATTGCACTTGATATCCATACAACACTCTATATGAAAATAGTAGTGGGGACAATTTTTTAGGGTCGAGAAATATATGAAAGATCGCCTCATGTGTTCGCAATCGCCGATGCCGCTTATAGATCTATGAAAAGATTCGGAAGAGACTCATGCATCGTGATATCCGGCGAATCAGGAGCCGGAAAAACTGAGACGAGCAAAATTATAATGAGATATCTAGCGGCTATTACGAATGTTCAGCAACAGGGCGAAATTGAAAGGTTGGGAAATGTCTTTTAAAATGTTCATCTCGCTTTCTAATTTAAAAAAATCAGTTACTATGATAAATTACAGAGTCAAAAATGTTCTTCTACGCTCAAACTGTATTCTTGAATCCTTCGGTTGTGCTAAAACAACAAGAAATGACAATTCATCAAGATTCGGAAAATACATGCATATAAACTTTGATTATGGTGGAGATCCAGTTGGTGGAAACATTGCAAATTATCTACTCGAGAAGGTTTTTAAAAATTTTACGCAATATACCGTCTTATTTTAGTCTCGAGTTGTTCGCCAACAAAATGGGGAACGCAATTTTCATGTGTTTTATCAGCTGGTTGCTGGAGGAAATGAAAATATGCTTAAAAGCTTTGGATTGACAAAAGACGCTAAGAAATACTATTTTTTGAATCAAGGTCATTCTGAAAAGGTTTTAATAGTTTTTCTATTTCTATTTTAAAATAATTACACAGGTTTCTTCGATAAACGATTCTCGAGATTACGCAGATGTCCAGACGGCATTGCGATCAATTTCAACTTTCCAGCAAAACGACATTGAAAGTGTAAGAATTTGAAAAAAAAACAACTATCAGTAATCGATTTCATTATTGCTCGTTTAGATGTGGGCGGTTATTGCTGGTCTCATTCATTTAGGAAACGTGAAATTTGTCGACTCGCAAGATTCCACGGGATCAGTTGTGATTTCGGAAAAGTCGGCACTTCAGATATCTGCGAAATGCCTGAGTGTTACTCCAGATGAATTGGCGAAAGCAGTCACATCACAGGTCCCTAAAATTTTATATTAAATACCAATCAATAATTTCATCGGATTTTTGTTCAGGTTGTTGCTGCACATGGAGATATTGTGAAGAAACAACACGATCTGAATGCAGCTTATTATACGCGAGATGCTCTGGCGAAGGTAGATCTATATATACATATTCATAGAACGATTACAATTTGTCACCCTTAGGCTTTGTATGAACGTTTGTTTTCGTGGATTGTTTCTAAAGTGAATGAAGCAATATCAGTGGAAAATTCGTCCAAGTATAATAAATCCACGGTTATTGGCGTGCTCGATATTTATGGTTTCGAAATTTTCGGCTCAAACAGCTTTGAACAACTTTGCATCAATTACTGCAACGAGAAACTCCAACAACTTTTCATTGAGCTTGTTCTCAAACAAGAACAAGAAGAATATGAAAGGGAGGGAATCAAATGGACCAAAATTGCATATTTCAATAATAAGGTTGGGGATCTCAAAATTGTATTGATGAAAACAATAATTTAAAGGTGATTTGTGATCTGGTTGAAGTTCCCCGCAACGGAATATTCTCTATTCTGGATGAAGCATGTTCCACAGTCGGCAATGTCACCGATAAAGTATTTCTGGCAGAACTTGACAAGAAGCTTGGCGCGCATAAGCACTATACAAGCAGAGGATTGAAACAGAGCGACAAATCTATGGGATTCGATGAATTCAGGTGCATATAGACATCTTCATTTCCTTATAACTTCTAATGTTGTTCTAATAGAAAATCAATTTTTGCTTCAGAATAACTCATTACGCTGGTGATGTCACTTACTCTGTATTAGGATTTATGGATAAAAATAAGGATACACTCTTCCAAGACTTAAAACGTCTTCTATATCACAGGTACTTCGATTTTTAAAGTTTGAATTTTGAGAATGATTATTTCAGCAAAAATCGGCTTATCAAAACTCTATTTCCGGATGGTTCGAAATCGATGAGTGAGGTCAACCGTCGGCCGCCAACAGCTGGATATTTGTTTAAGGCAATAGTCAATTAAAAAATTCAATCCAGTTTTTCCGATGTGTTTAGAATTCTATGGCGGACTTGGTTAAGCAATTGGCACAAAAGGAACCCCATTACATTCGTTGCATTAAGCCAAACGATGAGAAGAATAGTGGTATTTTTGATGTGGAGCGCGTTGAGCATCAAGTGAACTACCTTGGACTCCTTGAAAATGTTCGTGTTCGGCGTGCAGGATTTGCCCATCGAATGCCGTACGATCGATTCATCAATCGATACAAATTGCTTTGCCCTGGAACATGGCCGAATCCTCGTAGAGGTCAAGCGTCAAAAGATTCTTGTCGTCAAATTTTGGAACACGTCGGCCTCGCAGATGATTGTGTTCAGGGGAAAACAAAAATTTTCATCCGAAGTCCACAAACTGTTTTTCGACTCGAAGAATTGCGTACGGAGAAGCTTCCAGAAGTTGTTGTTCTTCTTCAAAAAGTTTGTAGTTTTAAAAAACTTTAAAAATTAATTGATTTAGATGGTTCGTGGAGTGCAAGCACGCGAACAATATCGCAAAATGCTAGCGGTTCGCACAATTATTGGAGCTTATAGAAGATATAAGCTAAAATCATATATATTACTGCTTATTCGCATATTCCAGTAAGACTTAAAAAGCTAACATTTCGCTGTTTAATAATTATTTTCCAGAAATGTGAAACGTTCAAGTGATTTGGGAAAATCGCTTCGTTGGCCAGCTCCGCCATTAGTGCTAGAGCAATTTGTTGCTAAGTTGAAAATCATGCATGCCCGTTGGCGTGCAGCCACGATTTTGGCCAGAATTCCTGCTCTTTTGAAAGCCAGTCTACCACAAAAAGTTTCATAAAATACAGAAAACCGCCATCATTCTCGATCGTTTTTTCTAGATTGCTGCTGCTGAAGTGTTTAACGGTAAAAAGGACAATTGGGGATACAATCGATTCTGGAAAGGAGATTACTTGGCGATGGTATCTAATAGAACATTTTGATAGTTTGTTGTACATTTACAAAAATTCAGGCGGATGAACTCGATCCTCCGGGAACAACGGTTTCCCTGTATCACGATGGGATCCAAGCTCTTCGACAATCTCATCCATTCGGCAAAGTTCTTTTCAGCACCTACATTCAGGTATCTTTATAGAAGGAAATTCAGAAAAATGAATTGATGAATTGACGTTGCAGAAATTCAATAAATTCAACAAAAGCTCACTGCGCGTTCTGGTTCTCACCGACAGATTTGTTGCCAAATTAGACACAAAAAAATTCAAGCTGCTCAAAGAGCCAATTCCTCTTCAAAGCGTACGTTGATTCTAGCATATACATACATATATACATATATATGTACATGTAAATATTATTTAATTATATTCCGCTTTAGATTTCCTGTATTTCGGTCAGTGCAGATTCGAATGGCTTATTTGTAATTCACGTTGGAGAAAACGATCTCCTAGCTTGTGTACGAAATGTAAAAGAAGAGGAAAGAGTAGGAGAATTTGTTGGAACAATATTAGCACATTATGAAAAGTAAGCGTAAACATTTATAATACATATTTAGACATTATTGTGAGAAAATTACTGTCGCCCCCAGAAAAATAATAGCATACGTAAGTGCGTTTTGGCACCCAGAACACCTATTTTTTTAACTGTATTCCCGACGTTCGCTGACTACAACAGGCGGACAAACATCTTTCGTTCTCATCATATGTATAATCTGTTCCCGAAAAAAACGGTTACAATAGTAATTCTATAGAATCAGATTCCAAAAAAACCCAACTCATTTTCCGCTTTATGAACCTTTAATCTTATATTTCATTTACTTTAATTTGATATTTGAATACCAAAAAATCAAAAACTAAACAGAAAAATCCCGAAAACAATGTTTTTTAAAGACTATTTGAGAGAGAGAGAGGTGTTTGATTTTTGTGCAATCACGTCGCATGAACTCTGCGAACTTGCATTTTAATTCACGCCTATTTAAGTAATTCTGCGGCGATGTTGCAATTTTTTCATTGCGAATTTTCCATTATAAAAAGTAAAATATTTTGTTTTTCGCATAGATTTTCAATTATTTTAAAATTTAGATTCGAAATTTTACGTTTCCGCTAATTAATTGCCGGAAACGTAAATATACATAAAAGTAAAATATACATAAAACTTTATATATGAAAAATGACGAATGTTTGCAATAAGTTTTCAAAAAAGGCCTCAAAATATTGCTTCGCATTGCCAATAAATATTAAACGTTTTTTTTTTTCAAAAAATAATTGGTCTCTACTTTTTAATGGGATGGTATTTAATTATGTTTAATCATACGTAATTATGGCAGCTCAATGGGCTTTATTTTAAGTGTGGCAACTCAACGAGAAAATCTGATTTTCTAACGTCTAATTGCTTATTAAATTGCCGTGCCTACAACTATACTTTGACACGATATTTTTCGCAATATAATATAATATGTGTATAGCATAATTCAGTCTAGAAAACCCCATAACTCCTTCTGGAATGAACAAGAAATTTATTAAACTGCACATACTCAACTAGTCTAAATATTAGTTTTGGTAACCTGCAAATTAGCCGAAACTCTTGAGGAAACATGTATCGGCAGATGATTGATGAATTGGATCACGAACATTAGTTGGAGATTTAAACATGGGGACCTTGAAAACATGTTTTTATGGGATGCCTTTTATGACATTAAATAACTAATTTTTTAATTTGAAGGTTGGGAACTCGAAAACCGCCGGTAATTGTACGTTCCAATATCGTGTGTACGCTGGGCGGCAAATCTCGAACGATCCATGTATTTTCGTCAGATAATGCTTCAATACCGCCTGTTTTCAAAAAGAATGGAAACGATGTGGATCTTATATGTCATCAACTGACAGCCCAAGTTGCCTGAAACTAGTTGCCGTATATATTATATTACCGGTTTAACTTTCAATTAGTCAATTCTCTCAAAATATTGTTGCTCATGTCCCACATTAGAGTTTGTAAATTTTTTAATACTGTATTTATTGCATGAATTTTTAATTTAATTTCGATGCTAGCAAATTGGTTTCGACGGGAGTCGGAAACCACATTGCAGAAGTGCTAATTGAGCTCTCATGCGCGGAGCTGTGAGACGCGTGATTTGCATAGAGACCACGCCCATCTCCGGGCCCGCCTACTCCACAGATCCCGGAGACGTTCATTAATTGGCTTACATAGAAGATGATGCGCGTTTTTATTTGTTTTCTCCCTATTCTGTTGGCTTCCGCTGCCAACGCTGCGATGGACTTACAAAGCTGTAGGTTTTTTTTTATAATTAGGTTATTTTTCTATCTAATCCGTGCACTAATTTACAGATATCAAATTTTTTCTTTGTGTCTCTCATTTAAACTACCTTTCTTTTCTTATTGTCTCTTCAACCACAATTTTTTTTTAACTTCAAATTAAAAGCGACGTTTTCGGCAACGTTGAACTCATGCATTTGTAATTCACTTACACTATTCAAACACTTCGAATTAAAAATTGTGAAATAAAACCCTTGGGTTAAAAAAAGTTAAGCAACAAAAATGCGTCAATACGATGAACATTGAAAAAAAAAAAAAAAACGAGCGCCTTGACTAATTGTCAACCTCTTTACAAGGGGGTAAATTAAATTTTGATTTAAACTGTGGGGATTCGGGCACCATACTGGGGAAAATATACGAATCAAACTTATCATAAATGGATGCACTCGATTTTCTGTATTATTTAGTCTTTTTTTTTGCAAAATTGCAAATCCCATGAACTCGTTGAAGCAGAATGTAGGCTTTCCAATAATACATATATCTGTACATGACATGAGCAAGCAATGTTACGTTTTTATTCATTAAAAAAACAATAAAAATGACATATACATACATATACGTTTCTCACTTTAGTATTTGTTTTAGATTTGAAACAGGGGTTTTGAATTCGTCATAAGTGTAAGAGACCTACTTCAACAGCCACTTTAAACGAAACACGGGAATTCATAGTTTTGTATTTTCTAAAAAAAGACATTCAATAGATAAAAATGTACACCCTTTTTTTATTCAATGATGCTATGCTTGTTTATTCACACCCACGTAGGCTAGTGAGAAAAGTACCAAGTTTGGCTAAATTTCGTGTGAAATATACATAAAAATATTTACAAGCTGACAATGCACATATATATATATATATATACATATATATATACAGATTCTGAAAATTCTAACATTTCAGCACCGCGTTGTACCGAAGAGCCCTGCCAGCAAAAACCATCAACGATAACTGTCGATCAATTTCGAGATGATGAAAGTAACAAATTCGCGTTGCTATTCCAGAAAATGGTTGAAAGAAATAGAGGTAATTAAATGTTTTCTGAAACAATTATCAAGCAACGTGAAGTCATAGCTTCAGAGATCACTGCCATCGAGTGTCAATACCATGATGATTGTCCTGACGGATTCGAATGTTTCACGGGAAAATGCAAGTCAATTGGACCGCGACGCATGAAAATGATTAATTTATATAGTCGCTGGTGAAATAAGTGATTTATTTGACACTAATATATGAATAAATTATGTAAAGATGTAATATTAGAAATCTTCATCAAAGTCTCCTGAATGCGTACTGTTGACCTTCATTTCAATTTCCTCAGATGTCGATTTCACGTCATTTTTTATGGCAATTCTGACAGCTTCAATCGCTTCTGCCGGTATCCAACCATCGCGAGCAACGTTTACTGGCTCAGAAAAATCCTGGAAATATTTAAATAATAGTTTTAAAAAAATATATATATCACGACCTGTCGCAAAAGTTCTTCAACTTCTTCCAGATGGATATCCATCAAACTATACCACATTTGGCGAACTTTCGGCAATGTTCCTGAAATACTGAAAAATTTTATTTCTACAAGGTCAATTACCTTTTATATATTCGTATCCAATTATTTCTGAGCTCTTTCCGACTATAACATCGCAATTTGTCCCACCGGGACCGTCGCCAGTACCGGCTTTTAACCGTTGCCGTTCCGGAATCCGATCATGCTGTCTAAACGTCACCATGCTCGTTTGATATCGCATCGACTCTTTCGTAGTTCTCGGATCGTAGCCAAATTTGCACCATAGTCTTCCCCATGGTCCTGATTGAATGTAAAATGCGTACATGTGAAGAATCCCCCTAAAAATAAACGATAAATATGATAATTTCAGCAAAAAATACTTTAAAAGCCCCTCATCGAGACCAGTTTTGCAAGAAATGGCCATTCTCGTCCACATTGGTCGTTCCTCGAATAAGTTTTTAATAATCCTATGAGGTTCTTCATGTTTGCACCTATAATTTATTTTAAAAAATTAAATTCAAATTCAAAGATGGGTTTCTTTGACAAACTATTTATATATATATTTTTTTCATTAGGGGCCTTGCGAAAATATAGATGGGCTAATGCATATTTTAATGGCATTAATGGAGCAGAATCCATTAAAACGTCATCTCAGTGGGTCTTGAGTCTCGTTATGAGAGCCGAATTGAATTAGTCCACAAGATCAGCAAAATAAGGGAATACGTATCTAATACCTGTGTTCAGCTTCTTCAATTGCTTCAGGTCTTGGTTGTTGTGGAAATTCGTCAGTAGCATTTACAGATATCGTCAAGGCTTTTCTTTCACTTCTCATATCTCAAAATTAAACAAGTAAAATGAAAGAAAGTTACAACATACTCTGGCCAACACCAATCATCGCTGAACGTTTTTTGTCCATATACTCATACTCCCTCATTAATATTTTAGTCGATGGCGTCAGAAATCTGTTGAATAAAATAATTTGAACTGTTTTATAAATAAATAATCAAATACCTGCTGAACTGAAAAGGCGGTAGGAAAAGAGGAGTTGGACGGTCAAAATTTTGCCACCAATTGAGGGCATGAGCCATATCGGTCGGAATCAAGCTTGGCAATAAATCTTCATATCCATCGCTATGAGGACGCTTCTTCATAGGCAAATATTGGAAATCTGCCATGGATTGAAAGGAAAATATAGAATTCACCTTAAAATATTCATTCTTAATTTTTTCGCCAATTATTTACCAATCCAATAATTTCGGTCTTAATAACTTCAGGTTTTTTCTTTCTCCGTTTAACTTTTATAACAAGGTGCATTGTGCCCGATGAAATCTTCAAAAACTCGAATTCACTATTATTGTTTTTTTTTAACAGATTTACATTTTCTTGATCTTTCCTTTCTGAAGAAATGCAACTTGAATAAGGATTCGTAGGATTGTGTCGTAATTCCAGTGGAAGATTTTTGTGATATTTCGAGGTAATTTGAGAGAGACCGCCAAGTGTTTCAAGAGCCTGATTTGCTGACACGTTCGAACATCAATGAATCAAATAAAACTTACAGCATTGACGTTTTTAATAATACCCGGATATTGAATGAGAATAATCTTTTTCGCTTCTTCAATTTCTGGCGTTTTTAGCATGAAATCGAGCATCATCTGTACGTACAACCGATGATGAGCAATTATTTCGAGAAAAAAAAAAGATTTGAATGGACTATACCAATATGGCAATCAATATACAGTAAATTGAAGTTGTACTTTATTATTTCAACAAATTAAGCTTTCAAGTTATTCAAGTCATAATATGGCCAGGCGCGGAATGAATGCGTTTTCATCCCATTACTGAATCCAAAATCTTTAAAGCAATCGTGACACATAAAACAGTAAGTCATAGGAACAAGCTCGCTTTTTTCCATGACATACCTTAAAGTATAGTAAGGATATTTAGCAAATAAAACAAATCTTACGATACAAATCCTTTGTGACAAGAGTCACACTTTCTTTCGAAACCTCTTATGTAGATTGACATTGGATACGCTTGAATAGGCTAAATCGAATAGTTAATATAGAAAAAGATTAGTCCCAACCTGTATATCTGACGGATGAAGCAGTTTAAGGTCATGGAAAATTAATAAATGCTCACAATATCCAGAATGTTGGTATACATAAGGCTGACCAAGCCGAAGAGTGAGATCAACAAATTTTACGCCTTCAATGCTTTGAGCATCAACTGGATCGAAAATCTTTTTTTTAGCCATGAATTCCCTAATGGGTCTGAAATTCTCTAATGGGTCTATGTCAACAATAATAAATATTTCGTTTAACACTTACACTGAAATATCTTTTGAATTTTCGTGAGACAGATCAACATAAAATGTGTCGTTAATAAAAATAAAACTCGACGGAAACAATTCAGCAGTTGAATTTTCCACGTTCGGTTCCAAAAGCTCTTTTCCGTCTTCAAGCTGAATAACAGCATCACAGAGGCAGAAAAGTTTTTTACGAAAATCTGAAAGAAGCGTTTCGCCACGGACCATTAATTTTGATTCTGGTTTCATCTTAAAATCTTTTTTCATTTAGCGAAAATTCAATGTTTTTTATACTAATCGTGAGCTGCGAAGTTCCGATTTTGATAAAATTCGATTATACGGAGCAAGAACGTCGACAATCATCACAATGTCGCTTTCACACTCCTGTTTGAACGCGGTTTGAGGACGAAAGAGCTGTGATTTTTGATTAATTATTAATATACAATATGACTCAATACCTTGCTTTCTCCCAATATATTAAAAGTAATTCTGTCGTACTTCAATGTTGTAATATATTGAGATTTTCTTTGCCTTGATGCTTGGCAATATTCATCTCGCTTTTTGGTGAACTTCAAGACATTAAGATTGTATTTGTCGCATTCATCTCGTGACTCTTCTTTCATTTCTTCAAATTCCTTTTGTTCAAACGGCGGATCGTTAGTAAAATTGTCCAAGCTAAACATTTTCATTGATTACATTTGTTAGTATTCCTACTTCAAGCCATGGTCTATCACATCATTAGCTTCTTCTTTCGAACAACCCGTTGTGCACATTAACAAAAGTTTTGGATCCTCACAAAATTCGTCGCCAATTTTAATGGAATCTGAATCAAAAAAATTTGAAAATTAGAATTTTGCTAATAGTAATACCCCTCAAATCCGAATTTGCCTGCAATGCGTCATCTCTAAAAGCTTTAAGATCCGTAAGTGGAGAAATAAACCATTGGTTATCAGAGTTAAATTTTCGATCCATTTCTGAAACCAATTTTTGAAAACTTTTTTTGTGAATCAAAGCAAAACTTCGAAAAAAAAAATGAAATTTCGAATTATATCAAACAATGGAATACGGTGGTGAACATTTCGGCGTCTGGTCTGCAAACACCATACACGACGATAAAAAAACTCATTTTTTGTCTGGTTCTCGTTAAACTCATTATGCAAAACAGCGGCAAATTTTGGGAGAAACAGCTTCGGAAAAAATAGAACAAATTTTTTGCTTTCCTCAAAGCGATGAAACAGTGTGATGCATGTTTCGCCAAAACCGAGAAAAACCACTGCTTCGCCCGATGAGTTTGCCGAACTTTATTTATTACTCAAGGTTAAATTCCATGCTATTTATATGCGATTTATTTTCCCTTAAATTTGCTTTCCCACTCATTTATAATTCTGAAGAGGTTACAAATAGTAAGAACACTCTTATGGATTAATTATATGTAGCATTATGCTCAAATATTTTCACATTCATCACGTTCGACTCAGTTGATTGATATTATCTTTTTCATATCAGTCTTAAATCGTCGACTAATGCGAAAATCTCTTTTAGCCGGCATATTGAGATTAAGAGAGGATTTACTATTCGTTACCGCGAAGCCATAGAGCGATTGGGTGGTACAGCCTGCGACGTATGGTCAAGGTCGCTAACACACCGAGACCCAATGAGACATACAAAAAAGAGATTCGTTTTGTGTTTTGAGTTCGTTTTTTCCTTTACTGCATCGTTTATTCACTCTCTCTCTCTCTCTCGTTTCTCCAGTGGTATAATGTGTCATTGACTAGTACGAGCTCTTTCTCATCCTCGCCTCGGTTTTTTTTAATTCTCTATGTTTCACTACTAGCACCACACGGTTTCGCTAGTTTTCGTTTTGAATTTCAAAATTTCCAATTTATGCATCCCGAGGTTTTTGGCATTCTTTCTTATCTAAATTGAATCTGTTGACCGGAAACCACCAATATTGATTAATTGGGGGCCGGTTGACGGGATTAATACTCGAGGTCGACTTGTGTCTTTTACTTGATTCGTCGACTAATAATAACCCAGTAAGATCAAAATCGCTGTCTCGTTCTTACTCTGCTTGTTTCAAACACCACCCCTTGATTTCTTAATTCGCCAACAATTGCCGGAATCAATAGTCGCAAACGGGGGCCGTTTGCTGAGCAAACTTCGCTTCTCTCCACTCCCAAAAAAGGGCACACTGTTTCGCAAGCCATCCTATTAGTTGGCCCCAGTGTTTCGCAATCGAAGAAGAGAGTGTACGCCCCGCGCCGCGCACGCTTCAAATTGCAGTTGGGACTGCGCAGCGGCTGCGCTCTCAAATGCTGTCCCACCGGCTATTGATCCTAAGCGATGTCGTTTTTTAAAACTCTGTTTATTTGAGCTTGTTTCTTATGTCAACTATTTCTAATTGTTGTTCTATACCACCACTTTTGCTAATCCTTTCTTTGCAAGCTTTTTTTCGTCGTTAATTCCTAATAGTTTTTTTGACAGCATCATGAGAGAAATCGTTCACGTTCAAGCTGGACAATGCGGAAACCAGATTGGTTCGAAGTTCTGGGAAGTTATCTCCGATGAGCACGGAATTCAGCCCGATGGAACGTTCAAGGGTGAAAGCGAGCTTCAACTAGAGAGAATCGATGTCTATTACAATGAAGCGAACAGTTCGTTTTTTTAAAAATTCTGTTTTCGTTTTCTAATTGATACTATAACAGACGGAAAATATGTTCCACGTGCAGTTCTTGTGGATCTAGAACCAGGAACGATGGACTCTGTCCGCGCCGGACCATTCGGACAACTTTTCCGTCCTGATAACTTTGTTTTTGGACAAAGCGGCGCAGGAAACAATTGGGCCAAAGGCCACTACACCGAAGGAGCTGAGCTCGTCGACAATGTCTTAGATGTGATCCGAAAAGAGGCGGAAGGATGCGATTGCCTTCAAGGCTTCCAGCTAACCCATTCTCTTGGCGGAGGAACTGGCTCCGGCATGGGAACACTTTTGATCTCGAAAATTCGCGAGGAATATCCCGATCGTATTATGAGCTCATTCTCTGTCGTTCCATCTCCAAAGGTTTCCGACACTGTTGTTGAGCCATACAATGCAACACTCTCCGTTCACCAACTGGTTGAAAACACTGACGAGACTTACTGCATTGACAATGAGGCTCTTTATGATATCTGCTACAGAACCTTGAAACTTACCAATCCAACTTATGGGGACCTCAATCATCTTGGTAAGTAATTTATAAATTATGAATGAAATCGTTATTATTGTTCCAAATTTCAGTATCATTGACCATGTCTGGCGTGACCACTTGTTTGCGATTCCCTGGACAATTAAATGCGGATCTTCGCAAACTTGCTGTCAACATGGTGCCATTCCCTCGTCTTCATTTCTTCATGCCTGGATTTGCTCCATTGTCCGCAAAAGGTGCCCAAGCATACCGTGCATTAACGGTTGCCGAGCTTACCCAACAAATGTTTGATGCGAAGAACATGATGGCTGCTTGCGATCCGCGTCATGGACGCTACCTCACAGTCGCGGCAATGTTCCGTGGACGGATGTCGATGAGAGTAAGAAGCTGTGAAATATGATACATGGGAAATTGAAATTATTTCAGGAAGTTGATGAGCAGATGCTTAATGTTCAAAACAAGAACTCATCATATTTCGTTGAATGGATTCCAAACAACGTGAAGACTGCGGTTTGCGATATCCCACCAAAGGGATTAAAGATGGCCGCTACATTTGTTGGAAACTCGACTGCTATTCAAGAGCTGTTCAAGAGAATATCTGAGCAATTCACTGGTATCAACTGCTATTTTTTGGCGTAATTCTACATTGTTCATTTCAGCCATGTTCCGCCGTAAAGCTTTCCTTCATTGGTACACAGCTGAGGGCATGGACGAAATGGAATTCACCGAAGCGGAGAGCAACATGAATGACTTGATTTCCGAATACCAACAGTACCAGGAGGCTACTGCCGAGGACGAACCACTCGACGGATATGATGGAGAAGAGGCCGGAGAGACCTACGAATCGGAGCAGTAAATTCGCTTTTATTATGATGATCGCTTACTATATCGCATATTGTTCCTTAACCTAATTTATTATTATTGTTTTTGAATCGCGATTAGCAAAGTATTTAATGTTACAAATAAATCGATTAATTGCTTTGATATACATATTTATTTTTCAGTTTGAACCTAAAAATGAAACGTAAGATGTCGGAAAACGACCTTGTTTTGGATTTATTGAACCTCCTCCAGGTTGCGTGATAACGTGACCTAAATTTAAAAAAAAAACATAATTATATAACATAAATAATATAAAAAATAAAGTTTAAGCATGCATAATAAATATTATAAAATGAATTACGGCTGACAATGTACGCAATTTTGCGTAAACGTGTTTGAACCGACCGACTTTCAAATATTAATTCATTCAAATCTGTGTTCGTTTTCATTTATTTTCTTTTTCTTACCTATTAACCAATCGTCTCCTATTCTATCTTCTACTAAAACGCATTGTCCCTCACGAATCTAAATAGGTTGATTTTCCTGAAGTAATATACAAAGTTTAATCTACTTGAATTTCATCGGAGTGTTTTGGCTCAAAGTCGTACAAAACGCGACAAATTGTTGCTTGCGTCGCTGGTTCGCTGAAAGTCGTTGTTGCGGTTGATTGCCGTCGTGGGCTGGAGTTGGAATAGAATCCGTCATCAGAAATCTAAGAAAGTTTGATTCTTTTTGATAGTTGAATTGGAAATTTTAACTTTTTCATAATTTTCATAATCTTCGCTAGATTCTGGAGATACATAAGTAGAACCATCCAAGGAAGGTGGTGGAAGTGAATTATTTTCACCGGATAATGGCATGGTCAACAACGTCATAGGTAGACCCTAAATATTTCATATCAATAGGCCTTATAATTTTGAATTTTATTTAAATACCGATTTGTCTTTGAGCTTATGTTGAAATCTTGAAAGCCGATGATAGCCTCTATTCCTTCCTCCATCAATTATGTTAATTGAGTCGTTAATTTTATAATACAAATATTCTATGTATTCTAACACACTCTGAAGGGGTATTTTTTATATTATTAATGTAATGGATTCTATACCATTTGTTTTGAATTTGAGACCATAACGTCAGCTGTTTGTTGCGAGTATAATCGTTTCAATTCAGTATCTAACACTTCGGATATTCTTGATAAGTTTTCGCGGCGGCGCGTTGAACTCATAACTTCACCAAAGTTTTCCGCCTGTTATCAACACGTTAATAATCGGTGGTCGATTGTGAAATGAACTTACAAAAAAATCAATAAGTATTATTTGATTTACTGCCGAGGTGGAGGGTTGAATAGTTTGAACGTATTCGTCAGCTAGGGAATCAACAGCAATTTCCAGATTGTTTGAATGCCTTTCGAACATCTTAAAAATTATTTTGAGCAAAAATTTAGCGCTTAATCGTCGAAGTAAATAAATGGACTCACTTGTTGCAAATTCGGGCCCATTGTTTCAATTTTTCTTTTGTATCTTCCTAGGGCCGTTTGGCAGTGTGCAAGCCTTTGACGCTCAACGGATTCGAGACTTTCAACACCTTTTCGAAGAACATTCTCTGTCACTCTAAATATGTATTGTTTATATTTTTTAGAATCACATTTACCTTCGCTGTTTTTCTAAGTCAATGGTTTGCCAAATATAATCGTCTTCAGATCGCACTATTTGATCTCGGTATTTTTTCCTTCTTAAGGCGAACTGCAAAAAATAATCTTAAAACATTTTCTCATAATTTTTCAAACCTTTTCTGGAACCGTTTTTTCCTTTTCAGCAGCAACTTCTATTTTTTCTAACTCTTTACTTAATACGTATAGACTACGCTTCATTTTCAAGGTTTCATCTTTCTTTTCTTTTAGACGGCGAATCTCTCGTTCCACAAAATTGTCAGCCTAGATAACAATTTACGTCTGAAAGGAGAATTGGAAAATACCGCGCGAATTGTTTTGTGCTGTGAATTTTGAACAGATCGAAGTGGTTGAATAATGTCTTCAGTTAAAGCCGATCCAAGATTACTGAAAATAAAAAATAAACTGGAACAATTTGCTATATTCATGTTCTGCTCAGAATGTTCCTTCTAAAGTATGAAAAAAAAACCAGTTTAAATTTTTTTAAAATTTATAATATAAAATTAAATTTTCGAATGCGCCACCGGTCGCTAATGCGCCCCTTCGCGACATTTTCGAAACACTGGCGCCAAAATTATCGATTATCTGAGCGCCAATCGAGACAAATGTTCGCGGCATCTAACCTATGTATTGTCGCATGGATGTCGAATTGCTCCGCAACGTTCTGCCATCCTTTATCAATTCCTCTGAAATGTATTTCAATTTTGCAAAAAGAAACACTCGTTCTCTTACGACTCAACATTTTGCGTTACTTTGTGTAAACGACTCGAAATCTTCTTCAAGGTTTTTGAATAATGGAAATCCAACGCTGCTCTGGAATTGTTTTTACATAAAACTTAAATCAATTTACGTTTGATTTTTACTTTTCTTCAAATGCGCTCACTATTTCAGCAAGAACATCATTGTTTTGCCTAATTTGATCGTGAAGCTGTCGAAAATTGGAAGGAGTCTGCAAAAACTTTGAATATTACAATTCAAATTACCAAGCTGGGATAGTCAGGAAAAATGAATTTCCGGGAAGGATCGGGAGCGCATTCTTATAATCGTAAGTGTTTCTTTTAAAAAATATATATATCTTGTACATATAAAAAATAAAGAATGACTTGCACAAACAAATGGATATTTACCGCGAATTTATCGACGAGTGTTGTGCTTGTCATCGTTGGCATATCGACAAGTCCATTGAGACTGTTCTGTCTGCTCAGGGTATGATTTAATTGGTATACACTTCGAGATAGGCTCCTTCTTAATTTTGACATCCGTGTATTCATTATTCTAAACATCGAAATCAATAGTTTCGATTTTTCGTTACAATGAAATAATGTCGATTGCAATTTTCGCAAATGAAAGAAAATGCACAAGCAAAAGAAAAACTGAAGTAGTGTGATAGGTTAAACAGAAAAAAAACTCAACAGCTGAGTTTCCGGGCCGGTTGTTGTCCCCGTCTATTTGTTAGCGGGCATCTTTGCCGAATGACAAGAGTAAATGTATGCGAAAAAGAACTAATTTTAAACAAGGTCATTTTTGTCTGATTTTGATCGATTCAGGTCGATCAGCGGTCGAGGGATAATTAGTAATGTTTTAATGAAAAGTGGTCAATTTATTGAAGAATCTAAAATAACGACTGAAATATGCGTTCCATTGTGAGAGTTTGAGCATGAATAAGTGCGATTACGATAAGAGAACGTGTTGTTGCTATGGTTGTTATATTGAAATTGATATTTGTGTGTCATTGATTTGACATTGGTTGAACAAACATATCGCGAGAGATTGAGATATTTATTTGCGTGAAACCGATTTTGATTATCTTTCCGGTTTCTTTGATGGGAAATGCATGAAAAATCGAAATAGTTTAAAAATAATGATTTATCTTATCAATAAAAACCGTGGGTGGAATTGTCAATATGAAGGAATCATTTAGTTTTGATTTTAAATGAATCTACTCAATAAGGCTAATTGGTGAGATTCGTGCGCTTATGCGTCCATATCATTGTAAACACTAATTGGCGTGACAGTAATAAAGACCATCAATACATGTCTAGCAGGGTCATTCAATTAAATAGTTAATGTTTAGAGGTGGCAATCTCATTTTTTCGGTCGTTTTATTTTTCATTTCAGTCGAATTATGAGTGGTTTTTTACGAGAGGTGTTGTAATAACGCGAGGAATGAAGAAATTGTGAAAAACTGGAATGTATTGTTTTTTTTTTAAGAAATCATACTGTTTGCACTACTAAAAAGACAACAAAAGAGAAGTTGTAACCATGTGGTGTGGTGCTGCATTCATTCAATTTCGTTATACCAGAGTGCAAAAGGGGATGAATAGCGACGTTCGGGCAGTATGCGTCTCCTCGCCGTTACGCGATCTTTTGCTTCTCCGTCGCAGTCAACCGGGCCCGGCCAGACGACCGAATTTCGGTGAACTCGCTCATGGTGTGATGCATATATTTATTGGTTGTTGGTAAACAGGCGGCGACGAAGCGCATCTTATTTCATTATGATTGCGATTTGACCAATGAGAGAATACACATTTCATTTTTTGCATGCGGGAAATTCAAAAATGTAATGAAAAAATTAATTAAAATGATTGTGATCATCACTGAATATATTATTTTCAGCAATGTCTGAATATCTAGCTGGACGCCAACCGGTATATTAATATACTTCATATAACCATTAAAATAATATTTTTAGCTTAATGTTTTCTGCTGCGATTTTTCGGGATGCACCAAACCCATTATGGGCAGCTATTTTACTGTCAGTGAGCACGTGGCAATGCATTTGTCTGTTTAAATTTGGAAACATTAATTTTTCAATTGCATTTTACAGCAAAAAAATCACCAAAAAGAATCCATGTTTATATAAATGTATTCGCTGTAAGGCAGAAACTGTTAATTATGGTTACGTCTTGAATCATCACCCATGCGGGAATACTGTATGTTTGTAATAAATGTTTTCTAAATGCTCCAGACTTCAGAAGAGAAATTTCATAGTTGATGTGAGACATGATGATTACTACAAGATATTTGCTGAATTCAATATGTTTGCGAAAGTGACGATTAAAGCACTAACTCGTAAGGAGGAATAATATTAATATATACTTAATTGAATTTTGCAGCTGAGGAAGCAAAAGGATACGCCCAAAAAATGAAAAGTAGACGGTGGGTTAAAATAGCGCAACACTAATAATCTGAAGGCATCAAAGCTTGATCACATTCACATAGTTTAGGGGATATGCTAGAGAATTTGAGTGTGCCGGAAATAAGACACCAGAGCACAGAAGAGCTCAATCTTCCGTATATGGTGACGGGCGAATGACAAATCACGACAGAAGCAGAACTCCGGAACACGCAGGGTGTCGAACCCCTGAGTTTAGTTCTGTGAAAACTCCGGAATATGGCGGCGGGAGTCAAACGTTTTACGGATCGCGAACACCCGAATTTCAACGAGCAAGAACCCCTGCGTATGAAGAGCCATCTGATAACTATGGATATGGTGGCCCACATACACCTGAAGATAGGAATGAACAGTTGGAATATGGCGGAACACAAGCTTCATCACATTACGGAACTAGGACCCCCAACTATGGTAGATCAAGAACTCCTGGATACGAAGAATCACAAATTACTCCAGCTGGCGGAAGAAATGATGGATATGGAAGATCTCGAGAGCACGGCGGGACTGTAACGCCCGAGCACGGCGGACAAGTTTCTAGTGAACATGGAGCTGTTCAATGTAACGAGTTTGGTCAATCAGAACGATATGGCGCAAATAAAACGGGAAAGAGTAGTTCTGGTCCTAGTGCATGTTCGAAAACAACAGTTCAAGAAAGAGAACGAGAACCAATGGTTCGTAATATACATACAGGAGTTTTAGCTCCTATGTCCAGTCGGCCTAAAAACAAGTCGATAAATATTCTTGATACTTCGAAAACGTAATTCACTCATAATTTTACAAATATTGTAGTATTTTCAGTTTAACACCTGTGCAGTTTCATTCGGCTCGATTTCAAATGAGAGGAGAAGGTGTTTCATATATGAATGTTTGTTCTGCCCCAAGCGGTTCAAAAAGCCCCAGTTATCTCGAGCAAGATCACGAGGAGCTAAAGAGTATAATCATACGGTGCGTTTAACTGATTAATATTCTGATTTGAAGACATTGAATGGACTCGCCAACAGTTCAGTGTTCAAGCTCGTTCAACTGTGAAGGTTGTTGCGAATAAATCAAATAATGCTGTTATTCTTTCTCAAACAATGGCACAAGCGAAGGTTTATCCAAAATTAAAACTTAATTTTTTAAGTACTGTCAATTGCAGAGAGAAGAAGAGCAAAAGAAGAAAAGGAAATTAGAAGATTTGCATCGAAATGCAATATTTGACATGTTTTGCATTATTAATTGCGTAATTTTAGGTGAATATACCTGAGATAAGGACCAATCTCTCGAAAATTTCATATCCCAGTGGTAACGCCCCGCAATCTCATCAGCAATCAAGTCAATCCATGAAGAGAAAAGGAGCCGCATGTGATAATTCAACAATGCCTCAAGAAAAATCGCGCCGTGATGATGTCAATGATGAATGCGCCCACAATCGACAGCGCTGTTCTTCATATGCGGCCACCACGCAACATTTTGCGACAAGGTATAATCAACAAAACTCGCCACGAAATCGTTCGGAGAGCTGCCGAGACCCTACCAGAGCAACTTCACAAAGACATTCGAGCCATGCGTCCCCGAAAGAGGCACAAGAGATCAATATTAGTCAGCAAAAGAATAAGATTTACGAGTACGCCGAATCAACTAATTCAATGGCAACATCTATATCTAGTCGTCAACCGATATCAAGAGAAGTGCCTTCTGCAGAAAAAATTCCCTTATTGCGAGAGAAAATGTAGGTTTTGCTGTATTAAACATTATTAAATACTATCGAATGGCGACGACATCTGACAATTTTTAGTGCAACGAATAAGGAATATCAAAAATTATTTAATCCGCACGAACCACCCATTACATCATTATCATCAACATCACATTCAAAATCAACATCTGCTGATAGTCAACTTCCATTTTCATATATGTCAAAAAATCAACGATCATCTTATAGAGTAAGTTTCGATTTACTGCTAACATATTCGTATTGTCGGCATCGTGCAACTGCAGAAGGTTGGCTAAATCACAAACAATTTAGGGAGATGCCGAATTTAACAAGTGTAAGGGGTGTGCGCTTTTAATCGATCATTGTTTACTTTGTTAGCCCGTAAATCTAACCTTTATTTTTTTTATTTTTGAAGACGAAGCTTCTATTGTTAATAATAATTGTTTTGTGATATGTATATAGCCAATTTCGCCCAGTCGCACGACGTCGAAAATAACGTTTTAAAGCCGTTTAATCTTTTTATAGTCGGCGTCCGGTGACTGCTGTACGCGGGTAGATTTACGCGCATGCGCCTTGAAAAGGTCTCACCACGCGTGAACGCTTATTTTGCTGTTTTCACGTGAATTGCTTCATTTTTCTTGATGAGTTTCGCATTTCTTGGAGTTTCTAACGATATTCGATTAAAAAATTATCGAACCGGTCCATAAAATTTGAAACAACCTGTTAGTCCTTGCGATACCATTTCGAAAGACGCATTCTACCCGCGTACAGTAGTCGCCGGACGTCGACTATATATATATCTATTTTTAGGGGTCCTATTCTGGTAATCTAAGTTCTCCAGAGAGCAGGTATTGTGAAACCTAAATATATTTAAAAAGCGTCTTATTTCAGAAACTCTTATGACCGTTCAACATCCGAATCCGACTAATTTTCTAATATTTTTTTGGCTTTCTGTAAATAATCTTATAGCACGGTCAATTAAAAATAACACCTAAATGTCTTTATCTTGATAATTTTTGTTTTATTGACTAAATAGACACCACAATTTATGTGTTGTGAGTTTTACATTTCTTTAAAAAAAACATGAGATTGTGTTTTCAAACATTTTCTTTATTAACAATTGTAAACTGTGTCTCAAATTAATAAGAGAACGGTCGGGTTTTGAGAGCATTGAGCGGCACACAGAAAAGTTTTCCCTCGATGGTTTGGCAGAACATTTCATCGTTGTAATCTAAACACAAGTTTGTGGTGAATAGATGAAATAAGTTATACCGGTCATGTCGGCAGGAACAGGCATTGATGACCGCTTTCCATAACGTGGGAGTACAGCACGGCCGTATCTTAAGAAGGAATGAGACAAATAACGAGTTTAAAAATTACCGCGAAAGAAGAGCTGGTCGTTTTTCGGGCGCTTGTTGTTGGCCGTCTTCAGCCGCAACAATCATAACGATGAGGGCGAGCACGACTGTCCAAATGTAGACCCTTTTGAGCATATTTCTACAAATGTATCTTTAAATTGAGAACGATATAAGCGCCACAAAAATGAGGCGTATAATTTTGGGATGATGGGGGCCGCATTTAAATTGTAACGAGCATCATAAAATTTGATGGCGACCGAGATTGGCGTTCTGATTTCTGAGGCGGTGAATTGAAGAATTTTATGGAAGATGTAACACAGGAATGGTGGGAAAATAAGGAAATGCTCGCCCACTTTGTTGGTTTTGAATTACGTGTAAAAGCACATTAAGCGAGATTGTACGTAGTAATGTCGCGATTTGGAGGTACTCGATTTTGTAGGAGAACACACAAAATTTGATCACAATTTGTCTAGCAAATAATAAGCGGAACAAAATTGGGCGAAAATTGGCTGTCGAGGAGAGGAATATTAATTTATAGTATGTAGTACATAACAAGAGGCGATTCAAAATATTCGTAGGATTTGAAGTTAGCTGAGAACGTGTGTGAAAATTTAAATGCCAATCGTTTGATCTTTTGACGTTATATATATATATCATAAAATTGGTTGAAAATGATTCCGATCGAATTCGGAATATTTGACGAATGAGAGGGTCTTCAATGACAAATTGCTTTATTGTTTTGACATTCATCGAATCCTAAAGAAATTACGCCCTGCATTTTTGATAGCCTTTTTTATTTATTTTTAGACAAATTTTGGGTGTAATAATTCTCATATCAACTAGTGAGTAAAAAAAACGATGTTCGAATAATTTAAATAAACTACTCAAATGCAAATGATGGAGTGAATACAAAATGGCTTACCGCTCTCAGATATGTTGTCTTGTTTATATAAGGCAATTATAATTGTGTGAATGTGAACTTTTTCGTGAGAAAATCCGCTATGAAATCAGATTCCGGAAATGCATGATTAACATTCTGGAAGAAATGAAAAACGTTGTATTTCAACTACGATTTTCCAGACATTCACAGAAAAATGTAATGGTTTTCGAGGCTGAGCTAATTTTGAGCTAAAAAGAATACAATATTTGTGAATTTTGCCATTTCTCCACCCTTTGGTACTTGTAGAAAGCGCCGAAAGGCAGTCCATCATGACAAATTTCCGTCCCTTTCGGAACCTTCTTTGGTGGGTAGAAAGAGGTTTCAGATCCCTGGGCCTTCATCGCCGAAGCTGGGCTCTGGGCATCATCATTAACCCCCCCCCCCAATTTTCTCTTAAGGCAATCCCAGACTGCCAAGTCCGCCGATCGTCACCGTCGGTTCCGAAGTCGCACTCGCGAGTACCGCCGCGAGTTGCTTGTTGAGGGTAACATGCTCTTCGCGTAGCTGTTTAAGCATCATCAGCACGTCCTGGTGCGCCTGTTTCTCCCTCCCCAAGGCTCACCGCATCTCCGCTACCTCCATTGTCAGCTCCATCGTCAAGAAGGTTATCAAGCTTTTTGATTTCTTCCTCAGGGATCAGTTGATCAATCCCATCCTCGACCATGGCGGTATAAACGAATTTGAGAGCTTTCATTCTCTTGAACCCGCAACTGTAAACATGATCTCGAAGCGCTGCATCCGGTTGGACGGTCGTCTCCATATAGAATTTTCGATAATCAGAAGTGACTTTTTGCTCTTTCAAGATTAGATCTTTCACAGCGATTTCTGGAAAGTCTGGGAATGGGCACATGATTTCGTCTGCTGAGATCGGGCAAATAATTCCTTTTGGCGCATCGCTTACCATCGCCTTTACCACCGCGTCATAAACGATGTCCTTGACGCTCATATTCGCCGCCGCTGAAATTCAACCAATTAACTTCCCAAGTTCTAACGGTCAAAGAAAGCGCACGGTAATTACGACAATTATGACATGGTGGTCGATATCAGGGTTCCTATCTCTTTCAAATACCCACCGGTCGATGCACCATGTGAATTTTGCCATTTCTCCACCCTTTGGTACTTGTAGAAAGCGCCGAAAGGCAGTCCATCATGACAAATTTCTGTCCCTTTCGGGACCTTCTTTGGTGGGTAGAAAGAGATTTCAGATCCTTGGGCCTTCATCGCCGAAGCTGGGCTCTGGGCACCATCATCAACCCGCCCGAACATCTCGTTCGGGCAATTTTCTCTTAAGGCAATCCCAGACTGCCAAGTCAACCTCTCGGGAGGCTAAGGCTTCTTTGAGCAGTCCAAGACTGCTCAATTCGCAAACCTAGGCTTGAACAGTCCCAGTCTGCTCCAGCTTTCAAGATTCATCTTGACGCGGCCGTCGGGCGGGATAAAAAGAAACATCGATCCATTCAATCCATTTGTTTACTCCCAACCCAAAATCCTACTTCCTGGCGTCGCGGCGGGAACCCGTGTAAAAATCGCCCATCACGCCCTATAGACTCTCACCGTCGGCATCTTTTCATTAGGGTTGCAACCGCGCCCCATCGTACAGTGTAGATTTACGGCCACATTTTCGAATTTATTTTTCCTCTCTCTTTTCATTTTTACCTCTATCTCCCGTTTATTTTCCCTTCTTTCAGGACAAATTGTCCAGGATTTGACAATATTTATGAAACATCATTTTTGAAGTTGACCAAAATACACATACATAATAAACTGAAATACATCACAAGCAAAAAATTTTTCAATAAATGAATCTATACAATAATAATACTAGAAATGTGCGTACAATACTGCATTTATTTAATTTTAGATGTAACCCGTCGTTGGACTGATGTCACCGTCAGACGGAAATCGAAAAGACCCATTTTTCATAAAAAAAAAGAAACATCGAAAATGACCGATATTGTGTGTATATTCATGGACATTATGATGACTATGTGTTCCTGAAACAAACATTGTTTGGCCAAATAGAATTTTATAAAATAAGGAGATTACCCATTTTTGAGCGGTACAAACTCGCTGGCAGTCCCGTACTTATTATTGTTATTTGCTCTGTTGCTTTCATCGATCTGAAAATGTTTAATCTATACTCTTCTTTTCTTGTTCTTCGTTTGAATTATCTTTGTAACGAAAAATTCAATATTTACCGGCGTATCTTTGATAACTAATTTTGTCGTCGAATCATTGCTTCCTTTTTTATGCCTTCCCGAATACGGACTTAATTTTCCCGTTTCATCAGTGTTGGTAGCCTTAATTATGGATTGATACATATCGCTATTCGAACGCCAACTTACCATGCAAGTGGCGTTACCATTTTTTGCTTGATAATGAGAAGCTACACTTCGCGAGCCGCGTCGAATCTCTGTTTGAGATTTGTGCAGTAATCGATAACGAGCATAGAATGCCTTCAATACTTGATTGACCTAAAACATGATTTGCGAATGGCGTCTAAATTGTACACTTATAACCTCTCTATTAATGAAACAGTATATACTGGAAACTATCAAACCCTGGTACATGTACGTGAATGAGGCAGTATAAGTCCATATCGCAAAGAACTAAAAGTAAGAAGGTCGATTATTTCAGTTAGCTTGGCGTTCCAACCATTATATTATCTCGTGTCGGAGCAAATGGGATTGTTTGCATTATGTTGGGGACTCCCAGTAATGGTATCAGCATGAATGCAGCCTTGACGGATTTAATCAGAGCTGCTTCGGCTGTACTCCCACCGGAGGTTTCGCGAACTTTGAAATATAACACACGAATAACATTGATTAGAAAAAATGAATTAATCTGAATTTAAAAAAAAGATAGTTTGTATAAAGGCTATTCAATTTACCACAAGTTCTGCCATTCGGGGACCATCTAATATCCAAAACTCTGGCTCCAAATAGTATGAGCCAAGACATCGTTCAACTTTGAAATCTTTTTTGATAAGCACAACCATGAGCCATAAAAGGGTGTGCACCAATGGGATTCCTTGATCAAAACGCGTTATTTTGAATTTAAAAGATGCAGAGTTACCATATCCTGCAAGACAGTATGGGGTGAGACTCGGCTCGGAACTGAAAACCCCGAAAATAATGTGATTGTTTAAGTAGATTCCTTCCAGAAACATCCAACAGAATGTGACTGTTTTGAAATATTCTAGAAGGAAAAACATTCCTTCGCAGACGAATGGCTTAATGAAAAAGCGATTATGGTTGTCGGAGTGGTTATCGAACCATTGTATTTATAGTTTTGCCATCCGACGGATTGACCAAGGGACCATGATCCCCGGTGAATATTAGATCAATATAGAGGACTAGACGAATAATAACCACCATCAACATGGCGATCATGAGGTGCAAGTGCAGTAGATTTCGAAATACTCGAAGGCGTCTGAAATTCGTTTTTAGTAGGTTTCAGTTGAGAAGAATATACCTGAAGTATGAAAATATTGAAATTGCAATGCAAAGTGATACAAATGAGAGGCCAAGACCGACAAATTCAAGTTTTCGCGCATTACGAGCAACTTCTTGAGCAATCTGAAATTTGAACACATTTTTTCCTTCTCATGTAATTTAAAAACAAATGTTTGGATATGAATAGAATAGGCGAATGAAATTGAATAGAGAAGAAAATGCTTGTGAATAATGTGTAAGTGACGTGAATTCATTGAATGATCATAGTAAAATTCTAGAAAATTTACTAGTAACTCTGCGTTATAGAATATATGTGGTGAATGCAGTGTAAGAAAAATTTGAATGAAGAAAAAAATAAGAGGAAGAATGTGAAAATACCGCAAGCGACTCATTGTTGAGATTGTTCATTATATAAATGACTTCTTCGGTGTAGCACATGCTGAAATTGGTCCAGCCTATACCCATCTCGGTTTCATTTTCACTCCGTCCCAACCAGCGGCCCGAAGCATGGCATTGTTTTGTGATATTCTCTGTATAGTTTGGTTAGAGAGCGTTATAGAGCGGTAGAAGCAGCCCTGATGTGTGATGTGACGTTCCAGAAATTAGGTGAGAAGTGCGCATAGACAATGTACATTTCAAACGACAGTTATAAAGAAAAAAGTGGGTGTAAGAAAAAAATTGAAATGTGCATGAAACAAGGATGGCAAGCTTCAATATTTATAAATCATCCAATAAATGTGTTCTTTTTGGCATCCTTGTTTGTAGTTGTAAATAAAAACCAAAGTGCATTCGGAAAGGACAGAGGGCAAAATCAGAAAATGAAAATAATGTTAAGAAATATCCCTACTTTGACATCTTCGTAGTCGATTTTGAAGCACACGGTGAAATTCGTCCAACCCCAAGGATTCTCATAGAATCCTGGGGTTTTGCCGGCCCAACGTCCAGTCTCATCGCATCGCTTCACTATGAATCCTGGAACTTTTGTTTTCGGATCTGATTCCTGAAGGAGCTCGCATACATCATGCTACTCTATTTTATCAAACACTTGTTTAAGGAATCTCCAAATCTGAAGCTCGTTACTTACATAACACCATTAATCATGCGACATTAAATTCCATGCAAAATTTGCCGACAAACATGGTTAGACGAAACTTGACCAGAACTTATAAATAGTTGTAACAGAAAGTTATCGGGACACAGCGCTTCTTACGGAAAACAGAATGATATATATTTTTTTGCACCGGCAATGCCACATCAACATCAGTCAGCCAGCTCCGATAACTCGATTATAAAAGGCATACTTGTCGGATCAAGACCCTTCAGCTGCGGACACTGTAAAGTGACTGACGAGTTTGCCGGTGTTGGCGGCCAACATAATATTGTATCATAAGTTGCATTGCACCAGACTCTGCCATCATCTAGAAATTGATCATTTGATTCTGAAATTTTTATGAACAAAAACTCACTTTCCGGTATAAGCGGAATGCCGCGTTTCCGCAACATTTCTTCGCACACCTAAATTCCGGCGAATTGACATCGAATTGTTTAAATTCGCAACAAACCTCCATCGTTTCTGCTACGTTGCCGTTACTCAACGTGAAGTTCCACGGCACGCCAGTGGCCGACGTTGTCATTTCCCGACGAGTCCTACAATAAATAAATGTTTCCTTCGAAAATAAGAACAAAAAACAATGAAGAAATGAACACGATGGGATCAAGAGGGCAACAGTTGCTTGCTCGTCTCTTCGATGTTTATATGCATTAATTTCACTTCCTTTTGATTTTGGGTGGCTTTGGATTGTTCGGATCACATTGAAATAATGTAGTTGGGCATATAGGACTTGAATTTCCGCTGTTATAATATATCATATCCATTTCCGAGAATTTGCCGAAAATTTTATCAAATGAACAAACGAATGCGCGGCGGTTTCTATGGCGTTATGATTCAATGACATGGGATTAATTTCAGTTATTATTATTATTTTGATTACGAATAATTGTTATCACTAGCAAAAGACATTTGGTGTACACATAAACAGAGTGAAACAGTTACAGAATCTCGGAGAAAATTCAAGAAATTCAAGTTTCCAGATGAATGAAGCAAATATGCGGTTTCTTTAATATTTCGCTCTATTTTTCGTTGGTTTTCAAATTTAGAAAAAATCTCGATTTTCAGAGGCATTAAGAGTAGCTAAATTTTAAACAAAAAAGAGTAAAATGAAATTGATTAAATGAGGTGACGGAAAGCGACAAAATTTGAGATGGCTGCTCTTTCATATGACACATTTCCATCCTAATTAGGGTCCGAAGTCAGTCCGTTTTCTGCATTGCCCCCCCCCGCGTGTGTATACTCCTACTTTTTCTTCTTTTCCTACGAAAAAATGTGATGTTCGTCGCTTCATCCGAGGTTTTACTTCTTCTCAACAGAAAGTTTGTCGGGTCGTTGATTGGGAGGGGAAAACTTGCCACCGAATTTGGTCAATCAGCAGAGCAGTTGACTGGCTTTTCCGATGAGTTGTTGCTGTCCCGAAGAGCAATCGCGGGGAAACAAAATTGATGATATTTTCAATTTGAAAAAAATTGGCCTCAATGCATTCAAATTGCTCTAATTTCAAGAAAAATGTTAACCTAAAAAGCAATAAATTACTTTTCTTTCGAAAAGTAATTGAGATCAGTTCTTTAAAAAAAAATTTGTTTTAATAAAATTCTAATTAAAAAATGCATTTTAAATAAAATATTTAAAAATTTTTCAAATCGCATATTGAGTGTCACATCATATTTTTGCAGAGATTTCGCTTTTTCAGAATGCCAAAGAAGATATCAAATTCGATTAGGTTTCGGCGGAGTTGCGAGGTCTCCAAGGCGTGCGTGCACACTTGGCGACAAAAAAATGTGACAAAATTTTCGAGAGCACAGAAAAGATATGCTGCTGCTGCTGTTGCTCGCGCGCGCGGGCAGTTGGGCACACGAGAGTGTGAAGCCGGACGACTGCCACTAAATATAAATGCCTAAGAGTAGCGAATATGCGTGCGTGTATGGGTGTTGGCGTTATAAATCCAGAAAATGAATATATGAATATATATTTATATTTATTTATTTATTTGCCTTAAGATAATTAATATTGCTTTGAATTAAATGTAGGATATCAAAAAATAAGACAAGCCGTTTAACACAAGAATCAAAAGATATGTTTTTCCTAAGAAGAATAAAAGTGAAATCAGATGCATGAGAAAATGTGAAAAAAGTGAAAATAATGGTCTGAGAAATAATTCGTTTCTACATATTTCTAGATTATATTTATGGGAAGATTGTTTAAAATGAGCACAACGATACGATGAGTCGACAATCACGAGCAATTCCAGAAATAAGAGAATTTCCGGCGGGCTTCAATCGCGTATAAAAATTTAATTTCCGTAGAAACACCGAAAATAGCAACAAAATTTGTCGAATTCATAATTTTGAATTGATCAGAACTCAATGGAATATTCCAAAAAGTTCAAGTGAAAAATAGTTTCTATTTTTAACACATCTTCCCCAGCTCCGCCCCATGAGCACCTGTTTGATGTCAATCAAACTGAAAACTCGATTAAATAGTTGGAACTCAGAGAATGTAAGAGGCAAGAAGAGTTAGTTAAAGCATAGCGAACCATGTATGTCGCTGCACAAAAAATGTAATAAAATTGAGGCTAAAGTGAGTCGTTTTAAGAGCAATGAATGCGCATAATTGAGCTCTCTCCACACACACACACATTATGCTCATCGCCTAATTTTTCAAATAATTTTTTTTTGATTCTACATTGTTTATATAACATTGTACAATTGTGGTGATGTTGGTTTATTATTAATCATCGCAAAATTGGTTAGATTTTTGATGCTCAAAGTGCACACACTTGAGATTCGTAACGAAATAAGCTTCCAAAAATGTTATAATAACAAAAATAAGAAGAAATTCGCCAAATTGAATCAGTCAGTTGACGGCCGAAGTTTTTTTTAATCTGATGAGTTATCCGCGCTGTTTTTTATCGCGATTAATTCCTAGAGAAACGAGAGCTTCTATCGTTACGATGACAACTATCAGTAGTGGCAAGCAGAAGAGCACGGAAATTCGAATCAAAGTGTTTGACTGATTCATTATTATTAATCCCGCGTTCTTCTCTCTGTCTCGTCCGTTCTCCGCCTTTTCGTTTACATTCTCTTATTGATCAAAAAACCACTAAATTATTGAATGCCAGCTGATTTCACGCCATTTTTAGGGATATTTATTATTCTGAAGGATTGCTTGCAAAATGATTTTTCGCAATCGCTTGGAGAAATGGTTTAATGAGAAGATTGGTGTTTCTGAATGAATCCTACAACGTTTTGTTTTGCACAAAGACGAAAACTACACAAAAATAGAAGTCAACGAGGAAAGAGTTTTTTTGAAGGGACCATCATTAGCGAGTCCAAGTGCGCGCCCCTTTAATTGTCGATGAAGTTGATTAAAAGCAAAAAAAATAAATTGGAATTTGCCCTTTCAGTGGAAAAAGTAATTAAGAAGGAATTTAGAAAGATTTGCGAACTTCATTCAAAATGATGATATTTTCAATGCGATATTTGTGAAAATCTTGTTTTGGTGGAAGAACAACGGAAGGAAATATGGGCCCGAAAACATTCAATTTTACTCATTTTTCTAGGATGAACGCGTCAATTCCCGCGAGAATTTATGCATATACATATGACCTTATAAGGCATGTATCATCTCCCGCATTGAAAATTGTATATAACATGGCGAATTATGTCCCAAAAAATTCGGACGGTTCCAACAACGGCGAACAATCTTAACGACGACAACGACTCGTTTCGCCTGAATTTCAAATTAATCGCTGCACACGCAACTTTGAAGAAGGAAGGGCAAAATAAGGGTTGCAACCAAAAACGGTTATCGAAATACATGACATTTCTTAAACGAATTAATTTTTCTAAAAGAAAATGTGATTTAGGAATGCCAATATTCAATAGAATCGAAAGATTCTCTCAAGTATTAGGCGAAACATTTTTACGATGAGTTGAAAATCCGAAAATTGCGACATGATTAATTTAAAATGAGGCTACGGCTGCGCTCAATAAAAACCAGAAATGTGACGTTTAAGAGATTAATTTTTGAAACAACCATCAAAATAATGATTGAAGAGGAATTATTTGGAATACACAAGGATTGCCGAGGAAACACAAGAAATTTGAACTCGTCATTACGCATTTTCCCTTTTGAATAAATAATTTTGAATGAAAAGATACTCACCATGATGAATTCCTTAATAGCTACAATAATAATCAAATAGAAATGGAGACGCTTCCCACAAGTTGTCCTGAAAAAAAAAACCGCTTTTAGTTTTTCTTATTGTTTACCACGAATATTCAACGGAAACACAGGGAAACGTTATGAGTTGTGCGTGATAAGCATGAGCTGTGCGCCGGACAACCTAATTCAACCCCTACGGTAGCCATGGCCACTTGAACAAAAAAGGATCGAAAAAGGGGATTTGCTCACAAATAGTGCATCAAGAAAGAAAGGAAATAAAAGGCTTTATTCAAGGAACATCTTTTCCGTCTTTTTCCCTCTTCAAACTACTTGACGGTAATTGAAAAAGTTGATTGAATATTTGGACGAAGATGCCGAACCCGAACCAGTATGCGAAAAAAAAAACGGGAAGATGAGTGTGGATCGAATGAACCGGAACTTGATGAGCTCGTCTATCTTTTAGCGAGTTTTTGATTGGAGTCAGTTTTTTTTTCGAATAGAGACACTAAAATTAAAATTGATGAACAAATATGTCCGATTTCCAAAAAAAACGGTTGCAGAAAAAGCACAGAAAAACGGCATGAATGGATAATGAATTCCAATAAATTATTTGGCAGCTAAAAAAGCGATGCAAACAAATATTCGTTTAGGGAATGTATAGTTTCTCGAGAGACACGCAACTTGAGTTTGGCACCTTAATGACGTCAATTTTGGATCTTGTTATGGTCTCGTCGTAATCCATCAATTAGAAACAACCTTTCTCTAATGAACAAAAACTAATAAATTAGGCGCATTGGAGAGAAAAAAAAGTTGGAAATCGCAAAGTCACAGCCCATCTACAGGGTGTCATTTAAGTTCCCGCACAACTTTGAAGACGTATATTTCTGAAACTAAAAGTCCAAATCAAACGAGACTCGAAATATTTTTTATCTATAGTATAACAAATATTTATCTATTAACTCTTTTCGATTCGGCCTCCTTTCGCAGCTATGACTTCACGAAGACGCTTTGGGTAGGATTCGACTGTGGTACGCAGGTATTCGATGGAAAGATTGTCCCATTCCGCCAGTAATGTCTTCTTCAGAGTCTCTACATTTTAGTGGGGTTTTGCGTTGACCTTCTCCTGCAAGACCCCATCACGGAAAAGTCAAGCGGGTTCAGGTCTGGGGAGCAATCAGGCTATTCGGATGACTTGATGAAGTCGGGAAAATGGGTCTGGCACCACTCCACAGTAGTTTTGGCAGTGTGGGCGAGTGCTCCGTCCCGCTGAAAGACCCATTTCTGCCCACCGAAATGCGTTTGGGTCCAGGGCATCACATGCTTCTCCAAAATGTCCCGAACGTAGACTTCTTTGTT